CGAAGCACCCTTTCAAACGATACAGTAGGACCCAGAAGAAACACACTGAGGGCAGGGAGCCATTGCGGGGAAACCGGTTTGGTCAATCTTGTCAGCAAGACATTTTCGGCGATCGGTAGAACTAAGCTTAGCAGTACAGACTGGAGGCATGTTCAGCCATAAACAAGGATTTCATATGGAACAGGAGGGACTCACTTACTTATAGGCGTCAAGGACGACTGAGGCTTAGGAGGGGGAAAGTGTTACGGATCACGTCCGCAACCTGACCGAGGCCAGTGGCCGCAGGGACGCTAGGGCCCAAGGGGGAAGGTTACCCGGAGGAGGACTGGACCCCACGGAAAGCCATACCCTAGGGACAAAAGGACGGTTAGTGAGTCACGTGACATGCTCTGTGATCTGGGGTGCTCCCGTTATCAGAGCAACAGATCACACAGAGCAAGACAAGCTACACAGCACTATATAGAGGGACGACTCGTCCCGACACTAGATAGGACTTTCGTAGTCAACTTCATATATTGATTCGCTCTATACACTAGTAGTACAACTGCTACTATCAGTTCCTACGTTTACTTTGGCCTAGCCTTAACCCTGATACTATTCCCCCAGCTGCTAAACCCAGTTTGGACCCGACGTTCGGAGCGGTTCATAACACTAGCTTATAGCAGTGTGTTATAGTAGCCTCCTCCACTGTAGAAGATTCAGCCCAAGTATATTTGGACGCTATTAGAGGATAGCCATAGTAGTCTAATAAGGGGTCCTAGAAGTTTTCGAAATCCTCTCAAGTTAAATTAGAAAAGATAGAAAGGCCTTAATCTATAGATTAGGCGAAAGTAGAGCTCAATAATTCCCTGCTACAGTGGCCTAAAGTACAATAGTCAATCTAGTCTACAGTGGTGCAAGAAGGATTTTAGGGGTGGACCTAGGTACCGTCACGCTCTAGGCACGCTAACCCCAGCACTATCACGCTCTGGGCACGCTAACCTCAGTACCGTCACGCTCTTGGTAGAATCCTCATTGTCGCCCAAAATTGGCCAACTTTGATGCTGCCTCCAGCGACGACCACATTAGCTAGACCTTCAAAAAGGGTGTTGTTAGAAAGCCCGAGTCGGGCTCCACCCTTTCAGGCTGGTCTTGCGTCACTAACACACTGTTTAACCTCTAACATTAACCTTAAGAATGTCTATTGAAACTCAGTATCAGAAAAAGTGCCCCCACAAGTGACATTCTTTTATAAGCAGCATAAGCAACGCAATGTACCCTTTCAAATAATACAATAGGATCTAGAGGAAACGCACTAAGGGCAGGGAGCTATTACAAGGAAACCAGTCTGGTTGATTTTGTCAGCAAGACGTTTTCGGTAATCAGTAGAACTAAGCTTAGCAGTACAGACTAGAGGCATATTCAGCCATAAACAAAGGTTTTATTTAGAACAGGAGGGACTCACTTACTTATAGGCGTTAAGGACGACTAAGGCTTAGGAGGGGGAAAGTGTTACAAATTACGTCCGCAACCTGACCGAGGCCAGCGGCCGCAGGGACACTAGGGCCTAAGGGGAAGGTTACCCGGAGGAGGGCTGAACCCCACGAAAAGCCATACCCTAGGGACAAAGGACAGCTGGTAAGTTACGTGACACGCTCTGTGATCTAGGGTGCTCCCGTTATTAGAGCAACAGATCACACAGAGCAAGACAAGCTACACAGCACTATATAGAGGGACGACCTGTCCCGACACTAGATAGGACTCTGTAGTCAACTTTGTATATTGATTCGCTCTATATATTGGTAGTACAACTGCTACTATTAGTTCCTACGTTTACTTTGGCCTAGCCTTGACCCTGATACTATTCGCCCAGCTGCTAAACCCAGTTTGGACCCGACGTTTTGAGCGGTTCATAACACCACCACAGTCACATTATTAAATTTTCTCCTCAGGGGCAACTCTCCTCGGCTTGAGCGAGCTCACAAGGCGGCCGCGCAAGTACGATATCGTCAGCAGTCTTTAATATCGTAGTATTGAGCTCATTGTTGCTGTTCCACGTCTTGATCTTCTCAAAGTTTCGACATCTGTGCCAAGTACTGAAGTCTGGATGCGGCCAGTCCTGGGTTGCGATCCAGCTGTGGGTTACGACGCCAACGTCACCATGGCACTGGAGAGTTTGTCGGAGAATGTCAATACAGTGGTCTATACGATGTTAGACAGGAACTGGCCCCGCTGTCTTTAGAAGAGAGCCAAGTAAACGCTACCTACCCAGGTGCAAGCGTATGGTCCTATTTGAGGCTCTTAGCCACTCGGGCATCTCGCCCTCAAGCGACAAGTAGTACTCTTTGTACGACCATTGTCTGAGCATGTTAAGGCAATGGAGCTAAGCATGCTGTGTTAGTACCAGAACCCACCAAAGCATACAGATATTTGCACCTGATGAAAAACCTCCAATGACGCTATAAAGCCTCCCCCAACTGCCTCGTCCCAGTGTGCCTGAGTTAATGGCTTTCGAAGAAGTCGCATCTTTTCCGGACCGACCCTGAATTCCGAGTCTTGGCAACATTAGCAAGCCAGTGAACGTAAAGCTTGAATACAATGATCGTACCGTTTAGGAGAGAGTCCCAAGCTGCATCCAGCTCAGGCTGGGGTGCACCTTTGAAAGGGTTTTCATCCAGAAATGCCCCTTGAAATCTTCGGTCCTGATACTCGATAGCGGGCTCGGCTGGCGCTATGAGAATTTTGTTAGCGATGCACATGTATTACATCGGAGAGGACTTTGAATCAACCCACAGTACGCAGAAGTCTGCGCAAAGCAACTTTGGCGAGTAGCATTCAAATGAATCGTATATATGAGAAGGAATGTAGTCATAACCAGAAGAAGGGCCAGAAGATGGAGTATATAGCTTCTTTGACCCCTAGGTAGGGACAACTGAGTTGTCGTTGACTTAGTATCAAAGACCAGAGGGCTATCGACATCATAGGCATCACTATCACGAGACTGCCTTCTCGACATAGCTCGTATTACTATTCTTGAATCAAGTCGCGAGAAGGAAGTGATAGAAGTTTGCACACTTTGAGGGATCATCGTCCCCTAAGCTAGAAGGACCCTGGTTGATAAGAGGGAGCGTTGAACAACATGATCTTGGCTGAGATGATGTAACAGTATGGGTAAGAGTCCAGCCAAGAGCGAGGCAGCTAAGACTGGACTTATACCAAAAGAGTAATATCGAGCGCTCGTATCAAAACTTCATCAAGTCAAGAGGCTAATGCATCCTGGAATAAGAAATACAACTCATTCAGCTCACTTCTCAGGAATACTATACGTCCACGTGTGAAATCCACCATACACTTGGTTTGAACACTTAAGCCCACTTCTAACAGACGATGTAACGCAACTCAGCAGCCCAGCCGGAAGCGACTTGGAGATAGGAAACACAAATTGTACAAATATTGCCAGATAGCTGCGTTCGACATTCAGGAGTGCTATCAACAACGCAACAAGAAATACTCTGACAAAACGACATTGTTTTGCTCTGGTCCTACCAAGCAGCACTCGAATCAAGATGAAGGTTTTGAGCACACTAGCCGTTGCCATGTTCTTTTTCCTTGCGGGAAGTAATGCTTGTAAGTGATGCATCTTTGTGTCAGCGACCATGGCTCAACGTTCTACGCAGACTCAGGCAGAATCAGATACGCTGAGACCTACGACACAGAGGCGGATGCACTCCCAGAGCCTGAGCCTGCAGCATGAACGACGATAGGACCAAGGCCGTTGATAAGAGCCTTCCGCAGGAGGCAGGGCTCTGCTCGCTCCTGACATGAGAGTGAACCGCGGCGAGATACTGCAGGAAGAACACAATGTTGATCACACTCCTTAGCTATACATAAATCAAACCATCCGACCTTCCTCTAAGAAACTATAGATCAGTGATAATCCCAGGCCTAAGCGAGTAGGGCTTAACGTCCCTTGTAATGGCCTATCTCCCCGTTCCTCTACTTGTATCTTTTGTCCTACATGGTTTTGCTGCCGTAGTCTCAGCATAGGGTGTAAAGTAGCGTGAGATCCTGGCCAGGTAGATAAAAAGCTAACCGGACTGATGGGAGAAGACGAGCATCATCGGTGACGCCTATGCGCTCATGTGTAACCCACCCCGTGTTGAGTTCCGCTTGCATTTGACCCCAGTTTTAATGCGGCCCGGCTCCCCAACTACCTCCAGGCGGAGTATAACGAGTGTGCACATGATTCAACAAGCCATAGACATTCGTCGTACATTGCTGCAGCGCTGTAGTAAGCGATTGGGCGCCTACAAGGGGTCATCGGTCGACGACATTATTTGGGGATAGCATCTCTTGGATTTTCTTAGCCATATCTATATGAGAGAAAGATTACTGCTGCTACCGACTTGGGTCCCGGTCGCTTTGTATCCACATGAAGCCTATCATGTTATCCCCTTCACCAGCCAAGCTGCGCGGGCGAAGCGTTGGCAAGAGGATCATCTCCACATTTTGTGAAAGTGCCTTTCCACGTACCGTATCTTTAAATAGATAATTCTCCCCTCTCGATCAGATCCACGGGTCTCTTGCTACTCTCTAAAGTTCTGGTACGAGAGTAGTTGTGGTATCTGGCTACTAGAATACTGTAGCTGGGCGCCAATAGATCACGGCTACTGAATGCCCCTTTCGTTTGACCATGCGCCGACCACATAGCGAGGTCATCGCTACCATTTACTGGTTCCTTCTCAGCAGTTGGCTGATGGGTGGTTCGATAGTAGCCAATACAAACCCTGGCGGGCTTTGCTTTCCAGCCACGAAACATCTATTCTCTAAGTTGGTCTGTACGACGAGCGGGCCGACAGGTCTCGAGTCCACTACTTGTATTGGTCTTGAGCCTTTGTCACACTTCGGAGCAGTTCTGGGGCCCAACGATCACGAACCATGGACGGTGGATCCCGTCTGCTCGGCGTTCATCCCTCAGATCGGAGAGTATTTGTGTGTGTACACAAGTGCATGGTACGCAAATGGTCAAGGCATATCAATCATCACTACACCTACTCAAGCCGAAACGTTCGCTGCAATCATTCGCTCTCAAAAGTCAAACTTCTCACATGAGTCAATTACAGTGTCAACACTTTATGAAGTGCCTACAGAGCGCGATAGAAGGCTCAAAGCACGTCGCAATGTGAAGGCCGGTGATAGAATTGCCAAGGCCAACCCAGCAGTGGTAAATTATGTTGAAACAGACTTGTTGTCATGGCAGGAACGGGAAACGCTTCTTCGAGCTGCCTTCTCCAGACTTCCCGCCCCTACGCAGAAGTCTTTGTCTCTTTTGAGAGCCTGGGGAGGAGGGGCATCGTATTTTCTCACCGGTGTAATGGGCACCAATGCGGGCTTTAGCATGACTATCGATGGACACGAGTACTCTGCTCTACTGCCAGACCTATCACTCCTCAATCACCACTGCGCACCAAAGTCTGTTGTCCCCCTAGGCCGAGGCTGTTGCTATGGCTATTGCTAATTTATACGCAGTTCGATTTTCCGTCTTGAGGACCAAAGACTGGAGCTATCAATACAGGCGGTCCGAGAAATACCTGTACAAGAAGAAATCTCTATCTCCTGTGAGCTGCTAATCTATGGCCCCCATGAAAGGTCATGCTGACTTATGAGACTTCGAATCGTTCAACAACCCTGCAGACTATGCATTACGGTTGTATGCCGAGAGGCAGCTTATCGCACAGGAGATCCTGAACGCCAAGTGTTCCTGCAAGAAGTGTCTTGAAAGGGAGTCCACCGATGGGGCGGCGGAAGAGATCCTTGCTCTAGAGCGACACCTTGTGAACTCCAGGCTCTACGATACAGAGACCGTTAACACAAAAATCAATCTGCTGTTGAGGCTGTATATATCTGAAGGCCTTCATGCATTCGTGGAGCGAGCATACAGTGTTGCTGCACAGGCCTATCTATCTGTGGAAGATTTCGCTCAGGCAGAGGTATTTCACGATATGGCCACCAACTTCGCGGCATCGAAAGGGCAGACTGCATATGTATTAGAGGTGGGTGGCGGAGGTGGCTGAGCCAGGCCACCAGAGGAGTTAATATACTAAGCCAGCTTGTTCGAGGACCCGTCAGCATTCATATTACCTTGCTTTAGCAGTCAGACACTTGACGAATGTCAATCATATATTAACTTTTGGTGTACTTGCGTATAAGGTTCAACGGTAATAGGAATATTACTTCAAGCGTACATCATTATCTTCAATTGCATGATATCCGGCTCTCTGCGTACTGGAACACGCGAATAGTTACTGGTACAACTTGCGGAGTAAACGCCCTGTCCTGCAATAACACAAGAAGATATTAGGAGGCTATACCCAGTACACCACGTCACTTATCATCGCTACACGAGAGAATCTCAACCGCCTCGTCCCAACCTCTCTCGTTGACGATCTCCATGACTGTCCTATCAGTCTCGTCTCTGGCCTCGAGATTCACACCTCCGCCTCTCTCTACCAACAATCGAAGAACATTGGCTTCACCGTTCTCCACCGCCTGTAGCACAGCGTTCCACCCGCGGTACATCTTGTTGATATCGGCCCCCTTCTCCAAGAGAGCCTCGATGTAAGACAGGTCATTCCCACGGTGTCTGCGAATGGCCTTAATGATAGGGAGGTGCTCACCAGGAGCGTTGACATCCGCATTGGCTTCGTTGATCAGGTACTGGAAAATTGCTTTCCTGTCTTCTCTAATGCTTGTTGTAAGAGGTGAGAAGACACCGCCGTTTTTGTCTTCGACGCTGACACCAGCTTCGAGGAGCAACTTGACACTTTCAAGCTCGCCAGCGACAACAGCCATCTCCATGACACCTTTCACTGAGCGAGGATTGTGAACGGCGAGAAGAAGCTTTCTGAGAAGTTGTGGGCGTTTGACCGCCATGGCGATAGGCCACTCCTGGCCTCGAATGGCGGGGTCAGCGCCGTTCTCCAGGAGAATGTCCACAAACTCGGCGTTGTCTTCGCGTATAGCAGTTGTGAGAGGGGTGAAACCCTCAGCACTGCGATCGTTACACGATACGCCTTGCTTGATGAGGTACTTGAGAGCTTCCTTGTTGTTATGTTTGACGGCTTTCTCAATGATACCTTTTGGCTTGTTCAAGTTTGCACCTGCTGCAACAAGTTCGGGCAGGAAGTGAACACGATTGTGGGTAACACACTTGAATGCTGGATATTCAGATGCAGGAACATTGGGATCAGCTTGGTTAGCGAGTAACAAAGAGACGATCTGTGGTCGATTGTCTCTGATCGCCGAACACAATGGCGTGTAAACTCCGTCCTTCTTCGCATTCGGAGATACGTTGGCCTTTAGAAGAATAGAGATGGATTCGATATTGTTGATGGAAGTGGCTAGCTCCATGATTCCAGGAGCTTTCTTAGAATCCGCACCCCGGGCGAGGAGCAACTGCAGGCATTGCGGCTTGTACGTCGAAGGCCATAGAAGATGTTTAGGTCCCGGTAGATTCGGATCAGCTCCCGCATCCAACAGTATGGTCATGAGGTCAAGACGACGGGCTTGAATTGCCTGGAACATAGGCGAGGTACCTGAAGTTGTTAGTACATTCCACAGCGTCGCCCATGCTGCTTACCTTCACCGTTCTTTCCATTCGGATTGCCGTCGTACTTAAGCATCAATTCAACTAGCCTTGCGTCAATGGTCTTGGTCATAGACTTGACGAGAACAGTATTGCCGTTGTCCATGACTTCGTTGACATCGCCACCGTACTTCAAGAACAGCTGCAAGAACTCTGCTCTATTGCCGACGACAGACATGGCGAGTGGCGATTCCTCTTGGCCGCCGCAGTGATTTGGAAGGGCGCCATATTTGCAAAGCAGCTGTGCGCCTTCGATGAAACACATTTCAGTTGCTGAATGAAGCGGCGTGAATCCCTTCCGGTCAACGGCATTAGGATCTGCCCCAAAGAGCAACAGCAAACGGACAGATTCTCCATCGCGTCCAAGCACCGCCTCTCGAAGGAGACTAACCTCTGGTCCGAGATTAGCTGGAACTCCATTGTCCAACAGCTGTTCAATCACGGTGTGCTTTTTTTGCTGGACAGCATTGATCAGTGCGTTCTTGAGCCCTGGCGAGTTGGCGCCAGTAGTTTGCTTGGGAGTCCATCGGGGCATGGTGCTGGGATCGACCTTGATCCGGATAGCTTGGAAGGCATGCTTGTCGTCTTCAATCTGATGAAGCATATCTTCAAATTCGACAGTCGTCGAGGACATGTGGTCGGAAAGGACGTCGTTGTCATGGTGGGATCTGTTCGATGACAGCTCGCGGGTGTTGATGGATGTGATGTGCTTGCTCGATCGAATACTGGGAACAACCTTGAGATCGGTGTCAAACTTGTCAGCGAGGGCTTCGATGCTGTCGTCATGGCGAGCAACGATTGTGCTAGTCCCCATTCCCTCGCTGCCACTGGGAGTGTGAGGGAGCGGAAATAGCTCGCTATGCCCACGCGAGGAATTGTTTCCATCGATGGACAGTGGAATTTGAGGGAGTTGATAACTGTCATTCCGCGAGGGAATGGTGTCCGCTCGCGATACGTGGCTAGGAGAGGACTGGATGCGGTCCAGCGGCGGCTGAGGAAGAGGGATGCTAGGGGGCGGATGCGGTGGGTCGCTGTTTGTATGTTGCAGAGGCGGGATGGTGCTGCTTGACTTCCCACGGTTCATGCTCTCCAGAGCTGCCTGAAGGCCTGTGTAGCCAATACTGGCAGACGCGTTCACCCTCTCTTCGCCAAGGGACCATCTGAAGACCAAAGCACTCATTCTGAGAGCATCCTTGCTTTTAAGGAGATCTCCCCTCATTTTCGAGATATCACCCTCGGCGAACATCATGCCCCAGCCCTTGCGGAGCTTGCTGAGACCCTTCTTGGCGGAGTAGCCTAGGAACTGTAAAAGCATCTGATTAAGTAGGATGAACTGATCGATGGTAGCCCGGAATTTCTTGTCGAGCTCACTGATCATATCGTTTGGAAGGTGAGTTCGTTGTTTGGAAGCCTCCGTGAGTCCGGCCTCAATTGGCCAAAGGATGCGACATATCTCGAGGAAATCGGTGGCGAGTTCCTTGAAGCCATGAGGATAGGCTTTGGTGGTACTAAGGTACTCCAGCATACGGACGGAAATACTGTTGCCAAGCTCAGTTGCTCGAGTACAAAGTTCGAGCAACGACTCTTTGCCCATCTTCGGGGCCATGCTTGTATGGTCGATCGGTTATTGCAAGAGGTAGAAAGGGGGCTAAAGCAGACATGCAAGCAGGACGGGGCTTTATGGGCTCACAAGATAAAAGAGGGGGGAGTGGGTATGCCCCCAGGACCTTAAGCACGAGCGTTTCTTGTCGACCTACCACAACATCGAGCCGTGCCGAGTAAAGATCCCCTGCAGGATCCTTGAGCCCCGACGCACCGAAACACTCCGGTGGTACTGGCTTCTTGGTGTAGGACAAGTTGGGCATTTGGAAGCCAAGTTAAATCTTTAGAGTTCAATACCATTGCTCGGAGCCGACCATACTTCGGGGGCTTAGTCCGTACCATGGTGGCCCAGCCCACGGGGGAACGAAATACAAGTACCATGTGGCTGGGCGCGGGCTCATTAGATCTCGCAGCTTGTACTATTACTCACTCCAAGGCATCCAAGGCAGGGACAATTTGTGTGTCAAGTAGAGCCAATCCATCTGTCATCGGGCAGTGGGCTTTGAAGCATTCCCCTCAGCATCAAGCACATCATGGGAGGCCTTCAAGACGGGTCCTTCAGATCAGCTCTGTATGTTTTAGCAAAGGGTCGCCAAACTTAGCGCAAGCCTCGTCCAAGTTGTTGTACCGCCCCTGAAATTGCATGCGCCGCCAATGAATCTGAAGACGCGAAAAGCTTCGACGACGACTTGACAGCTGTCATTGGCTTCCGTTCTGGGGCGGAAGCGTGCAGACTTTCCGGGGGCAGTCTTTTGCAGGGGTGCAAGGGCCCCAAAGAACACGCCAATCGAAACTCTATTCGCGACCTCCGCCACATTGCACCAGAGACATGGAAAGTGGGTCGCGCAAAGTCGCCAGACTGCGGTCCATCATTGACCAAAGCACGTAATCCTCCCGCTAATGTCAATGGATCAAAATGGCGTACTTGCAAGGTCCACATCGACGGTCTCGCGGTTGGTGCGCATTCTCAACCTTGGCAAGACTCCAAATCTTAGCTCAACAGTGAGTTGCTTGCCATGTGTAAGGTCAGACATGCAGTTATTAGTACTTCAAGATGGTAATCTCGACGGGACTTGGCTGTGGTTGGTACGACCGTGACGGCCGTAAACGTTGCACGAATTGCTGCCTCGCCTGCCCGAGCCAACTTGGGCGCAAGATCGGGTGCTGCTTCCGGTAGACTTTCTTGGCTGTGCGTGGCTAAGAGAACTTTGCGTTTCACTGAGCTGTCAATGGCGGCACCACGCGGTCGAAAGCGTAATTCGTGGTCTAGAGCCCCAATTGAGCATGCGTTGCCTGTATCGGCTGCCAACGACCTGCGTCGAAAGCGTAATTCGTGGTCTAGAGCCCCAATTGAGCATGCGTTGCTTGTATCGACTGCCAACGACCTGCGTTTTCGCACTGTCTGCTCCGATGGAAGCCGAAGTAAAGGCCCTAGCTCAACGAGCCCCGTCGTACAGCATGGAAGAGTGGCGCACCGCCCTTAACAAATGCAACTTGCGGATTACCACCAGGGTTGAAGGGTAATCTTGGTATCGCACCCGTCCCGCTTTTGACACCGGCAATGTTGCGCACATTGCCGAATTACCCCGTCAAGGATGTCCCCTGTCACTCCGGGGAAGGCCGAGTTGAACAGGGAAGCCTTGAGTCCGCGAGCAATACTGGGTAGCCCGTCTAGGCCGTGGATCCAAACTCGCCGGTTTGAGACGGTCAGACGTCGCCTGCGATAGGGTTTATGGGGGACCTGCGAGGCAACATAGGGGGCGCAGAGACAAGCACACCCTCCGATGCCTGTGTCCTTGTTCGTGCGTTGATCTCCTGAGTATGCGAAGAATCGCATGAGTCTTGGTCGACGTGTAAAAATGTCCTTGGTGATTACAGGGTTTCTCGGCTTTACGTGACAAACCTGTTGCCAGTGCCGGGTCCTGATATCCGCCGACAGCTCTTCCGCTGTCGAAAGCACTCTCCTTTCCCGATCGTGATGTCTGGTCAGGGCGTGAGACGGTCGAAGGGTTAGGGTCAGTTAACTGATTCTCCCCACGTCTGGCCGTTGAGGTATGATCGTTGGGTCAAAGAGGGCAGGCACTCGCACGGGGAAGGGCCCGGTACGCTAGTGTACGGGTTCCTGGTAGGGACACGGGAAGGGATCGATCAAGAAACCCTGCACCGTGACAAAGTTGGCTGGCTTATCGCTGCCCTAGTGCTGCGCCGTGAGAGTGGAACAAGCTTCATGTTTCAGTGGAAAAGAGCTCATGTGTAGGTATTGCTACACCGACGATCTGTTTACACGAAAGCATCGCAGAAAAATGTCATCAGAGAATCCCTCGTCGTCATCTTGCCTGCAGTGACGATGCCGATGCGCAACTAAGAATGAAAAGCCCCGGTTTAATCATTTGCAGCGACAAGATCGATGATGTTCAGGGGGTTGAAGCCACGTTACGCCAAGGTGGGCTCTAACACTCCGGCGCTGAACGCAATGACTTGACGTCAGAGAGTTCGGCAGTTGGCGATACACGATTGCGCCGAGATCGGCCACAGATTGTTGATGATTCAGATATTGTGAGATGGTTTGGCGGCACGAACGTAGCAAGTCAGTTTACTTCGACGTCTTCTGGTCGATCTGTCGCACAGCCCGCTCTGCAGCAGCATTCGTAATGCTCATGTGTGACACACCATCTTGACAAGCCACACACTCTACCCAAACTCCATGATGAACGGCAGGCTATGCACGATAAGGCTTGGGAGAAGATGAATGCTTATTGCAGCCTTAGCAGGCCGCGATATATGCTCTGAGTCATGATTTTCTGGCCCTGAAACAACACGGCAAACCCATGCACGTCTCAGGGGTTGCGACGTTGCTGCTGGTGGCTTTCTGACCTCTGTCTTGCTATGCTACCCTGTGGTGTCTGCAACTGCGACAGCAGCCATGACTTCGACCTCGTACAATGCGCCCTCTACCGCTAGACTCTGTACGCCAAGCACCGTGTTGGGTGGTTTGGCCTCGCTCCCGCCAAAAGCCCGACCACCTTGTTCGTTGTCGGCATCAGCGAACTCCTCGCGCCCTTCCAACCAAGCCCGCATCAACCGCTTCCGCTCCTTTTCTTGTGGATCTAACCCTACGACATACTGTCGAATGGATATGATGTCGCGTCTTGTTGCACCCGCAGCCGAAAGGCACAACAGAACATTCATCAGGGCAATGCGCACCTGTTCCGAAAGAGAGGTTGCAAGATCTCCTGAAGCACTTCGCCCTATCTGCCCGGCCAAGGTGACGAGGCGGGTCGCGCGGGCACTTACAGCTTGAGATGCAATGTTTGTGTTTGCAACGTGAGTGTAAAAAGGCGGTGAAGGATGTGTGGGAGGGTTGAAAAATGTCGTGATAGGAGAGGCCGATGCTGGCTTCGCAGTGCCTGAAGCCTCCATGGTCTCGTCTGCAGTGAAGACACTATGAACAAAAAAACATGACCATGAACTGACGACACAGTTATTTTCTGATCGAATCAAGTGCTACTAATGAACTTTGCCACTTCGGCTGAGCGTGGCGACAACGAATCGGACACTTTCCTGTGGACTCCCTGCGATTGAACACTTCAGTCAGACTGCTGACTCATCAGTCCTGGCTTACGGTCGTGATCAAATGGATGCGAGCATCATAACGGCTTCGGAAATAGAACCCATGAGTCTGGGACGTCGATGAAACAGATTATATTCTCCAGAGTTGCGATCAGCTCTTGGTTCCCCAATGCTTCTTTGGTACCCTCCAAGGCTTGGTGTGGTTTCACAATGGTGTCTTCGCTGCTTGCTCGTCACTGCCCTCTGCCCTATGATCACACCTCTGTACGGCATCAAGATCGGGATGCCCCAAGCTGAAACCAAATTGAAGGCCATGGCATCAATAGCCATCCTGACAGCTTCGGTCGCGAAGCCAAAGCGATATCCGAGGAGCTCACGTTCCTGCGACGTTGTTGATACAGTGAGCGCCATCGTTAGAAGAAGCTGTAGCGCCTTGAGTGATGAAGACAGCAGTGTTACCGTTCAAAGAGAAGCGATAGATCTTGCCACCAGTGTTCTCGGATCCGTAAAGGAAGCCGTCCTGAGATGCGTAAACGGCACCCACCACACCGTTACTTGGATAGATGACGCCATATCCTGTGCCAACCTGAGCCCAGGTTTTCGCAGTCCGATCAAATCGATAAAGGAAAGTACGACCGGTAGAGTCCACCGCAACGGAGTAGAGGTAGTTGCCGCCGCCAGGTACGTACGCCCAGTCGTAAACAGAAATGGGAAGGGCAGCGGTGCCGGAACCGACGATTGACAAGGTCGAGAGTTGGATCTGTACCCAATCTCGACCTTGATATGCTACCCAAAAAGTTCCCGTCTCATCAACGTCGCCGGTGTTGTAAGCACCGGCCTGAACTGGCAGTGTCCGACTGTAGACGACCTCACCGCCCGATCCGATGCGAATCAGTCTGGGCGATGGACTTGTGTTGACTACGCCGTAGAGCGTATTGTCCAGCGCGTTGTAGCCAATAGCGTTGATAAGGGTGCCATCTCCGAGAGGGCTTTTGATCAAGGTCCTCTGCCCAGAAGCAATATTTACGCTGTAGAAAGCTGGAATGTTGTTCGCTACCGCGACAAAGTAGCCCTCTGTTGGACAGGCGAATGTCGGAACAGGTGCAATCGTTGAAGTTGGTGTGACAACTGTGGGTGTATAAATGATCACCGTACCCTGAGTTTGTGTGCCTGTTGGTCGCACTGTAGACGTTATAGTCGTTGAGGTAAGGCTGTTCTGGGATGTAGCAGTGATATATGGATACGGCGTGCTTATGAAAATGGTTGGTGCAACCCCCGGACCAGTCGAGGTTGATGATGTGACATCAGTCCCGCCAGGGCCTTCGTCATATCCGACTACAGATGTGACGACAGGTGGCTGGGTCTGGACGATGATTCTGCCAACCGGCGGAGTTCCACTCGCTGGTACAGTCTGGGTCACCGGTGCTGTGATAATTCCGGATCCAATATAGGGCACCGTCGTCGTATCATAACGTGCAGTGAAATAGCTGATGACCGTTCCGGTTGGACTTGGAAACCCAGCGGCGGGGATGACCGACGTAGGAGATGCTACAGATCCGCTCGGACCTACATCTGTAGTGCTGATCTGCGTAATATACGGATATGCTGTCGAGATGTAAACTGTGCCCGTACCATCGGCATTGCTGGCAGCGGAAGCAATTGATGTCACAGGAGGTCCTCCGCTCGGGCCAGCATCGTAACCGGTGGTCTGTGTGGCATACAGCCCAGGCGTAGAGAAGATAACACTACCATACTGCGAGTTCGTTACAGAGATGATGACCGTCACCGTTACGGTCCCTGTGTACCCGTTGTCATACGAAGTTGTATAACTGGAGTACGGGTATGGCGTAAGAATGAAGTAGGTTGGCGGCGCACCTGCAGAAGCTGGCTGAGTGCTGGATCCAGTAATTGTGCCACTGGGTCCTTCGTCGGTGCCAACTGTGGATGTAATGTATGCGAGGGGCGTTTGGATAAGTACAGTTCCCACAGTGTTAACGGGGTCTGGGGTTATGGTTGTTGTGAGTGGGGCGGTTGCAGTGTTGCCAAAGTCAGCTCCCGTTGTCTCGGTCACATAGCGATAAGGCCTGGTGATGATAAAAGTACCAGGCTGACCACCAGAAGGCAAGATAGTTTGAGTAACTCTTACTGAACCTCCCGGCCCCTCGTCAGTCATGACATAAGACACAACATAGTTCTCAGGAGGATCGACAAGAACTGTACCAGTCCCGGAGGGCCCCGCTGAGATGGTACTGAATTCCACAGTCGAGTGAGGTGATAGATCGAACTGAGAAGTAATCGTGATGTACGGTTGCGGAGTTGAAACAACAACGCTTGCACCGGCACCGTTGGTAGCCGAAAAGACCGCTGTGATGGTCTCGAATTGTCGAGGCCCGGCATCATAGCCAACAGTTGTTGTAAGGTAGACTAAGGGTGTCGAAAAAGCTACTGTGCCGGTTCCGCCAGCGGCCGCGGCAGAGACTGTGCTGACAAGGGTCGCAACAGCACTCGGCCCACCATCGTAATTAGTCGTGATAGTGGTGTAAGGATCAGGCGTGTAGTTAATGACCGTTCCATTGGCACTACCCACGGGAGGGATTGTAGACTGGGAGGTTGCTGTTGCACTGGGGCCGCCATCGTAGTCAGAAGTGATCGTGACATAGTCGTACGGAACAGATGTGATGATAGTACCAGGACCCGTCCCGTTTGGAAAAATGGTTTGGACTCTAACTGCCGTCGCTCCGGGTCCACCATCATATCTTGTTAATCTCTGAACGTACGAAAATGGTTGTGAGACAATGATCGTGCCAGTTGGACTGCTTGGAACAGGCAATATTGTCCCAGTCAGCGTCAAGTTGCCTGAAACGCCGGCATCGTAGCTGGTAGTGCTTGAGACGTATGGATAAGGTAGAGAACTGATGACGGTGCCTGTATCAGCAGAAGTTGGTAGGATTGTTTGTACGAGCGTGTCTGTCCCACTTGGGCCCTCATCATAGGACGTAGTGATTGTGGTATATCGGAATGGTGTCAGCACAGCAACTGTGCCCTGCACTGTCCCGCTAGGGAGCACAACAGTCGAAGTAGTGGTTACTAATCCTGGATACCCTGAAGTCACCGTGACTAGTGGCGCTTGAGTTTGTACCAGCACAGTTCCAACAGTATTCGATCCACTTGGAGTCTGAATAGAAGTTACTGGAGCGGTAATGACACCTTGCCCAGGGTATGGACCTGTCGTAGTGATGTAAGGGTACGGGGTTGTAATAGCAAGGACACCCACAGGTGGCGTACCGGCTGGTGGTGAGGTAACAGTGAAAGTTTCAGTACCGTTTGGTCCTTCATCTGTGCCGTTGTACTGGGTGACGTAGTCATAAGGTGTCGATATAAAGATTGTCCCAGTATTATTGGCTACACGAGAGGCTTGTATCGTCCGCGTAAGCGTCGACTGGGTCATGTTGTCGATCCCTGAAGGACCAGCATCATACCCCACGAATGAAGTGATGTATCCAAATGGTGTCAAAATTTCCACTGTCCCTGAGCCTGATGTCGCAGGAATGATACTGGTGCTGATTGAAGTTCCAGTCTCTCCTGCATCGTACCCTGTTGTCACTGTGACATATGGAAATGGTGTAGAGATGATGATAGAGCCTGGTGCAGTCCCATTGGGTTGAGCCGTTACGGTCAAGGTAGTAGTCCCGTTCGGCCCAGCATCGTAGCCTGTTGTAATGGTCTGGATAGACAAAGTGGTCGTTTGAGTTGAGGAGTTGCCAGGCAGAGACGTCGACGAACTCGACGGGCTTGAGAGTGAAGTGGAAGGAGGTAACGATGATCCTGAAGTCGTGGAGTTCAGGGGTGGAGTTGGTCCTGGGCTTGCGACGCTTGATACGGAACTCGTGGTGTTGAGTACGGGTGCTGGGCCAAGGCTCGAAAGGCTGAACAATGAACTTGGTAGCGAAATACTGGATGTCGTTACGACACTCGTCGATTGATTTTGACATTCTGCGGACACGTTAGCGGTGGCAAGGTCGATGCGTGATGGGACTTACGCTCAATGGGAACATCTATGAGGCGTACTGGGGTACATGCGTCCGGGTAGACTCCATCAAAGACGACAATCACGTAATTAGCCCGATTGCAGAACAGTGCTTGACCTCCAAGGAACCTTTCGTTTCTCCAATGCAGGACGCCATTCTCAAGGCTAAATGCTTTTTCCACTGACCCGTCTGGTGAAATCGGAGTAAAGTTGGCGAATGTAATCTCAGAGACAGAGAACAGTTTGTTGTTAGTGGTAAGTCTCTGGTCAGCAATCACAAAAGTCGCTTCTTGGCCACAACCGACCACGATAAATGCATCATCCCGAATGAAGGAGTTGGCGTACTGGGTAGAAGCGTTCGATTCCAGGTTCTGCCGTTTGATGTTGACCGCTGTTGGCTCTACCGCCAAGAGGAAGGTAGTATCTGGGATACTGGGTCCGGTGAGTTGGTAGCCTACTGCATTTGTAGCATCGCACTTACACGGAAGTTGCCGGTTGAGATGAGGGGACTGTATTACTCTCAGGAGTAATTGATGGGCCTATGCTATTCAGGGTGTCAATCGTGTTCGATATAGGTGAGAAGCGTTTTTCGTACCTTGAAGGAATGGTAGATGTTGGGCTCGAGTACGTCGAGGGGGATGATGTGGGTGTGACTGGAAGATTGCTAGTGATTGTGGCAGTCGTGACTGTACTGATGCAGATCGGCGCATTAGTGACCGTGAGTTCGATACCCAACGTAAGTGAGAGAACGGTGTTAGACAAGACAGAAGTCTGGATCTCGACCGGGACAAGACTGATAACCACATCTGCTGGACAGACCACCTGATCAGGTGGAGGCTGCCTTACAAGGACTTGCGATAGATTAGGTGCTGCAAAAGAGAAGAGCACAATTGCCGAAGCGATTCTACGGATAGCCATGATGCTGGTATCGACGCTGCTGGGGCGAGGACAAACCGGTCGTCGCCAGGCGTCTCATTTATGTTGTATTTCTACCCTCTGCTCTGCAATGGCTCCCTGGTATGCACCATCCGGCATTTGTTACAAATGCCGTCCGCGGGCGCCTTGTCGGTAAAAAGTTCCCCGGGATCTGCCGGACAGCGGTAAAATACGAGGGGATGGTCATTTCCAACTCTGTACCCAGCAAGGGGGCAAAGGTTGAAGTCGCCCTCCTGGGAGTGCTCCATGTAGCCGCTTTCAGCACTTCGGCAGTTTCATGGTTCAAACTCGGCAACAGCTGCTGTAGACTGGGTCACATTCGCTACGGATTCAAAGGCTGCTTGCTGATGGATTTCTTTCCTGTGCATAGTATGGCAAACTTGTCCGCTGCTGTTCACAGAGATACAAAGCCGCAGAGGGTCGACACGATGCTGATCCCTAAGCAAGGCGCAGGATGCTGCATGGTGGTAATCTCCGGGTCTGGTACGTTGTTCAAAGTCTTAGATCTGGTGGAGCCTGAAAGCTTAGAGCAAGATCTCTCATTCTTGAAGCGCCCCTCCCAGTCCCCGAGTCTGGGATCGGATCGCGTTCAAAAGCTTCTCGTGCATAAGGCAGATGCCGCTGGAAACCCTTTTTTGACGCCGCTATGCAATCCTTTGCCGTCTCTACTGCATGTACAGCTCCCTAGCACATTCCCATGGGTGGTTGGACCGTATCTGTGCCGTTTCAAAGGAAGAACGTTCGGCAGATTGAATCCTTAGGGTTTCCCTAGATAGTGTCCTTCGATAAGGTTTTGCTTGACTTACAGAGCTAAAGAAATCAAAATCAAACATCGGTTCCTAATACCTACCGGGCGCCTATCATTCCGCAGACGCTTAGCCGGTGACCGATCGCAAAGCATGATATTGCCTTCTAGTGGTCTCCAAAACGGCCAATGTGTTGCATACGCCAGTCAGCCCGTAGCGATGCACAACAGCTGCTCTTTGGTATAGGTGTGAAGTGAAGTCACCGACAGCAGTAAGCGAAGTAGCCAAACAGTGTACAGGGGTAGCGCCATTCAGAGGACTCATGCTGACTATTGCTCCATCGCCAGCAGGAATGTGTCACACAACATTTATTCGCGTAGAAAGATCTGACATGCTCTCTGTGTTGGTAACCAAGAGAGCAGAAGACAGCAACTACCCGTTCCGTCACGAAGGTTTCATTAACAGCACAGGAATTGACTTGTTCATCCGCTCTTATGAGCGTTCACTGTCATTCCTCGAAGACCTAGATCATCATTTGTTGCCTCTGGTGCAAATTACAAGGCTCGACACTCTAGTAACCTCCGAATGCTTGTTACCATCGCTGTCCAATTTTGCGGTGCTAGGTTGGAAAGCAGGCTCGCTGCGGACAGGCCACATTACTAAGCTGTATGGGCTCTCCTACATCAACAATGGCTGACATAACTGCCCGACAAGTGTGTCGTTGGAGCAGTCGACCTTTAATAGTATACCAAGGCGAGCCTATGGGCATAGGTCTGGTGACTTGGCCTCTGACGACCCTAGAAGCTGCCAAAGACCTCTCGAGAAGCCATCGTCGGGCCTCCTATGCGACAATGCCACGCAACTCGCGAGGGCACCGACAATCCCGCCCCCCAACTCGCAAAGTTGCGAGCGAAGCCTAGTCAGCTTCGTTCAGAGCCATCGGCGCGTGTCGTTGTTTCGTTGCTTGAACCCGCATCCTTTCCGCTCGGTCCTGACATGCAAAGTGCATCGGATATACAGTCTATTGGGGCGGATTGCAGATACAATATTTGCTACCACAGCCGAGGATGGGGGCCACTTCCTGGCCGTTAAGGGAAAATGCATCATCAACGAGGCCCCCCATGCCGGCAAGGTGGGGTGGGCTTTTGAAGGCCTGTAGAGCGTCGCCAGAGTCCCCAACGGAGACTTGCTGAGCCAAGCCGGAAACTTTGATGTTGGCTTGGGTACGCGAGGCTGTATGACAAAGGGTCAGCAGGTCAAAATTGATAAAAGAGGAAGCCTCCTGGACGTCTTGACGATCCTGCTCCGTTCCAGGACCTCAGTTCTGCTTCCCTTCCCAGCCTGCGTTCTACACGACTCTGATTGTTCACCATGGCCCCACGTTCGCATGTCTGTTGCGTGCCATTCCCTGGTGCTGGTCATGCGGTCAACATGTTCAACATCGCGGTGACTCTCGCAAATCCCAACATGCCTGTACACACATTCGTCCTCTCGAGACGAGAAGCTGAAAAATGGCTTGCAGCCACGGGTCAGTCCAAGAATGACTACGTAACAATTGAAGTCCTTGCGGACGGCAAGTGGGAAGACTGGCACGCCGATCAAGCCATGGACTACTTCCGGTTGCTGCAGAGCCCTGAATTCTCAACAGCGGTGGAAGCCGCCGTCCTGGCTGTCGAAGAAGCATTTCCAGAAGATGTCTGCGCAGCACTGGTGTTCAATCCCACCATGGGTTCGCTGGGGAGCGTAGCCTCCAGGCGTGGATTGCGGCCATACTTGCTCGTGCCTACTCCTTACTATATGATACGTGTTGGAAGTTGTCATTCCGAGGGCGTGCCATTGACAACCAAACATCTCCTCAATGGTATTGGCGGCAGCGAAACGCCTGTTGAGGTCGAGGTGGGAGACGCTATGGATCTTACCACTCCGATGTGGTATCAGGTGATCAAGCCATTGTTTGAGAATTCTGCAGGTCTCATATACTCGAACACAAACATCGGTCTTGAGGGGGGCGAGTTCCAGCAGCCACACCTCCCAACGCGAAATGACGCCCTCAAACCCGTCTTCATGGTCGGTCCTATCTTGCCCCAATGGTATGAAAATGCTCTAGAAGACCCGACAGCTAAAGACGAATATTTGGCCAAAGCAGCGGAAAAGGATCCGTGTATACAATTTCTCGACGCACATCAGCCGAAGTCGGTTGTATACATCGCCCTTGGTAGTCATGTGGAGTTGGAGCAATGGCAGGCGGAAGCGATCATAAAAAATCTTCGCAAGCACAATGTACGATGGATCTTGTTGTATCGGAATGATACACAATCCATGAGACAAGCTCTTGGCGGCGACGATATACACGATGGTGTTGTGACTCCATGGGCGCCTCAGCTGGAGATTATGATGCATTCTGCCATCAAATGCGTGCTCTCGCACGGCGGCTTTGGCACAATGGTGGAAGGCGTCTATGCTGGCCAATGCTTCATCACGAGTCCTTGCGCTTCAGACCAGTTCATTGATTCGAAAGTCATGCTAAACTTGGGCATTTCGCTGGGGACGCTGGCGGTAAATAAGCATGTTTCTGTTGCGCAAATGCCGAAAATGGTGCCCATCTGGTCGGATGACAGTGGCAAGCATGTTGAGAAGCTTTTCGACCACGTGTTTGGAACCAGCGACGGCGATCGAGCGTTACAGACCGCACGAGAGGCCTCTCTAGCGCTTCGGAGGCGTATGAAAGAGGCGAAGATGCAAGACGGGGTGACACGTTTGGAGGACTTGCGTAAAGACATTACCAGTGTTAGCTAGGGGCCCCAGCGTTTGTTCCTGAGCTTTATCATGGGACCTTGGTGAATTCTCGAGATCTGACAGACTCACCGTGTGAAGCAGGAGCAAACGCGCAGGATTTTGCCGTCATTGTAGCAGCGTTCAGTCCTTCATTGCATTTGTCTCGCCTGAGCAGGTGGGCATCAAACTAGATGAAGCAGAAGCACGAAAATCAATACTGGCTAGAGACAGCTTCAAAGCTCAATGATACAGGCTCTCTTGGCAATACAAATGCGGTGTTGCAGTACATGAGCAGCGGGGCGAGCAATGGGCACTCAGTTTCAGTAGATGAGCTGCCGTGAACGGCCAGGAAACCCCAAAGAAATCTTCTGGGTCTCAAAATGAGCGCCCCTCCAAACTCATCACGACATCTTCGTTCTTCACACCTGGAAACATATCAGCTTCGGCACCTGAGGTACCAAAGCTCCCCACGACAAGATTTCCCTTATCGTCCACCTCATCCTCAGTCTCGTCGTCGTTAATACCAACCTTCGTCAAAATGAAGGACTCTACCTCCTTCTGGTTGATCTGCATGATGTCGTTGGCAGCATTACCCTTCGTTTCCTTGATGTTGCCGTACCTTTTGCTAATCTTCCCATTTTGCGCTTTCTTCCAGAGACTGTGTGAATCTGCCACATAGATGAGGCTATTCTGTCGGTACCAGCTGGTAATCCAGGCATTACTACCAACAGGCCGTACTGGATTGACGCTAATGAAGCCAATAACCGCCGCAATGTTTTGGTAAAGTGTTTCTGATTCAGAAAGAAGCTTCGCAATTGCGTGGAAAGCGTTGCCAACGCCAACTAGCACAACGCGCTCGTTCTCACCAGGCTCAATGTAGTTGGTGTAGAGATAGTTGATGAGCTTTTCCCCCTCAAGGCGTGCAGCGTCAGTCTCGGATGAGGCGTATGAGACAGACGCTTCGAGATTTTCGGGGTCTTCACCTGCGGGTGTGATGTATTCTGGGATGTTGACGTCGATCACACCATAGTTCTGGGAAAGTGCCCATTGAATATACGACGCAACCCCGTCGACAATGCTGGCGGTATGCGGAGAGATAAGATTGGTGGTGCGGCCACCCGGGGTGTAGAGGTCGGGGGGGTCATGAAAGATGACGAGCAGCACTCTTTGCTTATTATACTCTGGCGTAGCAAGAACCTGCTCTTCAAATGATGACGAGATACCAGATCGAAAGATCTGCAGCTTGGTCATACCAAATTTCTCGTACAACTGCTTTGCTTGTGCCTGCCTCAGGATATCATGGAGTGGTGATGCAATGACAATATAATGCGGATCCTTGGGTTTCAGGCAGTTCCAGTATGCTGATTGGATGTGCCTCACCTTCTCCACAGTCTCAACTGCACGGTCTGTTGCTCTAGTGGCTTCTAAGCGATCTGGTGGCTCGCCCATTAGTGTGCGAGTCACAGCAAGCGCAGACTTCGAGATAGCCTGAAAATTGTAGCCGCCTTCGAGACAGACAGCAACCTTTCCATTGGCCAACGACATAAGCATGTGTGTCATATGGGCATAGCATGGGGGCGTGACAAAGCACCCGCCAAGCTCATCGCCCGCTGCGGCGTCAAAGCCGGCAGCCACAATAACGAGGTCTGGATTGAACTCTGTTGCTATGGGCATGACCAGATGCTGAAATGCATACACTAGAAGGCAATATTAGCTTCCTGTCACAGTAAAGATCGAGAGGAACGCACTGTAGTCACCATCTCCCATGCCCTTGGTAGGCCAAGGGATGTTCACATTCTTGCCAACACCATAACCTGTACCAACCTTATCCATTGCGCCATCTTGTGTTGAAGGGTAGAATTTGCCATCCATATGGACGTGTAACGAGATGTAGAGGATGTTGGCGTTGTCATAGAAAGCCTTTTGGCAGCCATTGCCATGGTGAACGTCCCAATCCAGGATGAGGATTTTCCGACAACTCTCACCAAAGTCTTCCTGACAGACTCGTGAGGCAATACAAACATTGTTGAAGAGGCAGAAACCCATGGTCGCATTGACTTCAGCGTGGTGACCAGGTGGTCTGATAACGGCAATGGCGTTTTTGACAGTTTTCTGCTCGAAAACGGCCTTGCATGTCTCAACGGCGCCTCCAGCGGATAGTTTCGCCGAGAAAAAGGACAATGAGTTGAAGTAGATAGAGTCCATATGAATATCCTCTGAAAGATCAATTAGTTGTTCGTCGTTCATATCCGCCGTGGCTTTGACAAAGTCCCAGTGGAATGGCGCAGTATGCACAAGTTCCACCTCGGCTCTAGTGGCCTCGCGTGCTGGGATCCTTCTCAATGGTTGATCGACGATTAGATCTGCTTTATCGCCAGTATCGACCAGACCCGCCTGACAGAGCTCTCGGTAGATGTAATAGATCCGACGGGGATCCTCGGGATGAACATTCTCGCCAGTAGTCGCCGAAACTTCTGAATGATACCTCATTCTCTCATCATAACACAGGCCAGTGGGCAGGGATGAAATGGCAAGCCCTTGCATCGTAACTCGGAGTTCATCGGAGTCATCTTCTAAAGAGGAGTCCTCGTCGCCATATTCCTCGCCATAGCTCTCGGGATCATCAGAACTGTCAGAAATATCGAGCTGTTCTGCCAGCGCATGGGAGATTTCGGGTGTATTTCCCATTCCCAGGTTATTGACCGTAGGATTGTCCGGGCGTGACCCATTGTTGATGGGCAGGCTGCTCTGTATTGGAGAGTCTAGCATTGGCAGCGGTCCAGTGTTATGGTAGGCCATGCCCAGTGAGCGCGATATGGACGCAATGTGAAGGTAGAGTACTGATGATGGCTCACGAAGACACTTCTGAAAGATGTCACAAACGCCTCCCGCTAAGCAAATCGCGAATGCAGGCAAAAAGTAAAACAAAGGCGCAATTCCAGTGGCCACTTGGAGCAATGATCAATAGACACGAAACAGTGAAGCGTTGCGCTCGCGGAGGTGATGCACAGCGTATGTCAACCAGATGTTGTCTGGGAGGCAGGAACGAAATACGCTAAGCGGCAATAGCCATCGCCAAGCCTATGCCTTGCGGCGTATGAAGTCACGTGTGTGCCAACACCAGGCTGCGATTTGGAGACATTCAATGGCTTGAGTGGGTGTTACCGCATTCCTCCGCCAATCCGGACTCAACCACTACCAAGCCATCGAAAGTAATCACGGAAAGAGTGAGGGCGGGAAAGGTTTGGAGGATGGCATAAGTGTATGGATCCATTGTTGATACTGCTTTTTCATTTCGATACTACTCATGAAACGTGATCATCTATGCTCAGGGCCACTGAGGCCCAGGGTGGACGGTGGTAGTTCTCAAGTCATGACAGCCCAGACCAGACCCCTTCTCCGGATCTACACTTCGCCTGTTGTGCGGCCGGCTGGCTGCCCGCACTTAGGACTTGGCATCAACCTGTGCAATGTATGCTGTGCGGAGTCAGTACTCGTCATCCGATATTTCCCGAACGTGGATGATACATACCGAGAAGATCCAGAACACGGCGAGAGTAGCCCCACTCGTTGTCGTACCAAGAGACGAGCTTGACAAAGTGGTCATTGAGGGCGATACCGGCCTTCGCATCGAAGATGGAAGAGTGGTTGTCTCCATTCAGGTCGGTGGAGACGATCTCGTCCTCGGTGAAAGCGAGGATGCCTGCATTACATATTAGCAAATGCCGCAATATTGACGGAAAGAATCGGCCTCACCCTTGAGCGGACCCTCCGATGCATCCTTGATGGCCTTCTTGATCTCCTCATAGCTGGCGGGCTTCTCGAGCACACAGGTCAGGTCGACCACGGAGACATTGGCGGTAGGGACACGCATAGACATGCCAGTGAGCTTGCCGTTGAGAGAGGGAATGACCTTGCCGACAGCCTTCGCAGCACCGGTGCTGGAAGGGATGATATTCTGAGCGGCGGTACGGCCACCACGCCAGTCCTTGCCTGAAGGACCGTCGACAGTCTTCTGAGTGGCGGTGTAGGAGTGAATGGTGGTCATGAGACCTTCCTTCATGCCGAAGGTGTCGTTGATGACCTTGGCCAGGGGAGCGAGGCAGTTGGTTGTGCAAGAGGCGTTTGAGATGACAGGGATGTCGGACTTGTATTCCTTGTTGTTGACGCCCATGACGAACATGGGAGCATCAGCAGAGGGAGCAGAGATGACAACTTTCTTCGCGCCGCCCTTCAAGTGAAGAGAGGCCTTTTCTGTGGTGGTGAAGACGCCGGTAGACTCAACAATGTAGTGGGCGTTGGTCTCGGACCAAGGGATCTCGGAAGGGTCTTTCTTCATGTAGAACATGACTTTCTTGCCATTGACGATGAGGTGGTCGGAGCCGACTTCGATGGTGCCCTTGAACTGGCCGTGGGTTGAATCGTACTTGAGCATGTACGCCTGCGGGGTTTGTCAGAGCTGCAGTCGGCAGACAGTATTGCGGGTTGACTTACAGCATACTTGGGCTCGATGAACGGGTCGTTGACAGCGACAACCTGAACGTCATCGTGCTCAACCCTGTTTCACGCCGTCAGTATTGGCGGGAAGGGTGGGATGATGAGAGCACCCACGCGTTGCGGTAGACCTGCGGGGAGGTTAGTTCTCAGCACGTCACGAGGAGCAGGCCGAAGGCAGACTTACAATACGACCAATGCGGCCGAAACCGTTGATGCCGACTTGAGTGACCATGTTGGCGGTGCTGAAAATTGATCTACGGCACGAGGCGCAGCGTGTTAGTAGCGTGGTGTGAGAGAGGGATGAAAGGAAACAGTTAGCTGCGGGGATGGTCAACTTACGACACGGTACTATTGAAAGTTGGTAAGCGTGAATGTCGTCTGGATTCAAGAAGAGAAAATCAGTCGGGAGCAGGACGACGGGAACGTTTTGTAGAGCAAAAGGATGCGATGAAGGACCAAATTATGGTGGGGCAGCTACGATGAGCTGTTGACCTCTCGACAGAAGGCACTTTGACGCGGTTTGGAGGGGCAACCGTAATGGAGCGCTGCCGGGCTTGGCACACGCAAAAGCAAATCCCGATTTGGGGACTCACGATAATTGTGAGGAACTTCAAGCCTCGTGGACTCGCAGAGTGTGATGATGTGGAACTGCTCGTAGTAGATGTCTCCCTGGCGTCAGATCGCTGTCCCAGCCCCTTTTTATACTGCTGAGCGACAATTCACATGAGCTCCTGATTGTGATTCATGAGGACGGCTGAGCGTGCATCTTGATAATCACTCACTTCTGACATCAAAAGACAGCACAAGCGACAGCCCGCAGCCAATCATGCCGGCCCCGTCGCTGGCAAAGCGGCTTCCAGGCTGGTATCATCGTTATTCCGTTCCGTGCGCCGATGCTGCCGGTTCCAATGAGTAAGATGTAGTGTGTACAACAGAGGCAGAGCTTGTAGGTCAATCACATGTCCCGAGATGCTGGAAACGGGGGCGATGGCTAGATGATTGTCTTTCTATGTGCTGTTGGTATCATTGTTCAACGTTTTGTTGGGTGCTGTAGATAGATTCGGTCACTCTTCCTTGGCTCCGCCGCGTCCAGCGCGCTCCGCAGCTTCGACAGATGCCTTGTCAGTGACGGGCGCACCCTGTCCCATGTTCATCATGCCTCCCGCCGCTTTCCACGGACGCTTCAGCTCACCGGCCGCAGGCTTGCCCAAGATGTGGACCTTGACCAGGTTGCTCTCAAATGCACCCTTCAGGGGGATGATGGACTGGATGAGGAGCGGGTTGGTGTATTTCATATACACATGCATGAAGGCCATCATGGCGCAACCCATCAGCTGCTGCTTGTACTGCGCGGCCACCTGATTGCTGTCATACTCTTGGATGGTGGTGGTGACCAGCTTCGGCTCTTCGCCAGAGCCCATCGGAGCAGGCTCGACATACTTGAGAGTGGTGAGGTCTGGTACACAGTCAGTCTCTGTTTCTTTCAGCCACGTCGTGTAGCACAGCGTACCTCGTTTGCTCTTGATCTTCATCCCGATATAGTAATACAGCCCGAAGATGACGAGGTTGGACACGACGTAGAGGATGCGCACACCCAGCAGTACTTGCGGGTCGTCGAAGGGAATCTTTTTAGACACCTGCATCATTCCCAGGATGATGACCAGGTTGGTACTGCCAACAAGTTAGCCGCTGAAACGAGCCCACGCGCAGGCGATCCAGGAGTACTGACATTTGCGGGGAGAGAGCCATCGTTGCGTGCTTTGCTGGAGCTGTCCGTAGAGTATGTCGATAACGTGATAGAAAGTGCAAGGGCGCCGGGGAGTAGTTGAAAGAGATATACGAGAGTACCTGCTAGGTTGCAATCTGGCCAGATTCGCGCAGTTGGAGAGAAATGGGAGAGCACCTAAGAAAATATCGCCATCGCCGAGGCCAAGCCACAGGTGCCACCCCAGCCTCTCAAAGCCCTCAGCCTCATAGCCTCTGGCGCCGGCGCCTTCCCGGAGCTGGACCGCAAGCATTAGGCAAGCGCTCGCCGTTCCCACTCCCCTCTGGGAGCCATCCATACGGACCAACAACGATCCTTTCCACAGGCAGCCACCTTGTGCTAGCAGGTGGAAGTAAAGACGCTCACCTTCTGTTGTTGCCTAGCCGAATATCAGCACTTCAATCAGGGTCCAGTCACAGATCGCCCTGCAGCCTTCATTCTGTCGGCATCTGCTCCCAGCATTTTTATTCCGTAGACACAAAAGACGACTCGACCTCGCCCACAGTACTCTTGCACCCGTTCTTCTGCAGTATTAATGGCGAGTTCTACTTTTGCCTTTTAGAGAATCTGTTCACGCACCCGATCCTCAATGGGCAAAATGCTGGCATCTAACCTCGAGGTGATGACTGCTGACAGTGCCGGACTTTACTGACTTCGAGCTCCAAGTCCGTTGTCTTGCAGTAGCCGTTGCACTCTCAAGCGCACAATGTGTAACTCGGCGATAATGCTCATTCTGAGACTATGGACAGTCGAAGGTATAAGTTAACTTCACTCTCGTGAATCACCCCCGTCGAAATTGCAGCACGTGTGTCCGCATCAGACTCATCAACAATCCAACATGTCAAGTTTTGGCTTCGAGACGACAGGAGCTGAAGTGGTGGAAGCATTCTCTGACCACGTCCGAGATCGAACATGTGCGTGCCACGGATTATCATCTTCGACACCACTAACCTGCTCAGTCCTCATTACCGGTCCTAGCCCCGATGGCATCGGTGCAGAGACTGCATCCTGCCTCGCTAAAGCTCAGCCACGGTTGATCGTCCTCGCCGGTCGATCGCCAGCGAAGATTCAACCTGTTATCGATGACATCGAAGCGTTCCAGGTACCGGTTGAGTTCGTGAGGCTGGACCTCAGTGACCAAAACTCGGTGCGAGGCGCTGTCGACACTCTCAGGCAGCGAGGTACCAAGATCGATGTGCTCATCAACAATGCAGCCATTATGGCATGCCCATATGCACTCACAACCGATGGCATCGAGATGCAATTCGCCACAAATCACCTCGGGCCTTTCCTGTTCACCAATCTGCTTCTGCAAGCAAATCTCATCACGGAGCGCATTGTCAATCTCAACAGCTCGGCATCTGTTCGCAGTGCCAGCTACCTCCTTGAACCACTCAGTGATATGACGTACGGAAACGGCAAGTCGTACGATGCGGTACGTGCCTACGGCACTTCCAAGATGGCCGTATTGCTCTATACGCGAGAGCTCGCAGCAAAACTCAGGCCTCGTAACATCTCCGTCTTCACACTCAATCCGGGAAGCATCAAGTCTCCCCTTCAACGGTATATGAGTGACGAAATGCGCCAGGCAGCTCTTGCCACCGCGAGAAGGGAGGATCCAGATTTTGTGGTTCCTGTCCGGAAAACGCTGCAGCAGGGGTGCTCAACACAGCTCAGGGCCGCATTGGACCCCTTCCTAGTGGCTCAAACGGGGGCATATCTTGATGACTGCCAGGTGGTCGAACCACAGGTGCACAAGGACGCTTATCCAGCAACCGCGAATGTCTGGAAGCTCAGCGAAGAAATGACGGGAAGCGCATTCGGGTCGTGATCGATATTGACTTCGACAGCACGAAAATGCTTTAATGCTTCAATGGACCGTGCGGCGGACGGGATCGAATCATGGCTATCTTCACACATAGGTGCCTCGGTATCTCATTAGCCAAGACGGTATGCATTGCGTATAGCTGATATCATCGGGATTTAGCTGCTCTTTGGACGAATTTACCTCGGTCGTAACACCAGAAGAAGCGGCTTGTGCGGGTACAGATGTGCAGGGAATCGAATTGACGGGCCTTGGCTACCCCCGATGGTGCGTTCGGCGGAGCGAAGAGGCGAAACCTTTGGCGAGCATGCGTGTTGGTTCCGCCAGACGTCGGCACCGCCAAGTTGTTTAGTGGGCTGGGCGATCAGCTTTCCCGCCGTGCACTCCAATCATCGCCCGCAAGCGGACCTTTTGGGTGGACGCAATGAACATCTGGGGTCGCAATCCCCGTGGGACACCGCCCCGGAGAATGCAGACACGAGGTGAAACATCCCCAGCCTGGCAGCTGGCTCTCAATGCTTGCGCTTGTGCATGTGCTTTATGTATATAAATCATCCCGTGCCGTTCTTGCAACCCGCTTCCGTTGCCTACACTCCTACAGTCGATCTTATACCCAGTTGCATATCATGGCTACTACTTCCGATAGCAGGCCGACATCCTCGCCTGACTCTGCCCGTGACCCAGAGAAGGCGGATGATGTTACTCACAACGAGGCAGCCTCTGCTGTCGGCAGTCCTGTTGTCAAAGGCCTGGATGAGGATGAAGAGTTCACCCCAGCAGAACAGCGCAAGATTATTCATCGGATTGACCGCCGACTCATTTCTACCACCGGCATCATGGTAAGTTCTGCACCAACCGGGTTATCCTGTGCGGAAAAGCTGGCCCTTTCGCCACAGACGTTCATTTGGCCCATCGTCCGCTGGCTCCCCTGTTCCCATCATATCTTCGTCCAGCTACTCCAGAACCACTCTAACCAGACGCCAGTACTGCATCTCGCTCATGGATCGAACCAATTTGTCTGCTGCAGCCATTGCCGGAATGCTGGTAGACCTTGAGCTCGTTCAGACCCGCTATGTAAGCGACTGTTCAAAGATGTGAGAGGCTTCGACTCACATGTGCAGAACATCATCACGCTCGTATTCTTCATAACCTATGTCATCTTCCAGCCACCAGCGACTGTGCTCTGCCGCAAGATCGGCCCTCGTCCATTCCTTGCGTCCATTACCTTCGCGTGGGGTGCTGTGATGATCGGCTTTGGATTCCCGCAGCAATGGACAGCTATGATCGGGCTTCGTATGCTTCTTGGTATCTTTGAGGCAGGCTTTTTTCCTGGTATGTTGACTCGACCATCAAAGTGTGCATGCTCATGCTCATGCTCATAACCTCAGGTTGCGTGTATCTCATTTCGACGTGGTTGGTTACCCTCCAAATCTTTAGACGGATCCAGAGAACCTGTTCGGTCTTCTCGCGACGCTGGTCCGATGAGCTACCTTCAGTCTGTTCTCTATGCGCCATCATTCTCCCACAGCTGGAAAGAGCTTGCTGACGCTTCTCAGGTATGTTCGCTATGACCTGCAGAAGCGGTATTCCGTCTTCTACTTGATTGGATGCGTGGCTTCAGCTTGCAGCGGCATTCTTGCGTATGGTCTGATGCAGATGGTTAGTTGTCTCTGTTTGAGCCTTGATTGTACCCAAGCTGATACACAAACAGCAAGGTGTCGCGGGATATAACGGCTGGCGCTGGATCTTCATCATGGAGGGTATCTTGACGTGCCTTGTTGGCGTCGGCGGATACTTCGCGTTGGTGGACTTCCCAGACCGAGCTGCGAAGACGGCTTGGAGGTTTCTCGACGAAAGAGAATGCAACTTTATCATCCGTCGCGTGGGCAGAGATCGAAGCGATGCTGAGGTCGAGCCTTTTAGCCTCAAGAAGTGGGCGGCCGCTGGTTTGGATCCGGTCATTTGGGGGTTTGCCTTGATATTCTTCTCGATCACGACCGTCACATACGCCATTGCGTACTTCCTGCCCATCATTCTGCGCGAGGGCATGGGCTTCTCAATCGCCGCGTCGCAATGTCTGGTTGCGCCACCCTACATCTTCGCAGGTATCATCATGTTTGCCACTGCATGGGTTGGGGACAAATACCATATTCGAGGGCCGATTCTGTGCTTCAACGCGACGCTCGCACTGATCGGGCTTCCTATCATGGTAAGTCTGAATCGATAGATCGTCAACAAGAACTAATATGTACAGGGCTGGCATTCGAACAACAACGTGCGCTACTTTGGCGTATTTCTGGTCACAGCTGGGGCCAATGCAAATATTCCCACCGCCATGGCCTACCAAGCAAATAACATCCGCGGGCAATGGAAGCGGGCGTTTTGCAGTGCCACGCTGGTAGGCTTCGGCGGCATTGGTGGCATTGCCGGCTCTTTGGTGTTTCGCAGCCAGGATTCACCTCTTTACCGGCCCGGTTGTTACGCTGCGATCGCGTGCAACCTGCTCATCATCACCGTTGTCTGTGTGAACACGGTCTACTTTCGGATCTGCAACAGAAAGGCAGAGAATGGGGAGATGTTAATTGAAGGGCTGCTGAATTTCAGGTATACTTACTGAGTAGGGATCGCTGAGACTCTTGCGTGTCTGAGGTCTCGACAATGTATGACGCGTGCAGCAAGTGAGAGCCTGTGTCGTTCTTAGGCACCAATGACCGAGATCGATCCGCGCGTCGCGATCTCACTCTCTGGGCCGTAGCCTTGTACAGCCTCGTCGGGGTAAATGAGGACGTTATGGAATTCGAGTCGAGTCGTGCCTAGTCCATGTCACCCACCGTTGCTGGGATAACGACAAATAATCCTCCTTCTGCTGGTGGTCATCTGCTGTTGTCGTAATTGCTCTGCTGCCTTGCTTCACCACGCTAGCCGCCCGCGCTCAGGCCAGCCTACCAAGACGTCTGTCCGTCATTGGGTGGACATCTAATTGATGCGCTTCCTTCGCTTACTCACACGACCGTTCAGCTGCCATCGTCTGTCGCTACTCGCACAAGACCATCCGAACTCTCTGCGACCTGCTCTCCGCTTGAAATCTGTCTATCCACCGCTTTCCCATTGTGCATCGACCTGCCGAACCTTTGCGACTGTCATGCATCCGGTGAGAAGAATAGCAGACCGCTTGGAAAAGCCTGAGACCGACGACCGAGAGTACAGAGTGATCGAGCTGCCCAATAAGCTCGAGGCACTTCTAGTACATGACAACAAGACCGACAAAGCCAGCGCGGCTCTCAATGTCAATGTCGGAAACTTTAGTGATGAGGAGGATATGCCTGGCATGGCCCACGCGGTCGAGCATCTTCTCTTCATGGGCACTGAGAAGGTGAGCACAACTCGTGAATGAGGAAAGCAGCACTGACACAAACCAGTATCCCGTAGAGAACGAATACAGCTCCTACCTGTCATCAAATTCGGGGTATTCGAATGCCTACACCGCCGCAACTCAGACCAACTACTTCTTTGAATGCGCCGCTGTTCACGAAAGCGACCAGGGAGGCAATGGTGCTTCCAATGGCGCATCTGCACAGACCAATGGCGTCGTCAACGGCGCGACCAAAGGCCCGCTCTATGGTGCCCTGGACCGATTTGCGCAGTTCTTCGTTAAGCCACTGTTCCTCGAGAACACCCTCGATCGAGAAATGCGAGCTGTGGACTCTGAGAATAAGAAGAACCTCCAGAATGATATGTGGCGCCTGTCGCAGCTGGCAAAATCTCTATCCAACCCAAAGCATCCTTATCACCACTTTTCCACTGGCAATCTGAAAACGCTGAAGGAAGAGCCGGAGAAGAGAGGAGTCAAGATCCGAGATGAGTTCATACGCTTCTACGAGGAGCATTACTCTGCCAACCGCATGAAACTAGTTGTGCTCGGCCGAGAATCCCTGGATGAGCTCGAGGACTGGGTCGTGGAGCTCTTCTCCGAAGTCAAGAACAAAGATCTGCCGCAGAACAGATGGGATGTCGAGCATCCTCTGACCGCGAACGAGCTTTCTACGGAGATCTTTGCGAAGCCAGTCATGGAGTCGCGGTCGCTCGAGATCAGCTTCCCATGGCAGGACGAGGACGAGATGTACGAAACGCAGCCCGCTCGGTTTATTAGCCATTTGATCGGTCACGAAGGGCCCGGAAGCATCCTCGCCTATCTGAAGGACAAAGGCCTAGCCAACAGCTTGTCTGCTGGCTACCACACTGTTTGTCCTGGTACCGCCTTTTTCGAGATTGACATCAGCCTCACGCCGGAGGGCCTCAAGAACTACCGCGATGTTGTTAAGCATGTCTTCCAATACATCAGCATGATGAAGGAGAATCCACCTGTCGATTGGATGCATGAGGAGATGAAGAACATGGCTGAGGTAGACTTCCGTTTCCGCCAGAAGTCGCCCGCCAGTCGGTTCACCAGCGGCACCAGCAGCGTAATGCAGAAGCCCTTGCCTAGGGAGTGGCTGTTGAGCGGCATCAGCAAGTTCCGCAAGTTCGACCCCGAGGCTATCGTGCATGCTATGCAGTCCTTAAAGGATGACAACTTTCGCCTGATGGTTGTGAGCCAGGATTACCCCGGTGATTGGAACCAGAGGGAGAAATGGTACGGCACAGACTTCAAGGTGCAGAAGTTCCCTCTCGAGATCAAGGAGGAGTTTCGCAAAGCTCTCTCCGCCCCAGCCAGTGATCGCCCTGAAGAGCTTCATTTACCGCACCGCAACGAGTTCATTCCTACACGGCTGGATGTCGAGAAGTTGGATGTCAAAGAGCCTACGAAGACTCCAAAGTTGCTCCGGAACGACGACAAAATGCGGCTTTGGTGGAAGAAGGATGACTCTTTCTGGGTTCCGAAAGCGAATATCAACATCCTGCTTCGCAACGGGCTAACCTATGCCACACCCGCTAACTACGTCAAAACTGTCCTTTTCACGAGTATGGTCAAAGATGCTCTCAATACGTACTCGTACGATGCAGAGATTTCGGGCCTAGTCTATAACGTTGTTGCTGATCCTTCTGGTATGAACATCCTGGTCCATGGCTACAACGACAAGATGGCGGTGCTGCTTGAGAAGATCCTTCTTACTGTTCGCGACCTCGAGTTCCGCCAGGATCGTTTCGATATCATAAAAGAGCGCAAGATCCGGCAGTATAAGAATTGGGACTATCAGCAACCATATCACATCATTGGCGATTACACACGGTGGTTGCTGAATGAGAAGGCCTGGATGACCCATCAGTACGCTGCGGAACTGCCACATGTTACTTTGGAAGATCTTCGATCCTTCTCACCTCAGCTCATTAGCCAGGCGCACATCGAAGTGCTGGCCCACGGCAATCTACATCGTGATGAGGCAAAGAAAATCGGCAGCCTCATCGAAGTCACTCTGACGCCTCGCGCCTTGCCAGTGTCACAGTGGCAGATGCGGCGCAACATGATCCTCCCTCAAGGCTCAAATGCGATCTACAAGACATCACTAGTCGACCCGGAGAACGTGAACCATGGCATTGAATACTATGTACAGGTCGGTCAGGTGATGGATATCAGTTTGCGCTCCAAACTCCAGCTGTTCGCTCAGATCACCGAAGAGCCAGCTTTCGATCAATTGCGAACAAAGGAGCAGTTGGGCTATGTTGTGTGGTCTGGCGTGCGTCCCGCGGCAACGATGATGGGCTATAGGATTCTCATTCAGTCTGAACGCGATCCAGAGTACCTGGAAAGCCGATGTGACGCCTTCATGCTCAAGATGCGATCTTATGTCGAAGACATGAGTACTGAAGACTTTGAAGGTCACAAGCGAAGCTTGATAAACAAGCGTTTGGAACGCTTGAAGAATCTCGACTCCGAGACCAGCCGTCTCTGGGGCTATGTGAGCAACGAGTACTTCAACTTCTTCCAGGTTGATCGTGATGTTGAGTCTATTCGCAAGCTCACGAAGCAAGATATTGTGGACTTCTACACCAATTTCCTCGCTCCGGAGAGCTTGACGAGAGCCAAGCTTGCCATTCACCTCGAGGCGCAGCAGCAGGCCCCCACAGAGGTCGAAGTCGATACTGCCGCACAGAAGCAGCAGTTCGTGCAGGTATTGCTCGAGGTCGTGACCACAGTTGACGGTACCGTCGATGAAGCTCAATTGGCAGCTTCTTTGAAAATTGTGGACGTTGCGAATATGGCCGCAGTGGTGCAAGCAGTCAAATCATCGGTCTCCGAAGCGAAAGCAGCTGAGGTTGTGAACCAGCTCGAGCAGGCCATTCCACAGGTCTATCTTGCCCTGAAGATCGTCCCCAAGGCTAAGAGTAGCGACGCGGAGGCCGTCAGTGACGGCGACAAGACTCCTGAAGTGGAGTTGTTGGCACCAACAGTTATCGAGGACGTGGTGAGATGGAAGGCCGGTCTGGAGGTTAGCCGTGGACCTGTCGCTGTGGCCGACTTGAAGGACTTTGAGGAGAGCGAGCCGAAGCTGTGAAGAGGAAGTCATTGGATGGGCCAGGACGGAGCACGAGAAATGACACATGGGGCATAGCGTATCGTCGCGCCGCCTTCTGCTTGATGTTTGGCGCCAGTGGTACCGAGTTAGACTGGCCTCAGGCATGGAAAGAAGCCCAATGTCCGCGAGGACGATCATATGAGGCGTTTAATAATTAGTTGCATCTACACTACTGGCAGAGGATCGTCATCTTGAGTAGAAAAGCACGGTGTTTCTGTCTGTTCGGCAGTCGTATCATTTCCACATCTGGTGGAAGGAATCGTACCTATCTACCTAAAAGCTCGGCGCGTTCAAAGCCATGACGCACAACAGTCCACTAATAAGCCCTGCAATCGGCAGTGTCAGTACCCATCCCATCATGATGAAAGCCAGCTGTCGCCAGTTGACAGCCCTGGGGTCGAGGTTCATGAGTGCCACACCCATACACGCTCCCACTAAGCACTGCGTCGTGCTTACCGGCAGACCCAGTCGACTCGCCAACAACACCGTAATCGCAGCTCCGAGCTCCACCGAGTAGCCTCGCGTCGGACTCATCTGCGTAATCTTGTTTCCCAGACAGCGGATGATGTGAAAGCCGTAGAACCAGAAACCTGCGCCCAACAGGAAACCGGCGATGACCAGCATCCATATGGGCGTGCCGCTAGTGGTGTCAACCTCTCCGCTCTGGTAGGTAGCGTACGAGGCGCTCAGCGGGCCTACCGCATTGGCCACATCATTGGAGCCGTGAGCGATGGACATGAGCATGGCCGAAACAACCTGGCAGTACGTCCACAAGTGTTCGACGCGCACGTCGTACTTTTGTGCCCGTGCGTGGATCTCCCGCAACGCGGCGCTGTCGTGTGTCACACAATCGCGCGTGACGCCTTGCAGAAGCCCGAACTTGACATAACCCCAGATTCGGGCAGGGTGCGTGATAGCGTGGTGCTTGACCGGATCCAGGAAGCGCTCACGGGGCCCGGGCTGGCGCCGTTGCCGTGTAGTGGTGGTGGCGGTGCCATCAGCGGCCATTTTCTCGGTATCCGGAACTGGTGTGCCGGTTTTGTGATCCTTGAAGGATTCGATGCGGTCGGAGTCAACGTCTGTGCTTGTGGAGTGAATGCCGTTGCCGGCGGTGTGGCTGTCGTGCTCCTTTGCGAACGGATCCTCGTAATAGTCGGTGACGTAATTTGTGGACTTGCTAGGGAAGTAGAGAGGGGGGTTGTCCTTGAGCAACATGGGTCCCAACGGAACGTGGTAGAACTTGATACGCGTGTCTTCCTTGATCAGACGGGCTTTGAAGTACGGCATGAAGAAGATGTAGGCAATAAGCAGCATACCAGCCCAAACACCGAGGATGATGCCTGCGGCTTTACCGGCGCCGAACTCCTCCAAAGAAGGTGCAGTAGGTGTCTCGACAACGATAAAGAGTGCGAGAATGGCACAGGTCGTGGCAATGTAGAAGGGGATTGCACGCATGGCCTTCTCAAACGAGTTCTGTCGCTCGAGAATGGCGAACTTGAGGGTCGCAAAGATAATTGCGCTGAAGGCGGCTGCAATGGCTGGGGCAATGGCCCATGAGGCGGCTATCTGGGAGACGGAGCCGGAAGCCCACTCCCACCTGATGGAGGCTTGAGTGGCAAAACCTACACCGACCAGAGCGCCGACGATGGTCTGCGTGGTGGACACGGGCCAGCCCAGGCCGGTAGCGACCATCAGCCAGGTAGCACTGCCCACTTCGGCGCAGCCCATGGCCAGCATGAGTACTCCAGGGCGATCCTCGAAACGTTCGATACTGATGATACCGTTCTTAATTGTTGAAGTCACTCGAGAGCCAAGAGCGACAGCGCCGATGAACTCGGTGCACATTGACAGGATGCCGACTTGGGGCATCGTCAACGTGCGGGCAGCGACCGAAGTCCTATATCATGATATGAGCAACGTTTTTGACTGCTGCATGGTACAACTCACGCATAGCTGTTGGCGACATCGTTAGCACCGTTGCCGAAAGCGCTGAAGATGAAGGCAATGGCAGTGATCGCTAAGATCCAGTCATAGCGAGCTGTCACTGCCGGGGCTCTCTTGGCAAGTTCAGCGACGATAGACATGTTGGTGGTGGGTTGGAGGTGGTTTGAGGTGATTTGAGAAGAGCAGAAGCGGACCTGATCTTACCAGCAGCAGGAAAGATTTATAGGTAGCACCATGCCTTGGCCTCCGTCCCCCCCTGTCCATCGCCGTGGCCCATCCCTCGCCTGATCCATGTCACCATCCTAATAGAGCAGGGAGGCACGCGACCAGTCGGCAACAAGTTCCCATTCCGCCCACACAAGAGAAAGAAGCACCATGAGAAGCACCATGTGTAGTTGAGGCCCCGCCCTTGGCATCAGCTCCGCCTGCAGGACTTGGCCAGCAACTTGGCAGGACTTCCGGCCAATGGGATGGTTGTTCTGGTCTTCGAGCTCCAGTGTTAGGTGACGAGGAAGCCAGGGACGATCAATCCCTAACCAATGAAACAAGCACGTGCCCCTGATCCGCATCCCTGATTGCACAATTGAAACATGTTGAAGCTCTTTCACTGCACAAGCTTGGCTCTGATCGCAAGAGTGCCCAGGTTTCTTGTCGCAATTCACGAGTCCAATAAAGCGGGATGAAAAGTCTGCATCCTCGTCAGAGTCAGAAGAAGCACCAGAAGTCGCGGTTGATCGGCTCTTGACGATCGCGGAACGCGCGAAGTCCCCATTGTCCGGCAGCGAGCGTCTGGGATTGACTTTTCATAGTGGTGATCTCCCACGCTATGCGGCCTCACTCGCATGAGGCTTCTGAGTACAACAATCACGGGCCTCATCGCTTGCGTAGCACCTCCGCGCACTGGTGCGTGGACGCGTGTAGGTTACGATCGTGACTGAAGCCGCGAAGACTTCTGTGTCCCATGAGCGGATGCCAAGCATATAATCTTGGCGGGTTGACGTCAATTCGAATTGTAGGATATACGTGTAAGTGTCGCAAGGGTGTGCTTCTGCCTCGTTAAGCACACTTGCAGACACAGAAGCGCAGAGCGCATGCCACAACATGAATCGCTTATTGGCAAGGCGATGTCACAGGACCTCTTGGAGTCTACCTTCTATTACACAGGGATCAAAGGTTGATCAACGCGCATTACGCCCTTCTCAGATGAGCCACTACGCACTGTGACGCCTGTTCCAGAAGCGAGGCGCCCAACTCTGAACGAACGGAGCAAGAGACTGCTAACGATGGGAATCCAACGTAGCATTGATGCCAGCAAGCTCCCAGACGCACGCGACCGCTAAATACATGGAAACATCCTCGGAGACCCCCAAGTAGCCCGGACTCCTGTGTCGACCTGTGGTCCTGGTCCCACCGCGCTGTCGAACCAACCCACCACAAAGGCTGCTTGAAGGACCCTTCGCACCGAGCTGATAGTGGCGACTCACAATGCTCCTCAGTGGCGTTTCCTACGAAAATGCACGTGAACCGTGCTCATCACCGCGCCATCCGGTGGAACATGGTTGAAATGATTTGGTCGGCTCTACTCGCAGCTTCTCATCGTATCAGCCGCCCTCGATGTTGACACAGGCGCTTATCAGCCACAAGGCTCACGGGAATGGGATGCTCAAGGACTCGAGCCTCATGGAAATCTGGAAGTGCTCGTGCTCTCTACTTCAAGTTGCCCAACCACCACAGGATATCCGTGTTATGCTACTCGCACGAAGGTGTAACGCCGCGCCTAATCGTGCCCGGGCTTTGTATCTCCGAGAGGCATGTCCACGCATTCTCCATCCTTGACATAGACCTCTTCCCAGCCAATCGTCCAACTAGCCTCTTCTCTGTTGGAAACGAACTTTTCTTCATCCGCGATCACCTTCTCAATATAGAAGGGGTCGTTTCGCGCATCGTAGAAGTCCTTGATATCCTTGACGGTGATCTCGACTACACCATCCCACGGCTGACGCTCAAGTTGCCCGAGCTCTAGCCATTTCGTCCTGGCCTCGGTTTCGAGGGACTTCGGTGTGTGATACTATGGCATTCTTAGCCTGAACCCAATGCCGAAGGTCCATATCCCGAGGCCGTGAGGTCACCAGACTTTGGATACCATATCTGCGCTCTGGGTCCGATACCTCGACGCAGGCAAGACACGTACCTGGGTGTACTTGAGGATCCCATAGCGCTTCAGCCACTCCTTGACCAGCGGCGCATGCTCTTTACTCCAATGGCGATTGAACTCCTCCTCGGTGATATCTGGCCGCTTCTTCACGTATAAACTAAAACGATACAGTCTTTGCATATGCACAGTGACAGCTGTTTTTGCGGACATGATGGCTGGTGCTGCCACTGTCTCATTTCGGAATCGTTAAATTACGGCAGATGTACCTTGAAGGGCTTCTTTACTGACTGAGACTCAGCCTTACATTTCTCAAACCATCGATCAAAGCAAGGGTATAAACAGATCTTGCATTCTACTCGTGAGCCCCGCTCCGTCGAAGTCATGATTCATGCACTTCACGGTCCATCCACCATCTGACACTCCCCACAAAAAGAACGGTCCCACCCGGTCGATCATCTGGACTGCCCGAAGAAGCCGCGCGGCTAAGCCTTGTAGATCCGAGGAGATCAAACGCGTCAAGTCTTCCTATCTTTCCATCGTGATTACGTGTGTGCGTGCGTAGTCTGTGGCCGTCGCTGATCCAGACGATCGCGTGTCCAAACCTGTAGTCCGGCGAGTGAGACGGGCGGTAACGTCTTGGCAAGAAAGCGAGGCAGACGGTGGAAGCCGAGATACAGTGCTCTGCGGCTGAAGTTCAATAAACAGGCTAAAGGACCAACTTGCAAATTAGAATCCTGGCAGGCCTCCGTGGTTATACATGACAAATACGTGGATATTAATATGATAGGGATATCTAGTTGAGGAACTACGCTGTATACACGCCAATTCCGTATGGCCCGCTGGGAGCTCGCCCACCGTCGAACTGAAGTGGTTTTTCACCGCGATCTATGGTGTCACACTGAATCTATTACAATTCCTCCACAGTGCCTAAACACCTGGCAGCGTAAAGTCGTCGTAGTTGGGCCAATTGCCCAGGCCTGCAGGATCACCGCCAATGCGCACCCACTGTGCGAAACTGGGGATGTTCTGCGTATTGAGCACAAAGAGCATGAACCAGTTGGGGCCGCCGGTAATGTGGGCATTTGGCGGCGTTTGGATTCTGCATGTATTGCCATCACAAGTGTAACTGGGGAAGATTGTGCGCTGGCCCATCGAGTTGCCGTGCGTGGTAGAGACAGCACCCATGAGCGAGATCTTGGCCGGCGTCCCGCAGATCATGGTGATAGAGATGGTATCACCATGCTGATAGCTGACGTCGTTATCGGGATCTGTCAGACCTTGGCTGTTGAGCACGTATACGGGTCGCTGGGTGTAGCTGCAGGCGGCGTCGTTGGCGGCAATGGAGGAGTTGGAATACGGGCTTGTGGCATTGGACGCGAGTGACGTAGAGTTAACAAGCGAGGAAAGCGTGACATTAGGGCCGAGGGGCTGCGACGTGTTGATGGCAAGAGGCTCCTTCAAAGCATGCAGGTATGGGGGAATGAAGATCTCCACGCGATACTCTTGCGGGAAGCGTTGCAGGATATAATCCTGAGGATCGGAGCCAGTAACGAGTACACGGCCATCTTGCAGGAGAGTGACCTCGTTGTGGTACATGCGGTCGATGGTAGTGTTGGCAAGGCGAGTGAAGCGGGAACCCTTGGGAGCTTCGGGGTTGTAGAGGACAGCGTTGTGGTTGGGTTCCTCTGCCAGACCAAAGCCGGCGATACCCTTTTGCGCGCCGTTCATAATGAGATATGTCCCATCAGGCAGGGCGACCATAGTCGGCATGACTCGCTTCGATGGCATGCGCTCAAGCTCCCAGGGCGCAGTTGGATCTTCGGGGCTGATAGAGGCGCAGTTGTCCAAGGTAGGTCCTCCATAGGAAGTGCTGCCACCACAAAGAATCACCTTGAGAGGATCCGAATAAGGTGCTTTCTGAGGCAGGATCATCATGCTACCCTCGAGCGGGTACGTGCGCCCCGAAGTGTCGGCGTTGACAGCACCTGGAACTGGTGGGAGTTGACGGGTGATCTCGAACGTTTGCTCATCCAAGATGATGGCCTCATTGTAATATTGCACCAAGATGCCACCAGTCGGAAGGATAGCCATGAAAGGGTACAGATTCAGTGGATCCGTGCGTTCAAGCCAGTCGCAATGGACCAACTGGCCCCCTGGAGGACGTGGAAGGACCTCGAGATTAGGCACAGCCGCACCATTAGAGCCATCTTCACCACCCACAATCAGAATCGAGCCGTTGACGAGCTGTAGTGCGGTTGGATACCACCGACCAACCTGTAGAGCGACCTCTTGAACGTTCTCTTCCCAGTCGTTCACACCTGCGTTACCGGGCGACCCATCAGGGGTGAAGAATCGCACACCAAACAACGAATCGGCCGACCACCCGCCGATGTTGATCTGACGACCCTTCTTGTCTGGAAGAGTAAGGCCGGCTGAGCAAAACACATCAGTCTTGATGCCGTGTACAGTACGCCAAGCTTGGTCAAAGTTGTCGGTCTGGGACAGATCGAGCTCGAAAGCGCCAGTGCTGTTCGGGGGACCGGTGCCTTGCTTTTCAACAAACATGACTTTACCATTGCGATTGGCGGTGGTGATGAGGGGGATGACAACGCCTCCAAGCAAGAACTTGTATTCCCCTGCAGCATCACCAACAGCGGTGCCCCAGTTGTTCAACGCCGGCGCAGTATAATAGTTCATCGTTCCCGCACCGCCACAGTTGTGCCCTGGATCACCAACGCAGTTGAAGTTGCAGTTAGCTTCCGGAGCATAAGCTGTGCCAGAGGATACACGGTCCGAATCGTCACCGCAGAAGCACTGATTGCCATACTCAACGCCAGCAGCGCTGAAGCCATAGGCAGCACAGCGCGCCAAGCAGAGAGGAACAGTCAAATTAGTCTCATAGTAGGTGATCTGATAGGGGAAGACGCGAGCTTGCGTATCCAACAAACAGCCTTGGTAGGCAAAGCCATCAGGGAGGTCGGTGGTTTGAGCTACTGGTGGAGCATATGTCTGGAAGGTGTGGTTCGAGTAGATGCTCATACGATCGGGTCCCCCACAGATCTCGGTGCTGTTACCGCTGCACGGCATGGCGCATTGAGTTTCAGATGTCGCCTTTGCACCGCCGTTGATCATGAAGTTGTCGCAGAAGCATTGAGCCGAGTACTCAAGACCAGCAATGCCATAACCAGCAGCTGCACAGGCCGAGATGCAGTTCTCCACCGTCTGACTACCCGAATCAGGCTGCTGATGTCCAAGAATACGGCCATTTTTGTTGTCAACATAACAGGCATTGTATGACCAACCCGGTGGAAGACCTGCTGGTACTACTGGCGGGGTAGTCGGATCGTTTGGTTCAGTTGGATCTGGATCCGGGTTTGCAGGAGGGTCCGGCGGATTGTCTGGCGAAGGAGCAACGGGTGGCGTGCTGCCGACGTATTGGTAGACATTCAGTCTGTCGGGCCCACCACAGATCTCCTTCGAGTTTCCGTTACAGGACATGAAGCATTGCGCGTCGCCATCTGGGGCTGGGCCGCCACCATTGCGGTACGCGGTATCGCAGTAGCATTCGCCAGCATACTCGAGACCTGCGATGGGGTATCCAGCCTTGTAGCATGCGTTCTGGCAGTTCTCGACCGTCATGTTAGCTGCACCGCCAAGAGTAGCGATGCCCACACTCAGTGTTCGCTGGTTAACATTGTCGACATAGCAGCCTTGCGATGACCAGTCCGGGGCGATGGCGCTACGTACGCCTTTGGCATAGACGTTTAGTCGATTAGGGCCACCGCAGTATTCGGTGATGTTGCCGTTACAAAGCATGTTGCACCCATCGAGGCCATCAGGAGCTGGTGAGCCGCCGTTTGAGTATTGGTTGCCACAGAAGCATTCGCCTGAATACTCGACACCGGAAATGTTGTAGCCGGCAGCACCACATGCTTGGGTGCAGAGAGCTACCGTCAGCTTCTGCGGACCACCTGCGGTTTCCATGCCGACCCCGAGGGTTCTCCCCGCAACACTGTCAGTGTCTTGAGTGAAGTTAGCAAGTGGAGTGGGTTCTATGTAAGGATTTCGACTCACAACAGCCCTGAAAACCCCATCCTTGAGGCCCGGCATTCGTAGCAGGTCCAGCAGCTGATACAACGGCGGCAGCGTTGTGGAAGACATTCAATCTGTTCGGTCCTCCGCAGAGCTCGTACTCATTACCGGCACACTGCATGTTGCAGTCGGCCTCGGGTGCCGGAACGCCCGACGTGCGCAGTGTATTGGCGCAGTAACATTCGGCTCCATATTCTACGCCTGCGTATGCATAGCCAAAAGAGTCACAGTATTGGATGCATTTTAACTCGCTCATGTCATCGGAGGCAGTGGTCTTGCTCGGCAGAGTTCGCGACTGTCATGTCAGGGATGTGGCTAATGACCATGATAAGAGTAACTTACGCCAACGTTGTCAACGGTGCAGGACACGTATCTGGTGGCAAGTCAGCAATGTCCAACGATTGATTGCATTTAGCTTACGTCCAATTGCCTGGAAGTGCATAATTAACTGATGCCGCGCGTTTATGGATTTCTCTTTTCTCATGGAGGTGGCCATGGCCAACATGTCCTGCTTGAGACAGACCGATCTGAAGCAGCAGGACGAGACTGATGAAACGAGTGAACGTGGCCATGACGGCTCACAAATTGACACAACAATAACGAGAGACTGTGGTCAGAGGTAAGTTTAGAGCACAAGAAAGACAAAGCTTTGGAGAAGTCTGAAAGACATATCAACCACTCACCCCTGCTGACTGCTCCCTCCTGATCTGGGCATCAATTGTTCTGGATCTGAATATGCGGGCTACAAGCGAGCTAAGCGTCCACCGAACACCCAGAATGGGAAGATAGAAGTTCTGACTGGCCCTGTCTGGGCTCAGCTCTCCTGTTCGAGCCACATGGGTACCTCAAAAGACATTAGCTCAAGTACAGACCTGGGTCTCGGCCAAGATCTCGTGTCCTTGACGCCCTGAATCCGAGACTTGTGAAAAGCAAGCGCACCGAGAAATTAGGAATGGTCATTCCCCCAGCTTGGGTGGAAATTGGGAAAGGCCAGCGCGGGACTAGACGCTCTAGACTGGAAGAACGGGATTAACGTCGAAAGCCTGCCTACATAGGGTGTAAAGTTTCCGGTCAACGGCGGGGTCCGAACCACGTGGATACGACTGCACAGAAGCTCGGCTGACCTGGCACAATCGGTGATCCCGGGTAACTCAAGTGGCAGATGGCTTTGACCGGTCGCTATCTGTGTTAAAAGAGACCTGATGGGAGTTGTAATCTTACTGCGGCGGTCCAGCGGAGTACTGAAACAGGCACAAATGCCACGGAAATGTCATATCGAATGGCGGTCAGCATAAGCTGATAGGACAGAAAACCAATAGCCCCGGCCCAGCAGATGGCGCAAAATAGACACAGGAACAGAAAGAAGCCGCCTAGCACAGCCCATGGCCTTTTTCGTACAGATCGAGGGTAGTGACAGTCGGGCAAAGGTCATGATTGACGTCGAACACTTTGGGTCGAGCAGGGCAATGCCAAGGGACGGCACAGCGAGACAAAAGCAGCAAGGACTCCAAAAGTCCCAAGACCAAGCCACGTTTCCCACTTTGCCTCAGCCACTTCTCTCGCTTGTACAAGCGATGAACTGTTCCTAGCATGACTGCCGCTACTCCGTACTCCGTACAATTTTAGATCTCCTGCTCTTCTACGAGCCTCGATGCATTTGCCAAGAACACCCTTTTTCGCGTGCTGACATTACAAATCTGAACATGTCTCCTGTGTGGGTGAGCATTGGTCTTTTAGCAAGCTTTCAAGTGAGCTTGTTGCGCCCCTCTCGTGCGTCTCTGCAATCTGCACAATGGATATGGCGGGGAAAATGCCGTGCGAACACGAAGCGGATATGTGATGTGTGGTCGGCACCCGTAGCCGGAAGAGATCAGCGTACAAATACCCGGCGTGGCGTAAAAGGGGCCAGGAACCTTATCTCAACCCCTCCGGGGGACACATGGTGGACCACTGCGGCAGGAAATTGGCCCTCGTGCTCGCCAGTGTCACGCAGATGCCTCGTGCAGCGCCTTGTTGTTATCACAATCCTTGACTGTTTCAAACACCCACTGGCGCTGCAGCCCCGATACGGAGCATGAGTTTCATTAGCTTGAAGTTCTAATTCTCTTTTGGCCATCCACGGCGCTACTGCTCAGAAAACTGTACGGAGTAGTCATGGCGATGGTAGTCATGGCTGCGCGGCAAGACTCCGACGCATGGAGAATTATCTTCTCGATCTGTTATTCGCCCGTGAGCCCGGATTAGATTGGGCTTTACAGCTTTTCAGGTCTGGCCGCTTGCTGATCGGCGTGGTTGAGTCCATCCGAAATCGAGTCCAGCCCTATAGTCCCTGTACGTCGGACTGCAAGATTTGTCCTCGGTCTATACTTTGCGCTCGCATGTTCCGCCTGCATCGACTTTCAATAAACATCCAGGGTGGCCGTCAAAGTAATCTAGAAGCTCATTCAGCGCCAGTGTCAGCAACCATGACCGAGAGGACACCTACCAGCGAGGCATTTCCGTTTCCACCAGGCCCCAAGTCGCCAGCTTTGTCTCAACACAGGAATCCATTCGCTACACCTTCAGGTGCTGGAACTCCAGGTATAAGGACGCCGGGTGGTGGTTTACGTGCTTCCGCATTCCATCTGCCAGCTTCGAAGGGGAACACATACTTCAGATCTCGGAGAATAAGGGATGTATCAACCATATCCAAGCCGTGGACGGCAAACCCAGACAAGAGTCAGAAGTGGCAGTAGGTTCAAACCCACACCCTCAGGCACATGTGAGCTGACATGACCGCAGCACGATCGTGAGTATAGATGTGGGATGTACAGAAACGACGCATCATACTGACTAAAGGGCTTGCCCAGTTTCCTACCGTCGGACTTATTGTAGGACTACTTGCAACGGCAGCTGCCGTCTATCAAGGCACGACAACGGTGACCAACAACAAATACTGCTCTGTCTACGAAGTCGACTTTGCCACAGATGGACAGCTCGATCCGAATATCTGGACGAAAGAGCTCAATGTTGGTGGCTTTGGGTAAGGTTGCTGCGAGCGGAACGAGAGCTATGCTAATGGAGGACAGCAATGGCGACTTCGCCGAGGCGACTGACTCCGAGGAGAATGTCTTTATCAAAGACGGCTACTTGCATATCAAGCCAACCCTCCAAGACGAGAAACTGATTCAGGAGGACAGCTTCATTGATCTCACGAAGCAAGGTTGTATCGGTGCGACATGGAAAGACTGTCACGCAGTTACGAATACCACGAACGGTACTATTGTGCCGCCAGCAAGGTCTGCCCGTGTCAACACGAAGAAGGGAGTCTCTATCCAGTACGGTCGAATCGAGGTCGAAGCTCAAATTCCCGAGGGTGACTGGCTATGGCCTGCGGTATGGATGATGCCAGTAGAGGACACCTACGGGGCCTGGCCAAACTCTGGCGAAATCGACATCATGGAGTCTCGTGGCAACAACCATACTTACAAGATGGGCGGCAACAACATTGCGAGCAGTGCCCTTCATTGGGGACCTAACAAGGATCTTGATGCCTGGTACCAGACCCACAACATGCGCGAGGCGCTGCACCAGTCTTATACGAAAAGTGAGTCCACTTTCACTGCGTTCCAACGTGGCATGCATGCTGACAGAATCAGGAACCTGGACTTTCGGTCTTGTGAGTACATTTCTTGCGCTGTGCGGTAGCGAGGCGCTCATTCTTTCCAACGTATCTTGTGGCAGCGCTAAACGTCTCATAGGAGTGGTCTGAGAAGTATCTTTTCACTTACATTGATGCGAGGCCGAAGCAAGTGCTCTATACATCCTTCAACAGGCCGTTCTGGCAGAGAGGCAATTTCAAGCCTCAGCAAGATGACAATGGAACCATGATTGTGGATCCCTGGTCACAAACCGGAAAGCCGAGTACGCCATTTGATCAGCCGTTCTACCTGATTCTCAACGTCGCTGTTGGAGGAAACAATGGGTGGTTCCCAGATGGCCTCCAGAGCAAGCCTTGGGTCGACCTGAGTCCCAGCGCCAAGCTTGACTTTTGGAATGCCAGAGACAAATGGTATCCTACGTGGGGCGAGAACAGTGCCATGAAGATCAAGTCTGTTAAGATGTGGCAGCAGGCCGGTTACAGAGGATGCACGGGTTGATGAGTGTAATGTACAACCAGTGTCTTTTGGAGTTTGGATGGGTTGTAGAGGAGGAACGGATGGCTCACAGGCTGCCGACATGATGGCCGCCGTTACGGATTCATAGACAACAGTGGTATCGAAAAATGATGACGCAGGGTACAATAAGATACATCTACGGCAATCAACATCTGCTCACAGCCCTTAGCGATGTTCCGGGGTCCTAATTCCAAGGCCTCAGCTCAGACAAATCTATGCATAATCGTTAAAGCCCACGGGAGTGGCTTGGGTACGCTAAGTAGAACCTCAGTTTTTCTGCTATGTAGAGTTTTGGGACAAATGCAGGTTCCAGGAGTAGGTTTTGCGCGGGGGTAAAGGACTGGTCGTGGAGGTCCATTGCGCCCAACCTGAACAGGAAGACGCACAAAGATGGGGGGTTGGCTATGAGCTGGCTTTGGCACGCCGAGTTGTAGGGCTTAGGCCTTTCTATCAGGTCGGTCAGCATCCTACTCCGTACAGTGATTACACTCCTTCTGCGTAGCGATTCGAATCTCAGCTTGATTCACGACATAAGCGAAAATGCGGCTTATCGACCCAAGCGAGCAAGCTTCCTCGTTGCACGTGCGGAGCTTAAGATTGGAGGCAAATCATGTCCAGCACAGCAGCACGAGCCACCGTGTCGATGACTCTGTCATTGTCGATGGTCGATGGCAGCGCTCGCGCGAAGCTAATGATGAACGAGGCAAAGTCCATTGGCGGGAGAGGTGGGCCGCAAGGTGCTAGCAGGGGGCCCGCGGTCCTTCTGCCGTCGCTTATGAAAGTCAGCCATCCGCCCCAGCAAGCCCGTCCAAGTACGGAGTACTGCTCTAGCGGTGCCTGTATCACGAGGTACCATGATATCGTGCTCATAGGGCGACGAAGCAGGCTCTAGAGCAATCTCATGCTGGCCACAGGTACTTTGTATCTAGTCATCACACTATCCGTCACTGACACATTTGTGGCGCAAGACGAAAAAGACCAGCAGTGTTGCACAGAGCCGTGCACAGTGGGGCCCCCGGCAGCCGGCGCTGATGGCCCAACAGCTCGAGCGTCTGGGCCCAGGGGACTTTCCGATGGGCAATCAGGGGCTAAGATAGACACCCCAGGCCCACCCCCGGACAGATCTCGGAAGTGGAAAGTAGACCGCCGAAAGCAGTTCAATGGCGCAGAGTTGACCGTATCTACCGAGCGGGTCTGAGACATCCGATCAGCCCGGAGAACTTCAGTGCTTCGGCGCATCGAGCCAATGTCCACCCGCGTTCCAGCCACAAGACCCCCCTTTTTACTGCCGCTGCTTTTACACTGCTACTCACCTATCTGAGCGGGCCTAGCGTCATACCTTCCCGCCCTTGGCAAGAGACGTTGTTTTGTGTTCACACGGCAAACTCCCTTCCTCACCCTCTAGCGACAATTGAACACGATGCACGTCGTGGAAGACGCTCTCGCGCTTGGCTTCATCCCTGTTCAAAGTAGGCCTCTGAACTGCCCTTTTGAGAACCTGCTGCCGCATCCGCCCTCCAGCCTACCCGTCAAGCCTCCTGCCAGTGTTGCGCTACCTGCGCTGCCTCACAGTGAAGCTATGTTTGCCTCTGGAGCCCGAGGTTGGAGATTACTGCTTCGAAGTGGACTCTCTACCTGCCTTCAAGAGCACCTGGACACGATCAGTGTTTCTTGTTCTGGCCATGAGCCGGATTGTCCTGATATGGTCGTCGCAACAGATCATGCTTTTCTAGCTCGTCTCTGAACTAAGCCCTCTACTACCCGGCTAAGCTACAACCTGCTTGTTAGTTCTTGCACGCTCGGTTGCGGATAATGACTGAGATGTGAGCCGCGCCGCCTGGCTCAACGCAATCTCCTGTGCATATTCTCGTCATAAGGCTTTCCGGGTTACTCGAGGGCTTGCCGCCACCGGGACTAAACTGCTCGCCTGGCAAGCGTCTGGACCATGTGTGCTGGCTTATCTCGCCTTTACCGCTCGCCAAGATCGCTTCTACCAGTCCAACGACTGACACTATTGAACTGTGCCGCCACGAGCCAGTCCCAGCCGCTGGCTCAGGGAGGAGGCGGAGTATTGCAAATCCTCGCCCAAAGCTGCTGGTTACTAACCCGAATACAGGTTTGTTGGCTTTGCAAATCGCCGTCAGGGGATCCTCTTTGAGTGGAAGGTTTGAGGAACGTTATTGACGTATGGGATCCAGGTCGTCGGCCTCGGTCGTCGCTGGAACGACATATGGTCTTCATCCTCTTTCTCTCATCGTTGTCCTTGAAGTCGATACCACCACACTCGTTTACGGTCATACTACGCTGTTGGCAGTTCGCTGCCACGTCCACTCGTTATCGTACTTCGTCCCTCGTTACTAATTCTTGGCTGTTTCTCTCATTGCTTCAATAATCCACCGTCATTCATTACCTGTCCGCAATCATGGGGTTCTTCAAACTCGACAAGATGTCGAAAAAGACGGAAACGGCTGAGACTACAACTGCACCTTCCGTACCAGGATCTACTCAACCAATACATAATCGTATAGACTCCAGAGCAACCTCGAATTCGACCTTCCAATTTCCTGGTGGTGTGCAAACCCCTTACAGCATGGCTCAATTCTCCGCTGCAACCAGCGCCGATGGCTCACGCTCCGTCAGTCCGGAAACACAAGCAGATATGGCTTCGCGAAGGGCAACACTGGGGCTTGTCAAGAATCAAGTGATGATTAACTACCTCTACCAACAGCAGGGCAACAACGGCTGGCGGTCAGAAAAGGCTGGCCCCCAAGAGGGTGTCATGCTCAGGGCCACACGCGAAGACTTCCTGAGTCACCCCGCCGAAATGGTCGACACCCCTCTTGCCAGTGCTCTGAAGGCACTCAATGTTCAGGCAGCCATGACGATATACTCGCCCGTGATTAAAAGCTACCTTGAAGCATTTCCTCGATCGACCGATATGCCTCTGCTCAACGGTCTGGCAGTCCAAGTTGTCAAGACCATCGACGTTCTTGCGACGGCGCGGACTCATCAATTCGCTGCCGTTGTTGCCTCGGAGGCCTTGCTCATCGTTTGGGACGATGACGCCGTCAACATGCTCTCGCGCGCTAAAACAATCGAATGGGAGCTCATGCAGCTGCTGTGGAACTCCAATCCCTTCGAAAGTGTCCGCGCCTCCAAGCTAGGATCCCGGTTCGGCTCAAAACTCGATGTTACCCTCAGCGAGAAAGAAGTTTCCTCCAACGTCTCGGACTATGATGAGGAAGCGGAAGCCATCAAAACACGACCTACCATCTTCATCAACACAGTCCTGGTCTCGATAGGCATTGCTCTAATCGTCACGTGTTTGGGACTTGGGCTCCGTGAGCTGGTCATTGAACTACTATTCGACTTAGGATCACCCAAAATGGAGGGCTCGCCATATATCCGCTTTGCTCTCCTCATCTTGACGCCTCTCTGGTTGTTCTTTGGCATGTTCTTCTTCAATGTCGTGGTCACAGTTGTGAGTTCCTCCGGCTAAGCCCAACACTCGATCTAAGATACTCACCACTGTTTATAGGTAGCGGAAGTTATCGGTCCAATCTCACAGCTGCAAACGAACAGCAAGCACTACAGTGCCAAGACAGTTCCAAGGCTTACCCGCAACCTCCCACACGTTACTATCCAGTGTCCCGTCTACAAGGAGGATCTTGCGGATGTCGTTCAGCCCACTATTGTGTCAATCAAGAAAGCGATCTCGACTTATGAGCTCCAGGGCGGCAGTGCGAACATTTTTGTGAATGATGACGGTCTCCAACTGCTGTCAGAAGAGGATAGGCAGGCTCGAATCGGCTTCTACGCTGACAACGTAAGTGCATCTCCTTCTCGAGTGCGAATTGACCTCTGACCTTCCACAGAACATCGGCTGGGTTGCTCGTCCTCCTCACAACAAGGATGGCTTCGTTCGTCGTGGAAAATTCAAGAAAGCCTCGAACATGAACTTTGCCATGGCCATCTCCTGCGCGATGGAAGACAAACTGCTCGAGCTTGACCGCGGCGACCATTGGACAAGCACCGACGAAGCCGAGGCCACTGCGTGGGCTCTGGAGGAAGTCGTAAAGCAAGGTGGTGATATCGCCTGGGCTGATGGCAATGTTCGCATTGGCGATTACATTCTTATCATTGACTCAGACACACGTGTTCCTGTTGACTGCTTCCTTGACGCTGTCTCCGAGCTGGAGATGTCGCCCGAGGTGGCCATTCTACAGTTCAGCTCTGGTGTCATGGTATGATCTCAGCTATCCAAGTTCACAACATTCTGCTAACAGCCTGAAGAACGTCACTGGCAGCTACTTCGAAAACGGCATTACCTTCTTTACGAATCTGGTCTACTCTTCCATCCGATACGGTGTCAGCAACGGTGATGTCGCACCCTTTGTCGGTCACAATGCGATTCTCCGATGGTCGGCTCTACAGGACGTTGCATTCGAGGAAGACGGCCGTCTCCAGTTCTGGTCTGAGAGCCACGTGTCTGAGGACTTCGACATCTCGCTTCGCCTGCAAATCAAGGGTTACATCACCCGTCTTGCCGCCTGGGCGGGCGACGGCTTCCAGGAGGGCGTCTCGCTTACTGTAAGGCAGATTCGTTCTACTTCCGCACAGTTACTGACTCACGTCTCAGGTCTACGATGAACTCGCTCGCTGGCAAAAGTATGCATACGGCTGCAACGAGCTGGTATTCCACCCAATTCGCTTCTGGCTTGTTCGAGGACCCTTCACACCTCTCTTCCGCCAATTCTGTGGCTCCAACATGGCCATCGCCTCCAAGATCAACATCATCTCTTATATTGGCACGTACTATGCTATCGGCGCTGCCTGGATCCTGACCACTGCCAATTACTGCATGATAGGATGGTTCAAGGGCTATCTGGACAAGTATTACATCAGCTCATGGAAGATTTGGATCGTCTTGGTTCTCGTCTTCAACATCCGTAAGCTACTGCGATCTTCTTATCCCCTAAGTGTGAGCTGACTCCTGACTGCAGTCGACAACTTTGCACGCGCTGTTCTCCGCTACCGATCTGGCGAGCGTTCCTTCTTGGGTGCCCTTGGCCAGCAATTCAAGTGGCTGTTCCTGCTTTACATTTTCCTGGGCGGTATCAGCATCCACGTTTCTGAAGCGCTGCTGGCACACATGTTCGAGATCAACATGACTTGGGGCGCAACTGCCAAGGTGCGTATCCGCGATCTCGCATTCGTCCTGTCACCTGCTGACTTTGTCTAGACTCTTGAGTTCACCAACTTCTTCATCGAAGTGCCTCGTACATTGCGTCGCTTCTGGTTCAGTTTCAGCTACTGCATCTTCCTTATTGCCGCCATGATCATCCTGGCTGAGGCGCCGTTTGTGCCATACAGTTGGCACATTAAGAATATTGAGGCCATCGTTCCCCTGTCGAGTCTGGTAGTCGCCCATGTTCTGCGTAAGTTGGCCTTTGCCTGGTTCCCTATAGCTTCACTGACCTTGTATGCGTAGTGCCACTGGCTCTCAACCCAGGCCTCATGACTTTCGCGTGGTGAAGGAGAGCGGCAGCCATGCCCCTGCAAGGAGATATCAGCAAGCGGTGGATGGCAGACCATGTCACTTGTGGGTTTGTCAATGACATGATCGATAGTTTGGATACGATACATATACGCACTGGGCGTTCTGAATAGAGTGGGTAACTATACACTATAGGGATGTGATAGACTTGGGCACCTCCTGGTTTGGGCAACGGGCCAGGAATAGGAATCAGGTTCTCAAATACATTTGTAGTTTACATTTTAATGGTACACGTAACCTTGACGAAGATCGGTCGGTTTCGTTTCCCTCACGTAAACTACTTCAATCGGTAGTGTGGCTTGGAGGTGCACCGCCTCTCCAAGGAGGTGCAGTACTGGAAGGCCTTTTCTGGTGACTAGCAAGCACATCACGACTCAGGATATCTGAAGCGGACTCGTTGTTCATCAGCGCACCGAAGCTACCGTCCTCTCCGACCCACGTGGCATTTGCAGATTTTAAGCACCTTACGAGTCGCACCATTGGATAGCCACCATGTGTCTTTTTCGACGTCGAAAACAATGTGACTTCAGACTGAAGATCCGAATATAAATGTCGCCGCAGGCTCGCCCAAATCTTGTCCCTGCTACTCCACGTCGTGACAATAGCCCAGGTAGCTGGCACAACTAGTGCCAGTCCACACTCCCACTGTAATTGTGCAGATGTCAAGTCGCTCCTCGTACATGGTGTACTGTAGGTACGGCGTATGGAGGTTGATCTCGAACAGCCCACACCGGCCCGCCCGCGCCAAGTTCGGCATGAGATCGCCGGCTTCCGAGCGCCGAGGTTCCCCGCGCTCCGAGTTGTGCCCCACTGCTGCTACCAAGCTCCCAAGCACCTGGCACGGCTAAGCCAACCCACGCGCAGATCCTGACCATGTCCTGCATCATCGAGTCGAACCGGACGTGGACACTGCTCGACTGCTCCGACTCGGACCTCTCCATTGGCGCCAACGTGCTGGGCATTGCCACCTTTGCCGTGGCATTGGCGGCCACGTACTTCGCCTTCTTCCGCGACTGGAGAGATATCCCGACTGTAGCAGACGACTACAGCAACGACATCCGCTCTCTACAGGCGCAACTTTGGGCCGTGGGTGACATACACGGTCAATTGTCCAAGCTGCTGAGCGACGATGGCGGCATTCGCATTTCCGACGTCATGCTGCAGTCGCGTCTCCAGCAGGGCCATGGAGAGTCGCTGAAGGAGGCCCGGAAGTTTCTCGATGAGTATTCCGCTGCCTATCAGGGGGTATTCACAAGCTACTTTGAGAAACACCGCTGGCTCGTGCGCCTGCGCTGGCTATCGCTGCAACGGCGTGTCGAGCACTACAAGTCGAATGCATCGGTGCTGAGGGAGACGCTGACGCTGGATCTGCTGAATATCTCGCTGAACATGAATATTGCGCTGCAGCAGGAACTGCACAGCAGAGAGGCAAAGCGTGATGTTCTCGAGGAGAAGCTCGATAGACTCGAGCAGATGGTGGGTCGACTGATTCCCAGCCCGAGGCAGAGACAGAGGGCTGTATCTCCCCGGCGGCCTGACGGTCCGAGTCCCAAGGGAGGACTGAATGTGCCTGGTTTCTTTATATCGGGACCCGAGGACGAGCCGGGCGAGAGGCCTTCGAGAGGTCTTGCTCCAAAGCCGTCCCTGAGCCGGAGCCCTTCACCAATGTCGCCCGCCCACGCTCATGATCAATGATGAGACAACAACGGCTCGGTTTGGATCAAAATGCGTAAGCCCTGCACGTACAATGAGGAATTCGAATAGAGCTCATGAATCTCCAAGTGATTCTCAAAAAACACGTGAGCCAGTCTTCCCTGGATGTCGATGCAAATCATGTGATCATTCCAGCCGTTTACAGCTTCACACTCTTGACAACATTGCTCTTGATACCCGTCAATTCGCCCTTGTATCCACCCTTGCCTTCTCCGCCCTTCCACACCGGCCGCATGCTCGCCAGCTTCTTCTTCTTCTCCTCGAACTTCTTCTTCTTCTTGACTCTGGGATTGCGCACCTCCTTCTTCCGCTTCGGCGCCAGACCCTTGTTCTTCTCAATCGCATACGTAATCCGTCGCTTGCCATCAGGACCTACTGTTGCTTCCTCGTAGACCTGGGCGCCTTGCGCAGCAGCGGTCGCATGTGCATCAGCGCGAAGGCGCTTATCAGCCTTCTTCTGCTGGCCGGTGGCGACGAGTGTGTTGTAGTACTCGTTGGCGTCATCGTTCATCTTTGCAGCAAGGTCATTCTCATCGTACTCGTCGCTAAGGGCATCGTCCTCAGCAAGATGGCGCTGGTTGCGCTGCTCGGCTTCGCGCTGAATGCGCTCCTGTCGGTCACGTATGCGCTCCTTATACGGAAGGTCGTCGTCACCGCCGGCATGGCGGGACGCAGCGGCGCGCTTGCCAGCCTTCTGAGCAATTTGTGAAGTGTAGAAGCGGAGGGATTTCTTTTTCAGTGCCTTCTCCGCGGCTTCCTCCGCGGTCAGCGGTGCTTCATCGCCGAAATCAGAGGTTTCGTCGTCCACTGGAGCTGATTGGGATAGGAGGTCTTCAATCGTAGCACCCTTGGGCTTTTCAGCTTTGGCCTTGCTCTTCTTGGACGTTTTTGTAGGTGAGTCGTCCACGACTAGCGGTTTCGATTTGGACTTCTTGAGACTCTTCTCTGGCACCATATCTTGTCCAAATATCATGGCGACCGGATTCACAGCTCTTGGCTGTGCCTTCTTAAGGACCTTCACGGCCTCATTTGCGCTGCTTGAATCGTTAGGGATGGGCTTCCCATTGGTATCTTTGTTTTCGACATCGAATTCCTCCTCGATGTCACTATCAAGATCCTTAGTGGTTTCCCAAAGCTGTCGACTCCGTAGGAGGCTTGCCATGATTGGATGCTCCCGCAACTCCGATGGCGGTAACGAAATCCCATCTTTGCTGGAGCTGAGTACCGCCATGTACATGGAGATTGATGCTAGATACGCAGCAAGGGCTCGAAGCCTGGTCTCATTGATCGACAGTTTCCGCGACTTGCTCTTCTTCATTTCTTCGACCTCTGCCTTCAGCGCCACGTAGATCGGGTAGCTGCTAACCAGATCTTCGGCCAGAGGCTTGAATTCCGGGTATCTCGTCTTGAGTATCGTCCACCTCTCTTCATCGGTGGCATTCTCGGGGATTTGCACAGGTGGTAGCTTCTCGACCGTAGGCCGTCGTGACTCATCATCCGCCTGGGTCCAAGCCAATTCATCGAAGCCGAAATCCGCCTCCTCCATCTCCTGGAGCTGTTTCTGCTGCAGTCGCCGCGCTTCAGCCTCCTCGTCCAGAGCGTCTTGTTCGGTCTCTAACTCATCGGCGTTGTAGTAATCGGCGCGGTTCTCGCCCCAGTACTGTTCATCTTCATCGTCCTCGTCCGCCACGGCGGGCCGACCGTCTTCTGATGCCCCGTCAACATCTTGCTCCTCCTCTTCATCTGATGGTAGATTGTCCTTAAAGACCTCCTCATCGGAAGGCAGTAGCTCAGCATCTTCTTCTTCAAGCTTCCGACGTCGCTTCGCCGCCGGGCCCTCATCGAAGAGGATCTGGTCCCGGCCCTTGATGAACTCATCCTCGGAATTGTCGAAAGTCTCGTTGGCTGCTCTGGCGGGCGCAGCATCAGCGCGCGCTCTTGTCCGTTTCTTCGCCATGATATCAGCCAGACCTGGACACAAGACTGGGCAGAGGCGTGGATGGCTCTTCGACTGCGCGAGCATAGAAATTTTGTCGGCGCAGGCTTGGCGCGCCATGCATTCACTGCCTGAAAATCCGCCCCCCAGCGGACCGGTCCGGGGACTTAGCTGCCTTGGGCTCCGACACGCGTGCTCGCTGGAACGAACGAATAATTAGGGATTACAGTAATCGCCAGACGCAACTTTTCGCTGCCCAGTTTGAGGCGTGCCGCTCGCGACTACCGCCCATATCGACAACTAGCAGATTGTAAGCGCGTATGCTTGGGCGACCGCCTCCTGTATACCTCCTTTCCCAGCTCGCGAGGCCATACACCTTCCCGGTCGCTCCGCACTCATGCCCTCCGTCCTTGCCTCCTACGGTTCCAATACCACGCTGTACCTCACCGTCCTTTCCGTCGCGCTACCGGTCCTCCTGCTCTGCCTCAAAATGCTCTTCAGCCGCGCAAACAAGTTCCCTGTCGCGGGTCGCACTATCATTATTACCGGTGGATCTCAGGGCCTCGGACTGTCACTTGCCAATAAACTCGCTGCCCGAGGCGGCAACGTTGTCATTGTCGCTCGCGAGGAGGGGAAGCTTGCCTCGGCGCTCACAGAAATAAAGTCACACGCGACCAGCCCCAATCAACGCTTTCTGAGCCTGTCTTATGATCTGACTCTGCCCGAGAGCGCTCCGGCTATCTTGAAACAAGTAACTGAGTGGAACGATGGCAATCCACCTGACATCGTCTGGTGCTGCGCAGGCTACTGCATACCAGGCTTCTTCGCGGATATACCGATCGAGACATTGAGAAGCCAGATGGACACCCTGTACTGGACGTGCGCATACGTGGCGCATGCCACCCTCAACCTCTGGAAGACCCCATTGGGCGTCCACACAGCCGACCCATCCTCCAGCGACAGCAAGTCTCCGTTTGCCGCTGCCTCAAAAGGTGCAAATCCACCTCTTCCACCACGTCACCTCATCTTCACCTGCTCCTCCCTGGTCTGCTTCCCCATCGCGGGCTACGCGCCCTACACGCCAGCAAAATCCGCCATGCGCGCCCTGGCGGACTCGCTGCAACACGAGATCGCCTTATACAACGGCTGCGTGCAGTCTACCACGACCCCAGCCTCGCAAAAGCCCGCTGCGGAGATCAAGCTCCACACCATCCTTCCTATGGGCATCTTTTCGCCGAATTTTGAGCGCGAAAGCGAATTAAAACCATCCGTCACCAAAATGCTCGAGGAGACAGATCAGCCGCAAACGCCGGAGGATGTTGCTGATGCAGCCATACGGGGTGTGGAGCGTGGGGAGATCATGGTGCCGACGAACTTGCTGTCGAGGCTGATGGTGGGCGCGGGACGCAACGCGAGCTTACGGCAAGGTCTGGGTGAAGTGCTGTGGAACTTACTTGGGAGCATAGTGGTGGTGTTCGTGGCATGGGACTTTTGGAGCAAGACGCGACGATGGGGACGGGAGAGGGGCTTACAGACTGGTCCTGGGGTGCCGAATCCTTAGTTGACGGCATCTCCTGGCGACCACACATGTTCGCGAGCGCAGTAGACGACAGGGACCACAGAGACGGAAGAGAACAAGGATGCAGTGACCTGACAGGTAAACAAATGGCAGCACGAGGATGGTTCGAGGGTTGCAGAGCTGTACAATATACCGTAACCTGGTGATTCTGAGGTGCAACCTCTTCCTATTCTTCCTCTGCCTCAACATTCTCTCGAAAGCCGAGCCCGAAGTGACGCTCGAGGCCAGTTTCTGCAGACCGCCATTCAGGAGGAGCCCATCTCTTTCATCAACGACGTATCGCCACTCCCATCTTTTCCATCCTGCCAGATGCCAGTTCCAGAATCCATGCTCGTCTCATCAGCATCCATGTCTAATACCGCTTCCAAGATGCCCCTCCATCCCTCCTGTTCGTCCACCAACTCAACCGCTTCTCCCAGGTCCTCACCAAGGAACCGCCTGCACACTTGCTCTGCTAGTTCCAAGTCCTCCATCTCCGCTGCCCCGACTCCAGAGCATGACACCACAAGGTCCTCGCCTTTCGCTATGCTCTCGGCCAAACACACCGCCCGCTCAACCGCCTGCCTCGGCACACCATTCATCGCTGCACACTGAGCGCCGTAGCTGAGCATGCTGCGTCCGGCCCGCAGCTCATACATATACGTAACCTGCTCATGCATCTCGCCAAGCCGGCTTTTGCCATTGGTGCGTTCATCAATGTAGACTTTCATGTGGACGTGCGCGAGGCCCGGCTCTTCTATAAACAACCCTAGCTCGAATATCTCGTGGAGGTGGGTGGCGAAAAGGACCATCGGGCCATTATGGCCAAGTTCAAGGAGATGCTGTAGCACGCCAGCGGCAAGGCCTGCGCCATCTGCGCTGTCAGTGCCTTTCCCGAATTCGTCGATGATCAGCAGGCTACGCCGCGTACATGTGTTGAGAGCGAGGGCGATTTGCTGAAGGTCGATCATGAAAGCAGAGTGTGCCTTGGATACGGTTTCGGTAGTGGTAATACGGGTAAAAATCTTGTCTGTAAGGCCGAGAGTGCAGTAATCAGCGGGCACGAAGCTGCCGATCTGTGCCATGTATACAATGATGGCGACCTGGTTTTGATAGACAGATTTGCCGGAGTAGTTGGGTCCTGTGAGAATGAGCACGTTTGGGCTTCGATCACCACCAAGACTAGTGTCGTTGGTGACATATGAGGATACTACCATTTCCTGGAGTAGATGGCGACCACCTCGGACCTCGATCCGACTGTCTTCCACGATTTTTGGCCTGGTGAGATTGTATTGTACAGCTCCATGGGCAAGTGCCAGCAAACAGTCCAGTTCGCCGCACAGATCGGACGCGGTGACCAGAAGTTTCTCGTCCTGTAGCACTCTCTGAGCCAGATCGTGGACAATCTCGATCTCTGCATCACATATACCAGCCCAAAGATCGCCCAGCTCCGCGTCCATCTGTCTCATCTTCGCCTCCTTGAAGTACACGACATTCTTGGTGGTGAACATTCGCTCCCAGGTTCCGTCTCCGGTCCAGACAGGGTATCCCGTGACCTCGTCAAGCGGTACGGTGATATGGAAACCAAGTTGAGGGAAGAAGATGACATTAATTTGACAGTCCAATTCTGGAGGCATGGTTTGGGCGACATCTCGAGCGACACGCGACAGTAAGTCGTCCATACCATCATAGACGTCTTTGATCTGGTCAAGAGCGTCATCGATGCCACGTTTGGCAACTGTCCGACGCTGCTCTTGGGATAGCTCGAGGTCAACAACATCGTGGACCATTCTGCCAATTCGTTGTAGCTGGAAGCGGTCCAACACCTCAGCAGCTCGAGCGCAAAGAGTTAACTGCTCGCCTCCGATGACTTCGCGCAAATCTTCGACGATGCTGATTGTATAGTAACAAAACTCCAAGAGAGTTGACCAGACTCCACTCTTGAAACCGCCTTGCTTGTTGCCAGCCTCGATACCTTTATGGAGCATCGTCATGACGTTCCTTAGGTTCTTGATCTTGCTGAGGCTCTTACTTAGCTTGATAGAAATAGTCTGATTGTCCGCCCGGGCGAAGATTGAGACGAAGTCGAGACGTGAGTTGATTTCGTCTATATCCATAGATGGTCTGAGAAAGAGCCGCCGGAGCCGTGCCTTGCCTTGTGGCGTTTTGGCCAGCGCTACGAAGAGACCCAAAAGTGAGAGTGACTCCTTCGATCCCGTTGTCCCTGGACCTTGATTAAACGCATTTGGATGTGTCTCAGGCATGATGATCTGGAGTGACGAAAGCGTATCGGCATTGACGAACATGGTGTTTTTCAGGGTGAACATTTCCAGACAAGATATCCGATGGGCAAATTGAGCGTCTGGATCGTGCTGCAAATACTCTGAAGATCTTCGGCGTCGCAGATAGCCAATTACGGCCCCTAAGCAGCCGATGCTGACTTTGCTGTCGAGGTCTAGCCAGGCAGACACCTGAATCAGAGCCCCTTGTCTGCTTGAGAGACCGAAATCTGGGGTTCCAGGAGTCCCTTCGAAGGTATCGTCGTCGCCAGGGGCGAGGAACTGGACAGAAGTATCAGCGTGCAGCGTGCCGAGGCGGCTCAGCTTGTCCAATGCTCCTTCGTAATTGAACTCTGGATTTGGTCTCAGGTCAACTTTATATGGAGTGGGTCGGGTTTGAGAATCTGATCTGGTAAGCTGAGATCTCTTACTGGGCAACATTACCCACTGTAATCGAGGAGCGAGCCTTCGTGGACGGCTTGGGGTCGGCTGAGCGTCTCTGACAGGGCTTCGTGTCTGGTCGAGACAAGAATGACAGTTGGATGCACATCAAGCTTGACTGTAGCGTGTTAACAGCGAAGAACTAAGGGTGGCTCACTCACGCTTCTCCGATACTTCGACTCCACCATTCGGCACGTCTTCCAGACAGAAGAGTCTCTCCTCCCTCGCAATATAGTACGCGCAACCGATGGTTCCGCGATCTCGAACATCCAGTGCCATGATGACATGGTCGAGAGACTCGTCTGAGTCGTCGTGAGGCGCAGGCAAGCGAAGGGGAGGAGGCACTGGTGTGGGATGCAACTCCTCTATGCCTAGTCGAGCTTCTCGAGTCGGAGCAATAGTGACGCGTCTTCGAGAGGTCTGGCTATGCCATTCGCTTGACGGTCGTCCAGGCGTTATGGGCCCTGACTCGCGGGATGAGGTTGTTGATAGACGTGACTGTGAGCTTCTTGCCCCTCTTCCTCTTCCCCTGGCGCTGCTTCGGCTGTGAGGTATTCTTCGCCGAATTGAACTAGGCTGCGAGCTCGGCATGATGGTGTGAGGCCCCCAGCTGACAGACCGAATTGTGGACGAGTGCCTGAAAGTTAGGATGAAATTTCGATGAGTGAAGCACAAGTGGGGCAGGTGCGGTCGTGGCTATCAGAACTCGAAAGCAGACGGGAACGGTACGAAAAGGGAGACTGCAAGTAGCAACATGTTAATCTAGATGTGTCGCTAAATGACGCCCGCCTCTGCGATCCCAATAGTCTAGTTCTGGATTTCGTTCTCTTTCCATGTACCAACCATTCTACCACCTTCAGCCCTCTTGACCCGACACCACATACCCACCTCCTTGTCTGCGATGAACTGCCAAAGCACACGAGGCCAACTCTTGTGGTACGGCAGAGGGTTATAGAACTCCTTTGCAATCTCGTATAACTTCGGCAGTCGAGTCCACGGTATCGCAGGAAAGTCGTGATGCTCGTTGTGGTAGCCGACATTATAGGTGACGAGGTTCAATGAGCCATAGTAAGAGAATGTTTCGGGAATTGGCACATCTCGTGGCATTTTGCCACCCTTAACCTGAGATCGTTGGAAGACGTAGTGCTCGGAGATGAAATGTGCAGCACAAGGGTGCAGCGATCCAGCCAAGAAGGAGCTCAGCAACAGATATGTCATGGAATGCCAGCCGAGGAATCGTACAATCAAGGCATCGAAAAGGATTTGGCCCGCAATATTGAGGTAGTGGACTGGTCCGAAGGGAACTTTGAAAACGAACATGGGACGAATGGCGTAGAAGAGGAGCTGAAAGGTACAGAAGAAGGCCTTACCGAGAACCGAGTCAAGAAATACTGCTTCGAAGGCGGTAGGCAGATCCGTATCTAAACCGTCCACGCCCAAGGATTTGTGGTGTGTCAAATGATATTGCCTGAAGCCAGCCGAATAAGGTACTCCAATTGGCAGATTGGCCACAATGGCGAAGAGTCGATTGTAGACGGGAGTCTTGAAGGCCAGGTTATGGCTAATCTCGTGAATGGCAAGGAAGAGATTCTGGTTGGCTGTAGCTCCCACAACGTACGCCATGACCCAAAACGGCCACGACATTATTGGCGTATCTTTCAGTAGATATGCACATCCCACTTGCAATACGACCACTGCTAGTACCAGGTATTTTGTGAGTGGTTCCGGGCCGCAAAGTTGCAGTACCTCTCGATGCGCCTTGATGATGGCCTGTCGCCGCGTTCTATGGGGCTCTTCGGTGTAGGTCCAGAAGAATTTGTCCTCTGGTAGCTCTGGCCGCGAGTCGGCGTGCTGGGCTTTTGAGACCGACGAAAGGACATTCGGGTCATGTTGTTTCGCTGCAGTCCGCGACTGCGTTGCAGTAGTAGTCGACATCCCACTGGGGGAAGAGGTGTATTCGATGCGGAGGTGAAGATGGCCGGCTGCTATTGGGAAGCTAGAGGGAAAGTGGTCGCCAGAGGTGGCAATTGTTTAGGTCTTTGACATAGTTCGGTGCAGGAATGGAAGCGTCGGGCGATATTGCAGAGCACGCTGGAAAGATTTGAGCATCAAAAGAGCGGTCTCGAGCTCAGCGGAGGGGTGGAGGGGCTCCGGTGGTGGTCCGACCAGGAGTTCAGGGGAGCATGTGGAGAAGCAGTGTTTTCCAGGCACTGGCCACCAGGGCGAGCCGCAATTGCTCACGCCGAGTGCCGAGCCACGTGCGCCCAACGCCTAGGGAATTTAAAGACACTGGCCAACCAACTCCATAGGTAAACAGTCAGTAGATAATGCTACCATGCATGGCTGTGAGAGCTCTAATTTGGAACAAATCTTGACCAACATCGATATTCATATCTCGTTGGAGATTCGACCACGGCGCCGAAGTAGCTGCTCTGTGCTTACATGGCAGAGGGCCTTTGCTTTCGAAAAGTTATGTTTCACCCTTGACTGCCAATCCTTCGGCGGTGACCTTCAGCTGGAAGATTTCTATTCTGGTCGGAAGTGACCAGAGCACTGTCCTAGTCTACCATGCTCGGTGCGTTCTCACCATGGCAGAGGGTATTCCCTTGGAGCTTGTCAGCTCCATATCGTGATTCATGACCGTCATTATGCTCGCTTCCCCACGCAGATCTCGGTGTGTCCCTCATCTCGACGTCCGTGGAATGCTGGAAAATGGGGACCTACTTGACAATCAAACTCGCACTGGGCACCAGCTTCAACTCCTTCAGCGTCTGATCAAAGTACTCTTTATCGAAGACCTTGCGAGGAAAGTTTTGCGTGAAACTCTCGACATCCCGGCCAATCTCATCACCCACGGCGGTCGCTACCTCGAAGAGAGTGGTCTCAACCGGGAAAGCTTTCATGATGTTACCACCAGAAGTCTGCAGTCTTAACCGGGTCTCGGTGTACTCGGAAGCAGGCTTAGATGTTGTAGGGGCAGATGCGACAGGCGCAGACGCAGCAGGTTGAGGCGGAGGAGCGACGCCAGCACGGGCAGCCTTTTCTCGTTCCGCCTTTAACCTGCGTTCCTCCTTGTCGGCGGCGATCTTGGCTTGAATGCGCTTTTTGGCGTCGATATCATCTTGCTTGTCCTTCCGTTTTTGCTCGGCCTCCTTGATCTGCTCTTTAGCCCGCAGCTGTTCCTTGATGTCCTCGCTCTCTTTGGTCTTCTTGCGCGAAATCTGCTCATTGCGCTTCGCATCAATCTTGTCCTGCTCCGCCTGGGCTGCTCGTTTGGCCGCCATCTTCTCCTTCAGCTGTGCTAGTTTGGCAACCCGTTCCTCTTCGGTTAGTGGGGCGATCTCATCAGTGGACTCGGAAAAGTCGGTATGCTCGGTCTTGGATGCGTGGTACTCGGCTTCGGCAGTGCTGCGAAACTTCTTACCGCATTCGTTGCAGACATAGCTCTTCGCTGCTGCTGCTGCTGCTTCTTGTGCGGTGGCGTCTGAAGCAGCAACATCATCAGCCTTGATTTCGTCGATTGACTTGTCGGCGTTCTTATCGAGCCAGTCGATGGCCTCTGTCACTGCAGACATTAGGCTCATATCAGGCTTGATGTACCTTTCGGAACTCACAACCTCCGGTTTTCTGTAGCGCTAACTTGCTCTTCTCCGCATCGAACCCCATGTCGACAAGCTGGTCGTAGTCGGACGTGGTAGCCATGATGGGTGGACTCAAAGCAGACCGGATGATCAGGCAGAGACAAAAAATAATTCGATTTTCGAGCAGGTTGTGAGAAGGTTACAGGCATCACGATCGGCGTCAATAAAGTGCCACATGGTCGCGTCTGCACGTCATACGCGCCAAGCCGCCTCCGGATGATACTAGACTGTGAAGCAAGCACTGAAGGCCACCGCAAAGCGTAGGATTTCACGCGGTTATGGGCCTATGAAGGAGCAGTTTGTAGCCTCCATGGAGCCACTGATGCAGGAAGCAGTCGGTAAGTGTCCAGTATTGCGGCGAAGGACGAAAGAAGGCAAGGAACGCAATCTAGGCACGGGCCAGCATAAGGGAGATCATTGCCGCCATAATCCCAGTTGTACCCGGAGACGAGCAGCTATCTACGACAATTAACCTATAGTATTCCATTGGCACGTGAGTACCGAGAAGGAGAACTGGAGAAGGAGAACTGGATTATAGAAGCGGACTGGTTCCAGGTCTGAATGGATGGACGTTGACAAGACGGAGAAAGGATGCGCACTTCTAGGAAGCAGGATCCGTCTCGAATGTTCATCAGAAGTCGGGGCATAGATCTCAGGCGTGCAGTGGACCTGGAGGACGATTAAGTAGGTGTTAATGGCCTGGGGAAAAGACCTGAGCCCTAAAGCAGCGACGTGGCCGCAGCGGCTGCGGGTTCCGTCATCGTGCCAAGTCGAGCCCTCAGAAGCAAGCGAGCGATACATGTCACCAGCCACCACCACTTGGACTCCTTTGCGCGACCTTCCACCTCTCTATCGACGTCTCAGCACACCATGTCGGTCGAACTCAATCCCCCTGAGTTGGGCTTCAAGCGTAAGTCTGCCGCTATACCACCGCGCTCCAATCTAATTGTGACCACAGGCCCCTTCAACGAGGAGCGAGCCGTGAGCCTCCAGCTTACCAACAGCACCGCTGAGTCCGTTGCCTTCAAGGTACATTATTCCCAGCCAGATAGATCATTGGGCGCACACTAACTCCGTCTTAGGTCAAGACAACCGCGCCGAAGCAGTATGTTCGATAGCCGCGCTCATGGCCTCTTTTACTGACCTGGGTAGATACTGCGTACGCCCTAACTCTGGCATCATCCGGCCGCACGACCATGTCGAGGTCCAGGGTAAGCCATTCCCATTTGCATGCACACGCGAGTTCCGCTAACTCTCCATAGTCCTCCTTCAAGCGATGAAAGAAGAACCCCCTCTGGACTATAAGTGTCGCGACAAGTTCCTCGTCCAATCCGTTGCCCTCGATAGTTCTCACAACCCCGACGACGGCCTCACCACCCTGTGGTCTGCAATTGAGAAGACCTCCAAGAGCAGTATCCAGGAGAAGAAGATTCGCGTCAACTTCCTGGCCCCTGGCGCACCCACACCCAATGGCGTTTCCTCCGAGATGGAGGAGAAGCCCCCCTCATACACTGCCACGTCTCCCTCTCCGCAATTCGACTCTCCTGCTCCCCAGAAGTCGACCGTTGGCGACTCTGCGCGCTCCGCCGCCGAGGCCACTGGTGTCGCCGGCGCTGCCGCCGCTGTGTCCAGCGCCATCCCAACGAGCCAAGAAGAGCTCAAGTCTCAACTGGCTGCCGCCCAGGCTCAGATTGCCAAGCTCACTCAAGACATGAAGGATCCCGCTGTACGACAGCGCAAGGCTGCTCAAGCCGAAGAAAAGGTCCAGACCGTGGTTCAACAAAGTCAGAGTGGAGGTGTGCCGTTGCATATTGTGGCTGCCTTGTGCCTCTTCAGCTTCTTGGTGGCGTGGTTGTTCTTCTAGTGGAAGTTGTTTGCCTGTGTACTAACACGATCGATACATGACGGTGATTTTCCGGATCAGATTCTAAGATCACAGCCTGTACTCTCTCAATGAAAACGACCGATCTCAGACGTCAAGTTATTCACGGCGCTTTTATGACTATGCTCAATCTCGTACACCAGGACTTTACCCAGTATCTCAGCCGTGTGGCTGGGCCTCTCGGGGTCTTCAATCTGACGTGAAATGCAACCACCGAAGCCACCACTGGCTACATTCGGCCGTGACAACCTTAGGGACGTACCTTTCGTGGTGCACTGACTACGTCAGTGCGTCATCTCGCGGCCCGACAGTGTTTTGAAATCCTACCACAAAAGGTTCGTCGAATCAAGATCACCGGACTTCGCTCGCGGAAAGCACCAACTTTCCAAAAGAAACAGGTACTGGGTGATCTCTTTAGCTTCGAACATGGCCGTTACGAGGAGCTATAAAAATGCTACACACCGACCCTCAGGCACCCAAGCTGAGGATTCGACGCGTCGGACAGAACTTCCTGTAGCATGTCCAAGTCGGCCCGACGGGCTCAGAACTTCCCAGAATACACGATATCCGCCCGAGAATGGTAACTGACCTGACCACAGGAAGACTACTCACTCCTCCACCTATCGAATATTGCCACCTATGGGCTATCCGCCATGGTCTCCGCATTGGCACAGGTGTTTGCTGCTTTACTGACCCATCGGCACCCATATATACATCATGGAACTTTTATTTCCTTCACGCAAGCCCACTCAAAGCTGCCCAGAGCTGACGAGTATTCAAGGTGTCATTGACCTCGATCCAACGCCTCCGAAGACCCAGCAAGTTCATGCTCGTGCGGCGCGCCAGCTGGGGCTGCAGTGACAGCGTCGCCTGGGGTCTTAGCTCACAACATCCGACAACTTCGAGCCATGTACACAACGGCATCTGCTTTTGTTTTGGGCGAGCTGCTTGCCCCTGTCTGTAAGGGCATCGGCAGTGGTACGTAGAAGATCGTCATCATCAACTCACCGTGGAAGTGTTCTTGCCCCAAATTGATGCTTCCACTATCCACATCGAATGCTCCGTTGGGCTTTACAACGCCTTGGAGTCGCTCGTGCCTCATTCCCGAGTCATACGAAGCCCGAGCGTCCGGTCACCAAGGCTAGCGCGTGTCGATGACTGAGGACTGCTTCAGCCGTATCTCGAGTGAACTCTGGACGTAAACGTGTGACCTGGATACTGAACGGGCGAGCAGGTTTTGCATTATTGTCATACCGGTCGAGAAGCGCGGGCCGACTGCTACTGACGCTTCCTCCTGCTGGAGCTGCTGAAGAATGCAACGACAATGTAGAGCCCCGTAGAGCCCCGGGAAACATCAGGTCCTCCAACCCATGGTTCCAGGAATCAATTCACATTGAGGTGAGCCTTGAACATCTCAGCAGTGCCGTTCACCAGAGTGTCGCCAAGAGGCAGTGAAAGACTTGGCTTGGACTTTACCAACTCTGCATTTCTCATTGTACCTACAAGATACGCGACTTGCCTTATGGGAATGATGCGACCGAAGTACTAAGTCTTCGTCCTACCCGCTTAGTGAGCCAGACCTTGGCTCGTTCCAAGACAGCTGGTTGTTGGGCCATCCTTCTGTCACCGAGCGCCTCAGGATCTGCTGATCTACTTTCTGAAACTCGAGATTTGTACAACTTCTCCTGCTCTACCAACAGCTTCTTGCATAGCGGACAGCTGTTAGCGCCACGTATGACCCAGTTATCCAAACACCAAGAGTGGTAGACGTGGTTGCAGCGGAGCTGTCGGGTTCGGTCGCCCACCGATATGACTTCTAGACATATCGTACTACCCCAATTGTAAGCACGGTATTGCACCAGCGGGAGAGACATCTTACCAGACTTGTGTAGATGATTTGTAAAGGCTGCCGAAATAGTGGTTTGGACTCTTTAGAGTGTGTATCGGGCAGACTCTATCGAGCTCCTTCATTCGCAGCAGTGCGCTAGCCTCTGCAGGTCCTGCAGATGAGTCATACTGTCCACGTATCCCGTTCTTCCTGTAGCGGGTTGCTACCGCTACAAGGACAAATATCCTGGGACGCAAGTCAGCAATCGTGTCAGCGTTATCTCGGTGCACACACATCACACCGATCACCACGCAGGTGATGACTAGAGCATTTGAAACCCTTCCCTTGGCTTCTGAAGACGCTGCAACGGCCGAAGTGGCATCGTCTCGTTTGATCGCGATCGAGGAGCATGCTACGGACGAATAGTGCCTACTTTCTTGTGCGCGGTTTCGCTGTCGAGGTGCAAGTAAGTTCATCTTGCTTCAAGGGAGCAAAAATCTGGAGAGATGAAAAGACTGTGCAAAATACCAGAGCTTAGACGTCTTATCTTCTGTTGCCTCCAGCTGCGCCTTGTAACGAACCACGATGTCCGATTGGAAAACCTCCGCGTCGTTGCAAGAAGCGTTGACACGAGGCTGGCTGTGCTGACACCTCCCGAACTGCCATCTCTGCGTTGCTCAATGGTCTAAATCACGGTGGAGGGGTACTTGCTGTGAACTTAGATACTGTGCGGCTGAAGGGCTGTCAAGCCACTCCGCAGGTGACAGCATCAGCCCCCGGAACTGCCTAGGATTGCATTCCTCGGAAACATGAGCAATAGCAACATCGGAGCGCTCACTTGTGGTAGATCCAGAAATATCATTTGTCCCGAGTCAAAATCTGGTCAACAGGCCATTGTGAATTCTGAAATAAGACATGCCGAGATTCCGCCGCGCTACTTCTTGAAGAGCACGCCCACAATGTGCAGAGTAGTCCAGGGGTTGTTAAGCTGAATATCAGTTTGAGCCCCATTTTCCGTCGCACGCTGCGACCCTTTCCAACATGGACCGCGTATCTCTTGTTAGCTCGCAACCACCACACCAGTACCCCCAACTGAGTGGCATATGGAAGTACTGAAGAATTTGATCGATTGGTGTACCACTGAGAGCACTGTCACCGGAATTGCGCACATGCTCGCAGACCACCATCCTCCCACCAGGTTTCAGGGGAACATATAGCCCATGAATGGTAACCTGCTCGTCTGGCACGCCACAACACGAGAATGCAGACGACTTCAACGAATTCAACATTGGCTAGAGGGTCTCCACGTGCACCTGGCCTCTACCATGTCTGACTCTAGCCCCGACCTCGTCACTTTGGGTGCTCCTTGAACCTACATCCTGTGCCAATGTAGAGCACCTCTTCCTACCAAACGGAGGGGGTAGTTATGAGTTGATCGAGAAGTTCGCCTGCTGCATATAGCAACTGCGCAACTTTCATTGGATTTCGCCACTTAGCCATCCTCAAATATCTGGCACATTCTATGTCTGCCATGGGAGCTTAACGCAGTTCACCAATTCCTGACAAGCGGCTCTCTGATTTTCGTAACGTGCCAAACTCCACTTCTTTCTATAATGTAAAGTTCGTGCTCAGCAAACGCATCAGTAACTGCGAGGTTCTCTCCGCCGCCGACTCTGATCGAGCCAAGTGTCAGGCTATCACGCGAGTCAGTGATATCGGTCTGACCCCGGCTCCTGCGAGCAGGTAGCCCTAAGAGATCCATGCCTAGACAGAAGGTGAGCTTTCAGACTCCGGTGGTAGTTGTTTCAGATATCCAACCACAAAGGCCGGAAGCAATGTGATGAGGACAGCTGGGCACAACATGTTGAGATTACTCTTGGATGTTCGTGTGCGGGGAGTTGAGCATTCCATCATGAGCTATCTATTAGCAGCCCATTAGAGTTTACTTAAATACACCTTGGATATTATGACCGAGCTTGCGGATGATATCTGTACAGGCGCGGTTGGTGCTCCAGGGTTCGGGGTCTGGGCTCTGGGGTTCTTGGAACTTGGCCCGAAGTCCCCGTTGCAGATCCTTGTTGACTACACGTAATATCTCCGATGTATATAAAGACGTTATAGTAGGAGAGCGTACCAGTGGTGTTCCTTGCTAGCTTGGTATGCATTCAGAGCGACGAGATCTTCAAGGAAACTCAACAGTGCGAACTCGAAATTCTTACCTCTCTCGATCAGATCGGTGATGGATGGTCCCCCCACGACTAGTCTGTTATCTTTGACGCAGTCTAAGTTCTTGAGCTTCATTAACTCCCGCACAAACGTTGCTTTATGTTTTTGACTGACGTTCAAATTGAAACGGAAGAATACTAGAGTCGCAAATTAGCACAAATCCACTCCTTTGAAAGCAGAGGAAGTTCAAGTACATACCCATGTGAACGATCCTCATCGTGTAAGAACACTAGGGTTGAGGAGGACAAGACCAGAGCTGCACGGGCCAGGACCAGAGCGCACAAGTGTTCGAGGCTGGAATTCACCACTGCAAAAGAAGGAATCCGAGCACTATATGTCGCACCCGTAGCCTCCGGGTCATCTTTCGGTCCCAGTCCCCTGGCGGCTGTCTTCGGGGAGAAGCTGATCTACCACGGTTGGCATCATACTAGTTGCGGTGCTTTTGATCAGTTGCTTGAGCATGTAGTATTGTTGAGATATAGATGAAACATAGTTTTCAAGACCTCGAACTAGCAAGCAGGTATTCATTTAGAAAAGACTGAACTAACCGTTGGGTTTGTAATCATGGCTACAGTAACCCGTAATACTAGTATTCTCGGTCTTGGCTAAGAGACCGGTCTTGGAGCTCCGCCCTTCCTTTCCACCCTGTCGCTGATACCATAAAGCGCTCGACTTCGACTGGCGAATGCAATTCAAAAGGCATCATCCACAATGACTTCTTCTCCCGACAATAACAGAACTTACCGCATTCTGCACGATGCACGCCAAGGTGGCGACAGTGTTGGGGCCTATAATTGGTAAGCGACGTCATGGCCTGCACGGCGACTTCAGGCCAACAAGCTAATAACCTGGCAGCTAAAATGACGACGGCGTCATGGCAGTAATCAGAGCTACCGAGATCTGCAACTCTCTAGCCATCATTCATCTTTTCCCCTGGACAATGCATTTCCAGGGCCCGGCCTTCGTGCGTTACGTGGTGGGGCTGCGCATGCAGCACACGCACCTATAGCCGTGCATCTTGACCACTGCATTAAGCCGTCCGATGTTGAGCTGGGGTTGTCGTTGCCTTTCGACTCGATCATGGTCGATGCATCCTGTCAAGATCCAGAAGAAAATGTTACAGCATGCGCAAAGATTGTCCAGAGCGCGAACGCTAAAGGAATCGCCATCGAGGCAGAGATGGGCCGCATAATGGGCTCTGGGGACGCACTGCCACGTATGGAGAGGAGTCTAGAAAGTCTAATGACAGACCCAGACATTGCTAAGGTCTTCATTAAGCGCACTGGAGTGCAGTTTCTTGCCTCCTCGTTTGGAAATATTCATGGCCACTATGGCGCGATGAGGGCAGAAGATGTGTGGAAAGTCACTCTGTAAGGCAGACAGCGCGCGCTCAGACTGCATGTTTCAAGCAATTAGCTAACTCATGAACCAGACCTTCCGGGGTCAACTCAGCTGTGCCTGACATCGCCTTGGTGTTGCATAGAACCCATGGCGTATCGGATGAATTGTTTCTAGAGGCAGCAAAACGCGGAGTCACGATGATCAATCTCAATCAGACGGTAAAGAAAGATTATACGGATTTCACATCACGGTATGCCGGCACTTTGGAGCTTACAGAGCTCAAGGCTCAAGGTGTCGCGGTGTACGCCTTCCTTTCCCCTTCTTCCCCCTAGGTTTAACGTCGTTCATCCTGCTTTGCAGCGCTCTGAGCCGGAATACCCACGCTGTATAAGAGCGAATACTCCAAGTCATCTAGTATTTGCAATTCCTTGTGAAAAGGTGTGGGTTCCCGCATATTACTACGCAAACCCATACAACAAGCCACTCTTGCTAGTGATTGACTCAAGGACAGAAACGTACATTGGGTATGCACGATCAGGCTGGGTCCAAATCAGTCATGCCGCCGCAGTAAACCAGAATCGTTTCCTGCCTATCGATCAAAAAGGGGTCGACTCGGATATACCGAGTCGAACGAAGCCCCTGAGCTTCCAGATATCAGATTCTTGCAAATACGAAACGGCTTCAGTAGACTCATGTTGTAAGCGATCGAAAATCGTTAATGAACAAGTACCGCCAAGTGTGATAAGGATGTCAGCGGCCACCCATCACACGCTAGAGGGACATTTGGCAGGTCGCCTCTCTGCGGCCACTCACTTGCGGCACCGAGAATTCTCGCACTAAGTAGGGATCTTTGGCATCACTCTTGCAACGCAAGCCACGTCTCCGATATCTCATGTGGTGGGCAAGTACCCCGGTATTTTGGCGGGTATGTGAGCCGGCCGTTCCGGCCGAGCTCCACTTAGAACCCAGACCGCCCTTTCCCTATTTCAGCCGACCAAGGTCAACTAGAGTCGCGTGGCAGGGTTCTTACACTTCCGTTAAAGTGCCGCTCGGTTGAGAGAATCTGCTGCTGAGGGTGGCCATTAGATTGTCAGCTGGAGGGGTAATATCCTCTACTCCAAGGAGCTACGGTAGTACACCAAAACAATGGAGCATTTAAAGCCAGGATTTACAGTGTTCGGCTCGCCTTGAACCATACGTTCGGGTATTCTGCCATCTCCTTTTTACATTTCGTCTCGCTAAGGTCACCACATGACTACAAGTCTCCCCGCCTTCACAGCCTCACTGTGGTCTGTTGTGGGTTAGATAAATTACTAGTCCAACCAAGGGTCTGAGGAGGTCAGGGTTAAAAGCTTCTGGCATTGGGGACTCGTTCTGGCACCTTGCATTAGCCCGCATCTGAGCCATCACCGTGGCCTTCTTCGGATTCTCCTCTGCACACCCTCCTTGGCACACTCTCGGACCCAATCTCTGATCCTCCTCTTGATGGGACAAGGACTCCAGGTTTCGCGTCGGCGCTACCTGTCCTTCCCGCCCCAATCAAGCCCCGTACCTCCGAAACGTGACCAACATGACCCAGATAGAAGTCGCTGGGGCAACAACGTGGCCTGAAATTTTTTTTTTCTCAAAGTCGTGGTTGAAACCGGAAGTATACTAAATGTACAAGTATTCAGAGGTAATAAGTTCAGTGTTTGAAGCGGTTCATTGAATTAGCTACTCTATGAAAACGTGACATGTATGTGGCCCCAATATTTTGTAGTCTTCGGTGATGTGGTGAGCTGTAGAGCGTGCCAAGGCGGAAGTAAGGATAGAAACACTATGAGCTTGTCAAATCGCACGTTCGACTAAGAGAGGATTCGTGCCGAGCGCTAAAAGTTCTGCATGACCGCATCGTCGACTGCAACCGACGATGCAGAATAATCGCGGTTCGCCGGACGTAGATCCTCACTAGCCATAGCCTGCACCTTTTTCATCTTTGACACTTGCGCTTTTAGGTAGTCTGCGCTGAGGGGCGCAAAGAGTCCCATTTCCTCAATTTCTTTGTAAGGAATTCTCCGATCCCGAAGCTCTGAGAGTTTGGCTAGCTCTACAGGATTGAGCCTCCGTCGTCGACGTGTTCGGGAACAGTCGACGCCGTCGTGTGTACAGCGAGAGCAGGGAATGCCGCGCTTCGGGCTCGGGTCGCATTGGAAGGCATTCCCCGAGCACCTTTGACATGGTCTGTTGGAAATTGTTCGAGCGTTTGCTTTCGACTTTCTTCGACCACAAGCTTTGTCCTGAACAACTATGCTCTCGCTGGAATCGGGATCATAATCTGGGTCGTCTCTTTCTGATGGATTCTGGAGAAACTGAGCGTCAACGGAAATGGCTTCTGACAACCATCCGTCGCCATCTTCATCGTCGTCTCTGTATTCAGGTATACCGTCAGTCATATGCGATGGCTGAGTGTTGATGTCGCTACTGAGACGAATGGGGTCAGTTTTCTCAGCTGGCACCGAAGTTGCCAACACAGCATTGCTAGATAGGTCCAAGTCTTTGAAGAAAACCTCCAACTCGAGTGCCTTCGACTCGATTGCCAGCTCGAGGCTTCGCTTTTGCTCCGCCTCTCGAGCCAACTCCCCTAGTCTTCGGTCCACGTCGTTTTTGAGGCCGATCAAACGGTCGAGACCAGCCTGTTCCTCAGTGAATCTGACTTTGGCCTTTTCGAGACGAGATTCAAGGTCTTTGATTTCATCTCCACAGTTTTGAATGCGTTCGGCACCATGCAAGGCATCCTTCTCGTATGCGGCAAAGTCTGTCTGGAGGGACACTGTTTCATGCTGCTGCCAAACGCTTCTTTCGTTGATCGATTCGTATTTTTTTTGCAAATTTCTGAATTCATCGAGTGCCTCCGTACGTTTCCGAAGCTCATTCCGGAGCACATCGCACGAGTTGAGGAAGATATGGTTACTGAGAATTGTCTGAGCAGGCGAGAAAGTGGTGTGGGCCATTATGGGAGAGCTGTGCAACAGAAGGTGTCGTAGGCAGAAGTGGTAAACGAGTCGACTTGGATGGGCTTGAAGACCTGGTCTGTCTTCGCAAGGAGGTCATCAGATCCCGATGAAGGCTGTAGAATGACAACAGGGGTTCGGAAATTTGTAGCAGAAGGAGATGAGAGGGTTGGCAACAGGAATACCACCAGGCACAGCAACACCAGAGGTCGTAGTTCCTGGCAGGAGGGAGATCTTACCGGCTCGGCTTGCCTTCGATACGCAGGAGCAAAAAGCATCTCAATAGGTGAACCAACAAGATTTCGCTCAAGTCGAATATATGATACAGGGCTATGCGAGAGACAGCTGGCGCGTGTGATTCCCAGCCTATTAACAGCTTCCCCGGAGCCGATCCGTTCAATGCCTGCGGCGTCCTGGCCAGGAATACGAACCTTAGCGCGACCGGCCCCCTCCCCCGGTTCCACCAGGCATTCAAGGCTTGATGCATATCACGCTAGTGGGTTGCTACGATTATTAAATTTTTAGCGTAATTGTTTGACGCGCGCTACCTTTGCTTCTTCTGCATCAGTACTTTATGCCACTCTCCTATGCTCAGAACGCGGCGGTGTGCACGTTTTCGAACCTGGCAGAGGTTACATGTGCAGCCGAACGAGAAAAGACTTGTCTTGCTCCGACCCACCCACACCATACACGACAAACCGCAGGGAAACCGAGGCGTGTTGAGGCAACGGTGAAGTCGTCACCAGTCCCAAATGTATTGTCTTATTCGAGTCGGAATTCTTGTGGCGTTTCAGAGTACTGGGCTTGGTCTCCGTACCAGTGCTACATCGGTCTGTAAGGCTAATTCAAGTCTGGAAGCACTCGCGAATAGTTCCCAGCTCAACAACTTTAGTCGTCCGAGCTTTCAAGCTCGATCCCGAGGGACTGTCTTTGGGTTTCTGTTTGGCTGGGCTATACAACCATGGCTTCTAGCATTCGATCCACTGTGCCGCTGACGGCGCGCTAAGTGTGGCGAAAGCCGTGGTACCTGCGACGAGAACAGAGATGGATTACGTGCGTCAGTCAGCTTTTGCGTCGCGGGCTAAGTCTCTCTCGGTGGCCGGGTATGACCTGTAGGCTATGGCATCGTCAGTGCCCACGAGCGCGCACGTTGCTTCCACCGTACCCCAGATTAGCTCTTCCTTATGAGCTCGACGTTCATTGTCGACATCCGAGTCAGATAGAGAACGTTGATACTGGAGGTAACCATCTCTCCGACCCCAGAGACATGTTTTACGTCCCAGGACTTGATTCCTAGTGTACTTTGTGCAGGCATTGATCGGCTGACCTGCAATGAGCGGAAAAACTAATGGCAGGACAGGTGACGTGGGCGACATCACACGTACTGGACTTAGGCGCTGAGTGATCTCAAGATGCATGCACGCCGGGGCGGAAGACATCCCCTCGCGCTAGCTCAGGTGGCTGAGTGGCCGGGTGGCTCTCAAGTCGACTGCCGCATCAACTCAGGGGCGGAAATAGTGTTCAGCAGGTAGCCAAAGTCTTTGCTAAGCACACAGGACTCTTTGTTCTCTACGGGATCTCGGACTAGTGGGAGACGGGATCGCATAACACGCGACAGGCTGTCGGATTTTGAGTCACTCACAACACTACTGACGTGCCAAAGGGGTGGAAAGGGTGGTGTGTGATGCTTGCAACGCTGGCAGCTATTCACTCTGCAGCAATGTGGACGTGAAATCAAAGAATACCATTGAGCCGGTCAATATCATTAACATCGACAAAGCATGCACCAGAGAACAAAAATAGTTGATACAGTAGATGTCAATTCGTTTAAGGTTTCGGATGGATGTTCGGGCGTCGTCGTCGGGGGCGGGTCAACTTCTAAGTTACGATGAGTAATCTCGGAGCAAATCAACTAGGTAGTCGAAGTCCCCTGCGGAGGTGGGGCTTATGGGTAAAGCCCGGGGCATTGGGTACCTACGTGTAACCTAAGGGGCAGGCGACCCGAGAGCTATAACTCTCGATCTTGCATCTCCAGAAATTCTAGCTATTTCTCGCTCTCAACGCTTCCTAACAAACTACGACCACCTTCATCTACGACCACGCCTATCTGCGAAGATACCGCCTGAACTCTTTGACAGTGATTCCAGACATCCATCAGGCCCCAACAGTTGTACTTGACCCATCTTGCCATGTCGGACGGCGTGGTACAGACCTGGCCGCGCGCCTTGTTGCAAGTCGAGGGCGCCTGTGTCTTCGGCTCGACAATCTGGGCATATTCGCAATTAGGGGAATCGTGGTGGACATTCGCAAGCGTCCTCTTGTTACCAGACCTTGGAATGGTTGGGTATCTATCCAATACCAGACTGGGCGCTGCCATCTATAATTCAGTCCACACAGAGACACCGCCGATTCTCCTGCTATGTACTGCCCTAGCACGCCGGGACAATAGGCTCACAGGACTGGCCCTGTGCTGGCTAGCACACATCGGAATGGACCGCATGCTTGGGTATGGGCTTAAGTATGGCACTCGCTTTGGTCACACGCATCTGTCATTCATAGACTTTGGCAAGAAGACTGGTGACAAAGCCAGCACATCTTGAGAGCTGGGGAAAAGGGCCAGTTTAGTGTTGTGACGGATTACTTCCCAGCCTTCGGTGTTAAAGTACAAGGCCTGGCCTTCTGCACCGACAACCGGCTCATCTCACGAACTAAAGCAAAGGCAACTGTCATCCACTGCAAGACAATGCGGGAATCTTGAATCCATGCAACCTGATGCCTCGAGATAATGATAGTATACGCCCAGTCTAGATCAGCCAAGGCTGGGAGTACAATAGCCTCGGCCTGTCTCGGCCCCGCTCTCTGTACCTCGCCCTCACTAGTAGTCGTGGAAGACGATTAAACACATCGCTTGACTCCATATCGTCCGCATGAACTCAGCTTGTATACTATCCAGCTTCAAGTGCAAACTGAAGGATTTGCCTGAACCGATCCCACCCGCTGCAGCAAACACTCTACTCACTACCAACACCTCAGCATGGCTCCAACGCTCCACCTAGACTTCCACTACGACATTTCCTGCCCCTTCGCCTACATCGCATCCCTCCGCCTGCCCTTCCTTCAACGCCGACATCCAGACCTGGTCATCGCTTACCGCCCCGTCCTTCTCGGGGCGCTATACCGGGCCACTTCCGCGCCACAGGGCGCCGCCGGCTCTGCCTCCGACACGTTCAACCCGACCAAGCGCAACGTTACGTCTGCGGCTTTTGCGCGCACTCTGCGTCGTCTGGGAGTGCCGCATCGACAACCCCCGAAGCATCCTCTCAAGACGACCAGAGCACTGAGGTTGCTCTACTGCGTGCAGGGATCGGAGAGGGTGGCATTGACAGCGGGGTTGTATCGAGCCTATTGGGTCGAGGGCCAGGATGTCGGTGACGTTGAAGTACTGCAGGATGTGGTCAAGCGGTGTGAAGGCCTAAGTGCAGGAACAAAGGGAGCAGTGACCGGACTGCTTGAGACGGGCGATTTCGAAGGTACGGAGCAGAGACGAGAACTGCAGGACACGACGGACTTGGCGCTGCAGAGGGGAGCTTTTGGTGTGCCGGCGCTTTGGGTACTGGAGGAGAAAAGGCTGTACTGGGGGCAAGACCGGATGCATTTTGTGGACAAAGCCCTGTATGCACTGGAGAAGCAAGGAAGTGAGAGTCTAGCGTTGGAGGCTTTCATGCCTCGATCCGTGCCTGTGACAAAAAGAGCCGTGCCCGATGGCGAAGAGGTGAAGCTGGAATTTTGGTACGACTTTAGCAGCCCATGGGCATTCTTGGGTTGGACTCAGCTGGCGAGAGTGCAGCGGGCTTGTGGCCCGAGGCTGAAGATAGTGATGAAGCCATTTTTGCTGGGTATCCTGTTCAGAGAGTACGTTTCCCTGTTCTCGATCTGGAGCCATCGAACTGACATTTCCCTCTCTCCAGAATTGGCGCCCCGAACCTGCCAATGGCTACAGTGTCCGAAGCCAAGCGCAAGTACCAACAGCTGGATCACAATGACTGGTGTCAGTGGTGGAACGACATCAATCGACAGAACGGCCTCCCTGACAAAGAGATCAGCTTCCACTGGGCAGACATTTTTCCCATACGCACGCCTGCAGTCCTGAGGGCTGTGCTCGTCGAGCCGAAACTGGTCGACGTATTATGTGAGTTCAGAAGTACATGGTGAGTAGGCGAGTGGCTAACGACAGAACAGTCAGAGGGTGTTGGGAACGCAATCTGGATATGGCTTCCGATAAAGTCCTTCACTCTGTGATTGCCGAAGCAGGCTATGATGCCGACAGTGTCCTAGCTTGCGCTAACAGTGCAGAAGTGAAGCAGAAACTCAGAGACCTGACGAAGGAAGCCAAAAACATTGGCCTCTGCGGGGTACCAAGCTATCGAGTCTTCAGACGGACAATCGGAGACGACGAGCAGTCTTGGAAGCTTAGCAGTGACACTATCTGGGGTCAAGACGAAATAGCCGTGGTGGAGGACCTGATCTCGGGCTGGGATGGAAAAAGCAGAGCGTTTGAGGCTGGGGCACAAGAAGAGTCTCGGAGAGGTAATGCCAAGCTGTAAGCCGGAATATCATTGACGAAAAGCGATGAACCAGCCAACGGATCCTTGTGGAGGACACATCAAAGCTTGCTAGCCCTATCTGCATACTCGACCTTGATGGTGTACTTTGAGTCCCAGTGCATCGACCAGTAGTCATCCCATATTCGCTTAGTAATCGGTCCAACTCTTCCATCTCCCACGTTTTTACCGTCGAGGCTCGTGATGGGCATGATACCCCCAGCTGTAGTGCACATGAAGATCTCGTCGCTTTCATACGCGAGCTCGACTGGGACGACCTCGCATCGTACCTCAATGCCGTTCGCTCGCGCAACATCAAAGACGCTTTTGCGGGTCACGCCCTCTAGGACTCCTCGGTCAGGCGTATACAAGACGGCGTCTTTGATCAAGACGATGTTGAAGCCCGAACCTTCGGTGAGGTTGCCGTCGCCATCGGTCAGGAAGGGATACTGGGCGCCGCGGTCCCGCGCCTCGTACATTGCCCGCGTCAGGTCACCCCATTGCAGATTCTTGACTGTGGGATCCATGGCTCCCGGAGGAACTCGCCGGACGGTTCGGGCAACGATTGCGTCGCCACCGCTGCGCTGTATCTGGGGTGCCATCACCCAGATGTAGGGGATAATGAACAGGTACAGGTTATTGACGAGATCCTCCGCCTTGGCGTCACGAACACCCTGGAGGCCTCGCGTAACAATCAGCTCTACGAAAGCGTCGCGAATGCCGGATTGCGCCGCCATATCGAGGAGTATGTGCTTGATCTCGTCCTTCGGCCTGGGCAGGCGTAAGCGGAGCTTCTTGCAGCTCGCCTCAAGTCGGTCCAGGTGATCATCGAGACGGAAGAAACGCCCATCCCATATCGCTGGCACGTCGTAAGTGAGGTCGCTGTGTAGGAAGCCCTGATCCTTGAGAGGGATTCGGGCATCGTTGAAAGGCACCATCTCTCCCGCCACCCATGCGAGGCCCTGAGAGAAGCGGTGGCTGCTCTTTTCTAGGACAGCCTTGCGCGACTCGTAGTTTCCGAAGATCCTTTCCATGGTCGCCATGGCGAAAGGTATATCATGGGCCTGTTGTGTCAGGTCAGCGTGGATGAGAAATGTATAGAGTCTTCTCGATCGAGGGGGGGTTAGTAGCTGCACAATGTCGAACTAGCGTCGTTCTCCGTTGACCACGTCGGGTCATGACTGAGATGGAGTGTGGATCTCCGGATGCGCCTGAATCGATCAACCAATGAATCGGGTTCTAAGAGAGACCTCTAATCAAGCTCAAAGATATAGTTGGTTGGTAGTTGAAGCAAGTCGGATCGTCTGCGCCGCTTCTAGCAAGCCTAGTGAAGAATCAATAGAGCAAAAGGTCAAAGAAACAATCATGTTTTTCCTGGCGGAGCACTTCGAGCATAGTGCCTCTCATATTGTACTCGTGACCCGGATACAAGGACGACCCATTCGTCGTTCCGGTCGACAGCGCCACTGCATAGACCCTTAGAATTCATAACGCGTTAAGGTCCAGTGTAATACTCACACCAACCTCATAACTTTAATATATAAAGGCGACCCACCAAACATCACACAGCAGAATTTCTACGACTAGTGCTTGTAGACACTCTCTTCTTCTCCAACCTCCTCCACTTCTGGCGTACAGCTTCGTTGGACGTCCCAAGGTGCGTGGCGATGCCGCTGGAAGCCACGCCCTCCGTCCTGAGTTGACGTAGAATCTGGCATCTGTCCTTTGTCCACCACCCTACGACACGAGACAATTGCTGTGCCGAAGGAGGGCTGGCACAGCGGACACCACTGCTGGTGCGGGAGGAGCATTCAATGCCGGTGGGCCAGGTCGTTCGGAGAGATGGACGTTGAAAACATTATCTTGCCTGGTGACGTCGTCTTCCAGCTTGAGATGATAGCTGAGTGGACCGACACTGTTTTGGAGCTTGGTGTGGAACCTAGTGTGCCGTGAGACCCATCCCATGCAGGAACGTTGGAAAGTGAAAAAGTCCTTCAATGGGGAAGGGGACGGACGAGAGATTTTGTAAAGTTATCCGGGAAAGGCCATCAGCGAAGATGGAATGGAAGAGCATTAGTCGAATATACATACATAGGTGGTACGTAGATCAGATCAGCCTTATGACTTTGTCATCGTAGACTGAGTTCAGAAATTCTACGTGGCATAATGTTAGTCGCATGAGTGGTGCCTGCAGTTGGTCAATGCCGCAACAGACGGAGGTGAAGATACATCAAATTGAGAACCGACATATGACAGGTAAGAGGTGGTTGGAAGTGGCATGGGACGCGTCAGGCTGATTTAAAACATGATGGAGACCTGTCTAAGAGCTGACTTGGTAACGCGTTCAAAGTAGCGAGATTTTGGCATGATTCGTCAAAGAGCAGGACGGCGAACAGGAAAAGCAATGCAGGAGCATGATCTTCCGCTAATGGCAATGCCCCGGCCTTGCAAACATCACTTGGGCTCAATCGACGGCACAAGAACGCAGGACCTCGCTAAGCGTGTCATATTGGTCCTCTCCGCCAAAACTTCGGGTTCCAACGTCTGCCGTGGTGACTGTATGCGTGTGGCAACAGTGATAGTAGATGCCGGCTCCGGCGTCTTCACGACCGATGCGCACTGTATCGGTCGTCTCAGTGGAACGCACACCTCAACGCCAGCTTGCTTCTGAATTGGTGGAGAGGCAGTAATCTGCAACTGTGAAGTGTCTGGAACGGAGCACTTCGACTTTCGGAAATCGTGCTTCCGAGTGTCTGTGCTTTGTCGTGCTCGCCATTCAATCTTTCGGGCGAGGTGCTTGAAAGTCTGCAGTTCATCGTCGACTGCCACGATTTCGTCCTGAAGTTCCAACACTTGAGTCTTGAGTTCGGCACCCGTTGCCGCCTCCATTTCCAGAAGCCGGAGCTCGTGTGCAATGGCGGTGCGTGACGCTTCGTAGTCTTTCAACCGCTGTTGTTCTTCCATAATGCGTTTCCGGCATTCACTTTTCCTCTTGACAAGATCGTCGCTGCTCCGTGCTAGCTGATTCAGACGGGTGCTGCGTGTTGGGGCGCAGGCGGAGTGGCTGTCATAGCGTGCCTTCAGGCGCGCAAGGCGGCTGCGCTTAGTGGCGACGAGGTCTTCCGCCTCTTGAAACGAAGTAGCTAGATTGTTGAACAAGGAATATGGCATTTCTCATGGCCCGTATGTAGCAACTTGGTCTGGCATTAAGTCGTCATACTTGGAGCTGTGAGGAAGTGGGCGAATGTACACTGCGCAGTCTTATACAGCTGTGTGACGCGAGAGTTGTTGTCGTTCATGATCGCGGTGAGGCAGGGCAGACCCCTGGAACATCGGGAGGAGGCAGCATATGTGACATAGACTGCAGCCAGTGTTCGGCAGTCCAGTCAGAGACTGAAACTATTTGGGTGGACTCGGCCTTCTGTAGCAAATCAGCTGAATTGGCCCAAATACGAATGTTTGACACGATCGACGACCAGACGCACCCTTAGGTTGGGTGCGTGCAGTGCCTAGACCAGTCGGCACTGTAATGGGCGGAAGAGTCTGGATGCCCCTCAAAGCTGGAATGAATTTGCATACAGAGTCAAAATAGCTGCGAACGTACGGAATGAAAAGTGTTGACAAGAAGGAGACCTCCATACATTACCACAGCTCGCACACCGGTTCCTTCTTCCTGCACTGGAACGCCTCATTGAAGTCTCTCGAGTTTGCCATTGTACCCAGGATACGTGCCCACTTAGGTGCGTGCGGGTCTGTGTAAAGACGATTGATCGCTGTCTCCTTCCTTGTGGCACCGCACCACCAATTGGCATAGTTGACGAAGAAGAGTTGCTCCTGCGAGAAGTGGCTGAGACCAGGCAGGTCTTGGTTGGCCTTCTCCGCTGCACGCTTCTTCCAGGCACTGAATGCAGCAGCGACGCCGCCAGCGTCGGCAATGTTCTCGCCCAACGTCAGCTTGCCGTTGACATGGAGTGGTTTGCCTTCAGGACCATCAATGGTGTAATTACCGTACTGCTCTACGAAGCAGTCGGCACGCTTGGAAAATTCCTTGACAGTATTCTCAGTCCACCAATCGGTATAGTTGCCGTTCTGATCGTAGTGACGCCCAGTGGAGTCAAAGGCGTGAGAAAGCTCGTGACCAGAGACTGAACCGAAAGCCCCATAAGAGAGGTACTCAGGAACTTCGGCGTCGAAGACGGGGAATTGCATAATGCCGGCTGGGAAGACGATCTCGTTGCCCGGAGGGTTGTAGTATGCGTTGACCGTAGGAACAGTCATGTCCCACTGATTGCGGTCAACGGGCTTGCCATATGCAGCCCACTCTTTGACGACTTGATCGCGAGTCATTGAAACGACATTCTGAAAGAACGCATCTTTGCTGACTTCAACGTCCTTGTAGTACTTCTTCAACTTAGACGGATCCATGATCTCGGGGCTCTATTTGCGGGTTAGCTCAGCTCATGAGATTCACAACATGTACTGACCTTGGTGGGATAGCCGACCTTTTGGACGATGTTGTGGACTTTGTCGATGCCAAGCTCTTGTACTTCCTTCTCCATCCACTCAGTCTTCTTCAGCTTCTCGATAAATTCATTCTTGATATCGGAGACAATGCGATCGCCAAAGTCTTTAGCTTTCTCGGAGAAAGCCTTTTCAACAAAAAAACGAGACAGAATCCATCCCAGGCCATCGTCGACGTGGTCAACACATGTCCTCCAGCGCTCCTCCTCGGCATCAGCGTCCTTGCCAGCAAGGTAATTGTTCCACTTCTTCAGCGGCTTCAACACATCGGCTTCGATATAGGGGCCATATGCCTGAATGGCTTTCCAATAGAAATAGCCTCGCAAGGTATCGCGGTCGGTCTCGTCGATGATCCCAGCCAGCTTTTGGAGGTACTTTGGCGTCATATTGATGACACCACTAACCGAAGCGCCTTTCGGCAAGAGACCATTGATGATTCTCGAAATATGCAGCTTGGGCGTCAGAGCCTCAGCATCTTTGATCGACATTGGGTTGTAGTACTGAGTGACATCGTTCATGTCTTCCGCATCAGGCGACGCAGCAGCAAGCTTCTGTTCAAGTTGAATAACCTTTCGAGGAACGGGTTGGGATGTCAGGTGCATGTGCTGGAAGATCCTGCCAATGGTACCCTCGTAGAAGTCCAAAAGCTTCTCATCGTCATAGCGCTCCTTTGCGGGAAGACCAATTCTCCATGGCGCGGAGACAGCAATGATGACCTTGTCGGGGTTCTTGTCATCCGCTCCAGTCGAAGCCGTAGCGAGTGCAGTGATGCCATTTTCCGCAAGGTAGAGCACAGTGTTAGCGATATCTTCGCCGCTGGGGCACGGCTTGTCGACCTTGTAAAGGTCCTTGATCTGATCCAGTATCTGCACCAGAGGCGCGGTGCCGTCCTTCTTGATAGCGTCCTCGTTCAGACATGCGTTGTAGCCGTCCTGCAATTTCTTGAAGTTGGCAAGGTCGGCGGAATGCTCCTCGGCGGCCAGCTGTAGCGGGGAAAAGATAGAATGAGAAGAGTCCTCGGGGTAAGGCGCCTCAAGGATGTGTCGGAGCAGCATTTGCGAATTCTCTGACATGATGGTGCCGGTAAAAGCGTCCCCTTGGTCAGGTCGTAGATCGTGCCTCTCCTTCCAACCACCACAAACAAGTTCTTCGAAATCGGCGCACGGGTCCAGTTCCTTGTAGTCAGGCGACAAGTTATACAGCAACTCGCTAGCAGCATGCACGCAGGCCGGAGACATGCAGACATCTCCATCATTCATGCTCTCCACCGGAGTCCACGGTCGAAGTCTCCGGCCGCACGCCATTCTCAGACGCCCAGACAGACCAGGCAACAACAGGGTTAGGAGTATCGTGCCAGCCGCCAGCGTCCAGACCGCGGCACGCCTGCGCACCCGGCTGGGTTGGGGGCGAGCATCGAGCTCATGTTCAGATAGTAATTGCTCCTTCTCCTTCTCCATGATTGTTTGAAGACTCAGAGAAGGATGGCGAGGTCAGTTGGTGATGATGTTTGGGGTGAGACATGGGCGTTGTCCCAGCCTCCATCCTAAGCCAAATATAGATTGGCCTGCCACTAGCGTAGCCTTGTGGATTTGGGATGACGAGGCGAGGCTGAGTCTACGAACCTCGGTCCGCACCTTTCACTGCCTGCGCTTGCTCACCTCGAGATCAAGTGCAGAGTACTCTTTGCAGACGTACGAGGCTCTACTGACACGATGCTGCTCATAGGTCTCACCGGCTCGATCGCGACCGGCAAGTCCACAACAGCTGCCCTCCTTACATCCCCGCCATACTCCCTCCCCCTCATCGATGCAGATGTCCTAGCCCGCAAGGCCGTTGAGCCGGGCACGTGGGGCTACCGCAACATAGTAGCCACCTTTGGCCCATCGACTCCAGACTTGCTGCTTCCTGCTGATGATCCCCTGTCTGGCAGCAGTGAAAATGGGCCAGATGGCAAGGGTCGGCCGTTGAACCGCCCCGCACTTGGACGGCGTGTCTTTGGTAATTCAGAAGAACGAACTGCAGACCGCAAGAAATTGAACGGAATTGTACATCCAGCTGTTCGACTCTACATGCTAAGGAGTGTGTTGTACTACTATATCCGCGGACATTGGGCGGTGGTGCTCGACATTCCCCTGCTCTTCGAGTCCGGTCTCGACATCTTCTGCTCCACGACAATCGTGGTTGCTGTCTCAGATCCTAAGATACAGATGCAAAGATTGCGTCAACGGGATGAGCACTTGAGTGCTGAAGACGCGCAGAACAGAGTTGCCAGCCAAGTTGATGTACGTGAGAAGGCGAAGCGCGCGGAAATGAAAGGCGAGGGCCGGGGCTACGTCCTATACAATGACGGCGAGAAGGAGCACCTCGAACTACAGCTGGCGGATGTTCTGGCGAAGATTCGCAGCAGAAGTCCATGGTGGTGGAGCTGGGCTCTTCTGCTGTGTCCGCCTTTCATGGTGGGTGTGGCAAGCTGGGAAGTGCTGCTCGGCTGGTGGCGACGACGCAGGGCTCAAAAAGAGCGCGGTCATGAGCTACCAAAAGCCAAGCTTTGATCTATGCGGAGGTGTGTAAAACAAGAGTGCGGGAAAGCAGCAAGTTGCGTTCACGCCTTGGACGCTAGCTATATGAGAGATCTATTGTACACCATACGCGCTCTCTACTGTCCACATCAACCCTTCAGCTTAAGAATGTGTCAAACTCGGGATTAACCCAGCTAGGCTGTCCAACTTTCTGCCTGAGTTGCGGCCCATACTTTTGCAGCAGAGCGAACAGCGGCATGGCACCAAAGGCAGTGATGATGCCTTGAGCAGCAAAACACCATGTGAAGCCGGAGCCGGCTTGCCAAGGGGCAATGAAGAACTAACGCAGATTAGCAAACCATCATCGCCATGTTAGCTGTGTACTTACAGGATCGATGAACGCCGACAAGTTCAAGAACACGGCATAGAAGGTGACGACGCTCATGCTCTGCAACGGATAGGCGTCCACGAGATAAGTGGCCACAATCGTGTTACCCGTTTGGATACCAGCCGCGAATAAGAAGAAGGCCACCTGGCCCACCATCCAGTGATATGCTCTGTCCACACTGATGCCCCAGATGATCAGGCCGATACTGGTCAACAAGCCCGCAGGGTAGATCAACCACAGCCTCATCTCCGGGATTCTCACTCCGCCATTCCGCTTCGTCAGCCTAGCACAGATCATATCTGACAGGCTGCCGCCCAGAGCCACCTCTGCAAACAGTGTTCCGAGGAGCAGACCGATGAACAACAAGCCCTGGATCTGTGGCGAATAGTCGATGTAGGCGGCCGGTAGCATTGTGATGACCGACAAGATCCACCAATACCACAAATAGCAATATATTGCCACCGCAATCACCACGGGTGCAAATTTGAACATGAGCACGCACCTGATCAGTGCATCCCATGGCTTTGGGTGCTGCATTCCTGGAACCGGCTTCCAGTTGATGAACGGCAACATCTTGGTGCGCGGCAAGTTCACCACACTCGGGTCGCTGCGTCGACGCCCTACTTTCTCGAAGTCGGCGACCATCTGATCTCCGTCGCCCACCATGGGCATCTTGGTCAGCATATGGTTCCGCGGGTACAGCGTCTCCGGCATGAACGCCAGCTCCAAGAGAAACAGAACGCCAAACAAGATGACACAAAACCATTGAATCCAGGCCGCGGACACGATGTTGAGGAAGCCGCCGAATATTGGCCCGACCAGCAAACCGGTGTCGATCGCCAGCACCCACAGACCAATCTTCTGGCCACGCTCGTGTTCGAAGAACATGTCGTTGATGGCCGCCAACCCGACAGTCGAGGCAGGGCTGGTGCCCAGCCCTTGGAAAAATCTTGCCGCCATGTAGCCGCCATAGCCTTTGGCCTCTGCGGCGCCGATCGTGGCAGCGAAGGCCATGACGGTGCCGATCAGGAAGACGACACGCCGGCCGTAGATGTCAGCCAGGCTCGACCAGATCAGCGGGCCGACGGCCAGCCCCAATGCCGGAATGGCGACAGTCCAGTTGACTTGGGAGTAGGAGATGGCGTAGGTTTCTTGCAGGTCGGGGAAGGATGGGACCGTGGTCGTGGTGATGTACGTGAACATGAAATAGAAGAACATGATGACGGCGAGAATGCTGTGTTTCTGCAGGGATGTCCAGTTGAGGGGGTCCATCGGGTCGGCGGTAGGCTGTGGATGCAAGCGAATACCATCGCGGGCGACGATGGTGTCGACGCCGACAGGAGGCGGCGCGACGGAGCTGCGCTCCAGTTTCTCTTTGACGTCGGCCATGTTGGGCGGTATCCCAGCCTCCGTGTCAGTCGCGCCCGGCGGGGTGATGGGGCCTTTCTCGCTCAATTCGGCCATGTTTGAAAGATTTGCTGCTGGTCACTTGTTTGCACGGATCGAAGAAAGTACAAGTGCTGCAATGACGACTAGCTCGCGCTCGGCACATATGCACACAAACGACACGTGGAGGGAGGTACCCAGGTATTTGTGCCAGGCGCGGGAAAGTCGCGAGCCACAGGGATGACAAAACAGAGTGACAGCGTCAGATAAGACACTCGCAACCTCCACCGTCAGTGAATGAGCGATCCTCAAGGAAAAGAAAAAACTCAGAAGTGGCTTGATACTGAACGCTCTCGTCCGCGATAGTCTTCTAGCTTCCCCGAGATCAGATTTCATGCACGCCCATCGCAGGCGAGACTGTGGGCGAGACTCACACTATTGATGTTCCCAGGGGGGCCATAACGCGAAGTAGCCACCACGCGACTTCTAAACGGCCCCGAATACTATGGGTGAGAGATAAGGGGCGATGTCGTGGGTACCACAGGGCTGGTTTGGTGCCTCGAAAGGGTCAAGCGACGCACCGACGGCGACAACGGCGACTGGCTCGGCTGCCGGTAATCTTTTTGTTAGAGCACTTACAGAGTGGCTTATACGGTCATGACGGCGTGTCTACCGGGGTCCCAGATCGAACGTGCTGCTGTGGGTGGGTTGTGCAAGTGGAGATCGTCGAGAGGTCGAGATAAGGAATCGTCTTCTGTGATTGGAGGACGCCTACCTCACATTATCTGTGCTTCTGCCCAAGTTTCGATTTGGGTGAAATTCCATTACGTGTGAAGCCTGATGCTGCTTACATGCTCAGTATTGCGATCTCCGAAGCTGGATCTTCGGAGAAGAATGGCGTTGCTGGTGGACCATTTGTAAGGTGCATGGTGAGTCTCGGCAGCGACTAACATTCTATATGTCGAGTAGCATGAACTCGGATTCGTTTTCTCGGCAACGTTATTTTTGAGTGCACTTCTTTTACGTTGTGTTGAACCATTCTGCTAAACATGCGGCGTTATAGCACCTCGCTGTCTGGTGAGTGACATGGTAGGGCTCAATGCCTGGGAGAAAGGCTAATCAAGAATGGGCAGACGGCGAACGGAGGAGGTCTCTGGGTATTGTTGAAGAGACTGACAATGAACCAACGGAACAGACGTCGCTGTTGCCAAAATCCGCTCCGGAACGCGATGTCGAAGAGCAGGCTGCCGACATCCTTCCCGAGGATAAAACACCTACTACGAGACTTGTACTCCACGAATTTTGGGTACTGCTCAAAGGCTCTGTGCCGGTGATCTTGGCGTACACGCTGCAGAATTCGCTGCAGACCATTTCGATTTTGATAGTCGGTCGAGCGTCGCCACAGGATCTGTCCACGGCGGCCTTCTCTTACATGTTTGCCATGTGCTCAGCCTGGCTTGTTGGCATGGGTGGCTCAACCGCGCTAGACACTCTGGCTTCCTCGTCATTCACCGGCAGCAAGAACAAGCACGATCTTGGAGTTCTGTTGCAGCGGGGTTTCGTCGTACTCACATTGTTCTATATCCCTATCGCAATCTTATGGGCATCTTCCGAACCAGTCTTCAAGGCTCTTGGCCAGAGCGACCAGCTATCGAGAGACAGTGCCAAGTTTCTTACCTGCCTGATCCCGGGAGGACTTGGCTACATTTATTTCGAGACCATGAAGAAGTACCTTCAGGCACAAGAAATCATGAGGGCTGGGACTTATGTTCTGCTCATCACCTCACCTATCAGCGCGGCTTTGAACTACTTGTTCGTATATGTCGCGGGCTGGGGATTGTTCGCCGCTCCATTTGCTACCGGCATTGGCTACTGGCTGTCCTTCCTGGGCTTGATCCTCTATGCTCGCTTCGTGGCTGGAGGAGAATGTTGGGGAGGTTGGAGTCGCAAATGCTTCCAAAACTTGGGAGCCTTTGCCAAACTAGCCATTCTTGGCTTCTTCCATGTCGGCACAGAGTGGTGGGCATTCGAGATTGTCACGCTCGCAGCCGGCAAGCTGGGAGAGATCCCGCTTGCCTCCCAGAGTGTGGTTGCGACTGCAGATCAGGTCCTGAACACAATTCCGTTCGGCATCGGCGTTGCGACTAGTGCACGTGTTGGCAATATGCTAGGATCAAGGAACGCCAAAGGTGCCGCTCGATCTGCCAACACCGCGGCATGGCTCAGCATGTTCATGGGAGGGCTAGTGCTCGCTATCCTGATGGGCACGCGGAACCACTTCGCCAAGATCTTCAACGACGATGAGCGAGTGGTCAAGCTGACTGCGGAGGTCCTGCCCTACGTTGCGCTCTTCCAGATCGCCGACGGTCTCAATGGCAGCTGCGGTGGCTCTCTACGAGGCATGGGGCGCCAAGAGATCGGTGCGGCTGTGAACATTATCAGCTACTACTGCGGAGCCTTGCCGTTGGGCATCTGGCTCGCGTTCCATGGATGGGGCCTGCCCGGACTCTGGGTGGGTCAATGCATTGCGTTGTATATTGTCGGCATCTTGGAGTGGCTTATTGTGGCATGGAGCAACTGGGAGAAGCAAGTCGATAGGGCTTTTGCCCGGATGGACAGCGAGGCGCGAGATGGGACCGAGAACGGTGAAATAGAGTGACAAAAGGTACATATGACGTATAGTGGTAGCTTGGATGTATTACGAACAGTTTTGACTTCTTTCCACCCGCTGAGCAACGCGTCTCGTGTACAGCGCAGAATGGTGAACATACTGCTCGTGAACCAAGAAAAGCTCTTGGCTTCTATTTCAGGACTAGCGTGTAACCCTCGAAAGATGTCAGCAAAAACAGTTTGTAAACGCGAGTGGTGTTACTGATAAGGATCTGCACCATTCCTGCCAGATGATGCAAGCTCGAGCTCGATGACAGCAGGGTATTACTCTCTGTCTAATGCTCCACCGTGACTTGCGCAATGGTCCATGGACATCAGCGTTGTCTGGACCCGGCCATGCGGTCGACACACCGACTGCCATGCACTCCAGCAACGCCCGACTCCCCTGCCGCTTACGAGAGAGCTCGATAGCTGAGTCGGACCCGAACATGCTCACCCGGAGCAGGTGAAGCCTTACCTAACGGCACGCTGATCGTGTAGTCATTGCTGCAAGGAACCCGGAGGAAGCTACAGCTCCCCACTTAGAGCTGCGTAAACTGAGCTGCCCGCACCTCAGGTAGGATAACTTTTTATTCAGTCTGCGTTGCTGCTGCATCCCAAGTCCTCTTCACTCTTTCAGGTCTACACTCTTGAGGTCTACCTGCGACAATGTTGTTCAAGGCTCTCGTCACCGCAGCATGTGCTAGCTGTGCTATTGCACATGCGAACCATGATCAAACCCCAATTGAGGGGCCGCACCGCTCGTTGTGGTACAACACCCTCCCAGGTGATGGCGGCACTCAGGTATGCTTGTATTTCCGGCAGCTTCGTCAGTGACCTAACAGATACAGGCTGATTCCGTCTTCTCGGGCATCTCGACCTTTGGGCGCCTGCCTTACTGGCCATGCCTCGCCAGCGACAAAGAGAAATATGACATCGCATTCATAGGTACATGAGCTGCTGAGCAAGAGTCTGAAGCAAGGTCACTAACAGTCCCAGGTGCTCCGTTCGACACGGGAACGTCCTATCGCCCAGGAGCTCGCTTCGGCCCCAGCGGCATTCGTCAAGGTTCTAGACGCCTCAATCTCTAGTACGTCTATATGCAAGACCCACTGACTTACTCTTTGTTGTTTAAAGGCTCACGAAAACTCGGATTTAGCGGCGGGTACAATGTGTAAGTCCTCGAGCACTCTTTTCTGGTAGCGGTGCAAAGCTGATTCCACCAGTCCCATGGACGCCAATCCTTTTAATTTCTGGGGTAAGGTCCTCGACTGCGGCGACATTCCCGTGACCTCCTACGACAATGCCTACGCTCTACAGCAGATCGAAGAAGGACACCACACTCTGCTGACCCGCGCCCCGTACACCGCTGCGGCCGAGCCCGGCATCAGCAAGTCAGGCCGCACGCTCCCGCGCATCATCACGCTGGGTGGTGACCACACCATCACGCTCCCGCTCCTGCGCAGCATCAACCGCGCCTATGGTCCCATCAGTGTCATCCACTTCGACAGCCATTTGGACACATGGAAGCCCAAGGTCTTCGGTGGCGCACCCTCCAAGCAGGCGGCCATCAACCATGGAACGTACTTCTACTGGGCATCACAGGAAGGCTTGCTCGCCAACGACAGCAACATCCACGCTGGCATCCGCACTACCCTGTCCGGTCCAACCGACTATGAGAACGACGGCTACGTCGGCTTCACGCGCGTCGAGGCACGGGAGATTGATACCCTTGGCACCGAAGGCATCATCAAGAAGATCAAGGAACGTGTCGGCACCAAGAACCCCGTGTATCTGTCCATCGACATTGACACGCTTGACCCGGCCTTTGCGCCAGCAACCGGCACCCCGGAAACGGGTGGCTGGACGACAAGAGAGCTCCGAACCATCCTGCGGGGTCTGGAGGGTGTCAACATTGTGGCGGCGGATCTTGTCGAGGTGGCGCCGGCCTACGACACCAATGCGGAGCTGACCACGATGGCGGCCGCGGACGCGCTGTATGAGGTCATGACCGTCATGGTCAAGCGTGGACCGCTGAGCATCGATCACAGCGAGAAGAAGGAGGAAGAGGTTGGAAGGTTGAGGGCTGTGGACGGTGAAGGCTACGACAGACGCTATGTGGATGGCGGTGAGATGTGAGTCTCACATGCCGCTCCGCAATATCTCTGAGTCCAAGTAGGTGAGCATGACTGCGCAACAAGGCAGTAGTGGGCGTATCAGTGGATGAGATGAGGCACAGGGCTTGTCTTGGCAAGATTGTTCGTGCGCCATGGACTTGATTGCCGGTCCGTAGGCCGGTGGGATATTTCCCAGCCGAAAGGCCTTTGATCATCGAAAGACCACTGAAACGTCGCCGGCCAATCCATATTACGGACAAGTCTACTAGTCGGCCACTCAGGGGCAGAAATATAAAGCTTATCAAATCCACGTGGCTAAATCCCAATCCATTTCACGTGGGACCTACACCCAGGGTGCACAGCCGCTGTCCTCGTTACTTTGATCTACCTACTTGTTAGAGCAGGTGGGTCAGAAATCCATCAATCAAGGGAGGTAAATTCATCTCCTCCTGCTTTGACAGGCAGGTGGGTCCAAAGTAACGAGGACACCGGCTGTGCACTCAGGGTGTATAAGCTGACAGTACACCTCAAGCAACATGTAGCGATGCTTGCATGAGCTTAGATGACAGAAGAGCTTACACTGACACGAACCCACGGAGTAGTGCTTCTCTAACGGACGTTCTTAGCAGCAAACCGTTGGTGCTAGTATTATGCAACAATCCCCGCCACACCCAAAGCCTCCGCACACCTATCGATACTCTCCTGCTGGAGCGCAGCATAGAGTCCGAATTCATCCAAGGGTTGCCGACCAAGAGCAAGCTCGAACTCCCTTCGGTGGTCATCGTCCACCTGCTGCTGAGAATTGATCGCTACGCCGGTCAGATTTGAGCGGAAGATGCCCGCTGCCGACAAGGGCAGAAAGTCTTCGTAGGTCAGTGGCTCGAACTCGACCAGCTTGCTTGCCAGCAGGTCGTCGATCTCCAGACACTCCCCCGACGGAAACTTGTTCGACGCGGCCCGAGCACCTGATGTAGCAACCTTGTACCGCACGAAAATCAACCCTTGCTCGCGAAGCTGCGACCAGGTATCCGGAAAGGCCTTGAAAGCGCTGTGAACTGCAGCGTCAAAGCAAGTACCCGAGGTCTCTGCCTCCTGCGTCGCTTGTGCCAACAGCTGATCGTACAATTTGCGACCCTTGCGTGTCAGTGCTGCGCCACGCTGCTCGACCTCACCGAATCTCGCGGTGTGCGTGCCAGTGACCCCTGCCGCTGCGGTTGATTCAAACACGACACGCTCGTCCAACGCCTTGAAACTCGTCTGTCGGAGCAGGATCGGACAGGTGCGCACAGGGGGGCCCTCTATCCTCTCTTTGGCGGGTAAGCCACGCTGGACCATCTCGCTCTGCACGGCATCGATGTCGAGAGTCCTGGGTGTGAGATGATTGATGTGAGCGCTTGGGAAGCAGACGATGTCGGCGATGATGGGGTGTTCGCTTTTGAGTGCCCGGTACTCGTCGTAAGTCACCGTTGATCGGGACTGCCATCGGAAGATATGTAAGGCTTCTTCGAGCAACTCTGCGAATCCCTTGTTGGTGGTGAGCGAGCCGGTCTCGGCTCGATCGATGAGCTGCAGTAGGCGAGGACTGAAGAGACGACGCTGCTGGAGCACATTCTCTGCTTTCCGACGCAAAGCCTCGGGGACCATGTCTAGACGCAAGAGTGTGGTGAAGACCCTGAAGGGGTTATGCGCCAAAGACTCCTCTGATATTGGCCGGAAAGCTGTGGCGTGGAGAGGGAAGCCGACCGCGGTCAGGTCATAGTATCCGACTGGGTGCATTCCAAAAAGTGCAAAGAGTCGTGAAATGCTACGTAATTCTTGCTCTGTGCCCAGTCTGATGGCGCCGTGCCTCTCGATCTGATGCCTTGGTTCAATGTGCTGGACTGGGTGTTTTGAGCTTGCTAGTACTGATTGATCCACATCTCTGACGATGCTCACTAGGTCCTGGTATAGTGGCACCTCTTGCGCATACATAGCCGAGAGAGCCTCTGCGAACTTTGTGCGGGCGTCATCTTCGTTCCACCTACAATGAAGATTGTCAGCTGACAATGTTACTGATCAACCTATAGTTATTGTAAAATGGCCAATTTCGTGTTATCAGGTAAAGGAAATACGCCAGCAACATACTTGAAATGATCGCTTGCCATGTTGACTGGTGGGACTGTGCCAATAATATCCGTTTTGCTGTGTATCTGAAAATGTATACTTCAGCAACTATATTCGTCGGGTCTTCCAAGCAAGTGCACACCCCTCGGCCCTCCGCAGCCGTCCACGGTCCCTTTTGTGATATGTGTCTGTCTTCAGCATACCATCGTACTACAAGCGGACTTCGAACTACCGCGCCCTCCGACGCCGTCTCGGGTTCTACCGCTCAGCCTGAACTGATCATTTCTACAACATCTTCTCGGAATTTTCCGAGCCTAGCGGAAACCACCGGATATTGGCAACTGCTTACCGTACAGTGTACCACGGTGCCACAGGTTACAATTGAAGAGCGTTGACACTGACCTCAGGATGTGAAGCAACTGCATAGCAGGAAGTGTGGACGGCGTTAGCAGCGTGGACTCTGAGCGTTGAGTTGAGTTGCCACAGAAACGTCTAGGGCCGGTGATTCTTGATCTATAACTATTCGCCTGTGCACCGTACAAATTCCCTCCGTTGTCTTTCATTGCTATCACCTGGTCTTTCTACCAGTCTGGCACGTCGTCAACATTCTGCAAAAGTTGGACAAGGCCGTGCACATTGTGGTGTTGATGGTCAAGTGGGGCCCTCGACCTTGTCTCCAACCCCATCACGAAAGCTGTATGTCCTCTATCGCACCAACGTGCCTTGCTCGGCAGCCTTGATGTAATAGAAGTTTAACATCATGCCTACTAGTAGTTTGCATCAAGACGGTGAAAATCGGAATAACTCCGCAAGGTGATGTTGCCCTGCGGAATGAATCACATCACTCATCAAGCCAATCCAGCCCGTGCATCGGGGAGAGCAGCCGAAAGCCGAACGCGGTGACCCGCACTTAATTTCATGACTCGGATTATGCAGACTCAGCGTTCCCGAACGCCTCCCCGAGAAAATGCCTTGGGCGCTTGGATGCGCTTTTTGCTTTTTGCTGTGGCAGCGGAAAAACCCCATGTTGAATGTTCCGAGATTTTACTTTCTCATCCTGACACGCTTCCCCGTGAGTCCGTGACAGCGGTACACTAATGCTGGTCACTAGCGTTAGTTGCGAAGAAAGCTTGAGATCTGAAGCCGAACGCTCAACATCCACATGGCCAGGGTTTAATCACACTACAAATCGCGAGTTATCACCTTCGGCCGCCAACGGGCCTTGTGCCGTATCTGGATAAGCTCTCTTTTGAGTTTACCATGCTGTGTAACGTCGGCGGAGAGGACAAGCTCAGGTGGCAGGGGGTGGAAACTCAAGTGCTGCGTGTGGGAAAGTGGGGAGTGGGGCGGCGGGATGTGGAAGGTAGGTGGTGAGGGATTATAGACTGTGAACGAAGGGAAGATTAGTCGGGAGATATCGGTCGCTTTGGCTGTGAGCATCGAGAAATTGCGGGCTGCCGTCCGTCGCAATATAGGTGGTGAAGAAAAGTGTTGAAGACGCAGCCTTGGGCTGGTCCTGATACAATCAGTGATTATGCTCAACGCTTGGCTGGATGCTAGAATCCCATGCATGGTTGGGATACTGCTCATCGCTGTGAAGTAAAAAGTCCGCTCCCGAAAACGAAACATGTCACCAAAAGGCCGCTGACCATGTTGACCCATCATCCCCTATGCGCCTTTCTCTTGCCCTTCCCTTTCCCGCTCTGCGTACTATCTTCGCTGCTGCTCCTGCTTTCCAACGGCGGAAATTGCGACTCGTCCGCGGCCTCAAGCCTGCTTTGCTCTTCAGCGAGACTGAGCTGGAGAGCAAACTCCAGGTCATCGGCCTCCTTCTGTGTCTTGCTACCACTAGCGGCTGTATTCGTTTTTGCGGACCCCATCGTGCGCTTGACGCCCTTGGCATACCGGATCGGAATGCTGAGTGCCGGCTCGTCGATCTGCTGAGGCGGAAATGACGAAGATGCCACCTGCTCGCTATCTAGCAAGCTCAGCCGGAGCGCTTCCTCCAGTTCCGCATCCAAATCACCCGGATTGCTTGCGACCACTTGTTCAGCTTTGCTAGATGGATGTGGGCTGGCAATAGCGCTGCTGTCCTGGCTGGCCCGCTTGACTGCGTCGCTCTTGAGGCTCTCTTCGCTCAACATGGTCGCATATGCTAGAAGCTCTTCCTCACTGGCGTCTTCCCCGAGCAAAGTGGTGCCGAAGCGACCGCTGAGCCTCTCATGTGCCTTGCGTCGAGCGATCTTCTCGCGTTCCATCTCGATCTGCTCGTTGACGATATAATCCTTGAGCACGCCACGGCCGGTCGCAGTAACTTTGTGATCTGTTCCGCCGTCATTGCTACCTCGACCAGAACGCCGACTGAGTTGTCCACGTTTGCGACTCTTGTAGGCATCGGCGGCAGTGGAGCTATATGACCAATAGCGAAGATGGGTGCCGAGGGATACCATGCCACGTAAGATGGTTGGGTCTGGGTCCAAGACGATTGCGGCTGCAGCAAAGTAGTTGTGACCGACCCCTTGAGCCGAAGCATCGGCCTGGGCGATGCGGCGACGGGCGCGATCCGAAAAGCGAGAGTTGAGGGTGCGGATGGGCTCCAGAGTCGAGGTGAGCGGATCCCAGGCTTGCACAAGACCGTCGTTGCCCCCGTGCACAACATAGAGGGCAGTCAGGGCAATCGACGAGACTTCAGGTGACTTCGTGTGAATGGCACGCACAGGCGTCACGGTGTTGACGACGCCTACCGCTGGCGAGAGGCTAGCCCGTATGTTCCACAGCAGAACAGCGCCAGTCTTGGTGCCAACAGCCATGAACCGTGCCCGGTGGCCAGGCACATCTGACGACGCTGCAATTACTTGTCCTCGTCCCAATGGCGAAGCAATCGGCGATGAAGCACCGGAGACCGCAGACATTCCTAGTAATGGGTCTTCCATGGTTGCCAGACAGGCGAAGTCCGACTCGTCGATGGCCACAGTAGTGATCTGAACATTGCGCATTTCTCCAAGAGCGAAGCTTGAGGTGCGCCATTCAACTTGGAACTGTGTTGCGACGTCCTCCGTACTCGAGGTGCGTGAGCGTGGCACGCTCGGAGCCGGAGATGCAGAAGAAGCAGTAGCCACACCACCGAATATTGAAACGTGGGGGGCGGCTTGCCGTACGGTGGGCCATTTTTCGAGGTCATAATTGAGAGACAATTTTTGGCGATGGCGCGTGAAGCGCTTCACAGAGGCTGGGTCACCGGCCAGGCCGCGGTTGATGATAACGATCGATTCACAATCCCCACCAAAATCAACCAAGGCTTTGCGTTGCATGTCCCAACCATCACAAATGGCTCGGAAGTGCTTTGGCGGATACTGAATGTACTTCTCAACCTCCTTGGCTTCTGCAATTCTTTGCTCCTTATCAAGGGCTGTACGGTCGCCAGATATCCTGGGAGTGTAGCTACCATCAACGTCGGACGTGCTGAAAGGGTCAAGCTTCGCTTTTCTCCGAGTCTCTTCAACAAGAGCCCATTCTACGCTCCGGCCAGTACGCCAAGCCTCGCAGTCGATATCGGCAGCAGTAGTTTTGCCTTGAGGATCTGGACGTAACGGTGTCTCGGTCAGGTAATACACCTCGCCTAAAGCGTTGAGCGCAACAGCCCAAACGCGGCCGGCAGCAAGTTTGCGGGCGGAAGCGTGCTCGTCAACAATGATAGCAGTAATCGGAACGCCTGGAGAAAGAACCCACTTGGCCGTGGCTTCACCTTTAGTGTACCGGCGATCGTAGACAGGATTGTTTCCCAGCGCGTAGGCCGCGACGATACCATTTGAGAAACCGGCCAGCAATCCGAAAACACCAGTAGTCACTTTCAACACAGCTTCGGACTTGGCCATCCAAACTGATGTTACTGAGCACCCGATCATGGTCACTTCCGGGATACCAAGAGCGTGGTTGGCGCTGGACGAGGTTGGCAGAAAGCGCCCTCGCTGTTCATTAGAGGCAGTGTAGAACAACCGGCCACCCGGGCAACCTTCACCGTAGACTCGACCGTAGGGTTGGCTGACATCTAGCGAATTGGGTAAACCAACGACATCTCCCGGCCCAAGACCGTACTCGGCCTCACCGGCATAGAGATCCCCAAAATGGTGAAAGGCTTGATAGTCAGCTAGACCCCAATGGGCGATCTTGCCAGTCATTGGATCGCTGCTGGATACCAGACCTTGCTCGGCAGCGCCATGGATGAACAGCGGCTGCGTCTTGTTCAGACCTACGCCAAAGGTGGCATGCATGTGGCTAATGGGAAACATCAGACCTGATTGGTAAGTGGTGACTGCCGCATTGAGTCCCGCATTGGCCGAAGAGCGTGAGATACTTGGTTTCGGAACAGCGCGAATGGCAGGACGGCCTCTTCCCAAGGAACGGATGAGCCGAGTACGCAGAATGTACTCACTTCTCCAGGAGGCCAGGGCGCTTAGGCGAGTGAATGATCGTCGTTGGGACTTTTCAACATCGACTGCAAGTTTGGGTCCTGTAGCTAGGGCTTCCGCGGCGGGAAAGTAGCGAGCAAAAGCAATCCGCCACGCGGGGGGAGTGGTGACCAGCTTGTGGAATCGACGAGAGACAAGGCTCATGGACGATAGGGTTTCGGGTGGCAGATGAGAGAGGATGTGGGTCAAAACCTCTTGGGTAGGTTAGCAAAGTGAAGCTGGACTTGAGAAAATCCGTACCATTGGGAAACTCTTCGATGGCGACACCATTTTGATTGTGCTTGCTTGGAACAATCTCAAAGATCATGTCACCAGTTCGCTTCTTCGGCTTTGTGTGCCTGCGCTCATATTCATCGATACGACTGCCAGGAGAACTTGAATACGACGAGTCATCACGACTACTCAGCCGTCGCAGATCGCGTTGTCGACCACGAGACGTACCCCCTGAAGAGACGGAGAGGGCATCGCAGTCGTCTTGATGCATGAAGCCTGGCTCAGTGGTGCCTGGGTAGAGGCGACCAGAGGCCGGCTGGGGATGTTCTTGAAGTCCATGATTTCGGGAGTAGAAAAGATCGTGGGAAAGCTCTACTGAAGACGCGTCTTGTAAGGATTGAGTAGGGGCAGGTTGCATAAAATGGTCGGAGAGGATTCTAGGGCGCTCGTGGAGACTGAGATTGCGAATGTCTCAGTCTTGTGTGGGGAGGAAGTGGCCCTGCGTTCTGTTAATCGTTGGTAGTGATAGCGATGGATGTACTGTAGTCGCGATGGCTCAGGATGTTGTCGACCAAATCCTTTGAGGCAACGAAGTACGCAGAAGATGCGCAATCTCGCTGCATCTTCGGCAGAACCCGGGAGCAGTTTCTGTGCCAAGCCATTATCACGTGACAGCACGTGATTTGATGTCTTGGTTCGCTAGTTGGAAATTCTTCTCCTTTTGATGCCTCAACTTGCATAGCACCCGTATAGTTTTCATGAAAGCTCGACTCCAGCCCTGTCAGGACTCACACAGCTGTTGAAAAGATTCCGCCGCTGAACCTGTTCGGGCTAAAGGACAACTGCCGAACACGACTGCCTGCGTTCTAAGGTCTCTTTCTCGGCGGACGCCATATCAGGTGGATTCCCCAACAAGAATCATGCGGGCCAGAACCTTGGCGCATGCCAAGCTCCTCGATACCAGATTCTCGGTACGAAGTGAGAGATACACACATCCGAGTCCTGGCGGACGTCTCAGCTCTCGCTACACGCCACTCGCACAGAGTTTACGGTGAAGAAATTAAAGTTTTTGCTGCACCCCTTTGCTGCGGACCACACGGGTGGGAATTCGCATTTCTGGGATTTGAGCAGTGTCGTTAAGTATTGAGTCAAGGACGCATGCAATACGACGTTGATGGCCACGTGACTGGTGTAGGGATAGCAGCGCATGGGTCCAGTGACAGATTGTCGTATCGTGAGGGAATTCGGTTTCTCTAGAACATCTCCATCTTCAGAATCGGTCGACGAGCATGACCGCCACTTTTGTCCAGCCCTTAAAAAAGAGTTCGTGGGCCTCTTCTCCACTTTACGAACACCAACGTGCGGTTGTGGGGCTCCGAATCGGCGGACGCGGACACTGACCTCGAGCCGTTGCTTAGCAGCGCGATTAGCTCACCGAACGATTTACATCGAACGATTGACATATTGTGTAGTGATCAAATCGGTACGCTCCGTCCACTGGGTCTCTGCATCGTCTTTGCATCTACACCTCGCCGTTGGCGACCCCGCGGCATGTGCACCGCTACCCGCTCTACCCGTGGGTATCATGACAGCATTCCCGGGCCGTGGACGATCAGGGTCGCGGACACGCCGCCTTCGCATAACAGATTCCGATCCAATGGGAGCAAGTCGTCGACGCCTTGACAGACCTCTGTACTAAGCAATGGTCGGTACGACGCCGCCGGCGATATTCTATGGACACCATCCCTAGTCCGGAAATGACCCACAGCTAGGGATGTGTCTCGGAGGCGGCTGCTTTGGCTTAGTCTACGATGTTGGCTTTCTTTGACTGCCCGAGAAAGGCGAGGGGCAGTACGCCACACATGACGGTCGCGACTCGCACGCTACACCGATTATAACCCTGCTTGAGGCACTTGATCCGAGAATGAGGTCAAACACTATAAGCGATGTACCTGACGTTAAGTAACCAATCGGCCCCTACGCTTGGCGGCTCCCGGATTGGGTGTTACGATGATCTCGACCCTGTTCAGCCCCACTCGCCGTATGTGCCGCTTCGCCCGACCTTTCTACGAGAGGATATCTCAACTCCACCCTTCTCTTTTCGGTCCAGCTGGAATGCCCTACGATTTGAGACAATCAGAAGCAAACTAGAACAATTCTTCAGTTCTTCATCCGTCTAAGCGAGGTCTTATTTTAATCATGGCTTGTTACGACCTTCGAGCGCTCCCTAATCTTCAGTTCGATGAGGAACCGCAAAGCTACCTAGTTCCCACATCCTTCTACCTCCAGTGCTGCTTGCCCTACTCCATGGATGCGGAACCGTTTACACATCGTCCCAAGCAGGCGCAACCACCAGTCCATCGCAGAAAGCAGTTCACCAGCTGCGATGCGTGTCGCAAGAACCGCCGTGCCTGCGACGCCGTTACTCTAGGAGTCGATCCGCTCCAGGCTTCTGCTGGCCCTGCATGTTCCGCTTGCAAGAAGGCTGGTAGAAACTGCACTTTCGAATGGCTCAAGGGCCTTCCAGACACTTCGCTGCCGCGGTCCTTGAAACGGAGGAAGGCCTCCGCTCCTGTGGCCCCGCTCGTTGCTTCGAGCCAAGTCGATGCGAGCTCTGATGGCAGCGACGAGTCGCCAACTATCCCACCAGACTCGTCAGCTGATCAGACTTGGATCCAACCGCCAGCGCCCACTTTTCATCAAGCGACCCACCTTCGGCAAGATGATGGCCGCTCTTTCGCTCAACAACCTGCCAACCCACACCTGGCGTCTTTTGCCGCAAACAGCCACAACAATTGGCACAACCCTGCATTTCCTCTGGCGAATACGACACAGTTCCCCGACAACGACTTGTCTAATCAGCCCACTGATTGGTCCAGCAATCTTGTACCCCACGTGCCGAATCAGACCTGGCACGCGTCTTTCCACCCTCATCTACAACACCCACGTCCTATCCCCGGCTCAACTCAGCATACGGCTCGTCCAAAGCTCGAGGATACCGAATCTGACTCAATACACAGCAAGCCCACTGCGTCCGGACGACGTATCGAATATCCCTCACCCGCCCTCGACGATGAATTGGCGCAAGCCACCAGTAAGCGCCACATTTCCAGTCAGCTAGTCAAAATCTACAGCGGTAGCCTGGAGCATGCCCTGCGCTGTTGGACAACCGAAGAGCATTCGCCATGGGGTTATGCGAGCAGTGCCTCATTCTCCCGTCACAGGTCTTCTTCAGACTCGCCACCAAGCTATCTGCGAAGAATTAAGTTTCTAGACCAGATCTCGCAGCCACTTCGTGGAAAAAACCTATCAATCGAGGAAGCAAAGTTGGCCTCTACATCGCTCAAGCTTGCCATCATGTCCTTCGCAAGTCAATGGACACGTATCTCACCATCCGCCGAACGACAATCCCCGTCCAGTCCTTTTGATGCTCTGTCGGATGATTCTGTTGATCTTGGATTTGAACGGCTGATGCAACAAAGCCTCTGGCATGAGGCGCGCCGCTACGTGAAAGCCTGCGCTTCCATCAACACTTTTCATTCAATATTTGCACAGATGGTCTTTGCACTGGTCCAGCGACCGCATCTTCCAGCGCACGAAACCGCGGCGTTGTCCGACGATCCTACCACTTCTCCTCCCCTGGGCACCATGCAACCGGATGAAGAACGACCCACCTATCTTGAACAGGCCTTGCGGCATCTACTGGAGTGGCGCAGACACATGCGCAAAATAATATCTGCCCCAGTTCAGAGTGGTTCCGAAAGAAAGATCGCCGAATATCAACTATCCTTGCAACAAACTGCAAATCAAATGCAAGAGCCATTTGAAGCCATTTTCTGGCTAGGTATCATGTGTGATACTACGTCTGCTGCGTTGAACGAGCGGCCGGTCGTCATTTCTGATGATGATCTGCTTCCCGTGCCTCAAGCAAGCATCTTGCCACCTGTGGAGTATGCCCCTTTTCCGGGAGAAACGGGGAGCGACAGTGATTCAGAGACATCGCACAGTCGAGACGATCCCAACACGTCTTCCCGGTCAAGCGGCCCTGCGCCCACCAATGTTTGGGATATTGACGCAATGCGCCATCGTCCTCGTCTGTCAGCTCCTACTAGTGCCGAGGCAATTCTTAAGGAAGGCATCCAACCAAAGGTTCTACTATGGCGAAAACTTGGTGCCCTCAAGAAATTGATGAAGCATCCTCAGGACCAGCGCGTCATGGAGCAGCATATTGGTAGTACACTTCAGGCGGCCGAATTCTGGAAAAGCACTTACGGGCCATTTATGCAACAGTGCATCAACACCCACCATCAACTCTCTTTCAATGTGCAATCCTGGTATATCATTCTGGCTGGACACTTCCATTTGGCATGTTTGTTAGTCGCAGACTGTATCGATCACATCGACAACCAAGGTTGGTCGCTAGAAGGACCTCGAGCTGCACGCCAGTCTTCCTATACGACATTGAAACTGGCTCAAGTTAGCGCCTACAGCGTTGCCGATATAGCCGCAGTCTCGACCTCTACTCATCCAATGGACACGTCAAGCTTCGGCTCAGATAGACTACTCCACGATGCCATCAGCTCATCAGCACTGCTAAGTGAACCTTGGACTGATGTCCTTACTGAGTCTTTCTCCAAGACATTCCAGAAAATGTATACTTGGCTCTCCTGCTGGAAAGGAAGACCAACCATTTTTGTCAATACCAACGAGCTGAGTTGGCTGGGAAGCAACACAGATGCATCCGACCTTGCCATGAAGTGTGCGGCGTGTGTTGATGCTCTGGATGTCCTGGGTCGCAAATCAGATCAAGCTGCTTCCCTCGCAAGGTCGATACGAAGCCAGCTGGAAGGGTTCACAAGGGTGTGAAAACCACGAAACGCCGTAACGACATCCTAACTTTCTTTTTAAATCTTCCGACTTTTGAAGACCTACCATTTTACTTTACACCTTTGCTCTTCATAAGCACCGTGAGCTCTCTTCAAGCACCTTTATCCGCAGTATGGCCATAGGATGACTTGACAGAAACGTCTTGTGCCTCTCCAGCGCGTTCATGGTTCTCATGTACCACAAGTTCAGCTTCATGTGAAACGCCCGCATCTGCCACGCCTCGTTGATGTCTTACCCGCTTCTGACGACGTCGCTCAGAGAAAACCGCGGTCCCAATGACCAGTGATCCAATAATCGTTGCCAAGATGCTGTAAGGGAGCACAGTCGCAATATCATTGGTGCCCTGGTAGTCCGATCCTATCGATACTTGATGAAAACCTACTCGACGCATCAGCGATCGCCTCAACAGAGGAAAGAGCCCTGCTCACCAATCCCACCATTCGCTATACCGATCAAAATCACGAACCAACCAAAGCTCATGTGCATCCACGCCACCCACGTCCTCTCCGGCGCTTTCACCCATCGCGCGTTACCGCGTTTCGCACTCTCACGCTGCCACAGCTTGTGGTGCCACCACCCCAACAGCAACTGGACACAAGCCAGTCCCGTAATAACCACGCCCAGAACACCGTGCAGCGTCGGCGACGAGCCAAGATCGGTCTTCAGCCGAGTCCACAGAATAACCCCGAGAACAAAACCGGCGACGTATACGGTGAAGCCGGCGACCTGGACCCACTGATGGATGCGCACAGCCATGGACGGTTCTTTCCAGTAGCGGAGCAGCATGACGCCGATGGGCCAGAATGCAAGGACGGCAGAAGCGCAGAGAGCGGCGTGAGCGTGGATGAGCTTGTGCGTCGATCCGGAGGAATCTTCGTCGTGATCCATGGTTGGGGCACATGTGCAAAGAAAAGGATGTGCTGATGAGCTAGCGAGATGGGGTTGGGGTGTAGCGAAGATATACGCGTCGTACAAACGGTCAAGGCTTTTGCATGCGGGTACGACAACGAGGGTCCTTCGCCACCTTGAAAGAGCTCGATCGCGACTCGATGCATGCATCAAACGACATGACTGTATCCACTTCCTGATGGGTTGATGAAGCTAAGTCAGAAAATGACCAAAACACCAGCCGAAACCCAGCCAAAAACATAATGGGTCGGCCTCGACGGCCAACGCGTATACCAACTAGGAAAGCAAACCAGCCCAGACCCGATACGACCCTCAACCATCGGCAACAGCAACCTCCTGCCTCACCGCCTCCAGTACCCCAGCAGATGGCTGACTCTCCTGTTCTGCCACCTCTTTCTCTCTCCTCTCAGCGTACAGCTCCAACAGCGCCTCACTCAGCGCCCGAATCCCCATCTCAATATGTCCCTCGTTTCCCGTGATGCTGTAGCCCATGTGTCCAAAGCGCACATACCTAGTCCCCACCTCGACGTGCATGCCCGCCGCCAGCGTCACGCCCCGCGCCAGCACCCTGGCCAGCAGGGCCTTCGCCTCGATCCCCTCCGGCAGCCACAGCGCCGTGACGGCGTGGCTCTGATCCTCCTCCCGCTGCGCCAACAGGCGCAGCCCCAACCGGCCCGCCGCCTCCTTGACCTGCGCGCTGCGGACGCGGTGCAGCTCCCACGTGCGCTCCATGCCCACCTCGTGCATCAGCTGCAGACTCGCGCCCAGGGCGCGCACGACCTGCGTGGGCGGCGTGGCGAAATACCCGGGCTCCCCGGCCTCGTACTTGCGCATTACCGGCAGCCAGCGCGGCAGGCTGGCGTACCAGGTGCGGGGGCGGTCCGTGACGGACTCATCTAGCGCCAGCGCCATGGCGCGCCCGCTCACCATGAGCAGGCTCAGGCCAGGGGGGCAGCCGATGGCCTTCTGGCTTCCCGACAGCACGATGTCGAGGCCCCACTCGTCGAAGCGCAGCTCCTCGGCGCCGAGGGAGGCGACGGCGTCGGCGATGAAGAGCGTGGTGGGGCTGACGCGGTCGAGCAGGGCGCGCAGGGCCGGCAGGTTCGTGCGCACGGCGGTGCTGGTCTCGACGTGCGTAGCTACCAGGGCCTTGTATTTGCCTGTGGCGAGCGCGGCCTCGACTTCGGCGAGGTCGACGGTAGCGCCAACGTCAGGGGCGCGTAGCACCGTCACGTCCTGACCGTACGCGGCTAGGCAGGAGGCAAACGCGTCGCTGAAGAAGCCGGTGCTCAGGCATAGCACGGGGCTGCCGGTGGGGAGGAAGTTGGTCGCCACAAAGTCCCAGCCGAGCGAGCCGGACCCGCCCAGGACGAAGGGCTGGGAGTCTGGTGAGCTGGTGAGGAAGAGGCGTCGGACTTGGCGGAGCACGGTGCTGAAGACTTGGGCGAAGGCGAGTGTTAGGTGGGACTCGGCCGGAGAGGCCAGAGCGGCAAGGACGGCCGGTGCGACTTCTGTCGGGCCTGGGGCTAGGAGGAGAGGGGTCGTTGGTGTATATTTTGAGAGGGGCAGGGCTGTGGGTGGCGTGGTGCTAAGGGTGGTGATGGGATGGTGGGAGTCGCTGGTGAGGCGCAGAGGGACGTGCTGCGTGACGGTGGTTGTCATCTTGCCTGCGGTTGAAGATGTGTTTTGGTTTGTCGAGGATGATTGCCAGTCAAGGACGAGAATGTCTTTCACTGGATTCAAAACAGAAGATTCAGCCTGCAAACACTTGTCACATATACACATACACACTTCCGCGTGGCAAGAAGGTACCATCATCGTCTGTTTGTATACCTGCCTTCCATGTACCCACCATGTGTCCTGCTACAGGGAACCCCATATGCAGGCTCACCATATGCCCGATTTCAGCCGGCGAATGATACGTAAGCATGGGCGATGGCTTGAACGTTCATCACTCGGACTGCGCCCTACGTTGCAGGATATTGGGACCCGGCCCCGGGGAGGTCTCCATCCTCGCTCGCGATTGCCTGCACCCGCGGGAGGCTGGCCGTGCGGCCTTCTCAGTTGCGCCTCCGCCCTGGGAAGGCAAAGCACCTCCCAATCGGGTAAGCCTACACCCCTGGCGATATGCTGTGGGGAACACGATCTGTGCCAGACCTCACACAAGGGCAACTGGACTCGGGCTTGAGAGGGCTGAGCTTATCATCACGGCTTGCTGTTGCGTTTGCCTTATCGTTGTTTTGGCTCAATTGAAAGACTATTGGCTAAGGTTGCAAACGAAACATGGACGGTCGGGTGATCGATCAGGCGAGGCCTAGTTGCTCACTCATGGCGTTTGGTCTACACGAACTTGATTGCTGGGTGTTCATTCAAACGATCAGAATTGTAGGGGTGGTCTTCGCAAACAAGTCGTAGGGTCGCAGAAGAAGCGGAAGATAGTGCGCCGGCGTTCTCAGGAGACGGAGTGCGGGGAGGACGTCGAGGGTCTGTCAAGCAGGGGATATCATTGGACCAGTAGATCTTGCCTTTGTGGAGGCAAGGCTCGCCCATTCAGGGCCCCTTTGCTCCCTATGACATCCGCCGTCAAGGGCGCCAAACCCAAAATCGTCACCCAGGTGGGGGGAAAGCATTTCCTATTTGAGCATTGTCAACCATTTTCTTTGGCTCTTGTCGGCACGAGGATTAACGCGCTTGCAAAGAGAGAGAGAGAGAGAGATCTGGGGATAGAAAGTTGATACTGATAGAGAGTGTCGACGCCATTGTCATTGTCACGTGATCTCCACTGCCTGTACCAAAGTCTGCACCACCTGTACCATGTACTGTGTTCTGTCTAGCATTCTAAGGACGAATGTCTTGGCCGCTATCTTTTCGCCCTCGCCGCATGCCAAACAGCTGCAGCACCTCGGTCCAGAATCCATTCGGGGCATCGGTGAAGCTCGCCTCATAAGCGTCAATGACTGGTCGTTCCCACACGAGGTCAATGTCCTTGGCCTTCTGCCAGCGAGTCTTCTTGGCCAGCTTCCAACCAAGGAAAAGCACGATGTTGAAAATCTGCAACGTGTAGTTCCGGAAAAATGACTGCATGCTCCAGGGCACGAAAGATGTGTATCCGTAGCACAAGCAGACGAACACAGTGGCGATGGCCCCGATCCATGCACAGTAGGGTTGAAACCATGCCGTATAGGGCAACCAGCGGCGGTCGAAGTATTGTGCCCGACACGCGCGGTAGAACATCAGGTACGTGGTGCAGATGACGGTGAAGTCGATAAGAGCGCCCGCCGTGATGACGTCGATTAGCCAGACGAGCACGGTCGATGAGTTGCCTGACAGCTGCAGGAAGGAGAGGAAGGGGAAGAGCATCGTCACCGCCAGCGCGAGAATCGGCACCCCTTTGCGTGTGGTCTTGGTGAAGACTTTTGGTGCATGGCCGCTCAGCGCGAGGCTGTACAGCGTTCGGCTCGCGCAGTAGGTGTAAGTGTTGCCGGCGGAGAAGATGGATGTTATGATGAGCGCGTTAACCACGTGTGGGAGAGCTTCGATGCCGAGGTTGCTCATGGCAATCACATAGGGCGACGCGGCCGCGGTGCCAGCGCCATGTCCGCCTCCGTGGAGGATAGACTGGAGCTTGGGGTCGTTCCATGCAACCACCGTACCCACGCAAAACGCTGACACCACGAAGAACAAGACGAACCTCCAATACATGACCTTGTATGCTGTCTTGATGTACGCTCGTGGTCGCTTGGTCTCGGCAGCTACCATGGCGATGTATTCCGGGCCGACCACTGTGAATGCTGCATTCCACAAGCATGCTAAGAAGCCTTCGAATCTCGACAAGTCGCCTCTGGAAGATCGTAGAGAGTTCTCAGCGAACGGATTGGCCCAGTGCCGAAACCCGTAGGCGTCTTTTTGAGGGTTTCCACCCACCATCGTCACAAAAGTGAAGAGAAACAAGATGAAGATGAGGATAACCTTGCCGGACGAGAGCCAGAATTCCGCCTCACCATACCCGCGGACCGCAAGGACGTTGGTGGACGCGTATGCCGCAATGACGGCCGCGCACACGGCCGCGACCGGTATGTCGTCCCGCCAATAGCTCAGCACCAGGTTGATAGCTGTGATCTCAAAGGGGATCAGAAGAGCCTCGTAGATGAAGAAATTCCATCCCACCATGAACCCGAGCGCCTCGTCGGTAAAGTGGGAGGCGAGACGAATAAAACCTCCAGATACGGGATACAGCACCACCATCTCGGCCACCGAGTTGGTGATGCAGGCCATCACGCAGCTGTAGATGGTGTACGCCAGCAGAAGGCTCAGGGGCCCACCTGCAGCGAGCCCATTGCCGATGGAAATAAAAATGGCTGTGCCGATGGAGCCGCCGATGGCGATCAGCTGGATTTGCCGGTTGTTGAGATGGCGCTGGAGGCCGTCAACGTTGTCGGTGATGGTCACACCGGATTCAATACTGGGCGCTTCCGAATAAGCGTCGTGGTCGAGATCTTTTTCCATCTTGATCAAGGTTTGGTAAGAGAGGAAAGGGTTCCAACGGTTGACTGGTAGCCGTGAATGCATGGTTTCCGCCGCCTACGGAAGGCGCTTTTATATCACCATCCACCATTGTCTCTCCATTACTAAGAACAATTCCGTTTCGTGGGGAGTACGGGGCGGTGTCCGGGGTCTCCAGAGAATGGATCGGCTTGCTGTCGGCGGCACGCGTAGTGTCGTTGTCTCTTTCCCCATGTGGGTATTTCCACTGGAGCCAGTCTTCGCTCCGTGGAGCTGTTTCTAAGCGTATGATACGTTGCTGGTGCAGAATTCGACCAAGCTTGGGAACGGATCCACGATCATATGCAATTAGACGTGGAATTAGTGGAACGTTCGACGGCAGAAAACGGCATCGACAACAAGCTAATACTTCCGAGGGTCGCTAGAAGAACATTCAGGGGCACTTTCCGGAAAAACAGTGTCATAAGTCTCCACTCGAGTAAGACGGTGCTTGCATTTGACTATGTTGGACCGGGTTCGCACGTAGGAAGAAGCAATAAACCAAGGTGCTGATCCTGGCAGGCTCTAGTGTAGTTCAGACACCAGTGTCTTTCTAGCATAGTAGAGACGTTTCATAAGTTTCCCCAGCCTCCTGTATCGCGAAACCTCCCCGGGCAAAAACGTTGGGCTCCAGGGAGAAGACCCATGTCCGTATTCAAAACGCCAAGATGATCCTACATCTGATGCTCGCTCAAGAGGCTACTCGCTACCAAACAATCTGCTGTTGCTGTGCCGGGCTGCACGCCAGGCCTGAACAAAATTCAACATCCTCCTCGCTAGTCGATGCATCCTGAACTGGCGGTGGTGCAGCCGGCCAGATCTCCCTCCGTAGCGTCTGTTCTCGTTTATAGTGCTTCATGACTTCGTCTCGGAGGATGGCCTGGAAATATAGGGGGCCCTTTTCTAGGTCAGGGTGCATCTCACCATTGGTGAATACATGCTGGTTGAGGTTCTTTTGGGTCAGATCGCACAGGTATTTGTCATCGGACAAGATGGTCTTGTAGAGCTGATTCACTTCCTGAAAGTCCTCTTCCGAGGAATTCTTGTTGCGATAGACTTCGTATTTTAGGGCAGTCTTGGAGGCACCAATTGGCACGAAGCGTTGGAGGAAGAAAAAGTGTGGCCTTAACCGCGTTAGAAATGTTCTAGGGTGAAAATGGCGTATACTCACGAGACATTCATAGAGGCATTAGGAAAATAAAATGTGCTTGCAACCCTCTGGTCGTTCGCGGCTCCTTGAGGCGTTGTCGTGGTGCTGTGCTGAATTGACATTTTGTCGGTTTTGACGGAAAATGATACTAGGTCTGCGATGTTCCCGGTATCCGAATCCACGGCAATCGTAGGATAGCGTTCGTTAAAGCTGTCGGCGAGAACCTTCCAGTTGTGGTCGCCTTCCATCTCCCATGTATGATCAAATTCGTAGTCGTCAAAGTTGATGCCCTCAAAGCGCTCTTGGAGGTCAACTTGGCCAAAGTCTTCATCCCAGGGGATCTCTGGTTTGGCTTTGCCGTCTAAATTCGCCCACACAAATCCGTTATGATCGATGTGCACGTGAACAGGAAACAGACTGTTCCTGCTCTTATCAAACGTGGGTAGATCTTGGTATCCAGGAGCTTTAGCAAGCTTGCCATTAAGACCATATGACCTGGATAACAAGTCAGAAACAAATCAGAGGTCACTGCATTAGTACTCACCATCCGTGATATTTACAAGAGAAGATCTTGGCCGTCCCCCTTTCCTCGGTCACAACAGGAAATGCACGATGTCTGCAAACATTGTGGAAGCCGTGTATCCGGCCGTCGCGGTCTTTGGTTATCACGAATTCGAAGCCACCAGTCTCGTATTTGAGAAAATCGCCGGCTTTAGAGAGACGTGTCTTGTGGGTGACGAGCAGCCATTTTCTTGAGAAAACGGCTCGCCTTTCAAGCTGGAACATGTCGTCTGATGTATACCATGATGCAGGCAAGGCTCTTGTTGCCCTCTTTCCTTCCTCTGGTAAAGTGGGGCCACCATCGCCCAGACCACCAGAGACGGACGGTACCATGGCTGTGGTGAGGTTTTGTGGTAGATAAATTTAGGTTACAAATTATGCTGTTCTGAGATCAAGGCAACGACGACGAGGTATCTTGCTATATCTTATCGTTATGTGGTATCTCAATTATGGTCAGCAGCACCTTAAGGGGAAGGATGTCCCATTGATAACGGGGGTGCACTAGGCGAAGGTGGCGCCCCGAACCGGGTTAAGCATAGAGTCTAGGCCCCATCGGGAGGAATGTCCTCCCTCGCTAGAGAAGCATGACCTACTCTGAAATAACAGGTCTTTGAATCCCGCCGTTGACTCGTCACCATTGTCGATTCCGGTTATCATATTACCTGTCTGAGTTGCACGTGCCTACTCGCATCTCACACCGAGGGGGTGGGTGATATTACTATCACTATCGTGTTTGTATCACTGCGTCGCAGGTGTGATACGTTTACTGAACTAACAGTATGGGTTGGGAGTCCGCATGACTGTAAGACTTAAGACAGAAACGACGCTCGTGGGAGGGCATTAGGAAGAGGCCGTTTGGCCTTCCGCCAATCTATCGTCAGCTCTCACATGGCTGACAGCCGGACTACATGATCGGCACCGGCAAGGAACATGACCGGGCTATGGACGGATGCGGCTCATGCTCATTACTGTGACTTTGGTGGCTGCAGTTCAGGTTAGAGCACGGGAAGAGTTGCTGATGGTAGTCCTTCCAGAAGGTCTGGGGCTTTGTCCTGGAGAACGGGAGAGCTGGTGATACGCCACTCCAAAGCAGCCTATTGCAGACCCTGTAGAGCACGGGCAAAGAAGCCAGAAATGAGTCGGACATGGTCTCCGGCATGTTCGTAGTCGAGAAAGTGTTGTTTCCAAGCTATCACAGCCCAAGGCCCTGATGTGGTGTGCACCCCGGTCGATGATGACGGGGGCGGGGACGGCTAACCACATTTAGGTATGTAATCCATGCAGGGTGCGTTTCGAGCGATGCACCAACGTTTACCGCCACTGTTGAAATCGGTTCTATTAGACACTAATGCCGTTGATGCTGGATGTTGGACTATGCTACGCGGAATGACACAGAACTATCTAGTTATGACAACACTCAGACTTTGAAGGTTGGTTGTACTCAAGTTGGAGTTGTTTCTTCGGTGTATCTTGGCGTGCAAGTGTTATCTCAAGAGAACTACGTTTGTCATTTACAGGGGCCACCACGAATGAGGATGCGCGATATGTAGCATTGAGCCGAAGCAGGGAGAAATTCGAGATCAGTTCCCCCGGAGTGGTTGAACTCTACATTACTCACAGATAAGAGGTATTGAGCAAATATCCGAGTGCATTAGGGAGCATTGGCGCACCAAGAGTGACCATACAGGCTACTTAGGGTAAGTGGACACCTGCATGCGCTTGATTGGTGACCAGGTGGCTGTCAATCCAAGGCAGCGTTCTGCACAGAGCTTCCATGATTTCAACATACTTGAGCTGGCTACGATCAGAAGCAATGTGGATCGCGTCAAGCAGAGACTGCCAATTCTTGCGCCCTAATGATGTAAACCTCCACCTGCAGCTCATCCTGCCCGGACTGCGACGCCTATGTCAATGGTTGATGACGTTGACTACAAGGTAATTATGGTGAGGGACCTTTGACGGCCAGCACCAACCGTGATCATCGAGTCCATCTGCTTTACAGCACCGAAATGAGACCTGCTATACACCGAGCTTCAAGGTACTAGAGTGTCTCCCTGGTCTTCTTCTCTGTGTGCCCCCGAGACCCAGAAAACCGCCTCAAGTGGTGGTGAAGAGCGAGGGAATAGGGTGTCCAACCAACGCGGTCGGTACAACAGGACATCCTATGTTATCATGTTCTGGAGCCTCTGGACGCCTTAAAGGACCTCGCAGTGACACGCCAGGCCTAGGACAGTTGAACGGACGGCCTCAATCTCCCCCAAGCATTGGTGGATGCGTCTTCACGAAAATACGGGGGTGAAAGATGGGTGGCTTCGGGACTTCAAGACAGGTAAAAGCTGCTCTGCTCGCATAGGACTAACCGGTTGCTTAGCAGCGCCAGAAGCATTCGAAAGACCGCTGGGAATACGGACAATGTCTGGTTCACATACGGTGTCGCCCTCTCTGGAAGCACTTACACATTCCAGCAGATTCTCCACACACTCACATGGCGAAACACTAACTCAGGTGTCGGTAGACCCCGAGAAGGATCCTTAGCGGTTGATCAAGCACAAGCCGGGCGGACGAAATTGGGGACCATGTGCTCCGACATCTGCCCAGAGCAAATCTGCAAGTGATGAGCGCACCGCCAGGAAGTTCTTGGTCGAGACAATAAGATTCGTGCCGTCTACCTGGTCGGAGTGGCTGTGGCAAGGAGCCGATAGCAGGGAGGAAGAGCCGCAAGCCATCGAGCCGCCCAGGTCCACTAAGGCGGCGAGGCCGCCACTTGATGGCCAGTAGCTATGTTCTGCAAGGCGATGGACACCCTCGCTTAGGTGCCGTATTGTTCATTCACTGCGTTGACGACAGAAATCTGTACTTCGCAGTCGATGCTGGCTGTATACATTGACAGTATCCTCATGGTACTACAGTAGTATCTGATCAGCCGACCATATTGGCCAACACGGGCTTCGTTTTCGTGTATACAAAGCTATCGCTGCCTGTCAACCTCCCCCAAGTACTCTCACAGCTAGAGTCCCAATCCACCGAGTATACCGGCGCCGTCCCAGCAGCGGGCGTTCTCCCACAGGCTCGGATCCTACTCCAGACAAAACCTCCCTACTACGTCTAGTCCATCCCCTTTTGAGGATAAAGTTGCCGAGAAACTCAAAGCCAAGCCTGGGCTCGATGTCTATTCTGGGTGTAGTCACCCATCCCGGTGTGCAGTCCACCCGGGTCGTGCACACGACCTGCGACGGGTTTAGCCCCTTATCTCTATAGTTGGTGTTCTGGAAGGCGTCGGCAGCGATATCTGTCATTCATAAGAGACCGTCTTCGCCGCTTGAGAAGTTCCGTGATCAGTTTCATTGGACTATCATCACTCATATTCTTCACGACATACACGTTCACCATCGACTACCGCCAGGCCTCACATCACACGTTTCGGCGACTAATTCAAGATAAACCCATCTTTCTTACTCGAGGAACCAACACATCGCTCAGGTCGAGCGACTCGCTCTAGACAGCGAAACCCTCGCACGACCTCTCGGACACCACTCGCCACCCTCACCACATACACAAACCGCCAGAATGGGCTCCATAGCACCTGGCCCCCGCGTCGTCATTGTCGGCGCGGGTATCGTCGGCACCAACTTAGCCGATGAGCTTGTCTCTCGTGGCTGGCGGGACATCACCGTGATCGAGCAAGGACCCCTGGACATGCCGGGCGGCTCGACCTCACACGCCCCTGGGCTCGTCTTCCAGACCAATCCTTCCAAGACCATGACGCTGCTTGCCCGCTACACGGTGGAAAAGTTCCTCGGCCTCGAAAAGGACGGCCAGTCCTGCTTCAACCAGGTCGGTGGCCTTGAGGTTGCCACCACGCTGGAGAGGCTCGAGGAGATCAAGCGCAAGCACGGCTACGCCGCGGCGTGGGGCATCGACGCCAAGCTCATCTCCCCTCAGGAGTGCCTGGCTCTTTACCCAGGTCTGAACGTTGATATGGTATACGGTGGTCTGCATATCCCTAGCGATGGCCTCGCGCTGGCCGCCCGCGCTGTGCAGTTGCTGATTGAGCGTACGCGCGAAGCCGGCGTCAAGTACCTGGGCGGTACTCCTGTAACGGCCATCGAGCAGGCGAACGGCCGAGTGACGGGTGTCACCACGCCGGACGGCAGCGTGCCAGCCGACATCGTAATCAGCTGCGCCGGTTTCTGGGGTGTCGAGCTGGGCGCCATGATCGGCTTGCCCATCCCGCTTCTGCCGCTGGCCCATCAATACGTCAAGACGAGCTCGGTACCCGCGCTCAAGGAACGCGGCAATGCACTTCCCAACGGCGCCACCCTACCCATCCTGCGCCATCAGGATGCCGACCTCTACTACCGCGAGCACGGTGACACTTACGGTATCGGCTACTATGGTCACAAGCCCATGCCCATTCGCGCCGCGGATCTGGGCGTCACTCCGACAGAAGTGGACGAACACCACATGCCCTCGCGGCTGGACTTCACGCCCGAAGACTTTGCACCCGCGTGGGAGGAGAGCAAACGACTCCTGCCCGCCATGGCGGACACGACGGTCGAGATCGCCGACGGCTTCAACGGCATCTTCAGCTTCACACCCGACGGTGGCGCGCTGGTGGGCCAAGCCCCCAACCTAGACGGGTTCTACGTGGCCGAAGCAGTGTGGGTGACCCACTCCGCGGGAGTGGCGCGCGCGGTGGCGGAGCTGCTGACCGACGGACGCTCGCAGATCGACCTGGCGGACTGCGAGCTCAACCGCTTTGAGGAGGTGCAGCTGAACAAGTCGTACGTGGAGGAGACGTCCAAGCAGAACTTTGTCGAGGTCTACGACATCATGCACCCGCTGCAGCCGAAGCTGAGCCCGCGCAACCTGCGTCTCAGCCCCTTCCACGCGCGGCACAAAGAGCTGGGCGCCTTCTTCCTCGAGGGCGGCGCCTGGGAGCGGCCGTACTGGTTCGAGAGCAATGCCGAGCTGCTCAAGGAGCTGCCGCAGGAGTGGCAGCCGGTGGGGCGCGACGCGTGGAGCTCCCGCTTCTACAGCCCCATCGCGGCGGTCGAGGCGTGGAAGACGCGCACGGCCGTCGCTCTCTACGACATGACACCCCTGCGACGCCTCGAGGTGACGGGACCGGGAGCCGTGGACCTGCTGCAGAGGCTGTGCACGGGCGACGTGGGCAAGAAGCCCGGCGCCGTGACCTACACGCTCGTCCTGAACGAGCACGGCGGCATCCGCAGCGACATTACGGTGGCGCGCATCGAGCCCAACCTCTTCCAGATCGGCGTCAACGGCCCCGTCGACACGGCGTATGTGTCGCGCGAGGCCCGCTGGCAGCGCGAGCGCGACCCCAGCAAATGGGTGGCGGTCAAGGACGTCACGGGCGGGACCTGCTGCATCGGGCTGTGGGGCCCGTTGGCGCGCGAGGTCATGGGCGCCGTCAGCAAAGATGACTGGAGCAACACGGCCAAGGGCCTGCGGTACTTCCGCGTCAAGCGCGCTGTCGTGGGCGGCGTGCCCGTGACGGCCATGCGGCTGTCGTACGTGGGCGAGCTGGGTTGGGAGCTGTACACGAGCGCCGAGCACGGCGTCAAGCTGTGGGATGCGCTGTGGAAGGCCGGCCAGAAGCACGGCATCATTGCCGCTGGTCGCACCGCGTTCAACGCACTCCGTCTCGAGAAGGGCTATCGCGCTTGGGGCGCCGAGATGACGACCGAGCATAACCCTTACGAGGCGGGTGTGGGCTTCGCCGTCAAGGCTGGCAAGCAGGGTTATGTCGGCCAGGAGGCGACTGAGGGCCGCTCTGTCGACACCGCCAAGCAGATCTTGCGCTGCATCACCGTCGATGATGGCCGGTCGATGATTCTGGGCAAGGAGCCCATCTACGTCAACGGCCAGGCCTCAGGGTACATCACCAGCGCCGCCTACGGGTACACGGTTCAGAAACCAATCGCGTACGGCTGGCTGCCGGCAGGCGTCAAGGAGGGCGACTCGGTCGAGATAGAGTACTTTGGCCGGAAAGTCAAGGCGACGGTGACGCCTGAACCGCTGTACGACCCGAAGATGGAGCGCCTGCGTGGGTAAGTTGCTCCCGGGGAAGAAAGAGAGCACTTTTGTGGCAAGTTTTTAGCATCATGATGAGGCCCAGAGACCTTTTGCATATACAGCGCATTTTTTGTCGCTCGAGAGGCGTTACTATCGGGAATTGCACGACTTAATAGTAGCAATGGACATTCTCTTCACGTTCTTCACTGCTCGACCCGCCTTTTCCGAGTTTCAGCACGCATACCGGAATCAACGCGCACTAACTTTCCATGAACCGCTCTAGTACTTGATCATTTTGCCGGCTAGAATGTCACAACCATAAGTCCCGAATCAAACGGAATCCTCGCCCTTCTCCGCAGCCAGGTGTATATCCTGCGCCACATGTGCGGGCGGCTCACGGGCAAGCAGGGCAGAAAGCCCGATCTGGGCCTCGATCTCCTGCATGCGCTCGGTGTCGGCTTGCGAAGTGCCCTGGGATCCGAAGATGATGTCCATCTCCTCGAGACTCAGGCGCTTGGTCTCCGGCACGAAGAACCAGATGAAGGCGGCGCCGATGAAGGTCAGGAGGCCGAAAAGAATGTAGGTGCCATATGTGATGCCCTCGAGCATGTCGGGCGTGACTTGGCCGACGATGAAGTTGTTCATCCAGTTGGAGGAGGCGCCGATTGATACGCCGTACGGACGGGTGCTTAGTGGCCAGATTTCAGCAATGAGGATCCATGCGCTGCGCGTCGCGTTAGCGATTAGCTCGTCAATGCGTCCAGAGCTGGGAACTCTTACCAGGGACCCCAGGAGTACCCGAAGTGGACAACGAACAACCAGACCATGACAACGGCAGCCCAACCAGCAGCAGGTTGTTGATCGAAGCGATCGATATTTCGAGCCAAGATAACAGCAATGATCAAATGGCAGATACCCATGCCGATGGCTCCAGTCGCGAGGACCGGCTTGCGGCCAACGCGGTCGATCCAAAGCACAGCTGGAATGGTGGCGATAAACATGACGATGCCGACGACACCCGTGGCCAGTAGGCTGGTGGTATTGGAACTTAGGCCAAGCTGGGCGAAAACTACACTCTCGGTTAATTTGGGTTGGTGAAACAGCTGGACCTGAAAGAGAAATGGAAGGGAGCAGCATTTGACGCTGTGACTCACTTGCAGGGGCATAGTACAAAATGGCGTTGATGCCGGTCCACTGCTGGAAGAACATGGTGACGGTGGCGACAATGACACGTCTGAACATGGCCTTGGTCTTGAAAAGGGCGAAAATTGCAACGAATTGCAGCTTGAAGGTGTTCCATGCTGTCTGCTCCTGCAGATGGGGAAATTTCTCTGCGATGCTGCGCTTTTCGAACTGAGACTGAGCCTTAATCTCAAGGAACTCCAGCTCGATCAGTTCGTGGCCCGGGTCTAGGCCGCGGAGGTGACACAGAATCTCCCTGGCTTCCTCCTCGCGGCCGTGATGTATCAGCCAGCGCGGCGAGAACGGCATCCAAATCATTCCAATGAGGAGGATGAGAGCTGGGAATAGCTGAAGACAGATCGGAACCAGCCAGGCGGCATCCGACTGGGTTTCTTCAGTGGTGCCGCCGATGTAGTTGGTGCCGTAATTGATCCAGAAACTGATCATGATACCGAACGTGATGGCAAGCTGCTGCAAAGCGACAAGAGCACCTCGAACCTCCGGAGGTGCGCATTCGGAGTTGTACAGTGGCACGATCATAGACAGGGATCCAACGCCCATACCCCTGCGAAAGTCAGCACGGAAGGGTATGGTAACTCGGCCCAACGTACGTGATGAATCGTCCTGCAAGGATTTCTTGATGTCCGCCTACAATTGAGCATGCTTGAATGACCACGCCCACAATGAAGACACTCGAGGCAATCAAAATGCCGTACTTGCGAGAGCAGACCTCGGCAATGAATCCGGAGAGAATTGCGCCGAACCAGGCGCCCAACTCCAGGATGGCCGTCAACCAGCCCTTCTGCGTGGGATTGTCGATGTAGCCGTCGGTATCTGCGACAGTCATTATCCGAACATACATCGACGCTGGGCTACTTACGCTTGCCAAACGATGGCATGGCCCTGTGTAGGAAGGAAGAAGCATAATCAGCATGTATGTTGAGAACAAAAGGCGTTCAAAGGATGTGCTGACCTGACCAGAGAATATATGATAAAACAGGACTTACAGGATACCACTGAACATTCCCTGGTTATCTATCCAGGAAAGGACTCCGTCAGCTCGGCTCAATATACTCGGAATTATTGTCGCTAGGCATATCGCTCGTGGCATACTCACTGTCGAAGAAGTTAGTTATGAGCATCCTAGACGGCAACACAAGCACCAGCGCGTGGCTGTTGTGAAGTGGGTATGTTTCAGCTGTGACAGATGGACACAGCAACCTTACACGGCGCCCAAGATACGTCTCGGACGCTTCCTCTCGCCAACCTCATAGAGGCTAACAAAGATGAGTGAGAACTTACCATCCGTAGAGCACCCCGCCAATACAGGCAAATGCAGCAATACTAGCGACACGAGCATTCTTAAAGAAGGCCCGGGCACCACTGGCGCCCATCAGGGCCTGACGGCGTTTGGCAGCTTCATCGAAGACGACAGCGGCGCCGCTGACTCCAACCATTTTGATGGCTTGTAGCGAAACGAAAGTCTCTCTCAATCTGCAGTACAGGCCCGTGAGATGGGGTGACAGCGCCTCCGGCCCTGAGGTAATTCAGCACTTAGTTATGTACAGTCTCTACATTAGCCGTCGTCAATTTCAGGCTCTCACTTGCCCAGTGTTTACCCGCGGGCCGGTGGTGGCAGCAGGAAGCTTGGCCTAGTGGTCGCCGGCACTTGTCAGCGGAATCAATCATAAGCATCAATCAGGTTCGAGCAAGCACAGCCAAGGCCTGGGGACGTTGTCTCGGCATGGAGACCGTATGATCCGATGTGTGCTGGCCGATTGGGGTCATTGCAGATCAAGTGCTATTCAGCCTGAATCTGCAAGCAAGCGAGCAAACCAACATGGGCAATGGCGCCGATGAAGAGTAGTCTGGTCAAGTTTCGCGACTTGGCGTCTTGGTACCGCTGAAAAGAGGCGAAATCCGGGGCATGGGCGGAGGATTTGGGTCCGGATTCTGAGGGTGGAAAGCGCCGCAGACTCGCTTTTGTACATGCTAGGAATTGGTGGCTGTGGCTCTATGCCTGAATTTCGAAAGGTGCTTGTGTTCCTACTGTAGGTCAATCGGTCACGTCTTGCTGGGGGGTTGAACGAGCGGGGGGTGCTCGGCGCCAAGACTAGAACGATTCGCCCGGAGCCCGGACGACACCCTGTTTCGGGAGCGAGAGGGCTCTCCCGGTGTGCAGCAGATTAGCAAGAACGGCCCTGTTGCTGTAAGAGAACATCTCGTATCAGCAGCCATCTTTTCTTTTGTCCTCTTTGCTCTTGACATAAACTAAGCCGTAGTACGTGGTCAGAATGGGACCTTGATCAAGACTGGGAGAAGCAAGGGCATCGGCTTGGGCAAGGTGCTTCATTCTGCAAAACACCTGCTAAGTCTCAACCGCCAGTCCTTTCTCCGGTCGTACCAGATCACCACCTTTTGTCGACATATTCCAATGTGCACTTTTTGCGACTGCAATCTGTCGTCAATCCAATACTCGGAAATCGATCGAATGTAGAGAGGGCGGACCGACAGCCAGCCACGTTCATCAAGCTCGTAAACGGCAGCCAGCCACGGCCACACTCATCCAGCCTCGGTCCAACCATCAACGCCCGAGAAGTGTGATCAAAGTCGACGAGCCGCAGGCTGCAGGATCCAGCTGTATTCATGACATGTCAGCGTGCTCCAGGAGGTCTGGACACCACGGTCCACAGTATCCCCATAGGGAGTGATTCAAAGGGTTGAAATTTCTTCTTTCTTGCTGCGTTGACTGCGGGGAAAGCTTGACGCGGCATGACCCGTAGCTTTGCTGCGGTGTGCACATCAGCCGAAACTCAGATCGGATATCACAGCCATTGATGGCTCGCCAAGTGTTTTCGCGAGTTGTCAATGACCGGCTGAAGCTGTCCGAGGCGCACCACGCGGCGCGCCCCTGGCCCCAGCTGAAGTCAATGCGGGGAGTCGGTGATCAGCTGCTTTGAAGGACTCATCTGGTCACTTATGCTCGCTGTGTCACACTACGCGTTTGAGATGACTAGGTATGTGGCCCAATTGATGGTCTTCTGCAACCGACACCGAGAAGCTCAGGAAGGTCAAGGTACCTTTCCCAAAGCTAGGCTGACGGGCTGGGGGCCTGGATACTGCCTCCATGACTAGGACCTCTGACCGACAACTTCTAGCACAATTGGTTCTTTTTGCGAGTCGTGCGCCCGCGCCTAGATCTAAAGTTAGATAGGTTCCTAAGCTTGGCCGTCCCAGTCCCATGTCAAGGTTCGAGGCATGATCGCTTCACAAATGCAATCTCTCGCGCGGTATAGTTTCGAGGCCTACCAACCGGCCCTACCTAGGCCTCGTGAAACCAGAAGTGCAGATCTGCAGTCTCCAAGTGTTGCGACTCGCTCGTAACGCAGATGCATCTAGACCCATGATTCTATGCGAGGGCCTTACACGCCGCTGGAGCGGAGTGCAAAGCATGAGTCGGCCACGGACGGGAGTGATTTGGGCTCGTACCGATCGACAGGAGGGGGCTGATGGATATCCAATCACGAAAACGCTGAATTTTTATTTGTCTAACAGGTGTAAGCCTCAAGCACAAGCTTCAGGCCCATATTCTGAAGCTTTCTACCGATTTTGGATACGCGGTACCTCACCGACTCACCGTACCCTTTTCAGTCCGTAATCTGTAACTTTGCCATTGAATCTATAATGTGAAGAAATACACCCGACTCACATCAGCTAGCCGCACATACGTCTTCTCGTACTTGGCACTTTTGTACCAACACCTGAGGCTTTCGATCACGAGCTGACTGTACTTTAGCTGCGCGAGACCAGAGATCCTATCCAGTGAAAGAAGTCGTATTTGTTTCGTTCACGTGTCATTCGTAAAGACTGTGCAGCAGCTGAAAGCCCTTGCATTCCGTGGCTGCATTGACAACAGCAGCTTCATGGCATCGCAGCCTATGCGTTTCCGGCCCTAAACACTTGCTGTCCTGCTTGAGCAAGTCCAGACCGCCAGCCACACGAGCAACCAACTGTGTCGATTCCTCTGAGTGTTCGAGAGTCTTGGCCGTCATACGATTAAGATAAAGCTCGCAAGTATCCTTGGGGCTAACACAGCACAGTCACTTCATCTCCCGGGGCACTTGTTCTGAAGCACTTGTACTACCAAGATCTCAACACTTTTATTCTGACATAACTGTGACCGGCAACGATAATGGCTGGCCAAATTACCCCAGAAGGACAAGTCCTTCCTCCTCGGAACATCACGGCACCTGCTCCTCTCCTCAGCCTCCGAGGATTCCATTGGGATACTGTAGACAAAAAGCTTGCTCGTCCTCAGCTCAGCCAAGACCGTGATTCAAGTGTATCCAGAGGCGAGTCTCATGACGATGCAGATGTTGCGAAGGTACAGGAGCCCTTCGTCGCTGCCACCGCGCCGTTGTTGGCCCGTGCAGCAGCGGTACCGGCAGCACCTGCAGCACCAAAGGCACCAGTACCACAGCTACCACAAGAGCCACTGGCGCTATCCGGGCAGTTAACAACACAGCTCGGCCACGTGTCGGGTCGACCTAAGCCGGGCCCGCCGAAGTTCCCACTTGAACAATTTCAGGGCGCTTATGCTGGCAACGGATTCAATTTGATCTTTCGTCCTCGTGCCAATAACGACGACACGGTTTTTGAAAAGAAGCCCAACCCAGGGAATGGCCTACCTCCAGACAATATTCTCCAGCTGAGCCTTACCACGGAGCAATTGACGTTTGGAGCGACACTTGGCAACATACCAAACCGTGGACTCTTCGAGGAGCCTAACATCTTCCTCACTGGCTTGCCATATTTGCAAACTGTCCAAGACGTCACAAACCCGGAGACCGGAAAGGGTGATAGGCTTGACCCTACTGACATTCATTTCGAACCTGGAGTATGGCTCAACGTTCCCAAGGCAACCTTCAACCCGAGGGACAGCGTAGTGCGCATGGCATCCATACCACACGGCACAACTATCAACGCACAAGGCCTCGTTCCCACAAAGACCAACAGCGGCCTCGGCGGAGCTGCCAGTCGTCCAATTTTCGATGTCATTGACACCACACCATTCTTCACCGCCTCTGGGAAGAAGCAAGTATTCCCTAATATGAATGCAGCCGACCCTGCCACCTTCAGAATTCCACAGAATCTTGAAAGATTCAACGACAAACCGGACAGCAAAGGTGTCATGGGAACTGGCTTGATCACGACGGAGATCATCAAGAACCCAAACTTAATCCTCGCAAAAGCTACTCAGACCCAGAACATAACAGAGACAATTACCTTTGAGGTCTCCACCGGATTCCCAACAGCCGAGCTCAATGGCGGCGGAACAACCAATATCTCATTCCTCGCTGGCAAACAGGCCCCATTGAGTACTACCCAAGCTCCAGACCCAGCAAAGGTCCTCAACCCGGAGAATCCAATCGCCCATGCAGCCTTCATGAAATCCAAGTTCTGGATCGAAACGGTACAGTACGACGTCTTCGTCCCCAAACTAGCCGAAAAGACCACTCTACTGCTGTCACCGGAGATCCCGGCGGGCTCCACGGCGCCAACCCCTGTATTTGCGGTCACAACACCACCTAACGGCAACCCCCAACGAAAGAAGATCACTATCCCCGGCATCCAGATCCAATCCTCGCAGACAGTGAACCTGAATTTCGCACCGCTCACTTGGCCGCATGTCAGTGTCGCGACAATGGTGCCCAAGGATCCGCAGCCGTTTCAGATGACTTGATGAGGAGAGTTTTGAGGGAAATCAGACTCGTGTTTCTCTGGCAAGTGGTGATCAAAAAGGTGGCTACTTCAGCTGACGTTGGTCTTTCTTCCTCGGGACTTTTCGGGTCTATGAAGCGGCTTCAATCACGTATTCCATATGCTCGCGCTTTGCGGTCCGCTATAGTCCTAATTGACGAATTCAATGCACACGAACAGACCTATGCTTCTCGTTGTCCAAAGTGCTCGCCCAACCCGGGATGGGTCTTTCTGTCCTGTTACGATTCCCGAAGCGGCTACTACTGTCCTGCGTTTAGTGCTGCTTTATCTAGCAGTTAGGTGGCAGACACTAGACTGAAGCTTTCATGGCGTTCTTGCCGGTACTTGGCTGCCGCTGGGCGGTCACTTCCTTGGATTGTGTACTGCTAGTAGTATACTGTGCATTGAGCTCATCTCACTGTCGCTGAATATATGCTGATAGATAAGACTGAGAAGCTCGGCACGTTGAGTCATTTCTCAAATTTCGCATCTTGTCGGGAAGGAAAGTAGGCATATATGTGGCAGTAGCTGCTGCATAGGATATCTTGTGGCAAATCTAAGTAGAACTAATCATCAGATTGACTAATAAGCTTGTGTAACAATATGGGGTACCAAGGGAAACGTTTCGACGATGTTAGCGGGAGCCCGCGTGGTGGCACAGCGAGCGTTCTCCAGCTAAGGGTGAGCTCAGGTCACCAGCTCTATGGAACAGTCTGGACAACGACTGACGAATAAACTCCTTGGGCCCCAAGACTGCTCGCGCAGGCATGATATATTTATGACACAGACAGTAGTAATAATACACATTTGGAGAAACGCTCATAATGACGCTCGCTTGCGTGAAACTCATCGAGACGCATAAAGACACCTCAGATATAACATACCCTCCAGCTCCTCTCGCAGAAACTAGTCTCCCCAAACGGACATCACGTCCTCCGCGCGCAACACAACAGTCTGCGCCACCAACTCGCTGGTGGCTTAGAGGCATTTACGTCTGGAGTGACCGGTGACACGGGCTGTGGTGGCTTGACGCGGACCCACTGCCAGTGGCCGTCGATGAACTGCCGCACGACGTGGCCGTCCTGGCGGTACCGCACTGCCAACGAATCAGTCAGCACTGAGTAGCACGAATTGTCCGTGGCGAACGTAGACACGGTATCACGACGCTCATGCGGAAAGACGAATGGCGACTGGTGCTTGGTGGGTGGCGAAGACGGCTGTGTGGGAAGCTGCGGCAATCTGGCCAGTGTCGCTTTCAAGACGTCTCGCGCTGTAGGCTGCGACCGTGGCCGGAGCATGCTGCCATCAGCGCACGTGTCGTCAGACTGTATGGTGGGCAAGGAAGCGGGAGCTGTCCTTCTCTTGGAGCGCCAGCCCGTCGCTGGCGCGTGTGAGCCCTGCCAGCGCTTCGCAGATACGGGTGATTGACTGCTTAACGAGGTCATGCTGCTGATAGAAGACCTACCGCTTTTGGATGTCCGATTGCTGGCAGTGCTTTGAGTGACAATGGTGACCGCACTGCCATTCGAGCTCACGCAAGAGGGGGCACGAGTGTTAGGAACGGCGTGCCTCAATGTTGAGCGGCGATTTTGTCGTGAATGCCTCTTGACGATGGCATGATTGGCACTCGGTGATGGGGGAGATCCAAAACTAGTAGACAGATTGCCGGTCACGTACATGTCCATCATAGTCATATGATGGGTTGCAGTAGATGCCTGGCTGTCGAGTGTGTCTGAGCGTCCATGTGGCTGGTTCCGCGTGGGATAGAATGGCGACCATGGCGCTGGGGATAGCGGCGCTAAATCGGTGAACGAAGTATATGTACAACTCTCCGAGTCTGGTCGTTGCTGCGATGGGGAACTTGACTTTTCCTTCGGCGAGAACAAATCTTTGGCAATGGCAACTTGCTGAGGCTGCTGCAGCGATAGTCGGACAAACGATTTGAGGTTCTGAGACACACGCTTGAACGCAGCAACGACAGAAAATGGCCCAAGCAAACTGGGGTAAGGGAGGAAGCTGAAAGCAGAATCATGCAAAGAGTCAGAAAAGCGACTTTTGGGCGGAGTGTCTTCGTGCTGCGCTTGGGCCTTGTATAGACACGTCCGCTCGATCGCATCTTCTGATCCTGCATCTAATCCCACGTTATCCTGAGCCCGCAGACAACTGCGATCTGCGCTGTCGCCATGCGAAAGTGACTTTTTCACATTCGATATTGGTGTGGGAAGCTTCTTTGGCATTGCATGTGTCTGCCTTGTCTGGTGGACTGTTTGGTGGCTTACCGAGTGGATGTCAGTCCAGAGAATTATTGTCCAGCGGGAATCTCGGGCGCGGCACGCGACCTGGCCAGAGTCATATACATTGTTTTGATCCTCGTCATAATGGCGAGGGAACAAAGACAACAAAGGAATGCACTTCTGTCCAAGGCAGATGTCGAAAGGAAGCAACAAAGCACTTTGGCTATTTTTGGTATTCATTCGTACCTCGAGATTATGTAGTGACTCCCATTGGGCGGAGGTGAGGGATAGAATGATTGTCGCTAACCTCTGCGGTGAGATAAATGAGTGACTAATGAACAAGTTGCTGACGGTAACAAATCACGGGAAAACGAAATACTAGGTACGTGTCCAGTAAGCCCACCTTCAGCTTTTCTCCATAGCTATGTCGTTTAGTCAAAGCCAGGGTCGATGAGTACCGCTAAGACAGCTTAATACTGCCCTGTGGTCACGCAGAGCGGGCAGTATTCTGTATCAGGTGGATTGTTGTCCGACTACGACTCCCCAGTTGCTGCACTGAAGGCATACAGTCACTGGAAGCTTTGCCGAACTCTTGCAGCTCAAGCACAAAGGTGTCTGATTTCTGGTCTACAAGAGTGTTGAGGTGACTGGCCACTTTCTTGTAGGGCCACTCAAGGACAGCTACACCTTTTTCACACGGACGATCTCAATTTTCCTATTCTTGGGACTCTGCATGGTCGTCCACGGGCACAGCTGGCCTGTCAAAGGGATACTTACCCGCACATTGGCAATGCTGATAGACATCGGCGCATTGTTTCGACAGACTAACAAACATGTCACACTACGCGCAGAACAGCGTCTCTGTGAACCATCCCACATCCAGCTCGTATAAGTACCTCTGAGGCTCTCAGGGCCTGATCCAACCGCCCATCCGGTCCTGGGGGTCATATCTTCTCTTCACCTCTCGTAACGTGTCATAATGTCCACCGTAGACGCGCTTCATGTCATGGAACTCCTCTAACGCATTCGGAATCGGCATGTAATCCTTGCTGGCCTCACCAAGGATCTTCGGACCATCCACCTCCACCAGTTCCCGAGCCTTGGCGTTCTCCTCCTTACCGGCCTCGGGAGCGCACCCGGCACCGATGAGCAGCATGTGCTTGTAGCCCAAGGGCCGCGGCCATGCGGACGAGGCGCGCGAGGTGAGGCTGTCGCGGCACGAGAAAAGCTCGAAGAGCAGGAAGCCAAACTCGCTCACGCTGCTTGGCTGCTCGGCCACCTTATTCCACCAATCGAATGAGCGGACCACATGCTCCTCGGTCATGGTCGACAGAGCCATGGGCGTCCAGTACTGCTCGTTGCTTCCTTTGAGGTCACCGATCCGGTCTGTTCGCCGTCAGTTGCAAAGGCACCTGTTCCACTTTGTGTAGTCGACTCACCTTGGAGTTGGCACACCTCAAGCATCGTCATGCCTCCTATGGTCATGTCAATCGCACCCTCAATCTCCAGCGCCCATTGGAACTCTTTCCGCCCGTGCTCCTCTCCCAGCCCATCATAGGCATGAACGACCAACATGTCCGCCTCACCACCGCCCCCCGCCAGGAGCCTCAGCAACTCCTTCTTCATCACATACAAAAACAGCGACACCTTCGGATGCACATCCTCCCGCCCACACATGCTCGCAATCCCCCTTGCCACCTCCCTGACCTTCTCCCTCGGCAGCAAAATGGGACCAGCCCAGATGCGCCCATTCTCCGGGAACGGCTTGACCGCGAAGCGAAAGCGGGTGACGATGGCGAAGCCGCCCTCGGTGCCGCGCAGCGCCCAGAACAGGTCCGGATGCGACGACGCCCAGGTCACGGTGCCGTCCGCGAGCACCAGCTCGGCGTCCAACAGGTTGCTGGGGTCGGACACGCAGCCGTACTCGTGGCTCAGCCAGGAGAAACCCGAACAGAGCGTGCTGCCGCCGACGCCGATGCAGAGCGTGCGCGCTGCGACGACTATGCGCGAGCGGTGTTAGGGTACGTTTCTGCGGGAGGTATCGTGAGGGGGGTGGGGGAGAATTTGGCAACGGGGTCTGACGGGTAAACCGACACCAAACTTACTCATCTCCTTGGGCGCCACCTTCTCCATCTGGGTATAGAGCTTGGCCCAATTCGCTCCCGCACCCAACTCCACCGTGCCCTTGTCGCCATCATACTTGAAACCATCAAACGCCGTCATGCTGATCAACACGTCGCGCGCCGATGCCGAGCCAAAACCCTGCGAACGCACATTGTACTGCAGATCTGTGCTGGAGAGATACTTGACAACGCGGGACAGAGTGTCGACGGAAAGCGGGCGGATGACAACTTGTGGGCGTTGGTTCCGGGCGGACGACCAGGTTGATGACTCGGCGGCGTAAGTAGGTGACGCGGGGCCAATGTATTCGTCTTCGGAGACGAGAGCGCGGAGGCGCGCGAAGGGGTCGGTTTGCGCCGGCGACATGGCGTCAAAGGGGAAATCTAGAGGACGTGTTGTAGTGCTAGCTAGGTGGCAGCGCTGACGATCCAGAGATCATGCAGCAACAACGTGAACAATGCAGATGCCTGGCTCTTACTGTTAGGCCAGGGTTTACCATCTTATATATGCAGCATACTACGTTTCATCCAGGGCGGGTTGGTGGACCAAACAATCCGCGGTCATTAACAAGGACGCCTTGAATGTAATCAGTAGAAGGACAATTAGTCCACAAGCGTGGCAAGATTTGCGAGGTGGATTTAGAGAGTTTGGTGCATGGACCTCTAAAGGCTGTAGTGGCAACGAGCTGTGGTCTGCAAGCTCCATCGGTGCCTACAGACGCGTCATAGCGAAATATGTATTACAGTCTGGTTGCCCTGTATGAATGCCCAGAGACGAGCGCTGGTCGTATCGGATTCGCCGTTGGTACCGGATTCGGTATGTAATCGCAAGAAGGCCGCTTTTGATTGGTCCATTTGGTCCCCAATACATGTGCAGTAAGGCGTCCAGCCTTGGCATGCCCTTTGATGCTCAAAAAACCCCCGAGCACTTGACAAACGGCACAGCGGGTAGGTGTTGCCTCGTCGTACTCGGTCCCAGATTGTATGGGCCGGTCTCAGCACTGGACATGAGAGGACAGAGGACACACCGCAAGATGTCCTGTGCTGTGCTCACTCATGCTGTGGTCCAGGCGGTTGACACCAATCCCGGGGCTCCGTTCGGCTTCGTTCAGTCATGGCCTTCGCGTCGGACGATCCTGGCTGTGTATGACAGACGGTCAGTCGTTCGTAAAGAGCTCGAATGGACGCCCGGCATTCAGAACGGCAAGGAAGCCATTCTTCCGGGCTTTCCCTGGACTGGTATGCTGGAGTGACTGTAGCGTAAGCCACAGCATGCGTGGTTGAATCGGCCATTCAGGATGAAGGCTCGACTGGTGACCGAGAGCCAGGCTTCCCAGGCTCGGGGTTTAGGGCTTGACTGATGATGCCGATGACCACAATCACAAGACCGTGTGTGGGTGAAACGCTCGCAAGTCATCGGTTGGTCATCGCCAGTTCCACAGCACACACCACGAGTGAGCTGGTTGCCGGGGGCCTTTACTGTGGGAGCTCCGTTTCGGCCGCACCAACGCTTCACCAATTCCCACGTCCTCTTCGACCTCTCCCTCTTCCGCCTCCGCCGCCATAGCCTCCACCACCGCCAGGCTGTCCAAAGCCTCCATCTCCACCGCCAAACCCAGCCGGGCCTTGCGGAGGCCCTCCCATCATGCCTCCACCCATGCCCATCATCTGCTGCATGAACTGTCCCTGATCCATTTGAGTAGGGTCCATGCCCTGCGCCATCATGGCCTGGAACATCTGCTGCATCTCCTGCTCGCTTGGCATGCCTTGCATTCCGCCGCCGGCACCCCCTGCACCCGCACCGCCGCCGGGACCAGTTGGCACTCCTGACATCCCGCCGCTCGGAGCTCCTGCCCCGGGTCCAATGCCTTCGACGAACATCTTGATCTGCTCGGCTTCGGAGTTGATTTCCTTGACCTGTTTTGGCATCGTCTGTTGCTTCAAGCAGTAGCTCGCCCATGTGAACTCGTCGAACCCGTAGTTGAAATAATCGGTGATGTCTGCGCCGGGTTTACGCCATGGCTTAGTGGCGTCGCCAGGGAAGTCGGTGTCGAAATCAGTAGACAATATCGGCTTACCAGTTGTAGGGTGCACAGGATTGCCATTAGGGTCGAGCTTCGAGGTGTGACGCGCAGGGTATTCGCTCCCGGGCTTTGAGTCGGCGTCGGCCGGGTCTGGCTTGATATCGATGGAGCGGGACTGAGACTGGGAGATGCGAGTGGGAATTTGAGATTGAGGTGAGGCCGAACGGCGGTGTTGCTCGGAGCCGGATCGTTGCGCATTCGAGGCTTGTCGCTGCTTCTGCTGTCTAAAGGGATGGTTAGCGTGCGGGCGAGACGGGATGGGTGACAATACGTTTTAGGTTCTGGCTTGGGTTCCTCTTTTGCGTCCGTTATGAAGTTGATATCTTCCTATCTGGCCGTCAGCAAGTGTGCCACCCCAGGCGGCGGGGACGCCTACATCACTATCGTCTTCTACCTCCTCACCCTCTTCTTCGCCATCATCTTCGGTCTTGATCTTGGACTCGTTGGTAGGCTCGTTGGTGGGGTAGATATCGTCGTCATCGGAGTCCATCATCTTGGCGATTAGTTAACGGTAGAGCAAAGAACCGTTGAGTACAGATCAGTGGCTAGTTAAGGGAGCAAAGAGCTGCGGTCTTCGAGACCGAGAAGCAGTCCGTCGTGACGAGGCTGCATCCCCACGGTAGCAAGGCTGCGTTGCTTAAGCCAATCGGCGTTGTCAAGGACTTGGCGATCGTCGAGCTTTCTGGAAGTTCCAGACAATTTTATGGGATGCTTTGCGACAGCTCCTTGATCTATTTACTAGTGTCCATCTTTGTCCCTTGTCACTGAGCCCCATCTTCCTCTATCCTGCAGCGTTTCCCACCATACCAACCGCCATCAAAATGGTACGTCGCCCTGCACGCAAGGATCCTGCGCTGCATGCTTCCCCCATTGCCTTGCATTCTCCAACTACACTCCTCGCCCAAAGACAAACACTGACCCGGACGCTAGAGCACCGCACTCAAGTCCATCCGCTCCCTTGCGCCCCTGCTCGACCGCGTACTGGTCCAGCGCATCAAGGCCGAGTCCAAGACCGCCGGCGGCATCTTCCTGCCCGAGTCGTCCGTGAAGGAGCTGAACGAAGCCAAGGTCCTTGCTGTTGGGCCCGGCGGCCTGGACAAGGAAGGCAAGCGGATAGCCATGAGCGTTAAGGAGGGCGATAAAGTCCTGATCCCTCAGGTAAGTCTAAACACTGCGCAAGAATACGTGTATGACATCGCTGATGGAGGAATCAACACAGTATGGTGGCAGCCCCGTCAAGGTCGGCGAGGTCGAGTACTCACTTTTCCGGGACCACGAGCTACTGGCCAAGATCAACGAATAAGCGCTCCCTGCCTCGGAGAGAAAATTCTCGAACGACCTCCAACATGTACAACAAGCCTGCGACGCGGTAATCTGCAGAGCGACGGCCTCGGTCCACGGACTGTGCTGAAGTGGAGTGGAAGATGTATTTAACGCATAACAGCGCAGCGGAATGGCGTTCTGCATACTTCGCCCTACGCTTCGAATCTTGTATTTGAGAATAAGCATGTTTTGATCTCCTCTCAACTACTCATCATTGTTGAAAGCATCCTCGGTATTGCTTGCCGATTGTTTACATATTGCTGTGCTCATCCTCGTTGGCGGGACTTTGACCTAGCGCTCTGCTCGCTACGTTCGCTGCCTGATCGTGTCCTTGGGCCGGGGGCGCTCGCGCCCCTGGGCACCGCAACATCTCGTACCTCCAGACCACGGCCAATGATTTCACGGAAATCAAGCCCGTTCTCTCCGAGCTGGGAAGTCTCATGTTCCCATACCACATCCATGCACTCCCGCCAGACTTTGCCCTTCTTGTCAACACTGCTCATCTGGCGCTGCAGAATAGCGTTGAAGCTTTCAAGATGCTCGTTGGCCCACTTGATGACAGCGCTCATGGTTGACGCATTGAAACTCGCTTGGTAGATCAGTACCGTGTTCTTGATCATGGTAAAGTAGACAAATGCCAGCGAGAATACATAGCGGTGAAGATCGCCCTCGAATATACACTGCCGTGATCGCTTCTGTAATGCCTCGCTCCTCGATACCAGGTAGGCATCTCGTGCCCGGTCTTCGGCGCCAAGTCTAGCCATGAAGGTGGTGATACGCTTCGTAGCTACCATGGACGACGGCTTGTCGATCAAGTCTCGGCAAAGAACATTGGATAACTTTGTCGCTCGCTCGTCCACTTTAGCTTGGATCAATTCCTGCGCGATAGTGTTGGATTTGAGGGACTTGGTCATGGTACGCAGCTTCTCGACCTTATCGACGGCTTCTTCAAAGCGCTGTAGTGCAATGTCGATGTCGAGCTCGTCGATCTGAGATTCAATCCAGCGAAAATTTTGCTGCTTGCCATCGACTTCAATGAGGACATCGGGCTTCTCGCCTCTTGAAGCGCCCAGCGACGATAGAACGCTGCGGCTGCGAGTCAAGTCGCCATCACGCGAGGCAAAGTAGTTCAGACTGTCATTGGAAGGACTGCCCTTGCTCGGCTCGACTATGTTAGCTTTTCGCAAGTCTTCCACGGCCTTACGAAACGTCTGAAGTAGTTCAGCCTTGGCAGTCACGTCTCTCTTCTCGGATCGATACGTCAAGTTGCGGTTCCCGGCTCGAACAGTCACAGCCGTGGCAATGGCCCGCTCCTCGGACGAGTTTGCAACCGCGGAAGTTGACATGTCAACCATGTCAATGTCCTGCAAAGGCCAACATTCCTCTGCCACAAGTTTCGTTGGCGCCGGTCCTTGGCTTGGAACATTGGGATCGACTCGCTTGCGTTTCTTAGACGCGATCAAGAGGTGGTCATTGAGTAATACGATCCGCACTGGTCGTTTGGGCTTCCAGGTAGCGCTGTCGAGCTCCACCCAAGCACCATTCTCCATGATGACATGTCTTCCGGGGATAGCGGGAAGGAATTTCTGAGATTTCTCGACATTCTTCCACAGCGCCTGGAGTTGAATATTCCACATGTTCTCAAGATTGGCAACGGATGAGCGGTTGGCTCTGCGCCTTGAAGCTGCCGACAGATCGGGAGACAATGACGCGTTGGTAGAACTAGTGGTCTGGCTTAATGCTCCTGTTAGATCGGACATAAGTCCTCGTAGGACCTGCATCTCGCTCTTGAGCTTTTCGGCTTCTTTACTGATCTTAATGAACTGTGTTCGGTTTTGGTATACACTTTGTTGTAGATTCGTCGAGTTGCGGTTCTTGATGCGTCGGAGCTTGTTCTGGTAATCTGTAATATCTGTTTCCGAGGCATTTGAAAGGAGGCTGGCGACATAGCGGTCCGCCTGTAGGTTCGGATCCGAGAGTAGATCCTCGTCGACTTTGAGGGGAGTGGCTCCGTCGCGTGTTGAAGGGCGCTTGGGTGAGCCTCCCCCAGACCGACGTTTGAGGGCAGCGGGCAGCGCCGGCACTGCGGGTGTATCACTGGATCCAAAGTTGGGGAGCTGATTATAACGGGTTGAATATCGGCGCTTCACTAGGTCAGAGGTTTCGGCATTACGTTCCTTGGGCACACTGAAAGTGTTTCCGGTCTGAGGCTGCTGAGGTGCAGGTCCGCTAGGTCGGACGCCGTTGCTCGGGGCTGTAGGCTGCGGACCACTGATTTTGGGGCGGTCTTTGCGCTTCTTGCGCAGGGTCAGTCCCCGACCCTCATTCATCTTGACGCGTGGCGGGCGTAGGTGAAAGAGGGGAACTTGGTGAAGGCATGAATAGTTGTTAGCCAGGGAGAGATGAGGTGTACTCGCAACAATGCAGCTACTTGATTGGGTGAGATTTGGCAGCCTTGTCAGTCGCGTGCAAGGCTGCGGTATTTCACTGCCCGCGGGCGACTGGCAACTTTTCCTCTAGCTATCCATCTCCTCCCTGTCAAGTCTCTTGCGCTTTGTCAGTCACTACTTTCGTATCTGGTCCGACTGCATTCTCTTCGGCTGAAGCTTTCTTTCTTAACCCCTCGATAGTCTCCGCTGTCGGCTTAATTGTAGCGCAGTTATGAAGACGTCAACCATTGTTTCGATATCGGTTGGCACTGCCGTTGCTGGGCTGGCCGGTATGTTGTCGAACTTTTGCTTTGCGCCGCGTATAGTCGACTGACCTTGTTCTAGCATACGCCGTCTACTTTGATTACAGGCGGAGAAATGATCCCGAGTTCCGAAGAGCTTTGAAGAAAGAATCCCGGAGGCAGGCCCGCATGCAAAAAGAGGCGGCAGAGGTGCAGGGCAAGCAACAAAAAGAGGAGATCAAAGCCGCCGTCAGAGAAGCTATCGAAGAAGGCTTCCCAACTGACCTCGAGGAGAGAGAAGCCTTCTTCATGCAGCAGATTGCTCAGGGAGAACAGCTGGCTTCCGAAGGTAGACATTGCGAACAATTGCTATATCACAAATCTAACTTGAAGCAGGCTCAGATCCGGTTGGCGCTGCGCTGTGCTTCTACAAGGGCCTCAAGGTATACCCCGAGCCGACATCTCTAATCAGCATTTACGACAACACTGTTTCCAAGGACGTCCTCGAGATCCTAGCCGTTATGGTATCGCAAGACAAGAACCTGAAGGTTGGCAACTTTGGCGCCGACAAGGAGGATCTGTCCGACAGCCATGTCGAATAGATCATCGCGACCTTGTACAAACAACGACGTCCTCTCACCTCTCTGTACGATTGTGTTGTATAAAAAGCGCGACGAATGGTGGTGCCAGCGGCGTATCGCCCGTTCTGGATGGCCTGGGGGAAATTATTACTTCAATTGATGGCCATTACATTTTCAGATTCAACATCCACTGCAACTGTCTGCCTCGTTCAGGAAACTGTTTCTGGAAAGTCTTTTATGCGAATGTCTGCGCTGAACTTGTTGACTTTCTAGGGTCCTCTGCACGATAAAGGCGCCAACCGAACGACGAACTGCTTTGCCAAAATCGCTCGGATGTGGTGTTCCGCCCTCGTCTTGTGTGGAACTGGATGCACTTTGCATCAGGTGGATTTGAACTGTTGAAAGTGATTGTTTTCTAGGTCTCGCACGCCCACGAAAGCATAATGTCAAATCCACGAATTTCGTCGGACTTTGTTTGCAGAACTTTTTCCCATTTGGACATGTTGTTGCCTAGGTGGGGTTTCCCTGCCTTCAGCCACAGCATACAAATTCACGACAATGGAACAACGTGGTCAACACACTAGGCTTCGGCCGAGGCGCAGCATACACACAACTATTTAAATCCAAGGCTGATGTTGTTCGCTCGTTCTCTCTTTCCGTCCGCAAGTATCATCCACGTCTGGATTTGAACGATCACTCCATGTCTGTCTTGCTAGAAGACGAGCATCAACTAACTCCGACCCATTCTGACACGTCCACCTCGAGTATAGTATAAGGCAGTTCCACAAAGGCAAGCCAGAGGGTTGCGAAATTCAGGAAACCCTACGGCAAGACCTCCAGTATGGTGGCACACGACGACTTTGTGCAAGACCTCTACCATTTCCGTCCCGATGAATCAACAAGGAATATGCCGCTGGGACCAGGCGCTGCGTCCATGAACCCGGAAAGTACGCTTTTCGGTCTGCCGAGAGAGCTCAGAATGAAGATATACGAGTATGCCTTTGAGGGCCACACGCTTTGTAAGTGTTCAACCTTGTGTTGCTTTCAGATCTTCATGTCCGTTGCAATACCTAACAACGTCTCAAACCCCCTCGTCAGACGTTGGCCGCCTTTGTTCTCGACGGCCAGAAATGTCTTCTCGATTCTTCCACATATATTTCTTGGTTGGTCAATTCGCTAACCCCTTTAAGCCCTGGTCAGAAGCTCGACCGGTAAGCCGAAATGCCTATATACGCCGCCCTCTCTTCTGGAGAATTCCAGGTTCTCCGTTGATCGACTCAAGCGCAGTTTGATGAAACCCTACTCCCATCCGGACCAAGACCCAAGTACATATCCTCATCTACTTTGCCGCGTATCCAAGGTGATTCGTGAAGAAGCCATCCCCATTTCGGCTGCTTGCACTAAGATCTTGCTCTGTCCCGAACTCCCACCCGTGCCGTTCTATCGAGCCGCCTACGGTCCACCTACCAACAGCGGCTCCAATCATTGCATCATGACCGTCAGCCCAAAAGAGGTGCTCAACTTGAAGTTCCGAAATGCGATCAATGGTCTATCCCTTAGCATGCGGAGCACCTTAGTCATAGATTACAAGAAACTTCCCAAGCTGGCTGGTCATCAACACGGACCTGAAGCACGGCAAGATTCTGGGCGGGCGCACGGGCGGCCCGCAACTGCAGCGCGTGGACCTGCGGCCAACGGCGTGGTTGCTTGATGATGGTGATGATGGCGGATTAGAGGGTATAGGGGCAGAGAGGGTGCGATTTGGGGAGTAGGTGCTGGTTCTGGGATTGGGGTCCGGGGTTTGGATATCATTTGTAAGGCACGAGAGAGAGGAGAGCGTGGCGGAGAGTATGTTGAGAATGCTCAAGCTGTCACGAAGAGACTGAGACAGTGGCACAGAAGGTGGTAGCGAGGTGGGGTGAGCGACGTGGATAAAGGTCAGACGGAGAGTACCAAGGCCATGGCTCAGCGATGTTCGGACGCGGTGAGAGCAAACAAGGACAGTCTGTACCATGTCTGTCTCAGGTGCAATATACTATACCCAGGTTTTTCGAGCAGAAGAATAGCCAAAAGCATTTTCAAATCCATTTGAATTTCTTCGTGATGCTAGACATAGGCTCAGTTGTGCATGCCATCTGCGGCCATGAAAATGAGCCACTCATGTGGTTAGCTGAGACGAGACAGCCTGCAAAGATATCACTGTTTCCTGGGAAATAGAATCGCCTGTTTCTTTTGTCCCGATGTGGACTTGATGTTGGTACATTCCATGATACTCTTCCTCAGAGATCATCTCTCGCATGCGTCATCTTTGCAACAATATTCGACCACCGCGCGTAGTCGTCTCGAACTTCATAACCCTGTTCCCTGTGTCAATCATGTCCGAATCATACTTGCATCCACCTAGTTATCTCTCTCCTCTTTCTCTTTAGCCTTCTCACCAGCCTTGCGGACTGCTTCGCCGAGAGAACTGTAGGATGGCTTCTTCACACCGGCACGCAGAGGACCGACACCGGACGCGAATGAGGGAGTTTGCTGATCGCTAGCGGGTAACGGAGTGTTGGTCGCGATCATCAGGCTGAGCGAGTCCTCCAGAGAGTTGTTGCCAACAACAGACGTACGGCTAGCGTTGCTCGGAACTTTGCTCTGACGGCGTCTAAGTAATGTGGAAGGCGAGAAGCGACTAGTGGACTCGAAGCTGAGACGAGGCGAAGCTTCTTCTTGGCCTTGATTGGTGGCAAGAGAATCAGAAGAGTCCTTGCGAGCTCGACGGAGAGCATTGCGAACAGTCTCGCGGAAACCGCTGCGGGGTCGGGCGGTATGTGTGACTTTGACACCTTGGTTGGATTCCTCGCGATGGCTGCTTGCCGAGTCTTGAGTTGTCTTGCTGGTGGCTTCGTCATCATGGTAGGTGTTAGCTCCAGAGCCTCTGGTATCTTCATCCTTACGGTCTGGCTCTGCAACTGCGACCATTTTGCCCTTGCCTTTGCCTCTCTTCGCCTCCTCTTGATCCTCAGCGTCGTCATTCGGGTGACTCTCACCCATAGCAGCCGCAGGGATCTTGCCGAAGTAAGTGTCCCACTTGCTTGACTCTGCATCTTCGGGTTCGTAGAGACCCTCGGTGGAGCTGAGGAGAGAGGGATCAGAGGCCTCGCTGGCTTCAGGACGTGGGACGGGCTTGCGGAGACCAAGCTGCAGCATATGTCTAGCATTTGCCACAGGACGATTCATGATCTCATGCATTGGTGGGGGAACCGGATTGGCCAAGACCTCATCGATACTGGGCATACCACGAAGTTGATAGTGAGGACGGCATCGCTGGCACACTCTGAAGTTGCAGCAAGGAATGATGTGGGATGTCGCGTTCTGTCCGGTGAGGGGAGCTCGCTCTGCAATTGGCACTTGTGCGCGCACATCGGCACTTGGTGAACTTGACAAGATGTCAAAGCGCTGGAGGTTTTGCAGGTGAGCCGGTAGACGTGAATCAGGCTCTGCGATCTCGTTTGTCTTGTCATAGCCAAAGACACGCTGAAGCTCAGCCCAATTGTAAGCTCGGCGCAATTCCTCATCGGGAGCAGTAGAAGACATGGTCGAGAATGTGGTGCTCGTAGGGAGGGTATTCATGCGCGAGAAGACGCTCGAACTTGCAGCAGTCGACTCTTGCTCAGCAGAGGACGCGGTAGTGGGTCTCGTGTCTGCACCCAGGTCGGCGAGGATGGCACGCTGAACATCGAACTTTTGTTTGAGGAGCTTCTTGACTTGGTCGTGGGTGTACTGGCGACCCGCGATACCCTTAAGAATTGGAGGATTGAGGAGAGGGACAGTGTCGAGCTGCTCGATTGAATAGTCACCTTCGTCAAGAAAGCTGACGACAGCTGGATCAAGAGAGGCGACCATGTTTGACAGAGTCGTGGCGGATGGTAGTATGGTGGTGACGATCTTTTGAGCGGGAATGTTGGCGAAGTCCGACTCGGGCAAGAAACCATCAGTATCAGCAGTGCATCTCCAGAACCAGCCAGCATCAGTCCCACTGCGATGGCAAAGAGAGCATTGGTAGCTTTTGAAGGGATCGTAGAGGCGGGTGAGTCGAGGGTGCATGCAATTCTTAGTCTGATCTCTGGATTCGGCTGGGACAGCGAAGACAGGAGGAGGGGCGGTTGCTGGTCCAGAGGAGAGCGGCGGCAGTAAAGGAGATGAAGAGTTAGGATCATGAGGTGACGACGACATGATTGCGGCACAGGACTGGTACTTGCTAGAATCGGTATGTAAAGCAAAGATAATCACCGCGGTGTTGATGTTAATTTTGTTGAGTAGATCTTCGTGGGGTGCACACAAACAAGAAAGGTTATTGCTTTGAGACGGCAGTCACACTCACTTTGCACTTACTATGCACTCACCTTGCCCTTACAATCCCATCACACTCACCTAGCATATTTTGGGTCGCTCGAAAACTAAGACAGTAAAGGGAGGACATGCAGCAGTCCATCTCTCCCCTCCAGTCCACGGATTTCTGAGAGCATATCTTGACCATGTCATTGCAGCGTGACACGATCCAGTACGATACAATAAATGGAAAAAGCGATGAAAGGAGCAAGGCTGCGATGAGCGGGAGTCAGATAATGCGTCTTTGAGCTGTCTGAAGCACCGTAGCAGAGCTCGGCAGCTCTTGCCGTGTGAGCGGCAACTCGGTTCGACTTATACGGCGGACCTTTGTTGGTTGTTTGGGCGACCGCCGACGCCCATCTCTGAGAGATCAGCCTAGGTTGATTAGTCTCTTTAATCTAGACCTCTGCCCGATCTGCTGCCACATGCGACGCGTCAGTGGTACTTCTTCTGTCGCAAGCACTGTGTAAACGCATTCGCTGATTGTACGTGCCCCCATGAGCAGCTTCCTCTGTGGCATGAGCTCCAAGCACATGCTACTCCCCGCCAGCATATAGCCGAGCCGACGCATCAACACGCCGACTCTCGCTTACCACCTTCACGTTGCTAACTTGATATTCTGAGCAGACACCCTCACCGTCCCTGTCTTCACTCCTCTCGCCGTCATGTCGGTCAAATTCCAAGAAGAAACTGTACGAGCCACGGCTCCCGTTGTGGGCCGTGATGAATCAACCGTGCACCGCATCGGCGAAGCCCTCACCGGCGGTCAATCCAACAAGGGCTACTTAGCCGCATACCTCAAGCAGCTACAGTCCAACCCCCTACGCACCAAGATGCTCACCTCTGGCTCCCTCGCTGCCCTGCAAGAAGTTATCGCCAGCTGGCTTGCGCACGATCGCAGCAAGCACGGTCACTACATCAGCTCGCGAGTTCCAAAGATGGCAGCCTATGGCGCATTCATTGGCGCGCCCATGGGCCATGTTTTGGTCGGTCTGCTACAACGTCTGTTTGCCAACCGCACGAGCTTGAAAGCAAAGATCCTGCAGATCATTATCAGCAACCTGATCATTGCGCCCATCCAGAACAGCGTCTACCTCGCCAGCATGGCGGTGATCGCAGGCGCTCGTACCTGGCACCAAATCCGCGCCACTGTCCGCGCCGGCTTCATGCCCGTCATGAAGGTGTCGTGGATCGCGAGCCCCATCACACTGGCGTTCGCGCAGAAGTTCCTGCCCGAGCAGACGTGGGTGCCATTCTTCAACATTGTAGGCTTTGTCATTGGAACATACATCAATACGCACACCAAGAAGAAGCGATTGGCAGCTTTGCGAAAGAAGGTAATACCCGCCCTATGATCGGCAGCCAGCTTCAGGCTCTGCTAGATGACCATTCGCTGACAAGAAATAGCACTACGGTGATCCCCGCTACAGCGACTCTCGCTACGATGAGAAGAGAAGCAGTGGCGGTCGTCCAGATGAGCCTCGTTACTAAGAGATTGTCGGGTCCCATCTGTCATTGCTGGCTTTTCGGTCATCCCTCAGAACAATCGATCAAATGGAGCAAATGGCGCGATCAACTCGGAGATGACGCAAAACGCGATTACATGGGGGCAGGAGCTGAAAGCCTGTGGTACTCTGATGCAGTCTCTAGGAACAGATCCAAGCGGGATCATTGCTGTTATCTATGCATGGCACGAGCAGACGTCGCGACGGCGGCAATGGAAGTTTCATTCCTTGCACAAGCGTGCTGCGAGCTGGAGTGGCGAGGAGGATGTGAATGGCCCGACAGCGAGCTTCGCCTACCTATATGTAAATTCAAACAATGAGATGACCAGAAATCGACTAATCTGAAATTATCTCGGCAACGAAAGCAAGCCTGTACCCAGCCATCGCTCTCCTGCGGCCTGCTCTCTGGCGTTGTTGTCGTGTTCATTTCGCGCGACCTCGTAAGCTTATCTCGCCTCACTTGCCTCTTTCGGCTACGCGTCAATATAGACGTCGAGCGTACTGCTATCGTTCGGGACTTCACTCTCGTGGCACCGTATATAAGGTAGTGACATTCGGCGGAGTGACGGAGCTCTCGTGCTCCGTGACTCTGTTTCTGACTGCTCTATGCCGTGAACTTCGGAGATTGGATATGCCTGTCGAAGGTGGGGATGGGGCAGGCGAGGTGACTTAGATGAGGCAACGTGCGGAACCCTTCCAGTCAAGCCCGTCACACGATTCTCGCGGGAAAAAACATGCTGCCGAGGAGCAGAGACAGGGAACAGGAAGCAGAAAGCGAAGGATGGGTTCAGCAACTCTTTCATTCCGGGCTGTCCGGGCCGCCTCCCTAGGTCGGCATCAGTATGCTGCCACTTTTTTCTATCTACTCCCCCACTCCGCCCCGCTCCCTCCCTGGCGAGGTAGGTCCATGTCTAGGTCTCATCCCTACCTTGCCGCCTCTTCTCCCCACTCCTCCCACTCCTCCCACTCCGCCTCGTCTCCCTGCACCATCTCTCTGGCCGTGACCCAGCCCTGGCCACCTCGCTCCAACTCTGCCTCCACAACCCCCCTTCCCTCCCCAACCACTTCCGCAACCTTCACCCCTTCAATCAACCCCACCATCCCCTCTCCATCTCCGCCCAACATTCGCGCCACCATGGCTGCTTCATCTCCCCACACTCTCCACACTCGGGCGCCCTCGTCGACCCCTGCGTCAAACCACAGGAATCGTCCATCGAAGATCTGTACCAGCGCCTCTCGCTGTTCCCGCCAGGAAGCAGCGGGGACGCGCACCCGGCCTGCAGTGCCGTCGCTGTCGACAGCGAAGAAGCACCGCGAGGTTGGGAGGTCTGAGGCCGCGAATGCCGCGGCGGCGGGGAAGATGTCTGGCCAGAAGACCATCGGAGGAGAGACGGCAGACAAGGGAGGAGCCGGGGCCGGAGCCGGAGCCGCAGTCGGAGCGGAAGAAGTCGCTGGAGTGATGGCCGGAGCGACAGGAAGTGCCAGAGGAGGAGGGGCGGTCGGAGGGGGAGCGGGAGCGGTGACACCACGGCGAGCAGCACGGCGAGCAGCACGGCGAGCGGCAGCGCGGGCGAAGTTGTTGGCTCTGCCCTGCGCGGGCGAGATGACCAGGCACCGACGCTCGCACTGGTCGGAGGTGGGCTCTTGCGCCCAGCGATGCTCTGCCACGAAGTGGCCGGTTCCCGAAAAGATGTAGTAATCTTTCGAGGAGAATAGGCAGCCTGGTTGCCAGCACTGCAGGTACCGGCCGTCAGCTCGGAGCTTTCGTCCCATGGTGTTGGTCTGGTCTTTGTTTCGAATGGTCGAAGGTGAAGTGTTCTTGTGCTCTGGTGCACAGTTGTGGTGAGTTGTTCTTGTGAAGTTCAGAAAGTGACAACTGGCAATGTCAAAATGAGGTGGGACGCGCAGGTAGGCAGCGACCCGCAACCTCGCGTGTGAATAGGCTGGCCGTCTGCAGACATTCACTGCTGCAGGAAAATTTGCCACCAGCATGGCTGCCATGTCAGGAGGAGCCCAACTTCTGTTGAACTCCTCCCTTTGCCTGCGATACCATAGCCGCTGCCAGGTCTCCAGCCCCTCGACTATCTTCATTTATTTATAATGGAGCTCATGATACCTTAGACGTGGTAGATTCCACAAGCCATGAATATTGACGCCGTTTGTTACTCCCGATTCCTCCTTTTTCCGATGGCTTTGTCAGCAACAACGGCTCACGACTTTGCTTGCAAAGGACCACAATGACGCTGGATGCGGTCAGCCCTTCGCTCGCGGCTCTCAATCCATAAGGGATACACTGTCCTCAGGGGGCAAGTAGGAAACAGAACCGAAGTGCCGTCCAGCCTTCGAAATCCGCACAAAACACTCCGCAATGATGTGAAGGCAATATTTGCTCGGTCCGTGGTCTCAATGTTCTCGCGGCCCCGTTCAAAGCAGCCAGCGTTAACCAGCGCATACTCAAGCCGAGTTGAGATGTCACCATAGACGATCTAGCAAGAGCAGGATTCTCCTAACAGAATCTCCACCCCGTGGTTGCGAGAGCGGCGGGATGTTTGCGCCAGGCTCTGCTTGTCGTTGAGCAGTGAATATCGCAAGCTGTCTTGATGAAGAAGTCCTTTGTTGATCAGAAGATACAAGTCGATTCCTCATCTCGGCGTCAATGCCTCTCACCAGTTGCCGGCCGACGATCACAGGATACTGAGAGTTCTGGGAAGCATCAAAGGAGATGCCGAATACCAACAACGCAGGCGGCCAATGTGTTCACTCCCCCAAGCCGAAATACTTGGTTTTTGGCTTTCCACTCTTAACATCGAGTCGACGATGCGCTGTATAGCCGCGACTACGGTTCTCACTCCTGCCAGACGCTCAAGGCCGCAAGTTCACGGCTTGAGTGAGTGCTCATCGAATCAATAAGGCCTTTGCGTGGCTGCATTGCAGCTAAGGTTCGAGATGTAATTAATCGATCGAGATGCCAAACGCTTGCAGGTCCAGAACGAGAAAACACGAGATCACTTTGAATGAGGTGAGGATCGATCTCAGCGAGCTGCCGGAGGGCAAGAGGCTGTGATGAATCGAAGAGGCTGCTCTCTCCGATGACGTCCCACAACGTGACTCCCAGGCTCCAGGTGTCAGTCGGGTAATGCTTATCCGCAGTGGGAATCACTTCAGGTGTTCAAGCCGTCGATTGGATTGGCTTGCCGTTCTCCTGATCTCTCACCCAGCCAAGCCATTGTCTGTGATTTTGGCACTTCTCTTGACATCGAAGCTGGACAATTGTACAAGCCCCTGCCTTGAACTTGTGGAGGCCACGGGGGACTATCTCCGGCTGGCAAATGATTACAGTGTGGAGGACTAAGCGACGGCCAGCATCGCCAATCTTCTGGAATCGAGAATGCACGAACCGCTTCCAACGGCGTGAGGCTTCCATGTGCTTATGAATTGCTGGAACGGCTTTCATAAACCTAGCAAGGGAATGCGCAGTCGACAAATAGTACGACGTATCCGGGGACCAAAGAGGCAGCAACTCGCGTTGCTTATATTTGACGAGGGGCCGCCGCTACACGCTGGTAGGAGCAACCAAGCTTGAAACGTTGGTAGTGACGAGTAGCGGAGAATTTCATCCGTGTAGGCGGCCTTGGTGCCATCAAGAGATTTGCCATACTGTCTATTTATGACATTCGTCGGCCCGATGGCAGGCATACCACGGAGAATGCGGACCTTCTCATCGCGGATATCCTCAGAAGGGAACGAAATGGGACGCTCTATGGCGAGGAGGGCCGAGATCTGCAGATGGTGGTTTTATCTAATATCGCAGATGATGTCGAGCTCATCGGAGTATCCTCCGCGACCCTCGGATCCGAATTGCTGCTTGCAGATGTGAGGCTGTGCTTCTGCTGCGTAGCCAGAGCCCCGGCAGCATGTCATTAGAAGTCCAGAACATCCAACGATAGCAAGTCTTCCAATCCTCATGGTATGGGTAGCACCCGCTCCTGGATACCCATGAGCACCCTGCGGATATTTGCGTACCTCTGGTATGCAGTATCCCATAAGATTGGAGTGCAGCTAAATGTTGTTGAAGATGTTGTGCAACTGCCATGCCGAGGAAGCGAGCACAACTCTTGATTTTGTTAATGAACTTCTTCGATCGTCCAGTAGGTGTGTTGAATAGCAAGTTCCGGCATTCGCATGCCCGAGACGGAGGTTCAATTCTGGTAACAGAATCCCGTGCCCAAGTCCGACACCAGAGTCTTGCGTCTGGTCTGGGTGCTAGGCGTTGACATGTGGCAGTCACGCCATCACGTCTCCATTGAGAGATGATCCACCATTCCTCTGAAATCCAGCCAGCCATCCCTCCGGCAGGCTCGATGAGCATTCGGCACTCTTCTCAGGCGAGGATCGATTCAGTCTTCGTAAGGAAGGGATGGTCCGGGGGACTGCTCCACGGCACAGCGTTCCTCAGGGGGGGCCAGAAGATCATCTTCTTGGCGAAGTCGACGAAGAATTCGCGCTCCCTTCTCTTCCCTTCGGGAATTTCCAAGATTTGCATCCCCTGTGTAGGAAGCCTGACCATGTCGAGCTCCTGGGCTCACTTTTCTCGTTGGAATACATGACGGAGGATGAGCGCCTCTCGAGTAGCTCTTTCGGTGTTAAACCGTCAAATGCAGATTGCGGATCCTGGAAGATAGACCAGTCCAGGCTAACTGACCGTGCCCAGGCCACAGTATATAGACGACATGAATGGCCGAGCCGAACTGGTGGAGAGAACCTCAGAAGCTAGCACCGTTGTAGGACACTACCGGGTTGACTTTGTGGCTCATCATACACCAAAGCAGGGATTTCGAACTTTGAAATGTCACATCATTGTTCCGGATCTTAACCCAGCGAGTGCCAGACAGCCATCATACATGGCTGGTTTTATGGTAGACGTGGAAGGCTCTCGTGCGCTAATCTTGTCTTAAACGCAGCGATATCGTCATGAAGGTGCGAGTCGCCGTCACTGAAAAACAGCAAGCACACGATCATGACCTGGAACGACGTCCAGGCAGACCCAGTGTTCTCGAGCCAGCCACAACGCATGTCCGTTACGGTTCGCCCAACCGTCAAGCAGACCTTTGATCTTTCGGAGCAGAATATAGCAAGTACTTTGCCATCGATCTCTGCCGGTAAAGAGAGGTCTGAACAGGTTGTTCATGGGACTGAGCCAATGGTAGGCATCGATCATCGATGGATTCGTTCGTCACATTTTGTCGACAAAGGAAGCCTGCGGTAGCGAAGTGTACGGTGCGTACTTGAAGATCGTCAGCAGTCGTTGAGAGCACCACAAGATGGAAGCATCCGCAAAAGCTATGGGTCGCTCTACTCACTGACATTGGTAGGCCCCCAGCATAAACTGGTTGTCTCAAGATGATCGGTGGAGTATGCAGCTATAAATAGGTCGGCTGGCTCCAAAAGGATGGATACCGGTGTGCGGCGCTGGAAGATTATCTTCAGAGGTTAGAAGAAGTTGAAAGAAGAAGGGAACGCCACTTTGCTAATAGAAGTTAGCCCAAATGGCTTTCGAAAAGGAAAGAAAAGAGTTTAAGCAGCAAAGCCCTTTGAAAGAGCCTGGCAAATTCTTTGACCTCAGGCAAGGGAAAGAACCTGCAGTTTAGAAAACAATCAGGTGCAGCCAAGTCAGGCCACAGCACTGTTGCAAGAGCATGATGCAAGAAGCAGAAGCTTCCGGCATACCAATGGGACTCGCTGCACGCGACAAGGCTCTTGAGAAGGGCCTGTACAACCACAGTCAGTGAAGCCTTTTCATTCTTGTCACTGGTTGGCAGTCACTTTCTTTTTCAGTCCTTCACAGCCCCTATGCTCCTCACTGGCCATTATCTCTACCGCCTAGCATCTCTTCTATCTTCCATCTCTCTCAACTTTCAATCACAAACCATGGCTGCCAAGAGACAAGCTCAATTTCTCGACGACAAGAGCGATGACTCCGATACCGAAAGCCATAACCTGAGAGTACAACTACCAGAAACTCCATCCCCACGCCCCACTAAGCGCCGCAAGGTCAACCTCGATTCTCCTGAGACAACCTTGATTCGCAAGCGAGAGGAGTTCCTCGACCGCGAAAGCTCCAATATTGATGCCAATCCCTCTCCCGATGACATGGACGAGGAGGGGATGGGCCGCTCAAGCAAGCGTCTCAATACAAGCCACCCTATTTCCACACCATCGCACCAGGAATTCCCCGCCTTCGATGAGATGAGAAGTTCAGATTCCCTCTCTGCTGCCCACCATACTGTGCTCGAAGAAGAGATGAGGGACTCGGAGACTTACTATTTGTCTGGAGGAGAAGATACATTTGCTCAAAGTTCTGAAGAAGGTGAGGGGTCAATTCAGGAAGATGTAAACCCAGGAAAGATGGTGCGAATCATGAAACCATATGGTGAGATCTGGGGCTTCGAGGACGACGATACACAGCCAGAAGACGAGGTCGCTGATGACGAAGATCCTGGGCTTGAAGACGAAGAGGGTCTGGTTGAGCTGTGGAGTGAGCGCGAGCAGAAGGTCTTCCTGGTTCTTGTCTGTGACTTTGGACGCAATTGGAGACGAATCCAGCCTTTCTTCCCTCACATGAGCGTGGAGGAGGTGAGTCCATGTCCTATCTTACATACTTTCACTGACAGTCCGTAGTTGAAAGCCCATTTCGATCATGTCGATGCTGAACACCCGGACTACGGACTCTCTGAGGTGGCTGACGCCGCTGAGCAAGGCACACCAATCTTCTCACCGCGCACAACCCGTGGTCTCTTCGGTCATTTTGCGAAAGGCAGCGACCGCTTGGCTCTAATGTGACCTCGATCACCCGCACCTAAACTCTTGGAGATACGGTCTTCTGATGAAGATTTTGGATTTTCAAAGGCAGATGCCGCAACGAATTTATGAGCGATTGGAGAAGTTACAACCATAGAACCTGTCAACGTAGCATCAAACCTGAACATTCTCTCTCGTATCTGAAACGTGAGTCATCATTTTACAATCGTCCTGCAACTTGAGCTTCGTCCCCGACCTGTATACATCGACATCGCCACACGACTTTGCGTCATGGAACTTATAAACGTCAGCCTTGATCTATACCGAGTGCTGAAACTGCAGACGCATAGAGGCTACTATAAGTCTTGCTCAGAGTACAGGGTGCTGAGCCATGCTGCTCCGGGTACAGTTCTCCCGGTGGTCGTGCTCCACGAAGTTAGTGGCAGACATTCCAGACTCTAATCACATTAGTACCATTGATGTCCTTGTGTACATTCAAAGGTCTAGAGCTCTAGAAAGAACTACAGTGCTAAAGACAGAACAGGGAGCTAGCTCTAGCTCAGCTCAGAGCGACAAGCGCATAGTCACTCACATCGGCTGGATATGCCGGCAATTAGCCGAGCTGCCAAGACAAGGCAACAAGGCGTCCAGATATATTGTGGCAGTGATTGCGCGTGAATGTGAATCACTGCCGTTTCATGAAAATAGCATGATAAATCTTTGCTCTTATAAATGCCACGTGGTAATGCTCTGTGGTAGCCTATCCCAGAATGAGTACTCGGTATTGGAGGACAGCAGCGCTACAGTATGCATGCTAACGATAGGGTGATTTTGCGCATTGAGAAGCCACGATCGGGTATACGCCTCATGGAACGTGGTTTCTGCTCTAGCAGTGGTGCTTGAGAGCTTCAAATTCCGCTTGTTCGCGGCATCTTCGGCAGACGAGACCCTCGTATTCGAGCCAGCCGCCCATTCCAGCCAGTCTGAAACTCTTTCAAGGCACTGATGTCCGCTGCCTGCGCTTGAAAGGTGGGGTAGGCAACCTTTATTGGCTTGGCACTCCTAGGGCTACTCCTTCTCCCACAATATGCAAGCCGAACAGATAGAATCGTACAACATTATCACCAACACCATCCTCAACCACCACCTAACCATCTTCAAACCATCAATAAACCATCAAGCTACAGATGTTGCAAGCGTGCTACCTCTGTAGGGCCTTTAGGTAGGTCTTTGCATTCCTTTCAAGCCCATTCTCTGCTTCTAAAAGCATAGCTAACTGCGTCGAAGGTGGGCCTTCCGCTCAAGCTCCTTTTCATGGAGGTGCTCAACAGACCTGGTCAACGCGGTAACCATGGTGTACGTTTCGCACTGGTCACCGCATTGATGATGCCGTACGCTTCGCACTGTCGCCAGTGAGCCTGCATGCTCCACTGCTGGCGGCAGTGTGGCCAAAACGCTCGATCCTTCAGCAGAGCCTTTTGTCTTGAGAACATCTTCGCACTCCCCTTGGCTCAATCCAATTCACGAGTTTGGGGTCCAACCGCCTCCAGTAGCCATTGACGTTGCTGTCCTTGATGTAAGTAGACAGTGGCCATTCTGAGTGCTTGCTGACTGGGGTAAGGACGGAGCCAACAGCGATGATCATGAACCTCGGAACAGGTCACCTCAAACGAAGAAGCACCGCCCCCTGCCATACGCGTTGCAACCTCGAAGTAGTCAGTGGCCCCGGAATCCTGATGAACCATTTCTCGAATTTCCTTCTGTGGCAGTTAGTCGCAATCAAGCATCCTCGTATGTTGCAATTTTGCATCCAGACCATGTGTTGACGATTTTCGCAGACTGATATACCATCTTCATCGATATATATTTCGTTAGTGCGGCACATCGATGACTGGCCCGTACGCCTCAGAGGCTTTCGGCCCATGTTGGGCAGTGTGGACGCTCAGACCATGAGTTCAGCAAGAGGATCTTGACGAAGTCCAACGACTTGGTACGTTCTGTTTCTCGCGGTCACAAACAAACCTGCTAATATGCAATCGTTGGTCGCAGTCCGCCACTCCTGTGGGTCACAGGATGCATCCCCATTCCTGCTCACCATCTTCGAGGACCTCTTGAGAGCGGCCAGATGAAACGATGTAGCAAACAAGCTCGTCGTCCCCCATGGCGTGTGCTTGAGAAACATCATCGAACACTTTCTTTACTTTCCCGAGTCGCTGCGACATTGCTTGATTGATTGATTGACTGATGAGAGGTTAGCAGAACTTTCCAAGAGACGCGCTCCTGGGCAGACTGGTCGCTGGAAGGGGATGGCCAATCCGCATCCCTTTGATGACCGCATCGAAATGCCATGGACCGCGAGTATTTCAGCCGCAGCCCCTTCACCGACGTCGACAGCGTTCTGCAAGCGTACTACCAAAAGAATACGTGGCTGTCTCTGAAACGATCGATAATAACGAAGCAATAGCAGACAAACAGTGCATATGAATGTGACTTCCTGATACAAGAAGATAGTTACATCCATGTTCAATGCGATAATGGCTCCAAACGAACGAACCGCATCCATCAGACCAGCTGCCATGACAACTCGGAACTGAAACGCCCTTCACGATCAAGCTACTTACCGAGCCCCAGACAATGATGGAATCAAACTGAACATCCTCGATCTTGGCTGGTATTTGTCAAGTAGGCAGCCCTCTCTGTCAGCAGTCAGTGAATTTTACCTCGGCGACTCAGAACATCTCTGTGGCGGGAGGTTTCAATCTTCTATGTCCCATTTCTCGGCGCCGAAAGCAATCTGGCGCAAGCACTCCATCCGAGCTGCGAGTTCCGGGCCGCCAGGTTTTATCAGAGTGTAAAAATCTCATTTTCATCATTCTTTTGACCCTGGCGACAGTGGCAGATACAACCGCTGGAGAGCGTGGCGACCAGGCACGTCTTTCAAACTCTCGTACAGGTTATGCGGTTTGAATTCCTTCGACGACACTTTATTTTGTTTGAAGCAAAAGTTTCCTGCTCTTGGTGTGTATCTCGAGGTCCCATCACTTCGATGTCACTAGCTTTGATAATCCCGGCGGGTAGCACTATTCATTTCATAGACGAGGCTATGGCTTGGCAGGGGTCGGCGACGAGATCTTCAGACCCTTCGTGACTCGCTCCTTCTTAGAAGAGCGCCGTCTAGGGCAGCCTCGAACTTTGAAGCATGAACCATTCTAGGGTGAAGAAGGAGCGATGACCGAGACCAGTGTGCGAGGTAAGGTCGATTGCTGAAATGACGCCTATCTGTCGCTCCCGAACTTTTGTGCTGTGATCACCATTCATCTCTAGACACTTAATCCGTACCCATTCGTCCTCATCTCTCATCGCTCAATCTCAATCATACTGCTGCTTTGAGATTACTGGCGTGTCGAGTCACAAACTGGGCACTCTCTAACCTTCATTGCACTAGGCCAGCTCATTGCCACCGGGATACCCTACCGTGCACTCAGTGACCGCGGTGTATTTGCTTACTGCTCTTATAACATCCGCGCTCCAGCCAATATTAGTTGTCAGAACTCTTGGGCAGTCATGTGCTTGGCATCGCCTTGTTATTTCCACAAAGCTTTGACAACGAACGTGGTGCTGAGTTCAAACAATAAGGCAGGCTGACTGTCCCTCCTCACACGCTCTCAGGCAGATCAAGCCATGAACCGCCTGTCCTGTGCCCAAGGAACAAGCAACGCTGTCTCATACTGTGATAGTAGTGAATTGTGACTGTTGGCTCCGTCACCCTCTCAAACATTGGGGCGTTCTCAATTCAAAGTATGTTCTCCTAACTTTGAAACACAACACTCCGGGATTTTTTGGTGTTCTTACATTCTGTGTGCACTTTTGTGACAACTTCGATACTTGACATCTCATTCTTTCGACGAAGAACAGGCAGCGTCGCATGTTTGCTTCGCTGCCTCGAGTACAAGACTTGCCGCCTGCATCCCGACCAACCCGCATACGCTTTCAGACATCATCTCTTTGTTTGCGATTATGTCGACAGAAATCGCTTCGTCTTCGCACGATTCTACGACAAGTGACATCCTAAACCCGTGGATTCCAGAGCAACATGCATTCTTGTTGCAACTGAAGTCTACAGACCATGTCATCGATGGCCCTTTCGGCTATCAACTAGTGCACGGAGACCCAGAAATCGATGGCTTTCTCCACGAGAAGCTCGAGAAGAATCCGCTTGCTGCAATCGCCAACTATCATGTGAACCCAACTCCTGGACTGGTGTTCATCCCTTCGGCTTCATCATCGGGCTATCTGGTTAACGGCTTGCGGATCGAGAGTAACCAGTACGTCAGTCACCCCGACCATTCCCCGAAACGCTGGCTCCGCTACGGCTGCTACGGCTTCCTCGAGGTCACAGCTGAGCTAATGACAAGCATCTGTCCCTGCGATCTCGCGGGCCGCTCGTGCGTCTGGGACGAAGTCTGGACTTGGGACGCCGAAGCAAGGAAATGGCGTGGCGGCTGTCCCATGATTCGACTTTGTGAGCGTCTCCAGGCAGTACCGCAACCTGCAGCGCCAGCTCTCTCCCCCTTCCAGTATGCACTTCATGTCGACGAAGTTGCTCACGACGCTCTCATGTGCATGCAGGCTGGCGATGCCGAGACCACAGCGCTTTTCACTCCTCACACGACTGACGACCAGTCCCCGCCCCTCCTCGGCTCGTTTGAGGGTAATGACTGGCCGGTCCTCGTTCCATCTCCTTTGCCCGCAACGCATGGTGACCATATCTTCACATGCAACCACGTGCACGGCGTGCGACGTAGCTGCTATTCTCTCCGAAGACGCAACAACATTTGCAGTGCGACTGCGCGAGGTTGGGTCTGTAAGCATGGCCACGACTTCAAGAAGTGGAGGATCAGAAGCGCACAGTACGAAGAGGAGCATGCGAAAGCCGCGCGAAGTCTAGTGACGGAGGGAAAGGCGATAAGAGTGCAGCGTAGGAAGGAGGAAGTGGAAGTCTGGTTGCATGTTGAGGGATACAGCGGCGCATCTGGGGTACCAGGTCGCTTTGTCATTGACGGGAAGTTTGAGGTGCGCGAGGCCTGGAACATAAAGCACACGTTGGGGTGGTGCGTGACTTGCAACCCGCCGCCACCGGAAGCTGTGCTAGGCGAGGACGGAGTGGGTGCCGGCAATGATGAGGATGACGAGATGAGGCAGCAGGAGGGTGTCCAGGAGACCGCGTCTGCAAGCCCTAGTTGGTCAGCGAGCGATACGACGTACCAGGACACGACCTACCGGAATGACGAAGTTGACAAGGACCTCTTGGCTGCATGGCGCAAGGTGTTGGTCAAAGAGAAGGAGAACGAGAAGAAAATCGAGTAGTGAGTCGACAGGCTTGCGAGATGAGAGGCAGCTAGGATATCATGAGTTGGGTTAGGGTGGGCCAGAACAGGATAGGATGCTCATCTCCGATGGTCATCAGAGGCATTGCCAGAAGCGTGCAAGGGCTCTCTCAGTAGCAGACTTGGTTGTGTGAATTCAAGAAAAGAAGTTGCGTTCAAGTTGCGTCTTCTATCTTCACATCGTCCCCATTCGCATGGGCGCCGTTCATAGCGTCATCCTGTGGGCCCTCGGCCAGCACCTTAACCTGTGGCCTTGATGTCGAGTCACCGACTCCAGGCATTCTCGCCTCCACCTCGCCATTCTCATTCACAAATTCGAAGCGGTACCTACTCAAATAGTGCGGTATGGCGCTTAGTTGCGGGCCGTACCTCGGCGAGTTGTCATACAGCTCAAACAGCGGCACGGCCAGCAGCTTCATATTCTTGGGCACGGACAGCAGCTTGCTGGGGGGCAGGTGGATGAGGTACAGCTTCTTCAGCTCCTTCGGGCGGGAGACGTGCGCGGGCAGGAAAGGGTAGAGGAAGGTCTCGTTGTTGGGGCGCCACCACTGTGCGAGACAGTCGCCGACGTGCCAGTCCAGGTCGCCCTCTTTGGGGTTCGTGGGCGCGAGGCGATCGTTGAGGCGGGCGGTGAAACCTTCGATCTCGTCGTCGTCGGGAAGCAGGTAGTCGCCGGGCAATTTGAAGAAGGCGTTGGCGATCTGCAGCATCAGCACGTGCGGGTGGTTGTGCTCGTGGCAGACCAGGATGGCCTCGCACGTGCGTCGCATGCCGTGCTGCTCATAGTGTTTCTCTAGGCGCTGCAGCCGCGCCAGCACCGAAGGGTCTTCCTCCGGCTGGGTTTCTTTGGTGCCGAAGGTGTAGTTGGAGAGGGGGTACAGGCGGATCGTGTCTGGCTGTCGGGCGGAAAAGGGAAGCGGGACGACGGGGCTGCGAGTGGGCGTGATCAGCGATGGGAAAATATTCTTCGGATTGTAGGTGTTGCTTTGGGGTGTAGCGAGAGGGTGGCTCACGGTTGCGAGGAGACGGTGGGGTCGACGAGCGTGGTCATCTTGTCGGAGGAAAGACGAGGGGCCGCAGTGCAAGGGTCACCCGTTTTGTTGGGTCAACAGGAGGGACCTTTTGCCTCCTCTTTGCTCTCCGTGTGAGCTTGAGCTGGCCGGCTATACGACGAGGAGGCTTGCGTCCAGTGGGCGCAGTCACAGCCACATCGCGTTTTGTGCAGCCGATTGGAGTGTCGTTCAGTCAAGCGAAACCCATGAACTCCGGCAGTGGCAAGGCTGCCAGGGGTCAGCCAATCGGAGCAGAGACAACCCTGGACCAATCGAGAGTTCGGCTTAGCCATCAGCAGTCTTGGCACGAGCAAGTTGAGCATGATATGACAGGTAAAGATCAGCCATCAGCCATCAGCCATCAGCCATCAGCAATCAGCCATCAGCACATCCTGCTACCGATCTGGAACGCGTTCCTGCATCTCTCGATGCTACAAAGAGGCCGCCAAGCTGTCTCTTGAGTTCGCAGATATGGTGTTGCTGCGCATTGGTCGCAACGTGGGCCGTCAGCCTACAGCAGCATCCCAGATGCGGCCTGGAGAATGTGCCGCGCTGCTACTGTTACTCAAGTAACTTCAAGCGCTGCTAAGCTTCATCATATCGAGCTTCCATCTGGGCATGTCCATCTCGGGTGTCGCACTAACCCGTACAAGCACAAGTACCCCTGAAGCATGGTCGTAACCAAGCCGCAGGCGAGAACAAGTCATTGCCTGGCTCCAGGGGTTGCTTATTCTGGCGAGGCTCCGCGCTGACTGCCCTGTCCGTACCCATGGTCCGAGCCACGATTGGCCATTGTGCAACACACCACAGTCCCACTACGAGAGCCACATCGTAAATGTGCTCGCCGGTATGACTTCTCTCTGCTGACCATCACATATCTTCTTCTGTCTTTTTGGTAGACACACAACATTCGTTCCTCGCACACTTACTCTCGTTTGCCTTGAGAAGGCGTCCATTCTTTACATACTCGCTACATGCCTACATTCGTTTCTGCTTTTTGAACACACACCTTTGAACGGGAGGACGGCACGTGTGGAGAATAAGTCTAACATGGGTCGATCATTGAATACATTTGCGGTTTTCGCATCGGCTTTGCAATTCGGACGTCTGGTCTCGGGGGCTGCAACTTGGCCTAGTACATATGATGAGTTGGAGGATATCAAAGGTTCGCATGACACCATGCGCCCTAAGTCCTGGCTGACAAAGGTAGTGCTCAATGAGGGATACAGAGCGCGGGGACTATCAGTTCCAGTCTCTCCTTGCGACTTTCAACGTACCACCAGTTTCGTGCCCGCCGCTGGGTTCATCAGGACCGCTTTCCACGATGTAGCCGGTCATGATTCTGCAACCGGTGTGGGCGGCCTCGACGCATCCATCGCTTTTGAACTCACCGGTGAACATGGAAAGGACAACGCTGGTCCTTTTGCAAACAACAGCCTCACGTTCCTTGCCCGTTACTACTCCGTCCAAGCTTCCATGGCTGACCTGATGGCTCTTGGTCTTTATACTTCTGTTCGCAGCTGTGGAGGACCCGACATCGCGACCAGGACTGGGCGCATAGATGCTCAAGAAGCTGGACCGTTTGGCGTTCCCAAGCCTAACGATACGCAACAAGGCTACAAGGATACATTTTCACGCATCGGCTTCAATCCACAAGAAATGATCAAGCTTGTAGCTTGTGGACACACTTTGGGAGGTGTACACCGTGAGCAATTTCCGCAGATTGCAACAAAGGAAAACATGTCGCCCTTCGATAGCACTGAGTCGAAATTTGACAACAGGGTTGCAGTGGAGTATGTTTCTAACACCACCAGAAATCCTCTGGTCACAGGACCAAACGACTCCTTTAGATCTGACAAAATCATTTTCACGATTGACCACGACAAGACCATCAAGCAGTTGACCGATGCCCAGACCTTCCAGAATGAGTGCAAAATCATAATGCAGAAGATGATTGATACTGTACCCGGAAGCGTCACGCTCTCGGAGCCTATCCAAGTCTACGATGTCAAGCCTGGATCGCTATCTTTGGCTCTGAGTGGCAATGGCACCATCGTATTCAATGGAGAGATCCGCGTCCGCACAACCCAAGGTCAGGTCGCGAATGTGTCACTGGTCTACAAGAACCGTGACGGCATCAAAGGCAACAACACCATATCCACAGCTTTCGCCGGTACGGCCAACGGTCACGATGACAGCTTCGTGTTTTACAGCTTCAGTGCCAGCCTGCCCGCCAAGTCTTCCATCACGTCCTTCGACGTCATTGTCACGGGAGCTGATGGCTCGACCACGACCTACAACAACAATGGCAAGAGCTTTCCCGTACAGGACAACATTTTTGTGCAACTTCCAGACTGTAGCGTCAGCGCTACTACCCCGGCTGGCAAGGCGTCTGTCAATATTGTTGCGGCCGTGCGCGGCTCAGCAGCCTCGGTCACCCTGTCTGCCACTACGCACACCCAGCGCGATGTACCCATGCCACTTCTTTCCACCAACAAAGTCACGATGACGAAAGGGTCATCTGTTGGCGAGTACACCTACTATGAAGGCACCTTTGAAGTCGCTTCGCAGCAACTTGCTACGGCCACCTTCGATATATCAGCTGAGATTGACGGGAAGACTGTCGAAGACAAATTCCACCATGTCGCTGGTTTCGGCGGCAGCACTGGCCCTGATGGAGATAACAATGATGGTGGTGATGATGGCGGCAACGGCAACAGTGGCGGCGGCAGCGACTGGATCAACATTCCTGACCGTGGTAACACCGACGCCCCCGGCTCTAGCTCTGGCGCGATCCCAGATAAGCCTTACACACCCTCTCGACCCTGTGGTGAGCTCGAGGGCTGCGAAACACTCCCTTGGGTCCATGATCTTCCCATGCCCGGTCCAGACACGTTTGCCCCACCTGGATCTCCTAATGCCCCAGTCCACGGCAGCAGCTCTGGCTCCTATGGTGGAACTGGCGGTGATCGTTGGAATGGCGGGAAAGGTGGCGGTGGCAATGGCGGAAGTGGTGGCGGTCATGGCGCTGACGATGATGGCCAAGGCGGGAATGGTGGCAACGGTGGTATTTCTGGTGGCGGACACGTGCCGGTCGCACCCACATCTCCAGTTGGCCCCGTCGAGACTTCTGGAAGCTCGCCGCCGACCTCCCCTGTTACGCCATACACAGGTGCTGCCTCCAAGATTCGTGGGATTTCGAGCTTTTTCATCAGCATTACTGGCCTAGCCATCATGACCGTGTGAGAAGGAGTAGTCTCTCCTTACACAACGGGGTGGACCGTGAAATTATGGCATATTGGCATCCTTGTAATTTGGCTGTAGCATGTATTGTAGCAGTTCCGGCGCTTGTCGGTTTACTTCACACATAGACTTGCCTTCTGAATCTTGACGGACTCTGGGACGATACGTGTAGGCCCTTGTGTAAGATGCAACGTTCCCTGTATTCAGTGTGTCAAGGTCAAGCATTATCAGCTGCCAGCATAGCATTTTTATTCGAGCACTGAAGAGGTCGCCAACCTCCAGGCCATAACGGCCCTGAGTTGTTGAGCAAGACTATGTCAAGTAATGTCACAAGACAACTTCCTCGTCTAGGAGCTACAGCACGATATCTACCACGAGCGACTGGAGTGCTGGCTGCCTCGTGTGTACTCGTTCGTGGTGGTAGTTTTACGGGAATAGAGGGCTTAACTCCGGGGAGGAGGCTGAAGCGCTTTGACGCCGAGCGGAAGCTCGGATCACCTCCTATCTCGCTTCGTGTTCTCAACATTCCCTCGAGCTTCTGTTGTGATCTTCTCGACGCTTTGCAGCTGTGTCTGGAATGCACTCAGTCATGGAGATACTCCCACATGGCTGCATAAGCCAGCTCTAGGCGCTCTGGTCGTTCTGGAAATGGAAGACCGCCGGCAGGCACAAATCCGGAGAAAGCCGGTACCGATCTCGCCCATCTCACCTCCACCGCCGTACGAGTATACGGAATCACCAGTGAGCATATCAGCTGGTGGTCAAAGTGGATATGACTCCACCTCATTTGACGGATACATCCATGAACCGTCGGCACGGCCACAACAGTATCTCACTGTCGATGGTCACAGGCCACCACCACCAATCCACTCGCTTCGCACCACGAAGTCAAGCCCCAATCTGCAGCAGCCAACGAAGAAGGGCGAGGCTGCTCAGAAAGCAGGCAAAGCGGTAGCGACGGCCTTCGAAGAGGCACGCCACTTTGCTGGTGGCCTAGTGTCGCATCCATTCGAATCTACAAAGTATTACTCTATTCTTCGACACTCGCACGGCCTGGTGTTCTACAGTGGATCATACACCAGTATCGCCATCACCGTCTTCGCTGACCGTGATCTGCCGTCCGATCGATCGTTCTGGCTTCAACGGAAAGGCTGGTCAGGTAACACTGGTCTCAGGGCCGGTGTACTCTTCGGCACGCATGGAGCTTGGGTCAACGTTACGCCTTCAGTGATAGCGATGGCGGATCAAATCAAGCAGACTGATGAACGTGCCTGGCAGCGGGACATTAGCAAGTTTATCCGTAAAGCGCCCAAGAAACTCGGAAGTCACGTCCCACGCGAGACAGCAATACTGCGTATTCCATGTGACGCTGAAGATGGGTATCTTCGCATCGTCATGTGCAGCGGTGAGAATGGCAAGAAAACCCTATGTCCGAGTCCAGTGTTCAGACTTGCATCAACTTCAATGGAGAGTAGCTCGATGCGTGGTGCCTCGCTGAAAACCATGCCTCTTGAGGCTGCCGTCAAGATTGGCACCACTGTTGGCACACAAGTGGTCAATCGATTTGCAGGTCCATATATCACCACCGCGAAGACTTTCGTTGCCGGTGCGACGGCAAGCGTATATCAGCCAAACGTAACCCAAACTCTAGCAATACAGGAAGCATACGACAAGAGCGGCCTTTCAGATCGTCTGGATACGATGAATGCGCAGTACGACCAGCGGAGGGGAGTGCAGGACCCTCTGCTATCTACTGGCGGGTATGATATTGCTGCTCCACCAATTTTCGTTGGTGGCGATGACGGACCAACACCTCCATTTCCCCTCCGTTTCAAGGGAAAGGTCGTCCCTGGCCAAGGCTACTCCACTAGATTACTGGGCCTTCCATCCGCCAATCTATCGGGCGTGGACAGTGACATCACGCTCAAGCACAGCGGCATCTACTTTGGATATGCTGCAATAGGAATGAGCAGAAAGCTGCTAGATGAGCGTGGCCTCGATGATGACTGGCACAAAGCCATTATTTCCATCACTCCCCTACCTGGCTCGCAAGCCAACGTTGTCCAGAAGAAGAAAGTTGTAGTCAACATACTTGAAGATTTTGAAGATGCCAATTTCTATGATGCCAAGTTGTCGGTGATGCTGATGGGATTCCTTCGACCTGCGCCACCATTACATTTAGTACAGCAAGGGCCAGCTGAAGTCCAGATGATGAACTTTCGACAGGACATGGCAGTGACAGGGGCCAGTCTATCTCGGCCTGCTTGGGCAGCGGACATGACACTGGAGAGAGTGCGAACAGCATCCTCCAGCCGGTCTCTGACAGATCGCTACGTTGATGTGCGCCAGGGTGTACAGAACACGGTGGACAAAGTCCCGGTGCATTGGCTCGGCATCAGGACTGAAGGCCAGGGCACGCGTGACAGGTTTGTTGGCAGTGGAGGAATATCAATTCCTCGTTAACATCTATGACTTGGGCACTGTATATCATAATACATAATCAGGAATTAGACTACATCCTGAAAACAAATCGCCATGGTCGGGATATAACTTGTATGCAGCAGCCGCAATTCCATCTGCCTCCCCCAGTATTTTCTCCGTACATCAACTTGACAGACTATTCCGGTAGCCACCCATAGGCCCTTGATGTCGTCCTCGCAAAAGCCAAGTATTCACTGCCTGATGTAGCCTCGTTCGTTCGATATCTCAGCCTCGTCGCACAAAAGTCTGCCCCGCAATTGCAACCAACGGTCGAAAAGTTGTCGCGTTCACTCTCAATCCGTGACCAGCATCCAACATGGACATCGGAGAGGGCGGCGCGTGGCCCGTCGTGGCGGCTGACTATATCGACCGTGCCCTCACATTCTGGCATGAACACCGCATCTTCCTCGCAGGGTGTCTTGTGGCAACGATCATTACCCTCGGTGTGCTCCGCAGGCAGCGGGTTCCAAAGCATGTTCGGCAGGACTCGCCCTCGGCCGCGGAAAAAGCGTCGTGGTTATCTGAAGAGAAGTGGTCTGCGGAAGCCTCGAGAGGTACATTAGTGGCAGGAACATCGCGAGCAGCGACGAAGCCGACAGCCGCGCGGATCGTGGCTGGACGAAAACCAATACCAAGAGCCGGATCAGAGACGCAAAATGAGGAGTCGGCCCTGCAGCCACTGGTTTTCTTCTGCTCTCTTACGGGCACGGCCGAGCGTCTGTCCAAAGAAGTCGCTGCGAGCATTGAGATGTTGAGCCAGTCTAATGATTCTGTGCGCAAGCCTGTGGTTCTTGACCTAGCCTACGTTGACCTGGATGATTACTTCATTTCCGGACCTAAGAATGCTTCCGCAGAGAAGGCACTAAAATACTTCTACATTCTCCTCATCCCGTCCTACGACATCGATACCATCATCACGAACTTTCTCGCGCATCTAGACGAGACGCACAATGACTTCCGCATCGACACCTCTCCACTCTCGCCCCTCGCAGGTTACTCCGTCTTTGGCATCGGCGATAAAGAAGGATGGCCCAGCGAAGAAGAGGGGTTCTGCTCTCACGCCATCGACACTGACCGCTGGCTTGCCAAATTGACCGGCCGCAAGCGAGCGTACCCGCTTGGCCTGGGCGACGTCAAGAGCAATCTCGATCAGTGCCTTGGCGATTGGTGCTCAGGTCTCTCGAGTGCTCTGACAGATCTCACCTCTACCGGGTACCTCGGCGAGGGCGTGCCCGGTAGTGGCGATCCAGAAGAGTCCGATGTTGAAGACGCTGCTGAGTTTCCAGACAACAACCGCCGCAAACGCCAAAAGACGTCTCGAAAGGCAACCACTACCGACCTCGAAGATGTGGGCGGGAGATCGAATTCCAACAGCGCTTCTGGCACATCCACCCCTCTCACCATAGACTTCACCACCTACTCTTCAGCCAACGGTCCGACCACACAATCGCAAGCCCTGAAGGCAATGGTCCCCAAAGAATCCCCAACGTACGCTGCCCTCACTAAACAAGGCTACACCATCGTCGGCACGCACAGCGGCGTCAAGATCTGCCGGTGGACGAAGTCTGCGCTCCGCGGTCGTGGCAGCTGCTACAAGAACTCGTTTTACGGCATCGCCTCACATCTCTGCATGGAGACGACACCCTCTCTCTCCTGCTCCAACAAGTGCGTCTTCTGCTGGCGGCACGGCACCAACCCCGTCGCCACCACCTGGCGCTGGGAAGTCGACGACCCCCACGCCATCTTCACCGGCGCCCTCGAAGGCCACTACAAGAAAATAAAAATGATGCGCGGCGTGCCCGGCGTCCGCGCCGAACGCTTCGCCGAAGCAATGCGCGTGCGTCACTGCGCCCTCAGCCTGGTCGGCGAACCCATCTTCTACCCGCGAATCAACGAGTTCGTGGACCTGCTGCATGGCGACCGCATCAGCAGCTTCCTCGTCTGCAACGCACAGCATCCGGCGCAACTACGTGCTCTCAAGCGCGTCACGCAGCTCTACGTCAGCATCGACGCCTCCAACCGCGAGAGTCTGCGCCGCATCGACCGGCCCCTGCACCGCGACTTCTGGGAGCGGTTCGTCGCCTGCCTGGATATCCTGCGCGAGAGGCGCTTCGAGCAGCGCACCGTCTTCCGCCTCACGCTCGTCAAGGGCTTCAACGTTGAGGAGGAGGTTGAAGGGTATGCGGACCTCGTGGCCAGGGGCTTGCCCTGCTTCGTCGAGATAAAGGGCGTCACGTACTGCGGCACCAGTAGCGCGGCAGGCGCTGGGTTGACCATGCAGAACGTGCCCTTCTACGAGGAGGTCGTGGCGTTTGCGGAGGCGTTGGATCGTGCCTTGCTGAAGAGGGGGCTGGCATACGGCATTGCGGCTGAGCATGCGCACAGCTGTTGTATTCTGTTGGCGAGCCGTCGCTTCGAGGTGAATGGGCGGTGGAACACGGTCATCGACTATGATAGGTTCTTTAAGTTGTTGGAGGCTGGAGAAGATTTCAAGCCGGAGGACTACTGTAGCGAGACGGCCGAGTGGGCACTCTGGGGCAATGGAGGCTTTGATCCCAGGGACGAGCGGGTGGATCGGAAGGGCAGACCCAAGGAAGTCAAGGCTAAGGAGGTGCTGGGTGAGGAGAGTGTCAAGCCCAAGAAGCAGCCACAGGCTAGCATCGACTTCTGAATAATGTCGTCTACCCATCAACAAGTTCCACACACCAAACTCTCCCCCCACTTACTCTGAACACACCCAGCTCTCCACCCTCCTCGGATCCGCCCCCTCGTGCACCAACGCCGCCCTGCCCGGATACGGACACGCTTTCCTCCTCGCCAGCACCTGGCCCTCCACATCATCACCCTCCCACTTCGTCGTGACCAGAAACTCCGGCTTCACGCCCTCTTCCACCCACCGCACCAGCGCCAGCACCGCATCATGCTCCGCATCCTCCTGACCCGGCACGCTGTGGACCCCCTCGCCCAGATAGGCCGGCATGCTCCCCGCCCCGCCAATATACCAGGGCGCCTCGCCCGCCCCGCCGCTACAGTGCAGCAACCCGGGCACAAAGAACAGGCGGTAAAAGTCGTCGACATCGTACGCGACCCCCTCCTGCGCCGCCGCCGCGACGACGCTCATGCCGGCGACCATCATCTCGTAGAATGTCCGACTCGACGCCCACGGAATCAGCGTATCCGCCAGACCGTGGTAGTGCAGCAACTTGGCGCCGCGCGCCGCAAACTCCCTTGTGGCGGCGAAGTGCTCGGGGATGCCGCGGCGGTCGCCTGTGGCCTCGCGGTCGAGCACGATGCTGTAGTTGAAGGAGCGCCAGTCCCACGTGGGGTCCTGTAGGCCGAGGTAGGCGAGGCTGCTGGTGCCGAGGATGAGGGGCGCGTCGGCGGGGAGGAAGCGCGGCCAGTCGGCTTCGGTGCCGGGGGAGAGGGGGTGGTAGAAGAGGGGGTTGGCGATGGTGGAGTGGTGGCCGTAGAGGAGGTGGAGGGTGTTGAGCTGCGGGGCGGTGAGGCAGGCGCTGCTGGAGGTGTTCTGGTTGGGGTTGCACAGTAGGGTCTCGGGGCGGAAGTGGCAGGCTTGGGGGTCGGAGATGACGCCGTCGGTGACGCCGTCGACGGGGTCGCATTGTCGGAGGGCTTCGGCTTCGATGAGTGGGTAGAGCGTGGGTGGGATGTGGTGGTCCGATGTGTTGGGCAGGTTGAGGCTGCCCATCTGCACCATGTAGGCGGCGATCTTGTTGGACTCCCAGGCCGGTGCACCGGCGAGGATGCCGTCGAAGTCTTCGGGATAGAGCTGCATTTCGAGCAGGCCCTGGCGCCCGCCGGTCGAGCAGCCGTTGTAGTAGCTGTAGCTGATGTTGTGGCCGTAGTGAGCTTTGACGATGGCTTTTGCCTCGCTGACACTGCCATGCATCGCGCGGTATTGCCAGTCGGTGATAGTCTCTGGGCCATTCAAGACAAAGCGTCCGTCAATGGAGGTTCCGTTGTGGCCGGTGTCCGTGGACATGACTGCAAAGCCATAGCGCGCCATGATGCCCATGGCCGGCCAGTTGATGCCTCCTGCGAGTCCACCATTGCCAACCGCAGAGAAGCGACCATTCCAGTCTTCGGGGAGGAACAGGCCGAAGCGGAATGAAGAGGATGGAGAGCTAGTGACGTTGATTGTCACGGCGCAGAGAGCTGGCAGGGCGCTGGCGTTGCCGGGATATGCTATCTCGGTAGGGTCGCCGAATGTGCCATCGTCGGGCACGCTTATGGCGGATAATGCTGTCGCCCCTTCCGGTAGTATGGCCTGGAAAACATCAATGGAGCATGTCTGTGCTTTGACTGCAGTCAGGGAGGCAACGGCTGCGATCAGAATGCACGCCTTTGAGAACATTTTGACGCGGGAGGCGGAAAAAGTGCTTGGACACGGGCAGCTCCTACTTCAAGGTTGGCAGATCTCTTGAGCTCCTGGGTAGAAGCTCGTGACTCTGACGAGGACGCCACGTGCCCATTAAATGTATCATATTTGGATCAGTCAGTTCACAGCTCCGGCTCGAGGTTACCTCGGCTCCACGCCAGGATAGCATGTTTCTTGGTCCACGCCGACTCGGACTCTCAAGATGGTTGAACAAGAGTACAAATTCGCACGGCTAGCAACCTGGACAAGGGTTGTTGGGAGCAAAGATGCGGGGAAGTCGGGGGAGAGTGGAGGTTGCCCGTGGGACGGCGGCCTTGGCAGTGACCAGGAGGGGTTATTGTCCGGGCCACATTCGTCTATAGGTCTGGATGTACTGCATGAGATAGTCATGAAGGTCATGGAACCAAACAGGGTTGCGACCAAAGGCTGAGCGAAGGGAGTGCAGAGCTGTTGCGTCAAATTTTAAAACGGCCAAAGCCATATTGCCAAGACTCTCCTCTCCGCTGGACAGAGAAGCTCTTCCGTACAAAGCCAATGCAGGTCCCAGTGTCCTCTTCCAAGTCTGAGGGAAGAGGCTATGGGCGAAGTCTCGTCTCTGTCGAGCGAATGCACGCCCTCTCAACCCCAAGAGTCTGCTTCCGCCTTCTTCCCATTTCAACCATCTTTCCTATGCTCTAGAGCCTCGCCTTTCCGGCTTTCAATCTCTCTTCTGCCTCCTTGTTCAGTCTAACGTAGCCTTCTCCTTCCTTCTCAATCCAGTACATTCTGTCACTGGTTCCGAGGGGCAATGAGAAACCTGTGGGGTACGTCAGCAAGAAAAGTGATCTGACCAAGGATGCGAGAGCGGATGATGTGTGCCGATATGAGACGGTTAGGGGCAAAACCTTACCGTCCTGTCTTAACCCGGTCTTCAGTTTTTTCATGATCAGAGACACCCGATCTGCTCCTGTGTCGCTCTTAAGGTCTGGACGGTCGGTGCTGACGAGCACGCGGAGGAAGCGCGGTACAGCATACACGGGCAAAGCATTCGCGTTGGTCGTTAGCCATTTCTCCAGCTCGGGAACTACTTCGCATTCCAACGCATCCGGGCCGTCTATGCTTTTACGGCCTTCGGTGCCGCTGAATGTGAGTGCGGCACAGCCTAATTGACCATCATAGCCGTAGCGATTCATGGGAATCGCATAGACGTTCACGGAAGCGATTTTGGGGTGGCGACTGAAGCAGGCCTCGACTTCTGTCGTCGAGATGTTGTGACCTTTCGCACGGTAGGTGTCGCCGAGTCGATCGTGGAAGGATACGTAGCCTTCTGCGTCCTGTAGCAGCGAGGAAATGTCAGTTTGATATTGCTGAAAACTGCCTCCGGGCAGTGCGTAATCGACTGTGCTAGCCGGAAATGAACCAGTGTGGGTGCCCTGCTTACCATTGCCAGCGCATCTCCTAAGCGATAGAATTGGTCTCCAGTCTCGAATACATCCCGCAGCATCTTCTTTTCCGTCGCCTCCACGCCACCCTCGCCAACATAATCGTGTCTTCGCTGTACGGGAGGAACAATGCGACTAATAGACTCGCCTATCTCACCGGGGTCGGTGGTCATACAAAAGCCAGTTTTCGGATCGCAAAGAATATCTCCCGTCTCAAGATCCGTGCGCACAATGTAAAAGGTACGTTGGCCAAACCACGAACTGCGCATGAGTGGACCCCAGTGAGCGATCTTGCCGACACCTCGGTCCCCTTTGTTCGAGTTCACCAGCGATACCGTGGCTTCGCTGGCTGAGTAGTACTCGACAATCCACGGGATCCCGAAGCGGTTCCTCACACCTTGCCATACAGACGCCGAGAGGCCCAGCCCGAACGCCAAATCGACTCCGTGGTTCTTCTCGTTCGGAAAGCGCGGATCGGGAGGCGATTGGACCAAGTATCGCAGCATTTCTCCAATGTACAAGATTGCATTTGCCTGCGATCGGCGGACATCGGCCCAGAACTCGCTACGGGAAAAGCGGCGCGCAAGGATTATGGTGCCGGAGACTGCGTGCGTTGGCGGAAGGGCGGCAAACCTTCATATGAAAATAGAGCACGGTGTCAGCATGGCATAGTAGAGCTCCTGTGAGATACAGCCGAGGCCAATATCTTTGCCTGGCAGCTATGGAGGGGGACGACTTACGAAGCAGTGCCGTGAAACATGGGGAGACAAACATAGAACCGGCGGCTCTGGTTGTACATGTTTGGATATCTTCCTGGGCATGTTGATCCAAGGCTGTACGCTGCCGGCCAGTTCAACGCTTTCGGAAGACCAGTTGTTCCTGATGTGAAGAGGTATTGAGATGCATCCGTTGCGCGCACCTGTGGTCTGGAGGACTTAGGGAAATCTCCCATCTCGGGGACGACCGGTCGCAGACTGTCATGTCGTACGACTATGGTTCCATTCCGAGAGGACCACTGCGGTAGGGAGGGATACGTGTTGTAATCGTATAAAATCACACGTTTCAGCCACGGACATGAGGGATCAGCCGAAAAGTCTGTGGTACCCTCCGCTAGGTCAAATGCCTGTGACACTATCCCCGACAGCTCGAAGGTGGTTATGATAAACTCAGCCTCCGAGACCTTCAGACAATGCTTGATATGGTGGCCCGTAATGGACGTGTTAATGGGAGCCGGAATCGCACCAAGCTTGTAAAGCGCCCACCAGGTGAAGATGAATTCAGGAGAGTTATTGATGAACAAGCCCACTACTGTTCTGTTCCGCACTCCCAAAGACTGCAGAGCTTCGGCCCATCGACCAATTTCCTCTCGAAGACGCCGGTATGTCCAGCTACGTCCTTCGAATACAAGCGCCTCCTGCTCAGTGTGGTGATTGGATTCGTAGGTATTGTGAAGGACGTGATAGAAGGACCAGTCATCTTCGCCGCGGATCTCAGAAAGATGTCGCATGTATTGCTCCATTCTCCGGGCCCCTCTGATTTGAGCTATGTCACTGCGTATAGAGTGCTTGGCATCCAGGTACATGCCGGCTAGCCCTGTGGCCGCCGCGGCGCAGGCAATGAGTGCCATGGCTGATGACAGCCCGGTCACAGGATAGAGTTTGCTTGTAGGAACTTGGTAGGCTCTAATGAATTTGCTGTGGAGGATGTCACATATTTCCAACGCTTTCGACCGTAGGCGGGAGCATAGGTTAGTTGGGTATACGGGGGAGGGGGATCAGGCGTGGGGTGTTTTGGAGAACCCTAGATCCGGCCGAATCCTGCCTCGGTCTACTAATGTAGTGAAATCCATACTGAGTAGTCTGGTATTTCATCTGCGATAAGACATGGGAATTGTAGGATCCTCCGATGAGCTCAGCTGATTTGGAAGAAGGCTGTGACTCAGTCGTCTAGGCTCACGTTGTTTGATATGTCCCGATGCACGTTTATGACGACGGTCCGCTGCTCAAGAGCTCTCATGGGTCCCATCTGGCGGATTTAGTACATCTTAGGCCTCTGTGAGACTGTTCGAACATGACTAAGGCCTGGGTTTGGCGGTAGTTGCCTGATCGAAGGGATGTGGAAAGCAGCAATTACGGTGGAGCAGATATCCTGCACATGCAGATGCCCTGCGCCGCCGTAGCAGTACAACCTCAATTCATGTTCGACCTTTCTGAGCTTCACTGCGTCCTGGGTTTCTCTCCCAAAGTAAGCTTACTGTGCAGAATGTACGCCTCTTCCCAACCCAAGCGGCCTCAGGTTACAGAACCAAGAAATCGTAGCCCGAGCCGGCGACTGCAAACCAGCATGGGCTCTCGTGTTCACGTGCAATCTTCTTCGACGCAGTCTACTTCGACACAATCTGATAGCAGCCGCAGTCATGCAATGTCGCAGTCATCTGCCGCGGATGTGAACTCGAAAAGTGTTGAGCGGAGCTAGCACAATTATTCTAGCCCACCCAGCTGCCCAGGTTTATAGCCTAATCTTAAGTTAGGATATTAGTACCACTCCAGCCCGGGGCCGGGTACAACAAGCTACCAGGTAGCCTTTCTCCGATATTCAGAACAACGCTTCGCCATTCTGAAGGCGCCACGGAACGTAGCACGATGCTTCCGTCTACGATGATCCGGTACGGTTTTCACAGCTGCTGCACGAGCCTTGTACGACATTGGATCACTCTCACCGGCTGCCTGCTATGTATCACGAGACTATGCTTCAGCTCGGCGTCACTTCCGGTCCTTAAATGTATTTTCCGTGGTACGGTGTGTTCAATGCATCGCGAGCGAAGCCCGCCTCGTACATGGTGGGATTGGCTACCGAAATGAGCTAGTTGGTTAGGGAGTGTCCCACAGATCATCCGTGGCTCCCTCAGCGGATTCTGGTTGGGAGCGGAACATATCGATTACCCGTCCGCAAATGTTACACATACTCAATCATCGCCCTTGTTGACTCTGCAATGGTTGTATGGTGTTCAAGCAAGCGGACGAGCTGGACCACGAAGTCGATCACAAATCCCGCCACAAGCGGAAGGCAGTGCACATATCCCAGCTGACCCAAAACGTACAAGACAACCAGATGGTCCCTCCACCATTGCCGGTGGTATATCATCATGGCCTGATCCGTCTTTCAATCATGTATGGAACTCTGCTCATTCCTCCCTAAAGACGGCTTTCAAGGTGTTCTATCATTTTGGCATAAAGCCGCGCCATCTTGGGAGTAACATGTTCAATCTGTCACTCCCACTTGATAGTATTGAGATATATGGCATTGTCAAGCTAGCTGACGGCGAGCACGCTGGTCTTTTCAGACGCGACTACCCTAGCCGTCGGAGCAATTTAGCCGAGGCTGAATGGTGCGCGGATGTGCTTCGTTTCCTTGGTGAAAGATTCGACAGCGAAGTTCAAATGCGTCAACGAGACGCCGTGGCTGACGGGGGCACCATCACACAGCACGAGGCTGTTTAGGTCATCAACGCAGCCCAGATGCTTGGCATCGTCCTTGAAACTGCCAGAGGCCCCTTTACAGCTCCTCCAACCTCTTCAACCTAGAGAAGAACAACATAAAGCTGCTAGTGTCTCTGAATGCCAGTAATTCCTGGTCGCTGTTCAGCAAAAGCTTGGTAGAGCACCCTGACAATACACCCAGGTCACAGTGATAGCCCTCACTATGATACCTACAGCTGCACACTGGAGATGGAGAATAAACACAGTCGAGGGTTCGAGAGTAGACACACCGGGGATAGTGGAAACGGAAGCGATAATGCAGGTGAAGAGGAGAGCGGCTCCGACACTGACGAAACAGACAGCGACGCTCCAAATAACGACGATACAGACGACAACGACACGATTAATGGCTATCGTATGGATTCATTTAAACTTGGCTCCAACGTACGCCTGCTGGCTACAGGGAATATTGCGCAGCTGTGCGGACCACTTACGACACACACTTGGTTGAGCGCCTGCGAGCGAAATCTAACGTCGATGAGTGTATTGTGTTCTTCGACTTGTGCGCTGCATTGAAGCGTAACTTGCATCCAACCCCTGTACGACCTAGGGCAAAATCTTTACTGGCCGGATGGCGATAGGGTCATCAATCAGGCTGCTCGAGGCCGGAGCACTCGGTAGATGTACAGTTGTTATGCCGCTAAAATTACAGAATGTTCGAGGCTTCCCAAGCACCGTTCATGTTGGGTCCCCTGCGCGGTCAATCAGGTGCGTCTGCACCTTTGATTGAGTCGAATGAGCGTCCACAGCACCCCAGACCCATAAGGCCTGGCCTTCTTCGCTTACAGACATTACCTACACCGATGTCCCAAACAGCGGCCAGGACCGGGCGTTGGTTCGCATTTCGCCCTACATTGAACTTGGCCCCTTTCGGCGCTAGTTCCGTTGCCTGAATGTACTAGTGTCTTGACTTCTCAGCTCAGGCGGAAGATGATCGACAGCGGAAGTCCCCCTAGGTGATGCAAAAAAGAATCGTCTGGCCGGGCCTTAGATGCATCATATATTCCCATGCTCACATGGTAATGGTGTGAGTCCAGAGCAGGGACTCCTCTCCTGTTAGATGATTTTCATCCCTGAGACGGATTATCCACCTGTATAGACCAAACACAGCACAATATGGACGAAATTTACAGGTGTAAGCCTGTTCAAAACGCCCAGGAGGAGTTGCGGCTCATTACCATCGATGCCAGCTCGACTGTTGATCAAATTAGCTGCAGCTTAGACACGTTCTCACTACAGGAGGTGACGCCTGCCTACCACAAATTCGTCGAAGAACGATCCTCTTTAGCGCGCAGCACTTCGGCCGTGCTGGCAGAATGGCTCGGCACTGGGCATTTCGATTATTTCCCAGACTCTACACGCCATCGTTTCCTGTGGGGCGACTACTGTGCTCTAAGCTACGTATGGGGTGATCCCACTGATACCACAATCATCCTTGTGAATGGGGTCAAGACGCAGATAACCAAGAATCTAGCTGAAGCACTGCACAAGCTTCGCGAAGGCGGACAGTTTTCAGGTCGTTTCCGGCTCTGGGTGGATGCAGTGTGCATAAACCAGCTCGACAATGAGGAGCGAAGTGCCCAAGTTGCAATCATGAGACTATTTTACTCGCAAGCCTGGTCTGTCATAGGGTTCTTGGGACCACAAGAGGACAATAGCGACAAAGCTCTGGATCTCATCTCCAGCCTTGCCGAGAACTTTGACTCGAACGAGAAGTGCGAGGAGCTGCGGGAAAACATGATGCAACACAAGTTTTCGCACACGCCGGGAGCATGGCTTGCACTGAAACGTCTGACGTTCCGTCCGTACTGGGAGCGGCTGTGGGTAATGCAAGAGCTCGCGTTGGGTGGTACCAGGACCTTGTTGATCTGTGGCTCGAAGCGCATCAGCTGGCAGACGTTTTGTCGGGCTATGGGTGTTATCCAATTCTACCTCTGGGTTCCTCGACACAGGGCCATTGAACAAGACCGTCTGGCTGAGCCTGACTCGAGGAATGAAGGCGACTGGCACAACACCCATACCCTGGACCATATCTGGAAAGACCTATGGCAGTTGACGATGGTCCAGGAGTCCCGATCCACGTCTGCAAGCTGGAACCGTCTCATGGAGATGGCCAACTCGTGTGACTGCTCAGATCCTCGAGACAAAGTCTACGGCTTGCTCGGCATCATGGACCCAGTGCTTTCCAAGTCCATAATCCCAGACTACAGGAGCAATCCGACCGAAGTATTCATCAAAGCCGCAGACGCCTACATCTCGACGTACAAAGACCTTGAACTGCTCCGGGACGCGAACCTCTGGGGCAGCCAGGAAACTCCATCCTGGGTCCCCGACTGGACCTGGCGCGGACGAAGCCGCGACAGCCGACCCGACGATTTCTTCCAGCCCGACTTCAACCAGCGCGAAAACGGCGATGGGTCGATGGAACGGCGTTCCTATCGCGCCGATCTCGGCCTCGCATTCGCCTTACCTCCACGGATTGGTGGCCGCTCTCTGTTGTGTCAAGCCGTGATATTGGACACTGTCGATGGTCTGGGAGACAACCCCGAAGCTGCGAACCCCAACAGGATTCAATCACAAGGCCTAGCTAGCGCCTACGGCGACTTTGACGCGCATTCCCAACAGCTTGCGATCGCGCTTTACGCTGGCCGAAGACGAAGAGAGGGGGATTCCACCGCGCTCCTGAATTTCCCACTCACGCAGGAAAGCGCGGAGAAGCAGTTCCGAAAACTCGGGTGGAAGCGTTTCATTTACGACTTGGACTTTTACTACAGCAGATGGACCAATTGGTTCTCCAGCAATGCTTTTTTTCGTGTCGCTGGACGGGATCTACGAGCGTATTTTTCTGATAGGATTCCAGAGGGCGCAGATGTGAGTGATTACTGGTCGGCGTATCAGGGATGGGTGAGAACGGCTCTAGCTGGGCCGCGGCGGTTAGTCACGACAACTGCCGGTCGTATCGGGTGGGTGGAGTGCGCGAAAGCTGTGAGCTTGGATGTGGAACTCGAAGTGCGCAGGGAAGACGTATTTGCGGTGTTCCCAGGATGCTCGATGCCGATATTGATTCGGCCGGTGAACGGAGGAGATGGTTTTCAGGTCGTCGGTGAGGCTTATTTGCAGGGGGTCATGGAGGGTGAAGTGCGAGAATTGGTTCGCTCAGAACGGTATAAGTTGCAGTGGATAAGGCTGTGTTGAAACTTCAAACAGGTAGATATATGAAAGTTACGGACCAATGCCGAGAGTGGTCACTGAATACTGATCATGAGAAAGCAGCCGAGAGACAAGAGAGTGCTGCTGAGACAGAGTCGGCGTCGGCTATACTCACGAACTCCTACTACCTAGATCTCTCCCCAATGCGACAGTGGCCGGGCATCGGTTCGCATTGTGGGCCTGGCAGAAGCCTAAGCCGTTTGGGGTTAAGACAGTTGCCTAAATCTGCCTGCCTTTGCAGCGGGGTTGGGCAGTATCCCTCTTGACTGGATTCGCTGTAATCATGGAGCTGGCTCGACTGGAGCAGTCTCGGCCTCGTCCAGCTCGCTTCGCTTCGAAGCTGCAGGCTCAGTCACGCTTGTCTACCAGCTAGGATTCGCGCCCAATGCCCCTTCGTGCAGTCGTGGGAAAGTAGCCTGCATTAATGCTGCCAGAAAGATGGGTGCTTACTACCTGCACACATCCTCTGACAGATTGCTCACGGAGGGTGAAGTCCTCGTCGTCCGGCAAGCGACCTTGATTGGACTCGCTTACACTTCAGCTTTCCTTCTTCGTTTCTCCTCAACCTAGAAGGGATGTTTACCCCGCTTTAGAATCAGCAATGCCAGCCTGATAATACTGTTGCAGCTCACCATTCTCGGAGGCACATTCGACGGAATTGTGTCTGTTCTTGCCACAGGGAGACTCGATCCGCTCCCAATCTAGTGAGCAGGCGTTCTGCCGCCCACTGAGGCATGAGCTCTAGCCCATACCTTCAAGCTCTCGGACATCCGATAAGCGGCCCCTTCTGCTACTTTATTCCTGGCTTTTCTACGTCTATACAGTCATCCAGACCGATCTAACCATAATGATACTTCTTGCGTTGAAAAATAGATCTAGCGACATCAGGGCCATTCTCCACTCGTTCGATGGGCATACTGAGGAAGATAGAGCTGCATGGAAAGTTCAAGATCAGCTAGCAACGCTCGAGCAGAGCCTACGAAGGCTTCATGAATCTCTGGAGCAGAGAAAGGGCCTGGTCACGACACCCAACCTCGATGACCTCGAATTGCTTGAGCACAGTTTGGCGTATACTTTGCAGGATATCTGGGCAATCATGGGCAGAATTCCCATGAACCCTACCGGATCTCAGTACAAGACTGCATGGAAAGAAATCTGTCGCCACTGCTACACAAAAGAACATGGACCTCTGGAATTGCAGCTGGAGACTTCCTGTAAGTTTGCAGACGAAGTTATCAAACAATTACTCGGGTAAGCTCTCCACCTTCTCAGTTCAGATACGTCTTATGACGTGCACCGGGAGAGTTCGTTCACTTGCAGACACGTGGCTGGTGCTTCAGTTGCGCTCGCTTGAAGTTGTTGCTGACAGCTACCAGTGCTATAGTCGACACTGCCGCGTTCGCCGCAGACCGTCTGTATATGATTTCCTTGCGCAAGTCCCAGCTTCAGAACCGTCGATTGATTACAGCAGCCGAAGCCATAGACGAACTGACGGCCTCGCATAAGCCTGAGGTCCAAAAGACCCTCCAAGACAGTCGAAGCAGACAACGCAGTCCCACTGAAGAACAACACGGTATGTATGAGTGTGCGTGCAGATCAAGGCTGATGGACTAAAGCCGAGAAGCCACCAAGGCAAGCCCTTGGACCAAGGCTGACCACCAGCAAGAGCAGATCGGTTGCGGTACCGAGTACTGACAAGAAAAGGCGGTTTTCGTCCAGATCCAGTGGGATTGCCAAAGGGGATCTCAGCGAGATTGGAGGTTTCATTGGAGATTCTGCTTATTACTCCATGTTAGAAGCTGGGTTAGACTTATCAACTTCGACCTCTGCACAACCGGCGAATTTATTCGCGCAACAAAGGCAGTACCTAGTGGACGCTTTTGTTCGTCAATTGATCAGGGATGTCTCTGCACGGGGAAGCATTGACGAAAGTTTCGTTGTGCCAGAAGATCGCTTATTCCAAGTCCTGACAAGGTTTGCTGAACTTCTGAATCGACTTGTACGCACGAAGAAAGAACGAGATGCAACGGATTACATTCTGCTGGAACGGCAGTAAGTTACTGCTTGCAATTACTTGAACGTCGCATTGCACTTTGTGTTCTTCTGTACGACGACTGATCACAAACTGATAATTTGATTAAGTCGCATCGCAGAGAGAATAAACTCAAGCCACCTCAGCGTGTCAATACCGCAAGATATCAGTCATAGCTATGCCCGCGAAGATGGAATCAAGCACAGTGAAGCCGTCTATGGACAGACGACGTCCGACGCATCACATGTCCTGCAATCACCTGAGCACACCGAGGTACCACTAATGTATCAGGAAGTTCGCTCGTTCCTTTACGACAGCCATGCCTATCAGTGGGTACTTGATGCCCTTGAAGCATCGATGAAGATGGCAGAAAGGAGAGGCACATTTCTGGAGAAGATCATTCGAGACATTGATACCGCCATGTCCGACTTGACGGTACCGAAGTCTGCCCGAACCTGTACCTATGAGACCAACATCAATGTGGACGCAAATATTGTACAATTCCTCAAAGAACAGAACTATGGCGTGCCCATGGAAGAAGCTGTCGGAAAAGTGATCACAATCACAGGCTCTTCGACAAGTGCTCAGGCTCTGAGCTGCAATGACTACATAGCCCAAACTTGGCCAAAGTCTGGCGTTGAGACGCTACAGGTTTTGCAAAACGCGCTCTCTTCGTCTGATCTGACATACAAAGGTAAGTATTCCCCTGTAGCTCGCTGATCACCATTTAACGTTGTAGGCCATCACAGCAGTCTTACGTTTTTGGAGGTTGACCTGAGCCATGGCGGAGTAGTTTTGCGAGCAAACGGAAGTCAAGGTGTGCTTACGGAGCTATGCGAGCAGCTGTGTTGGCTTGGTGCGGCATTCCAAATCTTGCCTGTGTCTGGTGGTTTATGCTGTGTGAAGCCCGAAATCATTGTTCGAGTGCCGACCAAACGTATCAAATCGACGGACTCGATACATGTCGTACAGATTAGTCTCACCTACCAACACAATCTCATGTCCAACAGGAATCACAATCCCGCGGTGACCTGCTGGCATGCGATGTTTGGCAATGGCATGATCATCGAGGAATTTCCTATCAAGCCTCGTATGAGGGATCAAGAGGTTCTGGAACTGTCATTCGAGTTGATGACTGAACTGGCGCAAGTACAATTTGTCACCAGCTACGACGCGACATTGGTACTGAAAGGAAATTGCACGTTACTCGTGCCTACAAGCCAAGATTCGGGCTCTATTACGTGGCATTTCCTGATGGACCCAAACGGAAAGCGGATTTCTTACAATCGTGCTCGTGCGCACTGTGGGAGTCTTCAAAACGACCAACCCATTGCCATCAGCAGACTGGAAGACAAAGAAACTCGTCACTTTGTGGGCTGGACATCAGTCGTCAACAGATTTGCCGGTAGGTGGCACCAAGCAGATTTCTACTATTTCTGATCATGGCTGATAACGCTCTAGGCACAAAAGATATGAACTATGCTGATATCGGCTGGGCTGGGTCAAAAAAGTGCTCTGCGGGACTAGCAGTGGAACAGAAACTCACCATCTCTCTCAGCAAACTTATCGGATTCAGTGGAAGTGTACTCAGAGGCAGCAAAGACAAGCCAGAGCACCTGAAACGATCTGCTTATCGGGTGCAGGTCGAGAACGCCCGCAGAATCTACGTCGTTCTCTACGACGTGGCAGTCCAAAAAGCGTGGTTGACAGATGGAGCAAGCGCCCTGCTTCATCTTGTCCGAGCACAAACCGTCAAAGAACCGTATGGAGGCCACGGGTCGCTCTTCAACGATCCAAAGTTTAACGACTCGACATTTAATTATCCAGGAGCTTTCGGCGGCCCCGATGCCGCCGCAGAGGCACTTCGAGACGAGGCTAACCAGAGACACATCGTTCTGAGGGAGTTTGATTCGTATGTCAAAGACGACATCACAATCGAAGATCCTTCGATACAATCTCATTCTCGCCAAACGACCATTCCACGCTCTGACAGATCCGAGGAGTCACACAACACTTCAACACGCGATAGAACGAAAGCAAGCTACAAAATAACCAGCTTCAAAGACCTGGTCTCCGAAGCTTGGAGTACGTTGGAGCAGATGTACGACCGTCAACTCGACATCTCGACGACTCATACAACCAAGCACTTGGACAACCCTTTCCGCACAGTGCTGGAAGGTTATGAGTTCATGGGCATCGTGTCTGCCAGGCCAACATTGAGCCGCCGAGTTGTCAAGCTCTCATCCAACGGCGATGCTTGGCTACCACTAATATCCACCGTCAATGCCATCACCCTACTTGGCCGCAACTTTGGCGACATATACAAGCCGGCCCAGCTCTCGAACGCGCAGATTTGTCAATCCTGGAGGGCCCTTCCCCGAGGTCACGACTTTCTCGCGGTTCCGATCTCGGTGCTAAAAGACATACGACGACACAGTTGGGAGGAAGGGGAGATCGACCCGAAATCTCAGGAGATAGTGGAGGGATTCACCTTCTCGCCGTGTCGACATGCTTTCCGCGTCTGTTCTTCCGGCTGCCATCACGACTTCAATCGAGTCCACTGTCTTCAGCCCACGAAAGGCCTCCTCAAATCTCTCGGGACAATAGACGCCGCCAGGGGCAGCATGCCAATCAACAATCCTTTCGCCGAGAGTGACGGCGCAGTGATCTTCGGCAAGAGCAGCAGTCTCAACCCCGGCAACATCATCGAAAACCTGCCGGAACCATCAGTATCCTCCGTTGACAGTTTCTCTGACAGTGGTCTGGGTCGGAGTCTGTCGGCCTCTACTGGAGATGTTGAAGGACATGCGGAATCCCAGGCGGCAGCTGCCGAGACGCAAGACGGGGATGCCGTTGCCACACAGACCTTGACTGTGCGTGCCGGCCGTTGACGTTCCATTAACGTATCATCATAGCGCAGAGATTTCGAAGCCCATGAAATAGCAGCATCACAGGTGAGAAAAGTTGAGATACAAGAAGACACCAGTTGTCGAGACTCAATTGTATCGAGCACCTGCTGACTCTGTGAGAGAAGACGGAGTGTAATAACAAGATACAAGGACGAAAACGAGATGTGGTTTGATGGATTTTTGATATTCATATTAAGTGCCCGCGAACTGATAAGCCACGTGAGCAAGGCAACCGATTCCACACACATACTGTGAGTCCTCGTTGCCATATCTCATAACGTCATAACCCGAAAACTCCTCCAACAATCCATTGGCTAGCGGACGTGCTATGCGAGCACCCTCTATAGTACATGTGATTGACAGTCTCTAGCGACGTCAGGGTATCATTGTGAACAATGGTGATGTAGCATGGCGCTTTAGTAGTTGGTGGCCTGTCCGTAGTGGTGGCCGCCATAACCAGGCTGGCCGTACTTGGGCTCTGCCGCAGCGGGCGCGTATCCGTTGTTCATGGTGGAGCCGGTCATACCAGTCTCATGCGACACGCGGCCCGGGACAGCAGAGTGGGCGGTGGCCAGCTCGGCGTCGCGGGTGCCCTTTCCGCCGCGGTTCTTGCGCTGCCAGAACTTGCCGCGGGAGCCGGAGGTGTAATTGTTCTTGGGGGAAGGGCCGAAACGCTTCTCCTTCTTGTGGTGGCGCACCAGCATGACCTGCCAGGCAGCGGTGATGAGGAAGAGAAAGATATTAACAATGGCAACGGCGAAGACGGCGGTGTTGAGGCTGCACACGTAGCCATAGCTGCCGGCGCCGGGAGCTTCCTCGCTTGCGGGAGCAGTGCCGAGGGGGGTATTGACGATGCCGCGGCACTTGTTGGCACCGTGGCGGGCATAGTAGGCGATGGCGGCGAAGCAGCCGGCGAAGGCGATATCGAGGAGGACGGCGAGGAAGCCGAAGAAGATGTTGCCTCCGAGGCACAGGGTGAAGAGAATGCCAAAGATGGTGTAGAGGACACCAGCACCTGACATGCCCTCAACTGCCTTCTCCCAAGTGGGAATGGTAGCGTCGTGCTTGGCTAGAACGGCTAGGAAGTACGAGTAGATGCCGAGCACGATGGCGGCGCAACCAAATTGGAGAATGCGCAAGCCAATGGCGCCGAAGCGCAGGAGGGCACCGCCGAGAGCCATGGTGTTGGGCGTAAGTGTGTGTGTGTGTGGATGTGAAGGGACCGTTGGGCGACGTTCAATGTTGGAATGAAGTTGAAACGAGAGATGGGGGCGAAGGAATGGGAGGACAAGCAGTCTTAATATCTGCAGGAGGCTCGCTTGCACCTGAAAACCCTGCAGGGTTGGCAACGAGGGTTCCTTGGTCAGTGGCCGTGGAATGTCAAGACGTGAGTTATGACGAAAGGGAGAATTGTTTGGTGTTATTGACGTTGGGGGAGATCGTCGAATCGAGATGAAGTCGACGTCACTGGTGGGCAAGCCACACAGCGCCACAGTTCAGTGAATCTCCTTTCACTGCCTAGGCAACCAATCAGGCAGCGACATGAGTCCGCACTCCCTTGACTCGCTAGATGCTTTCAGGCATAGCGTTTCTCTTGCTTGGTCGGAGCACCCCATGATCTGCCCATGATGTCGTCGTGCAGACCCAGATCAGTACGCGACCCGTCCGATCGCAGCCCCTCTTCAGCTGCGACGGTCGCGCGAGTGCAGTCATCAGACTTTATCGTGCAAATTTTTGCATCGCACAGCCACAGTTGTGCGCAACGGTCTCAACAGGAAGCTCGATGCTCAACTGCCGGGCAGGTACAGCCAATGCGCTGCATCATGTAAAAGGCAACTCACATCGCAGCTCGACTGCGGCCCTACTCTCGGCTATTAAGAATATCGTGCACTGCAGCCCATTGCACTTGAACCGGAGTTTTTCCAGTCATGATGTTATCCCGGGTCGCTAGGGTATACTACAGCAATCGCAACTGGAAAGTTGCGGAGTCTCCGCAGAGATCTTAAGGCCCATATGAATCTGGCATACCTGGTTGCTGCTAAAGTCACACCATTTAGTCGACTCTGTCCCAACGTCTCGACTGTCATTTCTCCGAATCTTGAGGCTTTTCTCGATGCAACACAATGCAAGTTTACGTTTCGCTTCTGACTTGCAGTCGCACTTTACTGTCGAAGCCCGAATCGTCCGCTCAAAGGCTATCTACCACAGAATCTGGAGCTGAAGCCGGTCACTAATATTCCAGATTGCCTCCACCTGAGTATAGAGCCTGACGTAAGTCGATGATTTATTTCACAGAGAGCTTATGGTGCCATCCAACAGCCATTTTATAGCGTTCCTCGACTAGCTGCTGGTAAGCCTCACGGCGCTGGCACGTCTTCATCGCCTACGTCCACTCAAGCCACACGCTGAGCTGTTCATGCTTCTGAACAGCCTCAGAGCATTACCACGAATACTTCCGGAAGTAAGTCTCGTCAATGTAGATATTGTGATGAGCATACGAGATGTTTGCCAAACACAGCGAGGTCTTGAAATCAAGATCTACGGCTTCGTGTATGCGATTCCATATTGTTAGCTGCTTGACTTAGCAATCGCAGCCATGACTTTTTCATTTAGGCAAGATGGGTATCTAGCTGTGCTTCCTATTCTCTCACAACCCCGTTATGCCTTCCAAACCCCTTCGATGTGGCAAGTGCGACCAGCCTGGCCACCTCAGACGCAATTGTCCTCGATAATCCGAGCGTGTAACCCAGACCCCTGATTCAGAATCCCTGGAAGAGCAGGAGACCGAACTGCTGGACGATGAGCAACACTCCCGCAGAACTACAGAGCAAGATGCTGCATCTGACACTGGCATCCGAAACTCACAGCTCCTAAGCAGTGCCCACGGTGCCCACGGTGCCGATAGTCCGATCTCAGACCCTGAAGAGTCCAGCAATCCTCAATATGTAGATCCAACGACCGAAGTTGATCGCCATTTGCAAGTTTTCCTCATTATTGCTTATCGACAGATCACGCATGATGAACTACATGCTGACTCTGATGGGGGCGGAATCGGGCAAGCTTCCACTCTACATAGCTGCTCTTGTTCAGTTGGTCAGAGATATGAAACTCAACAAAAAGACATTCACGGTCGAGAAATTCGGCAAAGAGATCAACGAATTCGGATTGAGCGAGGCACAGAGGCATGCACTTGCCCTTCGCATGAACTTGTTGCGGTCGTGATTGTACTCCACCGCATCAACAGCCATGAAGAAGGAAGCTGGTGGTTCTGCTGCTACATTCAGAAAAGGAGGCCTGACCATTGTCGACTTGAGTGATTCCACCATGAGTGAGACGGATATTTGTACGCTGTATGAACTCTGTTTCTCCATCTTCCTTGTCAGTCGCAATACCAGGGCAGGCTCCGTCTGATGGCCCGCGGCAGTCGCCAACACAATCTGGTCATAGTCTGATTGTTGCCGTTGACGAGGCCCACCAGGTGAGTGTGATGGCAATAAGAGGCTGCACCTGCCACTGACAACCTCAAGGTTTCTGACCGATACTCCCAGGCCAAAAGCTTCACTCAGCAGCTAGTCCGACTGATTCACGAAGAGCATCGTCTCGGTGCCCGCGTCCTCATTGCAACTCAGGAGCCTTCATGTTTGACTGAGCTGCTAGACCTTTGTGACGTCTCCATCATCCATCGCTTCCGCTCGCCAACATGGTCCGAGGCGCTCAAGAACCACCTAGCAGGCATGGTCTGGAGTGGTGGTGCCGATAGTACCTCGGGCAAGAGAGTTTTCGACACCATCGTAGGACTCGGGGATGGTGAAGCATTGCTGTTCTGCCCCGGCGCATATCTTGACGTACCAGTCTCCTTGACCACAGGAAGCAAGGCGGAGGAGAAAGAGTCTGCGAATTTGGTGAATCCCATTAGAAGTCCCCGCAACAATGAAGCAGGGCCCGACAAGTCAAGTACCAACAGCGCATGACCCACTGACCACAATGGCGGGACGCCAGCCAGCCACGAGAAGCACCAAGCATTACGCCCTCTGAACAGCTCCTACATCAAGATCCAGATCCGGAAACGACTGACAGCAGATGGAGGACGGAGCCAACTGGCAGGCTGACAGGAGTGTGGGAGCCCAGTTACTGTTCGTATCTGCCACGTGTTGTCAGTGAACTGTTGTCTCACGTGCTGCCGGTTTAGATTGCTTCCCGGATGAGGCTCAAGCGGCAGCAGCGGCAGCAGCGGCAGCAGCGCCTGGCCTCGCCATTAGAGTGCTCGGCCACACATCAATAGCCCACTCCGCAATTCCCCTAGCTACGGCATGTTTGGGAACGCTGAAATTAGATTCCCTCCATATGCCCGTCCAAAACAGCACAAGACAGCACCAAAACCGCCCAGCCAAGCCCCCCACCACGCATCTAGAATATCAATAGAAGCAAAACATTTTCTCATGGCCTGACCTTCTCTGCCCTCCCAAGCCCAACCGCCCGGGCCCCTCTCCGCAGCCGACAACACTTCCGCCACCGCATCCCCAAAAGCAGACGTTCCATCGCATTACCGCATCCGGTAATCCGAGCGGACGATCCAGGGACCCAGAACAACCCCACGGGCAGGGCGAGCTCCATCCTGCTCATTCGCTGGAGCCGAAGTCTGAGCCCAACCGGGCACGTGTGGGGAAAGCTCTCTCGTGGTCGAGATGACGGGTGGAGTTTTGCTGTGCAGTGCTTGCGCTGCTTTTTCGCCTGCTTGCGCGTGCCCTCCGGTGGCAACGGAGAAACAAAGCGAGGAGGAGGCCCGCCAACCGGGTTCTGGCGCTTTGTAGAGGGGGCCTTTTCTTGGGGAGGTCCAGAGTGGAAAAGGGGACATTCTTACCCGGGAGGGGAGGCGGAGGCAGGCCACCGGAGGAAGAGGGGAGGGGTCTGGTCTCGTTCGCTCCAGGTTACGCCGAGGGGGGGGCAAGAAGAGGAGACAGACACATGTAACGCACGGCACGGGAATAGATTTGTAGTCGAGACTGCGCTCGTCCTGCTGCTGTTGCTTTCCTTTCTTTCTTCTCTTCCTTACTCACGACCAATATTTAGTTATCTCTTGCCTGTTGTGCCTCTACCGAGTAGCTTACCACCATCGCCACATACTCATAACTTCAACCACTACCCACGCTGACAGCAACTGCTTGCATCTCGCATCTCTACTGTCCTGATCATCCCACCCACGCTACCCACCACCTCTCACCACCTCCACCCATCCACACACATACACACACACACAACACACACACACAACCGCCCACCATGTCAACAGCTGAATCAACCCAAACCTCCATCTCGAGCAGCAAGCTCACCGCCGTCGGCACACGCAGCGACCGCACGACCATGAACGCCGTCCGCTTCCACGGCCAAAAGGACATCCGACTCGAGACGATTCCCTACCCCAAACTCTCGCCCGGAAAAGTGCTCATCGCGCCCAAGTTCTGCGGCATCTGCGGCACCGACGTGCACGAGTACTTGGGCGGCAACAACCTGATCCCCGCGCCGGACCACCCGCACCCCATCACGGGCGAGACCAGCCCCCTGACGCTGGGCCACGAGTTCAGCGGCATTGTGGAAGGCGTGGGCGAAGGGGTCGAGGGCGTCAAGCCGGGGGATCGTGTGTGCGTGCAACCCATCATCTATGATGGCGACTGCCGGAGCTGCAAACGCGGCTTGGTCAATTGCTGTGACAGCAATGGCTTCGTGGGCCTGAGCGGCTGGGGCGGCGGCCTCGCGGAGGCCATGGTCGTGCCGGAGAGCTGTGTCAAGAAGCTGCCGGATAATGTGAGCATGGAGATCGGGGCGTTGATCGAGCCGTTAGCGGTGGGCTGGCATGCGGTCGACATCAGTCCGTATAAGCAGGGCGACAGTGTGTTGGTGCTCGGCGGTGGGCCGATTGGGTTGGCCGTCGTGCAGGCGCTGATCGGGAGGGGGTGTGAGAACATCATCGTGTCCGAGGTGTCGAGTAAGCGGAGAGATTTCGCGGCTCAGTTTGGTGCGCATCATGTCGTGGACCCCACCAAGGAGGATATCGTCAAGAAGGTCGAGTCGTTGACGAATGGCCTGGGTGCCGATGTTGGCTTCGATGCTGCGGGTGTGCAGGTCGCGGTGGACACGGCGTTCATGGCGCTGAAGGCCAGGGGCACGCTCGTCAACATTGCTGTGTGGGAGAAGAGGGCTAGCTTGCAGATGAACGAGATCGTCTTCCGCGAGAGAGGGTATATGGGAGTGTAAGTTTGCACCTGAACTCCATGGCACGAGCCTTTACTGACAGATATGCAGGGCGACGTACAGCCTGGGTGACTTTGAAGCCGTGCTGGAGGCCATCTCAAGTGGTAAGTCGACACCCCATCCGTTTCCATATGCGTGGATCTAGTTACTGATGATATATACCAGGTCGCATGAAGCCCGAGGGCATGATCACCAAGACGATCGCGCTCGACAAGGTCGTCGAGGAGGGCTTCAGGACTTTGATTGAGGACAAGGAGAACCACGTCAAGATCCTGGTCGACGTCGGCAACAGTGTTGCATAGACATCGTTAGCCAACGGCAAAACAAAAACTTGGTGGCGAAGATGACAGGCGGATTGGACATATTGGACATATTGACAGGCGTTGTAGGCTAGCGAATTCTGCATTCCATATCATATGCATTACTGACATTTGTTGTTCACCGTTCTTCTGCCCTAGTATATGTTGTTGCTCCCTTGGGCGACTCGAAGCAACCGACCGAACGATATGGGGAGCGGTACCTGCGCTGCGTCCAGGACATGCCGGCACGGAGCCTCGGTTTGAGGAGGTGGAAGTCTTTCGTTATGCCATATGCTGCCACAGACAGACTGCTCCGGCTTCCTTCGGGACGGCTCTCATGGCTATCAACCTTCAACTCCAAGCAGCCACAGTGTCAGTGGGCCTGACAGTCTCGTGAACCTTGTAGATGATGGCACTGCTTGGAGCTTGAGGTGTTTCTGTGTCGTAGTTCCCATGCCGTCTACTTGGCGCAATGGTCAGGGTGCGTCTGACTCGTTGGGTCTTCTTTGATGTCACGAAGATGTGGATGGCTTGATTGGTGCGCTGTCCTTCGTCTCCTGCAATGAATCGCACCAACCCCCATTTTTGGCTGCCTTTTCCAGCCCGGCGTTCGAGAGGCAGTGGTCTCCAATTTGTTCGCACCGCCGGCAAGAATCATAGACAGTCGCTCTGCCCCTAATAGAAAGGTCTTTGGATCATGGTCACCCGTCCGGTGCCACACCGTCTTCACCGCCCTTCCTTCTCCTGCGCCTTCGCCTTCCCCCTCTTCACCTCCTCAGCCTTCTCCTCCAGCACGCCCAACAAGCCCTCATTCCGCCGGCCCAACAACAGCACATCCTGCACCTGCACGCGCTCCCGGCCGGCATGCTGCGCAAAGCTTTCCAGATCGCGCCCGGCATTCACGATCTGCGCGTACGTGGCTTCCATCAGCGCGGCGATGAACTGCGGTGTGGCGTTCACGCCGAGCTCGAGAGTTTGTGCGTCGACGAGGCGGCCGATGTGCAGCCAGAGGGCGCGCTTTAGTTGTTCGGAGAGGTCAGCGTCGGGTTCGGGCATGGCTGTTGGCTCTGGGATGTGAGGTGGTGTTGTTGGGGGGGTATAGCGGAGTTCGATGTGACAGGAGGCGGTGGTGGTGGTTTGTATGCGTTCCGAAGAGTGGAAAAGGCCAAGAGCAGTGTAGCTACCTTCCGAGGTGATACAATTGCTAGTTACTTTCGTTCAAGGTCAAGTGCTGTTCATAGGTAAAGTTGCCCATAGGACGCGTTCAAAAGACGCGTCTCGACCGACGTCACCGGGACTCTCGGCATTTCTTCGGGCCAGTTTCTCAACTTCAACCTACTCTGGTCGACATCCCGGACTGGCATATCGTCAACCACATTTCCCATACTCACTCTCCTCTCCAGCATTCTCGGCACACACACACACAGAGCACCCAAATCTACCGCCCCTGAAACCCAGCAGTGCTCCCACCGGCACTCACCGCCCAAACCAACACCACCACCATGCCCGGCGCCCAAGAATACTTCTCACACTTCTCCCCCACCTCCATCAGCGCCACCCTCAGTAACGGCACTTCCAAACTCCTCACCAAGCTCCGCACCGAGCACGACATCCACATCCCCTCCCTCAACCCGCTGTACTACCTGGACCCGCGCACCATCCGCGCCTACCTGTCCGATCCGAAGGCGTTCCGCAACGCGCTGCGCCTAATCGTCATCGTGGCCGCGTATCTGCTGATGCGGCCGCATCTGGAGACGTTGTTGAGGAAGGTCAGTGGGGCGCCGGAGAGGAGGGAGGAGGCGTTGAAGGCGAGGGTGAGGGAGTTAAGGGGACGGGAGGGGGAGGGGCGGAAGGACAAGTGAGTTAAGTTGGTTCGTGTGGTGGGGGTATTTTCGACATGAGGTTGTGGGTCGACGGTGAGATGTCACGCCCTTGAATGAAGGCCCCGTTTATATGCGTGCGAGACGCGATGGATGAGAGGTATGCACGGTGCTGGCCCGCGTGTCGCAACCGTAGAGTTCGCATGCAGCCACAGCCCGACGGAATCAGCGATTCGGCCTTGTGGCGTCGGGCCCTTCCGCGGATGACACTGGGGCAGTGGTGCTATATATCGACTGGTCTAAGGATTCTACAATATCGGTAACGTGACGATTCCCGATGGCATCCGTTGTCTACATCCTGCATGGTTGAGCAGTATTTGCAGGGACGAACTTTACGGTGCGAGGTCCGGGACATCGATAACGGGCTTGGAGGGTCTATAGAGCAACAGGGCATCAAGACGGCAGCACGACTGACTGAGACTCTCTACCTAAGTACTAACCTATGCCGCCAGGCATGGTAACCGTTCAAGCCATACTCATCCCAACATCAATCATCCAGTGAATGCATTTGGAGCATTCCTCAAATCTAATCACGGCACTACTCCATTAGTAGCCAGGAATCACACTCCTAATAGAGCCTCCTCAACTCCTCGCCCCAGCCTCTGACTTCCTCGACCGTAACGCCAAACCCGCCTTCATCCTCTGCGCTCCACAACCCCGCCTCCTTGAGCACCTCTTCCAAAACCCCATCATCAAGCTCTAACAACCCCGACTCCAACACCTCTCCATCCACGAAGCGGAATGGCTCCTCCGCCTCCCGCACCTGCGTCTTGAACCCGCGATACGCCGCCCACGGCATGTGCCCAGGCGCACGCACGCGTTCCACCAAAGGGCGCTGCAGCCGCAGCATCACGTCCAGGTATGCCGGATTAATAGTGCCGTGCAGGTAGATGGCGCCTTCGACGGTTCCCATAAACGCGCGGGGCGTGATCAGTGGACCCTCACGCTTCGGCTTGTCCGTCGCCAAGGAACTGCGCTCCTCTGTGTTGGGCTGCCCCGATTCAAGGGTGCGAGCTCGTTCTTTGCCCTTCGCCTTTGGAGTCGGGGCGATGGGGTTCATAATGGGTGTGATCTTGTTGACCAGCTCGCCTAAACGGAATTCACCCGTCACTTGCAAGCGTCGACGGTCGTCTGGCGTCGGGCCGGTGGGATCTCGGCGAAGTGTGATTAGATTGCCCTCCATGTCGGCAAGTAACCACTGATTCTCGGCGATGGTAGTGACGGCCGACGACCACACGGTGGCGAAGTGACGCGATACTTCTTTGAGGCTAAAAACGCCCTCTGCATGGTTGACTTCGACGATAGACAGAGATTTCATCAGGTCGGCGACGGCGACAGTTGCGGGTGAAGTGGATGTTGCGGATGTGACGGATAGGGACATGGGGTTGGATGATATTCGGCTTTGCGCCAGGCGCTTGAGTTGAAGCGCCCGGAATCCAATCGCAGGATTGGGTGCGAGAGCATAGAGCACGACCTGGATCGTATTAGCAACTGAATAGTGATGTGACGGGAGACATACAGCTTTGACGAGCCCAGCCACAATTCTGCCATCACACATCGCAAGACTTCGCACTGCACCCTTGACCTCTTCTTCGCATACTTGGTTGATCTTCTTTTCTTTTGTGACTTCCAGCACGATGATCCGCCCACGTATATTGGAATCATCCATCGAATTTTCGTCAGGGTTGATGCTCGTACCAACCACGAAGAGTGCGCCAAAACTTTCATCATCGGTCTCGAACTCGCCAGTGCTCATTATGCACTCGACAATCTCTTCATCCCTTAGCTCCATTTCGTCGAGCGTTGAGAACGTAATCTCGTTGGCAAGCTTGATCCGGGAAGTCAAGAACTCAGTACCACCTTCGTTGCCCCTGTCGACGCAGCCTATCCCAAAGAGCTGAGCTTTGGGTTCATATGCGAGACATCTGACGGTCTCTTTGATCGGCAAAGTCTGCAACTGCGTCGTTCGCTCTTTGCCAATAATAGCAAGCTTCAAGTCTTCCGGCGACGCAATAGCAACTGCACCAGTATAGACAGGAGAGTTGAATGGGCATACTCTCGTTGCTTTGTTCGAACTTACTGCCGAATAGACTATTCTCCCATCCGACGAGTATATCAGCGATGGTTGCTCACACGACGCGAACACATTCGATAGTTCAGAACCTGATCCTGAATCACGAGGGAGGAGTTTAAAGTGGACAGGCTCCGTGCCGAGTAGTATACGACTCACGCCGTAGAGAGTGTTCTTCGAGGCGTCGAATGAGTATGTCACAACAGTGCCATCTGCCATAGCAACGAAAAGCGTAGGTGGAGCGTCAGGTAGCACATTGGCCACCAACACCGACCGAGGAATGGCGATTCCAGGAGTTCCAAGGTTCTGAGTGTGGAGGGCCTCGAGCGTGTGAAGATCCAGAATTGCAACTGCTGCTGTCTGCCAAAATGAGACAATGCAGACGTTACTCTGAGAATCTGGAACGGTGACACTCGATATCTGTTGGGTGGCATCAAAATGCTTCGAAGCGGTCGGCTCCGCTTTGTCGCTGGAAGGATGAAATACGTGGAGCGTATGACCACCCTCAACAATCAATAGATGTACCGAATTGGCGGCGGCAGCTGTGATCTTGGCTTGGCCAGGTGGTCGCCATCCGAATAAGCTCATGCCTGACTGCAGCTGCGAGACAGCCAGACCTGTCTCGTAGACTTGCACGACCTTTTCGTCTGGCAAGTTAGCCACCATCAAGGTAGGCTGTGAGAATTCAAAGTGCTGGAACTCATCGAGCTCCTCAAGTGCCTCTTCGGCATCGAATCGAAAGACCCTCGTCTCGTCCACGAATGTTGCTACGAGGGTGTCTTGATACACCGGATCCCCTTTCGAGCTCAATGCCCACAGCTCCGTGATACCTGGCAGGTCAGCAATAGTTCCCAGCTCATCAATACCAACACCACTGCGAACGCTTCGTATTGACCCATCCGTCCAGGCGCCAGAGGCTGTCAATATCCGTGCCTGCCCTGACGAAAAGTCGCCTGCTTGAGAAGTGTCTGCTCCTCGACCCAGATCCATGATTGAAAAGTCTAGGATAGGAGCAATATTGTCGAAGACCTGCTTGACCTCCACTCCGCCAGGCTGTATCTGAACGATCTGCGAGTCGCCGGTTTGAGAGCCAATGAAGACAAGACCTTCGTCTAGATAGACAAGTGTGGAAGCTCTCGACGCCTCACCGACGGCGTCCAATTTCCACGATCTGACATTGTTCTTGTCCGTTTCGAGCATGAGGAAGAATAGCCGTCCATAATCGTCTCCAAGCAACAACCGTGTGTCGTCGACCCGTGTCCAACAGGTCCATATGGTTGCTTTGTCATTCAATGGCTCGGTGTGGTTGTTCTTAAGATCTTTATCGACATACTGAATGGAGGACTCGCCCAGGAGTAGGAAGCCGCTGATCGGAGCAGGCACAGGGATTATATGACTGACACCCTCATCAAGCTCCGCCCGTAGTTCCGCTATGGTCTCGAGCTCGGCAGAGGCTGGCTCGTCATCATCCTTGGTAAACGTGAGCTCACGGAGCTTCAGCTGCGGTACTTCGTTGTTATCTTCCCACAGAATGGCTAATCGAGGGTGTGCTTTTGAATCGGGCTCTGTCTGCAGAAAAGCGGAAGCTCTGGTCTGCAGTTCTTCGATGCGGACTTGTGTAGGTTCCTGCAGCGCACCTGTGCGCTGGTTTCCTGCTTCGGCAGTCTTTGTGACGCTAGAGCCTCCCTTCTCATCGAGGCCGATGATGGTCACGACTCCATCAAATAACTCTAACGTCATGAACCGTCTCGTAGGGTCGATATTGCACTTGTCTAGCTCTTTTGAGTCCCGCAGGACTTTGTCCGCTTGATCGACATAACTCTGCTCGGTCCTTACTGACCGAGTGGTTTCGTCCCAGCTGACAGTGAAGTATTGGTAGCGGTCGGTCCCTACAAAGAGGTGATCGGTGTTCGATGAGGCTGGCCGGATGCGCTCTAATATTGTCACGTAGCCGTAGACTGTCAGGCTGCTACGAACAGCATAACCTTCCGCGGAAGGAGAATAAAACTCCAGGCGATTCGCTTTGCTGGAACATGGTCAGCATTAGCCAGGCGGAACGGGTGAGGCACGTACGCGACGACAAGGGTGTCTTCGTTGGGGCTTAGGAAGCTCAGCTTGAGAGCCTTCCGGACCGCCGTCGGTCTGTGTATAGGCACAATATACGACATCTTCGCCGATCACCGGGGGCTTCCTTCTATTGCCTAGCTGTGCTGCACTGCTTGCCTGTCATTTCTAAGCGCCGTAGCGGGTACGCAGCTGCGGGGTCGATGGTGATGCAATAATAAGAGGGAACCGAATGCGACAAATTAGCCACGTACTACGTATGCTTGAGCATACAGTGAACTGATGGGAATGTTGAAGATACCGAGGCCGGTAAGTAGAGACAAAATGTCGAGGTCATTGAACACAGTTGGAGGTTGACACGGATCGACGCGCTATCTCCGCACGCGATCGCCGTTGCTTGATTGCTTTGCCATTGACTACGATTTACCTGTCAGCCACTGGTACACGACCGAGAAGTCTTTGCCCTTGTGGGCTTTTTCAGTCTCTTCATAGACCTCCTTCGCCTTGTCTGCCAGCACTAGCTTCGCATCCGCCTCCTCTGCCGCAGTCATTGCCAGTCTTAAATCCTTCTTCATGAGACTTACACCGAAGCCTCCCTCGTAGTCGCGGCTTGATGGCGAGTTTTCAAGCACACCAGGCACAGGGTTATTGATCTCGCTCGGCCAGCTCTTGCCGGTAGCGGAGTTGATGAGGTCGGCCAGTGCCTTAGGCTTGATACCCCACTTGATGCCCAAATTCATGGCTTCTGCAGCACCAATGTTGTTGATCGCGAGAGCGTAGTTGTTGGCGAGCTTGCCACTCAAACCAGTTCCTTGCGGGCCCATATGCCAGACCTTTTTGCCCATTAACATGAGAATAGTCTCTACCCTCTTCACCAACTTCTCGTCGGCCCCGACCATAAAGGTCAAGGTCCCAGCACGAGCACCGACAACACCACCGGACATAGGAGCATCAACAAAGTCTGCATCACCGTGTTCGGTCACCTGCGTGGCTACGGAGCGGGATGTGGTTGGGTCAATCGTGGAGCAGTCGATGAAGATGCGAGAGGACTCGGAGGGCGGTGAGGGGAGCTTGGAGGCAAAGACATCGCCAAAGACGCCTTTAACGTGCTGTGGCTCTGGCAGCGCCGAGATTATGTGATCCTTGACACTGTTAACTTCAAATACAGAAGGACTTTTGAGTGACAGGTGATCATGAAGAGTATTTCAGAGGATTGGCTTTAATTGTAGGAGAAATCATGGGAAGGGCCGAAGCCCCCAACTTAGATCATCGATAGAACAATATGGTTCATCATATAAACAGAGGTAGAGCAAGGGTACATGGCAGTCTTACCGAGTTTTCGACAACCTCTCTTGGAGCCTTTGCAACCGTCACGTTGTTTGGTTCGGCCTCTTTGGCGAACCGCTCTAAGGCTGCGGCATTGACGTCAAAGACGGTCATAGTGTCATCTTCAGGAATCTTCGCTCGGAGGTTCTTCGCCATTGGATAGCCTGGCATTCGTCAGTATTGGGTCCCATACAACGTCTAGTCGACGTACCCATGGCTCCCAATCCAATGAAGCCCCAGGCAGCATCGCGCCTGACTGTGGTCGAAAATTGCCTAGAGGCAAGGAGAGACGTTTGCAGACCTCGCCGTAGGGTAGAGGTCGTCCTGAGCACGGTCATCTTTGCTGAGCCCTGCGCACGAGAGACATGATGAACCTCGCGTGGGGAAGGGCTGGAGAAGTACGGTTGTAGCTTTGGGGAGCTGGGCTTGGAGGTGCGTGCGAAGCTGTCCGAGGTCCGGCAGTAGCCGATTTTCGGTCTGATCAAAGAGGAATGTTTAGCGAGACCGGTCTTCTTCCCCCTAAACCTTCCCTGGCTTCTTACTCGAGACTGGACAATTATCTACTACTTAGTTTGGCTATTGTTTGGCATCATTCCAGAGCCGTGCTACTCGGAGACACCTCTTGTCATCATTTATACCTATCCAGATAGTCGCACTTATCCCATTCCTCTCAGCATTTCCATCTCCTCCTGGCCTACCCATTCCGTCTTGCCTTCCCCAGTAGTTCCCCACCTCGCCTTGATCAGATATTCATACTCCAACTGCTGTCTTTTCTCGTCCCTGTTCTTGACTCAGATCTCCACCACCTCAAAGTTGGGAACACCTTCTCGAACTCCCCGAGGAATGCCTTGAGCGTCTCCCCTCTCGATGCGCATGGCATCAGCAATGCCGATTTGGGCATGATTGTCAGTGTCGCTGTTGACGAGTACAGCATTCGGTCAATTATGTAAATTGTCTTTGGCAGCGCATCAGCCTTCTCGTTTGCGCGATCTTTGAAGATATCAGATGCCGTAATGGTGCCCGTGGTGGCGGATTAGCTAGAGGTAGGGGTACTAGCACCGCTACCAGAGCTGAACGAGGTGCTCGCTGATATGCCGCCAAATGGCCAGCCAACTGCAACGACGTACCCGAAAACATTGTCGTCCTTGGGGATGGCAATATCGCCGACGCCAAAGAGAGAGTGTCGCACAGGAGGAGGTCGTGTGTCGATGCTGAGTGCGGCGAGGATGGCATGCGCAGCAGAAGCAAGGTTGTCGAGAAGAGCAGGACGGGCTATCTCCCAGAACCTTTTACTCACGAACTGGACTCATAGCTCCGAGACTGTATGGCATTCTGGGAAATTGCAGCCGGTGCTGAGCCTGTTGTCGTCGCAAGGCGGACTGTCCAGCCGTGCGCTGTTTCGGACGGTTCTTGGCGCGTGCCATATCCTATTCGAGGGAATGCACGTGGGCCGTGTAGCCGGTCAAGACGGTTTGGTCTTCGAAACACTTGCATGACGGATGAGACCAGTGCTACAAGAGGCAAGGCAGGAGGACAGTGCTGTTCCGCAGAAGGTCATAGCGGAACACCACCCAATGGAGGCTTGGCATGCGCCCGTCTGGTCCGCTATGTTGGATCATCTGGGCCCCGAGATCTGATGCTCATATGCCGTTACGGGGCTCTGGTGTCACCATCCCGAAGCTCAGCCCGGCGGAGCGCCTGTGCTGGTTGCAAAACAAAGGCCCCGGATATCGCCAGTCGTCAATGGATGGATAAAGGCTTGGACTTCAGAGGAGCTCTCTAGACCCGGTGAGTTAGCCATACCACTAGGTGTGGACGGCCATAGGGCTGAGTGAGCGAGCATGCAAGCGAGTGCTTGCTATAGACTGACTAGAGTAACCTGCATATCGGATGGCTGGCTCGAGAAGTGGTCTGCCAAAGTTGGGTGGAAGTTGGCTTGTGGTTTCGGAGTGGGTCTTTCCAGGTGGCACGCTCCGGCGCCTGGGGCCCGCCCATTTGGGAGCCGATCCATTCACAACCACCACTCATGAACTTATCGAGTCGATTTCGGCAAAGCTCAGCAGATCACGCGCGTCTCCGGGAAAGGATGCTGTTTGCGTTGGGGAACTCTGGAGAAGCGAGGGTGGGGATCATGTAGTATATATGAAGCCAAGCAGCCGCTCACCCTTAGCATACTGTGTTTGCCAACATCCCGTTTCGCGACATCTACAGCCATCATGACCCGCCAGAGTCATTCGAGTCGCTACAATCAAAGTGTCACAGTCGCTGCAGCCTTCGGGTCTTTGGTACATTGCTCTACCATCCAACACGTTGTGGTCGCTAACAAACCCTAGACATACGGCTACGGAGCTTCCGTCATTGGCAGCACCATCGGTCAGCCAGGATGGTACGCATTCTTCAACTTGCCTGTGCAGGGTGAATCTGGTTATGCCACAACGACTACGAACGCAATTGCTGCGGCGAACGGCTTGTTCAGCGCGGGGGCTGCTGTGGGCTGCATCTGGATCATGTGGGCAGCCACAGCCCTAGGCCGGAAGCGCAACATCCAGATTGGCGCCTTCATGAGTCTCTTGGGCGGTGCTTTTCAGGGAGGTGCTGCAAATCTTGAGTAAATCTTCGCCATGGCATGGAGGCGTACAGCACAGTTCAGGCTAATACACATCTCTAGCATGTTCCAAGCTGGGCGTTTCATTGCAGGCTTGGGAATTGGGATTCTCGTGACAGTAAGTCAAAGGTCAAGCAAAAGCCACACAGCTCTTGACCAGACTCTCTAGATCTGTCCCATGTATCTCTCCGAGCTTGCACCGCCTGAAAGACGTGGCTGGCTCGTGGGTCACCATGCAATCTTCTTGGTATTCGGCTACATGCTGTCTGCATGGCTAGGATATGGCTGCTACTTCGCAACAGAGGCCAACTCAAGCTTTGCCTGGCGGTTTCCCCTATGCATGCAGTGCCTACCGCCGGCCATACTTGGCACTGCATCCTTCATCATGCCAGAGTCACCTCGGTGGCTGTTACAGAAAGACAAGACTGAACAGGCTTGGGTTATCATTCAGCGACTCCGCAAGAAAGCAGATGACCCGACAGACCTTGTGGCCAAGGAGGAACTCTATCAAACCAAAGAGCAGCTGGCACTGGATGCTGCAAAGCTAAAGAAACTCGGCACTACGCCTTGGGGAGCGGTACTCAAGATCAAAAGCTACCGCAAGCGCATGATCATTGGGTTCCTTACTCAATGGGGTGCGGAATTTTCAGGTCCTCTCGTTATTGTGAGTAACCCTTGGTTTGTCGATTCATTATGCTGATGCGTGCTATAGAACAACTACTCGGTTCTTCTCTATACGAATCTTGGCCAAACAGGCTCAATGCCATTGCTTCTCTCTGCTCTATGGCTGACTACGGCTGGTACGCACTGTCCGCGATCATCGGGTCACGAATCAATCTGACATGGTCGATAGGTGTCATCTACAATCCCCTTGGAGCCTGGCTTCATGATCGTGTCAATTCACGTCGATGGATGTTCCTGGTCGGCACATTTGGCTGCCTGGTTACCACGAGTGGCCTGGCTGGCTGCATTGCTCAGTATGCTGGCACGGACAACAAGGCCGGTAACGCTGCTGGGGTATTCTTCGTCTTCCTCTATCTCGCATTCCAAGGGTAAGCATCTTGCAAAGGGTACTAATTGGCTCCTAACATGAGTAATAGTACCGGCCAAGATACGACAATGTATCTGTACGTGTCGGAAATCTTCCCCACCGAGATTCGGCCCATTGGCATGGGTTTCTCGCTCTTTGGCCAGTTTGCTGCGACTCTTATCCTCCTGCAAACTGCGCCCATCGGCTTCGTAACAATTGGATGGAAGTACTACCTGGTCATCATCTGCTGGTGCATCGTCTTCATTCCAATGATCTATTTCTTCTGGCCTGAGACAGCTCGGCTCTCGCTCGAGGAAATCTCCGCCAAATTCGGTGATGATGTTGCTGTTCATGTCAACGACGTCTCAGAGGATCAGCGCAAAGAGCTTGATGAATTTCTCCAAACTACGGACGTTGTGCATATGGCGAGTGCGCCAGGCTCTAAAGTGTCAGAGAAAGGAGCAACGGCAACGGAAATTGTCTGAGCTTGTCAGTATGAGGCGAGTACCACGTGAGCTCGAAATGCTTTCGCCTATGGTGAGGCGGACCAGAACTGACGGTGGTTGCCCAGACGCCTAAGTGACAGAGGTATTTGAGGAATCAGAATAAGTACCTGCCGATTTTGCATTAATATTCGTTCAGCTCGCTACTTTTGAGCCCAGCCTCTTTTCGTTTGCCAGAGCACCCATATTTCAAAAACTTTTCGAAACAAGATGCAATTGTATAAATCGTACAGTTGCAGGAGTTGACCTTGCCTACACAAAGAGCGGCATGGCACCGCTTGCCGTGGCCCAGATTAGTGCTCGGAGGCTCTGGTGGGGTGCCCTCATGTGGCACGCTCCGGCGTCACTTAATCCCCCACAATCGTGACCCCGCGTCCCTAGCCTCGACCGTCAGTCCATGATCGCTCTTTGCCTCCATTCGCTACTATCTCAGGTCCTCCGTTAGAATCCCAACCGCTCCTGCACATTCGTTTCACGTACCGATTCGCTAAAGCTCTTCGAGCCTAGAATCTGGCCAGCCACACCGACACTGAATGTCAAGCGACTGCCATTAGACACTACTCTGTTCATCATGGCAGCGATGCGTACGACCCGGCGATGATTTGGGTATGATAGTCGAGCGCGGCGACTCGTCGCAGATGGTAAGTCAACAAGCTTCCGCTGAAAGCTGCACATTGAGCCAACAACATATTGACACAATGGCAGGAACAGCAGAATGATGCACCTGGACAGCAAGGACCACAGATATGTCCTGAATGTGGGTATACGTCGACTCGCCCAAGCCACTACAAAAGGCACCTTGCGTCACATCTTCCGGATCAACAACGCAATCAATTCCCCTGTCCCGAGTGCGGGAAAGCCTTCTCCAGAAAGGATGTGCTCCTTCGCCATCTGCGTGGAGCTCACAGGATCAACCGGACCCCCACTCGATACACCCAGAGGTCTTGCTTTCGATGCGTGACGAAGAAGCTTAGATGCGACCGAAGTGATCCATGCCGGTCGTGCTACAAAGCACAGTCTCTCTGTACCTACTCCAAAGGCGATGAGCGTGCCAAGGAGCACATCGTTGGTGGTGATGCGAGAAATCTTTCGGATGATCAGACAAATCCTGGTAACCAGCAAGCCCACTCACCTCAGCGACCTGGCACAGCCTCCCGTGGACGGGAAATAATTGCTTCTGCTGGTCCATCCAATGGGCTTGGTGACAGTGGTGCCGCTGACACCAGCCGTCGCCCCACCGGCAGCGACGCCATTTATTCATATGGTCATGGGGACGTTGCTGACCACTTTCTGCCGCCTACCACTTTCACCGATTATCCTTCTTCAAGTCCTTCGTCGCACGTCAACTGTGGTGGAAATCTCTTTTATAGCCAGACTGACGTTCCACTCGATCAAGCTTTCGCCTCTGGACCCCCAATCGACACCTTCTCCAATGCATACTCCGGCATGCCACAGGATTGGCTGAGTTTTGATCTGCTCGAGTTCTCGGGTCAATTTCACTCTTCGCAAGAATCTTTGACACCACCAGATCTAGCAGTTATAGGATCAAGCATACTGCCGAACTTCAGCTCAGCCAAAGATGCCAATGCCGTACTCCAAGCATCTGTTGCGCCACCTTTCGAAGGTTCCAGCTCCAAGGTACCCGGAACCAAGGAGCCGCACCGTCCCAGTCAGCCTTGGCCTTTCGAACAGTCGCATGATCGCATTCCCTCAAAATTTCGCCTTCCACCGTTGCGTGACATGCTCAAGGGCAGCAATTCTGCCTCGGCAAACGAGAATTCGCTTTTCGAAGACCTAGCACACCTGCTATCCGAACCTTGCTTATCGCACATTGTCTATGTGGTATCCCACGGCAGATACTCATCAGCATTGCACCTCCTCCGACAAGCACTCGATGCCTACTTCACTCACTTCCATCCGATTCTGCCCATGATACATATACCTACTTGGGACATGTACAAGGATCCCACCGTACTCCTAGCCGCCATGGCCTGCCTAGGAGCAATGTTTCTCGACATACCCAACGCTTGGGATATATCACAGGCCCTGAGTGATATATGCTCACGAATCATCACCTGGCTAGTAGGTCATATATCCTGATCTTTGCAATCTTCGGCGTACACCAGTCATGCTCCGCTACCGTCCAACTTTCAATACCCAAGAGTTATTTGCTGACCAACTCCCGCAGGGCGAGTTAGACACCACGAAGCACCACGACGTCTCTTACCTTAGTGCTTGCTGTTTACACCAAATTTACTCGCTCGGTTCGGGAAATCGGTCGCTCTATCAGAGTGCAGACCGCTCAAGAGGCGCCTTGATAGGGGGGCTAAGAGGAGCCAGTATCCTCTGCGCTCGACTTCAAATCGAGGATGATGGTTCTGACCACAATCAAGCTAACAGGGAGAGAAGCACTTCTGAGCAGAAGGAGTGGCTGGCATGGCGAGACCAAGAACAGGCCAAACGATTGGCATGGAGCGCGTTCGAATATGACTGTAGCCTATGCACACTCACCAATCGGAGAGGTGCGGTAGGCATGGGCGAGCTACCTGATCATTTGCCTTGCACAGAGCCTCTCTGGGAGGCGCCGTCAGCTGGAGCTTGGCGGGCGCTCTTAAACCAGTCCTCTGTGTATGCGCGTGGTTTCCCTTCTGCCACACTTATGCGGAGACTGATGTCCGGATATCCTCCCCCAGCAGATATGCCGCCGTGGGGTAAGCGCCTCTGCGCCCAGGTCATTGGGTGCGTTCTTTGGGATTTGAAGCAGATGGAGGTCTCCTGGATGTCGAGTAACCTTGGACTGTCATCTCTACATTTTGCCAGGTTGCAGACGGTATCCTCTGTCCTCCAGGCATTCGGAAGCTTGTCGACTTCCATGAGCAAAGCCACGTGCATTTCAGAGCTCATCAGCTACAAGTAAGTTTTCTTGACTCAGATCTGAGGTATCCACTAAGAGTCATCCAGTATCTCACGTCTCATCTACCACTACTCCCATCTGTACAGCGCTGATGACACGCTTGATCTCGTCGTCTTTGTTGTACGTGGATCGACTACGTCGTACACGACTGACCACGCCGCCACACGATCAGCATGGAAACGCGGCGAGCTCTCCCGCGCCGTGCAACGCCTGAGCTCAAGACTCGCCGGCGAGCCTCGCAAGGTGCGCAAAATGGTCTGGCACGCGGCGCAAATCATCGCCGTCGCGAACGAGTACCTGGTGTCCGCACCATGTGAGATCATGCGCATCTTCATGGGCTACATCTTCATTATGGCCGTGTGCCGATACGGTCCTCAGCCGAGGTCGGCGGAACAACCAGGTCCCGCGCCAGTGCATCTCGACATTCTGAGCGCGACTCTCACTCCGCCACGTGCGGTCGCTCAGTGGATTGGACATGGCGGGCCAGCTGGACTTGCTGGAATTCCGGACATCTGCAACGCCGCCAGTATTGGACTCGTCAACCAGCAGGCGCAGCACTTGTTGCGGAGACTGCATGTTTGGGGACTGACGGGCAAGTTTCTCAAGATTCTGGATGCGTTCGTGCAATGCGATCGCTGAGCCTCATACTCTGATACACACAAGATTCTGCGATCGAGTCCAGCTCCGGAGTAATAATGACGAAAGCACTGATACGTCAGACCATGAATACTATTAAAGCGTTCGAATAGACAAAACAATAGAGATGGGCTAGAAAAGGAGCACTGAGCTTTGGTTCTTTGCTTCGGTTCGTGGTCTCGACGGCTATGAACATTCTATGACTGGAGTCCAAACTCTGTGGTCCCTTGCGCTGGCAGGGATTCGTTTCGAGTATGAGTGCGCACTGCGCAGAGCAGAACATCAGCAGGTGCTGGGCAATCGTGTACCGCCAGCCTCTACAGGCATCAACTCTGCTATCGTCGCTTCTTCTTATTACAAATCGTCCTCCGGAGTCTCCACCTTACTGCCGTGCATGTTGACCACGTAACCGACTTTGCCATCGACAAGCCTGAGCCCAACGACTCTGGCAGTAATGGTCAGGAGCTTGCCTGCGATCCTGATGGGGAGATTGTCGTCGGGCTCACGGTGACGAAAATTTCATTTGCGGTGTTACGATGATAGCTCTCTACTAAAGGCATTCATGGTCGTGCGATCTACCTTCTGTGCGGCACCTCACTGTTGACGCAACGATGACAGCGAGCGTGCCGCAACGGGTTCGGGGTATGGTCGAGTTCGAATTCCGAATTCGCGTCGCCCATAGGAGCTGCTGCAGACATGACAATGTGCTCGAGTCAGCTTCGGCTCGATAGGGTAGGGCGGTGGTCTTCGACCATGGTAGTACAATTCACTAGCAATATCGCACTTTCAGCAAGCTTACAACGGCAGAGGCGCGATAAGCATGCAAGACAAGCGCTGCCGCCTCTTGCAGAAGACTGCGACGCAAACAATCGACAAGTCTTGGCAACAAGGCCTCAGTCTCAGGGGCTCTTGGCACAGCGCACCGCAAGACCATCGTTTCCACCCGTGCATGCCACCGCAACCATGCGTGCTCAGTCAAAGATATGCGACACTCCCTTTGCGAAGGGCTGAACTTATCTGCTCTATCTATGTACCAAAAACAAAATGCAAAAGGGAGATTCGGGAGCTACGCACAATAGCCGCCAAAAGGCCTGGGCACGACACAACCATAGATAGGTGAATATGGGGACATCCGCCGTACCACTCGGCTTGAAACATTCCAGACGGGTGCAAGATGGCAGCGCGTGCGACACATGACAACTGATGAAATTACGGACAACAGCGCGCAGGAGAGTGCGACAATTAATGGGGGCAGGATTCTTGGTGTTCAGGCGCTACGAGGCAAACGGCTTTGACTTCAAATATATTTTCATTCGTTCTTGGCGAGGCCACTGAAAGGCTGCTGCGGCCTTGCGTATCGTCCCGCGGCCGCGTGACGAGCGTCTGAACGGCACCTGATTGCTGCTGTCGAAGCTGTTGAAGTTGGATCGGCCTTGCTCTGCGCTGCCCACGTGATGAAGCCACTTTCTCAACTGCTGCGCTCGAAAATCTTGTCCAAGTCTGCCGAGCCGGTCGCACGCTGATTGGGAAGCAATTCAGTGTCGTAGATGACCTCCCCTTTGGACAAGCGGATTGTCTTGATGACCCGGCCAGCTTTCCCGCTGTCCGCATCCGGTTCGTAGAAGACTGCGCCGCGTTCGTATTTCGGCCGTGCGATGTCTTGTTCGGGAATCCACCAGGCCTGGCCGTCGCTCATGGCATCTTGGTTGAAGACTTCGTAGTTCCATTCCGTCCTCCCTCTATCGTAGCTGCTGTTCTGAATCTGGAAGAGGTATTTGTCGAACCATTTGCCCTTGGTCCGCACCAGGATCTCTTCGAAGATTGCATACTTTTGCTTGGTGGGCGGCGGGTCATTGAAAATCAGCCGAAGCTTCTTCTTGGGTTGTTACAGTTTAGTAGACTGATCTGGAGAGGTATCGCGTGATATAATACCGAGAAAATCGTCAACTCCATCGAATGTCCAGAGGAGAGGCTGCACGCTTCAGAGGAGCAGATGCGATTGACAACAGCCCAGCTCCCTGCAAAATCGCCATCGTAGCTGTTGGTTGGTTGTTGGACAGGTAATGTGCAAAAATAAAAAAGGATTACGGGTCATCAAGGTGGAGACATTCAGTCACTGGTGAAAAGCTTTTGATTTGTTTGGTCTCAAGCTTGCCTGATGCAAGGATCAAGAAGTCTTCGCTCGCGTTCTCTCTTGGACACGAATGTTAAGATGTCTCAGTGGTCTTCTTGATCACTCCCCAGTGTCCGGTCTCGTCATGTACAGTGCCATGCTCAACATCTCGCCCCTAATCAGGTCTGGATAGCACATTCCTTCATCTCGAGAGTGAAAACCTCCGGCGTAATCTCATATCGAACCTCTCCATCCTTGAAGTGCACACCTGTGATAACACCCTTCCGAATGCCCAGCCCTTCAACGTAGCCTTGGACTGCATCGTTGACCTTGTACAGTGGCTTCACGATCTCCTCCTCCGGCGCGAGCAATGCTGATCGTGTGTGAATTCCAGTCTCGCTCAAGTCGAACTGGTAGAAATCGCCTTGCTTGGACACCTCAAAGACATCAAGCTTGACTGTGAACAGAGTGTTGGAGAATTCTTTTGGTGCTGTCTTGATGAACACCTGGTCGCCAGGATTGTACTTTGGATAGGCTCTTCGAGCGCGCTTGGATGGTCGTGGGGAGAGTGAACGCTGGCGTTCGAGGCCGTGTTTGAGATTGGATGGGGGATCTGCCATGATCTCGGATGGCTTCATGCTTGTTGTTGGGCAGCTTCAACAAACGATGAATGGTGGGTGACGAACAAGAACAAAAGGCAACAAGGCAGAAAGTGGCAAGTATGGTGGTCAAACAGTGGCGAAAGAAAAGCCTCGTGAGCCTTGGCAAGGCGCTCGTTGCCTGTGATCATGGTCTTATTCTGGGTCATGCTGCAGCCATTTTCTACGACGGGACCGAATGTGAAATCCGTATCCAGAACGCATCATTTCGCCTGCTGTACCCATCTCAATCGTCGCACTGTACTGATGCAATTAGCATCGAGAGGCTTTTGAGTTTCCATTTGTCACTATCCCGGGAGACTTCTCGAGAGTGAGCTCGTTGTCTTCTCAGGCCGCTGGTGGGATCTCTCACACTTGATATGAAATGTCATCCTCCGAGAGCCCCAGCAAGCCAAGATCCACATGGTACTTGCACTTTCCTTCCCTGACGTTGACTTCCCCCACGTTACCCGCAAACTGGGAGGATCCAATCGTAATCAGAATGGACTGTCCCACCTTGTATTCGAGCTTCAGTATGTCGGCTTCGACGACGGTGAGTGTGCCGCCTGGGTCACCCAAAGCTTCGTTCTCACACATTTATTTCCAAGTTTCGTCGTTGTTCGGGTAGGTGCAACGCTTGGTGGTCACCGCAAGTCCGTTAATGGGACTATCTGGCGTGGAGGTCTAAACCATTGCAAGATCACCCTTCTTGAACTTCCTCTCTGATCTGGGATTGGGCCTCGATCTCTTGGACGGCTGTGTGAGCGCGTATTGATCAGCTTCATGTGCAGCTTCAGAGAGGTCATGATCAATCAGCATCACAGGCATGGGGCTCCTTGGATGTCGGTAGTCCGCGAATCCACGCCCTCGAATCGATGCGGATTGGCGGTACAGATCTATGCTGTGCTTCTCCTCCATACTTGATGATGAAATAAGAGAGTATCAAATGGTATAACCGACGCGAATCCTCTATAATAAAAGGTCGAGCACGGGATTGGACACTCGTGCTACAAGACGCTTCACTCCTTTACGAGGTCACTTCAGGCTTACTCCAGATTGTTTCGGCAAGTTAATTGGGTGGAAGACAAATCAACGGCTGGTTTGGGCCTCATATAAATTCAAGTTCTGCTAGAAGGGCCCTTCGAGCTGCGTTCGATTCGCTCTGTCGTCTTTTCCATCATCAGCAGTGAGCACCGCAAATTCCTAGTCCCAGCTCGGGATGCTCGACCGAGACCCTTCCTACTACAAGCCTCTCACCTCTCCCTCAAAAGCCACATCTTATCCCCTCCTCACTTCTCCTCCTTAACGTCCTTGACCTCCCCTTTCGCCCCCTCCGTCTTCTCCCCCTTAACCTTCCCACCCTCACCTACCGCCTTCTTCAGCTCCTTCTCCCCCACCTTCACCACCCCCACAACCTCAACCTCGTACCCCCACCCCTCATCCTCCGACACCTTCTCCACCACCTGCCCCTCAACCCACTGCCCATTGACTTTCACCTGCACGACTTCCTCAACACCAAATCCCACGTCGATACTCTTCTCAGGCGCCCACCAGAACGTGCTGAGCGGCAGCACGGTGCCCTCGCTTTCGACAAGGTAGAAGTGGCTGCGTAGCTGCTCGTTGTATTTGTGGTCAGTGATGGTGACGGGGGTGCGCAGGGCTTTGATGGCGGGGGTGCCGCTGCCGCCGAGGAAGGGGCGGATCATGGCTTGCGTGCCGACGCTGTAGAGCTGGGGGGAAGAGGCTTTGGTGGTGCGGGGCCGCTTGCCGGACCGAGATGTGCTGGGCGTGGCAGAATTCGTTGATTTGACGGGCTTGACGTCGGGAGTCTCGGATGAGCTTCGCTTTGAGGCGAGCTTGAGGCGCTTGAGTGGTGAAGCAGTGGACTTCTCGGTCTTGTGGGTGGAATACTCGTAGTTGGTGTCAGGGCTGCTCCCGCCGTCGGAGGAGAGTAGGTCGACGGCATGAGACTTCGTGTGGTTATCGCTCACGGACTGGATCCTGGTTATTGACTTTTCGCCCTGACTGATCGTCGTACTCACAACTCGCTCGCGCTTCTTCTTTGGGATGATGAAGCCGGGTATACCACCGAGAACATCTCTCTGGGGTGCCTTGGCGGTGTTCTGGAATTCGGTGCGTGAGTGATCGCTGCCGTTGACCATGTCTCCGGCGGGAAGTTCATTGGGCTCCTTTGGGGCTGTTGAACCAGCAATACTAAGCGGAACCTCGATGCTAGGCTTCACAGCGGTCTGCTTGGGTTGAGACATATTAGTCGAATGGATGTGAGATATTCTCTACGAGCGGAGTCCTCACTGATGTCAACAAGTGGAGGATCGATCTAGCCTATAGACAGGAGCTCAATATATAGGCCGGTCCCATGTGAGGCGAAGTGAATGACCGGATGCCAGTTCCCGGACTGGGGGTGTTTCTGAACCTCAAGTGAGCTTGAGACCAGATCACTCTGCCTCAGTCAAAGTCAGCTTCGTAGACATCGAAGCGTGCTTTCAACATAGCTGTTCAGGCAAAATCTTGAGGTACAAGCAAGATCCAAGCTAATCGAAAGCTGCTCAGAAAGCACTGGAACGGGAGTGTTGCTGCTATCATTGCCGCATCTAATGGATGTAGTTCTGCTAGCGACCTCTCGCAGACTCGTAAGCAATTTTCTGTTGTCTGAAACCATTCAAGCGAACGAGAGCTCAAGCCATCCCGAGCTGGTAGCGTTAGCCGGACAAGGCCACCAGGCTGCCAAGCCAAGGGGTGGCCAGGACGCCTTGCGACGAGCAGGCGTCGAATCGAAGACGACCTGGTTTATCGGGGCTTCAAATCATCTCGGAACCGGCACGGAGAGCAAGCGGAACGAAACTCTTATCACTCATGACCATACGGTCTACTGGCACTCATCAGCACAATTCCGTGACATTTGTTTCATGATGCTTTCTCATTGTAGTACAGCCACCTTCGCCACGAACACGTTTGCGTCACAGCTACCATAAGGGCCGCCAACCAGGCGGCTGATGCACACCTCCGTGCTGTTGGTCTCAACACTGGAAGTTCAACTACGTAAGAAGTCTTGGCTGTCGACACTGGATCTTTCTATCGTCTCTTCGTATTGTCGGGGGTATTTAGTGAGAAGAGCGGGAACTTTTTGTCTAGTGATGCCTGCTGCCTCAATGCCTAGGAGACACGAGTCGTATGCTTGTCTCTTACAAGAAGTAATCGGGCGTTCTTCTGCTGACCATTGGCTCGCCAGCGCGTGGGCAAGGATCGAATTGGAGGCTGCAAAAAGTTAGTGGCGCTTGCGACATAGCATGGCATAACTCACAATGTGTACTTCAGGTGCTCATCAATCTCCATGATAGCAGCCTGGTTGCCACATCTGTAGCAGTAGTTGGGGGCACTGAAAATGGTAACCACATTCCTATCTTGGCTCCAATTGTAGCCCTCCATCACCAACTGATGAGCTCTTGCGACTAAGGTCAGGCCATTGTTGTGATTGAAAGCTTCTGAGATGTCTTGGCCGAAGGTATAGCCTGCGCCGCGGGGGCTTATACCCCAACCGCAACGATCATCGGGGTCGGACCAGAGGAGATCACACATGGGTCCTTCGTGAGGCACTTCTTGTATTCTGTCGAGAGATCTGATGTTGTCAAGGGTATCGATACTTGGAGAGAGACCACCATGAAGGCAGAAGATCTGGTTGTCAATGAGAGCGGTCAATGGAAGGAAATCGAAGAGATCTGTGAAGTATTTCCAGACATTGGCATTGCCGTATTTCCGCAGGCACTCATCGTAGAAGCCATAGACTTGAGTGATCTGGCGGGACTCGTGGTTTCCACGTAGGATAGTAATACGGGAAGGGTATCGAATTTTGAGTGCGACGAGGAGGGTGACAGTCTCAACGGAGTAGTAGCCACGGTCGACGTAGTCACCTGCGCCTGTTAGCGAGAGCGGCATTGCAGCATGAGATGAACCTACCCATGAAGAGGTAGTTGGTGTCCGGATTGGGGCCACCGATACGGAACAACTCCATTAGGTCGTGGAATTGGCCGTGGATATCACCGCAGACAGTCACAGGACATTTCTAGGAATTGTTAACAGGGTCGGTAGTCTTGTGGCGGTGGACTTACGACTGGCTGTACGTTGGACTCCTCTTGAAGCACTTCCCTCGCCTTTTATCGTCAGTATCGCAGCTTCTGATAACATCCGCATGACACTCACCCTGTCGCAGAGCCTTGACACATCGGCTTCTGATAGCTGCTTGCAGCTCATCAAGTTCTCAATCCACCCATCCAACGTGGGGATAGACCCAGGATCTTGGGTCAACGATAGCTTGTGCGGCTCTGCTGGCTTGCTGACATCTATATCCATCTTTGTATCCAACGGAGTGCTGGTTGGGAAGCCCTCCATGGCGGCGGCTCGGGGGGAGTCAACGGGTGGGTAGGGGTTTCAGGTCGTGTGAGGTGGTCGGTGTTATGGTCAGGTAGGAATGGGATTCGGCGGGGAAGACAGGCGTCTATCGGTAGCAGACAGAGCGCAGAACGCGCGTGTTGTTGCGTTACAGTGTGCAGTATTAATCAGGTTTAATCGTAAGGTGGTCGTCGAGCTGAAGAGCGCAGTTGCAGGCGGACTATGACATACATCTGCAATCTCTCAATCCGGTCACCGTAGCAAAGCTTGGCACTAGCCTTACGAAGCAACACCTTGACACCTCGCCAAGACTGAATTGCCTCTTGCCTCTGGTTTCGAGTGAGCTAGCTGAAGTTGGATGGTGCAGAGGAGTCTTCTATTTGTTTCGGATTCTTCGTTAACTAAGCAGAATGGTTTGCGATGTTCTACATAAGAGGCTGTCTAGAAGCCATCTATCTCGAGGCCCTAGGGCAGTCGTAGTGTCTGTTGATTGCTCGCCCGCAATCCTTTCTCATCAGGTCGTCAGCTCATTCTTCGTGTTCTCGTGTCTTTAGATGAAATCGCCTCCTCCAAACCCACCAAATGGGTTCCGAGGGCCGCCACCGCCACCTCCAGGGAATCGAGGCCCGCCCCTGAGATTCGGGGGGCCATCGCCTGGTCCAACTGGATCGTACCGCGCTCCTGGGGGAGCCCTAGGGTCATAGCCGCCGCCGCCACCCTGTCCACCAAATAATGGATCATCGAACGTTGGGTGCATACCGCCGCCACCATGGAAGCCTCCACCGCCAGGTCCGATGCGCAGAGGGTCGTGGGGTCCCAAACCTGGAGGATACAAGTCTCGCTCGCCAATGTTTCCGAATGGTTGATTGCCACCTAACATGCCCCTAGGAGGTCGGTTGATCTCGTACTCATCTTCGAAGCCCGGAGGAGGAAAATCTCCAGCTGGGACTGGCCTGCGTGGAGCAGCTGCAAGGGGGTCGTCGAATGGATATGGCCGAGCTGGTCGAGGCTGGTCGTCTCTGAGAGGATCGTAATCTGGTCTCCTGGGTTCCTCAGCCCGTGTCGGACGCTCGGACGCGGACTGGCTGTCTTCATAGCCAGACTTGTGGATGCCTGGTGCAAGTTTCTGAATGATGTTGGATTTGACCAACGCGGCCAGATCAGCAACGCGACCGTTGGATATGAATATATTTCGGAGAGCAGGTATCTGGTCTGAGCCTGGTTTCTCCTCCTTTAGCGAGCCCTCTGACACAAAATCAGAGGCTTTGACCTCGAATGAGGCGGTTTTGTCGTCGCCCAAGGCAATACCGTGAACAAGAGCCTTACCTCCTAGGCGGTTGACTTTCAAGAGGAACTCCATAGATGACTGGGGATGGGTATAGCGGAAAGCATAAGTAGGTGCGGCATTCCATATCGATGGTAGTGGGCTGGCGTCTTGTGGATCTGACTGCGCTTCGATTCTGTGATCCTCACCCAAGCCTACTAACTTGAAGCCTACGCCAAGCATGCAGGCATGGCAGAAGACGCCGATTGCAGAAAATGGATCTTTTAGAATCTGGGGTTCGTCTTCTGAGACGGGAGGTAGGCTCTTAGAGACGTAATTGAGAATCGAGTCAGGACTCAGCGCGGCATCGGTCGGAGCCATGTTGGCTGTACTGAAACTGGAGGTGGGGCACTGGTCGGGGGTATGATGTTGGGGTTCACGATGAACTGATCGAATGAATGAGCAAGAGCAGAGGCTGTATGCAATGCTAGACTACAGATGTGAGGTTGTCGAACGCGCAGGCTGCAGAACACACGCGCAGCTCGCTAGAGGCCGACGCCCCACTGCGAGCAAGCCGATACGTCACCGAATTACCGATTTCGACTTCTGGCCTTCTGGAGTCGGATCAAACTCTTCCGGGGATGAGCTGCGGGCCATTCGTGTTCGGTCGGCCCCGAGCTGCAGCTTTCCTCGACTTCACCCCTCCCCCCACCACAACAGATGGCTCCAGACCGATGTTACGTGGTTACGTGCAGCTACAATCGCTGTCGGTGGAGTTAAAGACTTCTCGAGTGAAGTTTGTCCGCTATCTGTCTATACGATAGAGGTTGTGCGATCTGTAACGCGTACAGCACCTGGTAAGTCAGGGCCATCCAACTGCAGTCAGACCAATGGCAAGCGACTTATGAACCTATGAAGAAGCGTATTCACTGAACACCAAAGTATAGACGCTCGACAGCGAGTCCAGAGGCGCTGCAAAGTTGCTCCGCTGCAGCAGGCTCTGCAACGGTCCAGAATCGCGACCGTCGGCGGTTCGCGCTGCAGTCGGCGGCTTGAAAGGGCGAGACCCTAACCCTAGGCACCGTTTGCCCGTGTCTCCGACCGCTCCTGCAGTTACTATTCGCTGTATGGACAAAGCATGTGTCCCGCTCTGGAGATAATTCGTTCCATTATTCAGGTAGGTATGCTATATGGCCTTGTCTCCATGCGGAAGCAGGAAACACTCGTAGTCGGATTTTGACCATGATGTAAGTTCCTGGACCTTGTTGCATCTATAAGAGCGCGGTGACGGCTGTAGGTTTGCCCTCTTCTACCACAACCCAGGAGCACCGAGTTCAACATCCTTCTCACGCGACTGCAACCTCTCAAGCACCAGCTCACTGTCACACTTCTCTCGTCATGTCGAGTGGAGGAGGTCAGGAGGGTCAACAGGTCAGTCGTGTTCCACGTAACCTCCATCTGTCTGACAAGCCTCAGGCCATGCATGCACCCTATCCTCCACGATTTGCTGGCGTCGGCGGCAGAGCGAACGTGGGAGTGGATGTTCCCATCAGCGCCGTCTTCCTCTTCCTTTTCGTTGTCGGCGCAGCTACGCACATGACCATCTTTCAGCTCAATATGCGCAAAGGCCACAAATTTATCATGAGCGCCATGACCTTTGGCTTGTGCATGGCGAGAATCCTTACCATGATCCTGCGAATTGTGTCGGCATGCTATCCCCACGACGTTCAAATCGCCATCGCGGCTCAGATTTTTGTGTCAGCTGGTGTGCTTATTCTCTTCATCCTCAACCTCATATTCGCTCAACGCCTCCTCCGAGCGGCACATCCTCACTTTGGCTGGCATAGAGGGTTCTCGATCGCCTTCCAGGTGCTGTACGCTTTGGTTGTGGCCATGTTGGTTATGGTCATCACAGCTACCATCCAGTCCTTCTACACCCTCAACCCGCACACCTTAATCGTGGACCGAGACCTTCAGCGCACTGGCGGCACTTACTTCATGTTCGTTGCATTCCTGCCCATTCCTATGGTTATCATTGGCTTGCTCGTTCCGCGAAAGACTCGGCTTGAAAAGTTCGGCTCTGGTCGCTGGCGGTCCAAGATCGCCATCCTGCTCGCATCAGCAACACTTCTCACCCTCGGTGCAGCTTTCCGTGCTGGCACCAGTTTCAAGAACCCTCGCCCAATCAGTGATCCAGCATGGTATCATGCCAAGTGGTGCTTCTACTTCTTCAACTTCACTATGGAGATTATCGTGGTATACCTGTATGCGCTGGTACGAGTCGACCGTCGATTCCACATCCCCAACGGCAGCAAAGGCCCAGGAGACTATACTCGACAAGGTGACGAGCGTGACACCGAGAAGGACGATCGCCCCAACAGCCATGATAGTGTCTATAGGATCATGTCGGAAGAGGAGGTTTTCGACGATGTCTCGCCCGGCGACGTGCACACCGCCAAAGACGAGGAGAGTGGTCAGCATTCGAGACCGGTGAACGCATCATGATCCCCCGGATCAAGAATGATTGGGCTTTTGCCCATGTACGATACTTGCACATAGACACTTACGATATCACGAATGAAATGAGATAGACGTACGGCATTAGCACGATGATAAGACAGACACTTCGACTGACCGGAGAAATGGGTGATGCGCTGTTTGTACTCGTAGTCCGCCCTAGTATGATGCCAAGACTCATGTCGTGGCCCGAGCTTTGGGTGCGGAATGTTTTTGCTGTCCCGTTCAAGTCGAGTCTCCACCATCAATGTACAACCAACTCTTTCACGCGTGCAACCGAGTGACTAGGAGGCCATCGACTTCACGCCTGCCTAGGCGGCTGGTAGTGACACCATTGCAACCGCCAACGATTGCGCCTTCATATACTGTTGTTGCGCCACTTACCCCTTCTGATCACAACCACGGCGCGTCGCGAGCCTGATGTCTTGGCCGTTGCGACTGAATTCTCAAGACTCTCGATCAAGCCCCAGCACCTCGGCGCCAGACTCCTCGTGGTGATTCATCTCGCTCATCAAGTATCTCTCATTTGCGCCGAGTGCATGCGCATGACTCAACGTGGACCTAGACAGGGCCACTGAGGTGGACACGGGGGGAAGCCGTGCGCGACAACAGCTAGCAGCAATCATGCCGCCTAGGAAGTCAATGGGACGGCCGAGAGGCGCAACTCCTGCTAGGGCAACGAGAGTCAGCACAGGCGCAGATGTTGACACTCCTCCAAGCAGAAGAACCACGCGCCAAGCCACCCAGAAGGCTGCATCTCAGAGCGGCGAGACACCATCACCAAACAATCCACACCTACCAGATGTCCAGACTCGACAGTCATATGCCTACGGCGCCAATGCAGGGCCTACCTTGCCCGATACACTGGCTACCGAGAACAAGTACTCGATCGATGCAATGGCGGGCCACATCGAGGAAGTTGTCGACGAAGAAGAGCCTGAGCCCGTCGAGGAGCCTCGAGACGACGACGAAGAAGGCTCACATCGATCACAACTTTCTGACATTGTCGAAGAAGAGAACGATGATGCGCATGAGACTTCATCGCAACCTTCGGCATTCCCGAGTGATATCATGGATCACAGTTACAACTACGAGCGAGGTGTTCGGCGGTTACGACCGACCTTGGTTCAGCCCCCCGCTGCCCCTCGTCGGTCACCGGTCAAGCAGATCTCACAGACTGCTCAATCGGCCAGAGATACTGCATCACGGGTCACTGATACTCTGAGCAAACGGTCGGGTCAGGCTGCCACTCAGATAAGCGGTGCTGTCGCTGCCGCCTTCCACTGGGTCGCCGATGTCGTAAAGGGCGCATGCGAATCGATCTCAAAGCTGCCACTCTCATCGCTCGGTGCCGGCCTCACCGCTGTGCTAGGCGTGCTCCTGGCTTTGGGTATGTTGGGTAGCACAGTCTGCTTTTTCTATACTCGAATCGGCTGCAGTATGATTCCGACGACAGGTTTCGGCCACAATGTCCACACTGGCTTTCACGCGATTTGCGGCGACTGCCAGATACCAAGAACTACCATCGATCTGACGAACATAACTTCGGACGATATTCACAAGGTCTCATCTACACTCTCTAACATCAACAAGCAGATCCAGGATCTCGAACGGCGATTATCATATCGTATTGACAGCAAGTACGGTACACTCGAATCTGACCTCGTCCTGCTGAAACAGCAGCAAACTGCTCTGAGCAACCACCTCGCCGATCACGTCGACCAACAGTCGGGTCCATCGAGCGGCAATGTTGCTTCTCCGCTCATACCCAAGATCAACTTCTTCGCCCCAAGTAATGGCGCTGTAGTCGACCCGACCAGGTCCACACCCACCAAAGAAAAGCAGCCGTCCTTCTTCATGCGCGCCCTCAAGCGCGGGCTCGGCATGACTAAATACCAGGCCCACCCGCCATCTACAGCAGTCATTGCCTGGCACGATGTCGGTGACTGCTGGTGTGCAGCCAAAACAGTACCCGGCCAAGATTTCATTCGTCTCGCCATCGACACCAAGGAGATGATCTACCCCACTGAGCTGGTGATCGAGCATTTCCCTGCCTCGGGCAATCTGGACCGCGGCAGCACGCCACGCAAGATCGAGCTGTGGGCCGACTTCTCGCATTTCAGTGACGAAGAGTGGAAGCAGCTGCAGCTCGTTGATATGCAGGAGGGTAATGTACTCGGCGGGCAGTACGCGCGGTTGGGAAACATGAAATATGACGCTACAGGACGGACAAGCCACATCCAATCAGGGATCTTGAACGTAAATCAGTACGGGCTGGTGCATTACGCGAAGGGCTTTGTATTGCGGGTCACGGGCAATTACGGCGGGGAAAATGTCTGCCTGTACAGAGTGAGGCTGCATGGGCAGCCGCTTGCAGCACCCCTAGCGGGTGCGGCGGATGAGTGGTACGACCAACAGGGCTATGAGGCCGAGGACGGTTAGGCCTCTGCATCTTGGGAGACGCGACTGCCATCCCAGCCAGCGAAATGACATCTCACTTCCTTCCAACGTTCCAAAATGCCTGCAGCTTAGCGTGAGACTTCTGGATGGGACTGTAGTTGATGTGACGCCGAGTGCGCCTGTCAGTATGAGCGTTTGTGGTTGCCTTCTTTTCGTTGACCACTTCTCAGCTCCTGAACTTTTCAGGCAAACGCTCAACTGATCAGAGCCCAGTTGGGACCAAGAGACTGGCAAATTGGAAGCGAAAGTCTTTCGAATCGGATAGCAGGTTCCGCAACGAACAGGCCATCAAATTCAACCCGTTGGCTCTGGCAGCAGGGCTTCGGTGGTCAGGTGAAGCACTCCATACTGGCCAAATCTCATGTAGATGTTGCGAGATCGAAGGCACGGTACGAGTCTTGTTCACAAAAGTAGCGTCAAGGAGAACAGACGCTGTGGGAAGTTGAGGTGAGGTGAGGTCGAGAAACATTCAAGTGGAGACGGTCAACATGCCAAGGAGCGGGATCGGAGGGACGTGTCTCCGCCATGCAGTTGGGCGTGGAAAGTTTTGGAGGGGCGGTCCTATATAAGAGTTAAGGAGCTCTCGCCGATTTAGCATCGACGTGTTGAAAAAGTAGAACGACGCAGAGGCGACCAGTGGCTGAACTCGAGCTGTTTGTTGCCCCAAATATCTGAGCTGTGACATCACACCAGTCCCCCCGCTATACGCCCGCTCGCTTACGCTCGCGCAAAACATCACCACGAGGCTGGTGCTCAGAGCTACCATTTTCAGCATCCCTGTAGGCATACATTCTCAACATGACGGAACCATCAGCAAAGTACTCCTCCACGAGGTATTCCGACCCTTCGCTCAAGGAGTTCTTCACGTTTGAGGAAGTGGTGCTCAAAGGCTTGGCATCGGACGGCGGCCTCTTCCACCCTCACAGTATTCCCAACATTCGGGATCAGCTGCCGGAATGGAAGGACCTGTCGTTCCAAGGCCTTGCTTTCAATATCATGAGGCACTTCATTGACCCGTCAGAGATCTCAGACGCTGAGCTCAGGGGCCTGGTTGACCGGTCCTACGAGCCTTTTCGCTCCCCGGCCGTCACTCCTGTTGTTCCCCTGTCAAAGTCTGCCAATCTGCACCTCCTCGAGCTCTTCCATGGCCCAACGTTCGCGTTCAAGGATGTCGCCCTGCAGTGCCTCGGCAATCTCTTCTCCTTCTTCCTTGTCCGCAAGAACAAGGCCATCCCCGCCAACACTCCCCGGCACCACCTGACCGTCATTGGCGCCACGTCTGGAGACACTGGCTCTGCCGCCATCTACGGTCTTCGCGGCAAGCCAGATGTTTCCATCTTCATCATGTTCCCGCACGGCAAGGTCTCGCCCGTGCAAGAGCTGCAAATGACCACCGTGCCGGATCCCAACGTGCACTGCCTTTCCGTCACAGGCACCTTTGATGATTGCCAGGACTACGTCAAGGCTTTGTTCTCGGACCCGGAAACGAATAAGATCCACCATCTTGCCGCCGTGAACTCGATCAATTGGGCGCGCATCCTCGCTCAGATAACCTACTACTTCAGCGCCTTCTTCCAGCTGCAGCGTCAGCAATCCTCAGTCAAGAAGGTCCGCTTCGTCGTGCCCACCGGCAACTTTGGCGACATCCTCGCAGGCTACTATGCTTCGCGACTGGGTCTGCCGGTCACGAAGCTTGTCATTGCAACCAATGAGAATGACATCTTGCACCGCTTCTGGGAGACAGGTCGGTATTCCAAGTCGCCCAAGCCACCACAAGAGCCGCATGAGGGTATTCCCTCCGATGGTGCAAAGGCACACGAGGAAGGAGTCAAAGAGACCTTCAGCCCTGCGATGGACATTCTGGTCAGCAGCAATTTTGAGCGGCTGCTGTGGCACCTCACCTTCGAGCACGAGTGCGAGCTCAACCCACATATGAAGACGGAAGCAAGTGTACAAGCTGCGGGTAGGAAAATCAACGAGTGGTTCGCCCAGTTGAAGACGACGGGCTCATTCACAGTCGATGGAGAGATCTGGAACAAAGCTCGGGAGCTCTTCACAAGTTATCGGGTGTCGAACGCGCAGACGCTGGAGACCATCAGGGGCAGCTACCGTGGGGAGGCAATTGAGGAGAAGGGATATGTGCTCGACCCGCACAGCGCCATTGGCGTCCACGCTGCGCTAGAGGAAATCAAGCAAGATCCGTTGCAGGAAGGCGAGACGATCGTGAGTCTGGCGACTGCGCATCCAGCCAAGTTTGCCGGAGCGGTGGAGATGGCACTGAAAGACGAGGCGGACTTCAAGTTTGAGAGCGTGCTACCAGAGGAGTTCAAGGGCTTAGACGGCCTAGAGAAGAGGTTAGTCAGGGTGGAGGAGGGCAAGGGTCTGGCTGAAATCAGGGATCTGATCACCAAGGAGGTGGAGAAGGAGAAGGCGGAAAGGAATGGTGCTTGATGTGTAAAGAGTGCCTTGTATTTGTTTGTGGCAGTCGTGCAAAAGTTCCCATACTCCCTATGATATAGATTATAGAAGTGGCAGCAAAACCACCATTCGTCTTCGCAGTATCGAGCCAGATGGGGCAAACTTCCTTCCTAATGCGGTACCCGGCGGAGCTTTCGATGGCGCTGCGAGCCCAAAACTTCCAGAATCTTTGTTCGCCACTTGATCGTCTCCTCCACCGTAACATTGATTCCAGGCGTTGATCTCGTAGCGACACACGCTGGCCAGAGCCTCACTCTTCCTTCGTGAGAATTCACTGCCGCTACAGACGATGCAAGAAGCACGTCGTCTCGACGATGAAAAACACCAAGAGTTGCGGGAGGAGAATCTAGTTCACCTCATTAGCGAAGGGGCGAGTAATGCTGGTGATGGATCATCAGTGGCATCGTCAATCCAATTAGAGGAGACTGACCTGGCGTCTGTCACGACCTCCGAGGCCGACAAGTCCAAGTCTGAATACAGCATCGTCTACCCAGTCCCCGCTCCTCCAAAACGGCACAAAAAGGCGTCGAGGCGGCTCGATGGGGCTGTTTCCGATGATGAGCCACTGGTCGACAAGACGGCAGCCCTCACGCTCAAGTCCAAGAAGCTTGCGCGTCGTCAGAAGAAACAAGCGAAGAAGCGTGTCGAAACCTCTATCCACACCATGCTTGACCTGCCGCACGAGGTCCTCACTCATATTCTCAGCTACCTCAAACCTACCGACATGTTTACGCTGCTGCGGGTGTCGCGCTCGGTGAATGAAGTCATCCAGGACAACGAATCCAACATTGCCGCTGCCATAATTAGCCATCGTTATCGCTTCTTGTCACAGTGCTTTCCACCCCCTGTGCCCCTGGCTTCGGTGCCGGCCCAGGCTCACTCGGCCCTCCTCTCGGAGAGGTGGCAGCATTTGGTCCGCATTCATCGCTTCTCGTATCAACAAATTACGCAAGTAGCTGATCCTGCACTGGTGTGTTCATGCACCGCTTGCGTCCTTGCCTGGAACAACCTCAACACGATCCTCGATCTTGCGCACTGGCAGTACAATCTTGCCCATCGAGAGCCGCTGCCCATAATCCCACGAGGTCAGAAGCCCGATTGGAATACCAAGCTCCTCTCCAACCACGCAGAAATCGTCACCCGGGCCATGTATCACCCGCTGACGTACCTCGCTATCCTTCAAATACATCTCGACACCACAACCTCAACCATCCTGCGCTCCTCTCGCTGGCGCAGGAAGGGCGAGAACCCGAATATCGTCAAGCCCCGCCTCTACGGTCTGACCGATACCGAAGCAGAGAGCGGCACAGACACATATCTAGCAAGGAAAGGACGAGAGAATTTCAACCCCATCTATATGCGCGACCAATACTACACCACCGAAGTCTGGATGCCAAACCGGAAGTGGGACCGCGAGGAGGAGCGATGGCGGTACTATGCAAAGCCGCAGCACGAGAACGACGTAAAATGGATTCAAGAGCGCTTTACACCTACCGAGTAGACACCTGGGAATATCCTGTCGGGTGCCTCACGTACGAACGGAAACAATATCCGCCAGGTTGCGGACCATCTTCCCCGAGCACCGACGCCAAGTCTTTGACCTCGTTTCGTCCGTTTCTACCATGACTTCATCAAGTCTTCCTCCGTGCCGGATTTCTTTTCAGGGAACGATTATAGGTATCGATTATGCACGGCGAATCATTCTGGAATGGAGCGTTCAGTATAATTCGTGCGGTGAGTATCCGCGGACGAAGGGTTCGCGCACGAATATAAATGCTAGGCTTCCCTCACCCAGTAGACGAGGAAGTGAGTACGGATTTACGCATGTTCTACGTGGCAAAACAAGGTAACAAGCGTACCTTAATACAGCATCATCTCTTCGTCGCCTGCCATGACCACCGCGCCGCAACGACTTCTCATCACAGGCGCCACCGGCAAACAAGGCGGCGCCCTCATCGCCTCCCTCCTGCGCCAACCGCCTCGCACTCCAACACAAATCGTCGCTCTTACCCGCGACCCAGCGTCTTCAAGCGCGAAACGCCTCCTCGCCTCCGCCACTAGCGTCGCACCATCCACCCTCTCCCTCACCCTCCTACAAGGCGATCTCGACGACAGCACCAAAATCTTCACCTCGGCCGCCTCCCAATTCAACAACCCCCACCCCTTCCACGGCGTCTTCTCCGTCCAGGTACCCCTCAACCCGACGCGCGAGGAAGCCCAAGGCAAAGCCCTCATCGACGCCGCCGCCCGCTTCGGCGTCCGCCACTTCGTCTACACGAGCGCGGACCGCGGCGGCCAACAACGCAGCGACGCCGACCCCTCACCCGTGCGCCACTTCGCCAGCAAGTTCCGCATCGAGGAGCACCTGAAGCGCGTCGCCACTGCGGAAGCATCGGGCATGGCATGGACCATCATCCGCCCCGTCGCCTTCATGGAGAACCTCAGCGACGACTTCCTAGGCCGCGCCTTTGTCGCCATGTGGCGCCTCAACGGCCTTGACGACCGCCCGCTGCAGCTCGTCAGCGCTTCCGACGTCGGCGTCGCGGCCGCAGACGCGTTGCGCTCCCCGCAGAAGTGGGCAGGCCGCAGCGTGAGTCTGGCGGGTGAGGAGATTAGCCCGGCGCAGGCGGATGAGGTGTTTCGGAGGCTGGTGGGGAAGCCGTTGCCGAGTACGTATGCGTTTGTGGGGAGGGGGTTGAGGTGGGGTCTGCGCGAGCAGTTGGGGGATATGTTCGATTGGTTTCGTGATGTAGGCTTTGGGGCCGATGTGCAGGGTTGTCGGAGGGAGTGGCCGAAGATGATGGGGTGGGAGATGTGGTTGAGGGAGAAGAGTGCATGGAAGGGGAGGGTGGAGGCTCGGGAGAGGGAGAATGGGGCTGAGGCTAGGGACGGGGCTTGAAGGGTGCTTTGTGAAGGCACGAAGGAGAGGGAGAGGGGGGGAAGAGAAGCGGTGAACAGAGACGTCCCTGTCATTGTTTTGTACAACCTTGTTTGAACCGCTGCGCAATAAACAGGACTTCGAAGTCAGATTTGGCGGAGATCATGGGATGTGTTGCGAATTTCGAAGCCGTGTAGAGTTGTCGTGTGGAAGCCGATATCGAAGACAAAGCTCGTCGCCGTTAACTTGTCGTTGTCGAGGATAGGAGCGAGATCTTCGAGGTTTTCAAGTCCGGCTATAAAGTCGAAATTGCGAGCGCACGCTATCACCCAAGAAACGCTTGAGTGTACGGCACAAACAAATACTTGAGCGTTCGGTCCTATCTACACTAGTCATCAAAACAACCAGATCCCCGTCTCCTCAGCCCCCTCCAAACGATGATCAGCGCCTTCGTCAAAAGATATACTCAAAATCCAGCGCCTTATCCCCCCTCTGCCCATTATCCGTCACCCCCTCAGCGCGCTGCTGGGCTTTAATCTGATTCCGCCTCCGCAAAATCACGTAGATGACGCCAATCCCCAAAATGGCGCAGAACTCCATGGCCATGGAGATGGAGTTGCCCATGATGAAGCGCGGGGCGGTGAAGTTGGGGTAGACCTGGCTGGCGGCGACGCCGGAGGTGTTGGCGATAGAGATAAAAAAGGGGATGGCGGCGCTGCGTTTCGAGTCTGGGCGGATGTTGTTCGAGACCCAGGTCACGAGGATGGTGTTGTAGCTGTAGACTAAAGGCAGTGTGAGTGGGATGGTCGTCTAAAGAGAGGGAGTTGGGTGGTAGATGGGGGAGAGGTAGGGCTTACCGCCAGAGCAGAGGAACATGGCAAAGTAGCCGGCGCCGACGTTGGGCGTGCCGATGGCGATGGCGTAGCCTATCAAGACGGGGATGGGCGCGCACACGGCGATGATGGCGCGCTTTCGGAGTCGGTCGGAGATGTAGGTGATTAGGGCCAGGTAAAAGCAACCTAAAATGTAGACTGGTATGGTCAAGTAGTTCACCTGAATACTCTCGTAGCTGTCACATGGTCAGTATCAGTTCCATGTACTCGGCAGCGCAGATCAGCCTCGGGACATCTGCTTACCCAAAGCCACGGATGATGGTTGGCAAGAAGGTGCCATAACCAAAAAGTGGCACGCCGGCGCAGAACAGAGACAAGCCCGCGGCGATGACCATGGGGTCCGTGAATGCCGACCTGGCGTCCGCCCACGAAAGCCCCGCATCACCCTTGTACGCGACGTCTCTCCGGCGTCGGTCCTCCATGAGCTGTTTCTGCGCGGCGGTGAGAAACCAGGCGTGCTCGGCGGTGCGCGGCAGCGACGCCCAGCACGCCATGCCGAGCACGATCGAGATGATACCCTCGACGATGAAGAGCCAGCGCCACGCCTCGATGCCGTGGCGGTCGCCCATCAGTTGGATGCCATACGCGATGAGACCGCCAAAAGCGCCCGCGACGGCCGTGGAGCCGTACAGGACGGCGATCCGCTTCGCCTGGCTTTCACGCGGGTACACGGTCGAGACGACGAAACTACAGGCGGGGAAAATGCCCGCCTCGGCGGCGCCGAGCAGCAAGCGCATGGCCAGCGTCTGCTCGTAGTTGTGCACGAAGCCGGTGCCGATGGTGACGGCGCTCCAGGCCACGATGGCGACGGCGATGACGCTGTTGGCGCCCCATTTCTTGACGGCCATGACCCAGGGGACTTCGAAGACGACGTAGGTCACAAAGAAGAGGGAGGAGACGTTGGCGAATTGGTTGCCGACCAGGTTGAGGTCTTCTTCAAAGCCGAAGATGCGGGCGTTGCCTGTTGAGATTTGTTAGTGGTTGCGCTGGTTTGGTGCGGTGATGCTCGGTCGCACCAATGTTAGATCTGTCCAGGTAGGCCAGCATGATTATTATGACGAATTGAGGCTGGCGCTCTGGTTAGACCTGTACTGTGAAGAATAGAGGATGAGTTACCATCATCAACCAGTCGAACTTGGTCATGATCTTGCGCTCAAGGACGGGATCGATGTAGATCTCGGCCGGGACAGCATGCTCGGACTCTGGCGGCGAGACAGCAGTGGCCTCGACGGGCTGCTTGGTCTCCTTCGCAGTCTCCATGGTGAGGATTGTGTAGTTCAAACCGACGAGCGACAACCGACATCAGGGACAAACAGAGATCCGCCGCACCGCCGCGGGTATATATCGACTCGGCATCTCTGCCACGCGATGCTCTTATCGTTAGACCCGACAAAGTAGCAGCCCACGTCGGTTCCAAGAACCGTGAAACACCGCCGGTTCCTCCAGTATCGTATGATCCACATAGCCAAGCGGACGGAAAAGCACCGTAGACGCAGGTCAAGCTGGATCAACGAGCTATCGAAAGGAGTTCCGCTATGCTCTATCAGGGGAGGTGGTCGGGCATCTCCCCACCCCTGGCTGCCAAGAGAGACCGGTGGAATATGATGAGAGTGTATTGGTGCGCGTAGTAAACGCTTCTTGTGGCTCCGCTACGATAGATAGCGATTTGAGCGGCGGGAGTCGTCTGCTACCATTCCTGGAAGACGTGATAAGAGGTTCGGACTTCGGTATTCGGGACTGGTGCTGATTGGAGGCTTGATATGAATGCTTTCCTCTACGGGCTCTGTATTGGATTATGCGTGCTGCGGTAGGCTTATGGCTAGGTCAGCCATTTCCGAATATCGGTTGCACGGGTATCTCTGCCACGTGTGGCTTGCTAGAATTGTCTGACGGTCATCTATGACAGCATGGAACATCTATCATGCGGCGTTCTAGGGCCTGCCCATGGCTTTCTCAATCTCTTTGAGTGCCGCGAGGACCTTCTCATCGTTGTTTCGCCTGCCGATGACTTGCAAACTCACCGGAGCGTCCTTATACTTCTCAGGTGTGTACATGTCGTAGCAGAACTTGTCCTTCTCGTTCTTCGGAGTGTAGCTCTCATCCTTGGGATCTTTGCTGGGATCGACAACGGTGACAGGAAAGACGGCTCCGGGGTAATCGAGGAGATTCCAATGAGCTGTATAGCCCCAGTAGCGAGATTGGTCGTGAGGCGTTGCTGCGCCGAATGAAGGTGGACAGAGAATGACATCGATTTCGTGCCCGTCTTGCGCGCCAGTCTCGGTCCAGGCTTGTGCGTAGAAGCGTCTGTATAGGTCTCGCTCATTCGTGCGCTTTGGGTTGTTAGAAGATGTACTGTGACGTGCTTGGGTATGAGGCTTACCGCAAAGAGCTCAGTGACTGTCATGTGTTTCACAGCGGGCTGTTCCTCGATGATAAACTTGGTCAATGGAAGAATCGGCTCTCCTGCATCTTTTAGTAGCCCCATTACTTCCGCACCGCCGTCTGGCCAGTATAGAGAAGCCGTGAGGTCCCAGGCATAGTCATGCTTGAGCTTCTCGCAATCCCAATCCACAATTTCCATACCAGCGGCCTTGCAAGCTGCAGCAACCTCTCTCATGGCGCGGATCATGGGAGGATGGGGCTTCACTACACCGTCCCACCACTGTACACCGATCTTCAATGGTCGATCGAACTTGTGGGGAGCCCATTCTCGGAGATTCAGCGAGGGGTCCAGGAGCCACGGTTTGGCGGCCAGTGCTGTCTCAACGAAGAGTTCCAGAGCTTCGCGGTCCACTGTCATGGGACCAAGCGTGCTTAATATGGTTTCCTTGCCAGCCATGTGTAATGATGCCCCAGCGTTGGGAAGGCGTTTGCAACTTGGTTTGAAGCCATAAATACCGCAGTGCGCGCTGGGGCAACGTATGGAGCCACCTTTGCAGCTCCTAGTCAGTAAATCCATTCAAAGAGCTGCGTTTAAAAGCAAGCTATGAGGTCGCTAGTGGACTTACCTATATCTCCACCAACACCCTACGTCTGTTAGTACGTGCTGCTATTGTCAAGGTAGATAATAAAAGCCCCATACTGTGTCTAGCTTTCGTCGAGAGCCCAGCTCATCTTTGGGCCTATTTCGACAGATACATGCTGGAGAGACTTACAAGGATACTGCCACGCATGCCAATCAAAGCTGACTCACCGCCACTGCTTCCTCCACAGGTCAGATTCCGGTTGTATGGATTCAGGGTACGCCCGTAGATGTTGTTATTGGTCTCGAGATGCATGATGGTTTGAGGCTGCGTCGTCCTGGACCACGTCAGAATCGAGACTCTACACCTTGTCAACAGTCATCATCGAGCTAACCTGACGTAGAAGACGCAGCCAGCATCCCACAGGATGTCGTATAGATGGTTCGAGCCGTGCTTCTGTTCAATCCAAGCGACGTAAGAAGCATTTGTGACGATGTTGTCACCCTTCATGCCATGGTGCTCCTTGGTGGAAATGGGCAGGCCGAAGAATGCTCCTTTAGGCTCAGGCAGCGAGTCGAGGTACTTGGCCCGCTCGAGTGCCTGGTCCCACATCAACTCAGTCAGGCAGTTGACACTGGCTTGAGCAACGGCAGCGCGGCGTAGAAAGGCCCTTGTAACCTCCTCGACCGAGATATCTCTGCTGCGTAGCTTGGCGAGAAGCTGCTTGACCGTGTATCCTTCTGTGATCTCGATCTCCCTTGCGGTCAGGAGCTCTTTTGGCACGCTCTGAGAGTTAAGAGGAAAGCTTGCTGGCAGGGCTGCCAGTGGTGGCTCAACCTTTGCCAGCGAAGCATCACGCTTACTCCTGACTGGCGCGACCTTGTCTTCCCAGGTCTGGACCATTGTTGCAGTGTTCGTCGCAAACAATGCTGTCCGTTCTGGCTCTCCTCTTGTGTCGATACAAATAAAGGATATCGGATATTAGTACCAGGTACCTAGAGTATACTTATCGGCGGCTATATCGGCTCCGAGAGCGGGGGCCCCTATCAACAGCCCATCGCCGCCTATGAATAGGCCTTATAAGGAGAACTCCGCCAGCCTCGGCTTCAGCGGAGCCACATCAACAAATCTCATCTCCAATTTGACCTATCCCTTTCGCGTTCAGCACCGCTTCTGCACGTGCAGCCATGGCCACTGCTCGGCCTGAGGTCCGACGGAGGCAGGGTTCCAAGCATGATAAGACAGGCTGCCTGACCTGCCGCTTCCGGTGAGTCGTAGCGGGTATCATCTCCGCCAAAGGACTGCAATTAACAGACCGCGTTCCACAGACGGAAAAAATGCACGCAGAACACGTTTCCCGTCTGCGGCACATGCGCACGCTTAAACCTGGAGTGTGTTCGTCAGCCGGTTCGCAGTATCGTTCCAGCGACTGGCGCTCAGGCTACCCCGACGTCACCAGATGAACCACAGCGACTTCAGCTAAGCCTACCTGTCGCACCCTCATCCCCAAGCTGGGATGGGCCCACCAGGGATGCCGGTGCCCAGCGGCGACACGCTATGAGGTACTACATCACTGTCCTTACACAGCATGTCACAGTCAGCGAACAGTACAACTCCTTCCTGTCCGGTGAGACACCTTCCCTGCCCTGTAGACCCGGGTGGGCGCTGACAAGACCATATCCAGCATTTCTACCCATGGCGATGGAATCAAAAGCCCTGGCAGACTCACTCGTGGCCTGGGCCTCTAGCCATCTCGCATTGACTGACCAGTCTTATGAACTTCTCTCGTTGGAATCTCACTCTTCAGCCGTTCGGGCGCTATCATCCTCACTGGTTACTCACAACGACGACTTGGCACTGCACGAGACCAATGCTTCTGCATGCCTGGCCCTTCTAATATCCGAAGTCTGTCAAGGCGACCGCCAGATCTGGTACAGCCACCTGCTTGGGGCCAAGAGCATTATTGAGTCTGCCCGGTCCGGAGACCTGAGAGGCGTTGACGCCTTCAAGCTCACTTCCGAGGGCCAGTGGGTACTTCGGAACTTCGCTTACCACGACGTTCTCGCCAGTGTCACCCTGAGCCAACCTCCGCTGCTCGACGGCAGCTATTTGGAGGGCATCACCAACGTGGTGGATAGTTGCGTCGGTGTAGCTTCTGGTATCCTCAAGATCATCGCGGATATCTGTGCCTTGGACCACAGGCTCAGATCCGAAGGTCTTGATCACCATGATGGAAGGACGTCCTTCATTCAACTCGAAACTCAACTGCGTGACTGGGAATTTCCGCCCGATACCACCCAAAACCTGGCTGCAGTGGGCCAAGCATACCGTTGTGCTGCACAGATCGTGCTATACCGAGCCTGGAGGCAGCTGCTCCCCGAGGAACTCGATCAATCACCTGGACATGACGAAACTTCTCGGCAGATTGGGGTGGATGAAGCAGTTACAGTCCTGCTGGAGTCGATTGCAAACATCCCGCAACAATCCATCGCTGAAGGACCGCTGGTATTTCCCCTCTTTCTCGCTGGAGGAGAGACCATGGCGCCCGCGCAGCAGCAGATCATTCGCACAAGGCTGCAGGCTTCGTTCGAATTCCGACGCTTCCAGAATATCTCTCGCGCCCTAGAGATTCTCGAGACATTATGGGAGCGAAGGAAGACTGACAGCAATCTTGACTGGAAAGATGTCCTGGCCGAGTCAGGCGGAGGCTTGATCCTTACCTGAAACTGGTGAAAGTTACATGGCGTTGCGAAGCCATACAGGCAAGACCTGGTTCAGTATAGCTGGGCTTCCTCCGATAACACCACGATTATATCGGCACTCATAACACGCCTGCTCCGCCCTTGTCAACACCTACGCATGTTATGTCCCTGGAAGGACGATGTCTCCATTCTATGATTGGGCGGAACGACAGCGGAGATGGGCGTGCAGACACGACATCCCACGCCTTGTGTCTTCTTAAGACAGGATACGCCCGACACGCCAATTCCGCCCAGCCCCGCCAATCACTGCCTGATAACAACGGCACCGAGGGTAACTTTGACAAAAGAGAACGTTCAACCCCTCCGAGCTCTATTCATCCACGGGTCTCGAGGCGCCTTTAATAGCACCACAACCTTAGCCGACGTCGCCTCGTTCGCTGCTTCACCACTAATTCCGACACCACCCTCCAAGATGTCGTCCACTACGACGTCTCCGCCCACCAAGACCCTCAATGCATACGAGCCCGCCATGCTCGCCGACCCACCACCACCCACCTCCGCGGTGCTACACCGCTCCCTCAAAGTCCCACCCCTGCAAGTCGTCTCCGCGACCGCCCGCTCCGTCACCTTCTCCAGCGGCGCCACCATGCTCGACACGACCTGCGGCGCGGCCGTCTCCTGTATCGGCTACGGCAACACGCGCGTGCGCGACGCCATGGTCGCGCAGCTCGACCGCTTCGCCTACACCAACAGCATGTTCTTCGGCACGCCCATTGGCGAGGAGCTCGCGGCCGAGTTGATCCGCGGCACAGAGGGGAAGATGGCCCGGGCGCTCGTGTTGAGCTCGGGGAGCGAGGCGATGGAGGCGGCGATGAAGATGGCGAGGCAGTATTTCGTTGAGGTGGGCCAGGGGGAGAAGAGGGTGCGGTTCATTGCGCGGGAGGGGAGTTATCATGGGACGACGCTGGGGGCGTTGTCCATGAGTGGACATGTGGGGAGGCGGGCGCTGTTTGAGGGGACGGGCATGCTGTGTGGCGCTGTGGGGAGGGTGGCGCCGTGTTATGCGTACAGGGGGTTGAGGGATGGGGAGACGGAGGCGCAGTACGTGCAGAGGCTGGCGGAGGAGCTGGACGCGAAGTTTCGGGAGTTGGGGCCCGAGACGGTGTGCGCGTTTGTGGCTGAGCCGGTGGTGGGTGCGACGTTGGGCGCCGTGCCAGCTGTGCCCGGGTATTTCGCGGCCATGAAGAAGGTCTGCGACAAGTACGGCGCGCTGCTCATCCTGGACGAGGTCATGTCCGGTATGGGTCGTTGTGGAACGTTACATGAGTGGATGCAAGAGGGCGTCGTGCCTGATATTCAGACCATGGCCAAAGGTCTCGGTGGGGGATACGCACCCATCTCGGCCATCATGATCAATCACCGCGTGGCCGATGCACTGAAAGCAGGGACTGGGTAAGTCATGTCCATTCATCAACTTCATCCGCCATCTTTCTGACGTGACGCAGCGCCTTTGCCCACGGCCACACCTACCAAGGCCACCCCGTTTCCTGCGCCGCCGCCCTCGAAGTCCAACGTATCATCCGCGAAGACAACCTCGTAGCCAACGCACGCCATCTCGGCATGCTACTCGGCGATCTTCTCCATCAGGCGCTCGACTCACATCCTTACGTCGGCGACATCCGCGGCAAAGGCCTGTTCTGGGCTGTAAGTCCCCCACCTTCCCCTCTCGCTTCCTTCCACTTCCTATCGCATCAATCAGTCACACTGACATTCAAACCGCAACAGCTCGAATTCGTCGCCGACAAATCCACCAAAGAGCCCTTTCCCCGTCCCAAAAACGTGGCTAACGCTGTGCACCTGGTGGGGCTGCACAACTTCGGCATCAGTCTGTATCCCGGCAATGGCAGCAAGGACGGCGTGCTGGGCGACCATGTCTTGATCTGTCCGGCGTATAACAGCACGGAGGAGGAGATCAGGGGGATGGTGCAGAGAGTGAGGGATACGGTTTATGCAACGTTCAGCGAGTTGGAGAGGGAGGGGTCGGCTTTGAGGTTGGGACAGCCTGCTTCGAAGCTTTGATTCCTGCAGCTTGACTAGGATAAACGTGTAACTTGAGAATGGGAGAGGGTATGAAAGGGGCGATTGCGGTGAGGTCAATGAGCGTACATATATGAAGGGATACGCAATGAAGTGCAATGTTAACGACTAAGCCCTTTTGCCGTCATAACGGCCGCTACCCCTCTGAGTAACAATTGGGGGCAGAGTAGCTGCTAGGTGCGGGTCGGAGGGATGTGGATCCACCAGCGATCGAATGCCGTCAGATACCTGCCACCGAAGCGTGTGATGTCCTTCAGCGTGAGTTCCGCACTCTGCTGCGGCAGCGCGTCAAATGTCTGTTCCACGTTCTGCATATACGTGATGTTGAGCAGACGTTTGGGGTCTTTTATGACCTTCCAGGAGAAGATCTCTCGCGTGAGTGGCTCGAATTCTATGCACTGTGGTTGGACCGAGCTTAGTATTAGGACGATGAGAGCATGTGGGATACGAACGATGATAGCTTGTGAAGATTTCCCATCTTGCACTGGGGCCTTCAGCAGCCAGTGGGTCTTGTACCTAACTTGAAAACTGCGTTTCCGATCCAAAAGCAAGTTGTACAGCTCTGGAGTGCGAGGCCACTTTGTGGGATCAAGATTCGCCATGTTGGAGAGGAGGTCGTCGATGAGGTGCTGGTTAAGCTCGCCAGCTAGGCAACGATCGAGCGGCAGTATCTCCTCTTCGGTGCCTCCATGCCAGCCTTCCGTGTCGACCAGGGTTAGTACTTGAAGTCTCGGCAGCTGCGAGGGGAAGAAGTCGAAAGCGCATGGCTTCGAGACAGAGAAGTGGCTGAGCCGGAGCTTCCGTACGTGTGGCAGGTAGGTAGTCCGTAGTCGCTGCAAGGCTTGGGCACGAGTGGCGTGATTGGGTTTGCGCGGCTGAGGTTCGACCACTGTGAGTGCCAGGGTTTCGAGGAGAGAGTATCGAGTAACGTGTGATAGCCAATGGCACGTAAGCAGAAGATTGAAATCCCCCGTGATCACCGGATGACTGCCAGTATCGTGCCAGGTGAGGGTACGATCATTGTCGTACACCAGATGCAGGTCACCTAGGTGGTGCTTGCATATTGACTCTAGGATCTCGGTGGGAAGAGAGAGGAGGTTAGTTTCCATCCGCTCATATTGATCAAGGATGGGTCTGGAAGACTCTGCCTTTCTTGCGGGGCCTGGCGAAGCAGATGACATACAAAGAGCATCGGAAGTTGAGTTGAGCGTGCACTCATGTTTAAATAGATGGCCTGGTCATGGTCGTGTTCGTTCTCGCTCTCGCTCAACGAAATAGTGGGGAGTAGATACTTGCTGTAGGTAAGATGGCTCGAACCACAGGGTCTGCCATGCTGCCGATTGGGTCCTTGGGGTGCCAAGAAACAGAACTTCTTGAGGCTGTGACTCCTCGCGAGGCTAACCCCCTGAATCAATGACAAAGGCTGCGGACAGAGCTTGACACCAAGGTTGATACAGAGGATGGTGCGGCTCAATCCGGAGGTGTTGAGATGCAAGGCTGAGCTTTTGGCTCGACTTAGCACCCCACCAGGAATGGACTGTTGACAGGCTTTAGTAGTATGTTGCCGGCATGGGATATACTCCTGAACGCATGGCTATCATGTCCCAGCCTCAGTGTATTATGGCACTGTCACTCGCCGGTTCTACCCGGATGGTGACTGCCAAAATAATGGCAGTGGTGAAATTCACCAGACAGGAGCAAGCAGTATGGTAGTTGCGAGTCATGCCTTCACCTTCACTTCACGTAGGCTGTTAATTCTATGTCGCAACCCTTCAGTTACAAAGAGACACATCTCTCGCTACGCTCGCTTCTTTTCACCTATGCCAAACCTGCTGGCCAATTCAAACCTCCACATCAGCAACGCATCCGCTAGCCGTTCTCTTTACTATTCGATATCGCTTCAAAGCCATGTGGCGATCGTTGATCGTCCCGATTGTTGGCTTCGACCTCGTTGTCAATGCGGCTAGTGGAAGCTCTCCAGTTGTTCAGCGCGATGTAGAAAATGCTAAGGAATGCCCAACTTGCCATGGTAAGCGCTCTCTAATATTGTGTAGCGTCATCGAGACATTACTGACGCTTACAGGTTCGCAACGGGGCGACTGGACTGGATCTCTCAGCTCCAAGTCAGTAACCACCAGCGGTAGCGTCATCAGCTCGATCATCACGGAACCCAAAACGACTGTGACCACCATCGCCACGGTCTCCAATTATGTGGCGAGCTCGTGCATCGAATGCAACCCATCCGCTACCAGCGAGGCTACGGCTGCCTCTAATAGCTCATTTGCATCCTCTCTCGACGGCACGAGCACTAGCCCTGGCACTTCTACGGTTCCCACCCAGGGGACTGTATCTCAGGGGACGACTGCGAATGGATCAGATGGCACAAGCACAAGTATTCAGTTCAGCGGCATTTCATCAAGCTCTAATTCAAACTCGCCATCAGGATCTGGCCCGCTTAGTTTCTCAGATTTGACTTCTGCTACATCTAGCCGGTCGTTGACCTCGGATTCACAGGGCTCGGCTCAAACCTCTTCTAGTCAAGCTGCCGAATCGCAGTCTACCGCATCATCCGAGACTCGTCAGTCTGAATCGAGCACTGGCGCAGTCGTGCCCACCACAACAACACCTCAGACCCATTCTCAGTCTCAGTCTCAGCCTTCAGAGGTTTCGGTCGGCAGCGGATCGACCTCAACTACTCCTTCGAACAGTCTTTCTACCTCTCAGACTACTTCTACGGCCAGAACTACGGCTTCCTTTAGTTCGACTTCGGTGGCTATCTCTGGCAGTACTTCTAACTCTGAGGGACCATCTATCCCGCAGACTACCACCAGCTCCAAAAATGCTTCCACTACTGAGACTGCTTCGAGTCTTGATGCGACTTCCAGCATTAGTTTTACCACGAGCTCAAGTGGCAGTTCCAGTGCTAACAGCACAACCACTACTCTCACCGACTCCAATTCCACCGAGACTTCTTCGGTTGCCTCGCCTCTTGCACCTTCAGATACGGATGCCGCTACCTTGGAACCTTCGGAGATTGTCGAGACCTCTACAAGTTCAAGCTTTGGATCTGATACTACACTGGTAACCGTCATCATTACGACTCATACCATCAGCCGAACGAGTGGGCAGTCGTCAATCTCAATCAGCGCTGCTACTATCACGCCGAGGCCCACTGTCTCTCAGCAGACAATCAGCTGTGGCTATGGCGTGTTGCCCTGGTGTACTTCGAATGTGGCTCTTCCCAGCAGCTATGGTTGCCTATGTCCCTACTGTTGGATGAATCCTGCCATCTGTGAAGACAGCAAACCAACTGATACAAAATACTGCTCGACATTAGCTTGGATTTGCAGAGTCACCACGGACTCTTCCGGTTCATTGGTTCACTCACTTCCTCCAGGCACGGAATGGTCTGCGGCATCGTCGACCTCGCAGACCTTACCATGGTGGGATCATATATCGATGCTTCATGCAACTGATGATGGCGCGCATACTTCGGACGCACACTTCAACGCAACTCTTGAAACCAGCACAAAAGTCGGCTCGGATCATCGTACCACACTATTACCTTACAGAGCTTGGAAGTGTGTTGCCGGTGATGTGTGCTACCCTCCCCACTTCAACTTCGGCTGCCTCTTTCCCAATCCTTTGCCTTGTGCTGGAGGTATTGCATCGATTCTCGGGATTTGGCCACGTCCGAAGATTCCATTCCCACCTCCTATCGGACCTCCCGAGCTCAACTACCAGCTGGAACCAATGACTCTTACTGGCGACAGCAATGGAAACGAGCCTACTCAGAGTGGATCTGCATCAACGTCAACATCTTCCTCGAGCTCATGTTCCACCGGAACCTATTCAACATGCTCGACCGCCTGCTCAATGATCACGATCTTATCTCAGATATATGAAGAGGATTGCACTTCCACTTGCTACACGACGAGTGGATGCTCGGATTCAAACTCGGCTACTAGAAGTACCAATGCCTGCACCTACTCGCCGTACTGGAACGACCCGGCTATCGAATCTTCGCTCAGCTCTTTGTTGGCACAATTTCCGTTTACTTTCCCTGAGGCTGTCAATATTACGACCACTTCCACTCGTACAACCGGCAACATTCTGAGTAGTACCTCTCGTTCTCAAAGCACATCTACCTCCAAAAGTTCATCTACCTTCAAAAGTACTGGTATATCTACTGCTAAGAGTTCATCGACTTCGAAGACTACGAGTAGTCAAGCGAGTGCGTCCAAGACCTCGACGGAGCTTGATGTACCTCCCAAGGCAACGCCTACCCTCTTGTTGGCAGCCAAACGGAAAAGATGTCATAATGAGGGCCCTGAGGAGAATTACATTCCTCCGTTTCCGTACAAAAGACGTGATACAGTCTTCTGTGCTGCTGATCAAACTCCTAAAAGCGGCTTCGGTCTTTTCAAATGGGATGCGATTGATACAGAAAAGTTGAAGCAGGTTTGTGAATCTTTGGTCAATCGCAAGATCGTCCTTAAATACGAAGCCTTCTACCTGCATAGTGACAGATACGGATTTGATAATGGCGAATGCTATAAACGGAAGGGCAAGGGTCTTGCCGATGGGAACAACCTACGAGTTCTGTTCAGAGTAACAAAAGACAAGCGTGGTTGCTCAGGTGAAGGAACTTCCGATAGCTGCAGGCTCAGCGATGATCCTTACTGCGAGAAAGACTTCTCGTTCGCGGACTACGGGGTTGACAAATGCGTCCAGAATTTCCAGAAGCTGAACAAGTGCAAGGGAAACACGTGGGACGACAAGTCTGAATACGACACTGCGGGTGGAACTTACTACTACGACTGCGTCAGCTGGACTGTTGTGGCTATGAACGCTGTCAGAACGCCTCCTGACACGGATGATCCCTTGCCAGAGGATCCTTGAGAGCGCCAATGCCTTGCGATGGTAACACCAAGTCACTGGTGAGGGAAGGTCAGCTGGGATAGGTCTCACAGCTAGAGCTAGTATTAGCTCGGCACGCCTCCACCAGACATAGGCTAGATAACAAGCAGATTAAACCATGGCAGCCTCGTGAACATCTCTTAGAAGCGCTTTCTGCGTTCATAGGCGGCGTTCTGGATCCATCCATCAAGTTGCTTCATGTCACCTTGTTCCACAGCAAGCTTGCAACCCTCACAACCACACATACACGCACCTGAGGGGTTTTGCTGTATAGTAGCTGGAACAAGACCCTCCCTGCTCGTGCGTCACACGCCCAACCCAGCCAACCACGCCTGCACCCTCGCAAAGACGACCGCGCTGTTCCGCTCCATGAACAGAAAGTGCGAGTTCCCGTGGATGCCTTCGGCGGCCAGGTCCAGAAACTCAACGGGCACGCCGGCCTCGCGCAGGAACAGTACCGTGCAATAGTCGTACACTGAATGGTAGCCGGCCTCGCTCGTGACGAGCAGGACGTCCACGTGTGCGAGGTTCGCGAGCGTGCGCTTCTGCGCTGGCAGGACGCACTCGCTCCGCCCTTCCCTGTCGGGCTGCAGCGTGCGGTTTTCAACCAGTAGCTCAGCTGTGTCCGTGACGGGCGGGTCGTACGCCATCTTCGTCTGCGTGATTCCCCAGGGACGCACGATGCCGGGTCCCGTGCTGCCGAAGCCTTGGTTGATGAAGGGCGGGCCCTGGGGTTCTACGGCGATGATGGCTCGGACTGTGCCGGGCCGTTCGTCCGCGATGGCCCAGCCGTGAGCGCCGCCTTGACTGTGAGTCAGGATCACGACGGGTTGGCCGATGTGGTCGAGCAGCGCGGCGCCGGCGGTGCGGGCGAGGGCTTCGCTCTTGGTCTGGTTGAGCAGACTCGGGACTTGGGCTGCGAGGAAGGTCTCAAAGGCCGGGTCACCGGCGAGACCGGTGCCGGGCCATTGAGTGTGCAGGTAGGCCTGCGGCCAGGATTGGTTGGGGAAAGACTGAGTGGCGGTCCACAAGCGTGAGGCGTAGGCGCCGGCGACAACACTCTGAGACACGTCGGTGTCGTTGAACGGTGGCGGGAGGAGTGGAGAGCGCCCGCGTTCAGGTTGGTCGGCGATGTAGACCTCGTAGCCCGCGCTGAGGAACAGCTGTGCCCACCCTAAGCGACCGTCTGGTGTGGAGATCCACGAAGTGCCGGTTTGGCCCAGACCAGTCCAGAGGATGATGGGGGTTGCGTGTGTGACGGCGATTGGGGTGAGGCGCTCGACATAGATCTGCTCGGTGTAGACGAAGCCAGTGCCAGTGGTGGGAGTGCTGACGTTGACAGTTCGACCTCCCACGTGAAAGGTGGAGCGGGTGTGAGAGATGAGAGTTTGGTCGGTTTCGCCTGTATTGCCACTGCAGGCTGAAACCGCGACGACCAGACTCAGGACAAGAAGATGTAGCGGCTTGGAGGAGTACCCTAGCATCATCATCATTGTCCCGGGATGCTTCTTACTCCTCGAAGCTCGTTTCAATAATTGCAGGGCGATGTCCTAAGAGAGATGTTCTTGTCCTGGGACACACCGAGGAGTATAAGTTCCGCAATCAAGCTCAAATGAACGCTTAAAGTGGTTGCCACATCACGGCCTGCCTGTGCACAAACAGTTGCCTAGCTTCGGCGCCTGAAGAGTTAGAACCAAGAACACCTGTAGAACGACTGCTTACGAGTGTTTAGGATATGAAGTGCTTAAGCTCCTCGGTCGCTCGGGATCACCCCGATCGCTCGTGATTCCTCCGTGGGAATGACCTAGATGATGTACCAGGTTCGGACAACGATCGCTGTGCGGGGAAGTTGCGGGGCGTGAGGCAGAGGCACCTACTAGGTCACAGATGCATCCGACTTTTCGCCGTGCACGACTTTGTGTCGACCGGTTCTCTCCATGTCACGGGGCTTAGAATGAGCAGTGCATCGAGCTCTTGTTACAGGGAGACGGAGACTGGGTGAGGTCAACGAGGTAGGCGTCCTTGTGCGACTGCCTGACACATTCCCGAGCGACTTGGCAGGCAACCAGGTTTGCCTTGTCAGCAGTATCCAATCGGCATGGGTGGTAACTCTTGACATGAAGAGATCCCATGTTGTTTCAAAGCTTGCAGTGTCGTGACTCTATTTCTTTTCAGCTTTAGAGAATGCAGCGTTCCGTGGGACGGTCTGCCGCGCGAGACACGTGGCGGGCCCATGGGCAAGCGACCGAAGCTCAATCAAAGAACTCATCAGCTCGATGTAGCAAGCCAACAAGTTGAAGTTGGAAGAGTGGTCCAACCGTACTGTCCCGGCTAAAATATTCGTGGCTGGATGGCGATCAAGTGTCGTCCCTGCAGGGTGTTCAAATCTTGGTGGTTGTCGCCTCCCAAGTCTGAAACCTGTTTCCGAGTTGGCGCCTGCGATCTATCACAGCGCGACGAGCCAACGTTATCAGTAGTTGATAACACGGCCGAACAACGCTTATCTTTACTTCCACGGTTATTCTCGCATGTTCAATATGGACGAAGCCAAGCTTGGACGGACATGGGCTTTGTGGTCTCCACCAGGGAGGGATGAAGGTAGGCTCTACATACGCCTCGGATTGATGGAAAACCAGGAAGCTGAATCGAAGATCACAGTCCGCTCACCATGTCCCGCCCTCAACACCTTGGCCAATCACAGCATCATCCCTTTCGATGGCCGCAGCATCAGTAGGGAGGCTATCATCCATGCCCTGACCCGCCCAGACACCTTCCACCTTTCGCCAAAGATGGCAACCCTCTTCGCAGCAGGAGCCCTGAAAGCGAACCCAGCGCCCAATGCAACCACATTTGATCTCGACATGGTAGACAAACACGGCTTCATCGAACACGATGTCTCGCTCTCCAGAGACGATATCGCTCTTAGCAGTAACTCCACGTTCTCGCATGACCGCTTTAGGGAGACGTATGGCTTCTGGGCAGGTGGCAGAGGTGAGGAGGCTGTGGTGACATACGATGAGGCTAGCAAGGCCAGGTATGCCCGTGTCATCCAATCGCAGAAACGCCATGTGGAAGTGGGCAAGAAGGTGGTGTACGGAATCAAAGAGGCGATCTTGAGTTATGGCGAGAGTGCACTCTTCTTCAACGTCTTGGGAAAGGACGGGAAGGTTCAATTGTAGCACCTGAAGATCTTCTTCCGTAAGTGTCATTCGTGGACGGTGGTGGCCTTCCTAACATCAGACAGAAGAGGAACGGATGCCATATCGTGAGGGCTGGACACCACCCACAGAAGTCATCACGCAAAGAGACATGAACCGAGCCATGTTTGGCATGATAAAGGCTCATCCTCATAAGCTTGCTGAGTTGGTACTCGTTGTCGAAGGAACAGCCACAGCAGTCGTTTCGAGCCTTGCGGAGCTGTTGAAGAAGTGTGTTGGCGCAAGAGCAGCTTGATCGACTCGCTTTTGAACCCCGGGGCCTCGCATGAGCTTCTCCAGGGATTGAATGTATCAAGACGATAATGATCAAACGACAGCGTCCCTGGCCTGGCGTCCTTACTCAAATACCGGGATTGACTCTCACTCGGCATTTCCGGTCGCAAGGTCTAAGCAGACTTGTGGCCCACTCCAGTGCTTCACTTGAGTGGTGCGGGATCGGAACAGTAAACAACGATGATTCAGCGCGGACACAGAACCACTGGGATTTTGAAGGTCGTTTCGCCCAAGCTTGACCTTCGCGCGTTCTTGTCTAAACCATTCCCAACACCGTAGAGCAGCAATTTGAGTTCAAGCTCGTACTGGACGCTCAGGCCTGGAATACGGATCGTTGGCACCACTGCTGTGTAAGGTAGGCTCAGCTCAACAGTGGCTGTGGCAGAGCATTGCTGGTATCCTGTCCGACTCTCGATGCGATCGTCGGTAGAGCGACCGTAAAATGGCGGGACTGCCGTACGAGTCACCTGCGTGATAGTAGAGCATCGGCTCAGACTATTCGAGCCGCGTCGACTTCGTTTCTCGGGCGCGACGCTGCTTATCGATCGTGTGATGTGCCACTTGGCTGTGACGGAGCACTCGGCGCCTCGCGTCTGCAGGCTTTGCACAAGCGCTGACGCAGGGCGTGTGGAGAGGAGGTTGACGGTGATTGGAATGCTCAGTAGGCGTGTTGAAGTCGTAGCAGATTTGTTGTGACTGATACTCCCCAATGACTTGTCGAGTCGAATATGGAGTTGGTCTTCTTCACCCAGTGACTTCGAGCTAGAGGTTCCAATTTCCAACAGGCGTTTGGGTCTGGAAACGCAAAACGATGGCAGCTGATGGGCGTGCAGAGGTAGCACCGTGAGTTCTCCGGGGCCAGGGACATGTACAGCACCAGCAATCGTATGGCCACTGCCGGAACTCGTTGTGAATGAGGCTTCGAACCAATAGTCCACATCTGCTCGACCTTTTACCACGTGTCGATTACCCAAAGCACTGTCCTTGGTGATTTCCGATGTAACGTCTATGGTCAAAGACGGTGCAACGGTTGTGTCGACATCGAATGTGATATCCGCCTGTTGTCGACTTGTGAGCGGGCTCTTTCGCGAGGTGGCGGGATAGAAGTCTGTCCAGGAGATCTTCTTCTCAAGCGATAGGATCTATTGCAAGGTCAGCTGGCTTTAGACCGGGACTGATGATGAAGTCAAGGTGTTTTACCTTAGTCACTGATATGTGGCCGCCGGTCTGGCTTCTGAGGCGCCCGTGCAGAGAGAGACGAACGCCATCAAAGTGTACAGGTCGGAAGAGATCTTGCTCGAGGAAGAGCGCGCATTCGAGCGTTTTCTGTTTCTGTGGCTGCTCTGTCAGGTGGTCGTCCGCGAGCAGCTGCTCCGAGATACGAAGCACTCTCAGTGAAACATCCATGGGCTACTTGCAAGCTGTGAACGAACTGATGTACAGGTATCGGTGTCACATAGAGTAGTATTGGCATAGCTGTAGCCATGAAACCAGCAGCCTGCAGGCCGGCGTTGCCATCAAAAGTTTCGGAAATGATTCACAGCCACCTAGGATCTGGTGAAGACTCTTATCACAGCGGGATGACCCCGGTGCGGCGCGCCGACTTCACGCTCCCCGTGGGGACTGTTGTCCGGAATTGCCGTTTTCGGATCCCGATAATCCGCCAGAGGCTCGGGACCATCGGCTTGGGCCAACAAGTTAACGAAAAACATGCAAGACAAGACTTTGCTGTTCAAGCATCCTAACTCAATGAGGCTGTGGGGGCTATAGGTCGCTAATGATACGGTGTTGGGGTTGTCGTGGGGGTCAGCGCCACAGCTTCGAGAGTCTCCGACGTTCGGAGCGAAAGTCCGAACACATGATGCATCCGACCTGCTGGACACCTTCGGACACTTGGGGGTCAAAACGCTGCTGTAGACACTGGCTGGTCCCAAGTGCAAGGACTCAAGGTGAGTCTCAGGATCAAGTTGTCTCCATTCTCACCTGGTTGTGGCCATTGACGAAGCGGAGAGCGCCAAGGATTGGAGGCAGTGAAATGCGAGCCTCGGCAGAAATTCAGCCTTGGCGAAAGCTCCCGCTTTCTGGTCTTACCGTCGTATGGCATGTACTAGTATCTCGTGGAGTGTCACTTATGATGAGAAGAGACGTTGGTTCTCAGGCATGGTGGAAAAGACCACACGTCTTCCGATGGCCCCAACCACGTCCAAATCTCTGATAGAACAAGCTGTCAGCGTCACATCCTCGGCTTCTGTTCGACCGGAACGGTTCACAAATACTTATCCACTATGGCTACCACCTACAGCTCGTGGCATATACGGAGGTACATTCATCTCCCAAAGCCTAAGCGCAGCTCAGTCAACTGTGCCTGCCGACTTCACAGCCCACTCGATCCAGAGTCAGTTTGTTCGTGCCGGGACCTACGATAAGCCCCTGGTTTACGACGTCGACCGGGTAAGCGACGGTAGGAGCTTCGCTGTGCGCTCTGTCAAAATCTTGCAGAAGGGTCAAGTCGTGTTCGTTGCTATTGTCGGATTGACACGAGCATCAGACCAAACAAGCCGGGCAATTGCGCACGCTGAGCCAATGCCTCCTAATGTTCCACGGCCGTCAGATGAGATATCCGAGCTTGAGTCGGCACTTGATCCGCGGCCAACTCACCACAGAGGTGCCTATGTGACCAAGAGAGTAGGCATAACTAAGTCAACCGGGTCACTCCCCGAACGGCGCATACACCAATGGTTCAAGTCTCGCCACCCGCTCTCATCGTTCAGTGGGCTCCAGGTGCAGCAAGCCGCGTTGGCGTACATGTGCGACAACTACCTGATTCAAGCTGCGCCGCATGTTAATCGTTTCTTTGATTTTGTGCGGCCGCCGCAGAGTGAAGCCGATATAGGAGGAAGGGATCTGGCTTTCGGGTCGCGGTCGCACGATACCATGCCGGCGTCCGATCGTGAGAAAGCGGAAAAGGAAGGCAGGCCGCGTATCGGCATGATGGTGAGCCTAAGCCACACCATGTACTTCCACCACCCGAAGCATGTAAAAGTGGATCAATGGATGCTGTCCGAGGTAGGTAGTTACTGGACCGGCGATGGAAGGGGACTCGCAACGCAGAAGATCTGGTCGAGTGACGGCGTCCTGCTTGCCAGTTCCTACCAGGAAGGTGTGATCAGACTAGCTGAGGATGATCGGGACATTGAGATCGGTCGACTCGAGAACAAGACCAGCAACAGCAAGCTTTGACCAATGATGGTGTTAACGGCAGCATTTTCGCATATAGCACCTCTCGAGCTTGGTGGCCATGTGAGAATCACATCAGTCGTTGGTGGGCATCATGCATGCTGACTATGGCACAAACGTGCGACCCATCAACCGCCCTGGGAGTCTCGTTCCGGTCAGCATCCCTGGAAATATCAGGACATCCATCGAGTGTGGACCATATCTTTAGCCTCAGTCTCTTAAGCCGGGATCGAGCGGCCACGAGATCTGTAGCAACGGCTGAGTAGGCATGGTCCTGTCAGGAATGGCGTCCTCGTCAACAGGACGGGGTCGAAGCTGAAACAAAAACACTGACAGGGGCTCATGGTTGATAGATGAAGTGGTCTGCTGTACTCAAGCCATAGAACCAGAGTAAAGCAGTAGCAGGTGCCAAATGGAGGAGGACAACATCTGAGGAGATAGCATAGCTTGGCAAGTGGTTATCTCCGGAGTTCTTTTTCGACGACAATTTGACCACTCCCCGCAACTGGACACCAATCTGACCCGGCGACGTTCACTGACGCTTCCTCCCGGCCACAATCAACGCCATGTCCGACGAACAGATGGAGGTCGACACCTCCGCCGAGAACGGCACGTCCTCACCCACCGACAACAAGAAGTCTTCGTCTTCTGAGGCTCGGACGCAGCAGAACGCCGTCGCCGTGCGCAGTATTGAGGGCTGGATCGTGATCGCAACAAACATACACGAAGAAGCGAGCGAAGAAGACATCACGGACCTTTTTGCAGAATACGGTGACATCAAGAATTTGCATCTGAACCTCGACCGCAGAACAGGATACGTCAAGGTACGCGCCTTCACGGCCTCTTCATTGTCAATGCCCAAATGCTAACGATACATCCGCAGGGATATGTCCTGATTGAGTATCCGACACAAGTCGAAGCCCGCGCTGCTATCAAGGCCCTCAATGGCACAAAGTTCCTTGACCAGACCATCGAAGTCGACTATGCATTCGTGCGCTCCCCACCGAAGCAAGACAAGGCTCGCGCTGGTGGTAGACGGGGTGGTAGAGATCGCAGCCGCAGCCGCAGCCGCGATCGGGACCGGCCAAGAGACGATGACAAGGGCGAAGATGCAATGAAGGACTAAGTGCGCGGCCAGTAGGATAGAAGGTGCAAAAGTTCACATCCCAGGAAAGCTGGTCACCCGCGGTAGGGTGCATTGAGACCGGTCTGCGTCATTCGGGTTCATCCACGAGTCGTGGCGCCCGGAGCCAGACCAGATGGCTCTAACGATCGCCCTTACGATCTAGCCATGCCGACCCAGAAGTCGGTACAATGAGAACACAAGCCACAGGTAAGCTTCGGCCACACACCCTGCGTTAATCTGGTACGAGAGCTGATACTTCATCTAGAATGCTCCCATGACAACTATTGCACCGTGATGCCCCCGCACTTCAGCCGTATCCTTCACCCGCTCCTGGAGGCACTGCGCCCGGCTCTGCCACACCTCAGCCTACCACGAACTGCTTTCAGCATCGCGCGCAGGCAGAGTAAGTACGTGGCATGTACTGATCCCCCAGCCAGCAGGGCTGTGATGGTCGAGCACATCGAAGTGGTCAGTGAACGGCGCCCAAGACTTATGAACGCGAGTATTTATGGCCAGCACATGCCCACGCCAACTTACAAGTTACGTGCACACGATGAGCACACAAGAGAGTATTCGAGGCATGATGCAACAATTACTTCTCTCACAGGAGCGATGATGATTCAGCACAACTCCACCACTCTCTCATAGACGATCCCACGGCATCCAGATAATATCCAGGTACGATCAGAGAGGGCATATAGGGCATTATGATTTTCTCCCCTTTTTTTTTTTTTTTTTTTTTGGGCTTTCGCTGGCCAGTATTTTCCACTCTCAAATAAAATATAGCCCCAGTCAGACTCGATAATCCCAGCGCGACAAGGCATCATCCCCTTCTGGGCGACACCGTTTTCGTACCGCACGAGACTTTCCTTGTAGCGATTCCCCCCTTGGGCTATGTAGAGGTGCGAATCTCGTGTGCTTCCCTTTCGCATACGGCATCATGAACACATCTCTCAGTGGCAAAGAGGGGGAAGGGGACCGAAGGAACACTCTTCTTACCCCTGTCCAGCGCACGTCTAAATTGGGCGACGACTCATGTTGGGGAGGGACGGGAGGCGGTAGTTGTCCAGTGTGAGAGTATGTAGCCTCGTAATGATCCTGGATTCGCCTGGAGGGAGTGATGTTCGTTTTCAGAGCTGTATGAATGTTCGCTGCTACCAGCATTTGCTAAAAAGGTAGATGCTCTAGAAAAAGCATCTGCTAAGTGTTTTAATGCACCATCTCTTGATCAAAAGGGGTAAATCAGTCAGTCCAGGCCGTGGAGGGCCGCACGTTGTGGAGTTCGATCATGTTGAATGATCAAATAGAATGAGCTGAGCTGCATGGCCAGTTGTGAGGACGGATTCGAACACATCATGCTCGAAACGCAGCATTGCCATAACAAGCTCGATAAGCGGCCAGAAAATGATACTCCAAGAACGCCAACCACCCTGAGCGCCGATGTTGGGACTTTTTGGCGACTCACGCCCACACGTCTGAGTCACTAGGGAACGTTGGAGGGCTCTGCCGAGCCATGCGCGCGGCGGCAGCCTTCTTCGTGTTTGCATCGGCTTCTTGGCAGTAGATGATTTTGCTTTCGTCGACTTCGAGGCTCGTAACGTCCAAGTGTTGGTTCCTGAAGCGACAGCGGCCATGTTCGATATGATGGGTTGGACCCAGGACCCTCGAACGGCAGTGATGTCCGTGAGGGCAGCCAAAGTCGACGCAATCGTTGCCCAGCCGACATGGAGAATCGCGAGCCTTGTGCATGAGCACCAGCAGCTCTTGAGGGGTGATAGGGCTGTGATCGAAGTTGCATCCATTTGCAGGGCATTCACCACGCAGCTGGTGGTTGTTGCAAAGAGGTTGCCGCTTAATGCGGGCGTGAAAGACTTTGTGATCGGCTGCAGAAATTTCGGGCAACGGCGGATCGATCCGTTGTTCATGTCGGTTTCTCAGAATGTCGTTCCTGAGTGGGACCATAGGATTCCAAGGCACGCTGGGAGCAGGCGGCAAAGCAATCTGCGGAGGCGAACTTTGCCTAGGCGGGCTGGCGGCAACCCGCCGACGAGTGCGTTTGGTAGTGAGCTTCCCCGGCGAGGTACGTGAAGAAGAATTTGACTGTTGACGTCCATGCCCACCGGAGAAAGGCCCTGAAGTAAGAGTCGGAGAAGACACGAAGTTCTCGAAGGGTTCAGTGCACGGGCGGTTGGTTGGTAGTCTATCAGGCAGTTTGCTCAGATGATTTTCGACTTCCCAGTCTTGCTGGCGTGAGGGAGAGTCTGTGGAACGCTCGTGGCTAAGAGCTGATGAACGAGAAGAAGCTGGATCAGAAGATGCTTTGATGGGCGGCCTCACTTGCTCCGCATTGGAAGGGTAAGCAGATGGGAAAGAGGTGAGTGAGCTTGACGGCAATGACTTCTGCTGAATGCTGACACCGTGGGCCTCGGCTGATATGGGTTCGGACTCGGCAATGTTCACAAGGTCTGACATTGCTGGTCGTGGTCGGTCTCGGACGTTAGCAACAACGTGACCAAGTGGTTGGACAGGATGTAGTTCAGAGGTGTTGTCACCCGCGAAAGGAATGAGAGGCACGTCGTGCATGGATGTAAGCTTCGCCGAATAGAATGGGAGCAGATACTCTGGTGGGAAGCCGCCTCCCGGCTTGACGAGGGAGGTCTTGAGCTTGGTATACTCATCATCGGCGTACTCAGCTAGGACTGAGTAATACTCGGAGCTGGGCCCGAGTGCCAGGATGGCGTGTTGACAGTGGCAATTCTCTAGATGTAACTCGTAGGTCTGCTCGACCTTGGACTGTACCGCTTGGGTATTGCAATCGACAACGGAAATCAAAGGCTGACTGGACAGACACTTGAGAAACATTCGCAGCTGATCCGGTTCGTCAATGGCGTCCGCGGCTATCAGTTCAAGGGCGAGTTTGTCGATATCAAGAAAGACATACACAGTGACTGCAATAGTTCGGGGTAGATCATTCTTGTGATGCAGGTTGGCATGCAGACGAATGTCTTGAGCAAGTGACCTAGCTGCTTCGACAGCTCCGTCATTACCCGCGTGCAAAAGTCGGTTCCGAAAGCAGAGGCCGTTGCCGTCAATTATAGCAATCAGGTACGGTTTGGCAGTCTGGCGCTCCTCTGCTTTCCGAGCACGCTTCATCCACTGCTCTCGGCCGGCAGATTGGTCTTCGAGATCAGCATGGAGACTCCGATTCTCCTCTTCGATCTTGGTGAGTCGATCCAAAAGTTCTGGTATGCCTTTGGCAAGATACTGCTGGGCGGTGGTCAGCGTCCGGACCAGGTTTGGAGCGCTAGGAGTGTCAATGAGGTTCCCAGGCGACCGAGAGCGCGCCGCTCTGTCGCCTGAGGGCGGTGGCATGTTGGACGTCTGAAAGGAGAAATGACTAAGTTATAGCCGAAGCACCCATGCGTCTCTACAGACGAGATGTCGCTTCACCGATCCTTAATCATGGCAATACACCCAAATGCGCGAAGCAGGATCACACGAACTTGTTGGTCGGACTACTTGTCTGTTGGATGTAGCCGTCGTCTCCGCGTATGCATATGTTTGCATGGGAACTGACAGCCATGAATATTTGAGGATTGCAAGGGGATGTTGAAGTGAAGTGGGCCGCGTTGGGAAGTGACAAGTCACTTTGGCTAGTCTCAGAGGGGTTTAGCTTAAACGCGACGCGCGAGTGCCGCCAACTTTGTCTTGTCTACCATTCCCTCGTCGACGTCTTTGACCTCTTTTCCTCATTGCGATGCTCAATAGCGGCCGCTCATTACGCTCTTGATGGTCGCGATTGGGATGCTGTTCTGTCGTGGTTTGCTTGACGTCTGCTAGATCACCAAAGTCGGTGAACCAAAAGCCTGTTAACTCAGGGGCGCCTACTTTCCTGGACTCTTTGTCTGAGGTTAAAAGGATCGAGATCACGAGGCGTTGGGTCAGCTTGACAGGTTTTCTCTCGGCCACAAGACGAGGCCATAGTCGAGAGACCCATTGCGAAGCGATTGTTGACGTCCTAAGTCCCGTCCTGCGTGCTGTCGGTTGAATGATGTCCTCATCCCATCCATGTTACGTTGGGGATATTGCAATCCAGCCTGCGGGAGCATTTCTGCAACGGGTCGATAGCTTCGATTGCGATATAAAAGGCGGCTCATTAGCCCGAATCGTTGTTGGAGCAACGCATATATACTGCGGTCAAGCATGAGCCGTCCGAGCTTAGTATGTATTTTGTCCGCCTCTGCCACATGGCTTCAGCAGTCCTCGCCGCTTTGCTAGAACTCGTTGACAGACACCGATAATGAGTCAACCAGAAATAGGAGCCCCAGGGCTTCAGAAACCTGGAGTCTGGGGAGAGGGGTGCCAAGTCAGTCATACAGCGCGGCAGAAAGGTGGTCTGTAATTGGGATTCATATATGGTGCATCTTCCGCTCACCCATGCACAAAATTTTAAGTCCGGATAGCCGTTGCCGTGGCGGCGATGAACAAGAACCACTTCTAGGGAGGGTGGAGAAACCGTGGCGGAGTTGCGCGTGGCGATTGGGTCCACGGCGTGCGGCAATTAATTGATCCTGGCCGCGCCGGAGTGAGCTCCGACTTTTTATCTCGCGCCCAGCTTTCTCTGACCCTGCTCCCTTTCTTTTAGCGACGACGACTCTTTGTGTTCTTCATCAGCGTTCGTTTGACAGTCTCATAGATCTGTTCTTCGTCCTAAACCAGACCACCTCTCTCCCACTCTCTACTCATCGCCGCGATACATCCTTCGCAATGGCTGCCGCAGCTAAGAATGTCGCCGATAGCATCTCGGCTCAGGCCAGCGAGCCCAAGAAGCTCTCTGGTCTTGCCCTCTACTCCAGATTCGTAAGCGCATCCATCTTGAAGCTATATTGCCGTTACTGACTCTACCCAGGCCTTCGCTGGCGCTGTCTGCTGTTCCGTCACCCACGGTGGCCTCACTCCCGTCGATGTGTAAGCTTCCTCTCAAGTCCGCCCGCGTGCCGTTATCTGACAAGGCTTCCAGCGTCAAGACCAGAATCCAGCTTGACCCCAAGACATACAACACAGGCATGATCGGCTCATTCCGCAAGGTCATCCAGAATGAGGGTGCTGGTGCTCTTCTGACCGGTGTCGGTCCTACCTTTGCCGGCTACTTCCTGCAGGGTGCCTTCAAGTTTGGAGGTTACGAGTTCTTCAAGCAGCAGTCCATCAACATGATCGGTTACGAGTCTGCCAGCAACAACCGCACCGCCGTTTACCTTGCCTCCGCTGCCTGCGCCGAGTTCTTCGCCGATATTGCCCTCTGCCCTCTCGAGGCTACCCGTATCCGTCTCGTCTCCGAGCCTACCTTCGCCAGCGGTCTCGTCTCTGGCTTCAGCAAGATTGCTTCGCAAGAGGGTATTGGTGCGTTCTACAGTGGTTTCGGTCCTATCCTCTTCAAACAGGTTCCCTACACAATGGCCAAGTTCGTCGTCTACGAGAAGGTTGCCGAAGCTATCTACCAGCGTGTGGATAAGAGCAAGACATCCGACGGCATGCAGACTGTCATCAACTTGGGCTCCGGTTTGATCGCTGGTTTCGCTGCCGCCATCATCTCCCAGCCCGCCGACACCATGCTCTCCAAGATCAACAAGACCAAGGGCCTGCCCGGAGAGGGTACCACCTCCAGACTCATCAAGATCGCCCAGGAGCTTGGTCTCCGTGGCTCCTTCAGCGGCATCGGTGCTCGTTTGTTCATGGTTGGTACTCTGACTGCTGGTCAGTTCGCCATCTATGGTGACATCAAGAAGGCCATCGGCGCTGTAAGTCTACCCACAAACCCTCTGCAATGCACAGCTAACAAACATCCAGGTTGGTGGCGTCGAGATCTCCAAATAAGCGCATCGAATCACCATGACACCCAGAACAGCATTTCGAAGTGATTGAACATTGCATAAAGTGGGAGTATCTCAATCACCGGACCCGGCATACTCTACGCATTCTCGGCATATAACGCACGTCGCATCTGATTCTGCAGATGCGTGGATTCTAGTGGGAATGCTGCTAGACAGATTCTGCTCCCGCCTCGGTCGAGCAGGTAGAGCTACTACTTAGATTTAGACATCGATTTCAGCCAGACTTGCCTTGGGCTTCAGGAACGGAAACCAGAAGCCAGGAGGCAGCCTTGTACAAAAAAGTATTGACGTCGACATGGAAGGTTTTCTTTTAGGTAGAGCGGAGGAAGTTCAGCGAATGTCACGACTTTCCTCAGATTCATTCTCTGAAGACTTTTGCCCCAAGTCCATGTGACGTAAATTCACTGCCTGCCCGTATTTCTTTACTTTACAATTCCGCCAAGACTGAGCCTCGTCTTCACCATTCCTTTCCTTCCTCTGACTTCCCAGTCTCTCCTCTCCTCGCCTCTCCTCTCCTCAAAGCCACAATGCCACCCACAATCCCCGCCTCCACCATCGGCGCCCCCTCCTTCGACCCCTCCACCCTCCTCGACCCCTCCAACCCCCTCCTCCCCACCGCCCTCTCCCACCTCCAACCCCCACACAACGACCTCCGCCTCGCCCTCCTCACCCTCTTCTCCCTCCCCGCCTCCGCCGGCGACACGTACACCTACCACGCCACCGCCTCCGTGACCCTCCCGCAAGTCCAATCCGCCGTCGCCGCCGGCCCCGCCCACGGCCTGCTCGACTGGTACGTCGACGCCTCCGGCCACGCGCGCGGCCAGCACCCCCCTCCCGCGGACGTCGCCGCGTACGTGGGTCTCTTTGACGCGACCAAGGCGCCCGCGGCCGCGCTGAAGGGGTTCGCCGCCAATGCCAAGCGCGGGAGTCTGAGGGAGGGCGTGGCGAAGTGGCTGACGACGCGGCGCTTCGTGGCCGTGGGGGTGCCGGCGGTGGCGAAGCTGAAGGCCGACGGGAATGGCAAGTGGTATGTGAACCCGTACGCGGAGTTTCTGGCGTGGGCGTGCGGCGCGCTGCAGTGGTGTGGGCCGGACGCGAATGCGGGGCTGGTGCGTGTGAGTCACCATGTGCTGCCGCTGTTCATGCATCATTTCGGGTGCGTGTGTCCGAATTGGGAGGCGTTGAGCTTGATAGCGTGGTTTGCGAGGCCGGGGGCGAAGGGGAGGCCGAAGAAAAGGGTTCTGGATGTGGGGAGCGGGAATGGGTATTGGACGGCGATGTTGAGGATGGAGCCGTGGGGCTTGGACGTCACGCCGGTGGATAACATGCAGAGTCGTTGGCGGACCGTGTGGGTTGGGGACACGCTCGTCGTGGATGCGGTCAAGTGGTTGCAGAAGCGGGAGGTGGCGCTACAGCGCGAAGAGGTGCTGTTGTTGGTCTATCCTGTCACGCAAGGCGGTTTCACCGAGGGGGTCATCGATGCCTTCAAGGGTGATGTCGTGGTCGTGGCGGGCACGCAGAATGGGAGTGGCTACACAGGTTTCCAGGGCGAGTGTGTGGACACGTGGTTTAAGAAGCGCGGTGGGTGGGATCTGTGCGTCAGGGTGCCGCTGATGAGTTTTCCGGGGAAGGACGATGCGTTGTTCATTTTTCGACGAAAGGATGCCGCCGCTTAGACGAAAGGAGACTGCCGCATAGGACAAGGACGACTCGCGGCTGATAGGTTTACCACGGCGGACCATTGAGAGACACGTCAGGTTGTCCTTTCAAAGGTCATGCCACCCACCACTCAGCCTTCAGATTGTGTGAGTGCTAGATAGCAGCGCCGCAGCATCGCTCACCACCCGCTGCAGCGCATGAACCAAGCCCAGCCTCACACGTCGAAGCTGGTCGAGCTCGCAGGCTGCTGCAACGCAACAGGCCCTCCAAAGACTCAGACTGCTCGACTCCTGGACGTTGGTTTCCAGATCATGCCACATTTGGCCCGCCCCTCGACGACAGAGCTTGGTCGCACATCTGATGTTGTGATGGAGTGGACGACAAACATCTCACGGGAGTCTTCTACCGCAGGATAGCGAGTCTCGTGGGTCAAGCCGTCACGTCCGGAACGGTGTGGAGCTTGTGTTTGGTGTTCCCGTAAGCGATTCTGATTCATGGGCCCGTCAAGCTCGTTTACGTGGTCTTGAAGAGGAGAAAAGGCCAAAGGGACGCTTCGTTGAGGGGTAGGGGGCATTCGTTGACGGGAATCTAGCCCTCATGGCGCACGTGGCAAATCTTGCAGAACCTAACCTCAAGAGGGGGTTTCTCTATAGCTCCTCATCAAGTCGTATACACGAACTTCCTATTCTCCCTATCCGTCAGATCCAACCAATCATTCTCTCCGCCCACCACCACCGCCGCCCCAGCCCCGTCCCCATCGCCCGTCGCCGCCGCTCTCTCTGCCTCGGCAGCCCTCCTCCGATTCTCCAGCCGACACACCAAGCCATACGACAGAATCATGACCATGGCGACGCCATAGCACACGATCATAGCCACCGTGCCACCCACGTACGCGGGCGCCTGATCGGCGCGAAACGTCTGCGGGCCGATGATGTTGCCCAGCGTCCACGCGATGAAATACCACGCGAACAGCGCCGTCTTCTTGGTGTGGCCCGCGATGTTGGCCTGGTAGACGCTGACGAGCGTGACGTAGGGGGCCCAGTACGTATAAAGAATGTAGAGACCGACGAGCTGGCCCGCGAGGTTGGAGCGGGGGAGGGCGAAGCACAACAGGGCGCCGAGCAGCGGCAGCAAGATGGCGACGGAGATCATGAGGGTGCGGTAGCGGCGGGTGGTGGAGGCGAGGAAGGAGAGGGCGATGCCGCTGAGCGTGGACATGGCGCCGGGGGGCATGGCGAGCAGCGAGGTCTGCAGCTTGCTGAAGCCCAGGCCTTGGATGATGAGCGTGTTGAAGGTCGAGAGGCCGCCGTTGGGGACCTGCAGCGCCACGATGGCGAACCAGATCAGCCACGTCTTGGGGTCCTGCAGGAGCGCTTCCTTGATGTGGTGCGGCTTGAAGGCTTTGTTCTCCATGCCCGTGTTGTCGGCGGATTTGCGTTGGATGATGATCAGCTTTTCGCGCGCCGAGAGGAAGCTGGCTTCCAGAGGGTTGTTGGGGAGGAAGAAGTAGACGACGAGGGACCAGAGGATGGTGAAGGCGCCGAGGGTCAGGAAGATGATCTTCCAGGTGGCGAAGGGCCCGCGGTGGTAGGAGACGGCCCAGGCGATGAAACCATTGCAGATCGGGGCACTGATACAAGGGTGGTTAGTGGATTGCTACTTCGACAAGACCTAGATGTCAAAGAGGTCGGGTACTTACATGACGTTCAAGATGATGGAGTTGCGCCGTGGTTGTTCCTCTGGGCGATACCACATGGCACTAAGAATATCGGTCAGCGTCTTCACTCCCTGGGGCCATGATTGGCATCAAAATCTGAACTCACACCAGCAGAGTGACGGCAGGGATGAGCAAAGCCTCGAAGCCGCCAAGCAAAAAGCGGCAGATGAACAGTCCCGTGAAGTTCGTGCATGCAGCCATGGCCATCTCAGCAATACCCCAGCAGAGGACGTTGGCTGAGAAGAAGGTGACGACAGGCATCCTTTGGACCAAGTCAGCACAGGCACAACGGCACATACGGGCAAGTAGAGCAGGAGAAGCACGGACTTTTGCAGACAATACGCAGCCGGTCCCATGAAGACCAAGCCGCCGAAGAAAGGCGCGGAGCCGCACCAGGAGTACTGCTGCCCGGTCAAGTTGAGGTCCTCTCGCAAGTCGTAGATGGCGGCGGCTGAGATGGCTGTTTTGTCGAGACCGGAGAGTGTAGCGCAAACGAAGAGCTGGAGTTCTCGTCAGCGCCATGCTAGTACCGGGGGGTGTCCAGGGGCGAAGCCGACTCACAATCGGTACGAGTCGCCAATCAACCTTCCGGATGAGCTTCTTCTCCTCCTCCTTGGTGTACTCATTGCCGCGTAGCTCTTGGCCATGCTCTGCGATGAAATGCGCGGCAATGTCGACATCTTTCGCGCGACCTGCTTTGACGGCCTGCACCGCTGTCTCGGCCGTCAGTACCGGGTTTGCTCCTTCTTCGGAAGACGCGCGGTCTTGAGCGACACTGATCTCTGCTTTGCTCATGTTGCCACAAAGGTCGCCGTGCGGCGCAAGGCTGTATAAAAGGGGAGTAACGAGAACAAGCGACGGCTAACGCTCAATACCTTTCCGTCGCAGACTGTAGTGAGTAGACACGCTTGCTGTACTGCTTACCATTCGAGACCTTGATATTGGACCAGCCGCGGGCACATCGTCTATATAGTCCACTACTAGTCTCATGCTGCCGTGCACATGGTGTACTCTTCGATGGTAGACTTGGCACTATCCCCGGGTAGCTGTCGTGGACGAGATAGAGCACGGCCCCTTATCATTAGCCACGCGGACGCTTACCGTCGAGATTGTGTATCTCCGCATACATGACTGCGTGCTCGGGTCTTCGCCGTCGATCTGGGCGTTCCCCGATATTCCTTTAGCGGCTCCAGATGTGATCCACAGCGGCCAAGATAGAGTTGGCCATCAGGAAAACGGTTAAGATAAGAGCCATGGCAATTCTGCCGCGCGGGCAACGTTGACCTCGGCCAGGAACCGTGACCACTGAGCGGCCGTAGTGCTATAGTGGGCGGCGCGGCGCGGCGTAGCCATTTTCTGGCCGCTATACCCATGTAGATGCTTAACGGCCTAAAATGTAGTATGGCGCTCGGCATCAGCAATATAAGACCTTGTGCGAATGTCAGGTATACTCTATCAGATTGTCAGTCGAACACTAGATTCTGAGTACGCCGTCAAGATGATTGCGCCTGTCGAGCATGTGCAGAGCAAGGAGCCTGCCTATCCAGACTACCTTCGTATGCTTCATACACCCGCGAAGAAAGAATCTTTGTTCTAACACGTCGTGCCAACAGCTCACTACGACCCGAGTGAAAAGGTTGAACCGGTTGGCGCTTTCGAGCACGATGACCCGGGCCACAGAGCAGATGCCGCGCTACCCAACTTGATGAAGGAAGCGACCAACATGTTCGAACTGAGCCCTCATTGTGGTACCGAGCTTCACGGGGTGCAGATATCCGAGTTGTCATCCGCGGGCCTTGACGAGCTGGCGCTCCTGACGGCCGAGCGGGGATGCGTCGTTCTGCGCGAGCAGAAGTTCAACGACATCGGCTTCGAGGCGCAGAAACAGATCGCCTCGCACTTCGGGCCCCTGCACCGTCATGGATGGATGCCGCATCCGCAAAACGGCCCCATAGAGTTTGTCATCGTCTTTGATTCCCAGGATGATCTCAGGATCCGGAAGTCGTGGGCCAGAAAGAGCCCAATCCAGTTCCACGTGGATCAGTCGCCTGAGCCACAGCCTCCTGGGTTGACATTCTTCTGCATGCTCGAGTCGCCTCCGGGTGCGGGAGGTGATACCATCATTTCGCATGTATGTCAAGCTCACCCCGTGCAACGAGCCACTATTGACTTTTCGCAGATGGGACGCGCTTTCGATCGTCTCTCGCCGTCATTCCGTAAACGGCTGGAAGGCCTGAACGCAATCCACACCACGGCCAATCCGATTATGCGCGAGATTAGAGACAACGGCAATCAAGCCGTCCTGCGGCGACCAATCACCAAGTCAACTCACCCTGTCGTGACCGTTCATCCGGTCACCAAGAGGAAGTGTCTGTTCGTCAACTCGTCTTATACTCAAAGTATCGTTGGCTGGGACGAAGAGGAGTCGGATTACATGCTCAAATTTCTGTTCGATCATGTCAACCGTGGTGCCGATTTCTCGTGCCGCGTGCGGTATGAGCCGGGGACAATCGTGGTTTGGGACCAGCGTTGCACTCAGCACTCTCAGACTCTAGACTACAATCCAGGTCAGCGACGCCACGCCTTCAGATTGACGCCATTGGCAAATGTGCCAATTCCAAGTAAAGTCGAGGAGGACGATGGGAGCTGTCAAGAAGATGAAGCTAGGGTGATGCTGAACTTGTGCTAAGAGATTCGACAAGGCTCGTACCACGAGTTGATATGCACAGCTCGCCGTACGACAGCCGAATTTTTCATTCTGGTGTAATCTGGCCTAGCCTCGCCAACAAGGTCTCGACTTTGAACAGTCCGAGATTGGTGAGCCCCTTCACACCCGCAGCCCCTTGGGCGGAGACGCGATTGATCCAGCGCCAGCGGCGTATAAGATCCAGTAATTCGCCTAGTTCGATGCTGAAATTGCCAGCGCTGTCGGCCGTCTGGTCAGTATCTTGAGTTGCAAGATTGGAGCTGTCGTCAGGCTGAGACGGATTATGTGGTGTAGGTGCATTCCGACCGTGTCGCGGCGAAATAGTGCAGAGCAGTTGAACCATGAATGAGCCAGCCATTGCGAAATTTGGTCGTGACCAGCAGTGCCAGAAAGCGTTCCATTGCGGGTCTCGCAGCTTTTCCAAAAATTCCACAAGCTCCTTGACACAGATTAGTGCGCCTCTCACCACGGCGGCTGCGCCCTGATTGTATTCGTCACCAGGAACCCCTTTGACGAAGCCTTCTTCCAGTGGGCGTAATAGAGCTCGGAAAAGCATCATGTGAGTGACAATATAGGACAAGTGCAATGCTCCGTTGCCATCCAAGCATTGTAGTTCCTCGACAGTTTCCGGGCGACTGCCGCGTTGAGGCGGATAGGAAATTGCCCAGGATCTCAGGTTGGTTGGAAGAGACTCTTGCCAGTTACGGAGTCTCGCTCGAAGAGGCCTGGCTTCCTCAAGGGACAATCGTAAGTCAGTGGCCGTTGTTGCTTCCCCTCGCACGGTGTAGTACGTGCACTGAATGTCTGCGAGGATCGTGGTAAGCTGAACAAGAAATTCGAAGTGATTCCTCGTGTAATCAGGAAGACCCTCTCCGCTCGAGTCCAGAACTTCAAGTGGTACGACATCACTATCGCAGTCGTTCAAATGGCTGGGCATGCCTCGCGACAGGGCAATCCATTTCTCCATGGTCCACAATGCCCACCATAAGCGATGTCGCAGTGTCCGTTCCTTGCTGGGAATCAAGTTCCATGATAGCGAGTTGCGGTGAAGACCGATTGTTTGAGCGGCAGACGTGGTGGCGCCTATCAACGACCACTTGAAAGCGGTATCGGATAGAACAGGATTCGTCGGGAGCCCATGCTGAAGCAGAAGACAGGCTTGCACTGTCGCAAGGGTAGGTGCATGGAGTTCGTAGCAAATAGCGGACCAGCACAATCGATACAAACGGTTGCTCGACGGTGGTTGAGGAAGGACGTCATAAAGGGCCTCGTCGTATAACATGAAGGGAAGAGCAGTCGCGCACATACCTACCAAGAGGGCAAGGCTGGTCGTTTCGAGAGACGAAACATTTGCGGGGCACTGGTCCTCAGTAAGCACGGGAAAGTAAGGATTGACAAACTTGAAGTAAAGTCGACACAGGCGTAGTGCCGTTTCGCGTTCGACATGACTCCATAGGTCGGATCGGGCTTCTTCCAGCTCAGCGGCCCCGACGCGCGGTTCGGCATTCTTGATCAGCCTGTCCTCGGTTATACCGAACATGGGCACGCTGCTCGATACTGGAGCCTTTTGGGAAGATTTTGAATTGTCAGCGACTCGCCGAAACTTCAAGCCGGTGGCCACAGCGTCGGTATGGCCTAGTCCATCGTAGGCCTGGCGGCGTAAAAGAGAGGCATCCGACGTTCCAGTTGGGCCAATATAGAAGCTGAAGGATTGTGGGAGGTTCTCGAGCGAGATTGGCTGACAGTAGGTCTGTTCAACATCATCTGCATGTTCTGCCGGCCTTGGCTGGATGGCTACAGACGGCGATGGCTGCTGGTCCGGCAAGCTCTGCGATGTTGGCGGAGGTGACCGTACAGCGTGCCAGAATCCGGGAGTAGGAAAGTCATCCGCATAGGCAAATGGTACATCGAGAGAGTTCTGGTCTTGGGTTGACCATAAGTTATACCACGGCAACGACAGGTGGCGATGCTGGCCGTTCTCGAGATCTCGAGCAACACTGCTCAGAAGCGGGCTGAGTCCAGGAGAGCCGCTCTCGAGACGCTGTAGGGTTTCAGGCTCAGTATACCGATGACGCTGTCGCTTGGCCGGCCATTCCAGAAATTCACACGACTTGGACAACTTGGTACAACGCTCGCAGGGTGGTCCCGCCAGCATCTCGCAGGCGACCTTCCGTTTCCTACAGCCATCACACGGCCGCTGTTTCCGAGACTTGTATGCCCGGCCAAGACCAGCAGCTCCAGACATGACTGTGCTTCCATGAATGAGAACTAAAAGGGTGGCATGGACGTCGAAGCCAAGGTTGTCGTTGCGCGCTTGTCCTTATCTATATTCCGGAGATAGACGTTCTATCTCCCTCTACTTGCCCACCTCCTGGAGGGTATACCATTGTTAGACGCCCAATGCGGTGTCTATCCCTTGAACGCCTATTAGTACCTAGTGTGCAAGTTGGGGTACCTCGGCGTGATCACATATCAGATTCCGCCGTCCTGATCTCATTCGCCTTCGTCTCATTCCAGAGCTTTATGGCTGCGTCAACGGAACCTGAGGCAAGTAAGTTGGGCGGTTGATCATCTAGAAATTCTAGCACACCCAATAAACCAATTCCCAAAACACCGCAATTCGTAGCCTCGTAATTCATGCCTTGCCCCTATCCTAAACCAAAGCCCCCTTCACCAAAATGCTCTCCAATAAAGACTCGTCGCGCGCAGCTCACAACTCCCGCTCCACCCCCCACCCACTCCTCCCCTCACCGAACCCGCCCGGCGCCCCCTCCACGCCCCCACTAGCGGGATAGAAGATCTTCTTCAGCACCATGACCACGAGCATTAAAAACACGCCGGCAATGGCGCGATCGATCGTCATAGTCCCGGCGGCCGCAGTGGCGGTGATGTTGCGCTCCTCGCGCCGCTCGGCGACCGTCTGCAGCGCCGCGTGCTGCTCGAGCGCGGCGGACGCGGCGGCGAGGGGCGGGGCGTGCAGGTTCATCATGGGTCGCTGGGAAGAGGTGGCGGGGGCGAGTTCGGAAGCCGTGAGGCGCGCTTCTGCTGCGCGTTGAGTGGATTCGGGGGTCGGGGTGGGGGAGAAGGCGGAGGAGTGGTGTTGTGGAGGTGGGGGGCGGAGGGGTTCTGATGGCGCTGCTGGAGGATGTGGTTGCTGCTGCGGCGCGGGCGGTGGTATTGATGGCACCGTAGGTTGCTGTTGTGCATTTGACGGCTCCTCGGCTTTGGGCGGTGTCTCTGACTCCTTGCCTTTACCCTTGCCGACGTCTCGAGCCTCGACCGCCATGCCTTCAGGCAGCACCTCCAGACCTACTTCAGCACCTTCCTCGCCAACTTTAACGCCCTGCTCCTGGCACGCAGCCCACCATTCCTTCATGACCTCCTCATTCGTTTTCTCACAGCCGCCACACCTCCACTGCCTACTCTCCCTCGCCAACCGCTTCCGTACATGTTCCGGCGCCTCCAGCCCTCCCACCTGCCCGGCAGTGCCAGGCTCTGCCATGAACGTGCGCAGGGCCGTCAGCGCAGTCCGCACGCCCCATGCCGGCATCCACGTTTCCTCATGGAAGCCCGATATGCTTAGACAGATCTCGCGGTTGACCTCGAAGCGGGCCGAGGGCGTGAGGAAGCGGAAGTTGGGTGGCTTGAGCGGATACTGTGGTGGGAGGGTGATGCGCCCGTGATACAGGCCGCCGGCGTACGGCGAGGGTGAGGGCGGCCCTAGCAGCGTGAAGTGCCATTCATGGAGATCGGCGTCTGAGACAGGTGCGGCGTGGAAGGCGGCGGATGGGTTTGGTGCCGAGGGTGAGAGTTCCGCGGTCTCTCGCAGGAGGCGCCGGATCGTGGGCGAGGGTGCCATTCTCTGTGTGTGTGTGTGTGTGTGTGTGTGTGTGTGTGTGTGTGTGTGTGTGTGTGCAGGTTGCAGCGTCGGCTGGAGTGGTATGTAGGAGGACCTTCACCTGGACGTAGAGTATGGGGGTCTGGCTGCACGCCTCCAGAACTTGGATTGTTTGACAATGAAGGGATGGAGATATTGCTGAAGACTTTTGCGCTGTACGTCGCCGCAGCAGAGTCGCTTGCAATATCACGCTTATGTATCACAGAGTAAGCGCCGGGCAGTTGGCGCCTTACTTGTGAAATGCATCAGAGTGAGAGAGAGGTGTTCAAGATGTCGCGAGATGTCATCGGGGGCAACTGCGGCAACTGCGGCACTCCGATACGCCGATGTCACGTGACATGGGTACAGCCTCATCGAATCCATTCACTGCCTGATCATACATTCGGGTCAACTTCTGAGGCCGAATGTGTCTTCGATACAACTCCTGGCATTGGAAGGAGACCAGGGGTACTGGTGTGGAATGTTGGAGATAGACTCACGTGTAGTGTGCACAATGACCTACGCTACCACATCGCTATGAAATCCTGCAATTATATTCCAATCCAACGCTTGCTAACCAGCATCACTTATTCATTCGATACACCACCGCAATGCCGCTGTTCAAGCGTCGTCAGGCAGTCTGCCATGGTCTCCATTCACGCCGTTCCCAGCGAATCCATTCGCCGCCATGTCCGACATCTCAATATCGCTCTTCATGCCGGGTACACTAGTATCAGTGCTCAAATACTCTTCCTGGGACTCGAAGAAGCCGGCGTGATGGACCTTGAGAGCTATGACGACATTAGCATGTTGCCCAAATTTCAACGTGATAAGGAAACTTACAGGTCGGGAAAGGCCACCAGTCACTCCAATCCTCCTTCATGAACGCCTCGATGCGTCCCGGGTTTTCGTGCGGGTCACTGCTCACCGGGTTCGGCGGCGGCACCGTGCGTTTCATCTCCCCTTGCAGACCCGGCGCACGCCTGAGGTTCTTGAGCTTGGCAAATACCTTCAGTTGCGCCGCCATGGCAACCTCGACAATCGGTCGGCCGAGGCACGCGTGTGCTCCGTACCCATGGTGGATGTACAGGTCGCGGTCCCGCGTGATGTCGATCTCGAGCGGATTGGGGAACACCGTCTTGTCCATGCCGGCCGCGACGAAGTCGGTGTAGATCTGCGCGTCGGTGGACACGTGCACTTTCTTCCCATTATCGTCGATGACAGTGTCGACGCGTGACTTGCGCAGCAGCCCGAAAGCCGCCGGTCGCAGTCGATTCGCCTCAAGGGCATAGCTCTTAAGCTTCTCGAAGTCGCCCTCGGAGTCGGACCACGCGCAAGCCTGGATGTCGGGCCAGTGGTGCTTGTACTCGTCGGAGAGGTAGAGATCGAGCATCTGCGAGCAGTGCTGCGCCTGGGTGGCGGTCGCGGCCGCCGCGGTCGGGATGATCGACCACACGACCTCGTCGACCGACTTGCCGCCCTCGAACAGGCGGCGGATGAGCCTCGTGCCAAAGTCGCCGAGCAGCTTGCCTGCATGGCCCATGCGGAACAGATCCGACAGGTGCAGGTAGCTGTCCGCCTTGACGGCCTCGCAGACGATGCGGATGAGCTTCGAGATTGCTTCGCCGGAGCCCTTGGCCCCGAGGCGCAGCTTAAAGGAGCGCGCGGTGTCGAGGTCCAGAAAGACATAGGCGAACATGACGGACATTGCTAGGTAGAGCTGCTCTACGGTGATGCCGACGGGGTTGACGTCGTCGGGCGACTTGAGAGGGATGTGCCACATCTTGGCGTTGAAGATGGCGTGCGATGGGTTGGCAACGTCGCGCACCGCGTCGAGCTGGTACCAATCCTTGAGCAGGATCTCGCTTCGGACGGTCACAAGCTGGGTGGTCAAATCCTCGTAGAACTTCTGCACCTGCCTGAGGCGCTCATTTTGAGTAGGGCTGTACTGGTTGGGATAGCTTGGGCCGTAGATGTGCTCGCCAAACTCCTGCTTTTGCTTGAAATTGGCCTTCTTGTCGCCGCTGAGCATGTAATCGTGGCCTGTCAAGTCACGAGTGTGAGCATCCCAGGGAACGGCGAATCGTCCTGTGTCCGCAAGAATCGAAGTTACGGCCTTCCAAGACTTGATCGAGATGGGCAGGCCGATGTAGCTGGGTCGTTCAAAGTTGTAGTCCTGGGCCTTGTGCAACTTCGACTGGATCCGCATGTTCTCCTCGGGGACAGTAAAAGGAAACATTGCGTAGACTGAACTGCCACGATACCAGTTGGGCAGAGCACGCATCAACAGGTTATAGAAGCAGTGTCCTTGTGCGACATCTGGATCAGACTTGATCTGATTGAAACCCCAACTGGTGAGATTGGCAGGCGAATTGCCAACAGTGTAGAAACGATCACCCCGTGTGAGCGCGACAGCGTCCGCGAGGATGGCTCGAGATATAGTGTAGCCAGGACACAAGCCAGACCCCGGGTCCATTGGGTCTTTGGCATCTTCCGCTACCATGCCGGGGTACATCTCCACATAGTCTGGGTGGCCGTACAATGCCTTCAAAGCGCCGGCAGTGGCCTCGTCGCGCGTGATGTCAGTGAACGTCTTGTGAGGCTCCAACTTGAAGAAGGCGCGCAGCTCGTTGAGCGTAGCAACATTCCACGATCTCGCCTGTTTGATACCCAGGGTCTCAATCAGCTTCAAGACCACAGGTACATTTCGTGGACCGAAGGCTCCGGCAACGTCCTCGGTTGCGTCTGCCAAGATGTTGACCAGATCTTCATCACCGAAGCGGCCAAGACCATTGCGAGTGTATTTCCCATCGTCAATGGTCCAAGTAGACGGGTCTTCTCCTTGCTTGTTCAGCCAGCCGTATAGATTACGCACGACTTCAGCTTCGGTCAGGGACTCGAGATCATTTGTGCCCATGATCTTAGAATATAGCTCGTTGGTCCATTGCTCATCCTTTTTGCTGATGGCCGAATGCCAGCGATAAAGGAGATTGAACTCCACGCTGACCTGGTTACCAATACCGCGAGGTGTACCCTCGATGTCATAGACATCCTCATTGTTTCGAGGATCAAGAGTCCAAGTTGAATTCGTACGATTGAGGTTGAGGATGGTGCGGACGTAGTCAATAAGGATGATGTTGATGTATAGGCCACACGTCACCAGTCTGGCTGTCTGGAAGAGCTCCTCGTCGAGTGCTAGGATACCTTTCAGGTCATTTTCATCATTGGGCGCCTTAAATCGGTTACCCTCGTTGATAGTTTTCAATTGCATGGCAACATAATTGTGGTATCGGTTGAAGCAGATGACAACGGCGGCAACGCCAGGTGGGAATCCCAACAAGCGTTTCTCCGAGAAGGTGTCCGGCTTTAGAAGACCATCCTTGAAAGTACGGATCTTCTTCAAATCTTCAATGCTGCTTCCATAAAGCGGGGCGAGATCCAAGTACGACGACGTCTTCACGCGAGAATGGTCTCTCTCGTCAGTGTGGAAGACGTCGTGAATGATGATGGTGGCGAGGTAAAACAGCATACTAGAAACCTTGTTCGGGTGCTCTCGAGCCTCTTTGCGGCGCGCAAAGACGGTGTCGAAGATGACTCCAGGGTCTGGTAACACTCCTGGTTGCAGGGTTCTCGGTGTTACGGTCCTGGCGTAGAATGAGCCAGCCTTGCCCAGGTGAGGGTACATGATGTTGTTGTTGGACCCATCTGCTTGGCGATACTTGTATTCGTTACCCTGGAATGATAGGGGAGGGTGCTCTAAGTTGTTCCAGAGGAGCTTAATGAACCGGGTACTGATCTCGTCCAGCGGTCCTGAGCCTACGGGCAACGACGAAGCGAGCCGTAAGATCTGCTCCATCTTTCATTGGCGTTAGCATGTCTGGACCAGGTTTTATTCCGAAGAGCTTGCCTCACCTGGTACTTTCTGTCATCGACATAGCCTCCGTTGAAGAGCTCCGTATCAAGGAAGGAAGATATCAAGCCAACGTTCTCACCAAGGCGACCAGTCTGGCTGGCAATGCCCCTAAAAAAGTCGCCCAAGGCAGGCTTGGGCCTCGTTGCCTCTATCGCGCCGAACAGAACTGGGTTTGTCGGATCAGGCTTGTTGCTACTGAACAGTCCGCTGACAGCATTTTTGAGCGTCGCAAAACCTGACGAGGGACGTGGACTGACGGAACGTCCTCTCTTCGGTTCCTCCGGCACTTGGAGAGTGGAAGACGCATCCGAGGCCTTCCTCTTCCTGCCTCGCGGCATATTGAAACTTCTGTTCGTAGATTAGAAGTATAAAAAAGGAAGCCACAAAAGCTGCAATACTACGGACGAGAGTGCTTGCAAAACTTCGAAGGACATTGGGCCAGGAACGATGCTACATATCAATGCTGAAGAACGGCTATCGAGAAGGCAACCTCAAGTCCCCGGCAGGGGCAGTGTTGCATAGCTCATGAGCTGAGGCTCGAGCTGACCAACACGAGTGAGCATTGGTGGAGTGGTTTCTGCAAGACATGCAGGGGTTCGCAGCACTGGCTCGAGGAGGACGTGCAATAGCTGGACCATGATTGGCGAAGGGGAGTACCTGGGCGGGGGGCGAAAGAACCCGAAGAGGAGCGCAATAAATGGACAGACCCGCGTTCGCCGATCCATAGGGCTTAGGGGGCCGTCGGCTTGGAGGGCCTTTGACCAGGACGATTCCGTGGCAAAAGTGCCATTCTGAATCCATGCTGGGGTCGTCTAGACAGGTACATGACAGGCTCTGTATGTCTCGTCGATTGTGCTACCTTCCGAGATGAGAGCAGTGGTTCACCTGGCTCGGGGCACGCACGTGGTGAGCAATCGATTCTATATTAACCACACTGTGAATCCGTGAGGGCCCGCTTAGTGGACACGCTCGTACCAGGTCCCTGAAGTCCCAAGCAAATGAACATGCAGCCGAGGCGGCCGCCTAACCGGTGGAGATTGGGGGCTGACTCGAGCTCGACTTGGGAAGACGGAACACCTTGACCACCTTCCTTATTATCTCACATCCAGATAGCGGAGTAGTTGTTGATGATACCGGACCGAGTAACTTTTGTGACCGACGAGGAGCGTTCTGTCCTTGCATGGGGCGTCATCGCATTGTTGACGCTTGCCGCACAAACAATGGCATTGACGAGCCGGAGCGAGGTCCGTTCTGGATAGGTGCATGTCCGTCTCGATCTGTGTCACTGCCATCGAATTAGCCCAAATCCCCAGAGTAGATGATCGCGTGAGCGATCAATCTTGACACGACCGTCCGGCTGCCTTGTGAAGACTTCCAGTGCTGTTGGTGCTATCGTGCAGACGCGACAAAGCGTAGTCTCCTCGGGCATGGCACTGGCATAACGCCTACGTCACAGGTTCGTTTAGCTAAGGTGACAGTCCCGAACATTTTGGACGCTCTTCCGGTTCTACACAGATGTGCAAGGAGTGAATATTGCAATACGTCGCCGGGGCAGAGCATTTGTCTCGTTGAACGAACCTTCGTCAGACAGAATCCATCAGCAGCCTTTCGACACATTGTGCCCGAGATGTCCGCAGCTAATTATGCTCTTTTCACAATTCCAGCATATCTGGTCATCGCAATGTTCCCACACGCATATAGTGTGTGGTTGATCACTACAAACAACAACAACAAATGGGATTTACAGTCACCTCGATCGACGAACAACCGCAGCAAGACAGAGGCGTCGGTTCCGAAGCACATATATCGCCGATTTGAGCGGTGTCGGTCTGCCCACGAGAACATGCTCGAGAACATGGCTTTTGTCGTGGGAGGAATCCTGTCTGGTGTCGTGACCAGATTGGATGCTGAGTGGATGAATCTGATGTGCGGTCTCTACCTTGTCAGCCGGATCCTGTACACTATCAGCTATGTGAGCATAGCAAGCGCCAAGTGGGCACCCATGCGGACAGCCTGGTATCTGTAAGTCTCCCGTGAAAGCTGCACGATACAGCTGCTTGAAAGCAAACTGCAAGAGGAGGGCAGAACTTTGTCTACTCGTGACCCCTTCCGTATCCATTCGGCAACGTTTGTCTTCATCTGATTGCAATGTGGCGGTCGAATGCCGCTGACCAACCACACAGGCTTGGGAATGTGGCAGTCATCTCGATGTACTGGAAAGCGGGCATGATACTGGTTCGAGAAGGCCAACTGCCATAGACTGGCTGGTGGAGGTTCTACGGACAAGCAGGGGCGGATGAGTTTGTTGTGGTCGCGGGGCGAATGGACAACTAGTACTACATCGAATTGTAGCAGCAGCAGCAGCATGAGCAAATTGCTTCGGAGACACGAATTTGACCAAACGAGTACGGTTGAACGGTTCATCTTTACTTTCTACTGACTGCATGCTCTTTCTTCGTCTTCATCGAGGTGGCTACGAGACTGTAGAGCGATATTGCTGTTTGCCGCCAGGGCAAGAGCAGCCAATCATAGCACCGCAGCACAAAGTGGGGAATATGCCAAGCGCACACAATATGAAATCTTGGCGTGGTCACGCCTGCGCATCGTAACTTCAACAAGTTTGGACCAACTTTTTAACGGACACCCAACCCTACCGAAGCCCTCCACTCGATCCTCAAATACAGTCGAAATGGCGTCCAAGAGAGGGTATGTTGGCGTCGCGCTTCTTGCGCTACCTCCGCCGTTGCGTCGCACTGGCTAACTCGAGATGCAGTCGTGGTGCCTCTGGCAACAAGCTCAAGATGACCCTCGGTCTGCCTGTGTACGTTCAACCCATCGAAAACTGCCAATATGCCCGAATAATCATCTATCTCGAGACGATTGCGATGGCTATGCTACAAGAATTGGACTAACAAGACGATAGTGGTGCCGTTATGTCGTGCGCCGACAACTCGGGTGCCCGCAATCTCTACATCATCTCCGTCAAGGGTATCGGTGCCCGCCTCAACAGACTGCCCGCTGCCGGCGTCGGTGACATGGTTATGGCTACGGTCAAGAAGGGAAAGCCTGAGCTGAGGAAGAAAGGTAAAATTAACCCACACGAAGCTATGCAAATAAGTCTAACGCTGTGGCAGTCATGCCTGCCGTGATCGTCAGACAATCGAAACCCTGGAGGCGGCTGGATGGTGTCTATCTGTACTTCGAAGACAATGCTGGAGTGATTGTCAATCCAAAGGGTGAAATGAAGGGCAGTGCCATCACGGGCCCGGTCGGAAAGGAGGCTGCTGAGCTTTGGCCCAGAATAGCCAGCAACAGCGGCGTGGTGATGTGAGGTACCGGGATGTCGACAGAATCGAGGAATGACGGGAGAACGCATCAATGGTGTTTTCCGATACCACGGCCGCACCGAGCGATTGCAGTGTGACCGCCACCTCCCCCCCCGCTCACAAGCGGCAAGGACAGCCTTTTTAGCGATGCCACGGAGGCGGTGAACACATCAGGTCAAGATGATCAGCATCCCGAGGGCAAGGCTAGACGCGCTTGAATGAAAATCATGAAAGCCACGTACTTCGTGACCTCGTCAGATTCGATATGTGTGATTTCCTTCTGAGTTGGCCACCAGGGGTCGACAGAACTGCCGAGCGGACTACCCATACTTACGGCAGATCATTCTTCATTCTTCATTCTTCGGGGTCGATGAGATTGACTGGCGGCCTCCTCGGACTCACAACTTTGCTGTGAGGATCGGGAGCCTTCCCGTCAGTGACGCCGATCCCTTCTGGTGGGCCACCCGGGCCAGTGCCAGCCTTGCGCTGCTCATCTTAGCTGGCGTATCTACAGGCGATCCTCCATTCTTCTGAACTATGACTACTGTACTGTAGCCTATGTGGAAACCCGGATCATGTGGAAGGGCAACAAGATTTAGGGGCCGCACATGGCAGAGGACATCCGGGGCGGTTCATAGGTTCCCAGCGCCCGTGCTACAAGACTATCGGCAACCATTAAAGTTAGACCTCGTATACGAAGCATGAAGTCCCGGGTAAAATGTGCGGCCCACCAGGTCTAACCAGAGCCTTGTTTGGGGGACCTCAAAAACTTCGGATCTTCTGTCCAGTAGAGAACTGTAAAGGTCGCTTGCTAGCGGGATCAGTAAGTACAGTAGCTTGTCGAGCATGATCGGGTTCCTCCGTTGCGGAAGAACGAATAATGACGCCTGACCGCACGAGACAATTGTCGAGCTCGCTACGCATGGGTGCCGCACATGGCGCCTGCGCACGGGACCTCTGCTAGATTTGCCGAAGGTCTAAAGGAAACTTGGTGGGGCACTAGAGGCACGGTATCTTCCTGGCCCAATCCACAATATGTACACATGGTATGCAGGGAGGGGGGGGCGGGGGCGCGGGTCTGTCCTGAGAGTGACTTCTGATGAATGATATTTCGCTAGGACGGACTTGAGGCCGGCGTCATCCGCGTATGGTGGCCCGCCCTTACAGGTTCATCGATAGGGAGAGAGGGGAGGGGCAATCAGCCTGCATCTCGCAGACATGTAGACAAACAGGCTGCCAAGTTTTGCGTGCAGAGGCAGCGAAGCCGACGGACCGGCTAGACTCTCATCTTAAGCGAAGTGACAGCTTGTACGGAGTACAGGTCGGGTAAGCCATCCAGTCCTGTGGACTGGGGCAGCGTTTCTGGGTGCTGGATGGGCACGTCCTGTGGCCCTTTGACGTGCACCGTTTGCCGAAAAGCAAGCTTTTCACTTCCCCCAGACTCGTAGGGGCCAAACAAAGCCAGACTTTAGCCCCCCCTTGCTGCACGATCCGACGAGACCAGTGTCCCGTCGACGATGATTGCTACGAGCATTCCGCTGGGGACCTGGAAGCCACTTATTCCTCGTCGATCGTATTTGTCTTTGCGGCTCTTTGCATTTCGATCTGCTCAAACTCGGCTGACGCCCTTAGTCCTGTCAATCGTCGTGCACGTTCACGCGGCTGGAATGTCCCGTGGGGGCCTTTCCCAATGAATCTTGCTTAGCGAAACGTTGATTGCAGACTTTGGCTCGAGTGGGCCTCGTCTGCGTGTGGAATTTGCTAAGCTGCTGCACTTCCACCTGGTTATCCTATCCTATTCTCTCCACAGACAGCCGCATGCGCGCGCCACATCCGCCACCCCGACGTATCAGAAAATCTGAACTTCTGCTGATTACAACACCGGTTAGGCTTAGACAGTCATCAAACACCCCTCTGGTTGCATGCCCAGGGAGCGCCAGCTTGCTGGCTTTTGGTCGCCGCACCTACTTCCGGTTGACATCATTTTGATAAACCCCATGCACCGAAACCTGCTTGCTTGTCACATCGGAACGCGCATGACACTAGTAGCTTGCCGTCGGCTGGCTTCCACTCACTGGTCCGCCCCCGGTCTGTACGAGACTGGTACCCGACAGCACGGTACCCATTCCCTCTGCCTGCCTTGGGTTCTCTTTTGGGGGCAAGAATGCGATAATGTCAGCAGCCAAAGCCACTGGCTCCCGAAAACGGTGAGATGGAATCTTGAACCTTCTATCTGTCCGCCCTTACGCAATCCAATCTCTGTGAACAGTTACGCGAGCTGACATGGCTGGCCGTCATCCGGCAGGCACCACCCCCATGACGACGTATTACATGTGTAAATACTCTCGAAATAATACCGTCAGCGGACTGATAGCAAAAGCCAGCTAGCAAAGGAAAAAGAACAAGCTAGGGATTTTCGGGTCCTTGAGGTTTCTGCCACGCGGGAGCTGGGTCTCATGCTTTCGACAGATCGCCACCAAACTCACCTTGTGGCATGCTGCCAAAGGCTGCCAAAAGCTGCCAAAAGCTGCCACACCAGGCTCGATGCCTACATGTGACCGGGGTTTCGTTCAAACCAAGCTCCAGGAGTCATCCACCCGCAGGCTCAGTGGCTCACCAATGCCGTCGTCCAGCTAGCCTCATTCACCTCTGCCCTTTTTGGGAGTCGGGGACGGGGTCTCTCGCATCGCACCAATAGGCTACCACAGCTTCCGCTCAGCGCATTTGAGGCCATGCAGGCTGTGTTTCTCCCCGACCAGCCTATGGTTGTCCCCAGACGCATGAGCCTTCGTGGCATAGCGCTCCGAGGCTGAGGAAAAAGAGGCGTCTTTGTCCCATGCCAGTGTGTTTGACACCACCCGCTAATAAGGAACCTCCCAGAATTCGCGCCTCTTCTTCCAGCCGCATACTGTTGCCTCTTCTATTTCGAGATCCGGATGAACCATTTGCTGCGACCCTGTTTCATCCCGTCTCATTCGTCTCTGCCCTGCCTTCAGACCGCAAGGATGCTGTCATATCTCTCTCTATAGGGTGCTGACGAGAGTCTGCATATGATCCAAATCCGCCCTCTGCAGGGCTGCCAAACCTTCCTCAAGAGGGCCCCCCAGGTTTTGCCGTCTCTTAACGGCCCAACGCCCACATCCCACTAGCGTTGAGATTCCAATGTCCCTGCTCATTGCTCCAGCCTTGTCTTTAATACGAGTGATCGGCTACTGATCGTCGCCGCTTCTTTCAACCTCTCCTTTTGGAGCTCCATCCCTTTCTTTCCCTCCTTTTGGTGCATGCCACTTGACGGCTTCTCCTGGACAAGCACACGACGGTCCTGGGAATCGCATCTTGAGCCGACATCAGCACTGGCCGAGGTCAAAGTGAGGAACAAGGGCCACAGGACAGCACTTGCGAGCAGTAAATCCCTCTTCGAAGCAACAGAGTCACCGCTCTGAGCAGCCATGGCCGGCCCTGGAGGCGGCCCACCCCGGAAAAGCCACACTAAAAGCCGAAAAGGATGTCGAACTTGCAAACGGCGCCACATCAGATGCGACGAGACCTTTCCCCAATGCAAGAACTGCTCCAAGCACAACTGTCGGTGTGATTACATGGACATGCCAGCTGCTGGCGAAGAACCCATGAAAGGGTCTCGACCTCCCGATCTCATGATGTCTTCTGATCTTCAGAAACGACTCGACAAGTGGCGCTTGACCGGGGAGAGCCTCTTGCCAGATCTGCGGTCGCCCGATCCTATGTATTGGACACGCTTCTCTACAATCGACCTACGACTCATCCATCATATCGTCACGCTAGCCACCGATCTCCACACCAGAGGCTACAGTCCCTGTACGTCTTGGGCTGCAAGAATGCCTACGTAAGTCCTATGGCACTATGTCCCGACGCGGCTGACATTCGTAGCCTGATCCCAGTTGCGCTCTCTCACGACTTTGTCATGAGTGCGATGCTTGCGCTGTCTGCGTCACACCTCGCCTGGCAGACCAAAAACCCCGATACCGAGAACTTGGCCTACCATCACCGAGGTGTGGCATTGAAGGGCTTGCATGGAGGACTCGGCCAGTTCTCGCGTGAAGTATCCGAAGCTATCCTCGCAGCTTCCATGCTTTTGTCCTGGCAAGCTCCCGAATGGTGAGGACATTCTTAGCATTTCGACATCTGTTGCTGATCAGTGCGCAGGAAAAGCTGGGCTTCATTACAACAAGGCATTTCTACCGTAATGGCGTCATCCAAAAAGCATTTCGGTGATACTTACAGAAAACAGGTCATGTCCTCCATGCGTCCCTGGGCCCATGAATCGGAACTGGCAAGATTTCTCGACGTGCAGAGATCCATCTCCCGAGCAAGAACACCGAGCACGCCCACGTTTCCCAACGCCACTACCGGAATCCCAGACGACGAAGTCCGCCGCGTTGATGAGATGATCACAGCCCTCCACAATCTCAAGCTGCGTCTCGCCACGAATCCCGAGATGGCAGAACATGCCGGCCACGTCCTCGACTACCTCACCGAATTGCGGCAGGACTTCCCGATTCCCTCGCCGGAGCGCGCCTTTGCCCGACTCCAGCCCCTGCGCGACTTGATCTTCTGGCTTCCTCCCGCGGTCCTTCGCGCCGGCGAATCCGACCTCCCATCACTGACCCTCCTCTCGCACCTGTACGCAACAGCCCTCACGATCGAAGGCGTCTTTCCCGAGATCGGCGGCGCATATCTAGGCGGCATGTGCCTCCAGCCCATCGAACGCATCCACGAGATCCTCAACTCGCGCCGGAGCCAACAGCCCCAAGACAGCAGCTGCCAAGTCGCGCTCCAGATCGTCGAGTACCCCATGCGCGTGGTCGCGGCATACAAGACCCAACAACGTAAGACCAGCATTGGCCTCGAGCAGCACGCATCCGTGCCCTACCGGCACTCGCCGCACCAAAGCCCATCCTACATGGCCTCGCACATGCAGCTGGCGTCGCCGCCAGAAACAACCAGCACGCTGTACTCTAACTCACCCGTGCAGACACCTCAAGGTCTGCCGACGGGGACAGGCACATACTTTTCCGGCTCGCAGTCTCTGACATCCGGCCGTCGCGACTCGCCTGGCTTGCGGCCGCCGCAATCGGGCCTCGGCGAACGCAGCTCCAGCATGTCGATGGTGTACGGCCAACACGCGACAGGCGCGGCGTCTCCCCACCTTCACCAGCAGCAGCAGCAGCATACACAAGTGCGCAGTTCTCATGACTCTAACCCATCGCGAATGGAGCATTTTGGTCAGCAGCAGCAGTCAGCAGCAGCGTCATCGCCCGGGACGCAGCCGGCACTGTCACAATCACTCCAGCAGCAACAGGGTTACCAACAATATTACTCGGGCATGACTACCGCTGCTCCTCATCATAGCCATCATAACCGGTTCGTCACTCCTTCGCAACTTTGGGCTTGATAGAGAGCGTAAGGCTGAGATGTGACTTTTTTTTTCACGACAGGGACAATACGTTTGAGGGGAGTGGTAGGGCACTTCAGCAGCAGCGGCACGAGTATCAGAATCTTGGGCAACAGCACCACCAACTTCAACATCGGTACCACCACCAGCAGGACCCCCATAATCGTCAACTTCAGTAGCAAGCATCAGCCTGGGTATCGTCAGCATTCGTCGCCCGCAGGAATATCGATGTTGGCAAACCCACGAGGATTTTCAAGGCGTGCTCGCCCCAGCTACCGAATCGAAGGATGCACATCTTGACCCTGACGAGCTGAGTGCGGAGCCGGAAAACTACTTGAAATGCTTCGGAGAACAGGACCACATCTGGCGCCGCTGCCTCTTTCACCTCTTCTTTCTCTCGGTCGCCGCCATGACCATATCTTGAAATCATTGGCGCGAGGACAATTTTTTGTTTTGTTTTTTTCGCCACGAAAGAAATAGGGCGAACAAAAAGGGGAGGGGCCAGGATTGGGAACAGCTTTTCCGCTGCCTCGCTTTGCTACGCCTGCTACTGCTACTGCTACGGCGAGACTAAATAGCCGCACGACATGACCTGCCATGGGATGGCATGACACAGGGTGTGGCATAGCGATCACCAAACAATCGACGACGAGGGGTGGTGATATGTTACAATTCCGGGTTTGTTGGGGCCTTGCTTGGTTGAAGGGGGTTTGTTTGCGTTTTTCAACTCCCCATACTTGGAACGTTTGCGAGCGAATTGATGCAAAACAAGGGCATGGGCGAGTATGTCTCATGCATGTTTTTGGAAGCGAGGAAGCGAGGCCCGAGGGCGCCGGGGTGAGAAATCTACTGAGGCCCAGGGAAGGGACAGGGACAGGGACAGGGAGGATGAGAGATGGAGGGAAATAGGGCGAAAAAGAATGGGCGAGGGGATGGGGTCATGGTCAGCTACCTTACATACCCAGCGGTAGCAGACGAAGAGTTTTGGATCAGACTGAAATTGCATAGGAAGAACAGCTGGTGGTGGAGGAGGAGGAGGGACAAGCAGGCCCCCCCCCCCCCCTACTACGGGGATACTACCGCATTACAACGGCATTGGCTGCAAGAGCCACGAATAATGATTACCTACCCACCGTTGTGTAGCAAGGCAGTCCGTCGCTTGCTGCCCTAGTCCACTGGCAGTATACTGTAGGTGTTCGTTGCAAAGGTGGAGCCATGAATACCGCCTCAAACCGTGTTGACAGACAGTTAGTTCACTTTCAGTGTAAGCACGACGTCATGGCATGCTGCCTGCCTGTGTTGGGCTGGGCTGAGCTGAATGATCTGACTGCAAACTCCGCCGTGATGCCTGCAGGATCACTTTTTTTTGTTACCGGGCGTCACAACAAGCCTCTGCAGGGTTGACACGAGTACGACGTTGACTTAAGCGGCCGTTGACGTTCCTGAACTAGCCTTCTTCTCACTCCACGACGTTACATTTGGGTCCCTCTGTCCACTTCCGATCGCAGACCCTCATCGCCCTTGCAGCGAGCGCGCTACCCCCAAGCCGGCTAAGCATAAGCATAAATCTATTTCCGACTGCGTGTACATTTGCGCATGTGCTGCAAGAGAAGTGAAAACCCGCAAGAACGTGCAGGCTACCTTTAAGCCATGGCTGAAGATGCGGCCGCTGGCGGATGGAGCACGATTGAATCAGACGAGGTGGGCCTGCATTGCACCCGTCCGAAGCGCGGAAATCATCAGGGCTGACGATGGTGTTTGGCAGGGCGTTTTCACATCACTCATTGAGCAATTGGGGGTCAAGGGTGTACAGTTCGAGGAGCTCATTTCGCTCGACGCGGACTCGATCCGCGCTTTGAGGTAATGTCGGACCTCGTGAGTGCGTAGCCGCGCCTGCGCCCCCCCGCCGGTGCATGTCTTGACTGACCACGTGCGTCCTCCAACAGCCCCGTCTACGGCGTCATCTTCCTCTTCAAATGGATCGGGTCGAGCTCGAGCGACACGAGGGCTCCGCAAGACGGCGCCTACGACTCCGAGGCCGTCGATGACCGCCAACTCTTCTTCGCGGCGCAGACGATTCAGAACGCCTGCGGCACCCAAGCCATCCTCTCGGTCGTGCTCAATAACGACGAGGCGGGAAGAATAGACATCGGGCCTTCGTTGCGCGACTTCAAAGACTTCACGACCGGCTTTCCGGCCGACCTGCGCGGCGAGGCGCTGTCCAACTCGGACCTCATAAGAGACACGCACAACACATTTGCGCGCTCGAGTCCCTTTGCGGACGAGACGCAGCGCGATCCCAGCGCCGGGACAGAGGACGTTTTTCACTTCATCGGCTACACGTGTCATCACGGTCGGTTGTATGAGCTGGACGGCCTGCAGCCATTCCCCATCAGCCACGGCGCATGCTCCGCGGAAGAATTTCCCGAGAAGATCATCCCCGTGTTGCAGCGGCGCATCGAGCGCTATCCACCGGGCGAGGTCCGGTTCAATCTCATGGCCGTCTGTGGTGATTTGCGCGTCAAGGCAGAAGAGTTCCAGGACTACGAGAGCATGGCGCGGGAGAAGCGGAAGCGGGCGCAGTGGGATTGGGAGAATGCGTTGCGCAGACACAACTTTGTCGGCTTTACTGGCGAGGTGTTGAAGGGCGTGGTCGGGTTGAAGCTGGCGGCGGGTGAGGAGAGCTATGCCGGCTGGGTCAAGGAAGCGGAGGCGTCGACGAGGAGGAAGCTGGAGGAGCGGAGGGCTCGAGGGCAGGAAGCTGAGGGGTGAGGGGTGAGGGAATGAGGTGCTAGATCTCGTGCTCGTGGGCATGGAGAAAGGATTGCATCAACGCCAGCATCAAGTGTCAATCTCAGGCCAGACGAGATCGATCCTGGTCTGCTACCACTTTCAGAACAAATACCTGCACGCAGATATCATGGTCTCTAGATATGGTATTGACGGGTACTTGTCAGTTTGCTGCAGTTCCACAGCTACGAGCTGACAACTCCCATCTCAAGCATTGTATTGGTATTCAGAGTATTCAGAGGATCCTCCAAACGCAGCGTAGCGGCGATACAAGCCCAAAGCGGCTAGCCCCAAAGCCAAAACACAGCCGGCTCGCTGATTGGCTTGACCAAACAGGACGGGCGCTGACTTGGGGAGTATTGTGGATTGTGCACTGTGGGTTGGCAGAAGGCGACCTGGCCGGCGCCGCCTTGCTGATTCTGCCTCTCCTCTATTCATCACCTCTCTATTCACGCTGTATTCTTCCGTTAACCAGCCGATGCGCAACAGCAGCAGCTACCAGCCACCCCGATTATCGCGTCGGCACCAACTTCGCGTTTTTCAAGCTAAATCTCCTTCTCGGTCATCAACCCTTGCATTCTCTTCCAACTCCTTTACCACCATACACGCCAGTGGCACCCAAGCTGGTAAATCTGTCGCCGGGACTGGCGCGCAACAAGTCGCTGCATCTCCATTTCCACTCATATCGTACTCTCACCTGCCATGAGTGCTCTGCAGGCAGAGCCGCTCTGGCAAGAATCCTTCCCGGACAAGACCCGGCCCGAGCTCTATACCAGCAACGACCTTGACGAGGACGGGTTCAAACCGCTCGCTGACCCACAAGAATTTCTTGCCAATCTCTCAACTCTTACCCAACTGCAGCTGTACACGCTCAGCTCCAACAATGTTCTTGCCTTGAGATCCGCTCAGGAGGAATACTCAGAGCTGAGCCGAGAAATTGCCGCCATCAAAGGTCGCGACTCTACCACCAAAAATCCCCAGGCTCTGCAGGATCCTGAGGTTTTCGAGGAGCGCAAAGAAGCGACTTTGTACAACTACAAGTACGAAACCGCCAAGCCAGCTCGAATCTCCAACCTGATTCCCTTTGGCCGTACTGCTGACGACCTGTCGGAGCAAGAGAAGCGCGATGTCCGTCTCTTTCCCGAGCCATTTTCGCAAGGTGGTTTTGTCCCTACTGATCGCCAGTTCAAGGGCATGAGCAATCGTGCAAAGAATCTCAAGAACATCGACGGCTGGGAGCCCATCGAGAGGGATGGCAAATTCTACATTCCAGTCCAGCAACAGCACCACGACGAATATACCGCTGCGTATACCCGCCGTGCCCTTGACGAGAACGGTGAAGTCATTCGGCCAGTCTCTCCCGACAGCGAGGAATCACAAGCTCAACTCACCCCTGGCAAACCAGATCTGGTCAATAAGCGACTTACTCGTACACGTTTCGGCGGCAGGAAACACCCTCCGACGCGCGATGCGTCTGAAACACCGTCTGTATCCTCTACTCCTAGCAGAAAACGCGCCGCCACTCCCGTCATCACTGAGCCACGAGAAGGCACCCCCAAACGTCAAAAGGTCACCTCGATCGCCAACATCACCAACGGCCCTCTTCCAGTGCAACAGCCACCGCAACAGCATGTTCAAGCCAACGTCAAACCAAAGCACCCTAATCAATACACCAAGGCGCGTGAGCGCGAGCTCGCCGCCCAACAAGCCGCGCGTGCTGCCGCCGGCGGTGCTGTGGCGCCCTTGCCTACCATGCCAGACTTTGCCTCCATGACGGTGGACGAGAAGTTGAACCGTAAATGGACCGACGACGAGCTGCGCGCCAGTATCAACGCTGACCACACCTGGCTCAACCCGGACCCGACCAAGGCGGCCGAGTGGCGTGACAAGATTCTGCAGGGCGTCAACCCCGTGCGCAGCTGGAGCATGGTCAAGAAGTGGAGCCAGTGGAAGGGCGAGGGCAAGGACAAGAGACCCCGCAAGAAGGTGCTTGGTGGCGTCAATGGCGTTGCCGGTGGCGGTGGTGCAGCCGAGAGTGCCAGTGCCAGCGCCAGTGGAAGAGCTACGCCGGCCGAAGGAGTGTTTAGTGCAGATGCCGGGCCAGGGCCAGGGCCAGGTTTCGAAAAGAGCAGTGTCGCGACTCCCCAAAAGGGGACGCCGCCGAGAGGCACACCCACCCCCATGTTGGACGAGATTGTGCTGGGTGGGCCTGTTGGTGGCGAAGCAAGGAGCAGGAGAAGCAGTGGCGATGACAGATGGGCCGGCACCAATGGCAGCTTCACCGGTGAGAGCAGGAGTCGTTCCGGCACCCCTGGCACGAGACCTACGCCGACGAGGAGGTCGGCCAGGAACCGATAATGTCGATGATGCGAATGGGCCACGTCATTTTCGAGGAGTCTTGTTTTGTGAGATACGGGGCATCGATGCATATTGCGGCGAGGCAACTAGTTGGTCACGAATGCGTCTTTGTGTGCGTGATGTGGTTCGAGGAACGAATGGTTAGGCCTGGCGCATCAAGTCTGGTTGGAACGGGCTTGAGAGTTCCACATCTTGGTGGGCTGATGATCCAGCGGGCGGTGCTTGTACAGTACATATTGAGAGGTTCCAAGAACAAAAGTGGCCGTGGCACTAGGGCATGGCTGGGATGCACATATGGCCAACGAGAGTAGTCTTTGACATCTGGTTTACGCTATACATCTCTCAGCATCGCTTTGACAGGCTGATCTTGCTCTTCAGCAGTAGCATCATTGTATATCTACTCCGTACCCATACCACCTAGGTGTTCAGTCCACGTTGGAGTGTGGAGTAGCAGCCTCGTAGCCTTGCCAAGCAGTGAGACTTGGCGTTCCCGGCCGCATCAAGAAGCTCCTGCCAGCTCTTTCCAGGCGTGCTGCATCACGCACTGCACCGTCGTCCGCAAGCAAGTACCGATCGTTACTCTGCGCGTTACATCCAACTGCCGCTCTCTAGATCCACGTCTCAGCGCGCTAGTCAACCTTCCAGAGTCGAGCACGATGACGAAGAAGAAGCGCAATCACCCTGACGTCGAGGAGATCCTTGCTCGGCCGTGGTGTTACTACTGCGAGCGCGACTTCGACGACCTCAAGATTCTCATCAACCATCAGAAGGCCAAGCACTTCAAGTGCGAAAGATGCGGCCGCAGACTGAGTACCGCAGGAGGTAAGCTGCAGCTGCGCATACATCTTAGGTAACAGGGGCTAACACGACCTGTCTAGGCTTGAGCGTCCACATGAGCCAGGTCCACAAAGAAACCCTCACCGCCGTCGACAACGCGCTGCCCAACCGGGCTGGCCTTGACATCGAGATCTTTGGCATGGAAGGCATTCCTGAAGATGTGGCTGTCCAACACAACCAGAGAGTGCTCCAGCAATTCCACGAGCATCAAGCTCAACGTCAAGCTGCTTCCGGGACCGGTCCCGGCGGCGCTGGCGGTGGAGGCAAGAAGCCCAAGATTGAAGACAAAATGTCGCTCAAGGAGCGCCTGGCGGCTCACAAGGCAGCAAAAGCTGCTGCCCAAGACGGTGATGGCTCAACGAGTGGAGGCAACACCCCTGTGGCCAGCATAACCACACCGGCGCCTGGTACATTCGTAAGTTCCCCATTCTCTGCGCCGAGCAAAACATTGCTGACCGTCATTTCACAGTCTGGCCCGTCATACCAGCAACCTTACAACGCACCTCCAACTAATGGCGCCTATAATCAGCCACCTGCGTATTCTCCTGCACAAGCAACAGCGCCTGGATACCCTCCGCCACCACAGCCTGCATATGGCCAGTCTCCTGTATCGTATGCACAACCCCCCAGTCACCAGCCGTATCCTCAAGCTCAGCCCTATGCTCAGCCTCCACCACCGAACTTTCAGCAGCCGCCGCCAAGTTCGTATCCGCCTCAACCTGCCTTTTCACCACCACCATATCAAGGTCAGTCCCCATATCCCGGTCAACAGTACCAACAGAACGGTACGAGTCCGTATCCTGGCCAGCAGCGATCCTTTTCTGGGTCGCCTGCTCCTCCAGTGAATCAACATGCATCGCCGACGACGGCGCCAAGCCATTTCCCAAAGCCAGTTCATACCGGAACTGTAAGTCTGCCTACTGCCCCAGGTCTACCACAGCGCCCTGCAGTTGGTGCCCCGCCAGTCAGTGGCTATCTTTTCCAACAGATGCATCAAGGTGCGATCCCTGCTCCACACAATCACAATGCGCAGTACCAGAAACAAGAAGCCGCCCCAGGCGCGGCCCCGAGCACTGCCTCTCCAGCTGAGATTCCCAATCCTTCTGCCATCGACGACCTGATCTCTAGCGTTACTGGGAAAGACGGTTCAGCTACTCATTCGCCCGCCCCTGCCACTTCGAACGAGGTCGTTCCAGCTCCTGCTGCAGTCAAGGAAAAGCCCGCCGAAGAGAAGAAGGACAAGGAAAAGTCAAAAGCTACCAGGTTGGTGTATCAAGACGCTGAACTCAGCATGGAGGAGAAACTGGCTTCACTTTCCAGGTTCGCTTTCACAGCTCCGCTTGAGCAAGCCCCAGCTGCCGCCGCCTGAACAGCAGCCCGCAATACGGCGGCTACGAAAGTCCTTTCGACTCCGTCGTCCTTATTTCGACATACGACGCACTCAATCATCTCCCCTCATCGGTAACCGGTGAGCCCTTCGATCAGCTAAGTTGTTTCACGAAAGGACACTTTACAGCTGACAAACATCACCTTTCCCTTTTTAAAACTTGCACTACTGCGTCTGGTCTTACACGGTAAGCAGAAGTTGCGACCACTGCAAAATACTGGCATGGCATAGCCTGGCATGGCATGGACTTGGGTTTCGCGTTTGCAACAGAGCACGCATTGGTGAGTGCCAGACGGCGTTCTGGTAGGTCTGCATACAGAGCGATTGCTTCTTGGGAACCTGGGTGGGCGTTGAAGTCCGTTGTGTTTAGGAATCCAGACACCGGCGCACTCGAAGCGAGATGTGTCTTCTGATGTCAGGGGTTCCGAGCAATTGCTGAATTCTTTTTGGCAGCGTGTATTCGCCGTGCTGCGCATTCAACCAACAACCGAGCAGGAGGATTGACTCATTTGGCCTGCGTTGCGCGATTGGAGGAGCAAAACGCGCTTTGTAAGTTCTCGTGTGTGCAATTTGCAGTACGTTGTTCTTGCACGACAGGGGACGGTTGGTTTCCTCTTCCCTCCCACTACCTGTCACCGTCACTACTACCGAACTTCGAAGGGACGGTGACCAGGTGCCATCGCCGCCTTTTCTGTACTGTTGTCACTTTTAATCTTGAGGTATTGAAATATGCTGCTTCTTTGAATCCTAATAGGCTGTTACTGCAGTTGTTGAGGTCTATTTCGTCTTCACTTGTGTCCTATTGAAACATGCCAGTGTAGTAAAGCAGTGAGTGCGTGCGCTCCGTCCGCCCCCTCAAGATTCATCATGACTTTTTATCTCAATGTTGCCTTTACTTTTATGAGTCTACTTATACAGCACTACATTACAGTACAGTATATACCCCCCAAGTCACGGCATAACCTATTCCCGCATCGAAGCACCATCCCTCCAGACTTCTGGCCCTCCTGCCCGTTCAACGTCAGTCGACCGCAAGCCCTGAATGACTTCACGCCATCGCAAGCTGGATATGTCGTTGATTGTTCGAGTCGTCACACGAGCCTACAGGCTTGGGATGTCACACTGCCTAGCCTACCGTACCCTACTCTGGCCTGGCCTAGCCTGAAGATGAAGATGCAGATGCAGATGCAGATGCCAGATGATAAATCGTCGACATTGATTCTTTGACTTGTGGAACTCTCTTGACTCGATGGGAATTTCTTTATTCTCACAAAAAAAGGAACTTAAAGTGAACGCTCAAATCTCACACCACACCACATCCTAATGATGTGAAAAAGGGAAGAGAAAAAATTGCTATCTAATTTCTACCTACTGAAAAGGCACGTCGTGATGTGGGTCAGATCACCCACCGCACGGTGTGCGCGGGTAAAGTCTCCCAGATTCTTTGCTATCTACACTGTCGTCATTCCCCTGATTTCGTTTGACGATGCTTTCTATGCTCCTTGCTGTGTCTTTGCGCTTTACTGGCGGAGAAGGAGGAGGAGGAAGGAGGAGGTCGTCGAGGAAGAGTCGATGAGGGGAATGATGGACGACTCCTTTCATGCCGGGTTCGAAGTCGTCGTCATTGAGAGAGGTGTTGGTGAGCTATGGCTGCCTGACTTCGCGCCCGGCGACTCGTTCGTTGTCGCGGATGCGGGCTTCACAGCAAGTACCAAACGTGACCTGCGAGGTGGAATGTCGTTATTGTGCTGCATCATGTCGTCCCATTGCGCTCCGTTCGTCTCGCATATCCATCAGGATCATAACCCATAAGCCTCCCTCAGCTTCGTCTGCGTCGGCATCGACAACCGGCCTAACACCTCACCACTGAAGCGCTCCGGCCCAATGATGCCTTTGAAGCCCTGCGCCACCCTGCCAAAACTCTCCCTCGTCTGCGCGTACAGCTGAGCATCCTCACCACCGTCCGTGCGCGGGAACGCCGCTACCGCTGTCAAATAGTCGATGAGACACGACTCCATTGCGGCGGGATTGCGCTCGATGACGTTGTTGAAGCCCAGGAACGCCGACGCCTTCTCCGACGACGGACTGATCTGCGCCATCGACTCGAGGAAGCGCGACGCATATTCGTTGAGGTGCGGTGCCAGCACGTCGGGGCACTGGATGCCTAGGCGACCAATGGTGAGCGCGGCGTTCTCTGCAGCGGCATCTGGGACACCTTCGTTTGACACGACGGTGAGGAGCTGCTGGAAGAGGGGTTGCACGAACGGCCGCAGTTTCTCGGGCGATGTCCGTGCGCCGATCTCTCCAGCTGACCAGCAGACGTTGATCAACACGTTGAAGGCTGGATCGGCTTCGATTTCGTCGGAGGGGATCAGGTCGAGATCGATCTGGCGGATGAGGATCGGGAACAACTTTTCGAAGTAGGGGTCGAGTGATGAGAAGAGTGCAATGGCACAGTCGCCCAGCAGTGCGTAAGAGGACTGTCGTACGTCGGGGGTAGGATCCTCCATGGTGAATGACAGGAGCTCAAAGAATGGCGGGTCAGATGACGATGCGAGGTTGGCCGAGTCCGTGGGAGGGACAGCCTGAATGATGGCGCTGAGGAGGTCCAGAGCCGAGACGATAAAATCCTTATCCGGCTGGTCCACAGCCTGGCCAGCCATAAAATTCATGTGCTGCTGCAGATTGCTGAAGATGAGCTTGATGCAGCGGTTGAAAATAGGAGAGGCGAATTGCGTAAAGGTCTTGCCGTAGGAAATGGCAACATATCCCAAACAGCCGAGCAGTGGAAACATCTCCCTTGAATCGTCGGCAATCTTGTTCCAGCGCTGTGTTAGCACCGGCATAAGCAGCTCGACAAGAGGTGGCGTTGCCATATCAGCTCCAACACTGTCGGCCAACGTCTGCAGGCAGTCGTAAAGGATGTACATGTTCTTGTCCTTGTACAGCTGAAAGCACTTTGTGAATTGTCGTAAGATGGGCTCAACGTAGGGTTTGAGCTTCTCACCCGCCTTTTCTTCCAGAGAAGCGAAGGAACTAGCTCCGGCCTCTTGCACTTTCTTGTTCTTGTCAAGCATCCGCTGCAGGAGGCCTTCCATCATCGGCTCAAAATACTTCTGCTTGTCTGCAGGTGAGGAGAGTTGAGCCGCCCATTCAGAATAGCGAGCGAGACACCAGCAGGTGATTTGGCGGACTACCGGTTCGTCGTCATGGAGAAGTGATATGAGAAAGGGCACGAGTTCTGGTAGGTGAGGCGAGACGACATCCATACAACCTTCGGCAATAGCTCCCAGAGCAAGGACCGCCGCTTCTCGCTTCGGCCAGAGCTGATGCGAGAGATTGTCTTTGAGATATGGCAGGATGATGTTGAAGACCGAGTCGTGATAGTTGACGGCAAAAACATCCAGGGCGGCAGCCGAGCATTTGCGCAAGCTCCAGGCATTTTCCGGGTCGTTCTCGTAGTCGTCGTCATCTTCATCGCTCTCCTCAATTTCGCCATCGCTGAGGTCGATCTTCGGAGGCTTCTCAGATCCATTTGAGACACCGTTTGTGCCATCGCCAGCCTCTTTTTCGTGAGTGGCACCTCGCCCTTCCTTCCGCTCGGCGAATTGCGGTTTGATGTCCTCTGGCCGGTCCTCCTGGTCGGCATCCGCTTCATCGCCCTCTAGTCTGAAAACGTCCTCCTCGCCGTACACCATGCCAGCAAGTAGAACAGGGATGATCCGTTGCAGGTATGGGCGCATCGATCCCTGAAGTTGCTCTTGCTCTCCGACACTCAGCCAGAATTCGGCAGCATCCAAGGCCAAGTCGGCATCAACTGACTGCTGCTGCTGTGCCAGAATATAATTCACCAGGCCGTCCATATTTGGGGCCAGCGCTTCGGGCTTTGACTCAACAAGCTGCACCAACGATTGGCACACGATCCTCCTCACTTGTGTATCCTCATCTGAAGCACGTTCAAACACTTTCGACAAGTATTCATTCAGCGAATTCATCAAGACTTGGCTCTTTTGCGGAATGAAGGTCTTCAAGGTGCCGAGAGCGAAGACTCTGACCTGGGAGATAGGATGATTTGCAAAATCGAGCATCTTGGGAATAATGACCTGCATCGGCTTTTGGCCCTGAAAGTCCTTGTCGAGAAGTTTGCGATTGTCCTCACACACTTTGGCCAGCGCTGACATGGCGCCCTCCTGCGTCTCGCGGGGGACACTTCCGGCTTGATTCTCGACAAGGTTGATTAATTCGACGAGGACCTCGGGCCACTGGAGCAGACCGCCCTGCTGCACGATTTCGGTGATGATGGTTCCGGCGAAGGTCCGAAGTTGGGCATTCTGGTCTTGCAGCATCGACAGGGTACTTGACTTGACTTCTAACAGTTTGTCTTGCGGTATAGACTTGTAGTGTGCCTTGATGTGGTTCTTGAGTTGGATAGCAGCGGCATATCGAACGAGAAAAGTAGTGCCAGGATTTAAGTTGAGAGACTCGCCCAGCTGAGGATCTGAGAAGATGTATCGTAGGTAATCGACGAAAGTGGGAGATTCTCGGGCTTTGAGCAGCATCTGTTGGAAGAGCAAAGGTTAGCAGACGTCGGGGGAAGGAAAATCGAGAGCAGGTCCAAACGCACCAACTCGGCCTCCTTCTGCTTATTTCTGTCATGGCCGCTGAGCGAGTTCTTCAAGTACTCAACCAACTGGCGAAGACCAGCCTCGTCAAGTTGCGCCGCCATGGCGGGCGTGGTCTGAGAGGGGGCTTCAGGAAGAAGTCCCAGTGCTGTGGGTGGGGCAGACTTGAGGGTGAAACCGGCGGCTGCAGAGGCACCAACAAGTCAATTCTACCGCGGAATGTCGCAGGTGCAAGAAGCCCGATATTTTGGCAGTCTGGCCGCGTACAGAGCGTCGACGTCAGAATTTCGTGGTGCTGCTGGGTCCCAGCACTGCGGTGACGGAGAGGAGGGGCGTGGGAGGGGATAAAGTGCGGTGAGAGTACCAACCCACACTTTGCAAGCGTCGAGATTTGCGTGCTATGGACAGCTGAGGTTTTGCGTCTCAGGTCAGAGCGTCTGCACAAAATGAAGCGACGCTCTTCTGCGTTGCATTTGTCTGCCGGTGTGGTTGGAGTGCCGGGCCAAAGAATTCTCTTGTGGCGGTGCTGCATGGCTACGATGTGGCGCAGGAGTGTGGGGTAGGTAGCCTACCTGTGTTTGACGGGCGGCACAACACCGCGTATACGATTGCGAGATGTACGACGGTTGGGTGCATAGTGGCGGGTTGCCAATATGATATAAGTGTGACGGTAGAGACAACCCGCCGTCCGAAGCGTCCATGAGTATGAGGCAATTACGAAGGCATGAAACTCGTTGCTGCTGAGATATATATGCAGCTGCTGCGAATGCTCGCTGTCGCACGTATTGGCCTGTATTTGACGCTGCCATGGTATAGACGCTCACTTCTAAGCCCAGACCAAGCGCTTCAATGAGTACCCGATCTGCTCCAGATACCCTGTCCGCTGCTTCGCCTCGGCCAAGCTGATGATATCCCCTTGCTCGACTTCTACTTTGTCTTGCTCCTCTCTACTCTCCCCGGCAATCGCCCGTCTGATTTCATCAACGATGTGCTCCGCAGTTTCCAGCGCCGGTGTCGAAGTCTGGCTTGTGACACTGCGCTTCCGATCTGGCGTCACGGGTATGATCTTGACGGCTAGCGCCTGTGTTGGGTCCGCGTGCTTGGGCGCCAGCCACGAGAGCACCCCCGTTCCGCCGTCTATCCGCTCTTCCGGCTTCGCCTTGGCCGGTTCGACCGAGTTCTGAAGTGAACGGGTGTTGGTGCGGATCACGCTGCCTTTGCCGGGCTTGTAGGCGATGACCAGGCCGACATTCATCGTCTCGTCGCGTTGACGCTCTGTGAAGGTCGACGTGATGTACGCCCCGTACCGCACCTTGGTCACCGATCTAAGGTCGACCTTTTCGAATGATGCTACTTTCTCGGTTGTCCAGTCGAATTTGCAACAGTAGATGGCCGCGTCGGTCAGGAGCACCACGGCCTCTTGGAACGGAAGAGTGCGCAGAGTATTCTCGACCGCAGGAGCGAGCATCGTCCAGCCATGAATCAGATCTTCGGTTTCATCCTGTACCACGAGTCGTCGACATGTCTCAATGGCATTCTCGCGAATGCGGTTGATGGATATGCCTGGATCCTGGCTCATGAGACTACTCTCGAAATCCTCGAATGCGGTCCATGACAATTCTCCCAACAGAACATCGATGACTGCCTGGGAGAAGTAGTCATTCACCATGTTGTTGTAGTATCTCGATAAGGTGAGGCTGAAGTCGTTCAATGCTCCTTGGTAGTTGCGCTTTCGTGCTGTAACCGTTAATCAATGAAACCGCCCCAGTCAGTAAAAGTACTCACTCCTGGTAAAATCGCCCTTGAGAGCAGCGGTCCCTGCATATTGACGCGAAATGGCGTCGCCATTGTCCGCCCAAAGAGTGTTGAACCAAGTCGTAGTCTCGTCGTTGACCAGATCAATGCCAAAGCCTGCCTCAGCCAGTGCTTTCTGTAGCATGTGCTGGCCGAAGGCACTCTCAGCAACATTAGTTCGATCCAGGCAGTCCATGCAGTTGGTGCGAATGATGCCCTTTTGCTGCGACTTGACCTCACCTCTTTCAATGACCGTCTCCCCAAACTTCTCAATATTGTGACCAAGCATTTCCACAAGTTTCTGCACCTTGTCGAAGCGCATTCCGCGACACTCGGAGTGGAAGTCGAACCATTCCCAGTCTACGCCCTGGATTTCATTTGCATCTACCAGGCTCTTAAGATTCTTATCGTAGGCTTCGCCGATCGCGGCCTCGGAGCCATGCTTGTTGATCAGCACTGCTATCTGCACGTCGCCATAACGGCTCTTGAGGCCGTCGAAATGCTTCTTCATCGCTGCCTTGTTCGCAGCTTCCGATTGTAGCAGCACCGGAAGGGGCTTGAACGAGTATGGCGACTGAGAGAAATACAGCGGTATTGAGGCTCGGACCTGGGTAAAGGAACGAATTGGACGCGTGTCGTCCCACTCTGGAGTGGACAGAATCTGTTCGGTTTCGACGCAGTTTGCACAGTTGCCTTCATCGTCAATACCGCGACGGAGGTAACGAAGACCAGCACGTTTAACCGACCGGCGGGAAATGACCGTCAGAAGGAATGCCTGCATCTCGTCCGGCTTCTCCGCGACGGCTTCCTTTGCGTGCGCGATTGCATGGCTAATTCCCTCTGTCTGCGATGGGTCGCCTTCCGTGGGAACTACACATGCTGAATCCGGATCTGTTGAGTCGGTCTTCTTGACGGCAAAGGATCTCTGTCCGACGAAGCCCTGAATGATGGGAAGAACGAACGAATCCTGTCCAGCTTCCGAGATGGGTGACGCCAGGCGCTGGTTCCAGAAGTACAACGGGTCCAAGCTGCCTTTGGCAGGAGGAACGGCCTTACCTTGTAACAGCCCCATTCTGCGGGTCAGATCGAAGTCATAGCTAAAGAAGCAGCTTCTCGAAGTCAGAATCAACTTAGCGGACCGTAAAATTTTCGGAATCATAGCCGCGACCTCTTCTCGACTGGTCTTGGAAGGCTGCTGAGGTTCGGGAGCAGGGCCGTCGACCTTGTCTGGCTTTTGCTCAGGCTTCGCTGCTTCTGTCGCATCGCCCTCAGCAACCTTCTGGGCCTTCGCATCCGTCGAAGTTGGGGCCTTTTGAGTGCCAGTGGCCCAACCCTGCCGAGAGAACCATTGAGAAGCGAAGCGACCAAAGTTTCCTTTCTTGGTGAGTACATCTTGAGCAATACTGGTGCTTGATCTCGAGCGTGGCAGATCCTGCTCGTCGTCCGTGTGCGGCCCAGAAACTTCGTCTGGCACGGCGGCGTGCTTTGATGATTCTGATTCGGCATCGCTCAGCTCTGAATCCGAACTTGGCTCGTGGTCCTTGCGAGACGCCGCCGATGCCGTAGCGAGGGCCTTTACCGCAGCATCCCGGGAGGAGAGCGGCAAGAACTCGACATCGGTGACGACGTAGATGGGCTTGCCAAATATTTGAGCGACCTGTTCCCGCCCAGTAATGGCGATCAGAAAATGCGAGGACGCAATAGAGAGCAATCCTGAATGTGATGAGCCACGGCTTCTCGGTAACCTCAACCCCACCACCTACCTATCAACCCATGGGCTTCCAAGTGCACACCCTTTCTGTTATCGGCAGCTTCATCATGAGGACACAGCGAGACGTGTTTGGATTTGTAGTCGATTTGAACGGCTTTGTGGTGCTCGACGGGGCCATGGGCTTGCACGATCAGACCATTAGAAGAAGCGAAGATCAGCAGCTTCCGGATGATCCCCATGGCGGCGGGAGAGGGGCTGTCAACGGACGACAGCGGTGCGCATATCTAGTGCCACATAAAAATACACAAAGAAGGAGTAATTTACACCAAACAACGAGAGGGGAGGTGTATTCGGCGTGTTCGAGGTGATCTTGGGAGTCGGTCATCGGTAACGTGCATTCATCATGTGTGACATCATTTTTGGCAACCATTCTGCAGTCAAGTGGTTTCAATTCGGGCACCGCAAGAAGCACCATGGTAATGTTTTGACAAAATATGTAGTTCGTGATCGTGTTCTCATTTCCGATCCATCTCAATGTCTACTCGTTATATCTTTTGTGGGGGTCCGGTCACGCCCTGACACCCGGCTATCCACAAGCAACCGCATCATGTTTCGCCCTCCGCCGGGCTGGGCTGGATATTATTTGCAAAGTCAACAGGTTCTATCTGAGCCGAGATCAGCTCGGGACTGTCGACTTTGACTCCTGGGTTAGGCTTGATAGGAGTATCGTCGTCCGGCGCGTCGACAATAGACGGGGCATCGTCCTTGCTCATCAATGGACTACCGGGCACAGCATCCAAAGGCGCCTCGTGGAGAGCGGGTTTCTTAGCAAACAACAGCTTGCCTTCGCTCTTCTTCGCCAGCTGCGTCTTGACCCAGTCAGCGACTTCTTTGTCGGCCGTCGTTGCTTGACCTTCGATCATGCTGCCGTTTGCGTTCATGCTGTCTCCCGCCTCGGCCGCCTTCTCTGCTTCCTCATCTTCGGAGATGGTGGGTGGCTTCATAAGGGGAGCCAACCAGGCATGACGGAGCAGCATCGCATACGTTGGTCGAAGCTTGGGGATTTTGTTCAGACACCCACGAACGAAGTCGATTGCCTCTTCCGAGAACTTGTCGGCTGGGAGGTCGGGCGGGTCACCATCTACGATTGCCTGTGAACGTTAGCAATGGCGTCACTCCACACGGCACAGGATGATACGTACACTCAATTGACTGAATATGTTGTCGTAAGTTTCAGGAGGGTAGGGATACCTTCCCAGAGCGCATTCGATCAAGGTCAGGCCGAGGGACCAGATGTCTGACTGAACGGAATATGTTCCTCCACCAGCACCAGCCTGAGCCATGCCACCGCCTGATATCCTCTCGGGCGCCATGTAACTTTGACAGCCAATGTTGGTCTTCGCGATTGACGCTACGAGGTTACCGCTGACACCGAAATCGCAAATCTTGACCTGCCCACGCGTGTTGACCAGAATATTGGTAGGCTTAACATCTCGATGAATGATGTTGTGATCATCCTTTAAGCTCTTGAGGCCCATGACGGTCGAAAGAGTGATCTTCCGCAAGACACCCTCTGGCACGCCGTCCGCGTACAGCTTGTCGATCGAGCCCCCATCCATATACTCTATACAGATGTAGACCGAACCTTCCTGGAAGAAGGCGCCGTAAAAATCGATGATGAAGGGAGAGACACATCGGTGGAGGATGTCCAACTCCATGATGATCTGGGCGAATTTGATGTCTTCGAGCTCCAACCGAATCTCTTTCATGGCCATCACCAGCCCGCTGGTGCCAGCCGTACTTTGCTTCTCATCGTATTCGTTCTGCTGCTGCTGTGATAGCTGGCGACTCATGTTTCCGCGGAGGCCGAGACCTGCTTGCCGAATCTTGGGACGAGCGTGTCGAACTTTAAAGACAGTGCCGTAATTGCCCTTGCCCAACTCATCTATGGGATCGACTTCATCCAGGGATATCTGAAACGTGCTGCCGCCCTCGAAATCGATCCCACTGCCGTGGATGACAGCCTTGTTCTTGAATTTCAGCTCGCCCTTCTGCGTATCGATGATGCTGGAGAACTTGTTGAATTGTGATCCCGTGTCAGTCTTCTCGGCCTCTGCGTTTGGATCGGCCGGTTTGTGAGCGTCCGAGAGCTTCATTCCTCCCGGCTTCAGACCACGCTTGGCCGCAAGACCACCCATAGCCGGCTTGGGGCTCATCATGCGAGGACTGCTACCCTCAGCAGGAGTTGCGCTGTTCCACTGCGGGGCATTTGGTCGTTGCAGATTTGGAGGCAGTCGCAACCCGCCTTGACCTGGCCCAGGTCCAGATCCAGCACCGGCTCCAGCACCTCCTGGGCCTGCGCCGGTCACAGGACCGCCAGTAAAGCCACCTGCAGCGCCCGGCTGGCCAGAAAACCCTTGTCTGTTCTGTTGGCCCGGTGGAGCTCCTTGTCTTGACAGCGAGAAAGCCTTCATCTTTGCCTGGATGTCTGATGTCAAGCCACTGGCTCGCGTCGGAGGCGGGCCAGGTCGGCGAGCTGCGTTGGTCGGCCCTAGTGGGGAGGAGGATGAGGTCATGGAAGACACCATTGGGTTCGATGAATTCCCTAGCGAGGGTACTCTCTGGGAGCTGGGTGCAGATGGGGGTGCATCAGGGGTAGAAGTCTGAGGTGAGGTCGTAGCACCATCCGAGTGGGTGTCTGTACGGTCCCCGATATCTGGCTCGCCAGGTTGGTTGGGCATTGTGACGGAGGTTGAGGGATTCGCGCAGGGGCGCGCGCAAAGTCTTTCAATCTATCATGCACATTCGGCAGTGTCTTTCTCAGCAGCTGACTGATCGAAAGGAGTCGAAGGATGCGTAGGGATAAAGGATTGCTTCTAGAACTGCTTCAGAGGGTAGCGAGGCTCATGGAGGAGGTGGTCGCAGGTTGGCGATCCAGTCAGTGGCCGACAGAGCGAGCCGGTGCAATTTTTGGGTGTTGTTCCCAAGCTGAGTCGGGGAGGGACTCGATATTCGAGTCTCGCGGATTGGTAATGAGGCAAGACAGCTTTTGGGATACGAGTCAAATGCACCTAGAGTCGAAAGTCGCCACAAACGGCGTAGGGTCGATGGTGGGGCAGTGCAGCTCGAACTGGGGCAGGCCTCGGATTCGGTCTAACCGGAGAATGTTTGTGAGAATGCTGGGGTAGTTGACACTGCTAGAATGTGTGTACCTTGTGGTGTGAAGAGATGCGTGGTTGACCAACGGGCAGCTTGCTTGCAGGTCAACCGCATCAAAGCCGCAGTTTCGAGCAGAAAGTCTTGGAAGCGTGCGAGCGGCGAGAACGTCGTCGTTAGCTAGCGCTTCCACTAGGAACACCCGGTAAAAGCTTTGACTTGCAGGGGCGTTAGGGTCCCGAAACCGAGTTTTTGAATTGCGATGCTCGCCAGTGGGCGGTCGATGGCTATAGCGTTCTCGATTCCAAGAGGCCTGAGAGCGGGGCTTATCAAGACACCCCGCGGCCACCCCTGGCCTGGGAACCCGCCACGGCGAGCGACCATTCAAAAGCCCCTGATCAGATCACAACCTATAAACGAAGGTTGAAACAGTTCAAAGCTTGGATTAATCTACACCGATCTATGACGGGTATCGCTGCACTGTACTGTACATATCATACACTCAGCCCCCTCCTACTCTCTGATCGTTTACGAGAAGAAGTACTGAGAGTCCTTCAGCCTCGTCACATCAAATGCGCCCTTTTGGGGCACTGGCCGAAAGGTCAATGGCAACCATAGCCATGTCTGGTTGTTACCAGCCGACGGCGTCTTCTTCTTCTTTCCAGCTTGCGCAGCTGCAGCATCGGCTTCCAATTCCGCGTCATGGTCAATGTTGATGTCATCGGCGTCGCCGTCCATGTCGTCCACCAGGGGATTCAGCGTTTTTCCGAGGTCCACGTCGACATCCGTAGGACTCCGTAGAGCCTCTGCAATCTGAGCCTGCTCTGGGCCTTTGGGCATAGAAGCAATCGCAGTTTGTCCCAAACTGTCCTTGTGGATCAGCGAGTCTTCGCCCCCGTATCGTTCAAACAGCGTTGCTGCTGTCACCATTTCCTCGCCCTTTCTCCGCTCCTCTGGATCATCACTTGCCATGAGCTGTCTCTTCTCGATCTCTCGCAGTAGCTCGGCATGCTTGCGTGCCTTGATGTTCTTGGCATTGCTTGACCCCAGAACGTCGCGATGGTCAGTCCGGTACTGCCTGATGGCCTTCGCAAGCTTCGATGTCTTCAAGATTTGTGCCATGTAGAGATGGCCCTCGTAGCGTTTCTTGAACTCGGCCGCCAGACGACCTATGATGTCTTCAGAGTGCATTCTTATGAACCCATCACGCAAAAGTCGATTCAGAGTATCGATGTCGGCTGCATGGGTCCAGAAACTGTCGTGCACCGCTGCAAAATCCAGACCGAGCTCCTTGGACTTGAGTGCGGACAGTATCATGTGCGTAGCATCGAGCGAGTGAATAAAGTTCGGCGGGAATGCTTGAAGCTGTTTGCGCTTGTCGACCGAGTCTGCCGCCGTAGGCTCGTGCAGCGTAATAGACTGGAGGTTGGTCTGCACCAAACTTCCTTGTGCTTTCCGGTACGGCTGAACCACAGGAAGCTTCAAAGGTGTCGTCCAGATCACACTCGTGCGGAACTCAGCCCCGGGGAGCGCGTCGTCCTTCTTCGATTTCTTCTTCCAAGTCTTGCGCACGTCGTCGGTTTTGTCGTCAGTCACAGGGCTATTTGCTTTCATGCCAAGCTTGGCCATCTGTGCAGGAGAAACAGAAGACGAGATGCGGTTAGCACAATCCCCGAGCCAATACTGGATTTGATGGGCACCAGTGAACAGAGAACCCAGCGCCTTGAAGATCTTCCCAGCGACATATAGCGCGACTCTCCCTGACAAGCGAGCCTCTAGTATGTCCGGCAAAAGATCGTCAATCTGCTTGCGGACTTGCTGCGTCGCCCCAATGAAGGTCACACCGTATACGTTGGTCATGACTGTTTGCTTGACGATTTTGCGCTTCAGTCGGCCGTCAACAAGCTTAGCCATCTCGTGCCCGTTGGCAGCGTCGATAGCAACGTCTGCCGCGACAAGTTCGGCCACGCCTGTGTACACATCAGCCGGCTTGTCGCCAGGTTCCAGATTGACCTGACGGGCCCCAGCAACGTCTCCACCAAGAGCAGCGTAATGCTGAAGTCCATTACAGGAACCATCTTGATGCACTGGAAGATGGGACACGAACTCCTCTGGGTTTCCGGAGTCGAGTGCTTTGACGAGTTCGTGGCACGCAGCGAGGCACTGCCACGGGTCCTCGGCCTTCAACCACCATTTCTGACCATCGAGAGGGTTCGCTACCGCATCGCGAATTTCTTCGATGTGGTCAATGGGGAATTGAGCACGATCTGAAAGACTGGCTTTGTCGTAACCGAAGACATTCGATAAATGGATCTTTAGCCATCGCAGACCCTGCTCGCCCAAGGGCCGCCCATTTGCGAACAACAGGAGACCTCTGGCATTGTCTGCGCCCATCTGATTAAGAAACGGAGGAATGGGATATGCTCGGCCTCGGAAGTCCATGTTGTGTGGAAGATAGAAGGTCTCGTGTAAATATGCTTTGGCGATTTCCATCTGGAAGTTCTGGAAGCATCGATTGGAGTGGTCACCGCTTCTCTGGTTATCAATCTCACGCATCCGACTGAACCAGTCATGTTTTGCTCTGTTTGGTGCATCGGCCGGAGGTCGCTCAGGAACGTCGAAGTGCCTGTGCAGCGGAGCCAAATTGGCGATCGGTTCACCTTTGTTCCATGCTTGAATCATAACGTGGAAGACCTGCTCGTTAATTTTCCATGGAACGGAGCCAAGCACGTGCAGACCTTGGAGAATTTGGTCCAGATCGCCATTGTTCGCGGCAGCGACCGCGTAGTCCTTTTGCTGGACTTCTCCATGTTTGACCCGTAAGGCCGGTACCCTTGTGCCGAGGTAGGCGCCGTCATTGAAGTCTGTCCATGGAAGAGGTTTGCAGACCATCGGCAACTGCTTGGTTAGCACCTCGGCGCTTGGCTGGTTGACGAGATAGTTGAGGAACTCTTCGTGCAGGGACACGATGCCGACCTTTTTGCCATTCGAAAACACAGTTTGCCGAAGAAATACTGGTTGCGCGACTGTTACTTCTTTGCCGGTGATCTCGTTGGTCTTGGTGATCTGCATTTTGGCAGTGTCCATCATTAATTCGCAAAGAATTGCACCGAGCTTCACGTGTATGGTCGTGGTCCATTCAGACGTGTGCAAGAATTTCTGGGCACCGGGATGATTTCCTCTTGTCGTAACACCCCAGGATGAAGGTCTGTCCGGATTCTCGTTGAGATTCTTAATGATCTCTGGAATAGTCTGGCCTTGCCTTCTCTTCTTGGTCCATCTGAGACTACGCTCATACAGCCTTTCAGCATGGTGTTCGGACTCGATGGTCTTGCCGAGCTCACACACTAATCGAACGAGCTTGATGGGCTTAGAAGCGCCGGCTTTGTTTATGATCTGAACCATACCAAGTGCCGTGACAGCGGCAAGCTTCTCTGGCTTTAGTTGTTGAAGAAAGGGCCCGTACTCCATGCGAAGTTTATCTTCGGCATTTTTCTTGGGCTTTTTCTCTGCTTCTTGGACCTTTTTCAGCTCTGCAATGATCTTGGTGGTGAGAGTCTTGTGCCATTGCCACATATAGACACCCATCCGACCAGAATTGAGTCCGGCCGTGATGCCCATCTTGGCCATTTTCTCATGCTCACGCTTCCACCGAGCGATGGACGACGCAATGGCGTCACGCTCGAGACGAGCTTGTCGTTCGTATGCATGGGCCTCCCTATCTGCAGGTTCGGCTGCCAGTCGCATACGAGTTTGGTCTTCTTCATCACTGAACAAAGAGAGCGTTTCCCTCAAGGCAGCCATGCCTGTACCTTTCTGCTCTGTTTCCCTAATTTGAAGATCTGGTTGTTGCGATAGGACATCTTCATTCAGGATAATCTCGGGATTTTCGGACGCAAGAGCTTCAAACTCGGGAAAATCGCCGACTTCCAGAGGACATATTCGTGAGATCAACCCAAGATCTCGCTCGGTCAAAATATCTCGCAGATTGCCAACTTCTCCCTGCAGATCGTACCGTTTGGCCATATCCCAATATCGCCGTACGGTTCGATCTCTTTTGGATCTTGATGGCACAGCTAAGGAAGCTTTTATCACCAAGGCGAATGTTTGCGCATCTGGTTCGAGGCCGGCTTGTTTCATATCTCGTTCAATCCACTGTGTGATCCTCTGTTCCACTTCCGGAGTATGGGAGTCGACCAAATCTTCAACCATGTAGGCCAGGACGAAATTGTACGAGCGTAGCAACTCGGCGCTACCTGCCGAGTAGATGGCCTTGAGCTGGGCAAGGTTCGTCATCGCACGTGGCCATTTCTTTAGCTGCAAGCACGCATCCAGGTTCGTTTCGATCTCGTTGCTGTTCCCTCGTATATCGACATCTGGATGATTGGGCGCAATGACTTTGGCAGGCCGGGCCAACGTAGTATTATCGATTTTCACCATGTCTCGTAAAGAAGGGTCCCATTTTGGTAGTGTTGCGAGACCGGAGCCAAGCGAGTCCGATCGATATTCCCGAGGCGGCAAGTATGACGAGTAGTCATCATTGCGATCAAATAGATCGGGGAAAGGGGCGGCTGAGGCAAGCTGTCGGGACTGCGATGGCTGTGAGGGCAACGGTCGTGTTCTCGAGAGCGTTCGAGATGCTATTGGGCGTTGTTGGTTTGCAGTAATATGAGGAAACCTGAGCGCCGGGCACAGGAATGGTAATTGAAGGTGCTCAGCAGCATTGTGTGCATAGCGAAGAGCTTGTCTGCGACGAGCTGCTCGCGTGAGCATTATCTCGGCGATAGCTCAATTGTAGCCCGATGATCGGTCGAAGTGACGGCTCATACACGCTGAATTGACTTTTGAGAGAAAAGAGTGCTATTCAAGTACAGAAATGATGAAAAAGACCGACGAGAAGCAGAAATGGTGGTGTACAGATGGTAACGGGGTAGGGGGAAAGGCGAAAAAAGTCCAAGGGCTTGCGGCGCCGAATCATCGGAGGTGGAGCAACAGATGAACCAATCGGAGTTCGTTTTTCCAACTCCGCGTTCTCCTGGAATCCGGTCTTCTGCTCTACTACAAATACACTGCTTGTATGGTTGTACTTGACTCTTCGGTGCAATTCAACCATTTGACCACTATGTGGTGTCTGTTAGGCTGCCTGCAAGTAGTTCTCCATGTAAAGTTCGAACTCGTGCAGCTGCCTGTACTTGGATGCTTGTTGAGGCCCTAGACGGGACCTGCTCTTCCAATAGCCTCCTTTCCGCTCTCTGCTATGAATCCGTCAATGACCCAACCACGCGTCGATGCCTTCAGCATGCATAAGTCGGTGCGCATTCAGTGGGCTACCCCATATGTCAAGGGGTCGCCAGTGACAATGCACAACTGCGACAATGCGAATGAAAATCGATGCTTGCTCGAGATGAAGGAGATTTACTCGCTCCATGCTTTGGTCACGCCTTTCAAACGACAGCTGCTGATGCGAAGCAAGGTTTTGAGATCACAAGAATCCCTAATCATGAAAGCAGCTGCAACCAACTGATTGAGATGAACTTGCGTATTCTCAGAGACTTAGCTCTGTGTATCTTTGGTGTTGCCAGGCTGGACCTTCTTTGGCCGACCTCTCTTCCTGGCAGGAATTTCTGGCGCATGCTCAGGTTCTTCTTTAATCGTGATGGCGGTATCCGCGGTGTCGTGCATGTTGGTGTCGGTGTCCATATCTTGCTCCAGGTCAGAGGCCTCCGGGCTACTCAGATCACTGTCTGAGCTTTGTTCCAGTAATGGGCCCTTGCTAGGATCTGCAGATAATACCGCCTCTCTGGACTTCAATTTCTTCTCCTCCTCAGCTTTCTTCCGACGTGCTCGCTCTCGCTCTCGACCCCGTAGCTTTGCTAGAAGCCCCTTCTTCCCATCTTCGCGTGGAGCACTCATGCGATCAAGCCAGTCACCGTTGCTTATCATGCTCTTCAGAGCTGGGCTGTCTTCGAATTGCTCCGCACTGTATAGATGGCTTTCGGCGCGAGACTGTGCTGCATCGTCCTCTTGGTCAACCCACTCGTGGAGCTGCCAGGGATCGATCTGGATATCTCGTAGCATCTTGCTGCTAGCGTTTAGGCTGCGGTCTCGTGGGTCTTCCTTGCTGTCTTTGAGCTTGATTTCGATGGCTTTTGATTCCAGTTTGGGAGCAACCTCGAGGCCAGGTTTGGCCTTGTTGGCTGCAGCGCCACTCATCTGCAGTCGGCGCTGGTTGTTTTCGTCTTCGGCATCTATATGATGGAGCTGAGGCCGCATCTGAACCACAGCATCCAGATGCGAGAGGTGAAGCACGTCGTTGCGCAATGAGCCCAAGAAGTAGATTGGCTCTCGTTCGCTTTGTTTCGCAATTTTGCCTCCCAAAGTCTGTGTAGCCAGAGCGGATCGTGAAAAAGCTGCGCCCTGGTGCGATGGTACATCATGTAAAGAGCCTACTTGCGCCGGCCCAGAATTGAAGCCTCCGGCCAAGCCATGCGAGCCGCCAGCCCGAATCGTCCTACTATCTGCCACAGCTGCGCCATATCTTGAACCGGCCTCTTCGTTGTAGTATTCAGACGTCACTATGGGCACCTCGAGCTCCAATACACCGGTGTTCTTCTTGTATTTCAGAGACTGGGGTTTCTGTTGTCGGGAGGCCGAATATGGGCGAGAGGATGGACGGTGAGCAGGATATTGCAGCACGAAGAGCTGGGAGTCATCAGTTGAGGTCGGCGCCGAATATGGGTCTGTCGTTGCTGGCGGGCCCGTGAGGATCACATCATAGGATGCGATGACTGGATCATCCTCGTCTGCCATAATGAAGAATTGTGACGAGTTACCGTCCGTCCAGGTACAGAGATATCGGCCGGGTTATGCGACACGTCCGGACGCGGTCAGATAGGGCAGGAAAACGTAGAGCATGGCTTGTCGGGAATTGTTCAAACGATATCGAAAATATTTGCGGGGCTCAAAACGCGCTGTGAGCCTCAGCCTTGCAGCACCCCGCCGACAGGGCTGCACTGCTTCCGCCACTCCACCTTCCTCCCAACCGGCTACATTGGTTGAGCTGTCCATATTTGATGGTAGACGGAGAAGACAAGTGGACACTACCTTGAGGTCATTTTACAGACTGAAACATCCTCTGGACATTGGCTGCTTGGGCTTACACCAGCGCCACCGAGGCTCTATGAACCCCATTCACCAGTTGGACGACAGAAAACATTGCAACGTGGCCCTCGCGACTGTGATGTACTGAAAACACGAGGCGATTTGCCACTCGCATTAGAAGTTCTGCCTAGGGATCACGACTACAGTGATCCCAAACATGCCTGGGGAAGGTTGCCCCACTTCCTTGCCGCTTGTAATCTCAACAAGCGGTATAAAAATTCACTGCCTGAAATTGCCTGATTCGGTTTAGTGATTGTGCCTCGTCGCCTGGACTCTCCCAACACGAGCAGAAGGCAAACACGATCGGCAAAGGAAAGGGAATGGAGCAGCGAAAAGTCTGACTTGCATCGGCTGCTTTTCAACGTGTCATAACCAGTGAAAGCCGCGGCCGACAGGGTGATATACATAGTCAAGTCATCATCGGCTGTCGCTGTTGCGCCGGCCGTCGGAGCTACCGCCAAGCCCCGATCAGCTCCACCTCATTTTCTGCAAGGCGCACGCCATCTGCGACCAATGGCAGGCATCCTAAATGCTCTGAGAATTGTCAAGGTGGGCCAACTTCGTTCTGGCCGCGATTTCACCATCGCTGCGCAGCGAAGAATGCCGGGCTGCGGAGAAGAGTGGTTGGAGGTAAGTCGTTTTTCTGTAAGTAGCTCGTGGAAGCGCTTCTCTTTCCTTCCTCGTTGAACAGTCTTGCTGCCTTGCTGTGTCGTGCTACTGTAAACCAATATGGGCTCAATATCAAGCCCTGCTGAGGCTGGTGAGTGGTCTTCCACCCTACAGTCTGTCTGATGCCGTACTGACACATTGATGTAGTGGCAAGAATTGCCTATTTGGCCTCAGATGTTGTTCTTTCGGTACAACCATCATTGAGTACCGATAGCGAGTTCAGCCATCATCTGTCACGCTACGCTGCCAATGAGGCGAAGAATTACTTTGGAAAATCGGCACCAGAAATCCTTGCGGTCCGTCAGAATGCGGACCCTCTGCTCTCAGCCTATGCGCCACTAAGAGAGGGCAAGCTCCTCTCTGCGACTGCTCCCTCCTCTATCCTCCTCCACTCCATCCCACATCTCTACAAACTGGCCGAATACCCTGCAGTGCTCCACATCGCTCTGGATGCAACCCAGCCAGACTTCTCGGAGATCAGCTCTATCAGACAGTGCGGTTTCACATTTCTGCAGTCGGAAACACTTCAAGAGGCGCAGGATATCGCTCTGACGGCGCATGCACTCGCCGTAAGAAGTGGAAAGGGCGTTATTCATTTCTATGACCCATCAAATTCAATTCAAGACAGCCCCATCCAGCCCGAGAGTCGGGATCTTGTTCAGGCATTGATTGGCGATGAACGTCCAAGGGCTTCATATACAGAGGCGACCGAAGAGTCTCTATATGTCAACGATGGCCGTGCTGCTGTCGTGACAGATTTTGGCTTGCCCCAGGTCAATGCATCTGCCAATGCCGCCTCAAGATCTGAGCTCTTGCCCGCGACCAATGGCGCCCAGAGCGCTTCCACGAACGGAACGACGGATATATCCTCGACGGTGTCATCCCGGCGAGACAGCAGCTCGGACGGTGCCATGGCATCATCAATGGCCACTACTGTCGAAACACCGATATCAAGACCAGTAAACGCCACAGATATCTTCAACTTTGCCACAGAGATTTGGGCTGTCGTCTCCAGGCTGACCGGTCGGTCGTATTCTGCGATCGAGTACTCAGGCCCGCCTGACACAGAATCCGCTCTCTACATATTCGGCTCTACTGGTGTCTTTGTGGACATACTAGATAGCGAAGAGGTCCCACTAGATTTGGCCAACGTTGGCATCATTACCGCCCGACTTTATCGCCCCTGGCTTGGCACCTCTGTTCTTCTAGACTCGATTCCCCGGAGCATCAAGAAGATTGCTGTTCTTGAGCAGATCAGGAGGAAAACTACCAAGTGGGGTCCTTCGTTCCTTGATCTTCTCTCCAGTCTGAGCCCAACGGCGGGTGGCAGCAATGGCATCCAGCTAGTGCAATACAGGCTTGGCCAGATCGATTCCGCCACCGCCACCCAAGCTCTTCGTGGTATCTTTCAGAATCTTACTCCGGTTTCTACGCCTCGGAAGCATTCCCGTAGGAGGGGGCATTCTCAGGCCGCTGTCGTACCAATTCAGAATCTCAGCATTGGAAACGAGATCGAGCCTGTTATCCACAGGACGCCTGTAGAGCAGCCGGGCCTGGAAGATGCATACCTCAAAATCCTGAATCAGCTCTTCAGCTCACGTCTCTACCTCGCCAACCAAGCGAAGTCGAAGAATGCCGGTGTTTCTGCGAGCCTTGCAGCCTCGCCTGAATATGGCTTTGGATCTCTCTTGGCTCGTATTGAACACCGCGGGCGCTTCGTAAAGGAAGCCGAAACAGCTGCATCCAGCAAAGAGTTCATCACTGATTCTCCCAAGCAATGGCTGTCACGGTGGGCCTTACATGCCAACGATGCCCAGAAGGCTAATGAGTACGCACCGGAGGTCATTTCACGGCTATCTAACGATGGTTCGAGGCTAGCCACATCCTTACTCGACAACAAAGGTCTGTTCTATAAGGAGTCGCAGTGGGTCATTGGCTCAGATGCTTGGGCATATGATCTTGGCAATTCTGGCGTTCATCATATCCTGGCTTCGGGTGCCAATGTTAATATGCTCATCGTTGACTCCGAACCATATTCAGAGCGCGCCAAAGCCGATGCGAATCGGCGCAAGAAGGATATTGGCCTCTACGCCATGAACTTTGGCAATGCCTACGTCGCGTCCGTCGCGGTGTACGGCTCTTACACTCAGGTCTTGGAGGCAATGCTCGAGGCCGATAAGTTCGATGGTCCGTCGGTTGTTCTTGCATACCTGCCTTACAATAAAGAGAACGATTCCGCTCTCACCGTTCTACAAGAGACTAAGAAGGCTATCGACATTGGGTATTGGCCTCTCTACAGATGGAACCCGGCCAACGAAGCTAAAGATGAGCCGACATTCTCGCTCGACTCCGAGCGAATCAAGAAGGAGCTCGAGGAATTTCTCAGGAGGGACAACCAGCTGACTCAGCTCATGAACCGTCACCCTCAATTTGCTGCAAATCTCTCTGAATCATATGGCACCGAAGTCAGGAAGCTACAAAAGCGGAAAGCCAAGGATGCCTATGAGACGATGTTGGAAGGTCTGTTTGGCGCTCCTCTAACCATCCTGTTCGCCTCCGACAATGGTAACGCAGAGGGTCTAGCAAAGAGACTTGGAAATCGCGGAAAAGCCCGGGGTCTGAAGACTATGGTCTTCGCGATGGAAGACTTCCCTATTGAAGATCTTCCAGGCGAAGAAAACGTTGTCTTCATCAGCAGCACTGCCGGGCAAGGCGAATTCCCGCAAAACGGACGTGCTTTCTGGGAGGCCATCAAGGATGCCAACGATCTCGATCTGTCGAATATTCATTACTCGGTCTTCGCTCTAGGAGATCGCCACTACTGGCCTCGTAAGGAAGACAAGGTCTTCTACAACAAGCCAGGCATTGACCTCGATAAGCGTGTCAAGGCTTTGGGCGGCAAGGAGCTAGTTGCTATCGGCCTCGGTGACGATCAAGACCCAGATGGTTTCCAAACTGGTTACCAAGAGTGGGAGCCCAAGCTCTGGCAAGCCCTCGATGTTGCGAACGTGGAAGGACTGCCCGAGGAGCCTCCCCCATTGACCAACGAAGACATCAAGATTTCGTCAAATTTCCTGCGTGGAACCATCTTGGAAGGTCTCGCAGACACTTCCACCGGCGCCATTGCTGCAGCTGATCAGCAGCTGACCAAGTTCCACGGAACCTACATGCAGGACGACCGTGACCTCCGCGACGAGCGCAAGGCGCAAGGGTTGGAGCCTGCTTATTCATTCATGATCAGATGCAGGCTGCCTGGAGGTGTTGCTAGTCCTGACCAGTGGTTGAGGATGGACAAAATTGCTTCCGATATGGGCAACGAGACCATGAAGTTGACAACCCGCCAGACATTCCAATTTCACGGCGTCATCAAGTCGAAACTCAAGCCCGCTATGCAGGCTATCAACAGAGCCTTGATGACCACAATCGCAGCGTGTGGCGATATCAACCGAAATGTGATGTGCTCAAGCTTGCCAACTCAATCTGAATACCATGCTCAGGTACATGCTGTGTCGCAGAAGATATCGGATCACCTCCTGCCATCGACAACAGCCTACCACGAGATTTGGCTGAAAGACACAGAGACTGGAGAGAAGACGCAGGTTGCCGGCGATGCTGTGCAGGACTTTGAGCCTCTCTATGGTCCCACCTATCTCCCTCGAAAGTTCAAAATCACGATTGCCATCCCACCACACAACGATACGGACGTTTACGCCCACGATGTTGGCTTGATTGCCATTCGGGACGAAAAGACACGAAACCTCAAGGGTTTCAATATCCTAGCTGGTGGCGGTATGGGTGTGACTCACAACAACAAGAAGACGTATCCTCGTACCGGTTATATGATGGGATACGTGCCAGCCGATGCAGCTCACCTGGTCTGCGAGAAGATCATGCTTGTGCAGCGTGACAACGGTGACCGCAAAAACCGCAAACACGCGCGCTTGAAGTATACTATGGATGACATGGGCAACGAGGTCTTCAAGGCCAAAGTCCAGGAGCTACTGGACCCTTTGAACATCAAGTTTGACGCACCTGCTCCCTTCAAGTTTGCGTCGAACATTGATACTTTCGGCTGGCAGCAGGACGAGAAGGGTTTGAACCACTTCACGTTCTTCATCGAAAACGGTCGTGTTGAAGACACCGCCGATTTCCCAATGCGGACTGGATTGCGGGAGATTGCCAAAGTACACAAGGGCGAGTTCCGGCTGACGGGCAACCAGCACTTGATCTTGTCCAATGTCACGGATGCCAACAAGCCGCTCCTGGTGGAATTGATGAAAAAGTACAAGCTTGACAACACACAATTCTCGGGTCTGAGGCTATCCAGTTCAGCTTGTGTCGCCTTCCCGACCTGCGGTCTGGCTATGGCTGAGTCAGAACGCTACCTGCCGGAGCTCATCACGAAACTTGAAGGCTGTTTGGAAGAGAACGGCCTGGCTCAAGACAGCATCGTCTTCCGCATGACAGGTTGTCCCAACGGATGCGCTCGACCGTGGCTCGCCGAAGCAGCATTCGTCGGCAAGGCCTTTGGCGCATAGTAAGTTTCCCCGTATCCCATGTCAAATAGTCAATGCTAACCTCGTGCAGCAATCTCTACCTCGGCGGCGGCTACCACGGTGAACGGCTCAACAAACTGTATCGCAGCTCAATCATGGAAGAAGAGATCTTGGAGATAATGAAAGACCTGCTATCCCGGTATGCAAAGGAGCGTAACAAGGGCGAGCATTTCGGTGATTGGACAATTCGTGCTGGCATCATCAACGAGACTACTGAGGGCAAGCATTTCCACGAAGACACCGCTGAGGTGGAGAGCGACGAGGAGTAATTTGTACCAGTTGGAGCGTTCTTTTTTACGTGCATAGCGTTACGGCATAGGAGGGGTATCCTTTCGACGCAAAGCGATGGACTTGTGTGGATTAAAAGTATATAGTACGCCGTTTGCCAACATGAAAGCTGAATGTCGTTGTCGTTCACCCCTTAAATTCGCCAAGAAATCATTTGTAGCACTATCTTGCACTTTCGCCGAACGCATCCTCCCTCGTCTCGCCTTCACCGCTACATCCTCTTACTGGCATCGACGCCGCCACATCATCAGATCGCCAACGGTGGCCCATCGGTCGCGCTGCCGTGGTTAGGTTTCGCGAGCCGAGATCGACCCTCGTTTAAGCTGCAAGACAATCTCGACTGGCGACAAGGCATCGATACGAGATTGCCGTGGCACGTATTGCCCAGCTTTGCCGGGGTTGTCGTGAAAATCCACCGGACACATGGCCTAAAACGCACCTCAATCCGGGGTACTATCGATTCCTTGAGAAACCTGTATCCTGGTAACACCCCATGACTGACTTTGCTGCCGTGAGACTGGGCTCGGTGTTGCAAGCAAAACAAGTGCGCATAGACTCCATTCCCCATCCCAGCGTGCCGGAGCAGCTTGATGATGCAGATCGTCAAATGTCGGAGCGCTGAGGCTTCAAAAGGGTAGTGCTCCCCGGTATGTGGTGCACTTTGCTCTTTCAGTGATTGCCACACTCCTTTCTGCCGGCCATGCTTCGCCAAGTCACTCATTTGTCTCTATTCTTTTCCTTTGTTCTTCCATCCCTATCCGAGGATTTACCTCAAGATGCGCGGTTCTCTGCGTTCCAAAGTGCATCTGAAGAGGCGAATGCGACCGTCGATGCCGTACTGGCTTTGGCGGTCCCAGAGGGTTATGTGGCCGCACCGTGGTATCCGACTCCCCACGGCGGTTGGACACCAGACTGGGCCGAGAGCTACGCTAAAGCGGCGGACTTGGTCGCTAACATGACTCTTGCCGAAAAGACGAACATTACCACTGGCACAGGATACTTCATGGACCGCTGTACGGGGAACACTGGCAGTGCTCATCGAGTTGGCTTCCCACAACTTTGCCTACAAGATGGCCCACTCGGTGTGAGAAACACCGAGAATAACACGGCATTCCCTGCTGGTATCACCATTGGCGCGACGTGGAATAAGGAGCTTATGTATCAGCGAGGTGCCGCAATTGGCCAGGAGTTCCGCGGCAAGGGTGCCAACATCCATCTTGGACCAAGTGTGGGAGCACTTGGTAGGAAGCCTCGTGGCGGACGCAATTGGGAGGGCTTCGGCTCCGATCCCGTCTTGCAGGGCATTGCTGCACGAGAGTCCGTCAGAGGTATCCAAGACCAAGGTGTCATCGCAACCATCAAGCACTGGTTGGTCAACGAGCAGGAAATGTTCCGAATGTACAATCCTTTCCAGCCAGGCTACAGCTCCAACGTCGATGACAGAACACTACACGAGCTCTACATGTGGCCGTTTGCCGAGGCCATCCGGGCTGGCGTTGGTGCGGTCATGAGTGCTTACAATGCCGTCAACGGATCGGCATCTACCCAGAATAGCTACTTAATCAACAATCTGCTCAAGGATGAGTTGGGCTTCCAGGGCTTCATGATGAGTGATTGGTTTGCGCAGAACTCAGGTGTTGCCACTGCGCTGTCTGGTCTCGATATGTCTATGCCGGGCGACCCGACAGTTCCCCTATTCGGAGACGCATGGTGGGCATTTCATCTGACTGAGGCGGTCCTCAACGGCTCCGTACCAGTTGACAGGATCAACGACATGGCCACCCGCATCGTCGCGGCGTGGTATCAGATGGGCCAAGATCAAGACTACCCGGAGCCAAACTTCTCCTCTTGGACGGATGATGCGGTAGGGTTGCTACATCCAGGGGCCCTCATTTCCCCGCAAGGAGTGGTGAATGAGTTCGTGGATGTACAGGGCGATCATGCCGCCATCGCTCGAGCCGTTGCGACGGAAGCCATCACATTGCTGAAGAATGACAACCAAACCCTGCCTTTATCATCTTCTGCAACACTTGCAGTCTTCGGGTCCGCGGCAGCTCAAAACCCCGATGGCCCAAATAGCTGTGCAGATAAAGGCTGTAATAAAGGCACCCTTGGGATGGGCTGGGGTTCTGGAAGCGCCGACTACCCATATCTCGACGACCCCATCTCTGCGCTTCGACGACGCACTTCCAATCTGACAGAATACTTGACAGACACCTTTCCGTCCACTATCGACGCCGGCGAAGATTATGCCTTGGTGTTCATCACGGCCGATTCAGGAGAGAATTACATCACAGTCGACGGTAACCCGGGTGACCGAACAGTTGCAGGTCTTTACGCATGGCACAATGGCGATGAACTAGTCGAAAAGGCCGCAGAGCAATACGACACGGTGATCGTGATCGTCCAAACCGTCGGGCCAATCCTGATGGACTGGAGTGACCTCCCGTCCGTCAAAGCAATCCTCTTCCAGCACCTACCAGGCCAAGAAGCGGGCGAGTCGTTGACCTCGATCCTCTACGGCGAGGAATCACCCTCCGGCCACCTCCCCTACTCAATCACCCACCAAGAATCCGACCTACCTGAATCAGTCGACCTCGTCTACTTCGAACTCGGCCAGCCCCAGGACACCTACGCGGAGCGGCACTACATCGACTACCGCTACCTCAACGCCCACAACATCACGCCGCACTACCCCTTTGGCCACGGCCTCTCCTACGCCAACTTCAGCCTCTCGACCGCAACCCTCACATCTCTCTCGCCACTAACCTCCCTCCCTCCACCTCCTTCCCCCAAGCTCCCCACGCCGACCTACCCCACTACGATCCCCAACCCCTCCACCTCCCCCACCGAGGCCATCTACCCGCCCAACTTCTCCCGCATCTGGCGCTACATCTACTCCTACCTCTCCGAATCCGACGCCCTACGAGCCTACGACATAGGACAATCCCCCACCACAACCCCCTACCCCTACCCCGCCGGCTACTCAGCCACGCAACGCAACCACTCCGTCCCCGCGGGCGGCGGCCCCGGCGGCAACCCCGCGCTCTTCGAGCCCATCTTCGCCGTCAACGTCACTGTCACCAACACCGGCGCCGCTGCCAGCACCAACAACTCCACCTCCAATTCCACCTCCACCTATACAGGCCACGCCAAAGCCGTCCTCCAAGCCTACATCCAATTCCCCGCCAGCACCCAATCCTCTTTCGACACCCCTCCCGTCCAACTACGTGGTTTCGCCAAGACGCGTGCCCTCGCGCCCGGAGAAAGCCAGGAGGTGGAACTGACTCTGACGCGCAAGGACGTCAGCGTGTGGGATGTGGCGCGGCAGAATTGGGTCGTGCCGGATCCGGCGGGGGAGTATCTGGTGTGGCTGGGCTGGAGTTCGGGTCAATTGGGGGTTGCGTGTAGTTCTGTGACGGGGGTTTGTGCGGAGAGGGAGAGGGGGCCTGTGGGCCTGGGCTTGAGCTTGAGATGAAGAGGGGGGAGGATGGGGATCGTGGTCTGCCGATAGAATGGGAGAGGGAATGTGGGGGATGTACATAAAGTCCCTCTGCCGAAGAAGGTCAGGCCAGGTGTGTGTGTGTGGGTGTGTGGCGAAAACGGGGCCGGGGGGGCTATATGGCTATATCTATCATAGGTATATGCATGTAATGATAATGTCTATCTATGCAAGAGACCTGCGATTGCCCACGGGATCCTATGATATAACCAGCTGCACCCCCCTACCAACCTCTACTCACATACTTTTTCCCCCTCTTCCCTCCCCTCCGCCACGTGTCTCATGAACGAAGCGAAGGAGGTTCAGGCCCAGTCCAAGCCTGCGGATCCAGTACGTGTCTGCAGTGCGGTAACACAGGCATCTCGCTTGCTTGACATTGAAAGACGGCCGAATCAAGTCCTTGTGCCGCCGGCTCGAACGGTGTTGTCCACAGGAGTGGCAAGCACGCGCTATGTCTTCCTCTCCATTATAAGCGCAAAGTCAGCACCGTGATCCAGATCAATGATGGTCTTTGTTGGCAAGGACATGGGGACTCGAGCTGACCTTATGTATCATCAACATTCTACTCTATAGTCGATCTGCCTGCTCTTGGTTGTCTTATCTACAGGTTCAATTCGCCGACCCATGCAGCCACGACATGGCGTGATTTACATTATGCAGCCGTTCGTTTACTCGCAGTCGATCCTCAAGGAGACCGCCCGGTGCCTAGGTGGGCTTCTCGAAGATCATGACGCCGTAGCGAAAATTCCCATTGGCGTAGCCCCTCCGCATGGCACGGAAGCTCTGCAGGAAAGCGAGTCCATCTCTCCCCTGGCTGATGGCGTACGCCCACAATGCGGGACTCGAGACGAGTGACCAGCTGATATCCCACGTCTTGGCCACGCCCAGACTCAAATCCTCCGGGCCGGCGACGAGGCGGAGACCGGCGGTCTCGGCCATCTGCACATATTCGTCCATGGTGTTCAGGCCGGGGAGCAGCATGCCATCTTCAATGGGCTTGATATCTGATGTGATCTGCTCGGCCGTGAGCGAGGGGGCTTTGAACCAGTCGGCGAGGACGAGGGTGCCGGAAGGCGTCAACAGTGTGAAGGTTGAGTCGAAGAAGAGGGGCTTGTTGGGGATGTGGGACAGGCATTCGGAGATCCATACAGTGTTGTACGACGAAGGCGGGAAGGTGGTTCTCAGTAGGTCGGCGTCGAGATGGAGGTAGCGGACCTGTCCGGGTTCGTAGGGTTGGAAGGGCGTCTCCGCTAAGGGCCCTTCGGTAGCTGGCTTCGTCGATCCCGCGGCCGCCGGTGGGCATTCCTCAGCAGTGATTCGTCGGGCGATTTCGACCTGCTTGCTGCTGATGGTGATGCCAGTGACGGTGGCGGCTCGGTGCTTGGCGAGGTAGCGAGTGGTACCTCCAAGACCACACCCAACATCTAGAACAGTGCCATTAGGTTGCAGGGCGGAGAGCTTGAGCAGATGGTCGATGAGATTCGTTTGCGCGGCTTCCTTGGTCGTGATGGTGGGTGTAAAGAGCCCATGGTGGATGTGTTGACCCCATCTAGAATTATGAGCACGACAGCAGGAGCAAAGATGCCAATAGCCTACAAGCGGTGATAGTAGTCGGACGCAAGGTCGTAGTGGAGTGTTATCCGCGATTTGAGGGGATCGAGAGCGGAGGTGTGGGGTTGGCTGGAATGCCAACGGTCAGTGGGCGTAGGGGAAACCGAGGAGTGACCGTACTATCCTGGAATCTCATGCTGATCACCCGGATGTGCTGCGGGATCTGCCACTGATGTCGCCATAATGATGTTCAAGGATACGAATTTAGATTCATTGACTGCGTGGGTCGTGTGGTGGTGCGTGGGGAAAGACAAGATTGGAGTCAGTCGGGTCCGGCACCCTTTCAGGCGACTCGTGTATCCGTCTGACACTCACGGTGTGCTTGATATCGTCTTCAGCCTACCAGTCTAGATGAACGGAGGGAAAGGAGTTGAAGTGTGACCGACACAGCGGACCCCACTCGTGCAATGTCTTGGCTTGCATCTTCCGCATCACCAACATGCACCTAGGTAATCTGTTGGGATTCAAGCTATTCTGTCTCGTATTCTATACGCTACTACCGGCTGAGATGCGCGTATCAGACGATCATACGGCTACCTAGGATTCCGAACCGGACCCAAGCACAACTGCCAGTCAGTCGTCCCCACCTGTTCATCTCTAGCCAAGATGTCGCCTGAAAAGCGGGTCAAACACCGAGATGAGCACGAGGTGAATGGTACCAACAACAGCATTGGCATGAGGCCTGAGCAGCAGGCACTGGATCAGGTCGCGGCACGACATCCTCTCCGGCCTTTGAACATGCTGCAGAAGCATGTGCTGTTCTGGGACCAGGATTGCGATGGCATTATCTGGCCCTGGCAGATCTACCAAGGATTCCGAGAGCTGGGCTTCAACGTTGTCTACTCGCTGGGGTCGCTGCTGATACCGCTATTCTTCTCCTATCCAACTCGGCTTGGCCACAGTTGGATCCCCGATCCGTTTTTCCGCATCTACGTCGACACGGGTAACAAGTCTAAGCACGGCTCAGACAGTGGCATCTACACCTTTGATGGAGACTTCAATGAGGATCGCTTCAATGAGATGTTTGAGTACTTTGATGAGGACAACGTGGGTGGTCTGAGCGCTGATGAGATGTGGAAACTCTGGCAGAAGAATCGGTGTTCGTGGGATCCTTGGGGGTGGTGCTTTGCATTCATGGAGTGGTCAACAACTTGGCTTCTGCTTCAGAGAGAGGGCAGGGTGTGGAAAGAAGACTTTCGTGCATGCTATGACGGAACGATATTCTGGAAGATCTCCTACGAAAGGACCCAGGGTGATGGATGGCAGCAGGGTTACGGTTTGCGCGACTTCTTCCGCGGCATGTGGAAGGGCAGGACTTGGAGGCTTTGGGAACTAGAGAAGTAAGGACGAAAGAGAAGTCGTGAACCATCTAGCTACACTCATTCTCAACTTCAAGCTCTTGCTTTCGACCTTACCATACCTTACCACCTTACCATACGCCAAGCGTTTCCGGGCCCACTTTAGTGACTGCGCGGTCGACGTTGCTCCACGCCGCAGGACTTTGACCCTGCGCACGCCAACTTGCACCCACGCGATGGCACCAGCATGTCGTTACCAGGCCTCGGGCTTACTGAGCCGGAAGAGGTAACCGAAGTCGAAACTGCCCAGCATGACCTCGCCAAGGAGTCGGAATGGAGGTTCGAGGTTGCTGTGGACAAATACATTCAGGTCAAGGTCAGCCAACTACCCTCCGCATCGCGTTCACTGTTGACTGTGTTAGGTCCTGACAGGATCTGCTGAAATATTCGGAACTGAGCTCGTCCTGGGAAACACCTACAACTTCACCAACACGAAAGCTGCAGTCTATACTTGGGAAGGATGCAGGCTCGAAGTCCGCGGCGACTCTCTCCAGAGCGAATACATTGCACGGGAAACACCGATGCACGAATATGTCAACACCCACTTCGCCCTCGACGGTCTGCGCGACAAGGCTAAAGCCGGCTTTGGACCTGCTCCACGTCTACTCATCCTGGGCTCTGACGACGCAGGCAAAACCACCCTCGCCAAAACACTGGTGGGATATGCGCTGCGAGCCGATCGCTCTCCAGTCCTGATCAATCTCGATCCCAAAGAAGGCGTCATGAGTATTCCAGGCACTCTGACAGCCACTACATTCAAGACTCTCCTTGATGTCGAGGAAGGATGGGGTACTGCTCCAATGAGCGGTCCTAATGGCTCAATACCTGTCAAGCTGCCCCTCGTCTACTACTACGGCCATGACGATCCCGCGCACAAAGATGGAAAGTTCTACAAGTCTCAGATCAGTCGACTCTCCCTAGCCGTATCTGGTCGTATATCTCAGGATGTCGAAGCTCGTGATTCTGGCCTCATCATCGATACTCCGGGCTCTCTGTCTGTCACCAAAAGCGGCAGCACAACCAACGCCGACATTCTCACACACGTCATCTCCGAGTTCTCCATTGACTGCATTGCGTGCCTTGGATCAGAACGTCTCTACAACGACATTGTTAAACGCTTCGATGGCAAGCCTGTGACCAATAGCTCATCCACGAACGGAGGCCTTACACCCACCATCTCGGTAGTCTCCCTCACCAAGTCTGGCGGCTGCGTAGACCGCGACGCTGCATATATGACAGCCCTGCGCGCCGCCCAGATCCGAACGTACTTCTACGGCAACCCCAAGCTGTCAAACGGCATCAATCTCCAGCCCCGCCAACAACAAGTCGACTTTTCAACCTTGTCCGTATGGCAACGCATCGGCTCCTTCGCCGCCGGCACCCTCGCCTCGACCGTAGCGACCGGCGAAGTCGACGAATTCCTCCCGGGCGACTTCGTACCAGAATCCTCCTTTACCACCGGTGGCGGCGTACCCCTCCCCTCGGGTCAAATGTTCGAAAGAGTCACCGCGCCCCAGCCAGCGATGCGCAGTTGTGTGTTGGCGCTTATGCACGCCAAGCCCGAAGCGGAACAAGACGAGCTGCGTGACGCCGAGGTCTACGGGTTTCTCTACGTGACCGACGTAGACGAAGCCAGAGGCAAGATCAGCGTCCTCAGCCCCATGGTGGGCAGAGTCCCACCCATGCCGTTGGCTGTCATCTGGGCTGGCTGGCCGGAGGGCGTGCTCGGTATGGTGTAGAACACCATAAATGAGAGTATATCTCAGAAACACGGCTAGTTGCCGCAGGGTCTTGCTCGCGACAGGAAATTGAGGGCGAAAACTAAGAAAAGGTAGGGGCTGGCAGCAGCGGGCTGGGAACATCAACTCACGAAGAACTGAAGGTGTGCTTGAGCTGCAAAGCAGGGCGCCGCGCCTGCGCGTTCCTAGGATAGATCAGAGGACTCGTAGCATATGCGTTGGGTTGGGTGATGGAATCAAAAAGTCCTCCCAAGCAAAGACTGTGGACGATGTTTCGATAGCCACGCTTTCTCTCGCAATGGTAGATGCATCGTACCCATCGATCTAGTCTAGTCTGTTTGTTGTACTTCAAGCAAATCCCCCAACACCTTCTCGCTCAACCCATTCATTCTCAAAGACCAAGCACACTCCTCAAAACCTCCACCGCGCTCCTCACGCCCCTAAGCGCATTCTCATCCGGCCCCTCCCCGGGCGTCCAGCGCGCATGCGCGAAATCAATCAAGCGCACATCATGCACCTTTGGCTCGATCTCTTCGTCATTCTCATCCTTGCCCAACCCTTGCGGACCCTCAACATCCACATCCACATCCTGACCCGCCTCATCCGCGCGTCTATTCCGCTCCTCGAACTCCAGCGCGCGTCCCAGCGCGGCCTCGTCCCCTTCGTACACGAAGAGCACGCTGGCGCTGTACATCCTGCTCTCCTTGCGCTCGAGCATGTAGATGATGCTCTCGAGTTCGCGCACGAAGCGCCCGCCGATCTCGGCGCGGTACTTGCTGTCGGGTGCCGGCAGGAAGGTCTCGAACGCCGCGCGCACGTCTTGGGCGTTCTTGAATTGGCGGCCGTAGAACTTGTCGTAGCTCTTGTAGCCGTTGTCCAGCGTGACGAAGCCCTCTTCCTCTTTGCTCAGCGCTTGACGCTGCTGCTGCTGCTGCTGCTGGCCCCCAACCCAAACCTTCATGCCCGCGACGCGGAACCCCAAGGATCCGCTCGTCGTCTCCGCCGCGACCTCGTCCAGCTTCTGCCGCTTCGCCTGCGGAGCGTCGTCATCCCACAGCCGCGCGCCGAGTTTCAGATCCAGCACGCAGGGTTTGCTGCAGCCGGACGCCGTGTTCGCCAAACAGATGGCGAGACCCGTCTTGATCTTCTTGCCGCCCGAAGGGGTCCACTCTTCGTCTTTGCCCAGAGGCACGGCGTCTTTGCTCTTGTTTTGCTGCTGTTCTCCACTCTCGTCGCCCTTGGGGGCTGCCGCCGGCGCCACGCCGTCTGTGCCTTGCAGGAGTTTCGAGAGACCAGCTTGGTCGGCGGCGGGCGCCAGGCTGCCGAGGAAGGTGGGCATGTGCGCGTAAAACGCCTCGTGTGCGGGGTCGGAGGATGCGGACTGGTAGAAGGCGATTTCGGCGGCGGTGCATGGCTTGGTTAGCACGGTGCCGGAGGCGTTGGAAGTGAGGCCTTGACTGGAAGTGGAACATGGTTAGTGAAGCCCTTTGCCGCGAAAGGGGGCGGGCTCTTGCAGAGAGGACGAGGGGTAGTGGGGGTGAGGACGTACTGGCCTGCGGCGCCATGGGCGAAGGGGACGGAATCAGTTGCGTCTGCCATTGTAAAACTCGTACTTTGGTCGTGGAGAGTGTTGTTGTTGCAAGTCTAGAGTTGCAAGTGCTGGTAAAGAGTATTGGGTGCCTAGTGCATGGCGGTTTCAGCAGACGCAGGTCTAGCGGCTCAGGGTTGATCGTTTCATCTTGGCATCAACCCGCTGTCGCGATAGGACAAATCTGTCACGCATATACTGTTGGAGTGGCTGCTCGTCCCGTGCCTCAGTCCAGTCGACAAAGTACCGAAAAGCCATGTCTGCGCTGATCTATAACTCACCAACGGCACAAAAGTTTAAGTGGTAGAGCCAGGTACGGAGACCGGGGACACCCGGACTATCGCCCGTAAGGCCGGCCTAAACCTGATGGCGTTAGGCATGGTTGCCTTGTTTCGACCTCAAAGAAACCCGCCGTCCATCTTCTTGCTTTGAGCATTGCCTTGCCTGACCCAACACATATGCTGCAAGCAGCTCAGCTAGACCTTGTCGCCATCAGTCACCCAAATTGCATTGGCTGACCATGATTTTAGATGAGGCAACTGGCATTCGGAGCAATTCACCCAAGGCTCGATTTAAATGTTTGCCATCTGCCAGCCGTATGCAGTCACTACGCAAACACTGAAAAAAGATATATATCAGTCTACCCACCCATTCAAAGTTCCAAGTATAACAGAGTACGCCCTGATATTCTTTCCCGTTTGACAGCCTCTCTGCCATTTCTTCTGCGTAGGACTTATTGCATTCCCACCTACACTGCCGCCACTATGGAATCGCCTACTCATCTTTACGCAGAAGAGTCAACCGGCGCTTCGGGTGATAAGTCGGTCAGAGAGGCATCTCAGACTCCGGGAGAAGGGTTGGATACCATCGACGGTGACACCATGCCGATCGAGCCGGCCCCACATGACAACCCATACGGCAGCGGCTCAGGCCAGTCTCAACCACTTCCCGATTCAGCCAATAATAAGAGCATTGGGGCCGGTGAAATGGCCATTGACAATCAAGTGAATGCAGAGAACGAGAATGGTGACAATCGAGAGCCTAGCATTGAACTTGAAGTCGAGCACGGTGAAGCGCCAAAGAAAAAGTCTAAGAAGAGATCTAAGCCCAAGAGCAAGCGAGGCGCAGTACGCAACTCGCCCTTCCCAACATTCGCGTTAGCTGATTGATTCAGGGCAAACCTACAGGCATGGAAGAGTACTACGCTGATGGCCCGCTCACAGTTGAAGAAGCCGAAGCAGAGCAAGCGCTATATCCACCAGACGCGCCCTTCATCAATCGCATCCTCACTGCCATTCAACGCTTTGAACGGACCAAAAGACTCTCTCCAGAGCGTAGGGATGTCTTTTACAAATATCTCGCATATGGTGGTATCGATGTCGGTCCCAACATGTTCCAGTCCAAGGAAACGCTCGACACATCCGATATGACCAAAGACGAGTTGGCCATTGCCATGTCACAAGTCTCGATTGGCACCGACAAACACAACGTCGATTCCCCAGATGCTATCTACGCAATTGACTTCCTCGGCTGCATGAAGGCCTTCCTCTCTCGCCGCGCTAGCGACATCTGGGGGCTGGAAACTTGGGAAAAGACTACTGAGGTGACATCCACCCTCGAGCGATTCATGCAATACCTACTGCAGCGCGGAGTCTGTCCGGAATACGATCAAGAAGTGACAGAGACTCGCAATTTCTGCAAGAAAGCAGCCGAGGAGCTGTGGACAATCACCCAAATCCGGCGTCGTCTTCCCGGCGACTTCAACATGGCATGCTCCACTCTCTGCGGCGGCCAGTTTGCCCAGAACTACGATGGAGAGACATACTATGGTCCCCAAAACCCGGGAGAAGTCAACTTTGTTGGCTTGACTAAGGAGACAGCTAATCAGATAGTCGGCCTGGGCATCGCATGCCAGGCTCCTGAACACGTCTTCCAGAAGCACAACCAACTGCCTCGCAATGCAGAGACAGGCGGTGTCGTCGTCAAGATCGAAGAATCCCGTCATAGCGCCGGCTTCGAGATCACGCGCATCGAGGGCCCCAGCCTCACCGACCAGGAGATCCACGACATCTACGGCGACCGCTTCCGCAGCTTCCGACGAGTCTGCACCGTGTACGCCAAGCCTTGGGAGAACCCGGAGCGTCCACCCGTGGACCTCTCGCCTCAAGAGCAGGCGCAGCTCGACCGAGATGACCCTGAGCAGCCAGCTGAAGAGTACGTCTTCCTGATCGAGCAAGCTATTACCCTCCAAATGCGCATGGGCATGAAGGTCGAAGCTACACTTCACAAGCTGACGTCTGGCATCTGGTTCTTCGACGAGTTCATCAACTTGTACCCCAGCTTCGACACATACTTGTGCAATGAGCTGATGGTCAATTACAAGAAACCGCGTTGGCTTGAAGGCAGTGTGCAGTTTGCGGAGCAGCAGGAGCGTGAGCGGTTAGAGGAGGAGAAGCGCAAGGCGGCAGAGGCGGAGTTGGAGCAGGCTGCGAGTGGTGAGGCGGTGAGCGAGTCTGAGCGCAGTGGTGGAAACAGTGTGCTCAACGAGCATCGTGAACAATCCAGCACACCTGTCACAGGCGCTGCGCAGCAGGCCTGAAGCTTTGCTCGACACCGACGCGGCGAAGACATCATGATAGTGAGCCAACTCGTACCGAGAGAGTCATCACCGGCCCATCTCACATCACATGCCCTTGGAAATCTGGAGGCAGCCGGCTACATTATGCCATGATGCAGCAATCGCCTATCAAGGAAGGCCGCATGAACGACAGAACGAGCGCAGCGATATGACAGACGCTACTCACTAAGACCAGGTCTCCAGACCGACGCTACGTACCAGGCTATATCTACCACCTAGCCAAAACCTCTTAACCTCTTCACGAACCAACTGTACATTGCCTGAAGACGCATTACTCAATGCCCCCCTCGAGACTTTAAAGCAGATGTGTGAGTGGTGAGACGCGAATGAATATAAAAGTCACTCTCCCAGCGCCACAACCCCGCCCACCAATCAAGCTGACCCATGCCCAACCTTTCAACCCCTTAGGCTATAAGACACAACCGCAAAGCTGGCACGGAATTTACGGCAAAAGCAAGTAACAAACGTGAGTCCATATCAAATTTCCGTCTAAGAGACTGCCCCGCCCCTCGGTGTTCCCCCCTCTCTCTGCCTCCTCACCACAACCTCAAAAGGTCTCAATCAAGTCAAAGCTGCTACACCAACAAAACCAGGTCTCTCCCTGAAAAGTCTCTCAAGAAAGGAATCTTTTTCGGTCACTAACAAACACTAGCTAGGTAGGTAGGTACCACCATGCTGAAGAGCCCTCGCACCCTCCATCGCCAGTGGCCACAAACCCCCGAAAAAATGAAGCATCAATAAAGCCAGCCCCCAGACCAAACGTCCCAATATATATCGTTGCACAAACATACAATCCTCTTCCCCCAGTCTTTAGCTGGAATGGTAGCAAGCTCCCCTTTTGGCCCATTTCGGACCCGCAGTATACAATGAAACAACCCCATTCAAGACCTGTTGTCGCTCCCTCCTATCTCAGAGACCAACGTACGTGACCGTACTCTGACTGGTCTCATTCTTCGTCTTCGTCAGGCTTCTTCTGTTGCCTGCCCTCGTCCTCGCCGATCTGGTTCCAGCGCCGCCAATGCCAATGCCAATGCCAATGGCAGACCCAAACCCAAACGTCCAGCTACTACTACTGCTTCTCGCAGCGTCACCACTCATCACCCTCGTCCGGCCAGGCTCCTAGCTCAGCTTTCCTAGGACCTTCCTTCCGAGCATCAGTACGCTCTTGCGCCTTCCACTCTCGCCATCCGCGCCGTCGCCATCGCTGTCCTCACCGTCATCGCCATCTCTCTTGTCGTCTGGCCCAATGCTCTCGCTACCTCGCCTCTCTCTACTGCTGCTGCCGCTAATGCTGCGGACATCACTCATCAACCCTCCACCCAACGGTCCGAAGCGCACACGCCCTTTCATACTGTCGCCGGCATTGCTGAAATGCCGCCCAAAAGCGTCCTTGAGCAGAGACTTTCCTATGCTCGGACCGACCGCGCCTGACGTACTTGGGCGGATCGTCGCCTGACTATCCTCTCTTTGCCCCCAGCCCTGGCGCATAGCAGGCGGAATAGGTGAAGCCGTGCCTGAGCCGTTAGGTGTGGCAGTCTTTGAGGGGACTTGGAGGCCTGGGCCAACGTGTGACCAGCTCCCAGCGCGAAGCAAGGTGCTGGACGGAGCACTCTCGAAGGGGCTGCTGCCACCGACTTTGTGGCCATTGGCATGCATCTTCGTGCTGGGACCTGTGTGATCGGTCTGAAAACTTCTGCGCGGGCTCTCCTCGTTGTCTTGGCTGAAGGAGTAGAGACTGGCCGACTCGCTTGTGGTGTAGTTGGTTTCGACATTGCGGAGGCTGTCCGTATTGGGAATGAGGGTGCTGGAATTGGCCATCTCGCGCAAACGGTCTTGCGCCTTTTTGTTTGGCCGGTGGTGTGAGAATTTGTTGCCAATAATCGCTCCGGTATGGCTGATGAGCGCCCGGATGACATCTTTCTTGAGGCGAAGAGCCAGGTCCAAATTCGACCACGTCTTGTTCGTGTATTCAAGCGTCGGCATACGGAAGACGAAGTCGTGGAGGTCCTCGATGTTGCGCTCCCCTTTGCCCTTGTAGGACAGACACAGGACGAATGAGTCGAGTTTGACGTGTGCGAGAGTCATATAGTTGGACGCACGGGACAGCATTTGGGAAACGTCGTCTGTGGGCTTGCCCTTGCTACCAACAGTGGACTTGGTACTCGAGCGCTGTTCGTGAGATCCGCTTCGATGAAGGTGCCACCGAGATGAAGACGGCGTGTCAGCATTCTGCTGCGACGAAAGTGCGAGGGCTGAAAGGGAGGTAGAAGAGCCTGCAGTTTTGCCAAATGAGCGAAGAGACGAGGCGGAAGTTTTCCGGACTGGGACTGGGGTTTGTGATACTGTCGCGTGGGAAGAGCTGCTATCATGGCGTCTGAAAAGCCTATGTGCGTGCTCGGATGAGATACCCAGGCCTCGACCTTTGTCTCGCTCTTTATCCTTGTCTTTGGTCGAAGTCGGTGACTTTTCACCGTAGTTGAGATTGTATGTTGGCTTGAGTCGCCGGCCCATTGCACCAGGGGAAGATGTGCGGCGCATCTCACTATTGGTAGGCTGTAGTTCAGGATTTGGTGTCAGAGCCAAGCGTGCTTGTTCGCTTTCCGAGTCGTCATCGTTGCCCAGTGGTTCCATGTTCTTGACATTCAGTGGTGAGAAGTTGCCCGACTCGAAAGCACTTGAGCCGATTCCTGGGAAAATGTATTCGAAAAGTCGCTTGCCTAGTTCGCGCTCAAGCTGAACTTTTAGGGGGTGCATGGTAACCTGGAACTCTTCTAGCACTGGGATGCCGGCTATGGCTTCAAGCATGTACCAGTGGATTTGAAGCATCTTCTGATGCTCAACAATGCTGCCTCGTTTCGATGATTCGTCGTAGTAAGGACCAATAATTTCTGGATACAGAGCAGTCTTGAGCAGGTTCCATCCGCGAATGTGCTGAATTTCCATAGCATTGTGGTTTGAGCCGTCACTGTTGTCAATACGCTCATACACTGCACGACCGAGTTGGAACTCGAGAAGAGGCTCGTCCTTATCCCGCATCAGGTGCCAAACAATCTCGGAGGCGCTCAGATACCATCGCAGGAAGGCATTGCTGTCCGAGTCCTTACGATCTTCGTTCCTTTGCTGGGAGGTGTTGATGGCTTTCATAATAAAGAACAACTCATCTTCACAGCTGGCGAGGTCTTTCTCGAGGTGGATCCTATCCTCCCACCCTTGTTTGTCCAGATACTTGGCATTGATTTGGAAATGAAGCTTCAACTCTTCAAGCTGTCGAATGCGCTCTTGTAGTCGTTCCGCCATTTCCGGAGCGCCTCGAAGATCACTGAAGTCCGAGGCAAGCATGATTTTCTCGAGCCGTTCACTTCGAGTCTTCTCCAGCGGCTCGCTGTAGAGCAGCAAATCCAAGACAATGATGTACATTGTGTAGTATTGCGCCGAGTCACAACTGGCCCGAATCCGTGGGAAATCGACCCACAGCTGGTCCATCCTGCTTTCAGCCCCGTACGCGTTCTTGACATGATCTGTCTTGCTGCCTCCAACTTCTTCATTGTATTTCAGACGCAGCGGGTTGTACTTGTCGTATTGCAAGCGGGCGGAGGTCTTCTGAATGACTCGCTGGAACCCGAACGGATCCAGGTGGAAGTCGAACATTGCTTCAAGAGAAACCCATGGCGGCCAGTCGGAACCAGGAGGACTGCCGTAGCGGTTGCCACTGTACAAATGCAAGTACTTTGCCAAACGCTTCTGATTGGTGACAAAGAACTGGGCGCCATCCATATCCAGAGCGTAGCGGCGCTGCACTAAGCCACTGACATCGTCTGACATCCTTGCCTTGTCCATGATAGCCACAATCTTGAGCTGCATGCCTTTGGCTGAGACCAGCACCACAGACTTGGTGTTTTTCTCACCCTGCAGCTGGATTTGAGGTGCTATCAGACGGAGGTGGTAGCTGTTCATGGGCTGGAAGCTCTCCGCAATGCCTTCTGTGACCTCGGGGATAGTGTCATCGTTCTGCGGGGCGTTGTCGACATCATCGGTATCTCCATCTACGTTCACGAAGCGGTTCGCATCGTTGAGTAACTGCTGAATGCGATCTTCGATTACCGAATCTTCGTCCTTCTCTTCGGTCGGGGAAATGACACTCGGCATCGACGGAATATTTTGGCCGGATTGCTTGCGCTGAGCCTGCTTTGCCTTTGCCTGCTCTTCAACGATATCGAGGATGAACTTGACAGCCCTCCTTGACATGTAGTAGACGAAACCACGGCGTTGGCTAACTTGATGGCTGTAGCGGAGGATCGTATTTCGCAACGAGTTGTTCCATTTTAGCTGGATGTTGTGAATAATGAAGCGATTGTTAAAGTCGCTGGCAAATTCGTCATGAGAGGCAGAAAAGAGGCCATCAATGTCGATATGGGTGCCTTCACTGGGGTTTGGTGAAGAGTCTGCTTCATCAGCCTGTGAGGTTCCCCGAGAGGAGGCCTGATCGGCATCCGTCTGTTCTCCTGGATAAGCATGCCGGCCCAGTCTCTTGAGACCATGCTCGAGAAAGCGTTGCTTGCTTTCAAGCTCGATCTTTTGCTGCAAGAGAGAGTCATGAGCCTCTTTGAGACTGGTGTCATGGTCTCCGTCCCGGACGACTCGTAGCTCATGCTCGCCCATTAATTTATCATGTTTCTTCAGCTTCTCATTGATGTCATTCAGGCGGCTGTCGATCAAGTTCATCTGGACGCGCCTAGGGTCATTGTGGGTAGACATAACACAAAAGTGTGAATCTTCATCGCCAAAAGGGCTAGTTCGGGACTGATCACCCTGAACGGAGTCATTGTGTTCTGTTTGACGGAAGTAAGTTAGTCTCGGTGTGAATGCTAGAGGCAAGATCCTCGTTTCAGGGTTAGACTCGGCTGGGAGAATCCAGTCGAGCTCGACAAAGTCGTCCATATCAATCCAACTGAAATCTAGATCGGGGATCTCGAACTGGCTCATGTCCACGTTTGGAGCGACATCTTGATAGGCGCTTAGTATTTCGGCATTGGCCTTTTTCATGTCTTCCGCTGTCGTGCCTGCTATGCTGGCTGAAAGAGCGCGAAGGTCGGCACGTACGAAATCGAGCTCTGCTCTGTTGATCTTCATCCCACTTGTGCGCATCTGCTTCGATCTGGCCTTGGATAGTGTGTCAAAGTATTCTCGCCGCTGGTGCAGATCGAGCATGAAACTATCGATGCGAATCTTGAGTCCTGTGGCAGACACGACATCTTCTTGGTAGTCTTCGGCGTCCTTATGCTTGTACACGTGGGCGATGAACAGCGGTGAGAGTAGGAGCCCGTACTTGATTGTCGCCAGATGCCGTCCAAACTTCTTGCTGCTCTTGTCTGGCCCCCTCCACAGGGGGCCCTGCCTGATTGGTAGCGACATGACTCCTGAGAAAAGAGACCACCAGTCGAAGAAGTGCGAGAAGAATCGCGGCGTCAAATGCACGCTGTTGTAGCTCTCGGACACTGCGATATCCTCGGACTTCCAGTCGCGATCGAAAGGCGCCGCAACAGCCACCGACAAGTGGATATGGTTGCTGCGAAAGCCTTGAAACGCGTCGTAGTCAGTATGGTCGAAGTCAGGCACTTGTTTGGGATTCTTCAATACTACATCGTAGTGGGATCTGAATCCCGAGGATCGTTCGCCATCCTGTAGGTCTCTTTCGAAGACAAGACCGGCAGTCCACTGCACATTGCCGGAGACTTTCATGATGACCTTCTGGAAAATGGCTGCGTTCCGTTGACTACTGGAACTGGTCAAGCTGTCTGCGTCGTTATCAGACCTCATCTCTGGTGCATTCCGGGCTTCGTGGCTGTAATCAGGTATCGCTAGAACGTATTCACCACTGCGCACAGTCATGAATTTCCTTGGGTCGTCGTCGGAATGTATCAGCCATTGGACATCATTGCGCCAGCACATGACGAAGCCAGCACCGAAGCCCGTGACTACGTACGGGTCTCTTGACCCTTTGAGGCGGAGTTGAACATCTCCATCCCCTTTCCAGTTAACAGTGAGCCGGGAATGGAAGCTGAGCCTGATCTTGTCCCAGAAACCGACACGATCGGAGGGGTCGACCTCGGGCTTCGTGAAACTCTCGATGATCATCATCATATCTTGGATAACAGGTTGGTAGGAGGTACCCCAGGAGATGGTCGTGGGCAAGCTCGTATTGATATCGATCACGGGTTTGGAGTAGGTTTTCACAGGGGACACCGTACGCCGGACATCGATAGAGAAACCTGGGATTTCGCTGCCACCTTCATTCTGCTGTCCTTTGGGCACAATGTCGACTTTGACATGTCGAATTGATTCGTCGTTGCGCCACTCTTCGGCAATGACAAAGTCGGATCTTAGCGACCAACTTGGTAACCGTGGAGGCTGACCAGATCGTATCGCTGGAATATGTAAGAGATTCAGCGGATAATCGCGGAGCATGACCCGTGCCTCCCCCATGTCTAGTGCTAGACTCATTGGAATTAAGAGCGAGTACTGCATGGAATATGGCATTCCTTTGCCGACCTCGTGCAGGAACTTAGGCAAGTCTGCCAGAGGAAAAGAAGGTTTATCAATCACAAGGTGAAAGTCGCTGATGATGATGTCGAGTAGACCTGGCCTATAGGGGATGTCGAGTATCGATTCGTGCTCGTGCTCATCGTGAGGCGCTCCATCAGCACCCGTGAACATTTTGCGAACATTCTTGACGGTGTTTTTCTGGAGAAGCACCATCCAGTCAATTCGCTTCTTCCAACTACGTGCGTTGTGCTCCTGCAGCTTTTGCCAAGCATCATCTGCGTTGAGTTTCGATGTATTCGTAACAGCACAAGTACCGTCCCGATCGTATCTAATCCTCGTGGCTGAACGTCCACTGCGACCGCGGGAAGTGGACCTGGCTCGGCGAGGTTGGTCTGATCGTTCAGGACTGTTCGCTCTGATTGGCGTCGAGCTTGCACTGGCGCTCGGGCTTGGAGGTCTGCTCTTGGATGACCGTCGGTGGCGAGACGTCCCACGTTGGAATCTCTCTTCGTTGAGTTTCCTCACCTTCAATTTATAGGCAGCTTCTCTTGCAAGCCGCTGCTTCTGTTCAACGCGACCTACGTGGTATATCAAGCCTAGTTTCCATTCGAATGGATCGTCCTCGAGCTCGAACATGAAAGCGCGGGATCGGACGGAAACTCGAGGCACCTTCGCAGGACCTTTCGGCTCTTTCTTAAGGATGTATTCGTTCGTACGTGTTCTGAATCGGTGGTGTAATTGCTCGATGGACTTGACAGTGTTGACGATGTTATCGAAGACGAGATACATCCGAAGGCCATGCGGACACGCCAGCCTGGTGAAGTCCATGGATACATCGACGGAGTTCTCCTCGACGAATCCGCTCGCCGTCTTCTTCTTGCTGTGGCGCATGTCCACTCTGAAATTGTTGATGGTTACCAGGCGCGCCCATGCCCCCTTAATGTAGGGCGACTGCACATGTAGCCGAAGCAACTCAGAGCGTAAGAACGGCGCGGACCACCTATGGCGGCCTGTAGCCAGGTTGTAGATTTGCAACATTAAAGGAGGATCTGCAGGCAACGAGGCTTTGACTCGGACATAGGACGCCTTCACGTCAATCGTCGTAAGCTCGACTTGACCAGCGGATGAGAAACGAGAATGTGGAGGAGCTTCGGGCTCTAGCCTTGTCACAGTGGTCGAGACGGGCTGGGTAGCGTTCACTGGGCCGGTAAAGGCATCCCTCAAAACCGATCCAGCGATGCCAATTGAATAGAAACGATAGAGCGAGAATTCGAGGTATACTGCCTTTACGGCAGAATGGACGTGGAAGATTGGGCTCTGAAGATCGCGTGAAGTGCTGCAGGCGACTTCGAACCGCGGGACGGAAAGGAAAGGATTTGCCTCCCATCGGTCGAGATTCTCGATCACAAAGCCCTCCAGGTTGCGTCCGTGCATCGTCAAACGGCGGCCATCCGTAGGATGTGTCGTTCGCCCACCCCTCGAAGGGGATGTGGGTGGTGATAGATGATGGACGTGAGAGAAGCTTTCATCGTTGCGAACAGAAGTGCTCGTTTTGCGTTTGCTTGTAGGGCTCCGTGTGATCTCGGCCTGCTGGGATCGGTAGTCCACATTCCAAGACTCGAGCTCGAATGCAACGCCTCTGGTTTGAGAGGAGATGCTGGAATCCACGCCAGCGGTCTCCATGCTGCAATTTGAGCCCTCGAGATGGATCTCTAACAGCCATGGAGAAATTCGGCGCAGGAATGCAGATTGAGGGCTCTTAGGCTTCGGCGTTAGCTTCTCAGGCTCAACATTGCGTCTGAAATGGCGGACAATGTTGTAGATGCCCTGGCTGACTTCTTCCCGAACCATCAAGACCGAGAACGTTTTCAAGTTGCCATATATGACAACTAAAACTTCAGTCGAGGCTGATACATTGATCTTGAGCTCCAGGTTCTCAGTGACGACGAGGTTGTGTTTCTGGCCCGATGCAGACTGGTAGTATAGCTGATGGGACACAACCCGAAAATTGGACGCCAGAGAGTACAGCAGCTCTCCACTCATCGAGTGCGACGATTCGAGGTCCAAAGATATGGACGATATGGCCGATATGATCATATCAAACTCACCAGGCTCCGCATACTTGGGATCGGCCACCGGTAAAACAAATCGGACAACAGGTTCGTGTACCGAGAACTTGATGCTGGCCTTTGGTAGAAGCTTGGATACCATGCGATGCCGGCTTTGAACCGTGTTAGAGCTAGGCTCTGATCTATTTGGCAGCAAAGCAAGAAGTCGAATGATATGCTGCGGCACTAAATCGAGTGACGGTGAAGTAACAACAAAATTGGCGAAGAGTATGTTCTTGTTGCGCTCCGAGATGTCTTGCTCCTGTGAGAGAGTCATCGTTTTCGATGGCAGAGTGGTCCTGATAGTTGTTGTAGCCATGGGAATGTACATCAGCTTGTGAGATTTGGTGTCGTCTTCGTCTAACGTAACTGAGAGGGAGACGGCTGCCAGGAGCGCCTGGTGCGCGACATCTTCTTTGGCAAAGTACATGCGGTGGGCAGGCGTATTGTGTTGGAGTCGATGCAAATCGATACCAATTTCGTGTGTGACGATATTGGCCATCAGTGGCAGATTGGCCTGCCGCAAAGTCTCCAGCTCCTTCGACACGCGAATGAAGCTTAGACCGACCTGGATCTCCTGCACGCCCCTCAAGATCGAGCTGAAAAATTCCTTTGAGTCGGCGACGGTTTGCACTATAGACGCCTCTCGACTGCCAGGGTTATCAAGCTCTTCAACCACATCCTCCAAAGAGATCTCCGATACAGGACTCGTAGGACTGAGAGGGCTCATTGGATGGTGAACGGTATGGAAGGCGCGCGTTTCTTCTTTTGCCCGGCGCCGGAGACTTTGACTTCGACGGCTCAATTGCAACAGGTCGTCCACGGGAATGTACATGCGACCTGCTTTCAGGGCGATCGATGTATCTCGAAGACCTTCTTTGTCTCGATAGATCAGCCCGTGAATATTGATAGTCATGGCATCCAAGACCTCCACTGGCTCGTTGGTGCCAACCCCTAGGAGAACGCTCCGGACGGTAAAGATCCATTCTGCAGGTTTCTGAGTGCCCAGCGGATCTTTCTTGTGTCTGAACAATCGCGTACGGTCAAGAAGCTTCCGCCGCGTATGTACAGCTGCCGTGAAGCCGGTCACCTGAACACTGCCAACATTCAAGACCTCCAGGCTTGTGTCGTCGGCCCGTATATCAACCATTCGAAGCCATTTGATTCTTCGATGCAGGCGCTTAATTTGTTCCTTCACGTGAGTCAGCTTTTGCCAGAGCTGCGACCTCTTATCCTTCCTCGGCTTCTTGTTGGTAGTCTTCTCGGGTGGTGTGCTAGTTCTTCGCAAGAAGCCATTGGGTTTGGAGGGCGGGTTGTCAATGGTGGCCGGATCGACCGTGATCTTCAGTTCGGAGAATACGAGGCTCACCCATGTTGGCTGAGCAAATGTCGGTCTGTGGAGACTGAGGCCGAGGCCTCGCAGGTCTACCCTGAATCCTTCTCTGGGGGAGAATGAAATATGCCGCAAGCTGAAGTAGCCAATACGTTGGACGGATATCCCGGTCGCAATCCGGATAACAGCAAGTAACACGAAGGTAGCCAAATAGGCGAGGAGACAGACACCGGCGACTGAGGTAATGTTTATCAGAGCCATACCGGACTGTTTGGGTCGCGCTCAGCGCGAAACGGTTTTTTGGACGAGACAGATGCCCGCAAAGGGCTCATGTCAGGTTGTACGGCGCAGATCTTTGTTGTCGCGCATGGCTGTTGAATTCGGAACTCCGTTCCCTGAACATATACGAGCGTCTCTATATTCCCAGACCTTGAGACTCGCAGTCCTGCCCAAGACGAACTATCCGGAAAGGTTGGGAAGGAGTGGAAGCTGCGCGGCGAGCAAAACACGTTGGGAGGCGCCGGTGCGCGGTTGGTGTCGATGGTGGGCGCTTAGAGTTCAGCTTCGAGTCTCCATGCAGCGATGACTAGAAGCGAAGACGAGTAATGATGTGAAGGCAGGAGTACAGTCTGGCGGTCGTGGCGGGTGTGGAAGAACTGCGGGCGACGCTCGCACTCGCTGGCGCGCAAGGGCCGCTCCTGCAGAATGACGATACGAAGTGGATCCCCTACCACAACCCGCTGGCTGGTACTACACTGCTGAATCAGTCGACGCCACAGGATCGGCTGCGATAGGGCTGCGATAATAACATAATCTATTGGGTATACACTAATCTAGTCTATTAATACAGCGGTGCATCGACCTCAGTAACTCGTATTATCTGATACCAGGCAATGAATCTAGGCCTTCGCTTGGACGAAAATTGGGTCTTCCTAGTAAATGGTTGTTCAAGCTGGTCAGTCTGCAGAAGAGCATCCATCACCAATCTGCCAAAGATACATCACAAACCTGGGTCCGTTGTTGCCGCACGGTGAGCGTCGATTTGCCTTCACGGAACAAGAAGCTCCAGCGTGGAAGACATTCTCCGTGTGTCATGGCAGCGCCCAGAAGCCAGCAGAGAGCGAGGGCGAGCATTCCCAGATCTCACCACATCTGTTTGACAACCTCCAGAGTAGTAGAACACCGGCAGTCACCTTTTCGAGGTAACCGAAGCTTTCTGCTGCTGAAGAGCCGCAATCTGTCCATCAACAACAGTAATTTGTGTGTCAAGCCTGTCAATCCTTGCCCTTATCAGCGTTTCGTAGTCTTCATCGGAGACAGACTTCAGCGGCATCCAACGGCTACGGGACACTCGCTCAAGAAAAGGTGTCGTGTCCGGCTCTGCATTCAGTCGATCGTATGTAGCGCTGTATGCTATCTGGCATGTGCAAGTCAACAGCCCGATTATCCCGGCAGGACGCCAGATTGGATTCCGCTCTGTGCGCTGTCAGCCCTCTTCCAGCCATGAGCGGCCGGAACTTACGCCATAGACCGGCAACGGCACCTGACACAGCCCCTGACAGACCTGTCGCGAGGATCTTCGTAGACCGTTTCTCTCGGTCCGCTGCGGGCAGTGCATCGAGAAACAACCCTCTCATGACTAGACTGGGTGAGCAGGGACTTGCGTGCGGCAACGGGGTGACCAACATATTGTGGAGGCTCCATAGTAACCGCTCGACAAGCCAACGGCGGCGGCGAACGGCAATGGGTGAGCTGACCGGAAGAACCCGTAGACACCGCCACCCGTGAAGCCAGTTATACCTGAGCGCCATCGTTAGGACCCTTCGTCGCCTTCTGTGGTTGCAACCTACCAGTAGCTAAGCCGATCTTGGCCGCGAATCCTAGGGGCTGCAGCACATGTGTGCTCAATCCATCATCGGGTTTTGAAGACATGACTATACATCGTGAGCCAAGTGCTCACGATTCCGACCCCGCGTAGTAGGACCCAATGCTGAGCATGATCGCAATAATGAAGCCGGCGCAGACAGTAACACCCATGGTGCTGGAGCTGCTGGTGAAAGGACGTCCGTGCCAAGACCAGACGAAAATGCGCTAAAAGTGTGACGCTCGGAAGAAAAGGCGAACGACCCCAATAAGATGGTAGCCCTTTTTCTCGACATCGACCACCACTACACCCCTCCCTCGACTCCATCTGAATCTCACTTGTCGTCTCGCGTCATAGCCGCGCACTGAAGCCGGCCATCGTGAGCATCACCTACCGACTTTTACCGTCCGTTGTGTGAGGCTGCTTCGAACCGAAGCGCCCTGCATCGACAACCGCAATCATGGGTGCGTCGCTTCATGCCCGCATCCAATTTCGCAGACGACCCTTTCGTCCTTTGCATCCCATGGCTGACGTATGCTATAGCGCCGAAGAAGAAGACTGAGAAGATGTCCCTCGGGACCTTCCTACAAGACGAGAGTACGGACGACCGGACCCCAATACCTGATGAGATATTAATAAGAGACAGACTATGGATCGTGGGCCGATGAGATGGAGGACATGCCACTCCCCAGTGTGTACTCTTCAATGTGCTCAACGTTCTCTGGCTGACAAACTCGCAACAGTGACCGATTCTCGTCCCGGCTACGGCTCCGAGCGCAGAGGCTTCGGCGGCTCAGGCGGTGGCGGCTTTGGTGGTGGTTTTGGTGGGGACCGCTCCAATGCCGAGCGCTCGTATGGTAGGCACCACTTCAGTGCAAGACAGACGAAGACGAAGCTGACCGTCGTTCAGAACGCCAAGGGTACTCCGTGCGCGAGCAACTGCCCATGCCCACTGCTCCTCCCTACACAGCTCATCTTGCCAATCTCTCATTCGATGCATTGGAGGACGATGTTAATGATTTCTTCCGCGATTGCGAAGTCAAGGAAGTGCGCATCGTGAAGGACAAGATGGATGATAAGCCTAAGGGATTCGGCTACGTTACATTTGATAGTCTCGAGGGCCTGAAGACCGCTCTCAACCTCAGCGGCGGCTCCTTGGCTGGCAGAGCAGTGCGTGTCAGTGTCGCCGAACCTCGTAAGTCTGCAAGTCATACGCGACAGACTCAGAAACTGACTCAAGACAGCGAAAGATCGAGTTGACCCGTCACGTGATCTGAGCGACTGGTCTCGCAAAGGCCCGTTACCTGACCTTCCAAACCAACGTAGAGTTTCGGATCGCCCCACGTTCAACAGGTTTGATGACAATCGTTCCGATGCTGGCAGCGAGCGAGGTGGCAGACGCGGCTTCGAGCCTAGTGGCGATGGAAAGGTTCGAGACTTTGGTAACTGGGAGCGTCGGGGTCCGCTTCCCGCAACACCTGGCCAGGGTACATCTCTCCGTGATGGTGGCCGTCAGCAAAGCAAAAATGGGCCCGACTTCCGCCACAATTCCCCATCGTGGGGCGAAGGCAGATCTCAGGATGGTTCCCGCCCGCCAAGACGAGACCAGGATAGGCCTGCTGTTGACAGACAACCTACTGCGCCCGAGCTTGACAACGAGTGGCGATCTGGTATGAAGGCTGCCCCAGCGGTCAAATCACCGACACCTGACGACAGCAACCCACCGTCACCTCGTCCGGCAGCTGCCCCAGCAACCCGGCCCAGACTCAATCTCCAGAAGCGTACAGTCTCAGAGGCTGAGCCGGCTACTTCCCCTGCGCCTGGCTCCGACTCGAAAGCAAGCCCTTTCGGAGCCGCCAAACCGATCGACACAGCCGCCAGGGAGCGAGCCGTTGAGGAGAAGCGTCAGCTGGTGATCCGAGAGCGCAAGGAAGCGGAAGAGAAAGCACGTGCGGAGAAAGCAGAAGAAAAACGTCAAACGAGAGAAAAGGGCGAGTCTGATAAGCCTGAATCACCAAAGGCCACCAAGCAAACGCCAAAGGGCGAAGAGGACGAGGAAAAGCCTGCTGGACCAAAATTCGACATTCTTCGTCGCGCAGAGTCGGGTACCAACGATATGATTGCGGATGATCAGGACGAAGATGTTGCACCCACGGATGACAAAGCCGTCAAGCCCAAGGAGATCGTGGTGCCCGCATCGCAGGCTAATGGATCATGGAGAAAGGCTCCTGGCGCAAAGTCACCAGGTCCTAAATCACCCGAGGCCTCGACCGCCGAGGCTTTGGAGGAGGACGGCTGGAGCACTGTGTCTAAGCCCGGCAAGCAACGGAACAATCGACGCGGCGGGCCAAGAGCCATCGCTTCTTGAACGGTGCGACGACGACATGAGCAGCATCGATCCGGCGCAGGGCTGACTGCCGCACCCAAACAAAGACTTTTGCCTGTACAGTATTGACGGACCGGGAAGAATGCTCGAGCATTGTTTCTGACGGAGCAGGCAGCCCTGATTTTGGCTATCACACTCAGCTCATTGACACTGGGGATGGAACAAGAGTGAGTGGGTGGAAGAAAAGCAAATATCTCGTTAAGCGCTTCGTTTCATGCGAGGGCTGGTTCCGGAGCGATGGAGAATGGCAGGCTCTTGCTATCTTTTCAAGATCAACGTGCTTAGTATCTGTGGAACAGACCAGTGGCTTCATACCTGCAATGACAAATAGAAAAAAGCCTCAAATAATCTCAACTTCATCGAGTGTCTGTTCACGGCAATTCCAGCCTGTCATTGTAGAAGGATCAGAATCCCTCAGATAATTGTAGTTAAGGGGGCTGCCGGACCTGATCCTTCGGGGCACTGCCAAGACTGCGGCGTCACCCGGACATGTTGTGACCGCAAAAAATGTGTTGCAACCCCGCCATCGCAGAAAAAAGACCGCCCTCGTTCGAACCACACTGTCTATGCTGCGGAATTTGTCGAATAGCACGTGCAGATCACACCTCGCTATGGGTCGCATGTCATGGAGAAAAGCTTGGACAAGTTGATCGAGCACTTGCTAGGAGAGATCGCGCTATGTGGTCCTGGAGGTAAGTCCGACTCGCTCTTTCTTGGTCATCCTACGCCCTCACCACCTGCCGCTCATCCCGACGGCGACTGTTCAATTCCAAGTTTGAACACTATGGCAAACTTTTTGAACATCTTCCGAAGAGTGTGTAACGGGCTCTACTGCGCTTCTGTCCCACACTCTTAAGCGACAAACTCGTCGATGACTTTTGCACTTTTTGCGGGACAGATGTCTTGTTGCTAACACGTGACCTGGTCAGGCGCGACGGTATCTGAACTGACAAACTTCATCGACGACTTCTATTACGATCGACGCCAAAATGGTCTCTCCAGTCATTCCATATCTCAAGTTGTCGACGACGCCTTTGTCGCAAGCGTGTGGAGATGGCTTGGACGCCATCCAGACATCTACATTGGGAAGGACAAAGAACACAACAACACTCCTCTACGGTCCCTCATACAGCCCAATACACCCTTGATCGATCAACACGCGACCCTCCCGCGCATCTCCGTCAGCAAAGATCGCATCTACCAAGCTATTTGTGGCCACGAGCCCGATGACAAGCGAGTCTTCAAATCTGAATACGGCTTGTTGATAGTCATTGCTGCCGCGAGGTCTGATGGCATTCTGCAGGGTGAGCTGGGACGTGTTGCTGGTCAAGACAAGCGATCAGTCCCAAAACGAACCGATGCTCTCCACGCCAAAGGCTACATCATCAAGGAGACAGTCATCTTGAGGGGATTTAAGTCTAGCCGCTTGACCTTACGGCGATTCGCAACACAAGAGCAGATCAACAAAGCCGGGAGCGGTCTATCCGAGGCACCTCCTGCTGTTCGCCGAGAACGTACACTTCGCGACCTACTAAATGATGTAGCTACAGTCTTCGGTAATGCTGCCCTCATTGAATCGGAAGACCTGGCCAAGCGTGTGCGTATGACATCTCAACTGGCTCAGAAAGCATTGGTCAAGGTTCTCCGAACACTAGCCAGGGCTGGATATGTCAAAAAGGTAAAAGCTGCAGTGGGTGAATCTGCCCATACAGGTGAGCCCAAGGTATGCTTTCAACGCCTACGAGATTTTGCGCTCACAGACTTGGATCTCTTCATGGATGCGCCATTCACCTTAGATCGGGGACTGGGCGAAATATTTGCTGATTTAGAGTCGAGCTCAGCTGATGGCGCTAGCGGGACCTCTAACAGCGATCACGCAGCCATCCAGTGGAATCCGGACAGAAACGTTGCCAATACCTTTCAGCACGCAGCAGCATTGGCTGGAGCAACAGGTATCACCATTGCCAGCGCTAGAGAGGCAATTACGGGTCTCAGCATCAAGCGTCCTGTGGAGTCTCGGCTTGATCGCCTCTCATTCGCTTCACTATCGGCTCAACCACAACATCTCCGTCACCTGGCACTGGTTAGGAGTGGCAAAAGTGCTGCAGGTGGTGTGCAATATACTCACCACTCTCTCCCTGCCTTTCTGAATGAGTTAGAGCAAGGAAAGATCGACGCAGGCCAGGTGCGCGGTACGAACGCCCTTGGCCGTGGCGATAACACCACAACTACCCAAAACATCTCAGCAGAGCCGGCTACCTTGGATGCCTTTGGCTTTCCTATCGTACGGGACAGAAAACTAGTTCGTGATGGTCCTAAGAGCCTTACGGAATGCTTAAGATCAGTGCCAATAGAAGATGCTGGAAATCACCACGACGAGTCTAGCGACGAAGCTCCCCGTACAGGAGAACACACCGGGGCCCAGCCCCGAGCTCCGGATACTAGGGCGGTTCAAGCAGCGGGGCTTCCATTGGTGTCAAACGATGTATCCTTGGCTGGTTCTCCGGACCTAATTCCCAAGAGGCGAAAATACACACGCAAGAAAGTGGACGACCCTGACGATGGAGTGATACGCGGGCGACCCCGCAAGTTTCTCGCTGGCACGGAAAAGTTCTGGCAATATCACTTCTGGCAAGCCAGGCTCGAGGCTGAAGGTCCGCAGGCTAAGAAAGCCGGAACAATGAGTCACCCCGCTGGAAAGACGATCTTTCGAAATCGCCCAAAGAACTTCGACGAAACCCTGGTTCGTGCTAGGGAGGCGGGGCTTACGTTACCCAAGCTTGCCGCTGATATTTCTGAAGAGTGGGTGCAGAAAACACAGACTGTACTGGAACGCCAGGATCCAGGCGGATACGTTACACCTAGTGGCATGCATCTATTCACCGGTCTTCGCACGTCGCAGATATTGATCGTGCGTTCCAACAAGTTACAAACCTTGGACTTCCGCGAGTGTCCCAAGGTGTATGCATATCGCTTCATGACTTCAATGGTTGCACACAGCTCGCAAAACTGGAGATGGTATCCAACGAAGCCGCCACGGCACAAACGGGCCAAACCGCTACCGCCTCCCAAACTTGATGTCGAACATCCAGACGAGCTACTCGAGGCTTTCGGCAAGATACCTCGTCTAGGTGTCTTCTACAGCAATGGTGAGAGAGAGGATGATTCGAATTCACACCAACAGCTAGAAACATTACCGCAGGTCACTTCCGAAGAGTACCGGGAGCTTATGGCAGAGACAGATGTTGACAGTGAGGTCGAGCGCCGTGAACAGGAGGAGAAGGCCAAAAATAAGTCAAAACCACCCCCAGTTCCTCAGCACGATACGCGCGGAGGGAAAGCGGCAAGCCCGACGCAACCCTATCGACGTTCAACAAGTTCCAGGCCTGCAGCTGATGTGGCACATCGTCAAGGAATTCCTGTCACGACGCCGACCGCAGATCCTGTCAATTCCCGTCGATCGTCCTTTCAATTCAAATTTAACCATGAGGGAATCAGTGAACCATTCGATCAGTCGCCGTTGCAGAGCAGGCCATCGCGGCAGCGAAAATTGACACGGAAAGCGACGGCCTGGCTTGCCAGTGAAGGGCATGCTGGCTCGGTTGGATCTCCACCAGCTATATCTGCATCTGCAGTAGAGTCCGCCGATGAAGATGCTCCTGGAGAAAAGGACGATCGGCCGGATGCTGGGGGTTCACTTTCTGAGCACCTGGTATTTCCCAGCACAGCCGCGTCACTACCGCCTGGCAGCTCGGCGTCTGTGTTTGCCGTTTCGTCGTCCTCAGACCCGGCTCGCGCTACAGATGCTACATTTGCCTCTCCTATGGAAAACTCCGGAACCCCAGCGAAGTCAACTCCTTCGCGAAGACCGATCAAACGACGGCTATCAGATCGATTTGACGTCAGCGAACGTCTGCCGAAGATCCGCAGACTTGATCCTACGAGCGCTGGCACTTTATGTCGCCACGTGATACTGAGCCTTTTCCAGCGTAGTGGAGGCGTTGCCGTGCAAAATCCGTCTCTGATCCGGCAGTGCTGCAGTAGCCTCTGGAAGGAAGCTGGAGGCGATGATCTACCAGACCTCTTACTGATTAGACATACGCTGGATTCTTTGGTCAACGAAGGGCAGTTAAAGAGGCACACCTTCACTTTCCGTGGCAAAGGAGGCATAATGCTGTCAAGAATCATCCTTTTTCCTGCAGCGATCGACCCTTCAGATTTGATTATTCAAGATCTCAAACAGGCCATTATCGACGCTGACCCCATGGAATATGTTCCTTCCGAATGGCAGAAACATTCTTCTCTGAGCAGAGATCAGAACGTCCCGACTCTCCAAGCTGAATCTGGCGAAGGCTTGGCGCAAGGCCATCCTAGAAAGGCTGAGCCACTACGCTCTCCGCCAAAGAAACGACAGCGTCAAACCCGGCGCCGATCTTCAGTCACAAGTCGAAGCAGAAGCGGTACCCCAAGCTCAGTTCCACCGTCTCCGGCAACTGGCTTCCTCACCCTAAAGGCGGGTCGCAGTTCGAGCATAACTTCAGAATCCAGCGTGGCTAGCTCCGCAGATGAGCCCAGCTATGTTGGCTTCCTTACGTTGAAGGTTCCACGTCTGAGCACGCTTACACAAGTACAGCAGTTCAACGCCACTCTCAGAAAGCCGGATTATCTGGAGACAGCCCCAACCATTGCACAAGTGCCTGAAGCACCAAAAGCGATAAAGCAGAGGAAGCCACGAGCTTCAAGATCGAAGAAGAACTCTAATCTCCAGCAAATCATCTGGAAGAAGCCCACGCTGCCCGAATCTTTAGAAGCCATTCTCGAAGAGGAGTACGCGCAGGGCTCCGTCAGTCGACCATCCGAAAGCGAAGATGAAACCATGCAATTTTCATCTCTGGTAGATACGGTGCAGGCTTGGGAAGAGCGACTCACTGAGAAGCTCACGGACATCAAGGTGCCCTGGAACTTCATCAACCACACTGCCGCCTCGTTTCATGTTCCATCGTCTGAAGCAGCTTCGTGGTACCTGGTCGAATTCGATCTCGAGGGAAGATCATTGGAGAAAGAGGCCGGTGAACCGCAATCGTGGCTGCCTTTTTCTCAAGTCTTAGAAAAGCTAAGGCTGGAACCGGGCTTAGGCTCTCGCGCTGTGAGTACGTCAAACAAGCGGAGAGTCACGCGTCAAGATACCGGCTCCATCCGCAAGAAGCGTCGGTTCAATTTTGAGGATGTCGATTTTGGCGATGCAGGGCGCAAGCGGCGTCAAAGACAAGATGACACAGATTACGATGCAGTCGAGATCGCCACGGAACCTCAACAGGATAGGCGGCCCTCTTCCCGCAAGAAAAAGGGCAATCCCCCCGAAAGTCAACATGCAGCTATGCTGTCTAAAACATCAAACGAAGACCTCTTCCGGATTGCTGTATCGGTGGTCGTCGTCAGAACGCTTATTGGAGGCCCGGATAAAACTATCAACTGGACCATTGTCAATCGGCTCCACCCAGGTTTGCAACGAAGCGCCTTGATCTCGCGATGGAAAGCCATCGAGTTTTCCTATATGACCGAACTGGAGTCGATGACAACAGCATTGCGTTCTGAGTACTTGGAAGCGGTTCAGACGTTCGAGGTGGCGCTGGTCACCGCAGCTAATCAAGCTGAGTCACCCTGGGACGATATTTTTGGCTGGGCTCTCAGCACGCTTCCGAGGTTCGTCGAAGAGGCTGTGCTACCGTCAAGCCGTGCCATGCTGCTGACCAATTACAACCTGCGTTATCCGTCTCAAGAGAACATTCGCCCACTCCTTGCTCCGCATGCTGCACACCGCGCATTCGAGCGTGAGGAGATCATCGCGAGTGTGCCTTTCAGTGCGCCCCTAATCCAGCCTCTGAGCACCGATAAGCTCAAGGTGTTGGCAAGGCCACTAATTCTGGCAACGCTCCTGACATCCCCTTTCACAACCCGCGTAGCTTCTCTTGCCTCACAGCGCTTGGTAGCTTTGACCTTCGACCGCAACGCTGCGGAGCAAGCAGTGGCTGAGGCGCTCGTTGAGCTTCAGTCACATAAGATTCTTGTCAAGAATGACACAGCGATGAAGCGGACTCCTGCATTGGTTGAAAATGGCAAGTGCGCATACAAGCTCACGGAGAAAATGACCGAAGTCCTGGAAGTGAACCGGACCATCCACTGGATGACGCTCAAGGAGGCTGCCGATTACAAGCTCAGTGTGCTCGACGAGGCATTCGCGCATGGCGAGGTGGTCGAGATCCCAAACCAAGGCAGCATGACCAACGGGCAGATGCTAGCTGTTATAAACCTCATTAATAGCGAGATGCTCACAATGCGGCCGGGCTATGGTGGCATAAAGTCCAGGTATGGGATTGCATGGGAGCGAGTAGGGTACCAGACAAGACAGCTAGAAGCCAAGGAGCTAGGATTTGAAGTTGTCTTGGAGCCGACTGATGCTTACCCGTTCGGCGACGTGGCCGAGGAAACCAGAGGCGAGGCACCAAAGCGATGCAACGATGCAAGCTGGCCACTCTGGGTGGATGTGCTCGACAACTTCCTCGTTGAGGTTTGGGAAAAAGTTCTTGCCGCGGTCGTGGGAATGACTCACATCAGGCCCGGTATCCAAGCCGGCGAAATCAAAGAAACGCTAGGGGAGCTACTGACAGAGCACGAGATCTGTTCGGTTCTGGAATGGGCAGAAGCGAAGCATTTCGTTGCCAAGACCGGCGGTGGAAATGGTTGGGAGGCACTGAGATGGTGGTGGATGTGTTTGGGAAGGCTTGCTGATTGGAAGCTCGACGACGATGGAAGCTTTCCCGCCACCCAGGACGCCTAGGGGGCTATGTTCGGTGCGGTGCCAGGTCTTTGAACGCTGCTGACTCACATGGACGGCAACTCCGGACATGTAACATCATGATTTCACGTGTACAACACACTTACGACGAGATACCCCAATGCTGCACTGTCTAATAAATTAATATTGTGCTTTGGATTCTTGGTAGCGAGAAGGGAGTCCCTTTGCTTAGCGGGTTGGCTGCTCTAGTGCTGAACGGGAGATAGCTGATGAAAGACGGTCGCGCCGCATGCAGTTCCTCTTTCAACCTAGCCGCTATTGAAAGCCACTTCTCCTTTCGAGAAGTCACACATCGATGATCGTAAGGGAGGCAGCGAAGGCGGTCTGCTGCGTAAACATACCATAGGCCGGCAAATTTTATCCTTTCTGGGACACACTAGTTCGGTGGCGATTCCGTCGGTTTTCTTGGTCCCGAATTCTCTTTTGACGTCTTTCAGAACGTCCCACGCAGGGTCAATCTCCTTGCCACCTTCTAACCATATATAATTGCCTCCAGAACGCTGTCAAAAGATGTCAGATGCCTCGACGGAAACGCCCATACGTTCCCAAAATCAAAGGTTGTTACGAATGTTCCCAGCGTCGAATCCATTGTGACAGGACGCAGCCGAAATGTGCGAAATGTGTTGCTAGAGGCATCCCCTGCAGTGGACTGGGCATCAGGTACAGGTTCATTGATGATGCCGTCCCGAGTTCTTCTCTATCCCAATCACGCGTTTCTTCCGGGGTTTACAATAGTGGATCAAGTAATCCGTCGTCTCAAGGCCCGTTACAAGAGAAGCGACGTACTTCTCATAATGAAGAAGAGTCCTCTTTAGTCGACGAAGACTTTTCTTTGATTCCCAAGCCTGCTGGAGACCTGTCACTGCAGCTACTGACTCCTTTACCGGTGTGGGAGGAAAACCTGCTCGATCATTTCTCGCGCACGATTGCTCCGGAAATGGTGGCGATCGATGACGAGCACAATGGCTGGCGGAGGCTGGTTCTCCCCCTCGCGCACGATGATGAGCTGATCAGAGACGCAGTCCTGTCGGCTTCCGCGTACCACTATTCTACGAGTGTGTCGCCGCAGTCCATCATGCCCACCAATATTTACTACCAAGCCATTGGCAAACTTCGGAGGCGGCAAGATCTTGAGCAATACGATATCGCAGGAAAGCAGGCTGTGGTGTTGTCGTTGCTGGTGTTCTTGGCCACCGTTCTTGTCAGCGGCTCCTCTGATTTTCGCATCATCCTGAAGCTACTGGAGGCAGCCGTGCAAGCTGTGGGCGGGGAAGAGAGGTTGAATGTCGGGGAACTTGGCATTTTCCTGGTCCGGCAGATACGAAAGTGAGTACTTGCCAGTGCGCCTCCTCATCTCTATCGGCTTGCTCATCGTGCACAGGTTCCGTAATTACGCCTCGCCGCTCCTCAGTCAAGCACAGGGTCTCGCAGTGTTATCCCAAACGTCGGCGTTGCTCCGCCCCTCGAAATCGCGTGGCTGGGACGATTTCACAGCCCTCTACAACAAATACCCAGAACATCAAAAGTCCATGTCCATCGTCTACGACCTGAACGAGCAGGTCTGCAACATCTACGTCCAGAGAGCACGCTCCGGGCCCAACGGACCACCATTGACTGACGAGGTCAACCAGTTCAGGTCCACACTGGACACTTTCCCGTCCGGACCGCTGTCAGAGAACGTTCTCACCTGGCCCATCTTCATCGCGGCCCTCGAGAGCACGACTCCGGAGCAACAACAGTATTTCACCCAACGCCTCCTCGCTCACCACAGCCGCAGCGGCTTTGCCAACATCCTCACCGGCGTCGAGCAGTTGAAATGGGTGTGGAACAATGACAACCGCACAAATTGGACGCAGTTGCTGCCGGACTTCGAGGCCTTTATTGTATAAGGTATAGTTCGTCTACTGAGGTAGCAACCACCATAAGAGGGCCTCGGAACCAGATGTCATAGGGCTGCTCAAAGATTTCCTCCTGGAGTAGTTTCTCTATCAGCTCTTCTTTCTCGAGCATGAGACGTTGTGCGCTGGCGCCGTCACGGTATACGCGCTCATAGTAGTCGAGGCACCTTTTGAAGGAGACCACTCGTTCGCTACTCGTGTCGACCTCGAGTTCCTACCACAAGTCAGTCGCTCCTGGGGGCCAGAAAACTCATCTCGGGAAACTCACCCACGCAGAATCCGCCCATGATGAGGAGGAGGAGCCGGTGACTCGGGCCCACAGCCTCAGTCGATACAACTCCCGGAGCTCTATCAAGCGCTCCGAGGCGTATTCACTTGTCTGCATCGCATTCCAGCCCCTCTCATGTGGCACAACAGTCCAGGTGCTCCTAAGGTAGCGCCACAGACGCACATTCGGCCTCACCACCTGTCCCACCACCGAAGCCGGCTCCGCTTGCCACGCCTCCCGCAAGCCCCGTCTCAAAAGCCAAAGCCCCTCCAAATTAAACTCGAACCGCCGCCACTTCACCACCTCCAGTCCCGTCAACCGACTCATCAGATTCCTCAACGGCACATCCACCGCCACCTCGTCCATCTCCAACCCTCCAACCCGCTCACAAAACACCCTTGGCAACCGTTTCGTCCCCGCATGCGGCCTGTCACTGCGCTTCACAGGAAACTCCAGAAACCTCCCACAGGGCGACCACCCGATCGCGGCGAACCATTCGCCGTGCCAGTCGCACTCGCTTTTGCCGCGGACCTCGATGCTTAGCGATGCGGAAGAGTGCCGGTAGATGAGGGGCGCGTATTCGGTGCGGATCTGTCGGCAGATGGCTAGGAAGGGGCGTGTGGAGTTGCGGATCGTGGGCGGGAGGCTGTCCGAGGCGGCTTTTTGGTGGGAGACGTCGGTTTTCTGGGCGACGATGGTGACGGCGTTGCTGGTGGGGGTGTGTAGGTGGTGGTAGATGTGTGTGCGGATCTCTGGGGGGAGGGTTAGGAGCGTGAGTGGCGTTGCTGCTGCTGCTGCTGTTGCTGGTGGAGGCGACGGCGGTGGATGTGGTATGGTGAATGAAAGGTGGGCAGAGGTGGCCATGTCTGGTGACTTTGCCGCTGTGTTAAGAGGCAGTACGGACGGGAAGTAGAGGTTTGTTGTGTGAAGGAAATACTATCGAGCCTTGGAGGAGGGGAGGGACGTCCAATGCCAACTAGGCAGCCACGAAAGTCGAAGAGGATCTGCCAAGGAAATACCCGAGTCCGAGTCGGGGAATCTCATTCGAATCCGGCATAGTTGCGGGGGAACGAGCCTTGTCCCTACCAAAGTTGCTGGATAGTTCGGCCAAGGTTGCGAATGGATCTGGAGTGGTGTCGCATGCTCTCATGCTCTCATGCGGGCTTTCGATTGAGACTGGGCCCATGTGTAGCCAGCGAACAGCAATGGACGTTGACAAAAACACGTCGCAAAGAGGCTTCATGTCTCAGCTGTATAGGATGGCAGATGCTGGTGATCAGAGGAAGCAAGACGGGAGAAGGTGGAATTGGAACAAGGTTGCTGTCAAGTCGGTGGATTGGTGGACTGGTGAAGATGACCAGCAGAGGTCTGTCTTGGCATTGTGGCCTCGCAGTAGGTAAATGAGCAGAATCACACCTAACCGCAATGTATGTGAGGTAGACTCGAACCCCGGCAAGAGCTGATCCACATTCGATACTATAATAGCAAAAGTATTTGCTTTTATTACTTCTGTATATCACGTTTCTGGGCCAATGTCGTCTCGCCCATTCATAAGCTAGGCCTCTTTCAAGTACTCGTATGCCTGCTGGAAAGCCGACTGATTGGGTTCGCACAAGGTTCCATCTTCCGGGATAGTGCCGTTGATGAAGTACGCTCGGATGACTTGATCAGTGCACGTCGAGGGATGGTTGTCCACACCATGACCATGCCCTCCATGTATCAACAGCCCACTACCTTCCCAGGCCTCGTGTACCTTTCTTGCGTACGCCATCGGAGTGATAGGATCCGCAAGGCCATTTGCGAACAATATGGGAGACTTTGTCCGCGCAGTGAAGGGTCCAGTGTATCGTTCGGCTGGTTCGAGACGCCATGCGGGGCATGCCCACATGAGCGGCATGTAGCCGTCGGCCAAAGTACTGGATGCTTGCTGCTCCTCGACATAGGAGTAGATCTCGCGGGCTTCTGCGGCGCGCACGGTACCGTCCAAACAAGAAATACCAAACAGCGAATGAGCACCGGCTTGAGCCATTATCTCTTGCCGATCGACTGGAGGGGAGACATCTGGTGGCTCGATGGCGCTGAAGTTCCTGGTGATAGCCGCGGTAAGAACACTGTCGAGTTCAGGGAACCTAGAGACGTAGTAGAGGGCGTTGAAAATTCGGTTCTTGAGATCTTCGTACCTCGTCACCGGCGTGAGCGCTGTATACAGTGGCTGGGCATGATAACCCAGCTCAACTGTTTCTTGAGTGCTGTATAGTTCGCTGAGGACTTTAGACAACCCAGACCGTAGGGAGCTGACTGTAGCAGACTCTGTAATATTTGCCAGGGTACACAGCTCGGGTGTGGCAAGGCACTCCTTGAAAAAGTTGTCGAGCGAGTTGTCCGTATCCAGCATGTTGTGAGTCCAGAACCCGGACATGTAGTCAGTCGGGTCCATGACAGACTCGATAAACATTCGATCGACTTTGTCCGGAAACATGGAGGCAAATGTCTGGCCGAGTATTGACCCCCACGACGCACCCCAGAATCTGAGAAGGTCGTCCTCTTGGAGAGCATGTACGATGGCTAGCATATCGCGTGCAATGAAAGCAGTCGAGATGTAACTGCCGGTCTTCTCGTTGTCTTTGTAGCATTGATCAGCGAACACTTGAGCATTCTGCCAACCTTCGTTTTCGAGCCATTCGACCATGTCACGTTGCGGCAGGTCGAGGTCGCGTTTCATGTTTGACTCTAGCATTGCTGTTGTGTTGCAAGCAAAAGGAATAGTGCGTCCTGTGCCGCGGATGTCGAAGCCAACGAGGTCGTAGTGGCCCTCGAGAACTCTGTACTACATATCAGCTCTGGTTTCTCTTTACTGGATCAACGAATTTACCTGTTCATGGAGGTATGTTGTTCGGCAACATATCTTGTGCCCAGTGCACTCGGGCCTCCAGGATTGAATATTACGCTACCAAGGGTTGGTTGCTTTGAGGCTTTGACGCGAAGTAGCTCAAGTTCTAGAGACTCAGACGAGTCCTCCTTTGTCCAATCGAGGGGGACGTCCAGTGTTGAGCATTCCACGGGAATTGTTGCATTGAAGTCGAACTCGCATGGACCCCATTGCAGTTCCGTTTGCCGAGGGCGCAAAGGATGAGCTGCGCATATACCGAGGAGAGCAGTTGATGCCAGGAAAGGAGCGGCACCGTGATACATGTTGTTGTGTATGCGGAGTGAGTAGGTATGGTCCTCTTAGCTCGAAGGACTTATTTGATATGACCTGAGTTCAATGTCGCTGAGGAGAGGAGGACATCTTTATAGCTCTCCATATCGATGCTACGCAACCACAATAGCGCATTGAACCCCAGCAGTAGGTAGAGACTACGTCATGTTCGCCTTCCTGTCAATGTTGATGTGAGCTAGCTAGCTTTCTCTACCGGCGCATATCGCCTGAAATGGCTAGACACAATGTGGCTGAATATTCAGTTTCGAGGACCAAGACTGAGTATGGCGGAAGACAGTCCCTCGAGCAGGGATCCCCATACACAAGCCATTGGCTTGTTATTGAAATTGTACAGAGCTCGTTTTTGTAAGATTGAGCTGAGTAGATAGTCTCCGAGCTCTGTTGAGATCATTGGTGCGCACGCTGTAGTCGTACCGTAGCATTTGGCGCGTGGAAGGTCAACATCATCACTGGTACAGCCCGTGTCCTAACCGTCTTGGGCAAAATCATGCGTAGCGTGTTGTAGATCTCCTGACTAATCCCGCCCCCGTTCCCGGTGAGGGGGCAAAGGTTGCAAGCCAAGAACCTTGGCTCGATTCGCGGAAAGCTTGATGGGACACAATACGTCAATACGGGCCAGCAAAGGACAACGAGCTTCGCTTTCCGATGGTCGTCGAGGAATGAACCGCAAACCAAGCAGGGCCGCGAGGTCCGAAAGACCGCATCCGTGTCTGCAAATCTTTACTACCCTTTCTTTCCACGCTCAGCAGCATTGCCGAGGTGATTGGCGTCTCGATCAATGGCCGATATCCTATGAGAGTGTGGATCGGTCCTCCACTCGCGCCTGATCTGGCGAGCTTCCAGAGGCGAAGAACTGGTATCAGTCCGATGCAAACGCACAGAGCTTAGTTATCCTTGCAATCTGCTAAACGACGCCTACGCTGCAATACCCGAATCGATCCATACAGTCATGGGCGGAGTGCCTTCAAGTCGTAGCTGTGAATACTGCCGCCGACAGAAACAAAAGGCAAGCGTTTCTCTCATATTGCCAGATACCACTGACTCGGTGAAAGTGCGACGAAGCCAAACCTCAATGCAGTAGATGCAAGCGACTCAGAATACCTTGCGTCGGTGTCGGGAAAAAACAATACGTTTTCAAAGCTCAGCCATCCAAGTATCGAACGGCTCCACGGGCTCAACCTCCTGCAACAACCTTGCTTACAGCTCAGATGCAGGACTCCACAGGACCCAGGATTGCGCACCAATTCGTCCAAGGTCTGCAAGTCAGTGACCCGAGATACGATTTATGGGTCTATGGCGCGTTCCTCGTGGAGGTTCCTCGGCGAATTGGAGCCAATGCTGCCCTCGACGCTGCAGCTGAGAGTTTCTCTACCGCTCTACCGGTCCTGCGTACGAAGGTCGTCTGCGAAGACATGCGGGCGAAGTACATCGACGCTCTGGCTGCGCTGAGGACTACACTCAACAGTCCAACTCTAGCAAGTAGCAGTTGCACTCTTTGCGCAATCTTCCTATTGGTGATCACGCAGGTAGGATATTCGCCGCTTGTTGGCTTCGACAGATACTGACATGGATGGGTATTGCAGTATTATTTGGGCATCAGAGGTACGCAAACAGCAAGCCACTCAAACGGTATTCTCCAAGTCATCCGCTACGCGTCGATGAACGAAGCGAAGAGTGAATTCGATCTGGGCTTGTTGAAGGCGATGTGTTTTGACGTCGTACGCATAGGCCACCTCCTTCCCCACCCAGCACTATTGCTGAAACCTGATCAGATATTCGACGGTCTCTTCAATCCCGCGATCGAGCCAGACGAGCACTTCTACCAGCTCATTGAAAGTTGGGAGATTCGCCGACTGGAAGTGCCTGTGCAGCAACTATCAATTACTCAGCACAACAAAATGAGTAGACCCATTGACAGCCTCAGCCTTCGCAATCTCGCAAGATTACTCCCTTCCGTGCATCGACCATCTTTGCACAACACTGAGCTCCGGTCCACTTACCAGATGGCGCTTCGCGATTTAGCAACGGTGCGAGATCGAGTCAAGATCGCACAGCGAATGCTCGACCGAAAACGGGACACTGAAGCCTCAGCAGAGGTGAAATGCCTGATTCTGCACCAAACCATGCACGGCCTCCTGCTAGCAGTATCTCTGCTCGTCAACGGCATCCTTCGTGCACTAGGACAATCTACATCGCTCCTCGCTGCCGAGTCCACTCAACTTACCCAGGAAGTTTTGGATCTCGCGACGGCTTGCTGCCGGTACAGACCTCTGGGAGCAAGCTATATACCTCTGTGCCTGCTGGTCGCGTGCGCCGTCTCGGAAGCTGAAGATTTGAGGCCTCGCCTGGCAGAGCTGCTTGAGGACTGGCAGGCCGACTTTTCGGCAAAGGGGTACCTGGAGGGGGTGGGCTGGTTGCGTACACGGCTTCGCGATATTCGATATGGGAGAGAAGACGTTCTGGTTGAAGGTTACGATTGACTCAGGTCGATATTGGACTTATGAGTACAATTCGAAGGACTCGGGATTTATCACATTTACGTACCACCGTCGAGGACCACCTTGTTCTGGACTCCGAAGCTTGGCACCGGGTGGCGTCTTGGAGGACTGCTGCTACATCATAGCGGGACATGGTCGGTATCGACTTGTGTTCACGTGTAGGCATCTCCTATCTGCGAGGCGCTGCGGTACCGCTCTCGATCTTTCGTTGTTTCTCCGTGGACTCTCCGGTGAAGTGGCGAATAAGATTCTGTCCAGATTCGGATGAGAGCGCTCTATGCAGGAATGGGACCGCCAGTGCTGCCCCAGCCATAGCCAAAAGCGTCCTCTGTTCCTTCTTTCCTCGCCTCTCAACGTCTTCGCTGGGTCGGTTGCGGCGAATGTATATCATAGAGTCGTCGCTAGACGGAAGAGAAGGAGTAGGAGAGGCTAAGTATGCATGTGAAGCGGCGGTGATATCGATCGTACGAATCCACCACGTGCTTGTCGACTCGTCTTCACTGCTACCCGGTGGCGCAAGGCAACGCGTCATGCCGATCTTGATGTCCAGGTCAAGACCTGCTCGCATCTTGAACGTGCGCTGGGATATTTCTTTAGATTCTGCATCGCGTATGATACTCACTGAATCGACGGGAAGGCCACTTCCGTCGTAGACGTGGGCTACGTCGTGGTGATGCGGTTTGTTTGCGTACTTGAACTTGCCGTATTTAGACCCATGCTTCATCCATTGATCGTTGAAGAACCCTAAGTCGGGTCTCGAATGGCCGGCTCCAATACTTTGCCGCGGCAGTTTGTTCGGGCTGGGTGCGAGGTTGAAAGGGGTTGGGCCCCATAATGTCGTTCTAGTCCCAAGGAGAATCACCGGTGAAAAGTCGCCGTCAAACCCGATCTTGATCCATCGAACCTGGCCCAGTGATGTGTTGCGCTGCCGTTTTGGGAGGTAGACGATGCCTGCAGTACTTGTTGTTCCACTGGCTATATCAAAGACCCAACCCTTGTTGGACTCGTGCTCTGTCGGACGATTTGACCAGACCAAGGATCGACGCACTTCTGTTGGGCTGAGACCAGGGATGTCCAATGTTCTGAGCCAAAATCCGTAGCGTTCATTCACCGCCGGCCCAGGGCGTTGCTGGACACAGATATTCTGCACCTTCCAGTCCCGATCGGAGTCCCCACGACGTATGGCCTGAATGCTGGCATCACCTACACGAACGCGAGCAAACTGGGAGGTGTCAGCCAAACGCTCCACGAATATGGCGAATTGGTCCCTTGGCAACCGTTCATCGACACAGTCGAGCAACGCAAGATAGGTTCTACCAGCATAAGGCTTCGTGCACATCTGGAGTGTCAGACCCACATTCTTGAATCCATATCCCTCTGGATTGAATATCACAGGAGAGGGAGACCGGACAACATGTCCACTGTCGGCGAACGCATCAGGAGTCGTGGCCAAGAGGCCGCAGTGTCCACGGCCCTTAGTTGGTAGCGCACGGGTCCAGGCGAAAATTGTCTGGTCGTCCGAGTGTTCCATAATGGCCTTCTGGAGGGTCACAAAAGCATTTTGCGCGTCGGACATGCCATACAGCATCGGTAAGTTGACATCGAAGATACCCAGGAGACTGTATGCTCGATCTTCTGGCCTCTTTGTCGTACGCCCGGCGGCCCACGACATACGCTGGGCGATGGAACAGGTGTCAGGTGGGTCGCCCAGCAGCACTCTCCATGGAATACGGGTTATGTTTGAGATGTGTTCTTTGAGCTCTCGTTTTGTCCCAATATAGTGCCAGTCGCGGCCGAAGAATTCCATCCAGCGTGGGGCAATGAGCTCCTGGAGCGTCCAACCGCGAGTAAACCTGTTACGACAAGTCATCAGCAGTCCGAGATTCAATTTTGATCTCCTCCCAGTAGGTTGATCAAGGAAGGCCATACTCACCAACGGCATGTCTGTAATCGTTCGCGAAGATGACGATGCCCATTACTTGCTGCTGAGTCAAAATCGCTTAAATATGCGATACATATACCAGCTTGCTGATACAATTTGTACATGGAGTTGATGGCCTCGGCCAGCTCAGTCGTGCTCGTTTTATTGATACAGCAGGTGTCCATCCAGGCATAATTGTATCCTTTTGACTTCGCAATGGAACAGAAGTTTACAAGTTTGGCGTAGCCAGGTTTTCTCTCCAAAACCCTCGTTTCCATTGGAAAATCGGAAAAGAGAACCTCGTGCTCGGGTCTTGATTCCCATGTGTGAGAAAGTACAGCATATGGTGGAATGTCGTTGTCGTTGAACTCCTCCAGACCTATTGAAAGTATAGCTGTCGTTGAGGTCTCATTGTTCTTGATCTCGCCCGGACGAGCTTCACGCGTTTTAAGGCGTAATAACTTCATTCTAGGCGGAACGAAACTGAGAAGTGTACTTGTTGGGACCACGTACGGCTAGGCTGACTGACGGCGAGCGGTAATCAGCCATGTTGCATCCAGTATCGGCAGGAGCGTGCCCGTTTCCTTGGAAGTGACAAAGGACTATGCATGATGCATCTTTGAACATAGTTTCGATGGTGTAGAAAATAGAAAGGGAGCCATGGCATGCAAGAAGACAAAAGGGTTATGAGGCTGAGATTGTCAAGGGAAGAGATCTTTGGGGTTAGGTCTATCCAAAGTCCTCAGAGGCACTTTGGACCACTTCGGGGCTGAGTCGAGCTAGTGCCAGGGCACAGATGCTGTGTGGACGCGTGCCGCCGGAGAAGTGATGTCAGTACGTAACCGCCAATGATGGGCTGTTTGCTCTGCACACCGACAAAGGGAACTGCATGAATCTGCGAAAGAACACGAGGAGCGGCAGATTTCCCCTCTGGAACATGATCTGGGCTGTCATGCTCGTTCAACCAGCAGTCAATGCTGGAATTCATTATTGTCATCAGTTTGACCAATTTCGCAACCCGAGTAAGCCTTACAAAGAAGTGAAGGCGGTGTTCAAAAAGTGAATGGTAATTGTTGAGATTTGGCCGCTGGGGCGACAGCAGCAACCCGGCTCTGCTGGTCGGGCTTTCCCCCTTGCCACAGATCTAAAGCGGGGTGACGCCGGACGGCTATTCTTACCGCATTGCTCGCAAAAGTTGGGCGGCTCTACTTTGCCATCGAGCACAGTGTGCTGCAAAAAGGAACACGATGCGGATGGAAGTTGGAAAGCTGCTAGCAGGTAGGGCTGCCCCTAGAGGTGTTACAGAGTGGAAAGGCACTATGCAGCAGTTATGGCCGTGAAGCTATTAGGTCATCAGTATTAACGTATGTGGGTATCAAGTGCGCGGTCGATGCCAGACCAACTCCTGTGGCTCAAATAACAATATTTCGAGCAACCAAGTACGCTTATCAATCTCAGTCTCTGGTAATCTCCTTTCAATCATGTTTTTGCGGCTCTTTACATGGCCTTTTGGACCATTCCCGGACGTCAGTGATCCAACTGTGCGGTCACTTTGACCAAGCACCGACGGAGGGGCCTGGTTCAGTCCGAACCTAGACGCGCGAGCGACCGAACCAGCCACGACGCTGACGACTATATCTTTGGTCAGTGTATGATTACAAGCCTGTCGGAACTTCGACATACGGTGCATCAACGGCGACCTTGCGTCTCTCTCGCCGAGTGAACCAGATACCAACAATGGCGCTAGTGAGCCAGAAGACAGCACTCAGGAATGCAAAGGCTTGTACAGCACGCCACCTGTTGCAAGTGCCGCCGCGCGTTATGCCGTTCCAGTCGAAGGCGCGGGCGTCGCAGGACCCGCGAGTAAACTGGACGAGCAGGCCAAAGGCAGCAAACCAACATAGAGAGAGGAAGATGTCGACGGCCCAGGTGAAGAAGCCGCGGGAGAAGGGGATCAGCCAGATGACGCCTAGCAGCATAGAGATGGCAGCAACGACGATGGTGTAGATGAAGCGGGCATGAGGCCTGTAGCAGGTCAACGGATGAGTGATGGGAGAGCAGGGGGACCTGCGCTTACCAGTTGTCGGAAGACGAATTCCTATCCATGTAGGACCCAATGATGCCGGCGACCACTGCAGCAAAGGCGATTTCGCCAATGCGCAGAGGAATAGAGATCATGCGCGAAAGGACGGGCATGGTCGCGGTGGAAGATTAGACTGGACTTGGTGTGGCTGTGGTTCGGGCTCAAACGCGATACTGAAGCAGTGGAAGGAAGACTTGAACACACCACCGGCCGTGTGGGTTAAGTATTCAAGTTTCGCGGTCGTTGATTGCGGTGACACGACGCACTGCCAACGTGACCCAACGATGACTTACCTTGATTGCACCCCATCACCCCATACGTCACTCGCTTCGTGGCATTGAGGCACGAGACGCGTCGACTCCCAAGCCAAGAGCAAACAAGGCGGGCTCCTGCTCCGCTCCAGAGCCTCATGGGACTCCACAAAGCAGGTTTTTGCCTGCCCAGCCACGAGACTGGTTCCGGTAGCCGCTCCCCGCAACCTGATTCCAGGTTTCCTCCGAGAGCGACAGGCATCGGCATTTGTTGCTGGATGACCGGGGTGGCCACAGATGGTGCTTGTCGCTCGCCACAGAGCGGGCGTCAAGAGTTATTGGGAGAGTTTTCCGTGCCGGCATACGGCGAGAGAAAAGAGATTAAATTGTCGACGTTGAGTGTGATTGCCTTGTTTTAGGCGGGCGACGTCATTCTGGGCGGGGCCTCTGGGCATCCCGGGCGCCTCTGCCGCCGCTAATCACGGGTGATAAAGCCTATCGACACCTACAACTCGTGTCCGGCTGGCAGCTCATTTCCTTTCAAGGTCTTGTCTCGCGGCCTGCATGGGTCATCGAATGCATAATAAATTGCTGTACAGGTAGATAGCGTGGAGACCTGGGGGCGTGCGCTGTCGACAGTCGCGTGACCGCTGTTCTGGCTTGGCCGAAAGATACCTAACGACGGAGCCCGCCATAACTTCAGCCACGAACACCAAGCAACAACACGCTTGGCCGCCACCTCATCAACCGATGCGCCCATCAATGATTGTAGTTTGTACCTCAAAAGAGCTGTCTCCATCTTCCAGCCTTGACACTGAGCACGACCAGCAATATTCAAGATGTGTCAGGGAAAGTTGATATGTGTTTGTTTCTTATTGGCGACACGGCTTGACCAAGGTGGTGTCCACCACCTCTCATCTGCGTGGCACTGCTGTACTTGCCTACCATCCTACAGCTATCTACTGTAGGTATGTCGCTTTTCGATCGACGAGACTCGTCAAGAAAATGCACATTGCAGTTTGAAAGCTTCGTGAGTTCACGATAATGCCATCTATGTGACAGAAGACGATGTCGGCAAATGGCGGAACCCCCAAGACAGATGCTAATGCAGCGCCCTGAACAGACCAGGCGCTAGAGGTACGCACGCTCGAAGCTAGAAACCACCCCTCATTGCTCGTCTCTCGTCCCTTATCTGTACCGCTACAACCACGATGCCGTCTGTCAAGGTCGTTTTTGGCGCGCATGCGATTGGGGACCCCGCCGACCCACTGACAGGCTTTGCCACTCCAGAAGCCGCTCAGTCTGCGTTGAATATATGTCGCAAGCATGGCTGCACCATTATCGACTCGGCAAGAGGACATCCGCCTCAGTGAGCCATGCACAGTTGAACAGAGCCCCTGTCTGACCTGTAGAGTGTCCCTCACACATCCGAACCCCTCCTGGGCCAGACCGATGTCGCCACTTGGGCTACCATTGACAGCAAGGTCGACTCGGTCTACCCTGGCGATCACAGCGCCGATAGGATCGCCGCCTCAATCGACGCTATTCTGAAAGACCTAAACGTGCCCTCCGTCAACGTCCTATACCTGCACATCCCCGACCGCAGCGTGCCACTCAAGGAAACCCTGCAGGCCCTCGACACCGCCCACAAAGCCGGCAAGTTCAAGGAACTTGGCATCTCTAACTACGAACCTGACGAAGTATCACCCCTTTCTCACTCCTGCCCAGCCTTCGCGCCACGTCCAGACCAAACTGACTCCCCCGTCTACAGGTCCTCGACATCCTCCACCTCTGCCGCACCAACAACTACCTCCCGCCCACAGTCTACCAAGGCCAATACAACGCCATCGTCCGCTCCATCACCCCCACCCTTCTCCCCATCCTCCGCGCCCACAACATCCGCCTCTACGCCTGGTCCCCCGGCTGCGCCGGCTTCTTCCACCGCGGCGCCCGCCACCGCCACACCTCCAACTCCCGCATCGGCCAGGCCCTGAGCTCCATCTACAGCAAACCCTCTTTCACTCACGCCCTCGAGAATTTCCACGCCGCGGCCGACAGAGCTGGTGGCGTCGAGGGTCACGAGGTCGCACTGCGGTGGCTGCGCTTCCACAGCGAGCTGAGCGGCGAGGCTGGGGATGGGATCGTCTTTGGGGCGAGGACGGAGGCGCAAGTGGAGGGGAGTTTGACGGCGTTGGAGAAGGGCCCGTTGAGCGAAGAGTTGGTGGCTGCGGTGGAGAGGTGTTTTGAGGAGGTGAAGGGGGATGTGCCGTATTTCAATCCGTTTAGGGATGATGAGAAGGCCTGGGCGCGGTCCTGAGATGGGGAACTAATCGACAAAAGTTTGACCCAGGGGGGGGGGGGGGGGGGCTTCCGTAAGGGGGTAGCTGTAGTATAGACTCAAAGATTGAGGCTACGTACATAAAATCATCAACTAGGTATACTCCCATCTACAGCGCGGTCTGGCCCCCAAACCCCAGCACAGGCCCCATCATCAGCGCCTCACACTTCTCCCCTGCCTCCAACACCCCCTCCCTCTGCGGCAGCTCCAGCAGCGCATTCGCGCTCGCCAGACTCCCCACGCGACTCGAGCGCTGCATGCCCGTGCTCCTCGCCACGAGCGCCCCATCCCTCGCCCCACTGACCACCACCCGATGATACTCGACGCGCGCCTTATCGCAGCGCACCTTCTCCGCCAGTGTGACGAGCACGCGCTCCAACCCCCTCCCCCCCTCCTGCAGCCCACTCATTTTCTGCAGGCACGGCAACAGGAACAGATTCGCCGTCACGATCGCGCTCGCCGGGTTGCCGGGGAGGCCGAAGAGGAGGCGCTCGGAGCGCGCCCCGTCCGCGGTGCCCTTGAAGGGCACGGACGCGAAGGTGGTGGGCTTCCCCGGCTTCATGCTCACGCGGCCAAAGTGCACGGTGCCGCCCATGGCACGCTCGACCGTGGGTTTCAGCAGGTCCAGCTCGCCCATGCTGACGCCGCCGGTCGTGACGAGGACGTCGACGTCGGCGGTGCGCAGGGCGTCGCGGAGCCGGCGCTCGAGCTCGCCTTCGGGCGTGTCGCGCGCGACGCCCAGGTCGAGGACTTCTTCGCACAGGCCCCAGCCGCGGATCAGGCTGAGCAGGCTCGGGCGGTTGCTGTCGCGGATCATGCCGCCTTGCAGCTCGCCCGGGAAGGAGATGTCGGTGACTTCGTCGCCCGTGCTCATCACGCCCACGCGCGGTCGGCGGTAGGTTGGCACGTCTTTGATGCCCGCCGCAGCCAATACGCCTACCTCGCCGCCAATGGCGCTGATGCGTTGGCCCTTGCGTAGGATGACGCTGCCCAGTGAAATGTCGCTGCCGGGCTCGCGCACATTCTCGCCTTTCTCCAAGGCATCAGTAAGGATCTCGACCGTCGCCTCCTCTTTCCGGTCTTCGGTCGTGCTGGCGACTACTGTATCTTCGACCATGACAACTGCGTCGGCGCCTTCCGGTAGTGGAGCGCCAGTCGTGATGCGCGCGATTTGTCCTTCTTGGAGTGGTGGTGGCATGGAGGAAGCCTGAGCGTGCGATACGGAGGCGACTGGGAATGTCCCCTTGAGCTTGGTCTTGTCCGAGGGGACGATCACGGCGTAGCCATCGACGATGCTGGCGCGGTAAGCGGGGACAGCTTCGGAAGCGGCAATGTCGGAGGAGATCACAGCACCAACAATATCAGGGGTAAGAGGATGTGAGACTGGGATAGGTGCGGGACTTTTAGAGAGAATGGTTGACACTGCGTCGGTAACAGTGAGCATTGGGTAAGGAGAGGAGCGTGCTCGTGCAGTAGCTCCAAGCGCAGGATCGTTAGACTGTGGGCGCTGAGACGGATCCGTGCGTGGCTTTGGCGCTTTATGACCACCATGACTGTGGTCGTGGTGGTGGTCATGAGTATGAGAGTGGGAATGAGAATGGCCGCCAGCTGAAGTCGCGGAAACGCCGGCGTCCCTCTCAAGCTTCTTCACACCACCAGCGTGTGCGGTCCTAGAGTCTTCGCCAGCAGCTTGCATGCAGGCGTGGGGTAGAAGCTTCAGCACCGCTTGCAGATTCTCCTTGGCGCCTTTCGGTGAGCCGGGTAGGGTGATGATGATGGTCTTCCTGCGGACACCAGCTACCGGTCGAGACATCATGGCAAAGGGTGTGACCTCGAACGATGTCCGGAGCATGGCGTGAACAAGGCCCGGAGCTTCACGATCGAGCAATGGGGAGACAGCCTCGGGCGTAAAATCCTTGACGGCGAAGCCGGTGCCACCAGTCGTGACTATCAAGTTGGCGCGATTCTCCCCATCTGTCCATCTTCGAATCGCACGCTGGATCTGTGAAATATCGTCTGGAACGATCTCGACCGAAGGCTCCTCAAATTTGCCTGCTGCATCAGCTGCAAATGCCTGTTTGAGTACATCTCCGCTCCGATCTGTGGTTGGGTCCGCAGCTGCAGTGTCCGAGACTATGATTACTACTGTTCTCAAGAGGGACATCTTTACGCTTGAAAGACCTGGGCCGGCGACACAGGTGATGAGGGAGGTCTTGTGTATCTCAAGCTTAGGCGAGTCCAGCACGTGCGAAGTCGCGCGAAGGTGACGAGGCTATCTCCGCTCAGTTGTTCAACAGTCTTGGCAAGACCCACCTGCAAGGCTGCCACTCTGAACAAGGCAACACATTCCATTTGCCTAACACACCTGAGATGGGCTCTAGCTAACAGCATGCGCTGTGACGGAGACAGAGGGCATTTGATGGCCTACTCCGATCGCGTTGATCCCCAGGGTCTCATGGTCATCGACTTGTGCATCGACTTATCCGAATACTCTTTGGAGACTCTGTAGGCGCTGGCTGTAAGTTGCCAATCCTTCCCACGGCACTCGCGGCTGCCACGGAACTGGTTACAATTTCAACATGCCCTCGTCCTACTTGACCAACACTCAGCTCGGTGGAGCGAGATTGCAATCAATGGATCAGCTGGTCTCGGAGAAAAGCAACGTGCCGACAAGGCGCCCGGGCTGCTCGCCGAACACCACTTTGCAGTACGAAAAGTTCTCGGCTGCATGGCAGACGAATGAGTCAAAGCCATCGACTCTCGAACGCAGTGAGAAGCGCAGATAAAGGGGCTGGAGAGCCATTTGAGCGAGCTGTAGGGGTCCCTAGTGGACTGACATGGTCCAGTGCTCATCATGATGCAGACTAGATCAGAATAAGCAGAGAGCAATCCTACATACCTTTCAGATAGCCTGGTGCCCAGTGGCATACTGATTCAGAACATGTCACCATGCGGCTTGAAGACAGACTTCGCTTCTCTCCAATCGCAACGTGTCCAAGCTGAACCCAACTGAGGGCACCTCTACATCACTCACAAGGCTCGGTGTATCAGTGGGTATTGTGATATGATGGAGAGGTTGCATATGCTTCACCGACTGCGCTTCCTGGTGTAGTGAAGCCGCTAGTGCCGGAAAGAGCCACCCGTCAGGCTGCATTGTGTTTAGTGCTTTCGACCGAAGAACCGCCTTCTGCCTTTTTGGAATTCCATTCTCTCCAGTTGCCTTCGTTGTTAAGCATCCGGCTTAGTTCTCAATACAGCCTTTACAACACACCGAAGATCGCTTTGGTGAATCCATCCATCAGGCGGCATGGCGTCCAACGAAGACGAAGAACAACGCAAAGAAAGCGAGTCGCCTTTCTGGATTTGTGGAATTGAAAACAAGTTGTGGGAGGTCTCTCAAAAGACGTCAATGTGAGGTCGCGCCAGCGAACTTGTGTCTCGCTTACTCCTAGCCAGGAATCTTTTCAACGACGATAGATACTCCGATCTCACCATCACCTGTCGAGGACGCACCTTCAAACTCCACCGAGTGATCCTCGCATCGCAATGCCAATGCTTCTCCGCCTGCTGTACAGGTGGACCCCGAGTCAGTCCGAGAGAACTCGGCCACTCTTACTGTTACTAAGATGTAAAACATAGGAGTCAGACTCCATGGTAATCAATATGGAGGACGACGAGCCAGACGCCCTGGCGTCCCTCCTCAAATACCTGTACACGCTGGATTCCAATCACATTAAGATCGGGCATGTTACGCATACCGAGCTGCCGGATGATTACTTCCATCACCTAGTGCAAGTCTGGATCTTGGCGGACAAGCACGATGTCCCACTTCTGAGGGCCGAGCTTTGCACGATAGTCAGTGGCAGTGATGAAGAAGATGGCCTTTCCTGCTGTGCAGAATGCTGGACAGAAGATGAAAGCAAAGATGATGCTTGCATCACGTTTCATCGATATGCCATGCAAGGCCTGGAAGCGTTGGGCGTGGCGAAAGAGGCCTTTCCTCCGACAGGTTCCCCTTGGCATGGGACCTGATTCCAGAAGGGTCTCGCAGATGCAGTTCGACGTTCGACTGACTTTCTCGGGTGGCTTGCATACGACCGATGCAGAAAGTTCGGGAAAGAAGAGCTCGGCCAGGTTGAAAAGCTCATCTCAAGATGCCCACCAGCAACATAAGAGCTTCTGTGTTACATGGTAATGGAGAGGGACGACCACAATAACAAGCGCGAACAACTCCGGGCAAGAATCTCGGCCCTAGAAGATCAAGTCACAGATCTTGGTGCCACTCCAGTTACGTCCGTGTCCATAAGCGCTACGTGCTTGGCTGAGATTGCAGCAAGAGCGTCGGTGGAAAAGCATCATAAGTCAATGGAGCAGGACAGAGCGGACATCTCTTTGGACTTCAAGTGACCGATGGGGAATTTGATTCATAACCATCCATTATTTCGCTCTTGAGGCAAGCATGTCGCGAGTTGAGAAAACGCCACGGAAATATAGGTAGAAGTGTCCACAGAGAACTGGCCAAAATACTCATTCAACATACGTGGTACACGGAAGTACTAGCTAGGCTAACAGCCAGGCAATCGACACGCAGAGCAAGGGGGAAAGAGAGTCGATCAACAGCTACAGCTGCAGAAGACGCCAGTGCAGAAACCTCGTTTGCGCTTAACTAAGCCAGTCACCAAATATCGAGACGATACTTTCCCACCATTTCGCTCCCTCTAGTGCCCACCACCCCCCAAAATAGTACCCGAGTTGTCCAGACACGAGAACGCACCACCTGCCAGATCAATTAGCAACTCACTCCAAAACCAAGCACCACAGGAACACTCACCAACAGTCCCGTTGTTATACGCATTGATAATGCTTTGAATACTCCCATACGTGCCACCCACACACAAGAACGCGCCAAACAGCATCAACAGCGCATGTAGCCCATACAACATCTTCTGCACCGCCGTCCCCCTCTTGTAGTGCGGGTGATCGTACATCCAGATCCAGGCGGGCACGCACAGCGCCAAAGGCGCGAAGCAGAAACTGCCCGTGATGGCGACCAGGTAGTTGAAGACGGGAATGGCCTGCGCGAGTACGAAGGCGATGGCTGCGAGGCCGAAGGTGCAGCTTAGCCAGGTGGACCAGTGCACCAAGGAGTTGGATTGCAGGTGGCGCGAGTTACGGAGGAGGCGCACGAAGAGGTATTTGGCTGCGACGTGGCTGTGGGGAGGGAGGGAGGGGGCCGTTAGTGAGGGTGGTCTTCTGGTGTGGGAGAGGGGAGGAGGGAGTTGGTTGACGTTGTGTTTGGGGCAGAGGCTGGGACGGAAGGGGGAGACTTACTTGTAGAAGGCGCCGGAGACGATGAGGCCAATGAGGCCGACGCCGTAGCAGACTTTCTTGATGGTCGGGCCGGCGGATCCCAAGGCGGGAGCGGTGATCCAGTGGCCGCACCAGGCGTAGATGACAGACGCAAACGTGATATAGGATACGGTCACGAATGCCATGCACACGTACAAGGCCTTGTTGAAGTCTTGCGGCCGGCGCATCTCGGCGATGACGGGGATGAAGGCCGAGGTGCCGGCGGAAGAGACGAAGATGGTCGTCGTGGCGACCATGCCACCGTAGAACGTAGTGCTGCCGATGGCGTGGTATCCCAGCTCATAGTCTCCTGTCGCGGGAGCGGCGGCCGGTCGATCGACCTGTGTCACCGCGACCACCAGGATGAATACGGCGGCATAGATTGATATGAAGCCAGCCCAACCGACCCAACCGAGGTTTTGAAACGTGCGAACGGAGGCAGAAAGAGCCACAATGATCATCGACACGAAGGAGAACCAGACGGTACAGGCACCATGGTCGGAGAGGGCGTTGAAGGCCACGCTGCTGCCGTTGATACCGGCACCGGCACACAAGACCCAAGCAATGATGTACAGGGCGCCGAAGAGCTCTCGCACGAGTGGGCCGCCGACCACGCCGATCATATCAGCGACAGAGTGGCAGCTAGGGTGTTTATTGCGGAAATCGCCTTGGATCTTGCCGACGTAACAATTGAGCATCCCGAAGCCGAGCAGGACCAGCGCGCCTCCGACGGCGCCGATCGAGTACATGGCCGCGGGGATACTCAGAACACCGGTGGCGAAGAGGATCTTGAGGAAGAGGATGGCGGCGCGTGGCCAGGTGACGGTTCGGAAATCGACGCCATCCTCGGTGATCTGGAAGACCTCTTGCTCAGAGCCGTCCTCTTTGAGAATCTCAGGTGGCTCACTGCCAGGGCTGCGGACGGGGCCAATCTTCTCTGGGTCTTGCTTGCTATCCATGGCGTTGGTATGTCAGCTGGGGTGTAAGAGCGTCAGAATCGTAAGTAAGACGGGGGGTGGGCCGCCTCTCATATACCACGTTTATTTGCGACGGCTAATCAAGATAGCCAGAGATAAGGCATGATACCAACGATGAGCTTGGTATGCTTAGCTGTGTCTCTAGTCATTGACAGAAGCTTGGTCACCCCGCAAAGGTAAAAGATAATGCATGGGAGAGGAGTTCGCCTGGAACGCGCGGGGGTGGGATTTCTCAAACAGGCAATAACCGAAAGACTCTTTGATATCGTATCTGACTGATGAGGCCTTCAGCACAACATCATTGGTCCACAACTTGAACGTCGCTTGTGCTTTGAGCGAGTTCCACGCGGCATATCTAACAGACGCGTCCTGGCACGTGGAGTTAGCTTGCATGGTTGATCTCACAACTGCTTCCACGCATCTGGCCCACCCGTGGCAACCTCCCATGCGTACGCCACTTTTAGGACGGTGATTTCGTCCCACCATTTGCCTATCACCTGCATGCTGACAGGCAGCTTGGTTCCCGAGCCCGCAAGAGGGCCCTCGGTTATCTCCAACATACCGATGGGCAAGGCCAGAGCCGGATGGCCGGTCTGATTCAAAGGCGCAGTATTTCCGGTCAGCCCGACTTGTTTCTGCAACTGCAAAAGGGGATTGCCGGTCGCGCCTGATTCGCCGAGCTCGGGATGAGACTTTGCAATGAAGGGTAAGGTGGGACTAACAATCACGTCGTAGGTCTTCTGCTGCTTCAAGTTGGCAAGGGTCGAGTCCGTCACAAATGTCGATATTGACGACCAGTCACCAAGTACGGCATCGTAGCCATGCCGAGCCTTGATAGAGAGATTCGTGGCTTTGCCAAACAGGCCGGGAAACTTTTGCATATCCTGTGCATAAACGCCATTGAGGTAGATATTCTTCGTGGAAGGAATGGCGTTATCCCACTTGCTTTGAGTCATAGGCCAGAGTTTCTCATTTAGGTCATTAAGCTGGTAGCCTCGCCGACCCCCTAGAGCAAGAGTCTTGTTGAGATAGCCACCAAGCTTTGAGATGCCCGTCCACACTGCACCGGCCGTGGCATGGGCAGGTACTGACACTTCTTCGACCACGGCTCCAAGTTTTCGAAACTGATCTACCGCCTTGAGAAACGACTGTTCCACTCTGGGATCCATGGCAGGAGTACGCAGACCTTCAACTAGGATACCTATCCTGTATCCCGAGAGATCTATGGGATTCTGCTGGTTTTCAAGGATCTCATGGTAGGCAGGAATCTTGTCTGGCGGTGGGGCGCCGTATGATCGATCATCGACGAAATCAGTCCCTGCTATCGCCTTGAGCAGCTTGGCGTTGCTTAAGACGTCTCGCGTCATTGGCCCCATGTGGTCGTTGGTAGGCTCATTGCTGCCGGCACCCGTCCATGGGACAAGGCCAAAGGTAGGCTTCAGGCCGACAATACCGCACCAGGCGGCTGGAACTCGTATAGAACCGCCCTGATCCGCTCCTATGGCATAGTCGACTCCGCCGTTCTCGGGCCCGAGAGCTACCAGCACTGCAGACCCTGACGAGGAGCCGCCAGACGCATAACCCTTCGCGTGTGGGTTATGCACGACTCCGGTTGATGCTGTATGCGAGGTGGCCGAATGACACAGATTCTCGCAGACAGACTTGCCCGAGACAGTTGCTCCTGCTTTCAGCATTCGGGTCACAATCGTCGCGTCGGTGCTCGGTGTGTAGTCGGTGAAGAAGCTGGTGCCCAGCAGCAATGGGACACCCGCAACTGCAATACAGTCCTTGAGAGCTACGGTCTTCCCCTTAAGTAATCCGGAGGGGTCAGGGCTCTTGTCGGATATTTCACACTTCCAAGCCCAGGCGCCATAGGCATTGTCGGCGCTCGAGGGAAAGTGGACATTCTTCCGTTCAAATCTCTGATTATCAACCTCAGGGCCGTAGTCTAGCTATCTGTGTGAGCATTGCTCTAGTCTCAAGATGAGAGAAGACGCACCTTCGGATGCCATCAACTTGGCCATGGAATCATGATAGACTGCCAAGAGATTGACATATTCAGCCTTCTCCGCATCTTTGATGGTGACGCCCAATATCTCACAAGCCCTGTCGAGGTCTTTGGTCGTCACAGGGTTGTCTTTAGACACGTCGAGCGAGAAGACAGACATGTTTGCACCTCAAAGAATGCTCAGGAAAATCCCCGATTTTTGAAAAGCAAGCTAAAGGGCAATGATAGACGCGAGAGCCACGTCTGTGAGTAGCCGTGGCTGACAGATAGGGATTTGCCAGGGTCAAGGCCATCTTGATAGATGATAGGATGAACTTGGAGATGTATCTCGAAGCTACTGCCGCTCTACCAAGCTCGAGAGAACAGGTCAACGGCGAACAACGGCGAACTTGGAGATGCGGTGTTTTCTCAAACAGGCCTAGCGCATGATACCCAATGAGGAAAGTGCGTAACTGTCGCTCTTCTCCTCCCGATAGCCGACCATCCGCCTCGGCGAGCGAGACCGATCGATGCAAGACGGTGTACTGAGGTCCTTGGCAGCAAGTCAGTGAAGAAACCCAGAGTGGACGTAAGCTCGGCGAGAAACCAGCTCAACACGGCGCCTCAACAGAACTACGTGCAGACATCATGGTCAACTTCGATCCAAAGTATGATATACAACGCGACCTCGAAGGTATGGGCAACATCGAGAGTACGTTGATGCTAGGCTGATGTCTGAAAGGCTTTGGTGAGGAATCGTTCGATCCGCAATGGCCTAACGGGGCTCGCATAGCGGTCTCGTTCGTACTCAACTACGAGTGAGTGATGCACATGGCATGATGTGAAAGCTAAGCAATTATCTAGGGAGGGTGCTGAGCGTACCTATCACAATGGCGATGGACACTCAGAGCCGTACTTGTGGGAAAAGGGCGCGTCTGGCGGGTACAAGGAGGGTGCTCCCTATGTCAATGCGGAATCGGAGTATGAATATGGTAGCCGCGTGGGTGCTTGGAGACTGCTGCGCCTCTTCAAGGAGTTTGGCTATCAGTGGACGACCTATGCTGTTGCACAGGCGATGAAAGTCAACCCACGCTTCGCTAAGGCGTGCGTCCGGGATGGCCATGAGATCGCTACCCACGGCCTCCGCTGGCTCGACATCTGGGACTACGATCTCCAGAAGGAAAAGGACTACATCATCGAAAGCCTCAAGGTCTTGAAAGAAGTCACAGGTGAGATGCCGGTCGGAGCCTACTATGGTCGCGGGACTCCCAACACCAAGGCGCTTTTCCCCGAGGCATTCAAGGAGGCCGGCTGTGAGATGCTTTGGAACTCGGAAGCATACAACGATGATGTGCCTTACTGGACCGACCTGCCGGCCGAGAAGGATTTACCAGATGATCAGAAAAAGGGCATGCTCATTATTCCTTACAACTACGACTGCAATGGTAAGTCCTCGTCCCTGACTAAGGCTCTCCGCTGATATGTAGCAGACGGCAAATTCCACATGAGCCCTGGTAAGTGATGTTCAGCATGACATTTGTCCTTTCTAAAGACCTACAGGATTCGTTGGAAGCGACATGTACGAAAAGTACCTAAAGGCCACCTTCGACATGCTATACCGAGAAGGTGGTAAGATCATGAATATACCCATGCATAGTCGCATTGTGGGGAAGCCCGGCCGCTCGGAAGCCTTACGCAACTTCATGAAGTATATTCAGGAGCACGAAGGTGTATGGGTCGCGACAAGGCGCGACATTGCGACGCATTTCCGGAGCAAGTTCCCCTACAGACCGGGTCACCGAGCGTGACGGTACACTGCCTGAACCAAGACAATGCCCATACTTTGTAATGACATATTTTTCTCTTTGAGCCTGCGAAAGCGTTGCACTCTCTCCATTCTGCACCTCTTCTGCATCGAGAGCAACTCCTCGAGCACGCCTTTGCTGTAGTTGCTCTGTTGTTGAGGTCCACGTTGGTTTCCGGACGATCACTATGGCGTCTGCACCAATGCCTCCGGTCCCTCCAGCTGCCGCCGCCGCTCCCACCGATGCAGTGGTTAGCAATAATCGCCCCGAAGTACGATTGGAAGCGCAGCCATCTGTACACACGGCACCCCATCAACGCGCGAGCTCTGCGCTCTTTACTCCTCTCTCCATAGCCAATGGACGTATCAAACTCTCGCACCGTGTCATCATGGCGCCGATGACGCGCAATCGCGGCGTACCCCTCTATGTCACCAAGCCCAACCGCGCCTGGGGACATGATGCTCTCGGTGCAACCTACTACGCACAAAGGGCGACGCCTGGAGGACTCATCATCACCGAGGGTATCTATCCGACGGTCGAAGCTTCCGCTTCTCCCTGCGTCCCGGGTCTCTTTCTCCCCGAGCAGGTTCCAGGATGGAAAAGGGTGGTAGAGGCTGTCCATGCAAAGGAAGGCTACGTCTATGCCCAGCTCTGGCATGCTGGAAGGTCTTGCTTACCACACTTCACTGGTTCAGTAGCCGTGTGTGCAAGTGCGACACCATTTGAAGGCGACCAGAGGTCTCGCTATCCTCCACCAGACGACGACACGGGCGGCCCGGGGAAAGGCGCCACTATCAAGATGAGCGACTTTCCGCCCAAGGAGATGACACACGAGGACATCAAGCGGACTATCGCGGACTACGTCAATACCGCCAAGCGAGCGGTGATGGAGTGCGGCTTTGACGGGATTGAGGTCCACGGCGGCAATGGCTACCTTGTAGAACAATTTCTCAGCACAAACATCAACCAGCGAACGGATGAATACGGGGGCACCGTTGAAGGCTACTGTCGCTTCCCATTGGAGTTGATGGTAGCGCTGGCGGACGCGGTTGGCGGAGATAATGTGGCTATCAGACTCTCCCCCTTTGGCCTGTTCCTACAATCCTACGGTGAGCAGAGGATCGAAATCTGGTCCCATTTCTGCCGCGAGCTGAGACGCAGAATTCCAACGCTGTCGTACATTCACTTTATAGAGCCCCGGTTCGAGCAGATCATCGACCCTGCCACGAAGGAGTCATACCTGAAGTCGCTCGGCGACAACATCAGCCTCCAACCTTTCCGCAAAATCATGGGCAGCACTCCCTTCGTAGTATCAGGCGGCTTCAACGACACGAACGCATGGGGAGTGGTCGAATCCGGCGCCGCAGACGCTATCAGCATCGGTCGATACTTCACGTCCAACCCCGACCTAGTCGAACGTCTAAAATCTGGGAAGACGTTGACAAAGTACGAGCGAGACCGTTTCTACTGGGTGCCGTTTGAGGAACGAGCCAGAGGCTATACCGACTACCCACCTGCTGCAGCAGAGTAACGCGTCATTACATTTATACCCCGTTCCGGTGTCGCAACTCCAACTGTCTCCATTAAGGTGAACTCTCGGATCGGCGACATCACTGCCTCGAAAAGGAAAGCACCGAGCCACTCGTCGTTATCAATATGGGGTCGCGCAACCATGCGAGGCGGGGAACTCCCGACGCCGTAGAGTGGGAGATGGAGATTCGCGAGTTCCGTAGGCGCCTCGCTCTCCAAATCTGGTGGGTCGGCGGCATATCTTTCAGTATCACGACATTTTGAGATTCAGCCGCTTTAGACCTTTGCTCGGCCCTGCCTATCATCCAGCGGTACAGCGCGATAGACAGCCGAAACCCGAAGGCTCCCCGGCGGTAACAGCGCGCACAGATACAATTCCGCGCGGAAATCAAGACTCCTATTACACACCATATCATCTTCCCAAGTCCCGTTCAAATCCCAAAAGCTGCACTGCACCGCCCACGAACCACCCCCCCTCCGCTGACCCCCTTGCATCAAGCCATCACCACCACCACCACCACCCACCATGCCCGACATCACCCCCTACACCTGGGACCCGCACCACGACTTCCCCCGCGACCTCATCGGCTACGGGCCTTCACCCCCACCGGCCCCCTGGCCCAACGCCTCGCGCCTCGCCCTCTCCTTTGTCATCAACTACGAAGAAGGCGGGGAGAACTGCGTGCTCAACGGGGACGCCACCTCCGAGGCCGCGCTCTGGGAGTCCGCGGGCCGCTACCCGCCGCGCCAGCAGCAGCGCGCCGTCAACGTCGAGAGCGACTACGAGTACGGCTCGCGCGTGGGCGTGTGGCGCATCATGAAACTTTTCGAGAAGCATGGGTTCAAGTGGACGCTGTATGCGGTGGGGAAGGCGGTGGAGATGAATCCCGAGGTGGCGTTGAGGACGGTGCGGAGTGGGAGTGAGGTGGCGAGTCATGCGTATCGGTGGGTGAATTATGAGGATTGGGGGATGGAGGAGGAGAAGGCGGCCATTAGGAAGGGGGTGCAGGCGTTGAAGGATGTGACGGGCGAGTATCCCAGGGGTTGGTATTATGGGAGGCTCAGCAGTCGGAGTCGCGCGCTGGTGTGGGATGTTTTTGACGAGATGGGGTTGCCGTTGCTGTGGCAGAGTGATAGTTATGGGGATGATATTCCGTATTGGGTCGATGTGCCGGCGGAGCAGGCCATGGTGCAGCGTGGTGAGAGGAAGAAGGAGGAGTGTAAGGGTATGTTGATGGTGCCGTACAGCTATGATGTCAATGATTTCAAGTTCCATACCCCGACGGGGTTTGGTGGACCGGGGGATTTCTTCACGTATTTGAAGAATGCGTTTGATGTGCTGTATGAGGAGGGTCAGGAGGGGACGCCGAAGATGATGACGGTGGGGTTGCACTGCCGTATTGTGGGCAAGCCTGGGAGGTTTGCTGAGCTGAAGCGGTTTTGTGAGTATGTGGCGGCCAAGGAGGGGGTGTGGGTGTGCACGAGGGAGGAAATTGCGAAGTGTTGGATGAAGGAGAGGCCGTATGAGGTGGGGAAGCTATAGATATTCTACAATGATGAGTGAAGTCTTTTCCGAAGGCGAGAACATGCGGATGAGGAGCGCACTAGCCGATATAAGCAGCTCTTCAGACTCAAAATTCTGCACCCGGGAAGGGCATCCGCAACTATCAGTATATGTCTCGGACGGGACTGATGTCGATGGTGTCGATGGACAATGAGCCGTCTGTTACGACCAGACCCACTCCACCGCCCACGTATTCCTCGTCGACTGCGCTGAGTGTGATATCCGCCACTGTTGCCGTGATCTTACTGCCCTCTGCGCGGAGCTTGACTTCGTAAGCAGTGTCCAGCTTCCAATCGAACTGTTCAGTGGCCAAGTCGATCCTTTTCTCGTCTCTCGCCTTCACTATTGCCATGCGGGTTTTGCCGTCAGATTGACCCTTCACAAACATGACAGCATACCAACGATTCAGTCCGCGGACCCGTATAGCCACACCTGCTGGAGCCCCAAGATTCACCTTGAAGCCACGAGCGGTGACGTCGTAGTCCGTCCAGTCCCGTGTCCCATGAGTGATGATGCCCTCCCCGTGGTCATGTCCGAGGAAGAAAGAAGGGCCCATTCTGGCGTGGAATTTATCAACAGAGCTGACCCATGATTGCTCCCAGAAACTGCCGGTGCCTGCGTGCTCGACGCCTTGATGGTCCTCGGGCCCAGCAGATGGCCGCTGCAAGGTCATGCTCGGAATGCCATCCCACTGCAGTTGGTATAGCCAGATATCGCAGTCTAGTCTGCCTTCCGCGCTGATCGCAATTCCAATCTGCTGAATAGGCTTGTTCTGGAGGCTAGCGGGTACTGTCCATGACAACTCCGCTCTGCTTTCTAGCTTGACTGGATCACCGTCGACCGTGATTAAATCATCGTCTTCGTTATACGCTTTGATTCGCAACCTCACTGTCGGAAGTCCTGGTGAAGTACCACCAGAGACGCCAACCATAGCACGGACACGCTGACCAGGATACAGAAGCGGACAAGCCATCATCTCGTAATGCCGACTGACCGTCAGAACATCCGGTGGTGTGAATGTTGGGGTTGACACATCGATCGGTGCTTGCCCTGGTGTCCAACCTTCGATTGAGGTGCAGAGGCCTGTCTTGCCATCAACTTCTGCCTGCGTACATCGAATGACTCCTGTTCCGGTGGCCTGAAAGCCTTGGACACTGCCAGGAAGTGAGAAGTGGTACTGAGCAGCTGGTGGAGTGATCACGGCTTCGCTAGCCAGTTGGCGCCCGATATTGACAATGTCGTATGCGATACGGGAGGCATCGTTGATAGAATAACCGCCATCGGCGCTCGAGATCAATGCGCGATCTGCAATGGGACCCCGCCAATCAGGGCCTCCTTCAAACGCCTTCATTCCATGCATAATTGCTACTAGGCAGCCAATGTTTCCCGAGTTGCAGTCCGTATCCCAGCCACATGTATTGATGATGTGCAGTGCCCGGCTAAAGTCATCGCCAGCGTAGAGCAAAGTCATGATCATAATGCCATGATTAGGCATGACGTGACAAATGCCATGATACTTGTCGTAGCCGTACTGACTCTCAATTCGTTGCCGAGTTGTCTGCCAGTCACCATCTGCTTTGACCCAACCCCGGATCTCTGTGATCATGCTGGCAATTTCCGAGTCTTGAGGTATGAATGAGAGACCTGTGTCAAGCAAATGGTCGACATCCTTGGATACAAAGGCCTCGGCTTCCATGGCAGCCCAGAGCTTCGCAGCATGGACGGCTTCACCATCGTGGCTTACTCTCCCGGCCGCTTCTGCAAGTCGGGCGGCCAATTTTGGGTTCCCTGGCGCGACCATGGCCCATGCGTCAATGAAAATTTGAGCCCCGATCTGTTCGGCGACAGTCTGGCCGTTGGTAGTGATAGACCCACTCTCTGGAGCAGCGATACCCTTTTTGAGATTCAAATAGGCAGTATGCTCGGTGCTGATGCCGTTGCCTCCCCACCAGAATATGCTCCTTCGCTCGATGACATTGTTCAGCCAGGTCTTACCCACTTGCTCCGCTCCAAGCTCATCGGTTATGCCATGCTCTTCGAGAGCTCTGACGAATGCGAAGGTGCCAGAGACATCATCGTCTATAACGACGCATGGTAACCCGAACTTGTCGTGCACATAGTACTCGATCGGGCCAAGCTTTTTCAGAATCTGCTGATACGTCCAGTTCTCAAATGGCCGACCCAGGTAGACGCCAATGAGCTTTCCCAGAACGCCTGCGTACACTCGGTGCAAGTAGTCAGGGGGTGTTGAAGGCATGCTGCTGAGAGAACGGTGGTGGAATCAATTGCCCAGCAAAGACGTGCTCAAACGCAGCAACTAATACGAGGGTAAAATCATCGATGAAACACGTGGTCAGCGCGGTAGCCGGCGAAGATCTCCGAGCTGGAGGGTCCCGATGTGACACTCCCACAAGAATGGACGTGTTGACGGGTGCAGTGGGGGACGAGTAGTTCATTTGGAGACTCCCCACGCCGACAGTCTGGGCCACCGTAGCCCTGGTGACCAGGCAACAAGGCAACCACACGGTGCTGCTTTGCCTTCGCCGAGACCATCCTGCAGACTACGCTTCAGTGTGTTCTTCTGAGACGGTTTGCCAGTTGGTTCTTAGTACTGCAGCCTTGGGTCGCCAGGGATAGTCGCAGCTCCGACTGTCTACTGATCACTGGCAGGGCCCACAACATCAACCCCACCAAGAGGCGAGTTCCCCCACCGACTCCAACTTCCCCCATCTTTGACAGTTCTGGCCATCGCCCCCAGAGAGCTTCTTCGCCACTTCTCCACGTCTAGTCGCGTGGTTGATGGCTTCAGAAGCACGCGAGCTGTCCCAGCTAAGTGCACAATCGCACGGAGTTCCCCTATAAATACTCAGGTCTAGGCCGTCGCGTGGCGGGTACCCTGCAGCGCTGACTGTCGACGGTGCCCTCCCATGGTCGATGCCCTCCCATGGTCGACTAGCCGCAATCTCGATTAGCGCTATCTCGTATCTTGCGCTCCAACCGGGCGTGTCGCTTGACGACCGGCGCATCATATAAAGACTCCTCTGTCACCTCGAACCCACTCACTCTTCAGACACGCTACACTGACCACAATGGCGCAAAGCAAGCTCAGCCCTCTGGTGCCTCGGCGCCAGATGGCACTTATCATATGCCTTATTCTGGTATCAGTAATCGATTCAGTCCTCGTTGGGTACAACTCCTCTCTGATGGGAAGCTTGAATGTCATGCCGTCCTACACCAACTACTTTTCTCTCACCACGGCAACCAAATCGCTCAACACGGCGATCTCTTATACCGGCGGAGCTACAGCTTCTCTCTTCGCTGGCTTCATCGTGGACTGGCGCGGGCGTCGCGAGACCATATTCTGGGCTGCTCTCATCGCCCTCGTCGGCGGTGTCATCCAGGGCGCTGCGCAGAACATCGGCATGTTTATCGCAGGCAGATTCATCGTGGGTATGGGCATGGCGTTCGCTCAGGTAGCCGCTCCCACCCTTGTCGCTGAAACTACACCAGTCAAGTACCGTGGCTTCGCACTTGGACTGTACTACGCTTGCTGGGGTGTCGGCACGTTGATTGCCAGCGGCGTCTGCTACGGCACGCAGAACATTGCTACGACATGGGCATGGCGCATCCCTTCACTATTACAAGCTGCTCCATCCGTCTTTGCGGTGTTGATCCTCTTGTTCGTCCCAGAGTCCCCTCGATGGCTTATATCTCGTGACCGCCACGAAGAAGCCATCGAGATCTTGACCATCGCCAATGGCTCCTCCGTCGAGGACGTGCAAGTCCAGTACCGCGAAATCGTCGACACCATCGCCTTCGAAAAGCAACGCAACCTCTCCCTCCCCAAGGCGCTGAGCACCAAAGCCAACCGCCGCCGGCTCCTCATCACCTCCACCTTCTCCATCATCGTCATGCTTCCCGGCACCAACATCGTCACCTTTTACTTCGGCGACATGATGGCCGGCGCAGGCATCGAGTCCCCCAACACCCAACTCCAGATCAACATCATCCTCACCTCCTGGACACTCATCATCGCCGTCGCCGCATCCTGGTTCGCCGACAAGCTAGGCCGCAAGACACTCTGCTCGCTCTCACTCATCGGGCAGATCATCACGCTGTTCCTGCTGGGAGGCCTCACCAAGCTGTACGGCACCTCGACCAACGACTCGGGCATCTACGGTACCCTCGCCATGATATTCCTGTACAACGCCACGTACGCCTGGGGCATCACGCCCTTGACAGTGCTGTACCCGCCCGAGGTCCTCTCCTTCGACATCCGCGCCGTCGGCATGGGCATCTACACCTTCACGACCAAGCTGTGCGGGCTCTTCGTGGCGATGGTCGTGCCCTTCGGCCTGGCAGGCATCGGATACCAGTTCTACTTCGTGAACGCGTGCGCGGACGTGCTGATGGTGGTCTTCGTCATTTTCGTCTGGGTCGAGACCAGGGGTTTGACGCTGGAGGAGGTGGATCGGTTGTTTGACGGGGAGAAGAGAGAGGTGGTGCGAGAGTTGGTCAAGGAGGAGGTGGGTGTTGATATTGAGGTGGAACGGCATGCGAGTGTTAGTCCCAGTGTGGCTAAGGAAGCTGTGACGCCTACGAAGCTCTAAGGGGGTGTCCAGGTAGTGTGAGGCTGGGGATCTGATGTCTATGATTATTGCTGGAGGGGTGTTTCATTTGATCATTATACCGCGTTGATCATCGCATCGAACGAGCTTCTGATTGATCCTCTGCATTGTGCGTTTCCTATTCCCTGGTGAGAGGGGCAAAGCTGCTGTTCCTGCGGACCATAGCTCGACTCGTGGATGAACTCGGACCGTTGAACTTCTGTCGGTAACTAGCATATGGCACAGCCTGAAGCCAGACTTCGCTTAGAATCAACACAGCACGTCTCTTTCCTTGGTTCCATTCAAAGTGTTCGAGCCAGAAGCCATGAATGGATCCGAAGTACCTCAATGGACGGCAGCAGTTCGAGAGCCAGCCTTCCTCGCCCTACTTGCGCCGCCCCCATCCGCCTCCTGTAATCGCTTCAAGATCCCCTTCTTCCACAGCTCGAACTGCCGTCGTCTCGCCTCACTGCACCAGTCCACAGAATCTTGCATCATAGTGCCCAAGCCAGGCAGCAACACCCCCTCCGGATCTTCCTTCTTGAGGTCCATGTCTATCCTTCGCAAACCAAAACCGAACTCGCGGTCATCGTCCAGCACCTCGCCATCGACATCCACCTCCTCATCTGCACCGCTCCCATTGAGATTGAACACGAACTTGTTCTCCGGCACGCTCTCGAACCACTGCTGGCCCTTACACCAGCCTTCGGAATTGATGCGCTTGATCCACTCCGTAATGGCATCCTTCTCCGCCAGGCCCTTCGATGCAAACATCTCCAGTGCCTTCTCGCATACGCCATTGAAGATGGTTGTTTTCATTTGCCCCGTGCCCATCTTGGTCAGCACCATTAGGTACAGTGCTACCACCATGGCCAACACATCGCCCTCGAAGCCGTCCTTGACCTCTCCACCATCGTCGGCTGTGGGAGGCCAAAGACCCGCCACGTGCAGCACCTCGCACGAACCCGTGTAAACGTGCGGCGCCATCGCAGGCGTGTCGTAGACCTTGCACAGCCGCCGGGCCGCGACCCTAACGAACTGCGGCGCTTCGGCATCGAGGCCCGTCTTGACTGCGCTCTGCGACTTCACCTTGCCCACAAACCCACTGCCGCCCTTCTTCGTGCTCGCCGACTTCTTCGTTGGCGTCTCAACCGGCGTGCCTCTCGCCCTCTTACTCGGCGTCCTCACAACCCCGTCCTCCTCCTGCTCCTGCTCCTCCTCATCTCCCACGCCATCCCCATCCTCCTCTCCCGCCGCACCACCCCCTTCGCCCCGCTTCCTCTTCCTCCCACTCCCCGCCATCTCCACCACACCCTCCCGTTCCAACACCCCCCTCAAAAACTCCAACAACTTCCTATACACCGCCGGCTTGCACGGCGGCCCGCCACCCGCCCCACTCGCAGACACCACGCGCCTGCCTCCGGCGCCAACACCAGTCTTCTTGGGCGGTAGGCGCAGCGCCTCGCGCAAGCGGTCGATGGCCAGTTCGGCGCAGGCGTGGGGCCGCGCGATCTCTTCTTCGGCTTTGAGGTGGGGCGCGCGCTGGCGGGATTGTGTGAGGAGGGAGTCGGCAGCAGCGAGGAGGCGGGGTGGGAGGGTGCTGGGCGTGTAGGAGGGGAGGAGGCTGAGGAGTGGGGGAAGCGTGGGTGTTGTGGAGGGGGTGGGCATTGTTTCGACGAGGAAGAGGAGGCGGTGGTGGTGCTGGGTGGGAGAGGCCGCTGGAGTGCGTCGTTCGGTGTTCGTCCGTCGCACTCTCAGTCGGCGTACGTGTGTGACCGGCCGTGTGTGCGTGGAGGGGAAGAGGCGTGTGGTGTGGGAAATGACGATGGTGGTGGTGGTGGTGGTGGTGATGGGGATCTGGATTGAGGGTTGGAGTGAGTGGAGATCCAGTTCGACGCGTTCGACCGCGTTTTGGAGGCCTCGGTTTCAAGTTTTGTAGGCCACCTCGAATAAATCTTCAGGCCCCTAAGAGGCTTTCCTTTTTCACCTTTGGTCTCCAGCTACATATTATGACAGATGCTAATGTGGGCTGCGGGATCGCTGAATCCACAGAAGAATGCAGCTTCATGTTTGTAATCACATTCTCACGAAGTTGCTGCCTTTCAAAATATGCTTGGTCGTTGTGACACGCAGATCTCGACCATTTTGCACAGTGATAGTTTGAGTCCGTGACAATGGCCACACTTCACTCGACAAGCTTGATCTGCCAGAGATAGTCATCCAGGCTGCCTTCCGCTTCAATGAGACCTATGAACAACATGCTCGAGTACGTGGATATCGGATGAATCCATTAATCCTCTTCTGCGCTCCCATCGCCGGACACCCTGCTGAGCCACGAAGCACACAAGATGCGTGTCGAGTGTATGCTGTTGAAGACCGCAAAAGGGTCAAAATTCAAGTCCTCTCACCAACGACCCCTGGCACCACGGCCACGGCCTCTACCACGACCACCTCCTCTTCCACCGCGGCCACCACGACCACTATTCCAGTTTCCCCGACCGCCGCCGAACTGACCACCCCGTCCACGCCATTGACTCTCTGCTCTTGGACCGGCTTCGACTCGAGCGTCTCTCTCCTCCTCCGGAATATCAAAAGGGTTCTCGATGCCAATCATCTCGCAGAATTGACTCGTTTGATTGTTGGTGACTTCCCGCGGCATGTCCTTTTCCTCAACCTGAAGAGAAGGATCGTAGGTTGGGGCAGTAATCTCGAAATTGTCGGGAACTTGGAGCAAGTCTCTACTGACAATATTTTCATATACCCACTTGCGTTGCTCTAGGATTTGATCTCGGTAGTAAGTATCTCCTCGATGTGGTGGGACTGGATCCTGCTTGCCACCGCCAAGTATCAGCTCGGGAGCGAAGACGCGGAGTATAGCAAGCCATTCCGGATCGTAGTGCAACTTGACAGGGCGCTGAATCGGCTCTCCAGGAGCAGAGGTCGACTCAACTTCCAGGAGCTCTAGAAAATGACGACCTGGCAGGCATTTGTCGAGAGCCAGGAATTCGGTCTTTTTGTTCGTGATTTCTTCTGGAAATGGAAGCTCGGGCGATACCTCGACCTGGACAGGGGCGGCAAAGGTCTTAGAAAGGCCCTCGAGTTCGGCTCGGATGTCGTCCGGAATATCGTCCGGCTTCACCTTCATATCTTCTTCGGGTTTCAAATGGCTGCCATTTGTTCCCGGCTGAAATTCAGGAGCTTCAGGGTTGACTACGTCTGAGCTGTATTGCCCACTTTCAGCTTTGTTGCTTTGCGGCTTGAAGATTTGCGCAGATGGATCAAGCGACGATTTCGAGCTGTTAGAACTCTGTCTCGCCATTGGCTCTCCTTGCTTCGGGGTTTGGAACACTGTTGCCTCGGGATTCAACGAGACACCTCCGTCTTCACTCTGCTCGGACTTGCGCTCCTGCACAGGTTGTGTGAGGGTAGGGAAAGGGCTGCCTGATCGTCGTCGAGGCACGACCGGCTCGTCGTCATCGCTAAGGTCAATGTCAAGCTGATCGGGGTTGCTGGCCACTGGAACAGCGGTGTTTCTTTGCTTGGGTGGTGAGAATTCCGCGGTCTCTTTACCTAGCGCAGTGTCTCGAGGCGCGGCTGTACCAAGAGCGTTGAAGCGTGGAGAGCGCAGAGCTGTTCCATCGTTCTGCTGGGGAGAGTCCGGTTCCCTCGCTCTCTTCAGTGGTCTGGAAGCGCATGAGCCATCAAGCTGTGGCAGGTTGGTTTGAGCTGGTGGTTCGTTCTCCTTTCTCTCTATCGTGTCTATACTTCTGCTAAGGTTCGTGGTGTTGACCTTCTTGAAAGTTTCATCGAAGTTGTAACCGGGACCGGAGCGAATGCCTGTACTCGCCACCGCTTCTTGACGGCCACGTTGCTCTTCAAGAGCTTTCTGTGTCTCCGCTGCATCGTTGACTCGGGCTTGATCATGGAATCCTTGCCAGGCTGAGATTTTTTGCTTGTGTTCTGGAGGAGGGATTGGGTATCCACCTCTGGTCTGTATCCCCTTGGGGTTTTCGTGGTCGTAGTTTGCAGTGTAGCGTATATGGAGATGGGCTGAGAACCAATGTGGGGGTCTCAGTCGATCCAGCACCAGCTTTGCTGCAGTGCTGCCGAGCTTCATGTTCTCGGCATCAGCCTGAAATCTGTCCTTTCTCTTGAACAACCAATGGTAGTCGCCAGACCACTCGACTGTTTGCGGCCAGTCATGCGAGAGACCAATATCAACTTGAGAGCGCATAGCGAGGAGCTTGCGGACATCAAGTTCTCTGACGTGGAATATAGAATGGAGATCTTCCTGATTGTAAGGAAGACGCTCGTAGTGGGGTTTGCGATAGTCATAACCTTTCCAGATACCCGACAGACCAGCGATGCGAAGATTTCCGAGACGGAGGACGTTGGCAGCACCGAGGTAGTAGATGTTAGGAGCGACCCAGCCTCCATAGTAGAGTTCGAAGAGGTGGTTGCTGGCTTCGTGGTTCCCACCGATGAAGATGGTCAGACATGGTGCTATCTTTGCTCCGCTGTAATACTGGTGGAAGTCAACCATATCGCGATACTTCACCGGCATAGCTGTAACATTGAGGTCGTGTTGATTGCGGGTGGCCTATTCATACGGTTACTTGGAGTGCGACCGCCAGCGGTATTGACTAACCTGAAAGTCGCCACCGATGATGAGGAGGTCAACGCCATCCCATCCTTTGTCTTCGCAATCTCTCTCTACAGCTGCATAGATAGCATCAAGCGTGCCGTGGCCCTAAATATTTGTCAACGAGGCGTCAGAATGGCCAACGATAGGATACTCACGCAACCTTCGACAGCGATACGCAGCTTGTCCTCTGGGGGGGCAGACATCTCTGCAACAGGCGCCGAAGACGCTTCTTCGACTCATATGACAATGATGGGTGACTGCTGAACAGATGTGGCGATGATCACGATGTTTCTCGGCGTGGTAGAAGATGGAATACCGGGCAAATGGGGCACCCGGTAACTGGACGAAGTCACGGATCTCTTGTACAACGCATGTAACACGACGCAAGGTCAACAGCTGTGCGTCAGAGATCGATGCTGTAGACACAGAAGTTGAGCCTTGGACAATATGGTAGAAGATGCTGGGGTTGGTTGCTTGACCCAAGGAGGCCTCGTCAAACCTGTGTCGGTCTTGGCGTTGCCTGAATAAATTTAACGGTTCCCTCGATGCTCGACCGCTCACTTTTTCCCCAATTGTTACCGCCAATAACCCGAGGGACATCTCGGAGCGCAAGCATGCGAATTCGATGTCTCCGTGCATCCACTAGTTTCCAGTATGGATAAAGCAAAGGTGGACTTCTTAAATCATGCGTCACAACAGCTTTGTTTATCGAGCCCGTCGACCTCAGCGTACTTGTCTATGAACCTCGATTTACAATTTAACAACCAGACAAACCAGACACGAACCCGCTCTTGCAAGAGCTGTGGGACTTCGAACGCTGCAGGTTTCACCAGCGAGGAGAACATCTCCATATCGGCCAGAGCTCAGAGCAAAGGACAGCGGAAGCGGTCTCAACAAGATCGGCTTGCCACATGGACCTCTCACTGCTTAATTTGCGGTCGCAATACCAAGCATAGTTTCACAGCACGAGCTAAACCTGCTAGTTCTATGAAAGGCGCTCTACCCATAAAAGCATCCCAGGAACCCTTGTCTCCAGCGCCCACGACTGTTGGTCTCAACCCGCAAGCCTCCCATGAACCGAAGCTCAGCAGCAAGAAGCGCGCCAAAGCACGCAAGGATCGCGAAGGTCTGCAAGCGCTGCTCAACAAAACAAAGTTGGCTGCCGTGCCGTCGAAGCTCAGCTTCATGGACCTAATGAAGAAGTGAGAGCTGTCTTGTTTTCGTGCGCGACTCGACTCTCCAAAGACCCGAAATAGGCTCGAGATTAAAGTTGGCTCTACTGGAAATCATATCCGGATCTTGGCGTTGATTCTTGCCCCGCCGTGCGTCATGCGAAATCTTTCCCAAAAATTTGGAGTCAATGGCCACTTTGAGAACATTCCCGACAACCTGAGTAGAAGTATCGTCAGTTCACTACGAGGCAGACGAGCAGTCACAGAACACAGACAACATGGCAACGAAAGAAGTGGTACACGCCGATGCCAACGAGGTGGGCATGTACGAGATTGAGTCGCTATGTATGAAATGCGAAGACAACGCAAGTACATGGATGCCCTGCTTTGAAACTAGACTAACAGGCACAGGGATCAACGCGTATACTTCCTCTCAAGATCCCTTTCTTCAAAGAGATTCTCCTTGAGTCCTTCTCCTGCGACCACTGCGGCTTCTCCAACAATACCGTCAAGAGCGCCGGTCAAATACAAGAGAAAGGCTCCAAGTACACCTTTCGCCTCGATGACACGTCCGACTTCCAGCGCCAAATAGTGCGCAACGACACTGGCGTATTCCGGATAGAAAATATTGATCTCGAGATGCCGCCGGGTCCTGGCCAATTCACCAACCTAGAAAGCATGTTCACCAAAATCCAAACAGACCTCGAACATGACCAGCCCATTCGAAAAGCTACTCAGCCGGATCTCTATTCGGCTCTCGAGTCCATAATTACCAAGCTTAAAGATATGCTCTCGGGCACTTCCTTCCCCATAACCATAAGTCTCGACGATATCTCCGGCAACTCTTTCATCGAACCCGCCTCAACGGATACTGGCTCCAAGTACGTACGTACAGACTATTTGCGTACAACGTCTCAGAACGAAACTCTCGGTCTCACCACCTCCGATGAGCGCGACGTGATGGATGGCGTTAATGTAGTCGATGGTGAGGTCTACGAGCTGCAGTCCCATTGTCCTGCCTGCTCCAAGTCATGTACCGTTAATATGAAGAAAACCAACATCCCCCATTTCAAAGAAGTCATCATCATGGCCACCGTCTGCGACCACTGCGGATATCGCACTAGCGATGTGAAGACCGGCGGCGCCATTCCACCACTCGGAAAGAAGATCACTCTACAAGTCAAAACTCTGGAAGACCTAAGTCGCGACATCCTCAAATCAGAATCATGCGCGCTCAAGTCCCACACTTTGGGACTGGAAGTCCAACCGGGAACCCTCGGCGGGCGCTTCACAACCGTAGAAGGCCTGCTAGCACAAGTCCGAGATCAACTCCGCGGCCAGATCTTCGACACCGACGGCGACCTCGCAGGTGGCGACAGCATGACCGCCGAGACGAAAGCCCGCTGGGACGCCTTCTTCGCCAAAGTGGACGGCGCCATCAAAGCGGAGTTCGCATTCGACGTCATTCTTGAGGACCCTTTGGCGAATAGCTTTGTGCAGAAAAACGTGGATGGTGACGAGGAGGACCCGCAGATTGAGGTGGTCGAGTACGAGCGGACCGAGGAGGAAAAGGAAGATCTGGGGTTGAATGACATGAAGGTGGAAGGGTACGAGCAAGATGGAGAGGAAGCGAAAGTGAACGGGCACTCGGAGGCTCAATAAGGCCATGCGCAGACAGAAGCGGCACTGCAAACGAGTCCCTATTGGAGCGAGGCACGAAGATTTGGTGTTTGGCCCAGCATTAGGCAACGTAAGAGAGAGTCTGTCCTCCCGCCGTATCGTGCTGTTGGTGAGCGGTAATGACAGTGCACGAACGATAGATATCCCTGAAGCGACTCGCTTCGATCCCGTACGACTGACTGTACGATAGAGCTAAAATGAAGCCAATTCTGTTCTTGAATATATTTCTTAGCAGGCAGCCGTCCGACTATGGCGAGGCGTTCGCATCACCTTTTCTCAACTGCTCTGATCGCCTCGTTCCACATCCACACAAAAGAGCTACCTCAGTATCCTCTATGCACTTTACACGCTACATGTTCGCGATCTCGCACCGGCCATAACTTCGTCGGTAGCATCATCAACCGCAGTCCCGCATCTCCGACAGCAGTAAATACCTGCTCTACTCCATTCTCTAGGCAATACTCAACCCGCGAATCTGAACCGCGCCGCTTCCAACCTGCCTAGACCCTCCCTCGGCGCGACATTCCTCCTGCGATACGAGTTCGTAAAGTCCTGCAACAGGACTCTCACCTTCCGCGGCTCGTTCTGCTGCAATTTCTCCGCGATCCCAGACATCAATTTATTCGCCTCGGCTGGCTTGAGAGTCCCAGCTGGCAATAGCTGCAGCGTATTGCCCACCCACTGCGCCGCGGCTTGTGGAACGATGTTGAAGAGCGCGAGCAGCACAGCGGAGGCATCGGGGAAGACATCTTCAGGGAACGAAAACATCATGCCCGTCATGACACGCTGAACCATTTCTTGACCAGTGTTGGAGAGGATGCGCTTGACGGCATTCTGGATTTCTGGTGGTGTGGCTTGAGCGTTGCCGGTAGGGCCGGCGAGGGCGGAAACAGGGGGTTGATCGTGACCAAAGTCGAGGACATCGCGGAGGAAGTGTAGCGCGGCTAGAATGGGTTCGAGAGACTGCAAAGTCAAGGCTGTGAGTGAAGCCTTTGCCATTGGCTCGGCCAGTTCAGAAGTTAGGGTTTTCGTTGGATAGTATCGAACCGCATCTGAGGCAAGTCGGAAAAAGTCCTCGATCATGTCCGGAAGTTCGACGACATCCAAGTCTGACAGTATCCGGAAGAAGACGGTTGCTTGTTGTGCAAAGAAAGCAAAAACATTCTCACTTGTGGCTTGATCGACGAATTCGGCGCCATGCGAGAACTCCCGGATGACAGCATCGGTTGCCCACAAGAAACAGCCTTGCTTAGAGGCCTGGTAGCCCTCGGCGATAGCGGTTGCCAGCTCGCCCAGCAATGGCGCCATCGCGGTTCGATAGGAAACGACCATATATCTCCAGCATTTGCAAACGCGCTCCAGAATCGGGATGGACTTGGTGAAATGCTTCGAAATACCAGCAAGTACCGGCAGAACCTCCTTGCAGTATTTTACAGCTGGATTCTCCTCGTTCGGAGATACGTACGGCTGCACGTACTGAATGAAGGTCGTTATCAGCCCTAGATAGTCGGCAACTACCTTTTCGCCGTCGTCATCCTTTGCCTGCTCGGCGAACGAGACGATACGATTCATAACCGGATCACAGAAAAGCTTCATGCTGGCGTAGATCTTGGGCACAGGCTGTACTGCGACGACTGCCGCGACACCCTCAGTGATCTCCTCCTGACTGGATGCCTTAAGTTTGTCAAGCACGCCGTCGTAGAACTGCTGTAATTGAGGGATATGGTCACCCAACAGCTTGGCGCAATCGGTGCCTAGGAATCTCATCGCCAGGGCGGCAGCTTGTACTACTTCTGGCGACTTGTGGTTGAACCCAGAGATGACGTAGTTTAGCTGTGCCTCGAGGACTTCTGGGTTGTGTGCGGTCCATTCGGTATAACGGGCGAGGGCCATAATAGCCTGGAACTTGAGTTTGTCGTGATCGGGGACAGTGGTCAAGAGCGGGATCACTTGGGGAAGGACTCTGCTTTCCTCCGGCGAGACCATGCCACCCATAGCTCGAAGCGCAAACAGTGGCGCTTCCAACTCTTGCCAGTGCGGCACCTTGTCGCCGGATACCTGGGAGCCATATGTCTGACCCCACCGCTGGATGAGTGCATATGCTTTACTGAGGCAGTCTGTGACACCAATAGCCTCGCAGCAATCTTTCAGCACATCGCCCATAGTGTGTCTAAATTCGCGGAACTTGTCTTCTTGTTCGCGGTCACCGTCGAATAGATCAGCTTCATTGCCGTCTTCGGGCGTAGGGAAAGCGAGATGCTGGATCATCACATCGACGAGTTTCGAATAAATATCCGCTAGAGCGGCTCTCGCTTCCACATATTTGTCGAGCGTAGTGTACTGCTTTAGCTCGTACCAGAAGTTGAATGTGATGGCGATGGATTCTCGGTCCTGGTCTCTCACGCAGCATTCAAGTATTGTCTCAACGAGCGGCCGGAACTCCTTGGGCATGCGGGCAATGAGTACAACCCAAGCCTCACCTGCTTCGGCAAAGATACGGGTAACGCCTTTCATGACATCGGCATCTTCGGACTCGGCAGCCTCTCGAATCTTTGGCTGCAGCGCAAGGACCTTTGGATATAAGGCCATGATGACACTCTTCATTTCGTCCACATCCCGGGTATCCTTGTATATCGTGCAAATGCATTCGACAGCTGCATCAAACGATCGAGAATCATCGATGGCAGCAATAGTTTTGTCTAAGAGGGGGGAGTTGACAACGTCCACGACCGGGATTTCCCTGAGCCATGATGCAGTACATTCGTAGAGTCTGGGATTGGTGGCGGCCGCGGCTGCTTTTATCAGTAAATGGTCAGCAAACGTGATAACAACTTACGTGATGACTGGGAGTATTGGACGAGCAGGGTCAAGACTTGGGCAGCGTTGTCCTCCAGGAGCTCTTTTGTCCTGTCATTGAGTTCCTCTTCCTAAATTGAGATGCTGAATTAGACACGGATTTGCTGGAAAGGCGCAACGGCTGGAGGATGGCGCAAAAGATGCTGGACAGTCGAACATACTGAAAGGTTGATTTTGCGGCCTTCTGTGACCTCTTCAGGCAGGATTCGCAGGAAGTCGAGCATGGTGTCGCCACCATCATTGGTTGTGCCAACGGCTGAGCCAACTGTGCTGAGAACATTCTTCCACGAAAGCATTTGAACGGCCAGGCTTGCTATACAAACACACAACTGAGTTCTGATGGGCCTGGGGCCTGAAATATAGAGCTGAAGCATTTGTAGCAGGGAGTCCCTGAGGGCTGGCAGAGCATCATTGGGCACCTGGTGCAAGTCATATGTGATCTAGCCGCGTTAGCTCTGCTTCACTTGAAATTATTGATGTTTCTTACTTTGCCCTTTAATGTGGTCGCAGCGAACAGCCTGGCTTCGACAGTGGTGGAGGAATCTTGTAGAATCGCGCCCGTAACCGTCCACGCATCTGCCGATTTCTGGAATTTCTCAAGGAACTGGTGGGCCTCGCCCTTCTCCTTGCCCTGAACATTGCTCTGCATTGTGCTGAGCGCTGCTAGTATGGGCGCGAAGCCCGCATCTTTAGCGCTAGCCATAGTCTTGAAATGGTGCGCGGAAGTTTCTTCAGGTAGTTGGTAATGATGGGGAGGAGATGGAGGGGTAGTCAGCCCCGAGGCGCAAACAAAGGTTCGACCATGCGGATAACGGATTGGAAGCGGTACAAAGTTGAAATATGAGGTAGATCAATCACAAGGCCGATCAGGATGTCGTGAAAGGGTATCTGACGTTGAAATGGTAAGATGGGAGAGAAATAGATACAAGACAGCGACCTAGGTTGGGCAGCGGAGGGGTGCAATGAAGTTTTGACTCCGCATCTGGCGGTCGTTGCAATCCACATAATTTTGCTTCAATGCCACTCCAGTCACCCTCGCGCAACCGACATAACTCTTGTTCCCCTCGCGGTTGATCGTATTGTCCTCTTCGATCGTCCTACTTCCAAAGCTTGTCAAGCAATATACCGAGATGACTGGACGCGGCGGCGGCGCAGCGCGCAAAACCCTTCTTGCGCCTATCCATTTCATTTTCAGCCTGCTACAAAAGCGCAATACCGTCTCAATATGGCTCTATGAGAATCTCCATACGCGCATTGAAGGCAAGATCAGGGTATGGTCACTAAGAGAAACCCAGAGTGTCTGCTGACTATATCTAGGGGTTTGACGAATTCATGAATCTGGTGGTGGACGAAGCGGTCGAGGTTCAGCTTGCCACGAAAGAGACCTCGGAAAAGAGGAGGAAGCTCGGTCAGATTCTGTTGAAGGGCGACAATGTATCCCTCATTCACGCGCTCGACTAAGCTGCGACGATGCTATTACCGGAGTTTGCAAGGAAAAAACAGTCTGGGCCTACCAGCGAATCGTCGTGCGTTGGGAACCAAAACTTCTGATTCAGCCGGTCATTTCGCGACAACTACGCTATCTACTAGCCAGTCAAACCTATCAACTGGCACATCCTCTGAGATTGGGAGCAATTGTTGTTGAAGAGCAAGGCCGACTTGGGACATCAGATCAGAATGAGATGCTAAACAGCGGGAAAGGATATGCTTACCGAGAGCAGGCATAGTTCGACCGGTGATGGTGGCCGCTGAGTGATATTTCTGGAGGTACCTGTCATAGAAGCCCTTACCGTGACCCAAGCGGCGGTGGGACCGATCGAAGGCGACAGCAGGCATGAAGATCAAATCAAGCTCCGGCGACATTTCCTGGGGACCCTCTCCTGTCTTCTGAGGGCCTTTGCCTCCAAGGGCATTATCTCGCTGTCCCACCGACTCGTGGTCGAGCGACGGAATACCCCATGAATCAGGTATCAGAGAATCGAAATCGTTCTTATCCCAAAGCTTCAGCATATCGATGACTTTCTCCTTCTGCTTACCTTCACCGACAGCATGGATGTAGGGCACATAGACCGACTTGCCGTCCTTGAACGCATCAAGAACGAGTGCGCTGGTCGAGACTTCTTTACCCGGCATTGACAGAAACACACACACAGCCCGCGCGTTCTGATATGCTGCCAGATCCCTGACTTGCTCTGTGATCGACTCTGCTGCCAACCGATCAGTCTCTCCATCTACCTAAGGGAGTTGACGGACATTGCTGGTTGATCTCATCGGCGCTGAGTTTGGCTAGCTGAGCTCTCACGGCCTTTCGTAGTAAAGCTTTCTGTTCGCGGAGACCGTCCATCGCCGTGGTCGCAAAGCCCGCTTTCCTCTCCACGCCCACGATAAACTTGAATAATTGCCCCCCAATAGCTTTCACGGACGTGCTCATATCATCCTTGGAGTACTATGGTGACCGGCGTTGGGTGGGAAGGTGGGCATGATCTTGCAAGGCTGAGGGGGATCGCCGCTAAGGGGCATTGGCGGCTAAGCGGATCCCTCCAAAGTGGTCCTAACCAGTAAGCATCGTTTGTACCTGGAAATCGCTGCGCAAGCCTGAAACGGGGGCAGCCGTGCAACTCAGGGACATCGCGATAAACACATTCATTCCCTCCTTTCTTCATTCTCACGTGTACAATACTCCAACATGATTCCCTCGATACGCTCGTTAACGCTCCTTCCGCTCGCTCTGCTCACTTTTGTTTCAGCTCAGTACCCCGATGAGCTCGTTGGCACCTGGGTTTCCAAAGCCCGCGCCGTTGTCACGGGGCCCGACTTCTATGATCCTGTAGCCGACAAGCTCAAAGAACCGCAGCATGCTGGCATCGCATACTCTTTCACCAGCGATGGATACTACGAGCAAGCCTTCTACCGCTCGGTACCCAATCGTACTACAGCCTCCCGGCCCCCAGAAGTTCTAAGCTAACATCCAGGATAGCTACTACCCCGAAATGCCCGTCCGCCATCATGCAATGGCAGCACGGCACCTACTCTCTCCCTGGGAATGGATCCATCGTTCTCGAACCCTTCTCCGTTGACGGACGTCAGCTCCTGTCTTCCCCCTGCACGTTCGACAATGCTGTCTATACGCGATATGACCAGCCGGAACTGATAAAGGCGTATCAAGCACATACCGACGAGTTCCATAACGTACCTCGCCTCGATATTTTCAAATACAACGGCGCAAGAGAGCAGCCACTCTATCTTGCATACAAACCGCCGCAGATGCTGCCGACACAGACACTCAATCCTACTGCGAGCACGAGTGAGCCGACAAGCAAGGTTAAGAGGGATATGGACAGGGGGGAACACGAGCAGTGGCGGCAACAGATGATCAAGGGTGGTTCATTCGAACATAATGACGATCTGCTGGTGCCGAAGCCAATGCGCTGGGATCCCGACCGGTGGTGGTGGGCGGGTTTTGGGCTCATCGCTGTTGGCACAGTGATGTACATGCTACCTACAAAGCTTTGAGCGATCGACGAATGAGGAACCACTGGAGTTAAGGCGTCAGGGTAAAAACTGGTCCCATTATGAATGCTAGAGAAGAAATGTCCTCCGAGATACGCCATCAGGATGGCGATGTCGAACACAAGCGATAGCCCAGCACGAGAGCGTTGAGAATACTATGCAGCGCCCACAGAACCGTGAGCCGTATCGACAGACTTCATAACAAGAGCTGATGCACATGCACATACGATCACGCCTTCTCCCCATGCTCGTACTCGTGCGACTCAGTCGCCCATCCTCAGCATCCAAAGGAGCAATTTCCTCCATAAAGCCTCTTTAGCAAGCACCCTTGGATCTGCTTATCTACGCCTCCCCTTCTATTGGCCCCATGACATCCCACACCCATACGAACCCCTAGTCCAGGCACCCCCTCCATTCAAGCACTCCAGGGTAGCACAAAGGACGCAGGCAGGGTCGCACAGCAGGCTGTCAGCCCGGCTTCCACGCGAGATCTTGCGACCTGGGGGCGGGGGCCCACGTAGGGAATCAGGTCCAGGAGGCGCCGCGCCGGTTCGGGAATCCGAGGTACTTTGGACCAGATAATTCTCCTGGGCTTTATAGATTTGGCTATGGAATTACTAGGTGTATTAAGAATCGTTCGTGCTGCCTGATAGAAAGCGGTAGATGTTGGTTGGCGTACACGATACTTCGGAATCTGTCCAGGGCTCTACCTCATGGACGGTTATTGTCGTCGTTGGGTTATTTCGCTGGAGGCCTCTGCATACTTGACAGGCAACCCATGCAGCATTCTACGCATCTGCACACGCTTCTGTTGATGTGTTTAGCTGATACTCCGCAGCAAGGAATCGTGGCGCGGCGCTTGTATCAGAAGTAGAGACGCGCAAGAAAGTGAGATATTGAAGACAGCTGACGTCTTGGATTTCATCTTTTGTATTTGAGTTGTCGCGTAAGCCCTAACTGCGATGCCACTCAACCCAGATCTCTGGTTCCTAATCCATCCTAACACCCGGCTTCGCCAACTCCTCAGCGCTGACTGTTTTGATCAAACGTCCGTTTACTTTCCTGTTGGTACAAAGAACACAGACGTTAGCACTCCCGCCCAGCAAGTCGGAGCTCTAACCTCAAATCGTGGATACACCCACACCCCCCTCAAGAACAACAACACAACAGCACCCAAGAGAACTATGAAGCGCGCCCGTTAACTTTCCTCAGCTTCAATTTATCGAGGTCGACGCCCTGGAGAGTCCGCACGTTGATGGCACGGTTGTCGGCGAAGAAATTGGGGTCGCCCGACTTGCAGCCGATGGCAGTGCCGCACTTGGGACAGAAAGAGTGCATGACGCGTTTCTGGCCGAAGCTGTACTTGGTCATGCCGTCGAATCCCGACTGCCAGGTGATGTTTGAGTCCAGTGGATACTGTGGGCGTTAGATATAGTGGCAAAGACTGGGAAGGCAAAATTTGGGAGTGTGGACGTACGACCATGAGGTAGCCGTTGATGTGGCAGATTGAGCCTGTGGTTAATTAGTCGCCGACCGCGAGCTTCTCGGGGACGGGAACGCACAGTTACAACTCGTGACTGGGCCTTCCTCGATGGGTGGTGAGATCTTGACTGTATACTTTACGGCACCACAGTGGCAGCCGCCTTCATAGACCTGCGACTTTGGCTTGCTGCCAGTAGGGGAGATGGGGCTCTCAGCAGACATTCTGACAATCGCGATGATAGATGTGAACAGGTCTGACCCTTTGGGCAGTGTTGCAAGCCTGTTATATTTGAATGTCCGGGAGCAAGTCACCGATCCAAGTAGCACACGGTGGCTTCTTGAATTGTACTCCTATACGATCGCCAATGACAGAAGGCTGTAGCAATATGTTTTGAATACGGTGAACGACGTACTCGCTGCCTTACATCCACAAGGCTGTGCGCACACGTTGAGTCGGACTGTATTCCGTTCTCGAAATTGGCAAGCTGCCTCAAGCGAACCCAGGAGGCGGCCATTTCGCCCTTAGGACGTCGGAGCAAACTCGAGCGCTCACCGGTGATCAAGGGTATGATTGGTCACCTGTCCGTCGGCAAGCTGCGGGTCCCGTGCGGAGAACTCTGGGTCACTCCAGACCAAGCACTCACCCTCGTATCTCTGCTTGCATTGGGCTTTGTGGACGCCTCCTTCGCTTGCTGGCTGCTTCAGCTGAAATGCCTGGGATCCGCTTTAGGCCCCTTTCAGTGACAAGCCAACAAGACCTGCAAACGCCTGTGCTCCGGCGCTCAGCGGTAAAAATGTGGGAGGTAGACAAGGATCCAGTTGGCATTTATAGGTAGGCGTCGTGAAGTTTCCCGTGGAACGAGAATGCCCCCAAACTATAAATTTGAACCTGGCACGCAAGGCACCGAGACAGATGCAAGCTGGGAAGAAGCAGCAACTGGACACGAGATCTCAATGCTGCTTCGGTACAAACGCAAGTGCTGAGGGGCAAGCGCCACTATGCACAACCATGTACACGGCAGTAGTGAAAGAAATTTCACGTCGCTTGATTCGACCCCAGACTATCCTTAAGCGAAAGTACATTCCGGCCCCGATCTCCAGGCCTGGGGGACTTCGGGGACAAATCACTTTCTCCTGTAGTATGCCCCTATGCCCCCTGGTCGAAGTTGTTGACCAGCGCATGGGCCCGATCACGGGAACAGCCGACTTCTGGACACGAACCGCAAGGCAGAAAGGACCACGACGATCCCGTCTCCCGTCTGCCGACAGAAAGTCAAAGTGAAGCACTGGTTTTGGAATATTACGCAGTCCTGTGGTGAAATGATCATGGAGCTTCGCTTTCCGCCGACAGCCGACCGGAGTCAGCCAGGCTTACGAAGGTTCTCCGTACAGATCGGCAGGCTGGAGGTGGAACATTCGTCATACGATGAGTGCCCAAGGAGCTCTACATAGGCGACCCTAAGGCATGAGTACGGAGTATATTGGCAAGGTATCGTTAACGGCAGCCTGTAACGGGAGGCGGGAAGTCTAACGGAACGAACAGGTCGTCATCTGCCAGAAATCTGCACCTTGTCAAGGGTCCGGCGATGAAAATTTAACTGGAGCCCCTAAAGCAGATTAGCTTTGGGGGACTCCCAAGGCGCTAAAAGGCTTGAGGGCCCTTCTCGTGCGATGTGCTTTGGCGTTGGCTTTGCATTAGCCGCACCCACGACCGAGAGGGGCCCAGGCGACCCAGGTTCAGTCCTGTCGACTTCCACGTTCTCCTCCAAATCCCTCCCACCTCCCACGACCATACGCTACATTCATTCGTCCGTACCCCCAGTGCCATCCCGCGCTCCCTGTCGCCTGCAATATGCGAGCCTGACACCTCCGTCGCCCGCTTAGAGGCGCATAACCTGCCAGCCATTCTCCGCGTACAGGTAGACCCTCAGTCCACCCAGTCCTCCACCTACCTCGAGCGCCGCAGGCTGTCAGTCCGCCTTGCCTTCGACAGTCACTTCGGTCAAGACATCGAAGGAGACTCGACGCAAGTATACTCGAGAAACAGAGACGCCTATCGATCTGAGTACGGCGATCACTTCCAGCCTTAGAGTGCGGTTCATTGCTGGGTCTCGAACGAGGGGACGTCTATCGTAAGGCCGTGATCAGCAAAAAGCAATCAACATCGGCCGCGATTTCGACGCCTCCCGAAGCTGGGTCACCTGGACATTTCAGCTTTTTCTGCCGTACCTGCATAAGCAACCACAAAGAATTCGACGGCGCGAAACCACGCTTCCCCGGGTCCATTGCTTGCTCCCCCGTACCAGTATTACACCTCACTCTCGAGACCTTACTCTCCCGGCGGACCTGTCTCACCAAGCGAACCGAGTTGCTGCGAACCACTGCCTATCCCACTTCTAGAACAAAAACACGAAACAGCTGTACACCCAAGGCCGACTCCCAGTGCCTTGGTTCTTCAAAATTGGCGTACCACCGGGGTCTTGCATCTCTCTAGCCTCGTCCCCATATCCAATACTCAGCTGTCAGATACCATTACTGTGGGTACCAGGCGCCTGTTCTCCTCGGAGGTTGGGCATGTCAGACCTTCGAGACCTATCAAGCAGCTGTCAAAGCCTCCCACTTTGCACTACTGCCTGGCTCGGCCACACCACTCTTCCCCGCTAGTTACTGCCCGTTCCCCCTGTTCGCAACAGTTCTTTGGTCATTCATATACCCAAAAATGGTGGAGGTCGAGGCTGCCATGCTTGATCAGTCCTCCTTGTCTCACGATCTGCCTAAAAGCCCCGAGGACATCAAAACTATGCTCGACACGACTTCCACAGAACCTCCTAAGAAGCGCCGGAGGGTGGCGAAGCCGAATGCGGAGAAGAAGTTCGAGTGCAAGCACGATGGTTGTGGCAAGAGTTACTCACGCGCAGAGCACCTGTATAGGCACCAACTGAATCGTAGGTTAGTCTCTACTACTCAAGGTATATCCACTAACTATCAAAGACACTCCGAAGACCATTTTTCGATGCGACTACCCCGATTGCAACCGCTATTTCGTTCGCCAGGACCTATGCATACGACACCGCGAGAGGCACACGACACACGGCTCCCAATTACACAAGCGAGATACCTTCGCTCAGTCTACCAGTCAACAGAATCCTCCCTCGGTCTCGCAGCAACAGACGGCGCCAGCTGGCACCTACAGACAACCTGAGATCTTCGCAAAGCCGACGCATGATCCTGGGCTGTCACGCAGCAACTCCGTATATCAGCAAGAGTCGAACGCCTTCGCGGTGCCACAAGTTCAACCAGCATCGACTACGAATCAAACAATATCTCCTTCGACAGCCTCGACTGACCTTCGCTACCACCCACAGACACCGCAATTGCCACCCTCGCGAGACCCCGGCCATACTCGTGCCGGGTCTTTCGGCAGCAATCCTTTGAGCCCTGATCAGAAACAAGATGTGAATATGTGGGGCGCAGCACCCAGGCGGCCAAGCTACGGTTCTGCGAATGGGCCGAGCGGGCAAATACCTTACACTGCCAACGATGCGCGCTTCTCTGGCGGCACGACCATGGCCGCGCCCTCTCCATCAAGGGCCTACTCTGCCTCCTCGTCCTCAACTAATCAGCCCTGGCCCGCTGCCCGACAGAACTCAGACGGCCAGATACAAGCAAGGTCCGATTCAAATGGCATGATGCCTATAAATGGCATGGGCGGCTATAATATGCAGGACTTCCATAGGGGAGATCTGAGCCGTGCCCAGGACGCGGCATTCGCTGCTGCGGTGACACAGGGTTTACAGAACGCACGAACAGACATGTACCCCTACACGACCCTAAATCCGATGACGACTGTCGATATGACCGCCTCAGGATACAACTATCCCACATTTGGTAGTGAAGAATTTGCCAATCCTTCCTATGGTCTGGCCGACGACTTTACTGCCTGGCTATTCAACGACGCTCAATCTGGGCCTACAGAATTCTCCCCGCCTACTTTTCTGCCCAGCTATCTCGACCCGCCTGTCAATCATGCCCACGGCCCGGCATTTTTGCAGAGCCCTGCTTCGAGTGATAATGTCAAATCTACGTTGGGCCACCCCATGAGTGTTACAAGCATCCTGGACAATACCGAACGAAGTCAATATATCATGTCCGAGGAGAAGCGGCGAGATCTCCTCACTCTGATGCAGACACAATTCATCGAGCGACCACACGATGCCGTCAAGAAGCGCAAAGACTCTGTATTCGAAGGCGATGTTGATAGTGAGGGGCACATTCTCAGCTTACGAATGATGCATACCTATATCGGCTCGTATTGGTATCATCAGCATGCTCAGTTGCCAATCTTGCACAAACCCACGTTTTCTGCAGACAGAACCCCGAACCTGCTACTTCTCGCAGTCATTGCCATTGGTGCCGCTACCTTGGACAAAGCCTACGGAACTTCGCTGACTGACTCGGCCGCGGAGTTTGCCAATTTCATCCTGTGGCATCTGCGATGGGAAATTGTGCGGGATGCGGATTTTCGACCTCCCGCAAAGCTCTGGGTTTTCCAGGCTCTCCTTCTTGTTGAAGTCTATGAGAAGATGTACTCCACTCGTGCCCTACACGAGCGCGCCCACATCCATCATGATTCCACTCTTACGCTAATGCGCCGCGGCAGCTCCCTGCTCGGACGTTCCGCCTCCGATACCCCTCCGTCTGGCCGCGATCTTGATAAGTCTCATACAGTCAACGGAACTGTGAGTAACAGCGATGAGTCCTGGCACCGGTGGATTCAAACCGAAGCTACACGCCGCGCTGCATTCGGCGCCTTTGTCCTCGATTCCATTCATGCTACGATGTTCGGTCACGCCGCAAAGATGGTCGCCCACGAAATGCGCCTGCCGTTGCCGTGTGACGAAGGTCTCTGGACTGCCGCTTCGCCTGCCGAAGCTGCCCGTGTACAGTCTGCGCTTCACACCAACGGTGTGAAACCGACTATGTTCCTTGACGGCCTCAAAAAGACTCTCAATGGTCAGCGAGTCCGCACCAACTCCTTTGGTCGAACCATCATTATGGCAGGTCTCCTTTCCGTGTCCTGGCACATGACGCAGCGCGACTTGCAAATATCTTCCCTCGGGCCACGTACCGCTAATTCCTTTGGAGGACTCGATAAGTGGAAGTCGGTGCTGCTGCGTGCATTCGATAACTGGAAGCGTGATTTCGATGAAGCACTGGCCGAGTCCGCGCCTGCAGCGTCCTCTCCTACGATTCGCCACGTCAATACCTTGGTCACAGCCACCGCCAGTAACGGCAGCGGGTCTACCGGGTCCTCGGTCCACCACTTTCTGCGACCGGTCGATGACGAGAACATTTTCGAGTCACGCACTGTGCTACACCACCTTGCACACATCGCCGCGCACGTGGACGTAGTCGATTGCCAGGTATTTGCGGGCGCCAATCGCTTACTTGGCCGCTCGGTCACACCCAAAGACTACAGCATCATCCGGGAGAAGATCGAGCGATGGGCAGGCAAAGCATCTGCGCGCGACGCTGCGTTCTATGCCCTCAAGTTTATTGCTCAGGTCATTATCCCTCCAGAGGGTCTGGAGAGCCTGCAGGGCACAGGGACAGGGCCAGCCAGTCTTGGACTAAGCAGATACTACGGACACGCAAGCCCGATTCTCCCTCAGGCATTCGAGCAGCGCATGTACATCGCACGAGACGACTTCCTGCTCAACCGACCTTGGGTGCTGTACATCAGCGCATTGGTGGTATGGTGCTATGGATTTGCGCTCGAAGGCCCCATCAGCCCACATCCGAAGAGCGAGGACTTTGACTCCTACGAGAAGAAGGAGCGTGACATGCTGGATTATATGACTCGCGTGGCGGGTGTCAGAGCGCCCGACGACTTGGAGCAGGTGACAGGCAAGAACCGGTGTTTGGGACTCTTGATGATCCTCAAAGACAGCTTCGGCAGCACGCGCTGGGAGCTGACGCACGAGGCCGCGGGCCTGTTGGGCAATGCGTGTCTTAAGCTGCGAGGTATTGAGGACGACGGCGACGCGCTGGTAGGAGAGATCGGCGGCAAAGAGGGCTGGGAGCCCAATAAGGACCTCGGGCCTGGGGCTGGCACAGTGGTCAATGGCATTGGCGTTGGCTGGGACGTGATCAGGGAGGCGCGGAGGGGCGATGTCACCGTCGCTAACGCTGCCAAGGTCTGAAATGCATGCATGATGTACGATGAGCGATGAACAGGACCTATGAATATCAAGAGAAGGCGATGATGGACAATGAGGCGGATCGTTGGGATTGGGGGAATGGCGCCATGTCGTTTTTGTTCAGTGCATATCATTTCCCCCTGTCGATTTTCTGTTGCGTTCCAGCAGGCGGCCCCAGCTGATTGTTTATATATACTCTTTGCTTTTGCGCTTCTTCTTACCATTCAAAGCTCATTGGTCCCTAAGGGGGGTCACAAATATCAAGTGCGCCACCGGATGCACACAGGGGGAGGGATGGAAAGGTAATGTCTGCCAAAAAAAGGTTTGTACTCTGGTCATAGATAGCATTCAGCATCCAGGTTTCAGCATTTTTTTGGTCTATTTTCTATTGTATCTGGCATCTCTCGCAAGCATCTGTTGTTCTGTTGCTCTGTCTGATCTAGCTGGCGCATCTGTACGTAATGTACGGGAAGGGAGGAAGGTAACGGAAAACAGGGAATGGGGCAACGGGGGGGAACGGGGAATTGGCAAACATGAGGGAACCGGTCCACACTTTGCACACATCCACATATACTCTACTTTGTTTGTGCATGCGGTACCTAGGTAGTAAATAGCAGGGAGGAAGTGGAGTGTTTAGGATGCGCTTCTATGGAAGACGATTGGACCTGGATTTGAATTGAGGGAATTCTCTGGTGTAAAGGCTCCTTCACGAAGGCTGGAAGCAGCGAGGCAGTCACAGCGTGGGTTGGATATCGTCATTTGATGGTGCATACGAACGGCTTTCCAGTTGCCGTCAGGGCTCATTAAGCTATTTTGATGAGTTGCGTGCCAGGTACAAATAGGGCAGCGCCGTGTGTGGCACTGCGAGTCATGGATTTGGGCTATAGTGCCGCAGCCTTCGCCTCTTCTTCCTTCCGGACCACCCATTTTTCGGCTTGGCCGATCAGCTCTTCGTAGACGGTCCATGCTAGCGCGCTGCTGACGGCTTTGCGGCCCATCCTGAGGCCAAGACCGTCGAAGAAACTCTTGATGCCATCTTCTTTGAGCATGAGCTTCGTCGCCTGGAGCATGTTGCCGTACTTCTGTGGAAGAAGCTGTAGGCGCGTCTTGACAGCGTCGAATGGATTAGTCAGTGTCGTTGCTGTCACGCCGGCGAAAACACCAGATGCTGCGTTGATGGCGGGGTTGGACATCGAGGGGGAGCTGAGGCTAGGTTCCGCTCCAGTGTCTCCCGAGTTGCGGGTCGACCATCCGGCCAGGTAGTTCTTCGAGGCTTCGTAAAAGACTACATAGAGGCCCGCATACGGCGCATCTCGCACCGCTGTTGCGCCAAAACCGGAGAAGAAGCCGCGAAGCCCCTCGCTGCGGTATATGGAGGAGGAAGCCGAAAATAAAGATTTGTAGTTGTACAGATCGGATTCATACCGGACTTTGATAACGGTGACTGGCATTAGGATCATGCCTGCGAACACACGGGCAGAGGCGCCTGTGAGCAGGTTTTGTGTGGAAGAGAGCTTTGGCAGCACGCTGCTACCAATCACTGGTGTGTTGGGTGTAGTTCTTTCGGCATTATTCGCGACTAACTGCCGGAGCGTGTGTAGGCTAGTAAAGTACAAGGCGGAGCCGAATCCTGTGCGCAAGGCAGACGGGACAGTGCCTCGCCATAAAGAAGTAATGGGATGTGGACCAGCGAGGATGGATCGTAGGACAGGAAGGAGGGATGAGCTGCGGGACTGTTGGACACGGGTCTTCAGAAGGTCGGCTGGCTGTAATAGAACAGCGGAAGAAACGCCGGAAGCGAGTCCAGCAACGAAATGGAAGGTAGGGTGGGCTTTCTTCGTAGATTTTGAGACCGCGCTGGAGGAGACGCCATTGGACATTTCTGGTAACAAGATGGCTATGGGGAGCTTGCGAAGTTCAGTGTGAAGCGGCGATAGTGCCTGGCCAGCATTATGGGAGGTCTAAGGTGTCAGTAATAAGGACATGGTAGAATGGTAAGCTGCGACGGTCGACGCGAACACGAGAAGAAGACAATGTGACAGCGAGAATGAGGCGGGTTGATGAAGTCAGTCTTGCCCGATTTGGTTTGCTTCGTAATGCGGGATTCCGCTTCTTGCGAAAGAGCTGTTATCCAGCCTTGTGAAATCCGGGGTTGGAATGATTCTGATAGATTCAGCCCATTCACATCTGCTATCATGATTCGAGCATCGATTTGTAGGAGCTAAAGCGACTCGGCTGCAGTGGGACATGGATCTGTAGTTGCAGGTACAGACAAAACGGCGGCGAGCTAGCGAGCTAGGGTTAGGGCTGCGTTGGCAGCCGATATCAAAAGACAATCGTTGCCTCGTCCTGGTTCCTTCGCCTAGCCCATCACCACTTCATAGACTCTCATTTTCTTCGCATTCGTTTTCTTTTTTGCATATTACTGAACAATCTTCCGTCTACTCGTGTCCATTTAGCGGTGTTAGATGTGGCTATGTCGATCTTACAGAGGTAAGTTCCCTGTTCCTCTTGTATCGCAGTCGTCGTACCAACACATTGAACAGCTTGAAACCTTTCTGGCCGATACTACTCACATTCGTCCTTCCTCGAGCCATCGGGTATTTTCGCGCTTTTCGAATAGCCTACCGCACACGGCCATCACCGCAACCACTTCCGAGAAAGGCATCTGTTGCCTTGAACCTTCTCTTCGTCACGATATGTGGCTTCTTTTTCGCTTCATTCTCAACCTTTGTCACTGATCAGGTCAACATTTTCATCCTGACCAACTCTCGACTCGCCATTCCCTCCGATGCCTTATTCAACCGTCTCGCAGCCGCTCGACCTGGCCAGACCCTCAGTTCCATGGATGAGCAGCTTCAAGCCAAACTTACCAGCACTGCTATTCGGAAGCTCTACCTTCGTTTTGGCCCCTCGACCATAGTTGACTGCCCTTTCTGTACGCCTTTTGACCCATCAACATACCTACTGTATCACTTCCCCAAGAACGTTGTCTTTCCCCATCTGTTCAACTTTGGCATCCTAGGCTTAGTTACCTCGCCGACTCTAGCCGGTTTCGAGCCTAGTCGATGGCGTTTCTACGTGCTCACTATGGCACTGCTTATAGCAGCTGGCGATGCTTACACAGTTGTACAATATCAGCCGTCCATAGACGTCAACATGCCGAGTCCTTCCGGTGCATTTTGGGTGCTGGCTGCCCTACGTCCATTAGCGTTATGTTTCTACGATAGCTTCGTCGCCTTTCTGATTTATGCATCGGCCACAAATCGATTCCTCCTGTTTTCCACTCCGGCCAAGGATCCAGAAACATCCAATCGCCAGATTCTCGATCTCATCACCAGAAACGGGATTGCTCTGACATCGGCAGCCACAAAAATGCGTGCCACAACCGTGGCGCGCAATGCTGTGGTTCGAGACTCTGGTCTGAAAGGTACCGATGACAAGTACTGGCAAGAGGTGGTTGACACCTTGGGCAAACAAAACCTGCAATCCGGTGTCTGGCAAGAAGAGGAAGTCCAAGCTGCAATAGCTCGAGCCTATGGAAATGGCACCATTGATGTCGAGAGGGTCCGCAAGGAGGCTGATGCTTTTGTCAAAGGCGTCACTCGAGGCCTGGAGCATGGTGATCAAGTGTGAGCCCTGGACCGAACCGCCACGTCAGGCGTTCTGCACCATTGGCGACGCCATCGAATCCTTCACGACAGAGCCTGATGGCACTGCTGAAGGCATGTGTCTTGTCAGTCGATAGGAAATGGTCCAATACTACGAGGCGGTTGTCTGGCGAAAACACAGCGACCAAATGCCCAACTCGGACACAGCTTCCCAGCCTGTCAAATCGGCCTTTCCACATCCCAGCCCGAACAATATGCCGTGGAAGCCACCAGAGCCGCAGAGTTGGGAAGACAATCATACACGCCGCTGGCGTCAGCTCTTCTGCACTGGCTCATTTCACAGAGTATTTTGCTCACGGTTATCGCCGTCTACGATGAAGTGGGAGCTTTGAGAGAAGAGTTCGCCGTAATATCTTGCGGCTTTAGCCTGTTGACGATGGTTCTTATTATCGTTGGGTTGATCATGGCAAGTTGCCTGATAGCCATAAGCCGTAATCGGCTACACGATGGCATGAAACTGGTAGGTAGTTGCAGTGCTGCCATTAGTGCTGCGTGTCGGTTCAGCGTAGTTTGACAAGGGAAGACAGATGCGATATTGAGAGAGGGCTTCTGGTTTGAGGAGATGTGGGGCTATAAGAAGACAGTCATGGTCCTGTGTTCAATAGCACGGTGGGGGAAGATGAGGTTCAACACTACACATTCAGCCGCACGTTCGAGCACTCATAGAGTCAGAAGACTGGCCCACCTCTCCAAGGCACAAGGTATGCATAGACAAACGAAGCAGGTATGCGAATCAGAAAGCAGGTTCTGGCAGGCTCCTGTAATTTGTGACGAAGGACTGAGGCGCTTTGGCAGTAGTCGCGGTAACCATGATGTTCGTCGTGACGCCTCTGTTCGAAACTAACGCCTTCGCTAAACCTGGCTGTGTATATCTCACCCTCGCAAATGCATATTCCTCCTCTTTGAGATGCCGGCTCTCAGCTGCAGGCCATAGTTTTCATGTCGCGTTTGGCAATACCCTGTCACAGATGCTGATCCGGACCGTGAGGAGCTGTCTGTCCACGGCGTCCCGGAACTTGCGAGATGCCGCGTCGTCAAAAGGGTCATTTCTTATCCGTTTCTGCTTTTTTCGCCGCAGCTGCAGCCAAAACACATAGCGAGTTAGTAAATTCGTCCCCGAACAGACAGACCCGCCGCGGGGGAGGGAGGTATGTCAGAAGGAAGTTTTTCCTCTACCTTGAGCTTGTTTTTCTCGCATGATGGCGGCCTGTGCCTCTTTGGTGCGAGCGAATTCAGTGCCTGACTGGGTGTTCTTGTTCTTCTTATTGCCTTCTTTAGCGAGGGCTTTCTCGCGGGCCTTTTCTCGCTGGTTGCCGCGGGTCATAATTGGTGGATGAGAGGTGTATGGGGATGTTCTACCACGGTGATGACAAAGAAGAGAGAGTCAGCTGGTGTGAGATAGAGATTCTTGGGCAGCGGGGCAATGGGGCACGGGAGGAAGATGCGAGCTTTGAGGGTGTGAGATCGGGCGGTGTTGCGCTGCAAGGCTGAGACACGAGGCTCCGTCGGTGTTTCATTGAACCGGAGACCTTGGCGTGGCATGACTTCAAACAGCACGTCGAGCGTGTTTCACGCCATAGATACAGCATCATATCATGAACAAGTTGTGAGCGTCATTGTCGTTGTTTTCATTCTCGGAGCCGTAGCTGCTCCAAATAAGACTGGCGACCCCGCCGGCGCGCTTAACGCGTAGAGTGGCCTTCTGCGGCCGCTTGTGTTTCAGATTCAGCACGACTTCTCTACAGGCGCTCCTAACCAGTCATTCGCGTTCAGGCAACAACGACTGAGTATCTCTCATTCTCTGACGGAACTATTCGAAGCAGGACCTGCCGACCGTGGCCAGACCATGTGGCGAAATGCTGCTCCCCATCCTCAAGTTCAACACCGAGGTCTCCTCTTGACTGAAACCGGGGCTGCAGCGCGGTGAAAGACCCAATAGTATTTCGGCAATTCATTGATACCTGATTCTTCCTCGACGCCATCCATTTCCGTTCAGGCGCGATCAGCTACTGACGGCGAGAACGATCGAAGGACACGGACTGCCTCTGGGCAGCAGGGTCGAGCAACTTCTAGCTGTGTGATAACCCGCGGGTCGCCCTTTGCTTCATTTCTTTCGTCTTGCCTGCCAGACAGACCGGCTTTCTATTCATACAAGGTCTCTCAATAGGCAGTGCCTTTCCTTTGTTTCCCCTCTTTGTCCCCTATTGTCACTATTCATTTGTTTCCTCAGCCCCATTGTGATATTCCGACCGTTCGAAGCCTTCTTACAAAAGCCCACATCTAATTGATGAGTTGAACTCGTCATCCCTTCTTCCGAAACGCACATCTACAACAACCTCACGTTGCAAATCTATCTAAAAAGCGATATCTTGACCCATTTATGTGGCTTTTAATCGCCAAACTAGCGATGCGATTCTTCGGAAACGTCGCCGGAGCCGGCTACGTCGTCCTCAACGGCATTCGCGCCCTCAATATCGTCGCTCTGCTGACCGTCATCGCTGCCTCTGGGTCCTTGCTGGTCAAGACCTTCGACATTGATGGATTCGGCTTCTTTGCTGCCCTCAGCCATTCGATCCGCATCCTGATTGCGCTGTTTCTCATCGTCTCTGAGCTACCGATTCTCAAGAACTACTACATCAAGAATTGGCCGCTCTTCAGCCCCCGGCATGGCTTTGTGATGCTTGGCTTCACCTTCCTCTTCTTGGGGGTCAACATCTTCGGTGAACTATCACACCGCGAAGCCAGCCAGAAGAGGCTCACTATGCCCTTCTGGCAACTCTGTCTTGCCGCTGGTATTCTCATGATCGTTATGAGCGTCATCAACATCATTGCCAGCTACATCTTCCGCGATGGCAAGAACAACATCACTGCGCGCCAAGTTCGGGCCCATGGCGCCGCGGCCTCGAAACACGCCGTCGATGTTGTGAGCGTTCAGTCACCAAGTCCTAACCGTGCCACTCGCTACCGGTCTTTCTTTCTGAGGAACAAGCAGGAGAAGCGAACCAGCCTTCCAAGCTATGAATCAACCCCGCACCGAGGCATGAACATTTCTAGTCCTATCTCGCCAGCCAGCTCGAAGTACAGCGGATATACACGAGGTCCAGTCAGCCCGGAGGCCGCCAAGCACCCTGCTGAGAGACATGGCAACATGATCTAAGCGACTCGTCCGCCATCCGCGTGACCAGAAAGCAATGAATGATTCGATGACTCTTGAGAAGGGGATCGGCGTTCCGGCGTTGTAGGGCAAAAAAATGATACCAGATGGAAGATACCACAGTCGTTCTTTGAACAACCCGCAGCAGTTTCACGCTGCTTGGCTACTATTGTACCGCAGTTCATAATGACACAACACTTCAAATTTAGTTTCACGCTTCATCTGTCTCCTGTCACTTGATCACATGTGGCCACGATATCCATTCGGTCCTTGCAACGTACACGGTGTATAGTCCAGCTAGAGAAGGTATGTAAACCCCTAACCCGGCCAATCACCATCTACCTACTATGCATGCATCAGCTTTCCCAAAAAAAATCGATGAACGCGCATCCTGGAACCATATTCTTCAGACATGTCAACAGCTACTGGCGGGTGATGTATGTAATCCATAGCTTCAGTCAGATTGGACATTGCAACGTCCATGACAGCAGACTCGCGTCTACTGTATCTAGGCAAGCATGCTAAACTGAACGTACTGTACACCTGGCCAGGCCCCTCGTGATTAATCTTCCCTATCGTAAACCCACTATAGTAATGTTACAGCAAACGCCAGCAAAGTGGAGGTTGTTATCAGGCCATGCACATGTTCTGGTGTTCCGTCCGGCGCTTCGCGTCGTCTGCAAATGCAGATGACAGATGACAGATGCAGATGACAGATACAGAAGTTCGTTATCGGCACCAGTTTCGAGTTCGGTTCGAATTGCGGGTGCGGGGCTGGGCCGGCCCATGCCACGACTATGGTCCTGTGGATCGAGGGGGACGGGAAATACGAAGTGATACTTTTTGTTTGAAAGGGCCGGGTTTCTTCGCTTGGCTCGCCCTTTTGTGAGGTTGCAGGGGAGCTGATTCCTGGTGACCGGTCTTGGAGGGCTGGGATATCGGCGGTTGCATTCTTGCGCGCTTTTCCAGAGACGGGAATCCTTTTTTGGGGGGTGGTGGGTAATGTGCAGGGCGTGGGGAGCATTTGGCTTGTGTTTGCGGTGTATCGTGCTGCATAAAACAGGTATGTTCGTTGGATATATAAGAGACAGAGCATACCATATACGCGGGTAGATCCATGGCAGCAAAAAGCTCCAAGACAGTATCATTTCCCAATCATATTGTCCATTTCTCATGTCTTCAATTCTCCTCGTGCCTCCCTATCTTCCAAACAACAGTGAGTCGCGAGCGAGACGTTATCCAATCCCAATAGCAAAACGTCCTCTCCTCCCTCTCGTCAAGTAAAGATCCAGCTCCTCCGCCTGGAGGAGCTCCTCTCCCTACCCCTCGACTTACTCCTGACCAAAAACATGTTATCATTACGATCCTTCACCACCTCTGTGACGTCCTGCTTGGGCCGCAGTGTGATGGTCACGTCCTTTTCGTAGCCGCTCGTGATGACCTTGCGTTTCTTGATGATGGTCTTGGTGTGCTCGAACAGCACCTGCTGGAAGTCGTCGTCAATGTACTTCTTGATGACGATGTATTCGGAGTTGTTCTGTATGACGAAAATGGTCAGCGAAGGATTACAGATGATACGGAGGAGCTAATGTCGTACCTTGTCCCACTCCCAAGGCAGCTGGTAATGATCCAGAGTGTCCGGTAGTAGGTATTTGCGATTGACCTTTATGTAGGTTGGTCTTGTCAAGTCAATGGCCCATTCGCGATCGCTGGGTCTTCGTTCTTTTTTACCCTTCATGAGTTCATCGATGCGGGCGTCGGAGTAGCCTGTATATATTATCAGCTTCGGTAGCCTCTATCGGGCAAAGTGGGGATAGTACGCACCCAACGCCTTGAACTTGTTTCTCATCTGCTCTTCGACTTCCTTGTCGTGCTTCTCCTTTTCCTTCTTCTTTTTGCGGGCCTTCTCCTCCTCTTCCTCCAGGATCTTGATGCGATACGCTTCCTGTTCGCGCTTCTTCTTGTCTTCCGCGTCCCTGGCCTCTTGGAGGATTTTCTCCCTCTGCCTCTGCTCCCTTCTCTTGCGATCCTCTAGTTCCTCCTCATACTTCTCCTGTCGCCGCTTCTCGCGCCGCTTCTCCTCTTCGATCTGGTCCTGGATACGCTCATATTCACGGCGGCGTTCGCGCTCCCTGCTTCGGCTTCTTAGTTCGTCACGTCTATTCTCGTACTCAATTTCGCGCCTGATATCGTCGCGGTCATAGCCGTACCGAGATGATCGGAAAGAGCCTCGAGACCTGTCGCTGCCGGGCGACGACTCGCGCCGCCTGCTGCGGCTGCGACGGTCATCGTCTACAGGTGGCGGGTTAACGATGAGATTGATCGGCTGAGGCTGGCCACTCATGCTGGCGGCGCGACGCCGCTCACCACCGCCTCCCTGCGGCACCAGGAAATTGTTGTTATAGACAGTCTCGCCGGGAGATCCACGGCGGCTGCGGCCGCGCCCGCCCCCGGCGACCAAGGGAACAGGGATGCGTACATAGGCGCTGTCCGAGTCTGAGTCGTCACCGTAGCGCGAGCGCGAGTTCGCGCGGGGCATTTGCACTTGCATTTTCGACAAAGCAGACGGGCATGTGAGAACGATCTCACAATCCGGGCGTCACTCTCGCAGCCCTACCAAACCGGTCAGGGTAGGCCCTTCCGAGGCGGCGTGTAGATAGGGCTGAGTTGGAGGAAACGGGGCGTGGACAGGCGGGGTAAATCGAGCGCCTAGGTAATGAGGGACCAAGGCGCTGACAAAGACAGAATATGCTAGAGTTGGGCGTCGCTTGCAACTCGGTATAGCGAAAAAGCTCTGGAAAAGGCTCTGAATTGCCAGCCTGCGACGAGGAAAACGGAGGGCTGGTAGAACTTGTCGAAGATAAAGAGTCAGAAGCAATCCTTCAGCTTGACTGAGGAGGGACTGACCTCGTTTATCAGGAGGGCTGGAACGCGGCTACCCAAAGGTCCTTAGATCCTGGGTCGCTGGGTCCTGTGCCAAAGCCCGGCCGACCCTGTGCAGCGGTCAAGAGACTTTTTGGCCTCCACCTGTTAGTGGTCATCTGTCACGGTATCGAAAGCCACCAACGCGTGCAATACGCACTGTAACTTGCCACAGCACGGAGATGAAGCGTTATAATTTTAGGACGATTTGTCGCAGGGGCCGCCGGCCCCTGCGTCCAGCATTTATTTCCTATGACTTGAGCGCGAACTTCTTGACACAATGGTGCTACGGTCGGCCACAAACAGGTGTTTGATCCATTCTGTGTATCGTCATGAACTGGTATGCTGTGTTTGACTGCCCACTATTTGCGTAACACGGGTCCAGGATGCTCTGGGGGCCTGATTTCTGCCAAATCAGTCGCGCATTTTATGGATTACCACAGATTATTGCCATTTCGTGACGATGATGAGCGTCTTTCTGTGGCGGAGTTCGTCAGAGGCAATCGGCAGCTGCTGCAGCTCAATGACGCTGAGGCTCGCCGCATGCCGCATGCCCGCCGTAGAATACATGATAGCCCACGTTGGTCTGCCCCTCCCTGCATGGGGGCTGACCAAACTAGCAGGCTCCATGCCACTTATACATGCGCAAAAGTTCAGCCGCATCGCTGGTCCAGGATCGGGATTCGACAGCTGGCAATCTCAAACAGACGAATACCGGTGTTACCGATCTCATGTCAGAGGCATTACCTGTCTGTGTGCTGGGTGATAGCGAGCGTCAATGACCGGACATTGGATATCGAGAATCCCGAAACGCAGGTGACCTCCGCTAGCGGCGCTGTATTCGGCGCGCAGGGAGCCATGATGCATGCCGCACGCGCTCATGGGAGATGTTATCGTGCACCGCTCTGCAAGATCTTATCAATGTGCTCTCGGCTGTTCTTGAAGGTGGTCTCTTGGTAGTGTAATTTCTTGTCCAAGTCGGCGATATCTTTCTTCAGAGTTGCAGACTCCGATGACAGGCGGGCGTCGACGGTTTTAGAAGGAACGGCAACAAACCTGGGAAACGAATCAGCCTGTGCGGTGGGGAGAGAGGTGCAGGACTGACATCTTGCCGACACCCTCGTAAACATTGGTGTCCTTTGTCAGTGAAGCCAGCTCATTGCTTGTGAGCTGGTTGAGGCGGGCCTCGCGCTTTTTCGCATTGATCTCGGCCTGTGTCTGCTGGATCTTTTGCTGCGAGACGAGAGCCTGTGTCTCGACCTCTTGTAGAAGCTGGATGATACAAGTCAGCAAACGCGTCCTGGACATCAGAAACCGTCATACCTTTTGCAATGCTGCGTTTGGAATTGACATGCTGACAACAGATGTGAACGATGTGTTGACCGGAGAATGCTTGGAGCGTATTCTGTTCCGCAGATCTATGGAATTTGTGGAATTGCACGTGCCGCCGCGTTGCCTGGAATTCCGGGCGCGACGTCACTCGTCTGCGTTTCGTTTCGAGCATCGCGGCCGCCTTGATGTCTAAGCTGCCCACATATCCGGGTTTTTCCTGTCTCATTTTATGAAGACCTTTTTCCTTTCGGGACTCTACAACTCTCACTACGCCATGAGAACAAGCAGTGTTTTCGGTCTGTAGTGACGAGACCCTCACTCCGTCGCCTCACCGCACACCCACAGTCGATCCAGGCTTGGGCCCCTCCGGTCCTGTAAAACCATGCCAACATGGCTTCCCTCGGTATGTGCGAATCTGTACCGAACTGATTGTTCCTCTGGAGGATGGAAAGTGCTGACAAGCCCACCCGCAGAAGCCATACCCGCCCCCCGACCAGCCTGGCTACTGGCAGCCTCACAGCGCGACTCTCCAATGGTGTGAAGAGGACTACTACGCCTCGTACTATGTGGCAGAAATAATCAACACCTTCACCAATCTCATGTTCATCTATCTCTCCTACAAAGGCGTTCGCAGCTGCTGGAAGCACGGCCACGACAATGTTTTCACCGTCGCCTACTTTGGCTACTTTCTCGTGGGTTTCGGCAGCCTCATGTTCCACGCCACGCTGCAGTACCCGTGGCAACTCGTCGACGAGCTCAACATGATCTACACCACCTGCCTCATGGCCTATGCGTCCCTGTCATACTCAAGGCCCGTTGGCATGCAGATACTGCTTGGAATCTTCCTGACCGCGCTCTGCCTCGGAATTACACTGTACTACCACCACATCCAGGACCCAACCTTCCACCAGAACGTCTACGCCGCCATGACCGTCTTCATCGTTTTCCGCTCCGTGTACAGCATGGAGTCAACTTTGCGCCCTCACTTCCGCCGCAGCACCGAACAGCACCGCCGCGAGATCCAGGGCCGCAAGCTGCCCGTGCCAACGAAAGCGGATAACGATGCCTTCAACACCCGCGACACGCTGATCCTCAAGAACATGTGGATCCTCGTTGCCTACGGCGTCAGCATCTTCCTTTCCGGTTTCGCCATTTGGGGCATAGATAACGTCTACTGCGGCACCCTCCGCCGCTGGCGGCGCGAGCTCGGCATGCCGTGGGGCTTCTTCCTCGAGGGGCACGGCTGGTGGCATCTGATGACCGGTATCGGCGCTTACTGCTATATTGTCTGGGGCATCCATTTGCGACACGTCCTGAACGGCGATCAGCACAGGTTCCAAATGGTGTGGCCGAATTGGTACACCCTGCCGGAGATCGTCAAGGTCGACGGGGTGGGGCAAGAGAAGGAAATCGAGTTGCAGGTCAACGGCACGCCGGTCAATGGGCATAGCAAGAAGACGAAATAGAGTGGATTGAGGGCAGTAGATATGCTCTGTCCGTTTGGTGATACATTGTTTCTTGGTTTCCCATGATACCCCTGTAGCTAGAGAATAGATGGCATCGAGCGCTAGATGGGTAGCGGGGAATGGAAATGAATCTGGCAAGCATCTTTCACTGTAAGTGTCTATCGTTCTTACAGCATTTATATGTCACGACTCGAGACTTCAGCCATGGCAGCAGCAGCGCTCTGGTGTATGGTAGGTTTACCGACATTCTACAGACGGCCAGAAAGCTGTGGTCATTGAAGCATTTATATTCACCACCCCAGCCCAGCACAAAACTCCATACTCAGCCACCGCTCCATCATGTCAAACTCGAACGAGGAATTAGGGCAGCAACCAGCTAGTAAGCAAAGCACTATATCTGCATGCAAAACGAGACGAAGCAAACACACCACGCAGAATACCTCGCCTCGTCTCCCATCGAACCTTTTTCTACAAACCACACACACCCTGCCTCCCTGCTCCTTTTTATGTCTCGGCCTCCCCTTCGCCCAGACCCGTGCCTCCCTCCTATCTCGACACCATGCTCGCTAATGAGACCAAACAATGAATCACTTCTAGCCTTTCCACACAGGTGCCCAACTCATACCCGATAGGTTTATCGAGAAGCGCACGTTAAGAGTCGCACAATTCATGAAAGCGTCAACAGTCGCGATCGCTCAAACGCTCGAACACAGCATATTGAAAGCCCTCTCGGATGTCCAAGGTACAGCCGCAGTCACTCCCCGCCCTTGACGGTGGGCGGGCTATCCTCGACGCGCGCAAAGTCCTCGATGCTCGTCTGGTTCTGCTGCGCCAGCGTTGGGCCTGGCGAGCCCTGGTCCTCCGGTGTGCGTGGCGCCGTTTCTACTGCCGCAATGAGTTCTCGCGGATCAAAGTTCTCCTTGTTCATCACGTTGACGGCCGTGTCGGGTCTCTCAACCTCATTTTCGGGCCCCTTGCCACCCTCTTTGGTCTTGTCCCCTTCCTTGGCCTTGTCCCGCGGACCCGTGTTTCGCTTCACCACTCGCGGTAGAGCCCTTTCGGGGCTTCTATTCCGGCTTGGTCCGGAGTTGCTCACGTTGGCCACCTCACGCACCCCGTGGATGACTTCGCGCATGCTCTCCTCCAGATTTGTGAGGCGCGCCATCATCAACCGCGCCATCCGCTCCTGCTCGTCGTCTCTGCTCTTCCGCTCTCGGTCGCCCCTCGATGCCTGGAACATCTGCGTCGCAAAACTCGCGGGGATCGCACCAACGTATCCACCTCCAATAGCCTGATTGTCGCCAATATCACTGACGATGTCCATATGTGCATTCGGGCGTTCGCGTGTCTCTCCGCGACCGGCCGCGCGTGTGGGTGTCATAATGCCGGCAAGGGTCGGTGCGGATCGGAAGGCCGGGTTATCCTTGGTGGGAAGAATCGGGCGCATAACACGTGCAGGCCTCTTGGGTGTTTTCCGGCCACTCGGGCCGGCCGCGACTGCAGCGGTGATGCCGGATGAGGCAGACTTGTTGATAGGACTTGCAGTTCCAGAGTTGTAGGGCTGGGTTTTAGCAGCAGTGGGGTCTGTGGCTTCACTGCTGGACTCGGGCTTGTAGATCTGAGTTGCGGTAGAAAAGTTGCGGAAATGATAACGAGGTGCTTGCTTTGGTGAGCGGGTGACAGGCAGGTTAGACTCTCCGTCGCTTGTACCTTTGCGCGATTCCACAGGACTCATCTTCTTCGGCGTCCTTGTTCGAGGCGAACCCTGCCGGGCAAAGTAGTCGATAGAAGGTTGGAGCTTCGGCCGAGACATTTCCGGGCTGTCGGTCAAGTGCGTTGACTGGTCCATCTCATCATGTTCTTCGTCTGGGGCGAGCTCGTCGTCCCCATCCGCGTCGGTCTGCTGTGAAGGGCCCTCGACGTGCGATGGCGTTATTTCCTCAGTAATAACGTTTTGACCGGGCGAGAACATATCCGTGATAGACCTGAAGTCCTCTGGATCAGATACCACCGAAATGGTCCTACGAGACGCTTGACGAGCCCGGAACGATCTCTTCCATTGCCCCGGGGTCCGTTGGCGTTCAAGTCGGTCGACAACTTTGCGATCCTGCTCTGGAGGCGGACTAGCTAGATCGTCACCCATGTCCTTCATCCAGTTGTTTACAGCCGTGCTCGTCTGGCGGCGATCCCGGCTCGGATCCTGGCGACGAGTCGAATCTGGCAATGCCCGAAAGACCTCTTCCAGGGCACGATCCTGTCTAAAGGTTGCGATGGAAGGTTCACGCGCCAGGCGAGGAAGTTTCGGCGCGTAAGGACGCTTAGGTCGACCCCTGCTCTCTACTAGGTCCATCGAATCGTATACGGATGACCCCAGGAACGTGCGTTCATACAGATAGATCGAGAACAGGATTGGGAAGTGCGTAACCTTGATGATTGTGCGATTTATCTTGACATACTGTCGGAACGGGACAAAGTACCGCAACGGTGTCAATAGCCACTGCAATATGTTTGTTGGCGCGACGTATGAAAAAAGAGCGTCCGACTTGACACTGGCGATGGTGTTGACGGCGAAAACGTACTGATGCTCTTCATTGGCATTCTGAACAATAGCCATGAAGGAATTCGTGAGAACCGTGATTAGGATGACGACGATCAGAAAGTGGGCGATGAAGAGAAACAAGGTCAGTATGATCTTTCCCAGCGTATTGTAGCTGCCCCATCTATCCCACGCCGCTGGTGTAAAGCCCATGAGGATCTGCAACAAGGCATAGGCGACGTTCCCCGGAGTATCAAGGTTATCCTCGCCAAATGCTAAGGTTAACGCCACAAAGAAGCCAGAGCAGCTTACCAGAATGAGGACTAAGATTGCTATGAGATCTTGAGCCATCATTCTGAAGGCGATGAGCAGCTGCGAGAAATACTTGTAATGATCGAGGACCGAGAATAGACGAGGGAACAGCAGAATAGCGTCCGCGGCAAGCACATCGTAAGCCATGTTGGCAATCGTGTGTTTCCGAACATCGGCAATAGCTATGCCATAAAATCGGAGACAAAGGTGGATGAACAAGAGTGCTAGAATGCCAAGGTCGAAAGTGTTCCAGAAGGATGCAATGTACAGGCTGAAGCCCTGTTCATTGAAACCGACGACTTCGTCTAGCATGTAGCCTCCAGCCCAGAACCAGAAGATCACTTCCAACGTTGTAATCTCGAGAGAGCGCTGTATTAGGACTGCAAGGAAAAGCCCCAGTAGTACAGCAAAGGACAGCGTGGACAAGATGTTCCTGTAGCGAGGCACCCGCAAGCGAGACAGCTTCAACAATGACGCATCGCGAGGATTGTAGATGGTTACCGCTCTGCGTAACGATGCCGTGTCGGGGTCTTCGTGTTTGATGGCATCGATTGTTCCATAGCCTGGGGGTTGTCGATTGCTCGGTAATTTTCGATGCATGCTGTCCGCAGCAGAATGAAACACTATGCTGCCAGCCCAGATGGCCTCTAGTTGTTGTACAACAGTGGGATGAGCAAGGAAGCGCTTCGCCTGCGCTCGGAGAGCCACCTCGTAGCAAGAGATTCTCGCGACCCGTGGTGGGACCCGCCGTTGAACTGTCGTGGGGTTGCCATTGATGGTGACTGCAGCAGCTTCGACTTGGCCTTGGAGGGGATCGAAGTCATACGAGAGTGCATCGATGAGCTCCCGTGTAGAATAATCCCGCAACAATCTGATGGCAAGTAATTCGCACAGCATTGCTCGAGTCTTGCTTGTGCCACTGTTCGCCGGATTTATGGCAGCTTCTTTTGAAAATTGTAAGCAGTTTGCCAGGAGAGCGTATTCGGTCGCAGCATTGAAGTGACTTGAGGTAATTTGCTGCAGGATGGGTCGGACTAAGAATTGCGAGACCTGAGGAGAACGCAGCTGGTCCCATGAAAGCACGGTCTCACATCTTGAGACCACCATCTCCCGGATGATGTGCGTGAGACTAAATACAGGGACGGCATCTAAGGTCGCAGACGAAAAGATGGGTAGTAGTGGACTACTGGACTCGTTTTCGTCTCCTTCATCGTCCTCGTCCCCTTCATCTTCGGGCTCGAGGTCCTCCTCTTCGTCCTCCTCTTCACCACTGTGCTCATCGTCATCGTAGCTGGCGTAGGAACGTGGGAAGGATGCCCGGGGAAGACGACCGAAAGCAGAAAACGGTCTTCGCTCGGTGGAAGGCGAGGTTGGACGGTCAACGCGCGACCTACGTCGCTGACTTCGAGATCGCAGCAAGGAGGAGAACATGCCGAAATCTCGTCAAGACGCGCAGTCAGAGTCCCGGAAAAAGAGACGGCCGAAGAGGATGCTATAAATTCTGATGCATGGTCGTTAATAGTAAGTGCTCAGACGCGTTGTTTTGCGGAATGGAAAACACGACAACAAGATGTCGCAAGCAGATGGCCAAAGGAGGCGATATCGAGTGTCACGACTCGATAAGGCGATGATGCAGCTAGTTAACAGACGAGCGGAGGGAAAGGGTTTGCTAGAGGAGTTTAAGGTGGTGGTGATGCTGCACCCTGGTAATACCAAGTAGGTCTCGCCGAGCGCAGACCGGGCCTGCACCAGCGACTTAGACCATATGACGGAGAGCACATCCACAATTCGCACCCCGCGAATTTATGCAGAGTCGATCGCATTATGGTGCACCGGAAGATGGTGCATTACGATTGCTGAATGTCGTACAGAAACCTGGAGACAGAAAGTCAAGGAGGCGAACAGTGATAACAGCATGGGACAATGATTGGTGAGGGCTGCAGCTGTCATCGTACAGTCTCTAGCTACCTTCGCTAGACGTGGGGGTCTGCATGCGCATGGACAAGGGTGCCTACTCCGGGAACATCTCCCGCACAAACCACACTGCATGGAATGACATCTGCTAAAAGGGCCTCACCGCCGTTCCACATTGCTGACGGTTGGTGCCCGCACTAAGGCCGGCGAAGTACAGCATGAGCGTCGAGGAGGTGTGCGAGGATGAATTGTGAATCTGGTTCGGTAGATCTGTAGGGCTGAGATCTTGAGAGCTATGATTGGTTGACGCGTCTTTTGCTGGCGACCCACCAGACCGATCGGCCTTGGCATAAAAAGTATCCTGAAGTGTCAACTTTTTGGCAAAAGTTTTGTTCCTGTCGTATGAGCCACAAGGATAGCTTGCGAACTCTCGCAATCCTTAGCAATAACATTTCATACTCCCCGAATGTATCCATGATCAATTTGGCTCGGATCTAAGCCGGCCTATTGTCTCACCATGCCTCGATCTCAATCTACAGGTCTGGAGACCAAGGCACTTGGTCTTCCCCAGAGTCCTTCACTGGCGGCTGCAGCTGGCGGAACCTCGACAGAACATCCGGAATCGGCGATAGTACCACTGAAGAGCGAGCGAATTGGCTCCATCGCCGAAGTTGCAGCATCCACCACCTTTCAAGGGGCCCAAAAAACGTCCTACCTAGAGCTCCAAGATGGCCGCGTCTTTCAAGGGCTCAGCTTCGGAGCAGAGAAGAGCGTGTCTGGAGAGCTGGTGTTCCAAACCGGCATGGTCGGATATCCAGAGTCCATCACCGACCCCTCTTACCAGGGTCAGATTCTAGTCGTCACTTTTCCACTAGTTGGCAATTACGGCGTGCCAGGGCGCGAAGTCAAGGATGACTTCCTACTTGATCTTCCCAAACACTTCGAGTCGAGCAAAATCCATGTTGCTGGCCTCATCGTGGCCTCCTATGCTGGAGAGCAGTATTCCCACCACTTGGCAACATCATCGCTTGGCGCATGGCTCAAGGAGCAGGGAGTCCCGGCTATTGAAGGAGTCGATACCCGGGCTCTCACAAAGATCATTCGCGAGGAAGGAAGTATGCTTGGCAAGATCCTGCGAACCAAGGACTCCCAGCAGGCGAATGGGACGAGCGTCACTAACGGTGACCACTCACACCCCCAAAACTGGCGAGATCTGGTCGAATCTGTGGAGTGGCACGATCAGAATAAGGAGAACCTCGTGGACCAAGTCTCACTCAAGACCCCTCGACTCATAGCTCCTCCCAAAGGAACAGCTTTGATGCATCCGAGCGGCCGCCCGGTGCGCGTCCTAGTTGTTGATATCGGCTTGAAGTACAACCAGCTCCGATGCCTGCTATCTCGCGGAGTGGAAGTCATGGTGGTGCCGTGGGACTATGACTTCCCTGCTCACGCTGGCAAAGACTATGATGGTTTGTTTCTTTCCAATGGTCCCGGAGATCCTGCAACCTTGGCAAAGACAGTGTCCCATATCTCTGAGGCGATGAAAGAAGGCCGCACTCCGATCTTCGGCATATGTCTCGGTCATCAGCTCCTCGCTCGTGCAGCAGGCGCGAGCACTCTGAAGATGAAGTTCGGCAACCGCGGGCACAACATTCCTTGCACAAATTTGCTCTCTGGGAAATGCTACATCACGTCACAGAATCATGGGTTTGCTGTGGACTCGATGACGTTGCCTGAAGGCTGGGAAGAGCTCTTCGTTAATGCCAACGACGGGAGCAACGAAGGCATCAGGCATGTTTCTCGTCCCTATTTCAGTGTACAATTCCATCCCGAGTCAACCCCAGGACCACGAGATACCGAATTCCTGTTCGATGTCTTCATCAAGGCAATCATGGACAGCATCCAAGCCGTTGATGCACTATTGAAGCCTGTCACATTTCCGGGCGGCACCATAGAAGAGAATGATCTGGCGCACCCGAGAGTCAACGTCAAAAAGGTCCTCGTTCTTGGCAGCGGTGGCTTGAGTATTGGTCAAGCTGGCGAATTCGATTATTCCGGAAGCCAAGCTATAAAAGCCCTGAAGCAAGAAGGTATCTACACGGTCCTGATCAACCCTAACATCGCCACCATCCAGACTTCAAAAGGTCTTGCAGACAAGGTCTATTTCTTGCCCGTCAACCCCGACTTTGTGCGCAAAGTCATCAAGCACGAGCGGCCAGATGCCATCTACTGTACCTTTGGCGGTCAAACGGCGCTACAGGTTGGCATAGCTCTCAAGGATGAGTTCGAGGAGCTTGGAGTCAAAGTGCTCGGTACGCCGATCGACACCATCATCACCACTGAAGACCGTGAGCTCTTTGCCCGAAGCATGGAGTCAATTGGTGAGAAGTGCGCCAAGTCAGCGTCCGCCAACAACATCGACGAGGCTATGCGCGTCGTCGAAGATATTGGATACCCGGTCATCGTGCGAGCGGCTTATGCACTGGGTGGTCTTGGGAGTGGTTTCGCCGAGGATGCGGACCAGCTTCGCGACTTGTGTACGAAGGCTTTCGCAGCCAGCCCACAGGTCCTAATCGAGCGCAGTATGAAAGGCTGGAAAGAAATCGAGTACGAAGTGGTCCGTGATGCTCGCGACAACTGCATCACTGTGTGCAACATGGAGAACTTCGATCCTCTCGGTATCCACACAGGCGATTCAATCGTCGTTGCGCCTTCGCAGACACTGTCCGACGAGGACTACAACATGCTTCGGACGACAGCCGTGAACGTCATTCGGCATCTAGGTGTCGTTGGAGAATGCAACATTCAGTACGCCCTCAACCCATTCTCCAAGGAGTACTGCATTATCGAAGTCAACGCTCGTCTATCCAGATCCTCAGCTCTGGCATCTAAGGCTACGGGGTACCCATTGGCTTTCATCGCCGCTAAGCTGGGCCTGGGCATTCCTTTGAACGAGATCTCCAATTCGGTAACGAAGAAGACTTGTGCCTGCTTTGAGCCATCGCTCGATTATGTGGTGGTCAAAATTCCCAGATGGGATCTGAAGAAGTTCACCAGAGTCTCTACCCAACTTGGTTCTTCTATGAAGAGCGTGGGCGAAGTTATGGCCATTGGCCGAACGTTTGAGGAGGCCATCCAGAAAGCTATACGCGGAGTCGACTTCTCAAACCTGGGCTTTTCGAACATTGCCAACCCTCTGATGTCGGTGGACGACGAGCTGCAGACACCATCGGACCAGCGTATGTTTGCGATCGCCAATGCCATGCACGAAGGCTACAGTGTGGACAAGATCTGGGAGATGACCAAGATCGACAAGTGGTTCTTGTCCCGTTTGAAGGGTTTGAGTGACTTTGCGAAATTCCTCACGAAATTCAAAGCTACAAATGTCCCTGTCGATCTACTTCGGGATGCGAAGAAACTCGGATTTTCCGATCGTCAGCTCTCCAATTATCTTGACTCGACTGAACTCGCTGTGCGCAAGCTCAGAGTCAAGGCTGGCATCAAGCCAGTTGTCAAGCAGATTGATACCGTTGCGGCCGAGTTCCCCGCCTACACCAATTACCTCTACTTGACATACAATGGATCTGAGAGCGATGTGGTATCCAATGACAAAGGCATCATGGTTCTAGGATCTGGTGTCTACAGAATCGGTTCCTCTGTTGAGTTTGACTGGTGCTCTGTGAGGACTATACGGACCCTGCGCGAGCAAGGCTACAAAACCGTCATGGTTAACGTAAGTCATTCCCGATAGCCCTCCGAAAACCACCTCGATCCTTAGCGGGGAGCGACAAAGTTGACCAGCGGCTCCCCGAACTCATAGCAGAGGAGGCCCAAAAGCCTCTGCCGTGAGTTCGGGTGGCCCGCCCAGAAATTTGGTCGACCCCTGATGGCCCAATAGCTACCCTCACGTTCAGACCCCTGCTAACTTCCCTACAGTATAACCCCGAGACTGTCTCCACAGACTACGACGAGGCCGATCGTTTGTATTTCGAGAATATCAATCTCGAAACTGTCCTCGACATTTACGGCCAAGAACAGTCTAGCGGCGTTATCATCTCCATGGGTGGCCAGACACCGAACAACATCGCTCTACAGCTCTACCGTGCCAATGTTACGATCCTGGGCACTTCGCCTGAGATGATCGACACCGCTGAGAATCGATACAAGTTTTCTCGAATGCTGGACCAAATCGGCGTTGACCAGCCATCATGGAAGGAATTGACGAGCATTGCCGACGCTTTCGATTTCTGCGAGAAGGTCAAGTATCCGGTCCTTGTCCGTCCGTCCTACGTGCTGTCAGGCGCTGCTATGAACACCGTCTACTCCCGCGATGATCTGGAGAACTACCTCAAGCAGGCCGTTGATGTCTCTCGAGATTACCCCGTGGTAATTACCAAGTACATTGAGAACGCAAAGGAGATTGAAATGGATGCCGTCGCCAAGAACGGTACCATGACTGGCCACTTCATTTCCGAGCATGTTGAGAATGCTGGTGTCCATTCAGGAGATGCTACCCTCATCTGCCCCCCACAGGATTTAGAGCCTGAAACCATCGCTCGTATCGAAGAGGCCACGCGAAAGATTGGCGATGCTCTTAACGTCACTGGCCCATACAACATCCAGTTCATCGCGAAGGATAACGAGATCAAAGTCATTGAGTGCAACGTTCGCGCCTCCCGCTCTTTCCCCTTCGTTTCCAAGGTCATGGGTGTGGATCTGATCGAAATGGCAACCAAACTGATTGTCGATGAGCCGGTTGAGCCATATCCAGCAATCAACTTGCCAGAGAAGTACGTTGGCGTCAAGGCTCCCCAGTTCTCGTTCTCTCGCCTCTCAGGAGCAGATCCAGTCCAAGGTGTGGAGATGGCATCTACTGGAGAGGTCGCTTCTTTCGGAAGGGATCGATTTGAAGCCTACATGAAGGCTACCATATCCACAGGCTTCAAGCTGCCCAAAAAGAACATTCTGCTTTCCATCGGATCGTTCAAGGACAAGGTGGAGATGCTACCGTCATGTCAGAAGTTGCACAAAATGGGATACAAGCTGTTCGCTACGGCCGGCACCGCCGATTTCCTGGAAGAACATGGCGTTCCCGTCAAATTCCTCGAATCACTTGGCGATAGCAGCAAGGAGCAAAAGTCTGAATACTCATTAACGCATCACCTGGCCAACAACTCCATTGACCTCTACATCAATTTGCCCTCCAGCAACAAGTTCCGTCGGCCTGCGAACTACATGAGCATGGGTTATCGGACGAGACGAATGGCTGTCGACTACCAGACGCCGTTGATCACCAATGTCAAGATTGCAAAGATCCTCATCGAGGGCATTGCCAGGAAGTACGACTTGAACATAAGCAATGTCGACTTCCAGACGAGTCACCGCAGCGTTGTCCTTCCAGGTCTGGTCAATATTGCCGCCTTTGTTCCTGGTGTTGCAGAGACAGGTTCGCACGACTTCTCGCTTGTCAGCAAAGCCTCAGTGGCTGCTGGCTTCAGTATGATTCGAGTAATGGCAGTGGGCTTCGAGACTGCCATAACGGATGCCAAGACACTCAAGGCTGCGCAAGCCAACGCGGAGTTTGCTGCATACACTGATTACAACTTCTCGGTCGCTGCAACTGCGACTAATTCGGACGAGATATCCGGTTTGCAGAGCGAAGTTGGGTCACTTTTCATTCCTTTCAACCACTTGTCTGGTAACATCAACAAAGTGGCAGCAGTGACAGCTCATTTCTCTACCTGGCCGGCAAGCAAACCAATCGTGACAGATGCGAACACGACCGATCTGGCGTCGATACTTCTACTCGCTTCCCTGCACGACCGCAAAGTGCATGTTTTGAATGTCACCTCTAAAGACGATATCAAGCTGATTGCTCTGTCCAAAGAGAAGGGCCTGAAGGTCACGTGCGATGTGTCTGTGTACAGCTTGTTCCTCTCGCAGAGCGACTACGCGGATTGCATAGCGCTGCCAACCGCGGCTGACCAAGCAGCCCTCTGGAGACACCTGAAGACTATCGATGTCTTCTCTATTGGCAGCCTCCCTTATCAGATTGCGGGCAAGCAGGCAGTCCCCACTGTGGGCATTGCTGATGCTGTGCCGCTCCTGCTGACTGCCGTGTCAGAGGGACGAATGACACTGGACGATCTTATCGCCAAGTTGCACCACAACCCAATCTCTATCTTTGAGCTCAACGAGCAGAGTGGAACCTCTGTTGAAGTCGACATCGATAGACCTTATGTGCTGCAGGCTGGTGAGGTCTGGTCACCTTTCGTGGGCCGCATCATGCGTGGCGCCGTTACGCGTGTGACCTTCCACGGCAAGACCGTATGCTTGGACGGGGAAGTGTCCGCGGACTTGTCTCGAGGCACGGACATGTCTACCTTCGTGAGCCCAAGTTCGCCCGAAATTAAGGCTGTCTCCTCGCCAGTGATCGGGGCGCAGGCAGCCAGCCCGTTCGATCGCAAGCCGTCGCTGATCGATGGAAGCATCGCGCGACGGATGTCTCTTTCGCAGCGGCCACGTCCTTCAGTTCGCGCCCGAATTGCCGAGGACCATCTCGAGCCAGGCGCTGGCGCACAATCAGCGCTTATTGCCCAACCAGTGCAACAAAGCATGATTTCTCCCTCGCTGCAATCGTTACTTTCATCATCCCCTCTGCGCAACCGCCACATACTTTCGGTGAACCAGTTCAGCCGATCTGACCTACATCTTCTCTTCACTGTAGCGCAAGAAATGCGCCTGGCAGTGCAGAGACAGGGTGTGTTGCCAATCTTGCAATCAAGAGTGCTCTGCACAATGTTCTATGAGCCGAGCACACGAACATCGGCATCATTTGACGCGGCTATGCAGCGTTTGGGCGGCCGAACTGTGGCTATCAATACCGACCACTCCTCCACGAAGAAGGGAGAGTCCCTACAAGATACGCTCCGCACATTGGGATGCTACGGTGACGCGATCGTGCTTCGTCATCCCGACGGCAATTCTGCTTCGATTGCTGGCCAATTCTCGCCTGTCCCAGTCATCAATGGCGGGAACGGAAGCGTGGAGCATCCAACTCAGGCATTCCTCGACCTGTTCACCATCCGGGAAGAACTTGGTACTGTCAACGGCTTAACGATCACTTTCACTGGTGATTTGAAGTATGGACGGACAGTCCACTCTCTTGTCAAGCTGCTGCAGTACTACAATGTTCGCATCAACCTTGTGGCTCCCAAGACGCTGTCTCTCCCTGACGAGGTTCGCGACTTGATCGTCGAGTCCGGTCATTTGGGTTTCGAAGCTGAGACGCTGACGCCCGAGCTCATGGCCAAGTCGGATGTGCTGTACTGCACAAGGGTTCAGAAAGAGCGCTTCCCCAATGTTGAAGAATTTGATCGGCTCAAGGATAGCCTTGTTGTCAACAACAGCATCCTCCAACACGCGAAGTCCAGCATGGTGGTCTTGCACCCGCTTCCACGCAACAACGAGATCAGCGAGGAAGTAGACTACGATCAGAGAGCGGCTTACTTCCGCCAAATGAGATATGGTCTGTACATCCGAATGGCGTTACTGGCTCTGGTGCTTGCGCCCTGAAGCAGAGCTCATAGATTACAACATCAGGATGACGAGTGATTGGCGTCTTTGTTGGAATTAAAAGTGCATTTCATAGATAATCAGACTGTCATCATAGATGAGACTGCTTTGGCAGCAAAAGAATATGACTTCGCATACAAGACCGTATTGGCTGCTATACCTGCAGCGAACATGCATATGCAAGTGTGCAGCAGGTCTGAGACAGCAGCCCAAATCCTGTCGTTGCTGTGGTGGCGCGGTCGTCAAGGCAAGCTTACCAAGCTCTCCTCGCGTCTTGGTCTTCTGTCGCTTCCAACCTTCCCTAGATCGACATCCGGCCTGGTGAGTGGCAGCAGCACCTTCATTTGGAACACGGCTGGGAATCACCCTAGGTTGCCATGTTGTACGAATCAAAACCTAGACTGACTTGTTTCAGGTGGTCAGATCGTCTCTCCTGGCAACCAAAGCTCGATCAACTGCCGTCTGTGGTGGCAGGAAACGTCAGTTTGACTACAGATGAAGTCAGTCTCTGCCGCAAAGCCTGGCCAGAGTTCGTTAAAGGAGATGGCAGGTACCGTCGCTTATGCGACTCAGCCGCCACGGTTCCACCACTGACGGTAAGCGCAGCCGTATCACAAGGCGACGAGCCACACCTAGCTGCACCTAGCCAGGATCAGGCGGCTGTCCAACCTCTGAGATAGTGGGCTAGCGCGGAGCTAACGAAGTAAACAAACTCGCTTAACCTGCTTACGTGGGAACCAGCCTGGACGACCCCGGGCTGTGCTCAATTCTCATTGGCCGGAAGCCTACGCCTTGGCGACTTTAATTTGACCCGCCTCGTCTTTTTTCTCCGCTACGGTCGCTTTGCTGCCGTGTTGGCGAACCATGAACCCTACACACACCCTTGTGCAACCTTTTTGATAGAGCTGCCTGCCATCGCACCAACCATGGCTGCTGCAGCGACCTATCATCTGGCCCACGAGGCTGGAAAACCCTATTGTATTTTTTTTCCCTGCCACAGCGTCCTGCTGTACAACGGCCAAGTCTCAGGTATATAGCTCTGGTTCGCAAGAGGTGAGTCGGTTTCTTTCTTCATCAAGCAACACTCTCTCGCAACGCAATCACAGCAGGCAAACGCCGAGTCGCTCTGACACTCTTTGGTCCTACCACTCCTAATCTTCGAGACCCCTCGTCCCTCCTTTTCGTGACTCTACTCTCTCATCTTCCTACTCAAGCCCAACACACAAGATGCCCTCCCGCTCCAAGTCTGCTGCCGTTGCTGCGGCTCTGATCTCCGGCGCTATTGCTGCTCCGCAAGGCCACGGATGGGGCCCAGCGTCTGGCGGCCAAGGATGGCAACCAGCTCCTGCCCCAATCTCCGAGACAACCACCACTCAAGGTTGGGTTGAGACTCCCGTCGCTCCCACTTCCGTCACCACATCTGCCCAGTGGGAAGATGTTACAACGCCATCGCCAGTTGCTCCGACATCAGTCACAACTTCATCTGCTCAGTGGGAAGATGTAACTACCCCTTCGCCAGTCGCCCCAACTTCAGTGACCACCTCTGCTAAGTGGGAAGACGTCACGACACCATCGCCAGTTGCCCCAACTTCAGTGACCACCTCTGCTAAGTGGGA